TAATTGTGTAATTAGAAAATGATGTCCCCTCCTTCTCCACACTCTTTTTGGCCTCCTAACACCAAGCAGAAAATTTAAAACAGATTGATGTATATGATTATGTTAATAGATATTAGAGCTTTTTCTAAATATCAAAAAACTACATCCAATAGTTTATTGATATAACATCGATAGAAGAAAACATAGTTATTACATTGGATTAATCACCAACTAGCCCATTAGTTCTCAATTACTTATCTGGTAGAGCTGTGGAAATGGGCATTGTTAAACAGTTCATCATATAAAGAATGTATAGTTGATTTATAATAAATATTTGGCTTAATTAAGATGTATTTTAAAGAGATTCAAGAAATCAAGCTTTCTTATTACTTTATTTTCATAGAAGTGAAATATCGTTTATATTGAGTCTTAGTCGTATTAATATGTTCTGATTTCGTTAGGTCTTCGTTTGTATGATTTTATTCTTGTTATTAGATCATTTATTAAAGTTTTAATATGCCTTTATTATTGATTTCAATATTCTATTGCATCACAAATGATGGCTATTTGATTAGATAGGGGATAATCTTCCATTTCGTTATTTTCTCTACATATAATATGTTTTTCAATATCATTGTAATTAACCAAACTAAAATTATGCTTATGACACAGCAAATAACTATGAAAAGAATAATGAAAACTTTAGAATTTAGAAAGTTTTATCTATTTTTAGTTTCCTTTATTGAAGTTCTAAATCTTATTAATAAATTTACAATCTAATTGATAATAAAATAACAATCACTATAAGTACAAGTTAAAAAGTGATCAAGCAAAATAATGGGATCTTATCTTTACTTTGCTCCCAACCTAATCTCTTTATAATATAAGAACATTAATTTACCGGAAGAAAAATGAAGTTTCCCTCTATTATCATATTGAATTTGACTTAGCATGAAGAACATTTTGCTCCTCTTATTTTATAATTATATTCATCCAAAATTTACTGCTTTAAGCATTCCTCATGAACATAATACCTCGACCTTACGCATTCACAAGCTTTGATTAAAGGACAGTCATCAGAATCTCCATCTCCACAAATTCTGCATTAGTTATACGAACTAAAACATGTTTCTTGCTTCAAATTGTAAATTTACTTTAATTTTTCTTTGGTTTTTCTTTTGTTTATTGGTTGATATTGTTTTAACATCTAAATGTTATCAGTTTTTAATCGTTGACTTAGTTGTCAGATCGCGAAACTAATATATCTGATTAAGTTGTTTGATTGATTTATGTCTGTTGAATTGGTTGATTTTCAAGATCAGGTGCAATTTGATTTTATCTGACTTTTTGATGCTCCTGTTATTAATATTGCGAACTTAAGATGTATAAGCATTACATTTACATTCCAACTCTCCTTTATTTATACTTGGATTAAATTACTTTGCTTATGTCTAGGTTTTCAAGATCATCTAGATTATTTTCATCCTAATCTTCATAATCAGTATTCATTTATTATCTAATTATTTAATTTACGATAATATTATTAATTAATCACATTTTTCATTCTTTATACAAAGAAATAATAGAAAGTTAGACAGTTTTATTAAAAATTAAATAATGTTTTTACACGAATTTTAATCAGGCTCTTATTTCTAGATTTTCGATCCTAAGGAGGTAGAAACCAAAGGAAGCAAAGAAAAAGAAGATCTTTATAAAAAGTTGTTTAAAATCAATTACCCATTAAAAAGTTCAAGGTATTTTGATAAAGAAATGAAAGGTAATTAAAATCTAAATCCCAGGATTTATTTATGAATTCTTAGGTGACTCAACTAGGATTCAATTTCCAAAACAAGGTGAATTAGGCTTGATTCAATAGTTTTTAGTTGTATAGGTTAATATAGATCTTGGGTTCGTATGGACACTAGAGTTGGATGTGACTGATACTACAAAAACTAAAAGAAGAATCGTATTAACAGATAGTGTAAAGAGTCTTGAAAATCATCATTTTCATATAAAATCCCCAATAGATCATGTAAGAAGAGGATAATGGTTAAATCTCTGCATAGATGTTTGGAGTTTCATGGAAGCATTTAAAGGGTGCACATTTCGATCCATAGATTAAATAATTATTGGTTCACCTTGTAAATTAAGGAAAATTTATATTATGAAATATCCAATTTAGGATAGCGAAATAGATATCACCTTCACTTAAGGTTTTGCCGTTGTTCCAAAGTAAGTTAATTTTCCAGAGACTTTCCCTTATTAAAACCAATTAATTACTTTTCGACTGTTGAATTATAATGAGTTTGCTTTAAGTTCTCAAATTCAAAGCCTCCCTAAAAGTCCTGATAAGTATTATTGAAATATTTATAGATATGTTTATGATGTAAAATAACCGATAGAGTAAAAATAAAAAATAGGAAAATATAAATATAGCAAACCTGAGCAATCTATTTAAACAAAATAGACTTAGCAACATTAATAATCTTAAAATTTTCAAAAATATGATAATATTGATTTAGATGAAAAATTATAATCTTCTTTGAATGACGATGAATCAGAACCTAAAGATAATCCATCTTATTTCGAAGAAATTTAATAAGATCAATATGAAAATGAATAATTAGAAGATTATCTAGAGGATTTTGATGAAAAAGATGAAGAGTATCTCAAACTAGTGTACGATCCAAAATTGAAATGTTTTTATGATCCTTAAACTAATGAATATTATCAATTAAATAATTAAGAATGAATTTTAATTATATGTTCCTTCAAAATTATATAATTTAAATAACAACTACCTACGTCACTCGATTTTTCTTATTACTAAAAAGTTTCGTCTGCTTAACACTACAAAAACATATAATTATCAGATGAAATAAAGGTAAAAGATGAAATTATTTTTATGTGTTCTAAGGTATAATAATTATTAAAACCTTCTTGAATTTATTATATTTTATTAGGCTTTGTTTGGAGCCAAAAATAATTGATTTATTATTCAAATAATGAAAAAGAACAAACAAGTTTCAGCCAAATCATAATATTTAAAAAAGAAAAAGGAAATGCCAAGTGGAGTGGATGATTTAGCAACGCATGAAGAGAATGACATTCATTCTTTTAATTAGCTAAAATAATAACAGAATCCAAAATTTTAACAAATTGCTATAAAAGAAGGAGACTCAAGTTCAAGTGAAGATGATGGGGAACTCAAGAACAGAGATGACCCTGATGAATAATCCCGTTTTGTATTAGGCTTGATCTAAAAGAATGTACGAGTTTAAAAATATATGAAAATAGAGAGTTAATGAAAAAAATTCATTTGAGATACCTATGATCAATATTAAGGATCTAAATGCATTCAAATGTAAGTGATTGTTCATAATTTAGAGATTGAACAAGGAGATGCTTGGAAACAAATCTCCGCTTCATTAGATGCGGGATCGAAAATATATGGGTTTAGGGTCGATTTAGTTCATTAAAACACATTTAAAGTACTTGGGGGTTTGCATAGAACCTAAATTAATGAAAAACAAAATTAGGAAGAATAACAGGAATATGAACAAGAATAATTGAGAAAAAAGAAATTATAAAATACAGGAGGAGAGAACACATTAGAAAAAAATTAAGCAAACATAGACACAAATAAATATGATTTAGAATTTGAAATTGATCCACTATTTTAGTAAACATCTGCAAAATTTGATGAAGCAGGAGCAAAGGGATTATTGATGAACAATTTGACCATAAATGAGAATTTAATGCTTGCGTTGGATTCTGATGTCTTGCCCATCAAACCTATCACATGTTCATTGAATATAGATAGTAACATATAAAAAATATAAATAGAATATAAGTCCTTTTTAAAGAATTTAAACAATTTGAAATTGTGTCCAGAATTAACTGAATTCAGAGAGAATATGTTTCAAAAAGGGTAGAATATAATAGAAATTAAATAAAACACCTCATTCCACAATGTGATGGACCCAATAGCTCTGAACATGGATTTTAATTAAGAAGATTAATTATATGAGAATATGAATATGGCAGAAGAGATAATCGATGAACAAGCATCTATTCTTTCAGTAAATTAATAATACTAAAATGGTGTGGTTAATTAATATAGTGGACATAAATTCTCTTAAAATAAATTCAATATCTTAAATTTTGAATAAGCTGCAGCTAATATTGGAACTGGAAAAGTCTTTGAAAATGAGAAAGAATAAGTTGCATGGATGGCTTTGGATATGAATCAGTAACCTAAAAAAAAAAATATTGCTTAACTAAATGAAAAGCCTAAGAAGAACAAAACCAAAAAGAAAAATGGTCTTCCTTTTTCTTTTGATCCAGAGGAGGATGAGCAAGATTTAGATCGATAAAATATCCTTTAAAAAAGGGATAAAGAGAATTATTGCAATAACAAAGAAACCATGAATTAACTATATCTACTACCTAAATCTTATCAAATAGATAGATAAGAGTAAATATATTTATTTATTACAATTAGTTTATGTTAACCATTTTAAGTTTCAAAATTACCAAAATGGGAGGAAGAAGTTTAGGAATAGCCATTTTTATAAAATGATAATTTTGATACCGGAGGAGTTGATGAGGATCCTTAACCTATGATAACATAATAAAATACAGCCTTTAACTCAGCATACAAAAATACTAATAATGCTCAGGGAAAGTTGAATATTCCGATTAAGGAATTAAAAACATAAGTTTGGCAGAATTTATAGTAATAAATACCTGTAATTATTTAATATTGATTTCAATATAGTTATCAACAGATAATGCTGGCTTAGAATTTAATGAGATTAATAAAATTTTACCCAAAATTTTAAAAATTCCTTAATCTAAAGGCAGGGTTTCTATACAAACTTGTTTTGTCACAATGTTACACTTAGCTAATGAATAAGGATTGAAATTTATTCAAAGTGATACTGAAAACGATTTTGTTATTCAAAGAGAAATATTGCCTCAATAATCATGATTTTTTTTCTAATATTTTATAATAAATAATGTAATTTAAACAAATCAATTTAGAGGAATTCAATGAATAAAAAGCTTTAGATTACTTGGAATTAAAAAATTAAAGTCTCCAACAAACTCTCTTAGAAGATCCTAAAATAGCTCGTTATTTAGATTTTGCTGATTACTTGTTAAGTTATCATTTTTAATAGACGATCCATAAGAAGGCTCATGAAAGGTTATTGGTGGAAATGTTTAACACAGACTATATACTTTCGAAATTGTATGGATTGGAACTGCATAAAATAAAGGAATACTTCGTAAAATTTGGGAATAGGATAAAAATTTCAGGATTTGTGTTATTACTTTTGAAATTGATATAATTCCAATTAGATGAAGTTCCTTATATGATAAATGGATTGAGAGAGTTAGCTGAAAAGATAGCTCAGAATGGAATAATCACATTTGAATAATTTGTTGCATATTATATGTCATGTAGTGAGAACGATGAGTAAGACAACATCCAACATGCTTATTACAAAATAATCGAAAGCAAAAGTTAAGACACAATGTACCATAAACACGAGATATAAAAAGTACTGGAAATTATATGACTTTTTAGGCAATCTACACAAAATCGATCTAAAAAATTGCTTTGCTTGAAGAAAACTAACCATAAATATATTTATTGGGGACAGACTTTCAAATACATAAAGAAATAAAGCTAGATAATCCTGACACACATTATATAATTTTAGATTTTGACTTTGCTGAGAATATCAAAGAATTTTGTTGCAGTTTGTCTAATAATCATATTTTATTCTTGAGTTTTGTAATAAGCTATTAATTAATGTTAGATGGATCAATTGCATAACAATAAATTAGTCTAATGCGAATACTTGTTGACCAAGATTCAATATCTTTAAATGCTTGATCACTGGGGATCAGTTACAACTAATTAGTAATTGATATTATGGCATCCAAAGACTCATCAACAAACAAGAGTACCCTTATAATTATAGGGTGGCAAGATTTAGAGCATAATAGAACTTTAGAAAAATGAAATGATTTGTTTATAAACTGATTTGAAAAGAGTGCACATTTTTAATCCCAAATTTGAATAACTGATTGTTATATAGGATTCATTGCTTATTTAGACGTAATTATATCTATCAATAGTTAATTCTTAGATTTATATTTTATGAAGCAGGATAATGTTTTTATTCTATAAATTTTACTCATAAAATCTAAAAATGGTTAATCGAAGAGAATGGTGTTGATTATACTAAAGATAAAACTATTCAAATTTGTAAACCAGAATATACAGTTCTTGCTATTGGTTTTGTTTAAGACTTATTAGTAACTTATGATTCAAGTAATTAAATTAGAGTGTTTGATACTGAGGATTTTAGAAAGTTAACTACATATAAAAAAATACTTAAACCTACCAATCATATGAAGATTATCGAAATCAATAAATATTAATTTATAATCGTCGGCAATAGGATCAGTTCATTTGAGATCGAGGTTAGAATTGAAGAAAAGTAAATCTCTAATAAAGATGAACTTGAGAAACATAATGATGATTTTGAAACTCAGATGAAATCTACCAAACTATTAATGTAGCAAATTTTAAAGAATCAGCCTTAAGTGGTCAACTTTAGAGGTACCAAACATTAAGATCAGATGTAAATAATATAATTGAATTAAGAGAGTCAATTTTAGAATAAATCAAGGGGGCTAAGAGTCAATTGCTTCCAAAAATCAAAGTGAAGGAAATTCATCATTATACAGAGCTGCCAGATGAGTACATTAGAGAGAAAATAGAGGAAATAGAAAAGAACATATATGCAAACAAATTGTTAAAAGACAGAATACATTAAGCAACTGAACCCTTTGTTGAATCACAACCTGATCCCATAGATCCAAAAATATTATAAAAATTGTAGCCTCTATAATAAGGGTTCTAGAAAATAGACCATAAACACAACTAATCAGAGTAAAATGGTTCAAAGATATAATCTGTTAGATAATTATAAAAGTAAGTTTTGATTTAAAGTGTATAGCAATAGTAAGGTTAAAAAGAAGTTAGACATTTTAAATTTTGATTTGTAAGAAAAATCAATTCGTTCAAAAATTGACCCTTTGTTAGACACAGATACAAATTTTTTATTCAAACAATTAAAAGATGATTACTTGAATGTTCAATCTAAAAAATCTACAAAAACATAATCATTATGTTATGAATCCAGATATGAATATTAAACTTAGAGAGGGAAACTAAAAAAATAATTATTCACAACTTAATATAAAACAAAAGGACAAAAAATAAAGACGATACAATCTATACAACCTACTAATCAAACAATTAATCAGACAATTGGTTTATCAAGAACATCAAGAAATAGTAGAAATACTACTAATCCCTATTCTTAATTATAGCAGAATGATTAGCCTCCTCCAATTCCGCTAGAATGCATCCCACAGATGGAAAAGGTTAAGTTATTTTACAATGAAGCTGTTAAGGCAATGAACTATTTAAAAGAATAAAACCAATTTTTGTTTTTTGACTCTTGATTCATAATTATTGAGAATTAATTATGTTTTTATTTAAATTAATACAGAAACATTAAAATATCAAAACTACTTATACATTTTATTGGTTTACCCATTAATTGATTTTTTGAAGCGTCTACATTATCAATTATAAAATTTACATACGCATTTACTGCTGCTTATTTAAGAACCATATATTTATTTTCGATTCCTTCTTCTGATTCATTCATTTTAGAGAAATCTCTAATGGTTTCCTCAACTTCTTCCTTTTTGTACGACAGTTATTACTATGAATTAGAATTTTTATTTATTGATTTCTTTTTTTGACCAGTAATCTATTCCATATAAGAATTAGGAGTAATTGTTAGCTTTTTTTCTTGCATATGTGGTCTCTTCTAATCTGGAGTCAATGTAAGGTTCTGCTTGCTATCACGTGCTCGAGAGTTTGAATTAAATGATAGTTTGCTTAATCTACTCAACATACTTGGTTAAATTCCTAGCATCACACTTCCATTGTTCTCCAATTCAGAATGAGAATCATTGTAACTACTCACCGATTGCATTCTATTTTTTCTTCTATTAATGTCTGGTGTTAAATTGGATTTTCTTTATTCTGGAGTCTTGAGTAGCGAATTCATCTCCACTTATTCAAGAGAGTAATTGAGAAGTGAGCCTCCAATGTTATTGGATGAAATGTCATCTTTTGATTTCTTAAATCTAAGAGAAAATAAATCTATTTTAATTACAATGAGGGTTTATTATTAACTAAATTGCTATTTTAACTACTAGGTAAATGACCTTCAATGGTTTGTTTTCTCTTATCATCATTCCTATCTGATTTAGGACCTGTTTCCCAATCAAAAACTAAATCTTTTTATGTATAGTTGTGTTCTTAGCATACTTTCTTAAAGAGGGACTGACAATGCTTGTAATTGGGTTCAGCTTTGAATGGTAACCCTTTAATGTATTCTAGAAATCTTCCGAATTCTATAGGAATTCCTTTACAAAGTTCATTCATTTCCATCTTCATCTTCATTTAGCCAACTTAACGCATTTTATCTTCCTCATCTGTGAATTGTAAATTTTACCAGGGTAATTAACCTTAATAATATCAAATAGGTACATTTTACCCTTTAATAAAAAGATGAGCATATAGCCTAATGATTCTAGATCATCTCTCCTACTTAAAGATGTGCCTTTATGAGCATTAATGCTGGCATATCTTGTAGTTCCAATAAATGGTTAGTTCTCTCTATATGAACTAAATTATACTGATCTATTTTACATGTGTGAATCATTTTCATCCTTATAAAACTTGCTAATTCCAAAGTCCACTATATATAGTAGATTCTCTTCTTCCTCTTTTCCCACTAAAACATTTTCAGGTTTAATATCACGATGCAACACTTTGCTAAATTTGATTTATCATTTTCTTACTTTTTGTGAATATTTTCTATGATGTTGATCATTTGCTCAGCTATATTGAGTACACAGCGAAGCGAAAATTTGCGAAATGTTTTCATGTAATGTGTCAAATCCCTTCCCAAATATTATATAACAAGCACATTTGAATCTCCTTCTTTTCCTGCCCAATGTAACTTTGGAATCTAAGGTACCTTTTACAACCTTTTTAGTATTTCAGCCTTGATGTTTCATGATATTTAAATTACCTCTCGTTCTAAACTTGAGTCTTCCTTATTACCCTTCTCAATCTTTATGGCTACTAATGCCCGGGTATTTATGTCTTGACCACAGTATACTACACCAAAAGATCCAGCAGAAACTCTCTTTTTAGTTATGAAAGTGTTGTTTATCAACTTTTAAAGCTATTGATTGCTCATTAATTTATAAACAACTCTAATTATTAAACAAATGATAGCTGATCTCATTTATTAATTAATTCATTTATAGATTACAATTATAAATTTCTACTTTTAATTTTATCACTTCACTCCCTTCTTAAAATAATATTTATCAAAAGTTATTTAAAATATATGAAGAAATAAGTTTTGATTCTGCATGGAGAAAATATTCAAAGTAAATTGACAGTTAGAATGATATTCATTTATAGATCAAAGATATTCAAGAGTATTTTTTTATTGATGCTATTTTATAATAATAAAATAATCATGAATTCAATATATCCTTCAACATTAAAAGGTCCGTTAAATTAGAAAATAACATCATCAAAAAATGTATACACTTTTATGGTTATAAAAAAAAAGATGGAATCTAAAGAAATACAATATGGAAATAATGAAGAGGCATTGATTAAGTGCAAAAGAACAAATATAATTGTTGAGTAAACAATTAAAAGGGACAAGAAGATTCTATTTCTAAAAGCCTTCTCTTCCCTCATTCAAGAATTATGTGAAGGATTCATAAATGTTTTTATCAGAGCTAGACCTACACTGATTGACTTGAATAGCAAAGAATTTCTTTTATTTAGAATGTTGTTGCAGTTGATCATGGAAATTCAATTAATATTCTCAAGTATCATAGTTAGCAGACTAAATAATTTTAAGTTATATAACTTATAAAAACTCATTGAATTGAATATTCCAACTGCAACTTCTTTTAAATCTTACTGCATCAAAATAGGTTTATTTAGAAATAAAGTGGAATATAAAAAAGGAAACAAATTAGGGCATTCTCTATTCTAGATGATATTGTATTTAAACAATCATCTAATTTGCTATTTTCAATTTTACGCAAATTTCAAAATTATTTTAATATATAATTTATTGTCTGAAAAATATAATAATTTAATAGTTGTAATTCTTTTGTGATGAAATAAACACTATCGTCATTAAAGTTGTAAGCATTTTGGATCAACTCCGAAATGGTTTGAATTAGGCTTATCCAACTGTAGCAGCACATTTACTGCAATGCTAAATTACATCTTTGCAGTCATTCTTGCAAAATGGTAAAAATGCAAAAGGAAAACAAAATAGAAGTAAGAGGATAGCACAAAAATAGGTATAATTCCCATTTTAGTAGGCAATTAAGGTTTCAGATTTCTAACGACAAGCAGGACAGTCTATAAAGATTGGAGTCCTAGAGTCATCTGCTGATGAAGGAAATATAAACATTGATTAGACTTCTAATGGTTAGTCTATTAATTAACTTTGGTTTAGTATTAATAAGACAGATTTTTTTTATCCTTTATATGTATCTAATTAATTAATTTTGAAAATACTTTTGCAAGTATCTTACGTTGACTATGACTCTCCAGATTTTTGTAATGAATAACAGCTAGTCTATGAGTTTTTCAGCATTATAAAATTTAATTAATAATGTTAATTAATCGATCTAATTTTGGTTTATTAATGATATTTTAATAAAAGACTTTTTGCGATTAATACTAAATCTAAGATGATAAGATATTATTTCAAAATGGAGAAAACAAGATAGGTATTAGATTTTTTGACCATTTTAATATTTTATTATTAACATATGAAGATAACAGAAATAATATTTAATTAATTTATCAGTTATGCAGCAATAACAATAATTAGCTCCGACATATGAAAAATGCCCTAAACACTCTATCAATGATATTGTGTTATTTTGTCTACATGATTAATGCAGAGAAGTATGTTTATTTTTAATTTTTAAGCCCTTATGCAAAGAATGTTGTAAAATGCATATTCAATAGCATAATTTATAAGGAACACCTGCGAATATTGATACAGTAGATAGTGTTAGAGAGATGTTATTTAATGATGTTCACAATCTCAAAATTAGATTTGAAGAGTAAGTTTGATATGAATATGCTAGAGAAAGAGAAATACTACATCACTTTTCAGATGGTGAAAATTCTTAGCTGATTAAATAAATTCATGCAAAAATAGAATAAGTCAAGAAAAGTCTACTTTAATTGATTAATGATTACTGCAATTAATTGGAAAAAGAAATCTAAAGAAGAATCCATTAACATAAAGTATTTTTTGATATTAAAAAATAAGGCTGCACATCCAGGAGAGAAAAAAGAATTGCATCACAAACTAAACACAGTCATTACTTAATTGGATTCACAAGAAAAAGCACTTCAATCACAAAAATACATCAAGGCTTGTTTAGTTGTGATATCTGAAGAGAAGAATCACGATTTAGAAGGATTATCTCTTGATATTGATAATGCTTTAAAACATTATTTGGATAATATGTTTGAGATATGCATTCATGACGATAAATTACAAAAAATTAGTAATTTTTTTCTTTACTCTACTCATAGGTGATGCTTTGAAGGAATACGTTGAAATTCATTAAGCTAATTTGGCAGAAGAATTAGAATATTACACTTAATAAATTAGAGAAAACAAAAGAATTTCTGGCATGCAATAGTAATTGTATAATTAGCAATTGAAACAAGTTAATAAAAAATAAGAGATCAATCCTCCTATTTCCTAAACAATTCCTTAAAGCAAGCTGAATTATTCAACTATTTATGATGCTCCTCATTACTAATAGAGTATACGTAAAAATAAATCAATATCAAACTTAATAGATTCTTCACTTCAACAATCCAGGCTTGGTCCAACATCTAAGAATTATGAAACTAGATTGCAACAGAATAATGAAAAATTGAAGTAATTTTATGGATGATATTTAAATTAAAAATTATATAAATAACAGCAATTATGAATAAAGGCTAATCTCCAAGAAGAGATCATTCTCCAAATTTCTTCTATAATATTACAAATGATAATTACATGTATAAGAGGAGTGCAGATACACAACAAACAGATCCGAATTGCATGACTAAATAGGCTAGAAATTATGTGAATAATGCTAACATTACAAATTCTCCAAAACCTGCTGGATCGCCTTCAAGAATGAATTTTACAATGTAAAACAAATATTTTCATCAATCAAATATTTTTGATGGAATTCAATAAACAAAAGAGTATAAGCAACCTGAATAGCCATAAAAGGAGAAATAACGGGACAATAAATCTCCTTCAATATTAAATGGAGCATAGATTAATAAAAATTATAATTGCACATCTGGTAAATCACAACCAATAATCAATAAATCAAAATAAATTACGGTTGAGTTTTAAACAGACAACAATAATTTTGATGCTTTGGATTTAAAAAGATCTTTATTAAAATAAGGTATTTAGATTTCTGATATATAAATGAAAAATCCCATAAACTCAGGAAGAACTAAGAATGTTGGAAATCTTACAGTGAGAGGAGATGAAGACAAGTTGTCTAATCTCCATTAAGAACTTGAGAAAGTTGGACTAAAAACACATGACAAACCAAATAATTATTATGTAATTATAAATATCGATTCTCTAGAAATAATAAGCTGATCATAGTTGGATGCTTTAGAAATAAAAATATGATAAAATTGAATATTTCAAGAATCGTTGATTTCAAAAAAATGTAATATACCTTTTATTTAATCACATCTCTTTTCTAACTTCATTTCTATAAGCAAGATAGATAATAACCAATAGATATAAGTATGTGAATTCCATGCCCCAAATATTATTGGGAGATATTTTACATTATATAATAATAGATACATACATTTTCCAAATGGTTCAATGGCTTATACTTTTTTTCTCGTCTGACATCTATCTCTGATAATGTTTAATGTAAATCAAATTAAGCTGATTCCAAAACTCTGTATTTTGGCCCTTAAACTTCTATATCGTCATAAGTCCTAAATATATTTTTAATTTATGTTATCTTTACTTATCTACTTTAAATCGTAATTATGTATTGAATAAATTTTGTTATAAATATGCTGTTGCATCTCAATTTTTACCTAATCATAATTTACTAGGAACAGAGTCATTTTATGATTATCAACTGAATTTAGCTGTAAACTGAAAGAATCTTAATTAATTATCGTTTATAAAGATATTAAATAAGTTCAAAAAAATTATCTGCTTAAGGAATCAATACCGAATATCTCTTATATTAATTATTTAATTTATGGTACTTCTGTTTACTCTAAAAAGGAATTTTATAATAGTGACGTTGCTTTCATGTTAACAGTTTGTAGAATAAGAATTTTGATAAATATTTCTTGAAATATCAATAAAAACTTTCCTCCATTGTTAGGTTTTTTTATTCACATTATTTTAGAACTTTTTTATTTTTCTTATGACTTTGTTGACTTGTCATATTAATTTCAGATTTTTTTGAATATAATAATATATTGTATATTAATTTTTATGCAAAGACCCCTTGGTTCTCCTATTGATAAAAAGTCTATGATCCAAAGAAACAACATGTCTTTAAGGAATTTGGCAGAAAAATCAATCTTTGCCAAGCAATAGCTCAGTAAGTAATGAAGATAAATGATTGTTTAGAAAAAGAAGTCAATCTATTAATCTTTAATAATAAGATGAACCATCTATACATTATTCACATCCAATAGAAACAAAACGGGTGTCATAAGCAAGTGTCCCTTTAATTCAGCAAGATTCCAATGAATGCTTTTAAAAGGTTCTTGGATCTAAACAAGGATCAAAAGATGGGAGTGGAGAAGAGGATGATAGGATTGTTGCAAATGAACCAAGACCCTCAAAAATTAGACGATTGTCTCGTCTTAAAGATATTGAACCACCGGAATCTTATAAATTCTCACTGATCATAACTTAATAAAGTAGATTAAAATAAACTTGGGATGCAGTCATTTTTATAGTATTAATGTATAATTATACGATTTATTAGATATATTTGTATATTTACTCCATATAAAATGGGTTTCATTAATGATGAAGAATACCCTGTTTGGGACAGTTTCGAAAATTAAATTGACTTTATATTTATGGCAGATATCTTATTCACATTCTTGTGTTCTTATTATGATGAAGAGAACAATCTAATCACAGATCCTAAATTAATTGCCATCAATTATTTAAAAGGTTGGTTTACAGTTGACCTAATGGTATATATATGAGAGATAAATTTTAGTCTTGCTTTCCATTCCAATACATATTCCAAGATTATGATAAATCCAGCAACATTGCCAGATTATCAAAACTACCAAAAATGTATAGAGTTATTAAAATGGTTAAAATATTTCGTATGATTCAATTAAAAGATGTTCAGTACATCAAGGTGATAAACATTAACATAGGAAGTGAAAGATTTCTTTATGCATTCATATTGTTGATATTCAGTTGTCATGTTACTGGATGTATTTGGTTTTTCATAGCATCATTGTCAGAAGATCCTGATTGGGAATACAATTTCATTTCAGGATATGATCAATATATAGTCTCCTTATATTGGGCAGTTCAAACTATTTTAACAGTTGGATATGGAGATGTAAAAGTGTATAAATGGCCTTCCTATCTATTCGCAATATTTTGGATGTTAATCTCTGTGTACATTTTTTCATTTGCTGTTGGTTCTTTAGCTTCTTTTCTAGACAGATTGGATCATGCAAATTCCATTTATGTGAATCGACTCTCTACGTTGAAAAATATTAAAAAAGAATTTCATATTTCCAACGCCATCTTTTAAAAAGTAAAAAAAGAATTGAAATCGGGCAAGAAAAACCTATTATTAAATTATAATACTTTATTGGAAGATTTGCCTCCTTAATTAAGAGTTGAATTAGCATTTATTATGAATAAATAATTACAAGAAGAAATTTAGTATTTCAGGGATAAAGCACCTACTTTTATTGCTGCAATAGGACCTGTATTAACTCCATTAAAAGTAGGAGCTCATGAATACTTATTTATGACTGGAGATAATGCAGAAGAAATTTATTTTGTAAAAAGTGGAAAATTAGCCTTAGTTATTCCAGAAAATGATAATTTTAAATTCTTAATGATTAAACCTGGATCTTATTTTGGTGAAATTGATATCCTATTTTATGGAGAGAAAAGAAAATACACAATAATGACAACAAAGAAATGTGAATTTTATGTACTCTCAAAAAAACACTTTAAACTCATTTATTTAAATTAATTCAGAGATGAAGGAGCAAAAATGATTAAAGAAGCTCAAAAAAGAAAGCAAATGATTAAGTCTGCCTATGAAGAAGCTATACAGTTTATTGAAGCTCATGGTGAAAAGAATTTTAAAAGAAATTAATAAACTTCTACTTAAACTATTTAACTTAAGCATATGAACTCCGTTTCAAGCTCTAAAAGTCCCTAAGAAAGTAAATATTGTTAAATATTAGAAGTATCTGTATCAAATCAAAAATTCTAATTAGAGAAAATCATTTAGGAAGAGAATGAAGATGACGATCAGGAAAGAGAAACTGAAGCATTGATGTCATTAATGGATAGATAATAGTTTAGAAAAAAGATTTCTTAGTTAGAAAAGTAAATCTAGTTAAAAGATTAAACTATTTAAGCCATTTAATAGGAACTTGATGAGTTAATGACTGAAATCTAATTAAAAAATTTAGATGCGTTACAAGAAAAAATCAAAGTTCCAAAAACCTTTGAAGAACATTTGCAACAGAGGCGTTTCTTAAAGGCTAATTAAAAGCTTAAAGAAAAGTTGAAAAAAAGAAGAAGTAGGAAAGTTTCATTACGTTTCTCATTCAAGTAAGCAACTTCCCTAAGTGAGTCAGAATAAAACTGTAAATCGCTTTCTCCTTTAAAATTAGATGGTGAATAAGATTGAAAGACAATTTATATAATACTAACTTACTGCGGTTTATATTGACTTAATTTTTATAAGTCATTCTAATTACGGTTAGATCTTTTATTGTTCCTCTTCTAAATATTAGCCCACAAACTCTTTAGGTTTGTGATCTGATTTTATTTAAACTATTTCTTCAAAATGCTAGATTATAGATTCTCTTTCTTAAAATTCAAATTAGACTTGTTATTCTTACAATTCATCTTTAATCAAATTGTTTGCAACTGAATATATTTCAGATTATTTTAAACCATCAGTGTTATAAATAACTTCAATGTGAGCTGTTTGTTCCTAAAAACTTTAAAAATAAGCAATTTTTTCTATTAACTATGGTTGAATGTCGTTTTAAATTTATTCTTTATTTAAATTTTGTGAAATAACAGAATTGATTTATCGATTTGTTTCATTTTCAAGTTCAAATTTCTCTTCATCCTCCTTTTTCAAATCTAATTCTATTTATGGTTATTAAACTATCTAAACAACATTTACTTCAGGTTCCTTCAACTCAACCATATCTTGTGTGTCAATTTATTATCTATTATCCATTTTATCATTAAGTTTCTCAACATTTTATTATTCTGATTATTCTGAGTCTAAATGGTCTTCCTACTTTTATTCATTTCTAAGCTCAAAATTCTCTTCATCTTCCTTTTTCAAATCTAATTCTATTTATGGTTATTAAACTATCTAAACAATATTGACTTCAGGTTCCTTCAATTAAACTAAATCTTGTGTTTCAATTTATAATCTCTTATCGATTTTATCATTAAGTTTCTCAACATTTTATTATTACTCTGAGTCTGAAATGTCTTCCTATTTTTATTCATTTCTAAGTTCAAAATTCTCTTCATCTTCCTTTTTCAAATCTAATTCTATTTATGGTTATTAAACTATCTAAACAATATTGACTTCAGGTTCCTTCAATTAAACTAAATCTTGTGTTTCAATTTATAATCTCTTATCGATTTTATCATTAAGTTTCTCAACATTTTATTATTACTCTGAGTCTGAAATGTCTTCCTATTTTTATTCATTTCTAAGTTCAAAATTCTCTTCATCTTCCTTTTTCAAATCTAATTCTATTTATGGTTATTAAACTATCTAAACAATATTGACTTCAGGTTCCTTCAATTAAACTAAATCTTGTGTTTCAATTTATAATCTCTTATCGATTTTATCATTAAGTTTCTCAAAATTTTATTATTACTCTGAGTCTGAAATGTCTTCCTATTTTTATTCATTTCTAAGTTCAAAATTCTCTTCATCTTCCTTTTTCAAATCTAATTCTATTTATGGTTATTAAACTATCTAAACAATATTGACTTCAGGTTCCTTCAATTAAACTAAATCTTGTGTTTCAATTTATAATCTCTTATCGATTTTATCATTAAGTTTCTCAAAATTTTATTATTACTCTGAGTCTGAAATGTCTTCCTATTTTTATTCATTTCTAAGTTCAAAATTCTCTTCATCTTCCTTTTTCAAATCTAATTCTATTTATGGTTATTAAACTATCTAAACAATATTGACTTCAGGTTCCTTCAATTAAACTAAATCTTGTGTTTCAATTTATAATCTCTTATCGATTTTATCATTAAGTTTCTCAAAATTTTATTATTACTCTGAGTCTGAAATGTCTTCCTATTTTTATTCATTTCTAAGTTCAAAATTCTCTTCATCTTCCTTTTTCAAATCTAATTCTATTTATGGTTATTAAACTATCTAAACAATATTGACTTCAGGTTCCTTCAATTAAACTAAATCTTGTGTTTCAATTTATAATCTCTTATCGATTTTATCATTAAGTTTCTCAAAATTTTATTATTACTCTGAGTCTGAAATGTCTTCCTATTTTTATTCATTTCTAAGTTCAAAATTCTCTTCATCTTCCTTTTTCAAATCTAATTCTATTTCTGGTTATTAAACTATCTAAACAATATTGACTTCAGGTTCCTTCAACTCAACCATATCTTGTGTGTCAATTTATTATTTATTATCGATTTTATCATTAAGTTTCTCAACATTTTATTATTCTGATTATTCTGAGTCTGAAATGTCTTCCTACTTTTATTCATTTCTAAGCTCAAAATTCTCTTCATCTTCCTTTTTCAAATCTAATTCTATTTATGGTTATTAAACTATCTAAACAATATTGACTTCAGGTTCCTTCAACTCAACCATATCTTGTGTGTCAATTTATTATTTATTATCGATTTTATCATTAAGTTTCTCAACATTTTATTATTCTGATTATTCTGAGTCTGAAATGTCTTCCTACTTTTATTCATTTCTAAGCTCAAAATTCTCTTCATCTTCCTTTTTCAAATCTAATTCTATTTATGGTTATTAAACTATCTAAACAATATTGACTTCAGGTTCCTTCAACTCAACCATATCTTGTGTGTCAATTTATTATTTATTATCGATTTTATCATTAAGTTTCTCAAAATTTTATTATTACTCTGAGTCTGAAATGTCTCCCTATTTTTATTCATTTCTAAGTTCAAAATTCTCTTCATCTTCCTTTTTCAAATCTAATTCTATTTATGGTTATTAAACTATCTAAACAATATTGACTTCAGGTTCCTTCAATTAAACTAAATCTTGTGTTTCAATTTATAATCTCTTATCGATTTTATCATTAAGTTTCTCAAAATTTTATTATTACTCTGAGTCTGAAATGTCTTCCTATTTTTATTCATTTCTAAGTTCAAAATTCTCTTCATCTTCCTTTTTCAAATCTAGTTCTATTTCTGGTTATTAAACTATCTAAACAATATTTACATCAGGTTCCTTCAACTCAACCATATCTTGTGTGTCAATTTATTATCTATTATCGATTTTATCATTTAGTTTCACAACATTTTATTCATATTTTTTACTGCTTGTTATAATAGTCATTTATTATCCTAAATCTAATGAGTCCTATTCCTGTTATCCTTTTTCTATTAGTTATTATTTAATTTCTTCGCAGTTTGATGAATATTCTACTTCATTCTCTTCTTCATTTTGACTTTTTCTTAATTCAAAGTTACTAAAATTTTCATTTTTGAAACTAATTTATTCATTCTAGGTGTCTTTTTTTGCTATTTCTATGTATTTATTGGGTATTGATTAATACTTCAATAATTATTCCTCATATTCCACTTTCATTGATATTGCATTATTTGTATGAATTTTTAATTCCTCAATTTCTCTTATTAATTTTAATTCTGTTTATTTTGCTTATAACTTAACTTCTTAAATTTCTTAATTTTTTTATTTTATTTAACCTTTTTAAGATACATTCTCTTATTCCAACTATTGTATCTATTCTATTAGTTAATTAGCTTTAATTTTCAGTTGCTCAATCTCTTCCTTATTTATGAAATCATTTTTGATCGTTTATTATTAAAGAAGTTTTAATTATTCATCTTTCTCAATTAAAGATAATTATAAATCTTATATATTTTTCTAATTTTCACTTATTTCTATTATCTTCAAATTTTATATTTTCATCAAATCATCTATTTTCTAATCTTAGAGACATTTCTATTCAAATTAAATTTGTTATAATTCTTCTATTTCTTCGTCTTTTTTTTCAAGTATTTTCTAAAGATCATCTTTTCTGATTTACAATTCACTAACCTTTTATTTTAACTCTTCATTATTCTGTTTTTGATGAACAACTTATTTTTCCAATTTGTCTAAAATTTCAGCATTATCATTACTTTTCAGATTCAATAAATTTTCTAAGTCTTAATTTTTTTGTTTTAACAATTCATTCTCATTTAATAGGTCCTCTGCTTCATTTTAAGTATCTAAATTCTATTCCAATTCTTAAATTCTCATATTTGATTTTATTATTTGTGATTCAAAAGATTCTACTTCTGATTAATAATACTTATTTTAATTAAACAGATTTTAAATATGTTCCTTCAGTTAATTTATTTCTATCACTTTTTGATTGATTTCTTCTTCTAATTCTCCTATTTTTTCTTATAATTTGTTTCTCTACTGACAAAGTTTTGAATTTTCATTTTCTAATTATGTTAAGGCTGATAACTTTTCTGCATCTTTTTTTTGTATTTCTTTTTATTTATTTTCCTTCTCTAGAGTATTTATTTTTATTAGATTCTCTTCGTGCATCCTTGTTAAATCATCATTTTCTATCTGACATTTTTATAATTCTTCTGAAATTTCTTTAATTTATTTTTATAATTGAAAGACATGATTTTTTAATTTAGAGTTTTCAGTTTAATATTCTTTATTTTCAGTTTTTAATTAATTTATTAATTTTTCAAAATCTTTAATTTTTAAATTTTACTTTTCTAGTTTGTTTAAATACTATAATATCTCAGCATCTTTTTCTTCATTCGTCAAATTTAATTTTTCTATTTACTAACTCAGTTCTTCTATTTTATATTCAAATTCAACCAACTATGATTATTAATCTGATAATCTCATATTCTCCTATCTCAACTAATTTAATTCAGCCTCTTATTATTTAATTTTCTAGCTTTTAATTTCTAGAACTTTAAATCCTTCAGCATGTTGTTGTTTTAATTCTTGATTATTCTTTTTAATTATCATAAGCTCTTCATTAATTTCTTCAACATCTACTTACTAATTTGAAAGTTTTTCATTTTATTCCTATAATTCGATTACCTTCCTTTCATAATCTTTAATCTCTTTTTCAAGGTAATTTGTTTTGGAATTATTCTAATGTTCCACTTTTAATTCATTAATTTTATCTTTAAAAAGCTTCAATTATTATTTTAAATCAAGATTCTGAATTTTCTATTCTTAGATTATCATTTATAGATTTTCATTCTCTTTTTCGTAAGATGCTTCTTTCTAAAATTCCTTTGCTTGCTATTTTAATTTGCCGTTTTCTTCTTCTAATTAACTTATCTCTTAGACAAGTTAATTATTAAGATTTTCCAAGTGCTGTAATTTTTCCTATTCTTGTTAATTTGTCTTTTTCTTTGATTCTCCAATTTAGATTTGTAATGTGTGTATTTATTTATCTTTTCCTTATAATTGTAACTGTAAAATTTGAATTTCTTGATTTTTTTATGATTCAATCTATTAATCAATAGAATTCATACATTATTGCATTTTTTTATTAATTCATTCAATTTAGAAGTCTGCTGCTAGAGTTTTAATTTTACCTCTTCTGTATTTCTCTCTGACTCTTATATTCTTTCTTATAATTAACGAGTTTCAGCATCTCTTTCTTCTAGTTTTATTGTCAAATCCTTAATAATATATTTTTAGCTTACGTTCATTTCATTGTTTTTCTAATTTGTCATGTTTTGTAAATCAAGAGCTTTATAGAGGTTTTCCCTTTCATTTTCAAATCTAATTTCAATGGATTCTATTTCTCTTTAATATTATTCAATTATATCTTCATATTTCTTTCTTATTTAGGCTTATTCCTATTAAGATTGTCTAGATAAATGGGCTTAACGATATTAATATTCTTTAAGATTTGCAAAATATTTCTCCTTCCATTACGACAATTCCTTATTCAAAACTGATATTTCTTCTTTATAATTGTCTTCAATATTTTAGACTTCATTCATTTCCAGAACAAATTATTTGATTTGAGACTATTAATAGGAGATCTCCTTGTCTCTAGCCTTTAGTTTTGCATCTTAGGAATCTATTCTGAATTATAATTCATCAATTTTCTTTTTCAGGTAAGAAACATCATTTTCTTTTGTTATGATAAAGCTCCCACTAGTTTTAGTTGAAATTTCATATGACTTATTATTAACATAGTATGGTTATCTAATATGTTTTAGTCAAATACCTGGAATTTCCTCTTTTTATGGAATCACCCCTAATTCGGATATCATTAGCTTCTCTAATCCCCACTGAAAGATCTTAAGAATTATTTTTCAGATGGCTTTCAAATAATAACTTCCTTCTATCCATTTAATTTGAATTATTATATTTTATATCAATTTAATTTAAGAATATAATTGCATTAGCATTTAATAAATTTGACGTAGAATAATGAAGTATCATAATCTTAAAACGTGTCTACAAGCTATATATCATAAATCAGATCTTAATTTCGTCATCTATAAAATCTCAAACATTTATAATTAAGAAAAGAATTAAAGAAAATTATTTAATTAAATAATTGTAATGTTCAACATGTTTTTTAAATAATAAACTGAATTCGAGAAAGCCTTATCAAATAGCTCAATTTTAAATAATAAACCCTCATTGAGTATTGCAGACTTGAAATATCTGATCTAAGGGTTCCCTTAACAATCTCAATCAATGAGTCGAACCCCTTAATCAATAAAGAAGACTTTTTAAACATTTTTTTAAGCCTTACCGGAAAAGACTTCCTTTCGAGTAAAACTGAAAGTTTTGGCCACTTGCCATGTCCTATTAGAAGATGGTATACATGGATAGTAATTTTCTGAATCCCTTCTAATTTGGAATGGTTTTCGGATTAAGTAAAATAATATAAGCAATATAGGATTTTAGAGATAAAAATCAAGATCAGGAGAAATTCGTTTAAATGTATTAGGAAATGCTAAAAAGATTCGCTTATGGATTTGATTTACTGAGGATAGCAAAATCACAATAAATAAATTCTTTAAATAGTATTATTTATTTCTAATTAAAGTAATTACTATTGATTGCACTTATTATTACAAGGCTATTAATTTATTAAACCATATTTTCAGTTATTCGTAGGTATACTAATTTAGGATTATTTTTAGTTTATTAATTATGTTTTTGAGACAGTCTAAGAATTGATTGTTGGTGAGATTTTACTATTAATTTGGAATGATGTTATAGCAACATATTTATTTATTGAAAAGTAATAATTTAAGTAAATTTTTAGAATCATATTTTAATTCCTTTTAGATTATTAAATCATCTAAGCATCAATTTTCTTTTAATTATATGGCCTTATTCCAGAATTTATTAGATTAACATCTTAAATCTAAAAATTTTATGATTAAAATAAAAATTACTTGATTTTAAAATAATTTAAGGCACCTGCATGGAAAATAATTGATTAAAAGCTGTTGTAAGATTTAGAAAAATATAATCAACAATTAAAACTTTAAAATGCAAAAGATAGACTGACTAAAAAATAATGTTCAAAAGCATCTTCCTTAAGTACACTTTACTCTACCCCATAACACTAAACAGCAAAGTCATTTTTATTTGGAAACACTACTTTTGGTTATATTAAAAGATTATCAACCCTAAATGATCCTTTTGATGATAATGAAGAGATGGCATAAGGTTATAAAATTTGATTAAATGAAATAAATAAGTATGCTTTTCACTTGTAACTCTTTTATTTTATCTCAGGTATTGCAAAATTATTTTTGACAACTAATTTATTATTTTTTGCATAGGTTATAATTTATGGTCCTTGGTAAGTTTTCTGTAGTTCAAACTATTTTTTTGAATTTAAAGTGGAATTAGCTCTTGTTGAATTTGAACTTGTGATCTTTGGTTAAGTTAATAAACCTGACTATCGTTGTTTAACAGCCTATTGACCAACGATGTTAAGATCAGATACTTTTTTATCTTAAGTCTTTGTCATTTACCAGCCGTTTGCAACCTGTGGATTCTCACTTATTTTTAATTAAAGAGGTTCCTTTTTTCCTATCCTTATTTCCTTTTAATAGTTTCTTAATTATTTAATAAACCCATAATTAGGTTATATAACGCTTCTCTTCTTTCTTACGAAATTAAAAGCTTCTTAAAAGCCTAATCCTTTTGTTTTCATTAAATACGCTATCACTACTGAAGCAGACCTGGAGACACCTGCAGCACAATGCACCAAAACCGATCCTCTTTTTAAACCTTCAATTATTTAAGTGATAGTGTCTTAAAATAATCTACCAATATTTGCAGTTTCTGAATCTAGGATATGATATACCTTTCTGTATTTAGATTTACTACCTTATGATTTATCCCAGGCTCTCCGTAAGCTACATCTAAGCCAGTTGCAACAGTTAACACTGTTTTAATACCTTTTGAATCAAGCAATGTCCTATCTAAGGCTGCAGTAAAATCACCAAGCCAGAGAATATTATCACCTTCTTCTAAGATTGGATTCATTTATTGATAACTGGAATCAAATAATCTAAACATCTTTGATTATTTATTTTATGATTATAATTAAATGTCATTTGGGATTATATGAAAACAAGTTGAATGATGTATAGATTTCTTACTTAAAACACAAGCATTGAAACTCATCTTAAGGTTCTCCTTTAGAACAACCTTTTTATATAAATATCATATATTCGTTTCGATTAGAAGAAAATATCACTGAAAATCATACATGGANTGTAAGATTTAGAAAAATATAATCAACAATTAAAACTTTAAAATGCAAAAGATAGACTGACTAAAAAATAATGTTCAAAAGCATCTTCCTTAAGTACACTTTACTCTACCCCATAACACTAAACAGCAAAGTCATTTTTATTTGGAAACACTACTTTTGGTTATATTAAAAGATTATCAACCCTAAATGATCCTTTTGATGATAATGAAGAGATGGCATAAGGTTATAAAATTTGATTAAATGAAATAAATAAGTATGCTTTTCACTTGTAACTCTTTTATTTTATCTCAGGTATTGCAAAATTATTTTTGACAACTAATTTATTATTTTTTGCATAGGTTATAATTTATGGTCCTTGGTAAGTTTTCTGTAGTTCAAACTATTTTTTTGAATTTAAAGTGGAATTAGCTCTTGTTGAATTTGAACTTGTGATCTTTGGTTAAGTTAATAAACCTGACTATCGTTGTTTAACAGCCTATTGACCAACGATGTTAAGATCAGATACTTTTTTATCTTAAGTCTTTGTCATTTACCAGCCGTTTGCAACCTGTGGATTCTCACTTATTTTTAATTAAAGAGGTTCCTTTTTTCCTATCCTTATTTCCTTTTAATAGTTTCTTAATTATTTAATAAACCCATAATTAGGTTATATAACGCTTCTCTTCTTTCTTACGAAATTAAAAGCTTCTTAAAAGCCTAATCCTTTTGTTTTCATTAAATACGCTATCACTACTGAAGCAGACCTGGAGACACCTGCAGCACAATGCACCAAAACCGATCCTCTTTTTAAACCTTCAATTATTTAAGTGATAGTGTCTTAAAATAATCTACCAATATTTGCAGTTTCTGAATCTAGGATATGATATACCTTTCTGTATTTAGATTTACTACCTTATGATTTATCCCAGGCTCTCCGTAAGCTACATCTAAGCCAGTTGCAACAGTTAACACTGTTTTAATACCTTTTGAATCAAGCAATGTCCTATCTAAGGCTGCAGTAAAATCACCAAGCCAGAGAATATTATCACCTTCTTCTAAGATTGGATTCATTTATTGATAACTGGAATCAAATAATCTAAACATCTTTGATTATTTATTTTATGATTATAATTAAATGTCATTTGGGATTATATGAAAACAAGTTGAATGATGTATAGATTTCTTACTTAAAACACAAGCATTGAAACTCATCTTAAGGTTCTCCTTTAGAACAACCTTTTTATATAAATATCATATATTCGTTTCGATTAGAAGAAAATATCACTGAAAATCATACATGGATACTCAAATTAGATAATAATAAAATAATTTAGTTAAAATTATAATTTATTAGAGAGGAATATAATAAAATAAATCTATGAGTCAATATTTATGTAAAACTTAAGTGTTTAGCAATTTTATTGATTTTGTAAAACAATTTTTATTGCAAAAATACAATTGTTCAAAAGCAAAAATGATGATTTCTACTTTACTTTATTTTTAATGTTCCACCATTTAGAAGTCAATTTTCTTTGTTAAATTAAAGGAATGTGATGAATTCAAATTAGGAGCCTTGATAAGAAATTATTTACTATAAATATATAAATCATTAATTAATATATAGTATATTTGCATAATAAAATAAATTAAAATTCATAAATCATAAATCATTTGATCGATATTCCATTGATAGATGAGATATTATCATTTGACAACTATAAATTTGATTACTTTCAATTAATTTTTCCATTAAAAACTTAATACCGCGAAGATTATTGAATACATAAAGAATAATTATTCGACTAATTGAGAATATAATAAATAATAAATCATTTCTTTAATGGAAATTTTAACTACATCTAACCAAATCAATGAATGTAAGAATAATGAGACGATAAAAGGAACAAAATAATTTCGCTCTAAAAACTCCTAACAAGATAATTAAAAAGAAAAATCCTAGCCTGAATGCAAAAAAGATTCAGAAGGAACTAATTAAGGGAATGTATCAAGTTTAGTATAAATTAATAGAGTAAGGCAATATAAAAAAAAAAGAGCGATGAGTGTGATGCTAATACAATTATAAAAAACATAGTATGTTTATCTTTAAGTATTGTTAATGAAGAACTTTAATTTAATTGTTAATAACAGATTTAGTAAGAATAAATTTCTGAACATCGTAAAGTTTTATAAATTTGTGATTAAGGCGATATTGACTCGTTTTAATTACCCCCAACAGACTAATAATTTCCTTAATAAAAATAAAAATCTCATAAAAAAGCAAAGAATAGAAAGAATAAAACAGATCCCTAGTCAAGAATATCAAAAAATTAAACACTCACATAAAAATAATAGCCTCAATAACCTCCAATTCAATAGCAATCTAAAGAAAAACAAATGAATTAACTTTCTCCTTAAGAGTCTAATAAAATAAAACAGTAGATAGCATAGTAGAAGACAAGAAAACAGCCTAGTATCACTTAGATAGAAAAGTGCGAATAGGAAAATAAAAAAGATTCTGCTGACTTTGATGCTTAATTTAGTCATGTACTTTATTAATAGTATTTTAGATTGGAGCAAGAAGCACAACTGCTGGAAATTCTTAATCTGAATCAGATGATTGTTTTTAATAATCAGATGAAAATAAATAAAGTGCTTAAAAATTATCAAGCAGAGATAAACCAAAGAAAAAAAGCTATAATAATAATGGAGAAAAAGTTGGTGATAAATAATATCCTCATTCCACATAAACAACACCAATTAAAAGAAAAAAGTTAAATTTAACAAAATCCAAAACCCACGATATTGATGAATTGTCAAATACTATTCTATAAAAAAGCTATCAAAATAGAATCAGAAAATAAATTTGCTTGAATAGACTTAATTATCTTATCTATACTAATTTCCATCTCAATATGTATCCTTATGGATCCTTCGAAACTGGATTAGATTTAGAAATAAGTGATGTAGATGTTGGTGTTTGGGGATCTTAAAACTTAAGCTATGCTTAGATAGTAAGTTTCTTATAACTTTTAAATAATACCTTAAAGCAGACACCCTTTTTAATTAAATCAAAGTAAGAAATATAATTATAACAATTTAGATTGATTCAAGGCCAAATGCCAATATTGAAATTAGAATTAAATCCAAAATCAAGTTTTTATGATGAAGATTTACACATTCAATAGAACTGGTCGTATTTTCATTTAGATCAAAATGATTAAGGTATAATTATAATAGTAATACTTTAGGAAGAACTATTTAGGTGGATATGACTTGGATTTATTAATCGAGTAATGTATATAATAATCCTCATTTGGGATTTGCCTCAACAACTATTGTTAAAGATTGGATTAATAGATTTGTTTGGTATAGAGATATTATGTTAATTCTAAAACATTTAGTTAAATCGAAAAATTTAAATGATGCACACACAGGTATTAAATTCATATCTATTTTAATAGGTGGAATAAGCTCCTTTTGTTTATCAATAATGTTAGCTGCAATCTATATGTGTAAGCATTACACTCAAAATGATAAGAAATAAATTCTTCTTGACTTTTTAAAGAAGTATGGTACTCAATTCGATCCATTAAAAGAGGGCATTTACATTGACAGTTATGGGTATGCTATAAGTCTAAATTAGTTAACAACATCCATTTATAGCTTTGGAAGAATGTCCTCCTTATAATCCTCTCACAATTTATTCACCTATCAATTATTAAATAATTTCTCAAAAAGCTCATAGATTTTTAGAAATCTAAGAAGAATTTAAATAGTTCTATGAACACTTGACTAAATCTAACAAAATTTAAGAATACTTTGATTTCCCTTAATAAGTGAATTAACCATTATTTATATGATTATATTGTGACTTATATTTATAATTGTAATCAGTATTCATCTAAAGCTTTATGAGTTTTTGAAAAGGCAACACTTGTATTTAAACCATCGAATTTATAAGTGTTTCCTAGAAATCCTTAAGTAAATTTAGCATCTCTAGGATAATACTTTTCAATTAATTCAAATTTAGTAGGATTCAATTGCCCATATTGCATATTCGAAGTTTCATATATAGGTAGGCCTATATAAATAATTCAAACTTCATAGTACCAACATTGAGTCCTAAAGGTGGTTTTTTATACTAATCTTCTTATACAGGAAAAGGTTTTGGAGGTACTTTATTATCGATTTTTCTTCTTTGTTTCTCTTCTTCAGTTTCCTTCTTTTAAGATTCCAGGGTAATCTGTTATGCGACTAATTTGTTTTTTATCAACTTCTCTGCTCGTTTGAAATCCTAATACTGTAAATTAGCTGAATTACTTGCATGCTTCTAACGATTTCTGCATAAGTTGGAACTGGAGCTTCATTCAGGTTGATTTACTATTATCCTTAATGTAATAACCAACCTTATCCATATTATGAATTGCAAGTTCTATATTATGCGGAATTAGATCTAGTGGACTACATGTAATTAATTATAAAATATAAGAGAAAATTGGTTAAACCTGAATTATTAACAATACAAAAATGATTATTTAAATTTAAAATTGTACAAAGAAAAAGTTGCTTAATTTATATAAAAAAGGGTATTTCCCTTAGATTTACACCTCTGTAGTTCTCTTATATTTTTATAAGAAAACAGAAGATCTTATTTGTTTTGGATGTTTTATAATACTTACATCAGAATAAATTCGTCATATATTTAAATTAAATTATTTTACAATGATTGAATAATTACCAACGATCTCACTTTGTGAATCAACTCTGTTAGAATAACCTCTTCTTTCGTCATAATAATCTTATACTGAGAAAAAATGTGGTAGTCGGTTTTAATTTGTTAAATGTGAATAAGAAGATAAGCAATATTAAGCAGAAAATAATAGAAATAGGATTAAACAATAACTAAAAGGTATAGCATATAGTCGAATGTTAGGAAGACTGTAACTAATAATAAAAAAACCATCATATTATGAGAAGAATTCGTAAGAGGAACTTTAGGAATTAGGATAGAAGCTAGATGTTGAATTTAGTGATCTAGACTCTTTATACATTTGTGCTGACACAAAAAAATTCGATTAAGAATATGAGATCATGGAAATTCTAGGTGAGGGTTGTTTAGGATTAGTAAAAAGGATTGTAAATAAGCAGACAAAAGAGGAATATGCAGTTAAAATAGTTTAAACATAGGACGATGAGATTATACGAAATGTAAAATAAGTAGTATATTTAGATGATAATCGAATTTAAATCACTTTAAAAGTTAAATCATGATAATATTGTCAAGGTTCATCGTTTATATATTGATTATAATAATGGATTCTAATCTGAAAGTAAAGCTTATGCTATATTGGAACTGGTCAAAGGATAAGAAATGTTTGAAGTAATTAATAAATTAGGACATTATTCTGAAAGTGTTGCTAAGGAACTGTTCAAACAATTATTGAGTGCAATTGAATATATGCATAGAAATGGAATTTGTCATAGAGATTTAAAACCAAATAATATTTTATGTGTGGAAAGTATTTTTAATTGTTTATTAGATAAACATTAGATAAAAGTGACTGATTTCAATGTGAGCAAATTTAGCGATACTTATAAAGAATTTGGAGATTTGAAGGATAGAGAAAAAATTGAAATGTGGACTTATACTGGAACTGTAGCATTTTCTGCGCCAGAAATATTTACAGGAGAAGGTTACAAGTAATAATTTTCTATAATTTCTATTTACAAAGTTAAATGGTTGATATGTGGAGTGCAGGATGTGTTTTATATTCGATGCTATCGGGATAATTACCATTTATTTCAGAATAGTAAATGAATAATGTTATTTAGTTTAAATGACTTGATTGAATAAATTAAAGAAGCATAAATTTAATTTCCTGATGAATTATTTAAATAAGTTTCAAAAGAAGCCAAAGATCTAGTATCCTAGTTGTTACAAAAGGATTCTTCTTAAAGACTTTAACCTGATGCAGCCTTAAAGCATCCATGGTTTGAAAATTTAGTCCTTGAATAAGAAATAGAACCATTTTTAAATTTAGCAATCTTAAACAACATTCCTAGGTTATCCTCAAAATATTCAAGGAATAACTAAAAATCTAGAAGCATCCTTTTAAAATCCTCATAAAATATATTATCATAAAATACTGACAAATCAAATCTCTTGCAATCTGAATATACTTGCAGTCCTGCAAAATTTACAAGTAAAAAAAATAATTTTTTCTCAAATTCTGTTTTTGAAAGTCAATTAAATAATTAAGGTGGAATCCAAAATGATAATACCTCAATTACAGATTTTGCCAATTTGTAATTAATTAAAAACACCTCAAACATTAGCGAAGATATTTCTGATCTTTAATATGTAAAACTGGAGTAATTTATCGTTTACAAGAAAAATGAAAATTAAAATTTAGAAACCCAACAATCATGATAAATATTATATAATTACACTTTTCTATTTATTAATTTATTAGAATTATTTCATTTATTTGTTTGATTAACTTAAGAATTCTTTTTAAAGTTCCACTGTTTTACTTAATAAATTGATCCAGTCTGCATTTCTTATTTATAATACAAATTTCTCATGATTTATAAAAGAATATCATCACAAAATTTGAAATAATAAGAAGAATTTAAAAATATTAAAATATAATTTTATTTATTGGTTAAATAATAAATAGATGAATTCAATAGAACGAAATGGGGTGGATTTCATATAATTATTTTCAATTGAATCTCTGATTGGAAATATTATGAAATTCATTTAGCCCCTAAATCTTTTAAAACTGGATATTAATTGCATATGTCACGTATCATTATAGTGTATAATAAAATTGACACTGTTTGATTTTAATAATATTATTTTTATTATATTTCAACTCTAACTTTTGATGTAAAAGTAGATTCCTGCGGATACTAAACCTGAAAGTGCGATTAAGGCAATTCCATATTTTGGATGATAAAATAACCAAGCAAATGCTATGGTTAAGAGTGAAAATGGAATTGATATAATAAAGCTGACCAAAAAGAAAATAAATCCTGTAATAGAAGCTAAAAAGTTTCCTACTAATGGGAACCATGAAACCAACCATGAGATTGGAGAGAATATCAAACAAAATCCAATTCCCTAAAAAATTAATCATATTAATTACCATCAATATATAACCACCAATTCTTTATGCCCATGTGATACATGCATTTTCTTCTGCTTTTTATTTAAATACCTAGTTTTATGTCATAATTGTTTCAAAGATCCAATCTATTTAAGTAAGAGGCTTCTCTAGTGCTCTACATAATTTGCAACAGAAACAACAGCATGTGGTACATGATAAAGACATATCCTCCAAATTCTCATCTCTAGCCAAGGTCTATTCAAATTTATCGTGAATAACAAATGGTGTGAATGTATCGTTATATTGTTGAGAAACTACAGTTGCAGGACCAGTTCTGGCAGCATCAAATGAGACTCTCAAATCATTCATGGAGACAGTTCCTCTATTTTATTAGAAATATATATATTGACCATTTGCTTCGCTAGAATATAGATAATTTTATACTAATTCTAAAACCCTTTTGAAAATCCATAAAAGTTTGAAACTGCTTATGCATTATTAACAGCCATTGGAATACTTTCGCGCGCATTTGTTTGTTCTGCCAAAGACTTACTCATTAAATAAGCCCCGATACGAACATTCAAATTGACTTGGGTCTCTTATTCTACAATCCATTTAGATTTATCATTGTAATGTCCATCTCCACAATCCGAATGGAAAGTTGAACTCCATTCTTAAACATAATAATAAACAGTTCTTTTATTTTCTTCTCTTGATTTGCGTACCCATTAGTACATTTCAACTGTCCTGACAAGTTTAATACAATCCTTCATAGACAAACCAAAAGCTGCGTCTACAACAAGATCACTAGTTTTACTCTCACCTAAAATTTATTAGTTTCTATATTACCATTTGTGTGAACCAACTAATGATTGGTATTAGGATTTACTTCTGCTGAGTTGACTGATGTACACTATTTCTTTGCTTAATCTAATCTGTATTCAGTAATTGCTTATCTAATATTGTTATGTGATAAATAAATACCTTCTCTCATTGTACCATAACATAGCAAATGCCCCAAAAACACACAAGAATCCAATGATAACAGCTGTGATTGGGTTCCCTTTTGAATGGCTCGAATACAAATGCTTATTCTAGGGCTCTAACTGTATTGTTATTTAAATACCTTCAATGTGTCCTCTCAAATGATTGATTGCATCACAGGAAGAGATAAGTAAAGCAAACAATGTAAACACAACTATGCCATGATTTGACTAAGTCAATCTTAACATTATATAAATTAAATAATAATATTGCCATTCTAATGATTTGAGTATATAAATATTGCAATAAATTTTAATAAAACATACTGAATAAATTAAATCTTTCATCGAAGTTAATTAAGCTTAATTAAATTATTAAATGAATTTTTTAGTTAATAAAATAAATTGATAAATTATTCTAGATTGTATATTAATAGATCTATTAAAACTTTTGAAATATTTCAGCACCTTATTAAATTATATATATATATAAACTATGTAGCTAAAACTTGAAAATATATACTTTTTTAATATACTAGTTATCAAACTTAACCCATGGCAATACCATAACCAAACTTATAGGAATCCTTGTGGTAATCTGCAATTGCACATAATTTTAATTGATAAGCGAATCCTTACAAAGTTAAGGCAGAACTGAACTTCATCTTTGAATTTACAGTGATTATGACTTCAGAAGTGGCAAACTTTTGTCTGTAGCCCTTAAAATGATTTAATAAATTCTATTACAAGTATAGTTCTGGATTCCCCTGATTAATTTGAGTATTCAAGTTCTGACATGAAGTAAGCTTTGTCCAAGAGCTAATTTAAATACAGTCAAATACTCTATGGTTGTAGGCTAGAATTAATTAATCTGCAGCTCCAACATATTGGGCATACAAATTCTACTTTTGGCTTATTCCAAACTTAAAGGCATAACTCATCAATGACATGTTTCTTTCAGTCTATTTTATTTTAATTTTATACCAATGTCATCATTTCATATCCTAGTACCACTCTCTTTCCGATGGTTTACATCATATTGAAACTGTATAATCCTGTGCCCAATTTAATGGAGTGAACATAATCATCTCCAGTTATGTCGCAATCAAAATGGACTTATGCATTATTTGGACTAGAATCTAAATAGAATGCGCTGAATCTATTTTAATGATAGAAATTTGTAGATGTACCTAAAATTAAACATTTCATTCAATTTCTTTATAATGGCAGCTTCCAATTTACCAGTAGAGTCCCATCTTCCTGTCATGATATATGAAGGCTGATCAAATGGAGTTCTCAACTCTCCTCCTAAATATTGAGCAGCTAGAGTGTAACTTGGAACTGGAGGTTGTTTCATAGGATTTGGATTAGGTGCCTTGCCTTTGCTCTATAATTTTAGATGTGTTCAAATACTGATGGTGGAATCATCCAGGAATGAGCTAAATGAAAATTACTGGATAATCCTCCAGCTACTTCGAATTTAAATCCTTTGATATGTTCTACTTTTTTTGTAACAGCCCTAACATTGTTCAATAAACCATCAAAAAGTGGTGGTCTTCTTGGGTAACGATTTCTAAATTAAGGTGGTAAACTCATTTCTTCCTCATCATTTATTTTGAGATGTGGATCTTGTTAGGCAAATGCTGGATTATCCATGTCAACCTATTCTTTGTTGATTGCTGCCATTATTAATTTTTAATTAATTTATTATGAATTAACATGATCACAATTCTAATCAACAAAATCTCCTTAAAACTACTTAATTTTGATCAAGGGTAGCCTTATAAATAGCAAACCATATCCTTAAGATTCGCTCTACAATAGTCATACTTCTTGCCACTTTAAAAACATCTCTAAATTCAATCTAATATCTGAACAAGAACTAAAAATACAATTTAGATATTGAGAAACTATAAGCAGAAGGTGGTTTTGAATATTGGGAAAAATCATAATTGGAATTTTACTATTAAATTTCATTTAAATAAGTAAAAACCAAAAAAAAATCAGATACTTTCAACTCAACTAGTATATTCTTACATCTTCATCTCATTGTTAGAAATCTCAACCAAGACTCTTATGACTCTCATGATGCTTCCTAGTATTAGAAAACTTTCTCTAAACATTTGAAATATAACTCAATCTATTGATTTAACATTAGAAGATCACCTTTTTTATGTAATTGAAAAAAAAATGTAATTGTTTAATATTTGAGTATTCCTAAAGTTGGTATTGTGCTGAATGCAAAAATAGAGAAGTGGCAATCCTTAATAAAGTATATTAAGTTGTAAAAAAAAAAGAAGCTAATTTAGAAACTAGAAACATTATAACCAATTCTTAACTCAGATTGGTATAGGCACAAATATCTTTGGTATTAAATGGGCAAAAATATTGTAAAAAGAATAGAATTTTAATAAGAATAACTAAAACAACAATAAAAGTTGAAATAGTAAATATTTGAATATAATCAAAAATTTAGTAAAATTAAGTACGCATTAACTAAAAATATACTGTTCTCAATGCCTTTAAGAATTACCTTTATAATGAGTAGTAGCAACTATATTTATTGCTAAAGCAAAAGTTGATTTTTCTATATTGGAATAATTTATTTGATTTAAAATAATAGAAACATAATTAAAAATATATTTAATCATGGGACTTTGCTTAAGGTCTTTAGCTCTTTTATTAAAGGTAAAATATTCTTTCCTTCTTTCTAATGTTCTTAAATTTTTTAACTTGCCCACATCAAGAAAATTTCATCCTCTTTTTCTATTTTTCTTTATTTCTCCTCTTATTAATCTAATTATTCAATATACTCTTTTTCTCTTATAACCTATTAGAGATTAAGATGACAATAATACTTTCTTTTCATCAATTTAGTTTTATTAGAATCTTGCATTTTAAACTCTTCTCTCTCTTTATGCAGTAGTTTCAGCTCTTTCTATTTCTTCTAATTCTTTGCCTCTTTTTTCCCAGTAAGTCTGAAACTCTTTTTTATGATAATCAACAGCTAAATATTAATTAATATAGAATACATTTAGATTCTGTTTCTTTTACTTCATCTTTGATCTTTCTACTATAATCAATTGCTCTACACATTTATTCTCTCTTCTGCTTTTTTATTTTTTCTACTTCTTCAGCTTTAACTTGAGCTTCTATAATTTATTTATTTAAATGTTCTTCCTAGGCTTTCTTCAATACCTCTAACTATTATATCTATCGATCAATCAATTTTTGTCTCTATTATTATTTTTCATGAAATTTTAAGTCCTCCCTCACTTTTCGCATCTCAGCTATTCTTTGTTTCTTTTCTGCGTGTTACCTTATCTTTTCATCTTCTTCCTTCTCTTTAATTTTCTATTAAATCTTGAATTCTTTTAGTTAATCATTCGCCAACTACACTAATCTCTGATTCTCCAATATCTTTTCCTATTTTAGTCTTTATATCTTTTAATCCTCTTCCAATGCATCCTTAACCTTTTACTTAATCAATTCTCCTTCAATTCTTTCTTCTTTTAATTTAGTCAGATATTTCTCTTTCATTTCTTCATGTTATCTAAATATATGTTATCATACTTATGTAGCATATCCTTTTATTCCTTCTTCTTTTATTGTAGTAATTTCTATTTCACAATTTACTTTTAATCATATTCATCTAATTATTCTTCTATAATTTGTTGATAGATCTCCTCCTATTATTTCAAAAGTTCTTTCTTATATTTCTCCATAATAATTTATTCATCTCTCTCTTGCAATACATCAGAAAAAAGCATTTTCCCATGAAATGCCTTTATCCTATCACCATCTTCATAAATTTATATGTTCGCCTTTTACAAAGTTATTTTCTTCTGTTCCTTCTAAAAAATCTCCTCTTCAACATCAATTTACCTTCTCTCTTCCTCTGCTGCTGTGAATTTTTCAAATCTATGCTAATCTCTTTTTTATTTATAAGCTGCTATAGTCGTTGGCCAACGCTTCATCCTTTCTTCAGAAATTGCCTTCCTAAAAATGAAAGCAAGTTATACATTCTCATTTTATCCAGTTACCGTTCTTCTGTTGCCAAATTCCCTCCCTTAAGTTTTCCTCTTATATGATTGATTTCAGAAAGTGGTATTAGGGTTTGGGTTTATGTTTTTGAAAATTGATTTTATTGCTACCCTCTCGATGTATTTGATAACATTTATTATAATGTGTTATTTATTAAACTTAAATTTTCAAGAAATTTCACAATCTATTGATTTTTTGACATTCATCACATGGTTTACTTATGAGTAAGAAAACATTTATGAAGGTATATAATTAATCAACTATTAAAATTGTACATTTATTAATTTACTTACATCTTTGACTATCGATTCACTATCATCTATCGGCATCAGTTTAAGAATTCAATTTCAAAAAAATAATGAACCTATAATTCAATTAATATCCTCCCTATTTGAAGATATAAATTATAATTGTATTTCACTGTTAAACATAAAGTGTATAATTTCATTCAATATTTTAGTAGTTTTTAATCATTCTCAGATAATAGAAAAGATCAATCAATTTCATAGCTAAAGTTGTATTGAACACACACGCTCGACTCATGCTTTATTTGTTATTTTATTCCATATCTATTTAAAAAATGAAAAAAATACGTTAAATTTAGATTAATTAGATTCTATTTAGAATGAATAAAGTAAAGATTCGATTAGTCCAGGTTTAAACACTAAAATAATTAAGATTAATTGAAATATTTAAGAATTGAATAAGAAATGATTCCAATATATCAATAAAATATTATACTATAAATTTAGCATAACTGAGTTTTATAATGGCTAATTTAAAATTAACTTACAAAAATAAAATTAGATTTATGAATATATGTTATTTATATATTTATTATTCCTGTTATCTTTCCATCTTCCATCTTAGAGTTGTTTGGTTCGATAATTAAATACTCCTTAATCTTATTATTCACTTTAACCCATCAAAAAGGTTCCTATTCTTTTATGTCTTCTTTATATTTATAAAATTTCAAAGAGACTAATTTACTCTCTTGAGGATATTTCATTAATTCATCTCAAAAGTATTTTATTCTTGTACTAATCCCCATAGTATTGACTCTTATTCTCCAAAATATACAATACCATTTATCAATCCCTATTCTTCCTTGTATATCTTTTATACTATATTTCGTTCAATATAAGAGAAATCTGAATTGTAAGAGAAAAGTATAAATAAATCAATATACTTTTTGGTACATAGTATTGATACGGTAAAGAATAATAATTTGATGAGTTTAAAGGATATTTTCAAGTTTCTATTATTTAATAAATTCTAAATTATAAATGGATATGATTCATATAAAAATCATTACTTTAAATTTGTGAATCTTTCTTTTAATAAATGCTTTAAATCATCTATTTCTTTTTTGTATTTATCTTGGTAGATCTCAATCAGTTGATCAATACTATGACAACTAAGTTCTTCTGTTTTCCTTTCCAATATCTCAGTTGATTTTTGCATCAAATTTTCTGGCCTGCCTTGTTTATTCGAAGGTGATTCGTCTTCCTGCATATTAGTTTAACTTACATTTTATAATTTGGTTAAATGGTCTCTAAATTCTTATCCCCAAGCAAGTACGAATGCCCAACTTACGAAATGTTTATGTTTATTAATATCATATAAGTCATCTTCAACAGTAATGTCTTGAACAGTCCTCTCAGGTTAATCTAGCTGCTTATGCTTATTATTAAAGTATAAATTATCTTCATCAGAGAGGTCTTGACCAAAATTCTCAAATAAATCAAAATTTTTTTGTCTTTTAATATCATATAAATCATCTCCAGGAGGTAAGTCTTGATTAGAACTCTGTAGTTAATCTGTTAATTCAAGGAGGTTTTTCAAAGTTCCTTAGAAATCTTGATGTATGATGGGAGTTAACAACTTCATTTTCGAGTTTGAGTTTTATTAATTGAAAGCAGTATCATCAGAAGTATTGTTTCCGAAAATAAAATAATTCATCTGCTACTTTTCGCCAATCAATTCGATTGATAAATGTTTTTCAAGTTTTTTTAATAATTCAGTTTATAGCTCCTAAATATTTAAATATAATCAATAATTACAGTAGCCTTTTCTATAAATATTTGTCTTCTAAGTTTGAAGTTATTAAAAGAAATATCTGATTAGTTTTCAGGCCAGAAAGAATTTTTTAGTTTATTTGCTGATTAACCACTGAGACACTTGAATAAAATTTGACATTTGCTTGCTAGTATTCTAACAATTTCTCTTGTTTCATTGTCTGTAAACCAGTGCTATTTGTAATTATTGTTTTATGATTTTTGTTCGATTGAAGGTTGAGGTGACTAAGAAGATCATTTTATAGTTTTTTACTTTATATTTAGGAGGTCTTCCTCTTTGTTTATTAGAAGAAGGTTTCTTTTATTATTTATTTGATTATATTTTTGGTTGTTTTCCCATGTTTATTTATTAAAATTATCATTTTATAAAGGTTATTGATAATTTTTTAATTATTGCAATCAGATAGAATTAATAGATTATGAAAAAGAGAGACTTATATTTTATATTAGAAATAAAGTTTCAATAAATCAAAATTTGAAAAGAGTTCATTAAATTTGAAAATGATTCAAAATCTAATATTAGATGTTAGGCTTCCATGTGACACAAAACTGGTTTGATTTTTTCTAAAATTTAATGGTCAACGTCTAAGTTTATAAAATCAGTGGAGATTTGTCCATCCTTATCATTATCAAGTTAATTAAATATTATCCTTAATATATCTTGATTCTGTTTAAATTATATCCTCTGTTATGCGAACTCAAATATCTTTTTTCTCTGAGGTATACCAATCATCTATGCTAATTCATAATCTTCTTAATCTATTTTTTTGCTTACCTTCTTATATATATTATCTTTTGTGACTTTTGGTCTAAAATCATGACCAATAGGTGAATTAGATTCGATTCTCAACTTTTGCAATCTTTTTTCTGACACATTCTTTTAGGATATCAATCTATTAGCCAAGTCGATTTGTTCTTATCTTGATCTTTTTGGTTGCTATTTGTAATCCTTATTCAATTCGATATCAGTTATGCATTTGACATTCCTCAATTCATTTTTTTTTTATAACAAATTTCCCGATGATTTCTAACCTTGAATTAAAAAATTGCTTGTATTTCTCTAATGCAATTAGGCAGTTGATGGTTTCTTCTAAATCTAAGCCCAAACTGTATTATGAAGTGCTTCATAATCATTTTTTTCTAAATTAGTTGTTTAAATTAATTACTAACTTATGCTGGTTTTTAAATAATTGCTTATGATTAACATTGTTTCAATGTATTTGTTTATGACACAAATTTTTATCTGATTTGCTTCTCTTATAATTTTAGTTGATCTCTAATGTGATCAATTATAAATTATTTGCCATCCTCTTGAATATTGTGTCTATCACAAAAGAATTCTGCAAGCATCTCGATGTCATCTCCCTCATAGATGTGAATATATTCAGGTTTGTCTCCAGTGTCCAAAGTGACGATTGCCTTCAAAGCACTCATTGAATTTTTGAATTAAATATTAATTATAAATGTATTATTACATCGAATTAGATTATTGTTTGAATAATTTGATTATTAAATGACAATATAATAATAACACAAATTTAATAATTCTGTAACAATAATCTTAAATTTTTTCAATAAACATATCACTTTTTTATCTGTATATTTTCACTTAAGCCATAGCCAAATTCTATCCATCCAATTTTAGATATTCACATGTTAGGTGTTTCATAATTGAAAGAATCTTCGCCATTTATATGAAGTTTGTTCGAACTGCCTATATATTTAAGGTATATTTAAATTATTTATTCAAATCTTGGGATTTTCTCTTAAATTATTTTGTAAGGAGTTGTTGTTAGGAATTCAACAATTCTATAGTCAATCGAAAAATTAAAATCACAGCAGATTTAATGAAAATAGTTGATTGTTATTTTTATATAATATATTTATCTGATCATCATAATATCATCAGATCAAAATTGGAAGTGGATATGCCAAGAATCTACAATAAAACAAGACTATCATTCCTCACTTTTTAATGATTTAATGAGCTAATTTGGCCTTAAATAATAGCATTTGTTTTGGATTTCGGAAATCTATTTTCTCAGCAGCAGAATAAAAAATTGTGGAATTTGAACAATTAGATCGAGATGCTTTGATTGTTTCTGGAGTCTTCATGTTCATAATAGATATTTTATGTTTAATTATTTATTAAATGAAGTGATATGTAGAATATGGCTTTGTAATTTATTAAGCTACTTTTGATTTTAAGTATTTTCTATTCATCAGAGTCTCTACTGCTAATTTTTAAATGCATTCTATCTAATTACTATCTTTAAAAAGAAGAAGCAAGGCTGCATCTCTATAAATTTTAGACAGTTATTTTAGAGTTTCTTTATGGCAACAGTGATTCATTAATCTTCATGTTTAAATAAAATAATTTAAATGATTATGCCAAAAATAGACAAAATGGTAAAATTTATTCTTATCTTACATCATTTCGAGAATTCAGTATTGAATACTACAGTGTTTTGTAAACTCATCTGGCTTTTTAATATTTTATAATATAATTAAATAACATAAAAACGGAAATGAGATTATTATTGGTTCTATTGATTGTGACAATTGTTTCTGCCACAATGGCTCCACCCATTACAAGTAACGATAAAAAATGGGTAAGATCATCTATTGAAAATAATGATTGCCACAAAGATTGCAGAAGAGCAGATGGACATGTTTGTGCAGGATTACATAAATCATAATGTTGCTAAAGACATTGGTGTCTATAGGATGAAAAACTACATGATGTGTGGAGCTGCAGAACTGGATTGTAACATTTCTTGTTTTTATAAACTCTAGCGAAATTCACGTTGATTCATGTAATTCTTTCCCTAAAAGAGATGCAGGATTTCTATAAGAAAACAATTGATATAAGCAATTAAAATAATTTACATATAGTCGAAAAATAATTTTACTTATGCTTTTAACCAATCCATGGATCAATTTGCATAAATTTTGATCAAATATTCATTCGACCAATTGATAGTTACAACTTCATTGATGAATATTCTGGTTTAATTCGATCATGAGAATCAGAACCTTATAGCCTAAATGCTTTAATTGAAGTTAATAAGGAGGCTAAATAAATGCTCGATTCTATTTCCAAATTTATTTCATTAAGATAATCTATCTTGCATCATTATATTTTCCATTTATATTAATCTTCTCTTTCAATGTCCAAAAAAATAGCGACTTCGTTGATTTATATTTCATCTAATAAAATTGCTAAAAATTTATCATTACAAATGAAGTGGTTAGAATATTTTTAATACATTTCTTCCTATAAACTATTCGATAATAGATCCAACACATGTCATTATAAGATCTAATTCTATAACAAATATAAATCTATTCAATTTATCCAAATAATTAACTAAATTAAGCGAGGAATTTAGATTCAATATTTTATAAATTGGTTTTTAAAATACTAAATTTTTGGTTGTTCAAGAATAAAATTGTGAATATGTAACTGAACAATTCGCCAACTTTACTTAGGATATATCAATATGTACAAGATTGTGATTACTATTGCAAGAAGAAAACGAATATATACTTTCAAGTTGATAAGATATTTGATATACATATATTTACTATTTCACTTTTTAATTTAAAGGATACTGAAGCTGCAATCTAATGCAGCTATTATGCACTTATCTTTTTACACATTAATTTTCATTGTCTTTGCTCTCATTTTCATAATTTTATCCCATTTATTAAACTATTCATTTACAATTTAGATAGCTACAATCGATAAAAATCAATACTTCCATCATCACAACCTAAAATTAGAGACTTATCAATTGAGCATACGCACCAAGGATTGAGCTTTTTATCTGGATATGTGATTTTCTTAATTAAATGGTAATTCTCTAAATTCCACACTGTGATCTCAGAACCAAACCCGAATAATTAGTTCATTCTTACTATCAAAGCATATTGCGGCTAAGATGTATCAATTTTTTTTAATGGAACATTTGATTCATACTACCAAAAGTATATTAGGTTCTGTCTTACACTTTTAGTCTTCATTTCCCATAAACTGAAACAAAATAACCTTTTTTAATTGATCAAACACATAGGCCCAAATGTAGAACCCTGGATTCGGTATTTAATTAATTTACCAGAGTCCAGTTTCCATTGATACACATAATTTTAAGAGATAACTTAGAAGAATGTATTTGTAGCAAATATTGATTAAGTTTAAGCGCAATAATATAGTTTACTTGGAGTTCCTTGGGATTCTTCAAATTATAATTTATTCTCCACGTATTGATTGTTCACCCATTAAAATAGTTTGATGTTATGCACATAGGCTAAGACTATTCTATCATTTCCAATTGCAATTGAATCATAAACCCCATTCTTTTCTTAACATATTTATTATTTGATTATCTACATCTCGGGATCAAATATTATGTATGGGTTATAATCTCCAGCTGCAATTCCCAATAAGTTGTCATTCAACCAGGCGATGCTATACATTCTTTTAAATTTGAATGTTGTTGGGATCTCAAAACTATTTGATTTCTCAACTAGATTTTGATTTAGGATTGGAATGTCAACTTATTTTATATACAATGAGTCTGTCTATCCTTAATTGGTAGTTTAAATCAGATCTTGATCATCATCAAAATTAATAGTTTAAACTTCTTTAGTAATTTTTTAATTCTAATTAAATTACGATATACATCTTTAGATTGTTTATTCAAAATGTACTACTTCTTATAATTTCTCTTTTATTTACTTTATTTGATCTCGAGCAATATAAAAATTTATTAACTGAAATAAATATTTCTCCTCTTCATTTTGCAATATCATCATCAGATTTTCGACTTATTTCTTCTGAGAACTCTTGATCAAGTCTTAATATGTTTAGTTAATCTTGGAGTTGAGTTATTCAATTGAATTGGGTAATTGATCGTATAATACGATTTATAGTTCTTTTAGTAAGGGAAGTGCTTTTTATTGGAAATCCATCAAATCAGCCTTTAGGACAAATTTATGAGATTCAATGCATTCTATATCATTGCAAATATCACAAACCTCCTTGATCATCTATTACTCAATCAAATAACCTATCTTCTAATGACTGCAATTAATTATCATTAATATTTTATTAGTATTTCATTTTATCGCAATAATTATTTTTATTATTCAATTCGCAAACTCTAAAAACAAAACTAAATCTACTCAAAATCTAATATATAAAGCGATCAAAAAATATTCTAATCAAAGCAGATGCAGAACAAGTATTTTAGAGTAAAACAATAAATTTGAATTTATAAATAATAAAAAGTACTATTCATATTAATTATTTTACAATATGCAAGCCAATTTTGATTTATTGAGATTTTAAATGGACGAATAAATTTACGAGTACTCTGATTCCTCAAATGATGAGTTATTTCAAAATAACAACCAAAATATAGATTCAATCTTAGAATAGGATGATGGCTTGATTTTAAATTAATTAGAATCATCTCCACCTCTAAAGGAGGATATTGATGTAGTTAGAATCTTAAATTTTGAAGAAGTTAAAGTTTTCATAGACGAATTAATATGTCCCATATGCTCTTACATATTGATTGATCCAAAAATATGTTTGGATTGTAGTCAAGGATTTTGTAAATAATGTCTTACATAATGGTATCTAAATTCTTCATAGATTATGCTTAGGTTCAATTAATATCATTTGAAGAGCTGCCCTTGCTGTAGATCTATTTCAAATGAACCAGAGGATGGAGCAAAAGCACCAAAACTATTGTTTAAATTGTTGAGCAAATTGAAAATAAGTTGTAAATATTAAGTAAAATATTATATCAACCTTAATAATAGAATAACGGTTGTAAATAGGCCATTTTGTATGATAGCAAAGAAAAGCACTACGAAAAAGAATGCGAATATAAATCAATTATTTGTCAATATTGTTTTGGAATATATTTGAAAATGGAAAGTGGAACTCACGTAACCAATATTTTGTAAAATAATAGTTTCAACAATGTGCATATAAGCCTAAAGAATGTAAATGGTGTTCAAAAACATATTCCCATCACAAGTACTAAAAACATTAAGAAGATTGCTCTTTAAGAAAATTAACCTGTCCAATATGTGTAAAGGAATTTTCAATTAAGTGGATGGAGGAGCATATTAAATTTTGCCTTCCAAAATAGGAATTAAGGATAGTAAAGAATGAACTGTAAGAAAGTATATCAGAAATTTAAAAGGCAAAATAGGAGATTAAAGAATCAATAGAAGAAATATTAGAGATAGATAGATTTATCAGGAAATAGAAATTAAAAAGTAAAAGGAACGAATAGTTAAACGAAATAATGAATAACGAATTAAGAAATAGTTCTGAATAAGAAGTTATTTAATAAAGCGATGTAGATCCCTAAGAGTTAAATTAATAACAAATTGACTTCTAAGAATACCATTTATAATAACAGATTAAATAAGCCAGTATCCCCATCTAAGAATTTGGAGAGGTACAGCAAACAAATAATCTTTGTTAAGAAGAAGAAGGGTTTTAAAATTGACTACTAATAACAAATTATGATTCAACATATTTATTGATATGATAAAAATATTGATCTTTATAATATCTAGCTAGCCTTTGAGTTTATCTTATAATTGATAGTATTGAGTCTTGGTGTTGTTGGTTATTAAAAAGAATTATAACAAAAATATTAATTATATATTTTAATATGAATAAAGAGAAGGAAAACCAGGAACTATTAATAGGAAAGGATTGGGAAGGAAACCAAATTCATATCCATAACGATGATATTCATAAGGCGGAATACGTTGACGTTTAAGCTATGTTGAATGATACCTTAGATAAACTGGATAAAATAGAGAAGATAGAAATATTTATGACCTTCCTTAATTTTACTACAAAAGCCTTATCTCTCTACCTCGTCCTCATTTATTTTGATACAGTCTTCAAATATGATTCACTATTGCTATTCAGTTATCTCCTATATGCTCTGCTAGAGTTGGTGGCTTTTGGAGCTGCATTTGCAGTTGTTTTGAGTGCTCGTATAATTTCAGCCTTATTGGGAGTGAACGTATTCTATTTAGGTAAGATACAAGCTATGATTTAGACAGCTTCATTTATTTACCCATCTTGTATTCTGTATTTAAGTTTTGCTTTGTGGTAACATTTCTCGTTTAATCCTTGACTGTGGTGATTTTTTCTAAGTTTTCACATTGGGTGTTCCCCTTAGTTTTGGTATATGAAGCAATTCAAATATTACAATAGATAGCCTCTCTGTTTGTGACTCTGATATTGCAAGTTAGTCGGTTGATTCTGATGGTGGGAGGGAAGGTCAGTTCCATATCAAAGTGTTTTGATACCAATTGGATATTTAAGATATTGGCACCTGAGAATTGGCAGAAGGTATGCTATTTAATCCTATGAATAACAAAGAGTTACCAGTTGACAAGGAACATGTTGTATCAATTTTTGAATATCTTCGAGGAACTCAATCCAGAGTACAAAGAATTTATACAGAAGGGTTACAAGTATCAGAAGCAAGTGATTGAATTGAAGGAGGACATTCAATGGGCCAAAGATTTCATTAAGAGATCGATAATAGAAAATAACGATGTTCAAGGCAATACTACTTCTAACAGATAATCTCTTGTCGTATAACATTGAATATGCACTATTATTATAATTATTGGCTTATACTATAAGCTCTTGATTAAGGATTATTATTTTAAATTCAATTTCCTAATTCAATTATTATTATCAGATTAAATGAGCTATTTATCTCAATCTAGTCGATTGACCTTCCTTTTAATACAACTCAGAAGCAAAGATTTAATTACGCCTGACTAATATTCTCGACTTTGTGACCATGCCGCCAAAGACAACCCACAATTAAAGGAGTTACTGGTTAATTACGAGAATGGTTTATCGTAAAGTGAGCTAATTGATGAATTGTCTAAAATGCTAAATAACCAGAATGGGAATGAAAACATCGTCAAATCCTACTTGTAAGTTGTTTAATAATCCTGCTTAGTGATTCTATCGTGTGCATATGCAAATAACTCAAGGGTAAGATTAAGGAGTTTTATCGCGACATTAAGGTAAATTGAATCTAAATTAGATCTCAGTAAGATATCAACGAAATTTATAAGGAGTGTTTTATTGCTCAGCATCATTAATAAGAAATTAAGGATCTCATTCGATTGATTCTCAAGCAATTTTATATCAAAGAGTTCAATCTGCTCCAGTTTAAGCAAGATCAACAATGTCACATTCTATCAAATAATTTTGAATCCACTACAATTAAGGAAGCCCAAGAAATTCAAGAGTTCACTGATTCCCAATCCCATCAATAACTATTAGGAACTCCAGCAGATTATCTTGGTTTATTAAAAACAGAAAAACTGCCTTAGTATTGTATAATATCTAATAATGATATATTTTTCCTGTCCTTTACTGAAAAAGTTAATAACAATTTTAAGCAGTATCTCATGATTACTTCCCTTTATGAATATATAATTTCAATCATCAAACACGGGAATCAAATAGTGGGATTAAAAAAGTTATAGACTATTAGAATGGAAATACTGCAGTTGGTCTCGAGAACAATTAATATTTTTACATACAAACTAATATTTCATATATTGGTTTAGATTATGAAATAATTTAATTTGTACAATTTGGTTAGCCCGATAGACAAAGAATATTATTAGCAATAAAAGGTGACTAATTATCTATTGTTTACTTTTAAAAGTGAATGGAATTGTGTGTTTATCGATTTGGAAGGCAATCTTTCTTTATAATTGAAAGAAAAGGTTTAGAGTACTTTCAGAAAGAGTATCAAAAGATATAGTAAAAAATTGAAATAGAAAAAGAACTTGTTAGAATCCTTCTAATAAGTTACTTAGCATAATGAAATGATTATGTGTCTATTCTTTAACAGTTACTTGTATTTGTATTATATGACTGTCTAATGGAATCATGATTAATTTGTGTATGATTTGGATATAAACATAGTTCTCGATTCAAACTATCCAGAGAAATCAATTATGGAGATCCCATTTACAAGATCTTCGAGAAGAACCCTGTAGTGATATCCAAGGTTAAAGAATTAATTGAATCTAAAAATGACCATTTAGAAATTGATGATGGATCCTATAAATTTTCATTGAAGGTTGAGAGAGGAAGAAAACAAGAAGTCAAACAAATTTCAGTCTACTTATTTAACATATAATTGAAAAGGTAATTCTACTAGTTACATATATATAAGACCCCTCAATGAGTTGTTACAGATCTTCAGAAGCAAAGTTAAAATAATATTAACATTAAAGAAGGCGACATTGGCTTTTAAATCTAAGCAATTAATGATGGAAAACTAGTTCTTTAGATCATCAGCTTTGGTGATGTATTTACCTGATCACGATATGAGAAAACTGGCTATTGTTTATAATGAGGATCATGATTAAGCCTTAGAGAAATATCGTGCAGCCACAATGAAGAAGAAATCAAAAAAATTATCTTAATTCCTAGCCAAATACGAGGAAGAAGATAAGAAAAATCCAGATGGACGAAAAATAGCAATAGATCCTAATTTACAAGAGAGATTATTGGATTACGAATTCAATCTGTTGAACAAGAAACTATATAAGAATAAGTTCATCATTGTATACAACATCTTTGATATGCTCGAATACACCAAATAATACCCTTTGAAAAATAAAGAGTTCATCAATTTTTTAACTGCTCTGAAATACAAATATAATAAGACAGCAAATCCATTTCACAATTTCACTCATGGAGTTAATGTGATGCATGGATGTTTCCTTTTTACTCATCATCCAAAGTTTGGGTTTTGTTTCAATGATCAACAGAGATTTGCAATGACACTGGCAGGATTATGTCATGATGTTGGACATCCTGGAACAAATAACCTATTTTAAGTAAATACTTAAACCAAGTTGGCCTTATTATACAATGACAAATCAGTGTTGGAAAATCACCATATAGCAGTCACTTATAAGTTGTTGGCCTTGGAACAATGTGATTTTTTGGAATCAGTCCCTAGGACAGACAAAATCATGATCAGAAAATATATTGTGAATAATGTGTTGGCAACAGATAACCAATTTCATTTTAAGATACTTAATGACATCGAGATAAAGTTTGCTCAATCTTAAGGGGATCCCAAAATCTTTGGTACCTTATATTACTTATATTATGATTAGAATCTGAAGACAACAAGCTTCTTCTAAGTGGGTTCTTGACTCATGCAGCTGACTTCTTTGGAGCAGCAAAGTCCTATTAAGTGGCTAGGACATGGAGTGAAAGATTAAGGAGAGAATTCTAGGCATAGGTAAATTACTGATATTATGATTTGTAAAGTCTTAATTAGAGGATATAGTGGGTATCGCATAGACTCCGTACCTCAGGAATTTAGATGATGAAGTGCAATATGCCAAAAATGAGATCGGATTCTTGAAGGTTATTGTGAAACCAATTTATGAATCCTTGAATTAATTCTCTGATGGTGCGATGTCATTATAATTGGCGAATATCAATCTGAGCATCAAAAAATATTCGGAAATCGTTGATTCACGGTAATAATTATGATATATGATTGTATAAAGCCCTATAAAATACTAATATCATTATAATTCACTATCTGATAGATCTGAATCATTTCCTGAAAATGCTTCCAATTTTTTATTGATATCCTGCATCAGATCAATACTTCGATTAAAAGAATTCCTACATTCCTCTATAGACACTCTATTTGTTGTCTTGTTTTAACTATTATCACTTTCTGAACATGGACAACTCACCAAATCTAAATTGTTATCTATCAAATAGATCAATCATCTATACTCTTATCTTATTCATTCATAGCTGCTTACTCCTTTTGTTCCTCAATAAGTTACTGATTTCTAGACTATAAACAACCCATTAAATAATAAAATATATATAATTAAAACATTCATTTATATTTCATAAAAATAGCCTCTGTTCTATCCTCTATATTATCTACATAAGTACATTTAGCCTTCACTGGGTAGTTTTTCTATATATAAATAATACACTCTTACTGAATTGTAAGCTGTTCCAAAGAATTCATCCATTATTGTATCGCCATAATTTACTACATAATAAAGATGATGTCTATAATGATCGGAATGGTCGTGTTCACTATATAATTTATTATTGTTTAATACCCTCCATCGTGTCCCATCATCTCGTTTATTGTGATGTACTCAAAGAAAAACAAAGTCATCAAAGGATGTATGGGTATTATCAATTCTGCCAAATGCAACACTGTGTTAACCTCGCTGATTCCTTCAAGTGGATGTGTTGCACAATAACCAAAAGCAGTAGGTTCTGTGAATGAATGGTGCACACTATGAACATACTTATAAAGAATTCTAAAGTGGAAAATTCTATGAACCCAATATCCCAATACTATTAGAATCACATCAAACTCATACTTGTGGTCCAAATATACAAAAAGAGCATTCCGTATCCAAAGTTCAATAATCCATATTGATTTATCGAGTAATAACGATACCAACTGCAATAGGGGTAGACATAATGATAGAAAATCTATTCGAATCACATTAGAATTGTACCATTGAGTATGCAACTTGTAAAAATATCTATGTTGTTCCATATTTGATTTCCCTCTTTATGTTTTACATTCTTCTTTAATTTTTTGGCATTGGATTTTTCCATTCAAATATAGCACTAACCAGCAAATACTGTAATATCCCTAATAAGGAGTAAGAAGCAATCTGAAGTCAATGTAATTATTACATTATAAATTAATTGGGTTGGGTTGGCATTTTCTTAATCACTATATCCAAAATCAAAGACAGAATAAGCCTTGGTTGGTTAAACACATAAGATCAAAAAGAGAGTAGAAAGAACGATGCTAATCATTTTACAATTGTTGCAATGAATATAATTTTGAATTACATTAAAGTTTATATGATTTAAGATAAATATTTGACGTGACGAATTGCGCATTCAGATTTTAGATTCGAAAATTTTTATAATAAATAAAAAAATAATTATTAAGTAAATAGTCAATAAATTTCTGTTATTCTTCTATTTTTTAATATCAATTATTATAATTTTTAAAAAGTATCCTAATTAATATCGTAGAATTAAATCTCTAAATAATTGATCTAAATGTTCAATAGTATTGTGACGAGGAAATCACTTGAAAATAATAGGACGCAAGGAATTCTTAAGGACTAGGTCTTCTTTTTCATTTATGGAGGAAATAAGGAATTCTAATATTGATTTCATTTTTAAATGAGATTAACATTGAATAAAAAGCGGAAAATTTTGTTAATTATTTGAATCTTCTTTTATTTTAAAAGACATAAATTGATGGAATTGATGCATTCCCAATTCTTTTTTGTATTAAGTTCTATCATAAATAATTTGTATTTATTTTATATTATGGTTGTCTTGCACAGTTAGATAATATTAAAATGTGAAACACATAATTTTAAATCTAATTTAAAAAATCCAAGATTTTTATGAAGGTAACTAAATATGCTTTGCTTAGTTCAACATTTCCTACCCCTTGACAGGCGCTTAAAAAACAGTCGAAATTGATGATGACAAGAAATGGTAATAAATTGTGGGTGATTATGTAGCTCAATCTTCTTCGATAAGAGAATGGGACAAGTCGTAGAGGCTGACAACTTAGGTGATGAATACAAAGGATATGTGTTCAAGATCACTGGTGGTAACGATAAACAAGGTTTCCCAATGAGACAAGGAGTCCTATTCAAGGGAAGAGTGAGAATCCTCATGAGAAAGGGACACAAGGGCTACAGACCAAGAAAGGATGGAGAGATGAAACGCAAATCAATTAGAGGATGCATTGTAGGTCAAGACATCAGAGTACTTGCCTTATAAGTCGTAAAGAAGGGTGCCAATGAAATTGCTGGACTCACAGATCAAAACGTCCCAAGAAGATTGGGTCCAAAGAGATTAACCAAATTGAGAAGATTATTCGGATTCAAGAAGGCTGATGGTGTTGCTATAGTTTAAAAGAATCTCATTAGAAGAACATGGACCACCAAAGATGGAAAGAAGAGATAAAAGGCTCCAAAGATCCAAAGACTCGTCACAGAATCCAGATTGAGAAGAAAGACAATCTAAAAGAAGACAGAATAAGCCAGAAGAACCAAGGCAAAATAAGCTTTGGAAGCATATAAAAAATTGGCTCATGATGTCCATGAAGCTCACAAGAAGCACAGAAAAGCCTCATCAGAAATCAAGGAGAAAGTTAAGGAACAACCAAAAGTAACAAAATTCAAGCTAACCATTAGGCCAAAGACACTAAATAAGTTAAATCAACCTAAGCAGCTAAACCAACCACTTAAGCTAAGGGTCCTGCTCCAGTCAAAGCAGCTGCTCCAGTTAAAGCAGCAGCCCCAGTTAAGACCACTGCACCAGCCAAGACAACTGCACCATAACCAACTCAAAAAGCTCCAACCAAAGCCAAAAAATGAAAATGATATTATAAAATAAAGTACATTACAAAATTTATGATAAATTAATAAATATCAATTTGAAAATGAAAACTAAGGAGATTCTTTTTCTTGTTTCTTTTCTACAAATTCAAATTTAATCATTTATCTTTGTTTAGAAGTTTATGGCTAAAATTTAGCATGTTCTTCACTCATCTTAGATAAATGTTTTAAAGAGTGGATTTTTGGTTTATTGTTTTGTAAGTCCTTAAGGTAATGTTACTCAATTATTAATGAAAATGGAGGCATAATTTGAGAAAAGTGCGAAAAGTGTCGATTGAATCTATAAAATCCAAGCATCCTCTTTTAAAGAGCCTAGCACTATTATATTAAAATGAGTATTTACTTCTTTATATAATTCAAGAATATGCAATTTGTTCTATTTATTATCATTTTAATTTTCGATAAGCGACTTTACATCTTTTATTATAAAAATAGCTATGTCTTGTAAATCGTAATATATTGATTTTACTATATTGCCAATCAATTAATTGGTTTGGAATGATTCTACGATTTCAATTAAGGATTAAATGCTGATTCCTAAATTGCATTAATTTGATAATGCGAAATAAATTAATATATCACCATTGATTACGTCTTCATTAATAAATGTAGTTTAGGAGGCTAGTTTATATAGATAAAAATAGTATTGTTGGCAGGCTTTTCCTAAAGGAGTGTTGTCGATTTGAATATTAATTTGTTTTGATATTAAAATTTTAGATAATTCAACTCGAGCTACTGATGAACCTAAAATAGTATGAAGGAAAAGTAGGAGTTTTAACTTTTTTATCAAATTTCCCTCTTGCTAGGTCTCTATTTCAAAAATTTTAAATAAGGACTTCAAGAATTATGTCTAACATAATGGATGCATGATAGTACTTTAATTTGTGCATTCTCAAAAAAGGGGTGCAGACGAATAGAAATTTACTATGAGGATTAGAATTCATTGTTGTTATCGAATATGTTGAGATCTCTGAGGGCCTCCATGGTAGCTTGGGAGTTGCTTGGTAATTCTTTGAAATTGGTAATCATAATAATAGATATTTTCAGTTTATTAATTTTGAGAAATCGAATAATGTTTTTTATGTTTCATCAAGAAATGGTAAGGTTAACAATTTAAGCGAAGAGAAAAATGAATTGGAATTAAATGCTTGTAAATATGAAGAAGATTGTAATTAAGTTATATAGTATAATAATAATTATTCAAATATTTATAAACAAATATTAGGAGAGATGAAGGCTGCTTGTCTATTTTACAATTAAAAAAGTAATAGTTACCTATTTATTTTAGCATATCTTGGACCAACAATATTTGTGGTGCTGCAAATTGGTTTGCATGTATGGGCTTACAAGGAATTCCTATTGTATTATTACATTTTTGGGTTGTTATATTAATGAACTATCAACTAGACCTTTCATGTTCGCTACATGTGGATTGTATTTTATAGTTCGAATCAAAGATCCTGGAACTATTCCAATAGTTAAAGTAGAAATTCCACTTGAGAACAATCAAATTGAAGTATAGATTGAAAATAACGTAAAAAGAGAAGTACTTAATGCTTAAGCAAATGATGAATCTAATGGTTAGATTTCACTAGATCAATTCAAAGATGGTCCGGACAACGACAACACAATTTAAAAGTAAAATATAATATCATATAATATTTAGATATTACCCCGAGTAACAGTAATAACAGCAAGCTGATAATCAGCACATCTTATCGGGTAGAGGAATGCTTTCATCCCCTTCATCCGAATAAGCAAAAATAAATACTCCAAACAAACAAACCTGTATAAGCACTTCAAACGCAGTAAGTCCTCCAACTTTAGCAGCAGAAAAGAGATTTTGTATGCAATGCTTAAATGAACAACCTATGAGAGCCAAACACTGCCAATATTGTAAGAAATGTATTCCAATGTTTGATCACCATTGTCCTTGGATTGGCATTTGCATAGGGGAAAAGAATAAACTGATATTTCTGATCTATTTATTTGTCCAAATTGCCCAGTTGATTGTGGGCATAAGAATCTCAGTTCAAAATATTGGATTATTGGTGGTAATGGGGATTATTGTAATCTTATTGATGACTCTATTTGGATTTCATACATTTTATGTTGCTAAAAATATTACGACATGTAAAGTGATCAATAATATTAGGGGAATACTTGAGTTGGAAAAGAATTTCGTATATCGATCAAAATTCAAGATACCCATTTGATAAAGGTGTGCTCAATAACATTAGGTTGCTTCTCTAAATCTCATGTCAAACACAGATTTACGAATGGTAATTATAATCTTAATGAATACTTTTATTTTGAAATAAATTCAAATTTATTTATATTAAGATTTTTATCATATATTTTCAAAACATCTTTGAAAATGTAATCTCTCTTTGTCAAGTGTTAAAAATGTTAACAAAGGCCTGCTACCATTAAGTGTAACTAGTGTAGATATGGTCAAACCTACAGGTTATGCTATTCATGCGATTCTCAAATTCATAATCGAACTGGCCCTGTAGATCAGCAACATAAAACTGAAATCATACCATATCAAGGTATCAAATAACATAAATTCGATCATTAGAAATGTACTAGAAAAATTAGGGTAATGCACCTGTTCCCTAAAAAAATGATTAAAGAAATTCATTCAAAAAAAATGATTACAAACCTCAACCTCAAGTTCCAACCAAGGACTTCCTAAACAATGAACCTAAGAAGCCTGATTATTCCAAAACAATCGATATTAATAGGGTCAGCAATAAACATGATTATTTGGATAAAAAAATCGATAGTCATGACAGAAGAGCTGATCAATAGTATCTTTCTAACGACAAAAGACCATACTCTTCCAACTAAAAGATTACTTCTGATAATGACAGAAGTAGTCAGCAATTAATCAGCTAATTAAAAGAAGAATAATAATAAACAGAAAGATTAAGAGCAGAATTATCATAGGCTAATCAGAAGGAAAGAGAAGCCTAAAGAAGATTGTAATTAAATATTTCTATTTTAGACAAAAATTAGAGTAAGAATTTGACCAAAAAATGAGAGAGGATAAATAAAAAATTTAATAATTAACTGAAGAAAATAGAAATTTGAATAATAAGTTAAATTAGACTAACAAACATATATAAGAGGAAGTAAATAAAGTTAGAAATCAATATGAAGATCAAATCAATGAATTAGAGTAGATTCTCAATGAAAAAAATCAGTAATTGGAAAGCATTGCTCAAGAATACAACTTAGTAATTATTAAAGTAAATTTATTAGGAAGAATTACAGTAAACTCTTAATGAACTACAATAAGAATCTTCCATGAAAGATCAAATTATTGAGTAATTATAATAAAACTTACATGATAACCAGGAAGAATTCCAATAAATGAGGGAAGAATTAATGAATAATTCCAAAAAAAATTTATAATCATCAAATAAGAAATCAGTGAAAAGTAATGATAATCAAAAAGATGAATTGATCCAAGAATTAAGCTAATAATTAGAGGCAAAAGATGAAGAAATTCATAAATTAGAGGGTAAATTTAATATTTATTCATATTAAGATTTAATTGAGAATTTCAAGTAATTATATTAACACATGAGTGATGAGAAATAACAGTTATAGGAAGAAGTAGAGAAGTTGGCAAATGAAAATAATTAATTTAGAGATATATTCAGTGTATGAAATAATTATTATTGATTATAGCAAAACTTACATCTTTTTGGAATTGATCCTGAGTAATTAAATGAGGAAGGAGAGGAAGGTGAAAACGAATATCCGGAAGAGATTGCTGAAGAAAATGATGATCAAAATGATTGATTTTTAAATCAATAATAAGAAATTAATTCTTAATTTAATATTTGAGTTGTTTTTTACTTCCCAATAATTGATTATGTTGTCATTTATAAAATGAATAAATACACTTTAAGATTTAATAATCCAAATCTTGAGCAATAGTATTTTGCAGATCAATTTAATGAACTCTTTAAGTTTTACACCTGGGCTTGCATATTAGGAACTATAAGTGCCATATGTGTTTTTTGTATGGAGTTTTTTCAACCTTTTGGATTTGGGCCATTAAAGTATGGATTGGGGTTGATTCCAATTAGCTTTTATATAAGCCATAAAATTGTAAGAAAGTACCCTGACCTATTTAATATAATTCTGGCCTTTACAAACTTTTTGCTCGGGGTGATGGTTTACTTTTTATTGTTTGTATTCGCGAATTCTAATGTTCTATTTTTGGCTGGGTAAACGGTAGCCATGGTGCAATATAGTTTAATGTTAGGATCCAACATAATTGCCAAATTTGCAATATTATTGCTTAATTAAATCGGATTAATGATTATGTGCACGTACGTTTAGGAGTTTTTTAATTCATTACAACTAATGTTTATTTTGGCTTTGCTCTTGGTTCTAAAATCACTTTGGATATAGGAGAAAATGAAACGGATGTTTTTTCTGCTCAAAGCGGAAGATACTCAATTACAACAGTCTCTAGACAATGTATTCTAATTCAAGATTATTTAATGTTCCTTCAAAGAGGAAATAAATGCATTTTAGCTTTTACATGTAAATAAGTAGGCTACTTAATTAATTAAGAATTAAGAAGATTTTACATCATTAATAAGAAATTATAAAGTAGTTTCTTTTCAACATTAAAATCCTCTAAAACATGATTCTGAATAAACTATTAGTGCTCTGGCTTAATTGAAATAAACCTTAGAATAAGTGTTGCTTAAAACAATAAAGGAAAACATAAGTGAAACATCAGCTGAGATCTCATCTGAAAAATTCAAAAAAATCTACAAAGTATCTTTGTAAAATTGTTTAAACAACGGTCATCCAAGAATAATTATTTTACTTCAGGAGGATACTCAATGCAAGAAAATGATATAACTGAAGAAGAAAAATTATAGATACAAATTTTTGAATCACCATCTATCTAACTGTTTTGATAATTCTCGTTTATCCTTAGGTTACTTGAAATGCTTGTTGAATCACTAATAGTTTATAAATAGAAATCAATAGCTGATTTTAAAAAAGTCTATATAGTTTCTATACAAGACTACTTTCGGATACTATAACATGAAATTATTTGTAGGTACTACTAAATTTGGAGATTTGAAGGATTTTCACTTTTCATAACTGTTCAGTGACATTTAATAGATGTGGGGCATATATGATCCAAAATAGGAGATGGAAATTTATTTCAAGCAAGGTCAAACGCAATGCTATTCTAATTACGCAATGATCCTCCAGTTAATATTAAATATAATAGTTATCAACATAAGTTAATTAGATTGTTAGAAAATCTTTGTTACTGTAATTATTACTTGTATATTATTTAGGCCATCTAAAAGTAAGTTGAAGGTGTTGAAGTAATTTGTTGTTTGATTACATTTAAGACAGATTATAATTAATTCAGACAATACTAGACAAGAGAATAGAGATATTTGAATATCATTTTGGAGAAGGTGAATAAGAAAATCTTACAGGAAATATGTTTAACTTAGACGATGTATATAATTAATAATAAAAACGACAGGAAGATTGAGTTTAATATAATATAGAATCTTAATTAATTTAAATTGAACCTTGAACACACTAATTAGTTAAATACTATTGTGAATATTTGAGAATTATAAATTAAATTATTAATAAATAAAATAATTATATATCCATAAAGAGTAATCCGTTTGAATATTACTTGCATAGCATGAGAAAGTTCAAAAATTGATTAATAAAGAGGTAGGTATTAATGTCAATGACATTTTTATAATTTGATAATTAAGTTACATTTTTACCAAATTATTGAGTTAAAAGATGTGTACTTTTAACACTCCTACAAGTGTAAAAATAAGTGAGTAGCTTTGAGTTGGAAGAATTGAACAACTTAAAAATGGATTTCAATATTCCTCAGTTGATCTAGTATTATAACATAAGAGTTTAGGATTTGGAAGAAGTTGATAAGGAATGTGAGAGAGGAGGTATTTGTGATTAAATTTTGCTTAAAAAATATCAGTGATATAAATTTATATTTATAAATAAATTTTAATGGATAATGGTCCATGGTATTCTAAAAAGGAGGGTAGTCCACTCAAATTATCTAGAAATGCTTCAATAACTTCTCCTAGAAGAATGGATAATTCTGAATTGAAATTAATAAGAGAATACAATAGTCAGGTTTCTATTCCTGAACATTAAATACTGTCTTTTGATCATTTGTTAGATGAAATCAATTTTGGAAAATTCTAATACTGGATATATGGTATTATGGCCTTGATGAGTATTAGTGAAGGAGCTTAAATTACTATATTTACATTAATGGTCCCTATATTAAAAAATGAGTGGCACATTTCCGATTCATTAAATTCGTTATAAGCAAGTTTTGTTTTTGTAATAGTGTCATCTTAATTCAGGTAGGATATTTAGTAGGTTCAATGCTGTCAGGACAATTGGCTGATAGAGTTGGCAGAAAGAAACCATTTCTAATTAGTTCATTTTTTACATGTCTATTGTCCTTAGGAACCATCGCATGCTAAGAAATTTATTCACTTCTGATTGTCAGGGCATTACTAGGAATTCTGGGTATTAGATAATGAATTAATATATATAGTTGGTCTCTTTGCACCCTGCGGAGTTACTATGATATCTGAGATCACTCCTGGTCATTTAAGAGGCAGATATATGGGTTTAATAACTTTGACTTTTGCCATAGGTCAACTATTTGGGCTGTTTGTTGCTGATTTCACATTAATATCATTGGATGAAGGTAATTGGAGACTGCTGACCTTTTGGTGTTGTCTACCAGGATTCTTGGCTTGGTTTATTAGCTTATTTCGTTTGAGGGAGAGTCCTAGGTTTGCTTTGTTGAGTGGATAGAAAGATCTAGCTTACGATATTATTTAAGAAATGATTAATTCAAATAAAGCTTCAATTCAATTTAATGATGAAATGAAGATTAAATTGTCTAATTGGACTCACGCCATGAATAGAATTGCCAAAAATCAAAATAATGTATTTCGTTTTTCTATCTTGAGGCTTCAATCACTTCGCTTTTTGAGAATAATAGATTCTTTCTGACAATTTTAATTTGGTTTAATTGGTTTATTCTTTCATTTGTTTATTATGGAATCGTACTTTTATTACCAGACATATTGTCACACATTGAACAAGGTCAGACTGGAAGAGATAAGATAATTTAATTAGTAGTATCCTGCATTAGTGATATTTTGGGTGCTGTAGCAGCTGCTTTCTTTATTGAATTAAAAGGGTTTGGGAGAAAGAACTCTTTAATAATATTCTTTACAATACAAGCCATAACAGCACTAATGGGATTTTATGATATTGAACATCGTTTTATATATTGGGCAACCGCATCTAAGTTTTTTCTATCTATGACTTTCATCTTTTCGTATCAAAACTCGATTTAATTTTAGATTTTAATATACGGCTGAAGTATACCCAACTAAAATCAGGACAACTGGAATAGGTATGGCCAATGGAATAGGAAGATTAGGAGGAGTGATCATGCCTTGGATATGCATGTATATGAATAGTCAGAAATTGCGAAGTCCTTTTGTGTTGTTTTCCGTTCTCTCTGTTATTACGTCATTATCAAATTGTTTTTTGCCATTTGAAACATTAGGAAAAGAATTGGAATGACTAATTAAGATATAAATTATTATTAAATATGTAAATCACAGAAGAATAGCTCATTTAAGAAGCAGCGAAGGCCAAAGAAAGAGCATATTGTCCATATTCAAACTTTAGAGTAGGATGCTCTTTGTTGACCAAAAACAATAAATTATACACAGGATGTAATGTTGAAAATGCAAGTTATGGTCTCTGTGTTTGTGCTGAGCGTGTAGCCATTTGCAAAGCAGTAAGCGAAGGAGACCGCCAAATCTCAACTATTGTAGTTTCATGGTATATCTACATACTAATATTTAAGTGACACTGATGAGCCCACATTCCCTTGCGGTATGTGTAGATAAACAATCATAGAAGTAATAAACATCAATTATAATAATAGTTTTGCTATCCTGGTAATGATATTAAGATTATTGCTATTGGAAAGGATCATTCTAAACCAAAATATTCAAAGGGCACCGAAGTTATACCGTTTGCATTTGTTCCTAAAGATCTCAATGTAGATCCTTAATTGGAATAAAAATGACAAAATATTTAATAAGAAACAATACAAATCCACATTCCAATCATGTTATTTAAGTAATGTTTTTACTATCACGTTTGCTTCCTCATCCAGTTAAACCCCAAATATCAATATATTATTCCCTATGGTCCTAACGTAAAAATCAATGGGCTTAATTTCATTTCACAACTTTTTAATGGATATCGATTATTTATGATTAATTATGGTATTTCCACAATTTATTTATTGTATTTAATCCCGCATTCTTCAACATGGACCTTCTGAATCACAATTTCAATTTTGAAACTATACTTTATTCATTCAATTATATGTAGTTTTTATTACCTCCAAAAAACAATATTTAATTAATAAAAAGTTCATGGCTTTTGTTAGCATTACTAATATTGTGGTGGATGACAAACCCCAACCATTTACAAGTCCAATAACAATGGATATTTACTTTGATGTTATAGCTGACATAGAAGACGAAATAGAATGGACGTACAGATTTCATTATTATTATTAGACTTCTCTATATAGGTTCTCCAAAAGATGAAGCTCACGATTAAATATTGGACTAATTTTCCATGGGACCATTGACTAAAGGAACAAAGCAATTTACTCTTGAGTCGAATCCTCCTGATTGGAAAAAAATTCCACAAGATGAAGTATTGGGTATCACTGCTTTCATCTTGACTTGTTCATACAGATAGAGAGAATTTTTTAGAGTCGGATATTATGTCTACAACACCTACACATCTCCTGAAAACATTGAAAACGATCCTTAGGAAGTGATTATTGAAGATATTGCCAGATAAATCTTCAATAATAAACCCCGCATAACAAGATTTGAAATCGATTGGAATAACCCTGCAAATTCTGAAGTTCAACAATAGCCAATTGAAACTAAAGCATACATGTTTTAAGAATAATAAGAAAAATAGTCAGCAGATGCAACGGAAATTTATGGTGCATTGCATTAGATTCAAAATGTATTTGACTCTTGATCATATTTATAATTAAAACTTATTATTAATTAATTATCATAAGTATTAATTTTCACCCTTGAAACATTTCAGCATCAATCATGAATCAATCAATTCTTTATCAAATTGAATTTGGAATTTGAACCTATCCAAATAATATTCTAGTAATAGTAGACAATGAACTATTCACAAAAAAGAATAATTTTAATAGATATTGGAATCGTTGATTTTCGATTAAATAATTCTTTACCTATTAAACTTTAAAATTCAGGGAGTCTACAGAGTATAATTCATCTTCATACACAGCTTACCTTTTTGGTTTGAGAATATTAAAGTTTTTATATAATAAGTGAGAAAGAGATGGGAATCGAATAGGAGACAAGATTAATAAGTACAATGAATAATTAATCAATTTATGATGATGGTTAACTTTAGATATATATTAAATTATTTATCAGCATTTACATTTTCCTTCATTTAAGTTTGCAGATTATTTCATAAGTTTTAGTTATGATTGCTCTCCTCCTCGAAATCCAGTTTTTTGTTTACAAAGATCTGAATTAATAATTATCATAACTAACCTATAAACAAGCATTCAAAACATTGATTCACATTTTCTGGTACTTGTGCTGATATTTCAAATACTTTCCATTTATTTTACTTTACAAATTATTTGATATCATCCTCTGATACCTATCTGCAACTTGGATTTTTTTAGACCAAATCTAACTTGTTTCCCACAATCATTATTTGAATATCACTATCTCCATGATGTTTTAATTCTTAAATCCAAAGTTGTAGTTTTTCTAGACTTGTTTTATTGGTTAAATCAAAAATTGCTAATGCTCCAACTACTTTTCTAAAATGACTTGATGTGTCAATAATAAATAATCTACCTATTTGTAAGTGAACGATATCTCTCTTAACCAGCTTCCTATAATCATTCAGTACCTGTATCCCAAATCTGGGCTTTGATTCTTGATCCATCAGACAAGGTGACGAATTTGGTTTCAAATTCTACGCCTATTGTTGGTACAGTTTTCTTTGGAACCATTCCTTTCAAATAATTTTGCCAAATACACGTCTTCCCAACATCACATTCTCCAACCAGAGCAACTTAGTATTAAATGTTAATAGTACTTTTGAAGGAATAGTCGCACTCCTCTTCTTTAATTTCCATTTGCATAAATTAATAATTTATATTGTTTTTTAAGAATTTAATACAAATTACAAATTCTCTATAGAAAATGAGTAGTTTTATTCATTCATTTTACTTCCCCTTATATATATAATTTATTTACAATATGTCAGAAGAAAATGCCCCTGAAAAAGAGCAAGTCCTCCAAGAAAGCAAATAGGAACAAGTGCAACAACCTTAAATAGAAGAACAAATTCAATAGGAACAATAAGTGAAAGAGGATACCCAAAAATAAGTTGAGAATTAAGAAAACTAAGAAAAACAGGAAATAGCTCCAGAATAGATTAAATAAGAATAAGAGGTCAAGGAAGTCATACCAGAAAAATAAGAAGCTTCTGAGACCTAAGAATAAATCGTTTAGAAAGAAGCCGAATCGGATATTACTAAAAATGAAAAAACCAATGAAGAAAATTAAGTTAAAGAGTAAGAGGAAAAATAATAAATCGCTGAAAAAGGGGCAGAAACAACCACTTAAAATTTAGATAATTTATTCTTAAAAGCAGATTATAGTTTTCCTGTATTTTTTCACATTCTATATGTTAGATCGAAATAAAAGTCTGTGATCCTGTTTAAAAAAGTGGAGGTATTTCAAACTATGTAGTTTACACGATCAAAGGAAAAGATTGCTTTGGAGATTTTGAAACACAAAGAAGATTTAATGAATTCTTCACAATTAGAGAATTACTCTTAGCCAAATGGCCTGGATAATATGTACCCCCTATTCCTGAGAAATCTGTCAGCACAGGATCGGAGATCATAATGGAAAGGACAAGATTGCTTAATATTTTTTGTATGAAGATGATGTAGATTAAGCATCTCTATTATTCAGAAGAATTTTATGATATCTTTTTAAGGTCAACAAATCCCGATATAAACAAGGTATTTTGATATGTACTATCTCACATAGCAAATATCTTAGATACCCAAGTAAAATGTATTTGCTTACACAGATCGATATAAGCAAGCATTTTAAATCAATGAGATTAAGGAAATCTCACCTGAAATGATTAAGAAAATGAGTGGAGTTTAATCCTTCTTAAAATTATCCTAAACCACTTTGGTGAAATAATTGGAGCAAACCAGAACTTTAAGTTCTAGTCGAAAATAATTGAAGGAAACATTTTTCACAATCTTTGGACTCAATATATCTGAATATGAGAAGTAGATACTTCAAGAATGGGTACCATAAAATAAATTGATATTTGCTAATCCTGCTAATGCAGATATTTTAGAATTAGCCAAAAAGATTGTATTTTAAATATCTAAATATAGAGAGATCCAAATAACAATTCTCTTGACAAAATTTAAGATTTAATCCTAATAGAGTAAAGAGACATTGAAGCATTTTTATAAGCTTTTTAAACTAGAGATTCTTTGATGTAATCCAAGTAAAAGGCTGAGTAAAAGCTGAGTGAAGAATAATCAGATTTATACAAAATTATGAAAGGAAACTCAACAATGAAGGGTTCTTTTAGTAAATTAAGTCTTGAGGAATAAAAATAAAAATTGGAAATCTAATTAAATGAGGTAATTTCTATATATATATATTATTAATCCTTAGACTCAAAAAGAAGTTGACTAATATAAGCTATTATTTTAATTGGTTACAGACGTGTTGACATCCTATACTATTGATAAATTTAAAAAAGACAAACATTAGACTTACAAATCTATTCTGGCAGATTTAGCTTAATGCGAATAGCAATATTTGGAAATTCAATAATAATTTTGGTCCAAAGTATAATAAGTGATAACATAATGTTAAGAACCTTGAAAATTTATTCATAAATAGAAATGTTTTAATTTAAAGAAATCTATATTATAGTCACATTCTTATCTTAACAATTGTAGTATTTCTGGGATACAAAATAATTATGAAAATAAAAGCATACCTTCACACCTTCTAGTTCTATAAGGAAGCATGGTTTTTCATTTCACTAGGCCTGAGAGCTCGAATTATTAAAAAATCTAAGGAATTAATATTCGTAAAACAAAATAGTATTTCAAAAAACAACTGCAATCATTAAATTTAAATAATATAAGAGTTTAGCAATAATATTTATAACTATTTAATTTATAAATAAATTTTATTTAAAGATTGACTTTAAGACTACAATTTTATTGTTATTAAAAAAATAAATACTGGAATTAACTAAAATATAGAAGGTCGAACAATTTTAGTATTTAATTCTAAGATAAACACAGTATTTTAGTACTATTTAATAAGATAAATTGCATTTAAGTATATTGAATATTTTTAAAGAATTGAACTTTTTTCTGATTGCAATTTTACTAAAATATTACTGAACTCCAAGTTCTGATTATAAAATCTCGTATCTTTTAGATCTAGATATGTGTAGGTAATGTTTTAGTAATTACAATTAACGTTGATCCTAGTCTCTTAGAAGCATTCTAGAAAAATTTTGTTCTACGAATGCTACCAAGCTTAGAACTTTGAGATATACAATTACTACAACTTTAATGTTCTGTTTATAGACGAGGGGATTGGGATTGCGAGTTTGTAAAGATTTTTAAAAAAGGAAAATAATATAATCACTTGTTTTTTCGGCCTATTAGATTGACAAGATTTCTTTGGCTAAACACTGTTCTGTAAGCAGTGTTGTAATCTTGTTCAAATGGAACGATTTTTTCTTTTTTTAGTGGAGGTAGAGTCTTGATTCTACTTTTACAACCAATCGGACTAGGAGTACCAATTCTCAAATTAGCATAGTTTTTTGTGTTCTGTTCTGTAATTATGACTCTTTGGGAAGGGTAGCTTTTGATTTCTTGAATTTTGAATTCATAATATGCAACCAGAGAAGGTTGTGATTTTTTTCTATGTTATTATAAAAACATTAAAAAATTGAATTAAAATTTTGTAGGGATTTTCAATTCTTTAAGTAATGATTTTCTGAAATGATACAAATTCAGTGATATTTTCAATTCAATTGTCCTCACTTTGCTTTCCTAATATTTCATTAATTCGATTTTGGAGAATTCTTTTCTCTTGGTTAGATTCAGCTAATTCACCATTAACTTTTTCATATTCTTATTGAATCATTTGATATTGCTATTTCGATATGAGACAAGACGTACCTTCATGAGAATGGCATACTTCTTCTTTAATTCCTTGTACTTAGTTTCATTATATGAATCCATCGATTTAACAAATATTAATTTTATTAATTATTATGTTTACAAGTGAAAGTGTGCAAGAACATATACTTTATGATAAAATATATCAATATCTTTGGGTTAAGTCTGAGACCTCAAGTCCACCTTCTGTGCTCATACCAGATACTGTGATTTTGATAAGATCAATGCCGATATATTGGTATTTTACAGACAAGGAGTCAGGAGAAGTTAAGAAAAAGCTGAGGAAAAACGTTACAAAAGAAAATATCAAAGAAACTTGGTTGAACTAGGTTGGGAGATCTGGAGTGGTGGGATATCTCTTGCATTTTATGTATAAATAGCATAAATAACAATTTTAAGAGAGAATTTAGATTTGAATTATCCTCCTGAGAAACTAAAAATTAGTGGTAAAATATAGATAGTGTATTTTGATGAAAAAGGATTTGAGAATTTTATGAATTCTAATTTGGAACTTCCTTTTGGAATACTTTAACGATATGTCGAAGCGGCAGATGACAGAAATTGTATAAATATTAATTAAATTCAGCATAAATTTAGGCTTTTTGGAGTAAATCTGTCACACTCTTCACGAAGAGGATGACTAAGAAGAGTTATCTGAATAAATCAATGAATATTTATGAGAGACTCTGCACTTTCGAAGGACCGGAGTATTTGAGTGAAGCAAGTAAGACTATATGATTCTATTTAAAACTTAGCATAAGTGAAGGATTTCTAATCATAAAGAATATCTGAATAGATTGATAAGATGATTAACCATTTAGATGCAATTTCATTTGGAAAATTGAATATAAGTCAAGGAACATTTTATTTTAAGGTTGACAAGTAAGATAAATGTTGGTTTCTTTTTTGTGGCAGTCTAAAATTCGAAGATGATAAACATTACAAGAACTACCCTAAAGATTTATATACCCAATCCTAAATTTCAATACCAAAATCAGTAGATGGAATTATGTCAGTCTATAGTCAAAGACCATTGTAGTTGAACAAGGAATCTAAATGCATTAAGTGTGGTAACATTGACAAAGAGAACAATTTCATTGATGTTCCATACCATTACATTTTGGATTAAGACATAGAAAGTTTACCAGCTGATCAATGGCCAACTGAAATTTAGAAAGAGGCTAAAAAGGTTAAAGTGGCAGGTGCTAATGCTAGTACTCAAGCCTTATTAAATACAATAACATAGGTTCCTTTAGTATTTTAGAAGATTCATGAAAAGTTAAATTACACGAATTTTGATTAGTTTAAATAATCTGATGGTTTCCTGCATAAAACATTATAAGTTTGTTTGGATTGCTATATAGTATTAGGTATTTAATCCTTTGATTATAAAATAAAGTTGCTCATTAGGAGAAAGCGTAAAAGAGTTGTGTAATAAATAAAGTCAGATAAAATGTTCGAATTCGAAAGTCTTCAGAGGGATTTACAAATGCAAAACGGTTGAAGGAATATTTAAGATAAGGATAAAAAGAATAGGGGAAAAAAGGAAGTTAGGTCAAAACTACAGAAAGCAATATAAGCAAACAAGGGTAAAAAATCAGACCTATTCAACAATACATTAATATGAGATTGCAAAGTTTGAGTCCTTAATTGAAGTACTCAATCGAAATTCCGTCTACTGCAGATTATTTGTCATTTAAGACGAAATCATCGAATTATGACAGTAATATAAAATTGAGAAATTTATATAACTAGTCTCTTCAAGCAAAATTGAATGCTTGAGATTAATGTTTTTATTTGTATTTATTCGTTTCATCATAACAAATTATTTTGATATAATTTAAAAGGTTTAATGTTTATTAAGCTATTTAGTCATTTCTAATAATTATATGAAAGCTTTAATCCTTCATATTTCATCATTGCTGTGGTTGCATTTTCATAGGGAGTTCAGCATTTAGCTGATTTATCAATAAACTTTATGCTTAAGGATGATTTTGGATTATCACCAGCCATGATGGGATTGTATTTGAGTTACACAACTATTCCTTGGATTGTCAAGCCTTTTTGGGGACTCATAACTGATTCAAAGCCTTTATTTGGATATAGAAGAAAATCTTATATAATATTATTTAGTTCTATTGATGCTTTGGGTTGGGTTGCCCTGTATAAATATGGGACAAACAGTTTGCATTCAGCTCTATTGATTTTGTTTCTCATTCAATTGTCAACTTGTTTTGTGAATGTGGTGGGAGAGGCCATTTTGGTGGAGGTAGCAGCAAAATAAGAACAAAAATAAACCAATTTTTAACATGGAGCATCAAAAAACGTATCCATCTTTTTTGGAGTCAGAGCTTTTGGAACTCTGATAAGTGCTTTCTTTTCTGGTGCTTTGCTACACATATTTACAAAACAAGAAATATTTCTCATGACTGCAGCATTTCCAGCAGCCTTAATGATGATTTCATTCTTCTATACTGAAGAGAAAGTAAATTTAAGAGCTTTGAGTCAGGATGACAGAAGAAACAACACTATGCAATGTATAAAGGACTTTTGGATATTTTTCAAAAATCCGTTGATTTACAAGTATAATATAATTAAATAAAAGACCAGTGGCATTAATTTTTTGTTTTATGATGGCTCCCTCCAGTTCAACTATCATGTTCTTTTTCTATACATCAGTATTAGGATTTGAACCATCCTTCTTGGGTTAGCTAAAATTTGTATATGCCTTCTCGACAATCTTAGGAGTTCTATTATATAATAATTATCTGAAAGATGTTCCATTTAAGAGAATCTTCATTACCACAACTATTTTGTATTACTTTTGCTATTAATCCATGATAATCTTGGTGACAAGAAAAAATGTAGAATGGAAGATAAATGATCGATTCTTTTGTTTGGGAGATTCTATAATGTTATAATTGGTCGGAGAATTAAACATCATGCCAATATTAGTCTTGGCATGTAGAATGTGTCCGAAGAACATCGAAGCCACCATGTATGCTATGTTGATGAGCACCATCAATTTCGGTATCTTATTGGTTTATTGAATTAATAGGATCAACTTTGGGATCGTAGTTCGGAGCTATCTTTCTAATTGCACTTGGAGTTAATTAAAACGATTACTCTAGACTCTGGTTGTTTATTATGATTACTGGAGTTTTCATTCTTCTCCCATTACCATGGGTTGGTGTTGTTAAGGAGCACTAAATTTAAAAATCAATGGATAAACAAAAACTGGCTAAGAGGTAACAGCAAAATGATTTTGAATCCTTATCTGTATCATCAAGTAATCTCCGATAAGAAGATGATCAGTAACAATTACTGTCCTAAAATCAATAAATGAATGATTGATTGCTACATTATTATATGAATGTTATCTATTAATTTGGGTTATGTTAATATATGGGAATTGTTTGATATTCATAGAATAACATTTTAATCCTATATCAGTTTAGATTTGCTTACTTTTATAAAACACAATTTATAAAATATATTATTAATAAAATAGACGATAACAATTTAGAAATAATTCATCTGTAACTTAATTATTTCTTATTTTCAAGAGTTTGACTAGACAAAAGTATTAAGTTAGTGTTAAATTTCATTTTTATCTAATTTCCATTTCTTCCCATTCTTCTCAATCGATCTTAAATTAGCTTAATATTATAATGCAGGCTAATGAGTTTCTCAAACAATCAATTGAATTAAAATTATCGTTATTATTGCATAATTATTAATGTAATATAACATATCTTATTTGAAGAACTGCTATATATAGATTAATTAGTTGAATTCATAAACTCATAATATTTATAAAAAAATGGGTTGTGCGCCTTCTATTATACATTATGAAAAAACAGAATTCCTTAAAGAGGATGTACTATCGGATGATTTGGAAATGAGCGATGAAACTAGTGCAAATTTTGTCAATGACTCTATTCGAATAAACGAAAGCATTCTGAACCGGAAAATTCTATACAAAGAAGAAAACGTAGACTTTTCATTGGTTTAAGAGTAACTACTCGACTAAAAACCCTTCATAATAAAATCATGTTTTAAAAAAAATAATAAAACGAAATAATTTGAGTAAAAAGAAAAGAAAGTGAGATTTTGTAAGACTTATTTCATCATTGTAAATGGAGTAAAATTTGTTGTCAAAAGGATTAAGCAAAGAAGTAGTAAAAAAAGAAATAAATTACCAGAAGTTGAATGAAAATATTTTGAATTTAACTATACTAAATTTTATATTTACTTCTTACAAATACATTTTGATTGACTTTTTATTCAATTGAACTATATTTGATAATAAATTTATAAGTTCAGCTATCCTATATTTTAGGTGAACTTTTATAAAAACCATTAAAAAAATGCTATTAATTTTTTATAATAATTTATTAAACTAAGATAGTTAATTAGATTACAATTAGTCAATCTTGTATATATATAGTAATACAATTAAGAAGTCCATTGGTTAAATGACAAATTAAAAAGGTCATTGAATTTTCCGATCTAAGATCTAGGATATTACGATGGAATAAGAACAATTGTTATTCTTGCATATGTGCTATAATTTTAAGGAAAAATAATAATTTTATAGTAATTTAAAATATGAATCCAATTTCATAAAAATTAATTGTGATAAAGGACGAGGAGAATAGTTTAGAATCTAAGATTTAATTTAAGATAGATTTATACTCGTAATCCTTAGTCGCTAAGCTTGGTTAATTATAACAGAATGATATAAAAACTTAATCTATGAAGTATGAGCATTTATTGATGAAAGATGTTTTAAAGTTTGTTAGAATTCTAAATTGGGAGTTGAGACTTGCACAAGTAGAGTGTTTAAGTATATTTAGAAAACTGTTTCAATAAGCACAATAAGTTGTTGGAATATCACAAAAGTTCAGAATTTATGGGCATATTTAAAAAGTCATCTAATTGAATTATAAAATATCAATATAATCATTATTCATCTTATAGTAAACATACAATTTTCTTTTATTATTATTCTAATAAATCAATTTTAAAGATTTCATTCAAAATGTCCTTATAGCACTTTAGAATCACAATAAAGTCAGCATCGATAGCCTAAAGTGAGGAGGACAAGGATTGAATTCTAACAAAGTTTTCATTATTTTATTGTAAAGCATGTTCAATTTTATTAAGAACTTCTATGATTTAAGCATCTTGTGATTGTTTCAATTAGTTTAAGCCATTATTGAATTCACTAAATATTTGGATGCAGTTACGTGATTTCTTTAGATTGCTGGTGTAGATGTGAAATGAGGGCCTTCTAACTCTCAGTGATGTCGTTGAATTGTTATTGTAAATTCATAGTACTATAGGCTAAATATTTCTCATTGAGAGCCTTGATGGTTTTTTCAAACTTTTAGTTGTTAGCATTTGATTGTTCTTAAAATTCTCTGGAGAGCTTAACATAATTGTCTTCACTAGACCTGAGTCTTTTTTCTAGGGCTGCGATTTTGTTATTTTCTTAAATGACCTGTTGAGAGGAAGCACCAAGATTAACTAGGTTGAAAAACTAACATACTTGTAGGTTATTTAGAAACTGAGCGTCTAGCCTAGGGACTTTTGATTTTCTCTTAGCCACTCAAGATACTAACATTCTCATTTTGAGGTAAAGACATTTGACTTTAATTGCGAAGTAATCCACTTGTATCATTACGGGAATCATCCTTTTTTTGATTGCCTTGATTCCCATTCGGACTGTATGGGCTTGATTATAGATTTTGCAATTGTTGAAGGTGTGAATTTAATTCTGAGAGATTATCCCTATTATCTAATCTTTCTTAGAATTCTGTCAATTTGGCTTCAATCGAAATAATAATTTGCTTAAAGATTAGCCCGTTTACTTTGTCATCGTCTTTTAAAGTGTTAGCTAGTTCTACTATTTCAAAAAGGCAATTTTATTTTCTTTTTGATTCAACAGGATTCGGCGAGGATATTTATTATTTTTTTGCCTCAAAGCCATTAGATTCATTAGTGATTTCCTTTTTAGAATTGCCTGATTGATTAGTTTGATTGTCTTTTGATTTGGGAAGAGACTTTCCAGGTTTCTTGGTTAAAGGGATCTAAGATTTCATTTATTTATATATATTGTTTAATATAATATTCTTCATTTATTGATGGAAAATTTTGTTTTTTTTTTTACACTTTTTGTTAAAATTAGACGCTCTTAGCAGAATTTTATTATACTGAATAATCTTTATCAGAATTCTTTTAGTTAGGGTGAGTTTATGATCATTTCTATTTTAACTACCCTCATCACTATCATTGTTTTATTAATTCTTTTTTTTGTTTCTTATGACCTACAATTTCTTTGATTTGAAATATTAAATATGTTATAATTCTTTTGGTTGACTACTTCCTTAATTAATGATATTTTGAGTAGGATGAGGTCAACTTAAATTTGTTGTTATCTAAAATTACTCTGCCAGAATTTGTTCCTTTTTTGCAATAACTCTGCCATCAATATTTATTTTATGAAACTCTAAGGTCAAATTTTTAATATTGTGAAAGTATTGTAATATATATCTAATAATTTATTTTAAATAATTTGGACATCCAAAATGATCAATATAATCATAACAATTGCAATAATTTACATCTCATATAGATGGATGAAATTCATAAATCATCCAAGTGTTCAATTGTTTTACAATAACGACAGTCTGAAGAAAGTAGTACAATCTTGTCCATCATTATCTAATTATAAACCGACTCCATACCTAAATGGATTATTGCATACTATTTTAGGTACTGCTTGTACTATTTCGATAGCTACATTCAAACACCCAGCCGAAAAGCATACATCAAATCGAGAGGTAGTACATGAGGCAGGATTGTCTGTCGATTGGATTGATAAAGGGAGTGGCATCGATGTTCAACATCCTCTCTTATTTATAATGCCAGGTCTAACAGGAAGTGTGGATGATGGATATATCAACACGATAGTGTCACAAGCCCATCTGCACAATTTCCATAACATCTGCATATACAATTATAGAATGCTTGCGAAGAATGCTGATTTTTGGTTCAAACCTGAGTGTTACAATTATGGGCTGAAGATGCAACCAAATCAATTTATGAATAATTATGTGAGTGATGGATTTTACGGAATCGACAACGATTACTATTATTTTGAGGATGATGTGATAGAAGGTAAGAGAGTGCGAATAGATTTGGTGGCAGATCTTCATTACACATTGTAATATTTGAAAAACAAATACAAATTCAATAAGATATTAGCCATAGGTTGTTCATATGGAGGTGTCCAATTGGGTATGTATTTGGGACGATTTGAAAACAAGGCTCTCATCGATGCTGGAGTGACAGTTTGTTCTCCACACATCATGAATATCACTCAAGTCTTCCTGTCCACATTTATGAATTTGATGCTCTGCAAAATCCTTCAAAGAGGACTCAAGGCTATCAAGGAGCAATTTGCCAATAGGAGCAATTACCCTAGCAATTGGACCATTGATGTGAACAAAGCATTGAATGCAACTTGGATCCAGGACTTTGATACTTATTACACATCCAGAGTGTATGGATATCGAACGGCTGATGCGTATTATAGACATTTTTCTTTGATCAATCGATTCCCGTAGGTTTAGGTTCCGATGCTATGCATTTCGGCTGAGGATGATGGGGTTTGTCATCTGAAGGGATTGGGAAAGGAGGAAATGATTCAGAATGGACGTACAATATTGTGTTTGGCCAAGGCTGGAGGACATATTGGATTCTTGGAGGGGTGGAATGCTTCATCTTTTTGGTTCCCGAAGCCAGCGATCGAATTTCTTACTTTTCACAGTTGATTTTAATTATGAATATAAAGCAAAAGGCATATAAATTGATCAAAAGCTGTGACTTCTATGGAGTGGACATTGGACTCAATTACAGACAACATAAGTCATATAAGACTTTCTATGGTGGGTTGTGGTCTTCAATTATTGCCTCTTTGATTGCAGCTCTTTGTATTACTCAATTCTTAGATTGCATTTTCTACTTGTCTCCCGAGATCCATCAATACACCAAAGATAATGGATTCAATTATAAACTCTTGGAATCGAGCACCTTTCGTTCCATCTTATTGGACTTGGAAAACGAAGGGATCTTGAATACACAGCATCTTAGCAATGATGAAACCCTCATAGATATTCATTCATTTAAGTCAATAGCGATCTCCATCCCAACTATTCATGAGGACATCTATGATGTCGACAACCCGATCAAAATTGGCAAGTTGCAAAAGATCGTTAGAGATGTTGTTCGAAATCATCAATTAACTATTCATATACAATTGAAAATACTAGAATATTAAACAGATTCGGGTCTCTTATGGGAAATCCTGAGCACCCATGATCAATTGTACTTAGAGGATGTTGATACCTACTATTTGCAGAGCGATACGACAAGTTTGAGATTAATATTTACAATCAAGTACACACAAACAGTACCTAGGTAGTCCTATAATAAAACATGTGGATCGTGGTTACAAAAGAATCTACAGAATTCTATCTATTACTGGAGGTCTAGTCAAGGTACTAATGTTCGTTGGCAAATTCTTCAGCAAACCAATTACCACTCTCAAATTTTAGATATCATTCCTTAATCAATTTTTTAACTTCGGATCCACCAAAGACACCAAATCCTTCTACCCTCTCAATTCTCTTGCTTACAGTCAGAAATTATTGCGAATGTAGACTGTCCGATTAGACTCCATTAAAGTTAATCCAAACACTAAAGAGTTTACTAAACAACCAACCAAAATGATTAAGAGTATTCTCAAGAAATATTCCCAGCAGCAAAAACAAAATGCAGATTAAGAATAACAAGGAGACGAGGCTATAATTGAGGAGTAAAATCAAGACGTTGATGAACTCATAGCCAAATACTTTCAACCACAAGATATTCGATTGAAATTGCAACACATCCAATATGTCAAATACTTTTTTGGATTTACAGGACAATTGAAAAAGAGAATTAAGTAATTAAGACAAAATCTCCAAATTGTAAATCAAAAAACGGACATTATTTATGTGTTTAACAAACTACAAGAACTAGAAAAATTAAAGCAACTACTCTTGGATGAGGACTAATTGAATCTATTTGAATATATTCCTAAACCTAACATTGATGTTACTCATAATAAATAGGAACCTAAAAATAATACCATCGTCAAAGCCACTCAAGCCTTCAGTTCATTTCAAGCCATAAGTGAAAAGGAGAAAAAGTCAAGAATCGATAATGCTCTTATAAAGATGATAGATGCAAATATCAAAAAATATTTTGTTGTCAGCTCAGGTTGTATTTCATTTGCAAGAAACACCAATCCCAAAGTCTCGTATGCTAGTCCCAATTCAAGTCCAAGAAAACGAAACTCAGATCTTTCTGAAAATTTAAAACATGAAGAAGTAAATGAATATTGATCAAGATTAATCTTCAGTAATTTCATCCACCTCCTTTATTCCTAATTCATTAAATACTCTATTCACTTATGATCCCCTCTTCTTAGAACCCTGTTATTGTTACATCATATTCTACTTCTAATTAGTCAAATCACTCTCACAAGACAAAGTCTCCATCACCTCCAAACTATAGTCTAAAGTTATTCCCAATTGACAGAGTAACCTATAACTAGAATGCTGCTGCTCCTCCTTCATCTCTAAACTACTACTCTCAACATTGCCCACATCTCCAAACGGTTAACTGATTGTTTTATCTTTACACTATATTTACAATATGAATACTTGATTACTCGCAACGCAGTTGACCACAACTTTTATCAAGTATTTCTTATCTGGATCCCAATTTACTCATAAAAGCATTGCTGCTTCCCACTGAATTCATTAGTTGTATCATACCACACTTCTCAGTATGTCTGTGTATTATGTGTATGTTCCCAAAGTCTCTCACTAAATCATTAATGTTAATATTGTCATCTTCATAAGCACTGCTTTATATTTTTTTAATCACATTTCCCCATCGTTCATTCATTCTTATACTGTTTTGCAACGACCTACATCTCCGACAATTCTCAAGTCCAATCTCATCTTTGCTTAATAAAGCCATAACATCACGAATAGTTCCGATCTCAAAAAATGGGTGTCGAATAGCCTCTTCAACAGTTATTCTACTATCTTATCTTGGATTCAACATTTACAAAATTAGATTCTATAAGGGCATCTCGATATTATTTAAAGAGCCTTTGAATGTCCATTTTTCTGGGTTACTCAACAAATCAACAAAATCTGATATTTCATTGGAGTGCAAAGGCAACTTTTAAAAAATACATTAATAGCAGATGACCCCTATGGCCCAAATGTCAACTTGCTTTGAATAACTAGCCTTGTGAAATATTTCAGGAGCACAATAAAACATATTGCCTGTTTTAGTAAGCATTTCAATTTCTTATCCTTTGGATATATACCTACGGGAGACTCCAAAATCTATAAGTTTCAGATGCGGTGGATTGCTATTCTCCTCCAAATTCACAAGTATGTTATCAGGCTTAAGATCTCGATGGCAGATGCCCTTTGAGTGAGAATGCTAAATGGCTGACAACAATTATTTTATAATCACTTTCAACTCTTCTGTCTTCAATGGTCGCTTCTAGATGACACTCTCCAAACTGGGGAAGTTGCAGTACTCCATTATCAAATAGGAGGTTTCTCTCTTCTCACTTATGAATAACTCAATATCCTATGCTATATTCTAATGTCTTAGACATCGATTATTATTGAATGTCCTCCTAACATTATTTTGAATTTCCTAATCTCCTGAACGCACTATCTTAACTGCATAGATCCCCTCAGTCCCTTTCTTCCTCGCTGTCTTTACCACTCCATGAGCACCTTGTCCTACACACATCATGACTTTATTATCATACCTATGGTCTGGAGACATTCGTAATGATCTTCAAATCTTTTGGTTTCAGTTGATTCAAGGGAATTCAAATTAAATTGATCATCACTAAATTGGATTTACGTTTTAAGTCTATTCGCCATTAAAATAATTAACTGAATGCTTCGATAAGTATGTGGCAGTGCCATAACCGTAGATCCCATGAAAAAAAGCAAGTCCACTTGTGCCACACCCAATAAAGAATTGCTCATTGATCAAATCATATAGAAATATGTTGGCATGGATCGAACCACTGACACATTTACATCCTCCATCACTACAATGTTCCACAACACCGTCCCTGAAGAAAAACAACTCCTAGTCTCTCCTCATAAGAAGTTGACTGAACGAGATTGCGAAAAATATTTGACCACCTTTCAAAGACTATCGGATCGAAAATCTGAGTTTTAGGAAAGTCCTCGTCAGGACGAAGAATTTCATCATCTCAAGACTTCAAGTGACTTTGGCTCCTCACACAACTCATTGCACGAGCTAGCATAAAATCTAGAACAAGTTTTTGATTCACCTTCTAATAACGTACACACAGATAAAAGTCCTGAATTTTACAACCCAGAAACCAAACTCAAGTCTCTCCCCAAAGAACTTCCTATCATTGAAGAAAACGAAGAAATCATCAACACACATCAGAGACTCAATGGGCTCATCACCTAAATAGATTAGAAAATTAGTTTCCATCAAGTAAATTAACAAGTTATTGAAAAAATAAAAGATAAATACCTACCCAAAAATGAGGAACAATTTGAGTTCCAGGATTTTCCAGAATTCAACCCTACAGATTGGCCCAAAGAAGAGGACTTAGACAATCTCAAATTCGAGTAGACCAAACTCTAATCACCCAAGCAAATTATTGTTAAAGATCTCAGAGCCTAAGCAATCAGAAATATAACCTTCAATTCCAATGAATTCAACGATTTCATTTCAGAATAGTTTCAAACGGAAGAGTAACTGAAAAAAGATGGTACCCTTGAAAAGAGAACACAATAGGATGATTAAAATGTACACCTTAAAGGGAACACTCAAATTAAGGAGACTCAAATCTCCAAATTCAAATTGCCTAGACTTAATGTTCCTCAAATTAGACGCACTACTCAGGCAATAGTAATTATATTGATATTGACACTGTTATCACAATTATTTACTTTAATATTATGATAATGCATAAATATACTTCATCTATATAGCTAAAGAAATATACATTAATTCCAATCCTATAGTTTTGAATTCACACAGAGTGAATAATTAATGAGCATTCTTATTTTATTAATTGTTTGCCTAAATATTATGGAGATGAAGAAATTAAGACTTGAATTAAACAATTAGGTGTGTTATTCCAATAATTTATTTATTATGTATATCAAATAATCAATACTATAATGTCCAATTATTAAAGAACTCAGTTTTGTTAAATGGTCTTCTAAAATTACAAAATTTAAAGTTTAATAAGATTAATTAAAACAGTAGCAAATTGATTCTATAACATTTTTAATTACTCATCTCTTGTACATCTAACTTTATTCTATTCATTCAAAATTTAAGTTTGCTTACTCATGAAGAGACTTAATTATTTAGATACAATTAATAATATAGTATTTTATTTATCAAACAGAGAAGGAGCCATTACTTAGATACTCGAATATTTGATACAAATAGACAATGAAAATTTAAGGTGAGATTAATCTAAATTTTTTTAATCTAAGTGATAATTTTATTAATTCTTTTCATAAGTTTTAAATAATAAAATCTATTTCCTAAAGAACATTTAAAGTTCTTTTCATTTTTTCTCAACAATTACATATGATAGTTTTTATAAATAATTTTAATTAGGAAATAGTATTTTTCAATAGAGTGATTTTGAGAGTTTTTAATGTGTAAAATAATAGATATTAAGTAATAAAAAGATTTTGAAATTCCTTTTATTTTTAATATTTACAACAATGTTTGAAGAATTTAACCTTTCTGATGCAGATTCTTATGTCCAAAAGCCAGCGAGAGGAAGGACATATCAGGATCGTTAATGTATGTATACAATTTAGGGCTAGCAACAAGTTAAGAAAGATTGGAAACACAACAATAATATTAATAATTTTAAAAGTTTTATGAAACATGCTCAAATATACCCATCGACTTCACTTATCTTAGGGAATACTTCAACATTCCTTTTAATGATTGTCTAAATGATTAGGACATTTTAAAAATCCAAAAAAAAATACATAGTAGAAGATTCTCGATGAATCAGAAAAAAAGTTGGAGCGTAGATGAAAAAAAGGTATTGGTTTGGGTCATTGGGAAGTATTGTTAACTTAATTAGAAGAATTGTAGATTTTTGGATAACAACGATTTCAATGAGATTAGCAAATACCTTCTTAGAAGAAATGTTGACAATATTAGACAAAAGTGGTGGTCAATGCTAAAAACATCTTTGGTATCTCAACCATTTACGCAAGAAGAGGATTAATAGATTACAATTCTCTATGAAAAATATAAAGATAAAGATAATAAATGGAAATTGATAGCTAACGAAATGAATAACAATAATGTGATATACAGAACTTGTAAACAACTTAGAGAGAGGTGGATTAACTACCTAGATCCAAACTTATTGAAAATCAAGGATCCTTGGACAGATAGAGAAGATCTAGAATTAATTTATCAAATATAATAAAAAGGCAAAAAGTGGACTGAAATTGCTAAAATTTTAAAAAGAAATGAGAACTAAGTTAAGAATCGTTTTAATTGTCTACTCAAGCGGGAAGAGGTTTAAGATGATTTAAACAAATTAATTGATAAGGTCTTATGGAAAATCAGCAAGTAGCCAGTAGTGATGCAACCAGAAAATTAAGATAGGCCTGCATTATCATCAAATTCCTAAAATTAGAGCTTACTTTTGACTATAGCAAAAATCGAATCGCTAAAAAAAGATGAAATTAATTAACTTACGCCTTGTATGGTAAATTTAAAAACGAACTAAATTTATTTTACTCCATCTCATATATTGCAAGGATTACTAAAAATTGAACAATCAGATTTGCAAGATGAATTCGAATTAGCCAAAAAGGATATTGAAAAATTCGAATCAATGCCTCATCAATTTTTCCATTCCCTATCTGTCATAAGCGAAGAGTATTCCATTCCATAAAACTATCAATTACAAATTCAACAAAACATCAAATCTTTGTCAGAATTGTCTAATTATGAATCTCCCTAAATGTCTAAATCCAATGAGAATAATATAATCTTTAATCCAATAAGAACCTTGACTTCTCTAAAAAAATAATACTTTAAGCATCGGACTGATTTTAGCATTCCTTAAGTTTAATCTTAAAGTCCCTGGAGATCATTGCCAATATTAATTATGTGCTGATAACTAATAAATATCTAATTTTATATATATTCTTCATTATGCCTTTATTTTTTTATTTGATCTTTTCAGTTCTATCATAAGAATCATAAAAATTGTGCATTAAGTTGAATATTCTTAAGCTAAATAAAGTGACAAAAAGGTTTTGCATATTGTTAGAGATTTCTTTCATTTCTGCATACATTCTCTTATCCTCAATATATTCTAATGAAGTTTCATCAAAAGTAAATTAAGGTGTTCATGTGCTGTTAAATTGAAACAAAATAATATATTCTTAAAATGCAAATTCCAAAACTAATAATCCAAAAATCAACTTTCACAGAACCATAAAATGTTGATTATGTTAATTCTTTTGCCAATCTCTACTATCACAAAATTTTATTACTTTTTAGACTGAATTGAACAACTATATTAGAAACTCAGTTCTGTCAACCAATACATTATAGTGACTGTGATTAAGTATACATAAATGAATTTATTTATTAAATAATTCTTATAAAATCAATATAAATTTTAAAGAAATCACTTGAGAATTTAAAGCATATTTATATACTATATACTTAATATTAGCATAGCGCTATACTATATACTAAATATAAACATAGCGCTATATTTTAACTTAGAATCAAAGAATTTAAAGGGGATTATAAAGATTTATAGAATATAAATAAATTTTATTTGAGAATCTAGGAACCTCGAAACATTATCTTAATAATCAAAGTTGCCATCATCCCAATTACACAATTATTTAATTTAGGTTTCATGACTATCCTAATCTCTGAAATAAAATACAGAATTCTTGACAGTCTTAAACCATAAATAATTAAATTAATATAAATAATAATGAAATTTACAAAAAAGAATTTATTCTCTTCATTTTTGTACAGACCCATTTTAATGTGTATATATAAAATTAGCTTTAAATAGATTGTAGTTCATAATATTGGCATACTATCATTCCAATCTAATTCTAATTCTCCGTATTTAGTTTTCAGTAAGCATTCGATTAAGGGTGTAATTTTATCACTCGAATCAAATTGAACTCCCTGTATCTCAACCTTCTTTTTCTATTTTCCTAGTTATGCTCCTAATCTTCTTATTGTGATTATTATTAAATCATCCGAATTATTCAATCCATCATAAAACACTAGGTCAAATTCCTTTAAATTGTTTTCTAATATATATATTACATCATACTTAAATACGGTTTGTCCTAAATTACATCATTATTGCAACCAAAAATGACTGAATAATGATATTCTTTGCAAATCACCCATATGGGTAGGAGGGGTTCCTTCAAGTTCTTACCAACTTCAAGATATTAAAAGTGTTCAAATATAGTCAAGAATCCAATCTCACTTCTCTCCTCAATTCCTTTTAATTTCATATCATCTATTTATTTGCATCTATAAAAACTATAAACTTAATTATTACCCGTCAAAACAATTACTAATAGCCTTTCCAGTCAACATGAGATTTACTGCTTCTTGAGTGCAATGTCCATGATTACCAATTAAAGGATTTGTGGCTGAATCCATTTCCAACATGATTTATTCAACACCTTTTGTTAAAATAAGAGAATAGAAGAACAAAGTTACTCCATTTTACCCGAAAAACAGAGATGTATGTTCCAATAGTACTTCATACAAATAACTAAGAGATTTGATTTAATATTCCAAATAATCACAGCTTTCAATTCCTATTGCTTAATTCATAGATGAATCCCTTGCTGGAATTGCTAGAATGAGTCTTTCCTTATTAGATTTATACAGAATATCTGCTAAAGCGGCAAGTAAACAGTTTTATTTTATTGAAGGCTTTGAATAAATAGATTAAGAAAAAAGAAAGTGTTTAAGATAGTAGGCTTAAACTGAGGCCAATACTCCACATGGACCTCCTTCTAACTGATGTAATCCATAAAAAGTAGGTTCATCTTTAAAAATAAAAGGTTATGACCAACTCTTTGGTAATCCAATCATAGTGCCTTAAAATAAGAGTTTTTTGATAGGTTATGTAATGGTTTTTTATTAAGGTTTTCGTTTTCCTTAATTAAAGCCTATACTTTTATCATAATTAAGGTTAGAAGGTGGAAGTTGAACATTATGTTATTTGATATTGCATTTTTGATACTGTACTTTGAAATTTGGATCTTCTTAATTAGTAATATGCTCATCTTTGAGCTACGATATTGGTTAAACCTCCTTTTTTTCAAATTGTTTTTTCATATTGATTAATCTAGGTGGTTGAGAAAGTGGTAACTGGGGTTTATCTTTTTTATCTTATTTAGATTGATCATCTACTATTTGATCTTAAAAATTAAATAATTTGGCTTATTTAAGTGGAGTTTTTCTTGGAACTTCAAATGCTCCTTTATTTGGTGAACATTTTTCCTCTTTTTTTTCTTCTTTTTTTTCATCTTTTTTTTCGTCTTTTTATTCAATCAATAGATCTTCTTATGTGAAATTCAAATTCTTTGGTTTGTACTCTGATTAAGGACGTTTCTTCATCCTATTTTAACGAGATGCTCCAACATTAGACTCAATTGGAATATCTTAAGGGATGTCTTCAATTCTTTCTGCTTTAGTTAGTATTGTTAATTCTTCCAATAATGCTTTTTTTTTGAGAAGGTGGGAGACCAGGATTTCTAATAAACTTTTTAAAGGTTGCTTTTATTCATTATTTCTTCTCACAATTTTTGAAAGTCCTAGTTACAAAATTACATCCATCTTGGTTATAGCAGTCTTATAATTCAATTCTGTGTCAAAGGATTTCAAGGTATCAGTGAGTTCCGACTTAATAAAGAATTCACGAATAAGTGCTTTAACTACAATTTAATGCATTAATATTAATGTCATTCATAAGTGATTATTGTAAATAGATCATCAGACCCCCAAGAAGAACCTACTCAACACAGCAACTAGGTATTAGTACTATACAAATAGGTCCAAAATTACGCTTCATTCAAAGTGTTCCAATAATAAGAGAGGATTTTGAGTTTACATCAAGATAGCTAAAACTTCAAGCTAGTTATTTCATTTCAGAATCTGTTCATCATCGTTGCTTAATTTATCTTCATTGCAATGCCAGTTGTAGATTAGAAGGATTGTAGTATGTAGATAGGTTATTGGCTACCGGAGTCAATTTATGTATTTTCGATTTTGCTGGATGTGGTTTGTCAGAGGGAAAATACATAACCATGGGAACTTATGAAAGTGAAGATGTTAAAGAACTGATGAACTACATTGAATGTCGTTTTGGCAAAGTAGATGAGTTTATTTTATGGGGAAGGAGTATGGGAGCAGTCACAGCACTTATGCTGTCCCAAGACCCTCGAATTACTACGTATATAGCTGATAGTGCTTTTACCTAATTAAGGACTGTAGTTGAAGAGTTAGGCTAATAAAAATTTGGATGCTTTTCATTTATGATCAACGGTTTTATGCCATTTCTAAGAAGCAAGATAATAAATGAGGCATAATTTGATATTGATCAGGTCTCCCCTCTCAATTATGTTGGAATACAAAGCAATTCTAAGCGATTTTATTTCCTGGCTGGAAAAACCGATCAGTTGGTTCATCCTAGACATTCTCAAATGCTCTATGAAAGATGTAAATCTTATAAGAGACTTGAACTATGCGATGGAAACCACAATACAACTAGATAAGTAGAGACATTGGACAAAATATCCAAATTTATCAATTTATTGCAACTAGACCTACCATTCAATACAGACTATTCTAATAAATGCTCAAAATATTTTAAAGAAGCCTAACAATGTCTCAACAGCTACAGGATGCAATAAGAAGAATAAGAAGAATAGCTTAAAGAATACGTTAAACAACTCGAAAGAAAAAGCATCTTGAAGTCATATTAATAACAATAGAGGGACCTTTCAGATCTAGAACAATATTTAGAATGAAGCAATAACCTTAATTTCTATTAAATTTTGAAAATGTTATCTAAATTAGATCTTACAATCCTATATTGTTTTATAATTTACAAAGTATTTTAATTTTAGCTAAGCAAATTATTTTTATGCTATATAAAATTAATCAAATTCCATATACTCTTATTTTTCTCATCTATGTAAATAGATATCCACTCTCATTTGTATACATTTATACAATTAGTTTCGATTATATATAAGTATATAAGTATTCAGATAATAATCAGTTTTCAAAAGAATTTTCAAAAATCATCAGAAATTATTTAACCAACCACTATAAATCAATTCTAAATGTCTTGTATATTTCTTAAAGATAATATAGATATTTTGGTGATTATTAATTTAATATTAAATAAATGGGGAATGGATAGTGTTGTAAAAGAGTTGAGAGAGTAGAAACATTAGAAGTCGATAATACTCCTCCTTAAAATGCAAAAATATGCTCTATTTTTGATGCACCATAGCAAATGATTTCTTTATCTGATTCTGATGAAGACTATTAACCATAAAAATAGCCTCAGTTTGGAGTGTTCAAAGATCACTAAAAAAGTTCTCAGTTATCGACAGGATAATAATACTCATTTTAAAGTCTCCCATCTGAATAATAATTCTCTAATTTTGTAACTTTTTAGGCGATTCCGTCTCAGTAAGGAATAAAAAACAATGTATTTTCCAAATTCCAAAAGGAAATGATTGACGTCTCTAAAAATGTACAACAGCATTAGAAGAACTAGAAACAAAAATGATAAGAGATGATAAATGATTTTTTATACTTAAATGACATTTTATTAACTCATTAATATCAAGTTCATATTTACAAAAGAATTAAATTATATCGAATAGAGCATGATGGATGTCAAAGCGATTTTCATTTACATCTATTTATCCATTCCCTTATGTTATGGAAACATAAACAAATCCCATATTTAACTATCTGTTTTATAATAGATAATATTGAAACATAAATCACTTTTGCAGTTATCTTGAAATTATGCTCAATTTATGAATTTGTTCAAAATAACATGAACAAATTTGATGATTTAATATAAATGATTGTATATATAAACATCTATTAACTTGCTTAGTATTTTTATCTAATATTTATAAATAAGGAATTATCAAAGTAAATCCCAAAAAAACTTATTATATCTTTTACCTTTTGGAAATGAATACTATTTTCCTGATTAAACCTTTATTTCATAATTTCCAGGTCCAGGCACTTTCTATCTCATTGCATCCTAAAAAGGTTTCTTTACTCTGATTTATTTATCAAAGAACACTTTTTCAGTGAAATCTAGAATTTTGAGATTGATGAATTCTTCTGAAGCACTAGAATCATTTTCGCCTGATGATACTTAGTCCTTATTTTTAATTAATTTCTATATAAAGTATTCTTGATGGATATCAACTTTATTAATTTTGGCAATTTTAAATCTTTAGTCTTTTTTAAATGTTCTACCTTTTATTTTATCTTTTGGATAATCAATCAAGCTTGGGCCTATTTTATCTTTACTAACATATGAGTAGTCTCTAAACTTTGGAATTGGTTTAGCTCTCGAGTAATAAGAAACAATATATTTTTGGTGTGGTTTATCTTGAGACCAATGATTCTAAGGCTTTTACATTTTCTATTCTATGCTTATAGATGTGTCAAATTTAGAACAACTATTTTTCGAAATACCTCCCTTTTAAATATCAAAAATATCTTTTCTCGATGAATACTTTCCTATTTTGAGTGAACGATCACTTTTTAGATCCTTAACGTCATAATATTATGGGCCTTTTGAGATTGAAGGTAATATAAAGCATTTTGATCTCTCAGAAGTAGTAAAAGAATGCTAATTTTATTGCTTAGGTAATTCAGTTAATTTTCTTTGCTCATTTAATTGATATTCTTCATAACAATCATTATGATTTTTAAGTCTATGAATAAATGAATCATCATTTTGTAATTTTTTGCTGCTAATTGAACGATGCATAAATTTTTCTTTATTCTGAATTGCTTTCCCCGACAAATCCTTTCTAAGCTCATAATCACTAAATTAATAATGAATATTACCCTGGCCCAGGTATAATTGGTTTAGGATCATATAAATTTTTATATCCAAAACTAAACATAATTATTTATTAGATTAAGTAATTATTTTAATAAATTGAAATTATTTCATTATTGATTAAAGGAATTAATGACAAATACCCAATCATTTTATTTTAAACTACTCATTCAAGATATTTTTATTGTTTTAAACGCTAAATAATAAAACAATTTCGATAAGCCATTTTTTAATAGTAAATTACTTTGAATTCTTTAAAAGCTATAAATGAACCTAATCAATTAAAAAACAAAAATGAAAAAATATTCACTTAATGAATAAGTTATTAAATAATTTCTTTAGTTAATTTATTCACATAATAAGATGTAATATATCAATTTTATGATATATATTTAGATACAATTCGTTTAAAATTGACATTTATAATGTAATACAAAACATCCTTAGATTAAGAAGGAATGAGAAGTATTAGAATTATTGTAACTTAAAATGAATTTAATAATCATATATATTTTATTCATCTTATTTGTAATCTTTCTCTTAAATATTCTTTAAGTGTTACAATTTTATCCTAAATATGATCAACAATTCTTGAAATTAAATCGAGTGATTGGACTCTTTATTATGATTCCATCGAATAAATCTCTTATTATTGTCGACACCATTAATCTTGACCATCCAAATTACTCTAATATATTTATTTTTTATTTACTTAATTTCTATCCACTTCTGCTGAGTGATACTCAACTTTTCCCTCAGATTCTTCTATAATGCTTTAATAATTTAAGATAGCTTATTCTAAGTTCTACCTTTAATCTTACAATGTATTTCTTTCATTAATTAAATCTGATAAAAATTTTTGCCAATTCTAAACTTATTGCTTTTCAATATCCTCATCTTATGATTTGCTCTCCACAATTTGAACTCTTAAATTAGCCAATAATTAAAGAACCTTCTTTGCTTACTCATTATCAGCCTTGGAACTCATTTATGTCATCATTGAGATAATTGGCTAAAATAAGAGTCCTGCTGATGTTGACTGACTATCTTTATATATAAAAATGATTTACTTTTATAATCTAGAAAGAACCTTCGTGAACCTGCCTTTTACTTGGATGAATGAGGATCCACTTGAGAGATGTTCGACCAACGAATAGGCTTCATCTATAGCAGTTATTGATTCTATGTGATCCTTTTATTTCGATTAAAATTCAGAGTATTGCAAATCTCTCTCACTTTGTCCTTCGTTTGTTTTTCTTTGGTTCTCCTCAATCTCAACCGATACTTCTGCAATTTTGTTCAAGGATTTCTCTAAATTTCTTGTGTTTTCCTAGTATATATCAGCAAATCTACTTCAATTATTTTGGAATGTGCCTTAAACTATTATTGATGATATGCAAGATTTGTTGCAAAATCGTGAAGCAACCTATTACAAGAGGCTTCAGTATTTTGTATAAATAAGTCAGCATCCTTCTACTCTTACTCAATCATGAATCTGTAAGCGTTATAAACTATTTGAATACCTGATATTGTTAATATAACTCTAAATTTCATGAACAGGTGATCCAGTTGCTAAGCCAACTTAAATGGCATTCAAGAAAATTCTTCCTGTTCTTTAAGAATCAATTTCTGTTAATATCATTTTCGAATCTTTCGTAGTTGCAGTCGTAAATACAAAAGAGAGGCATAGAATTAAAATATTTTTCATTGAACTTAATAAATTAAATAAAAACGAATTTTTGAATAAAAAAGTTGCTACATTGTCTTCAGTAATCCTTCTATTAGGATCAAATTCAAAACACTGAGCCGAATCTTAATCCGCTGTTCAATAAAGGAATCAAATAGCCCCTTTATAAGTACTCAATTTAAGTAGGAAAATAATTTTACTTCCTGAATAAATCAAGAATTAAGTAAAATTATGATTGAAGCAAATTTAATATTAATATCCTATAAGTAAATAATCTTGTTTCATATAATTTTATTGATTGTGGTGTAAAATCGTAAACTATATATTATTATTAAATTATCTTATCTATTCTTGAAAATAATGTGCTTTCATCTCAAATTAACTTTTTAAAACTAGACATGCGCATTTCCAATTAGCATCACTTATAAATCAATCGAATAATGCTAAAATTTGGATATTCCAAAATAATTAAATTTTAAATGCATAATCTATATAAAGAGAATATAAAAAGAAAAATGGAGTATTTAGAAAAAACCGAGATCGGCCATATTCGAATTGACACGGGAAATCTCAACATATTTCAAATCTGCCGCCTTAGACCACTCAGCCACTAAGCCTTTATTGAGAATTTATTCTGAGAATTAAAGAGATAGATGATCTATAAAAATTTAGATTTAAGCCTTTTAAAAGATTTTTAATTGTTAAATTAAATTTGCTTTAATTTTTCAAACAATTGTTAAAATAAACTGAAAAGTTTACGATCATCTAATGGAAGATTGTTCATGGATTTGTTGTTTTTACTCGAATTACAAAAAACTACTCTATTATTAACAGTTTTCTTTTCTAGTTTTTCCTCATTTTAAAATTCGACTATTTTAGATGATTAAACAATTAAATTTTGCTGAGATGATAAATTCATTAAAATTAATAAATCAATAGATTCTTATTTGATCAACTTTTTAATCATTTTATAATTCATTTTTTCTATTCTGTTTAGTTTATAAAGAATACTCAGTAATTTTTAGTTGTTATTAATTTAAATGATAAAAGAGTTTGGATGAATTAAAAATAATGATTCCTAAAAAATAAATAACAAAGGTGGAAAAAGTGGATAAATAATGAAGTTATGAATAGGAGTAACATCCTAAAATAATATATAGTTTAGAAATATATAATAAATTTAGCATAATCACATAATTGAGCATGCTTAAACATTATTGCTAGATGGTCGCTAAGAGTCATTTAATTTTTCATCCACAGATTGATAAAGTCTTTCAGATTAGGCTGGGGCTCCCAATTAAGGGATGGGCATGGTATTCGGTCTCATAGTTTGTTGAACTCCACTTATAGGTTTTTAATAGGAACCCACCAATTGTTAAGCTGTCTATTGATCCCTAATCTTTTAAGAAGATGTCACAGAATTAGCCTTACTATTTGGTCTGAATTATTACTCTGGAAGAGCTGATCCCTAAAACCCTGGATTCATGAATTATTATTGAGGAGATTATTAAATTTAATTGGTTTATTAATAGAATTCTCCAGAGAAATTGGTTTAACTTAGATCTTATTGTTCTTAGCCATAATTTTACATTTTAAAGGCATTGCCCATAGTTTAATGAAAATCGATGACTTACAATTTTCCGGAGGCAACACTTGATTTAGGTTCACTTTTGAGTGTGGCTTCTTATGACCTATCCTCTGCATCTCTTTGTTGTAATCTTTCTAATAACTCCTTAGGATCATTATAAAGAGAATATTGAATAGTTCCTTGGTTATACATGGGTTTTTGAACTTTGAAGGAGATGCTGCTGGGTTATTAAATGAGTTAAGTGGGCAGCCAATATTACTGTAGATTGGGCATACCTCCACCAAATCTACGTTCCAACATATCAGGGTGAAAGCCATGAGCAAGTGGAGCAAAAGATTTAGATTCCCAAATTTCAATTTTTTTGAATGTCCTACTATCCAACATCTAATGATAATTATCCCAATTCATAAGTAATTCTTTCGATGGATTAAATAGATAGAGACGATCTAAGATCTGTGGAAAGTTTTAACTCATCATCCAAATAATGACTTGAAATGTTTTTTAAGGGAAATTGTAAAGACTCATTTAATCCGTTTCGACAATAACAACTATGTTTTCAACTTTACCTGGATAGAACATATAATCCTCGCAGATTACAAATAGGATGGAAAGAGCATGAATAAAGGCATCTGAGTCGAATAGATAGAGATCCATCATGTGTAAATTAATAACTATAATTGGACGATATTGATAGTCTTTGCCACCTATATAGACTAAACCTTCTCTCAAACATAGGAGCACTTTTTCTGGGATATTAGACAGACGACTTGTATTCAGCCAATATATATGTCGTTTATATAACTAATTGTGATGGAATTTAAAATACTTCTAGACAATTAGTCATATTGAAATATCCTGCATAAAGAAATCTTAATAGTACATCGTCAGAACTCACACTTATGTTTGCTCCTCTAATGATATCTTTGAATTGTTGAATTTATTTCTTTTCGAAATGATCATATTCGACTGATTAAAAGATCCTTCTAGTTGCTGTCCTTTCAATACCTTCTTTTATATAACCATCTTCATGGTGTATCTCTTCAACTGTTCTTGGTTTGAGTTTCAAGTAATCAAATTGACTCCCAAACATTTTAATAAATAAAATGAATTTGATCAAGAAAAAATTGCAAACCCTCCCAAAAGATTACAGAGCCAAAATCATGCTAAGACTCTATGCTGGTGTTGCCAAACCAAGTCCTAAGATGGGTCAATCATTGGGTCCTTTGGGAATCAATATGATGCAATTTTGCAAGGAATTCAATGCTGCAAGTTAAGCCTTTAGACCAGATGTTCCTCTCAGAGTTTAGGTTATCGCCTTTCCAGACAGAACATTCAAATTCCTGATCAAACCACCTGAAACTACTTGGTTTCTTCGAAAGGCAACAGGTATGATTCAATCCATTAATCTTACTAATAGGCACTGATAAATTCACTAATTTCCCTGGTTATATATGGTATGATACCATCTCTTTGCAACAAGTGTATGAAATAGGTAATAGACATATCATAATGAATTCATTAGCCAAAGTTAAATAAGAAATGGATCCCCACTTAAAACATGTCTCACTACCAGCCATTTGTAGAATGATTATTGGATAATTAGCATCTTTGGGGTGCAATTTGTCTACATAGTATTTTAAGCCAGAAACAGTTGTTAGACCAGAAATAAAGAGTTGATATAATATTAAAATATGAATTACGAAACACCTCATACTCAAAAAATGTTTGCTCCCTTGTAACCCTCCACACAGGTAGATCTCTCTCACTACCTTTTTACTAGATGCAAAGTCCTTATTAGCAGCTGTTTCTATTGGAAAACAGAGTCCCTGTTGATAGTTAGCCACAATAGGCAATCTAAAAGAAAATAAAGAAAATACTTCACATTCAGTAACCTCCTACCCTAGTCAAAAATAAATTACCTTAAAAAGTGGATTAGTAGATCTCAAAATATGTGAAAGGTTAAAATTAATATCCCATGTAAAACTATTACTCAATTATTGATCTTATAAGGCAAAATTAGGATTTGAAAAATGAGTTAACTGAAATTGAAAAAGACATCCTAAATTATAAAGTAATTATTGATATATGCTTAGAGTCTAGTAGACATCAGAACAAAGAAATGATTTTTTATATAATGTATATATCAGNTGGGATATTAGACAGACGACTTGTATTCAGCCAATATATATGTCGTTTATATAACTAATTGTGATGGAATTTAAAATACTTCTAGACAATTAGTCATATTGAAATATCCTGCATAAAGAAATCTTAATAGTACATCGTCAGAACTCACACTTATGTTTGCTCCTCTAATGATATCTTTGAATTGTTGAATTTATTTCTTTTCGAAATGATCATATTCGACTGATTAAAAGATCCTTCTAGTTGCTGTCCTTTCAATACCTTCTTTTATATAACCATCTTCATGGTGTATCTCTTCAACTGTTCTTGGTTTGAGTTTCAAGTAATCAAATTGACTCCCAAACATTTTAATAAATAAAATGAATTTGATCAAGAAAAAATTGCAAACCCTCCCAAAAGATTACAGAGCCAAAATCATGCTAAGACTCTATGCTGGTGTTGCCAAACCAAGTCCTAAGATGGGTCAATCATTGGGTCCTTTGGGAATCAATATGATGCAATTTTGCAAGGAATTCAATGCTGCAAGTTAAGCCTTTAGACCAGATGTTCCTCTCAGAGTTTAGGTTATCGCCTTTCCAGACAGAACATTCAAATTCCTGATCAAACCACCTGAAACTACTTGGTTTCTTCGAAAGGCAACAGGTATGATTCAATCCATTAATCTTACTAATAGGCACTGATAAATTCACTAATTTCCCTGGTTATATATGGTATGATACCATCTCTTTGCAACAAGTGTATGAAATAGGTAATAGACATATCATAATGAATTCATTAGCCAAAGTTAAATAAGAAATGGATCCCCACTTAAAACATGTCTCACTACCAGCCATTTGTAGAATGATTATTGGATAATTAGCATCTTTGGGGTGCAATTTGTCTACATAGTATTTTAAGCCAGAAACAGTTGTTAGACCAGAAATAAAGAGTTGATATAATATTAAAATATGAATTACGAAACACCTCATACTCAAAAAATGTTTGCTCCCTTGTAACCCTCCACACAGGTAGATCTCTCTCACTACCTTTTTACTAGATGCAAAGTCCTTATTAGCAGCTGTTTCTATTGGAAAACAGAGTCCCTGTTGATAGTTAGCCACAATAGGCAATCTAAAAGAAAATAAAGAAAATACTTCACATTCAGTAACCTCCTACCCTAGTCAAAAATAAATTACCTTAAAAAGTGGATTAGTAGATCTCAAAATATGTGAAAGGTTAAAATTAATATCCCATGTAAAACTATTACTCAATTATTGATCTTATAAGGCAAAATTAGGATTTGAAAAATGAGTTAACTGAAATTGAAAAAGACATCCTAAATTATAAAGTAATTATTGATATATGCTTAGAGTCTAGTAGACATCAGAACAAAGAAATGATTTTTTATATAATGTATATATCAGTATAAATAAAACCAATTATCTATTCTAAACTCTTGAAATAACTATGCTATAATTCAGAACAACTAAAGAGTCAATAATTTAAGTATAACAATTAGGCTTAATTAACAAATTTCAATTGATGCTTAATTATGAACTTTCAATGAATTCATCTCTTATTATCTGTTATAAAAATAGAAATATCTTAAGCTATTCTTTCCGAACTTTAGAATGAAATAAAAATGAGCAATTTTAATGAATATTTAGTCAAGATTTATTAGATTTAAATGAGATAGAAAGATGAATTTTCAAATTGCTTTCAAATTAAATTTTCATTGACTGAAGCATATCTATTTAAGTAAAAGTAAAAGACAATATTCTAAGTTTAATGAATCATAGTAAAAATCTCATTTTTCTTGATTAATAATTTTTCCCCATTATACATTAGAATTTTGACTTTCCATTTTAATTTTATCAATCTATAGCTTTTCTGTTAAATACCATCAATTTTTTATTCTATCTGGTCTAGTATAAAACAAAGTTTTTTTCCTCAATATTATAAATACATTTTATGGCTACTAATAATCAAGCCAATGCCATAGGATAAGGTAAAATATTAAAATATAGTAGAAGCTAAAAGGGGAAAACCGCCTAAACGATAGGGAGTATCTAATCCTTCAAATATAGTTTCAGACTCGAATTAACCAGAGATTTGGTATCAATCTCAAGAAGCTACTGAAATAATCATAATATTAGCAGCCTAGGGGCGAATTTTGTTCTAATGTTTGAGTGGAAAAAAGAAAAAACAGATAAGCAGAATTACCAAGCCTTCTAGTACCAAAAGATCATATTCTTTAACGAAATTTAGAAACAGTCGATAAGATTTTGTAAAACATGCCGAGGTATAGTAGTTGATTAGAATAAAATTTAGACCCTTTAAAACTAGTTGTTAAAAAAACTTGAAGAACATTTAGAAATCGAATTAATTGGCTAATAGAAGCAGATGGACTATTTTTTTTTTTAAGACAACAAGAAAACTAATCTTGCCCAAGAACCATAGATGAAAGTGATGAAGCTATTAAGCCCTTACATTCATAAAGATTTCTAAGAAACATTGATAACACTGCTAAAATTACAACATATTTCTAAAATAAACCAATCCATTAAGGGTGATTTATCTAATATTAATAAACATAAACATTTTGTAAGTTGGGCATTCATCATAGCTTGGGGAAAAAAAATAAGAAGTCACTTAACGAGATTATAATAGATTAGAAACGATGACGAATTAAGAGAGGCAAGCTTATTGGCTAAAGATTTGATGGATGAATCAAAGGAAATTTTGAAATAGAAAACACAAGAAGTTGAATAAGAGATCAGCTAATTAATTAATAGTTATAGGCAGGATTACAAAGAAGAAATAAAAATTATAATAAATGAGTTTTTATATAGAAATTAATAGAATAACTCTGAGTTTGAATAAAATTCATATTTAGAAGTTTATTGACATAATTATTTTATAAACAATTTTTAAATTTCGAATGCACATATTTGAACAGAAAAATATAATATTTAGAACACAATCTGAGACAAGCAAATATTTTATCGAAATTTCAAGTTGATTCTAAATTTCATATACACTATGTCATTTATATTATAATTCAATATTGTTATTGTTGCTGAAATTTACATATTATGTTAAATCCTAATTTGTTTATTCTTGAGGCTGTCCATCAATTAGTGCTCCGGTAGAGGCTGATACAAATAAAAATGAGTGAAGAAATGATATAAGGAATCTAATTTAATAATTTTTATTACCCAATTCCAATATAGGTGAATATAGAATCTCCACAAAACATATACAAAATAATAACATTCACTAAATAATGTTAAGTTTATTACATAAAAACAATAGAACCTTCTTTTTATCCGTTGTTAGGAAACCAAAATTGGGAATGTGATCCATTAGGTCATCATTTTTCAAAGCAATGTACCAGCTAAGTATAATATAAAAAGTTGATACAAGGCGATGCTTAATCCAACACTCATTAGGAATACCAAGTTTGTTAATCCTCCCAAGACAACAATAGCAATTGTGAATTAGGAATACGTAGCACCAAATTTAGAGAAATTCTCTGACAGTCTGGACATAACTTAATCACTTTTTGGGAGTGCATAACTTGAACTGTCAAAGACTTTCTTATCACTACTTTTATATTAACAAGTACATTTAGGGCTTTTGGAGGACTTAATTTACTTAATTCATTATAAATATTTATAATTCATTAATTATTTTTAGGGGCATAATGGTCAAATTAGATTTTCTGATTAAGATCAATTCTTTTCTTTATACTATCAAATTAAGTTAAGTCAAACTTTTAGTTCTTCTTTTATTCTGTATGCTTGTAAATGAAATCATCCACTTCATCTAAAGTAATGGATATCTAAAGATGTAATTCATTATATTACTTCATCATCATTATCTTCGTTCATAATGTTGTTGAATTCAGTAACTATGATACATTATTTGATCTATTGTTCTTTGAGTTGCATTTTTTATTATGAGATTTACGTTTGCATTTAATCATCAGATATTTTTCCAAATAATTCATCCTATTTGACTTTCCTTAGACATGATTTTAAAGGGAGAGTTTGCAATTATGATAAATCATTTTAATGTTTAGAACTTTGAGTTATCAAATTATTTCCTGCCATTTTTAAGACTTTTTCCTCTTATAACTTTTTCCATTAGATGATACTATAATATTGCTAGTTCTATTCTAATTCAGAGAAATCTTGAGTATCATTCTCTGAAGATATCACTACTTCTTGTTCTTATTCATGTTCTCTATTTTTTTGTGATACTTTTCTGTTTTGACTTTGTCTTTTTTTCTACATGTATTCAAAGGGTGATTTATTTATAGTGTGAATCACATTTTTTTCAATGCAAAATGAAACACTTTTGAGCTTCTAATCATCTAGGCTTGGTTTTCTCAAATTGACTTGTATTGTTAGTCTTACTCAAAATATGTTAATGCACATGATCATTATTAAATTTAAAATATGTACGAATGTTTATATGATATATATGAAAAACTCAGTTTTGAAAGTGTTTATGTAATTGCTCCTAATAAATCAATTATTCTATTTAAAATCCAGCTCCTGAATACTTTTTGCCTAATATCTACTTTAATTCCTTATACATCTACCGAATATATTTAATATGAAGTTACCTCTTATGAGCTTTGTTTATTTTGTATTGCACTCAGAATTCTATTGTAAGCAATATTAAACAAATCCTAAGGAATCTATTACAAGATACTGTTTTTTAGGTTTTCTATCATAGAAATTTTAGGCTTGAATTTCTCATCAGTCTTGTAAAAGCTAGAGGAATAAGAAGATTCAGGTTCTTCTTAGATTTCTAAATAATACTCGAATTAGTGGTTTACCTGCTAAAGTTTCATTAGCACTTTTAGCTTTGGCTAATTCATTTTTATAAACTTCGACCACATTTTATAAATCTTAATCAGATTACCTTTGAGTTAGTCTTGTTCCATCCATCTCATCACCTAGAATTTCTTCATTGATGACAGTTTCATTTTAAAATTCATTATCAGAATCATAATCTTCAAAATCATCATAATACTCGAAATCTTCTGGGTATTCATCATTTTGATGATCCATTGTTTATTATTTTGAAGATTATTCCTTCTTTTAAGCTTATTTTTACTTTAAACTTAATAAGCTTTTCTTCATAACTTCTTCATCAATAGGTTTGAATTTAGAAGAAGATTATAAGCTTTATTCAAAATTAATATTTGAGAATTACTATTATTATTATTATTATTATTATTATTATTATTATTATTATTATTATTATTATTATTATTATTATTATTATTATTATTATTATTATTATTATTAATATTAAACTGCACTCTTCTTTTATGGTGATTCTACTTATTATTATTTTTAATAAAATTATTATTGTGTTGTAGTCTATTATATTTCTAATTGTTTCTATTGGTAGAATTGTGATTGAGTACCATAGAGATTTTATATTTTTCTTAATTCAGCCTATTTTTAGTTTTGCTGACTAATATTTTAAGCTGCTTTGGATAACATATCTATCTTTTATTAGGTTTCTTGTTCTTTCTTTAATTTTAAAATAGATTTTGGAGATATTTACTTTGGTTCTGATTCTAAAAATTGTGAAGCTTAACTCATAATAGTTTCACCAATAGTATATCTACTTGCGTTATCAATCTGCTCTATTTATTTTTAAAAGTCTTACGTTTATTTAATGATTGAGATAATACAGTCTAATTAATAATTTCATCATCTTTTTCTTTATTGATTTCGTCTTTAATAGAGTGTTCATATGATTCTTGATCTTATTTAAGTTGGCTTACTGGATGTTATTAGATTTAATGTAAATTATGTGCTTAAATTTCATGTTATTTAATTTTTTTAACTCCAACAACTGAGCAGAAATTCTATTTGCCTCCACTCCTAATAAAATCTTGCATAACAGATTAAATGAAGGGCATATTGATAATTTCAGCAACAAGGGGACGTGATTGCACTTGTTTTGTAAGAAGTCTATGAATTAATTATTGCAGATCCTTTGAATAATGAGAAGGTAGAGTTTCAGTTTATCCATTCAGAATTTTAGTTACCAAACTCAAAATATTCTTAGCATCAAATGCATGTTTGAAAGTGCATAATTCATGCAGAACACATCCAAGAGCCCAAACGTCAGATTTAAAAGTATATGGTTTATTTTCACAAACTTCTGGACTATTATCAGAAAGACTTCAATACCTCATATAATATGGAGTACCAGCTACGGTTGATGCTTAGTCGAAAGTGCTTTCTAATACTTTAGAAACTCCAAAATCTCCAAGTTTTACTACGAATAAGGTTGAAATTCCTTACCTGTTCCATTCGAGGTTAGAAAGATGTTACTAGTTTTAATGTCTCTATGCAATATCTTTTTAGAGTGGATAAATTATAGAGCAAATAATTATTGAATAAACCAATTCAAAATCATTTTCTCAGGAAAGTATTGGATTTATTTACCTTACTTTCTTTTTTTAATGTGATACTGTAAATCTCCTTCTAAACAGAGTATAAGATTATATCCTTTACCTTCGCAATATTCCATTAAAATTATCAACTAACTACTATCTGCAAAGCTTCCCATGTATTACACTATGTTTGGATGATCAAGACTTTTTAACAATTCCGCTTCTCTCAAAGCACTTATTTTCTCTTTCTCTGACAACTTCCCCAAATGAACCTTTTTAGCCACCGATAATTGGCCAGTCTTTTTATTCTTAACCAAATAAGCAGATCCTATTCAGATGGAATATCATGATACCATAACTTCCGCTTCCTATTGTCTCTAATTCTTCATAGAGATCTGAGTATTTAAGTGACATAAAAATAAATATTAATGATTAATGTCAATAGAAAAATAAGAAATTTTTTATTGAAGATCAATTCATTATTTTTTTGGTTGCTCGCTTTTAGAATTCATTTTTATTGTAAAACGCAATCTACAACAATTGATTTAAGTTTTGGTTCTTGCGATAATGGATTGATATTTGATAATGTTCACCATCTATGCTACTGTAATACTTGAATATCCCTTATTATGAATTTATTTACAGTTGATTAAGTATGTATTTCCTCTTTTCTATGTTAAGACTGAGTATTCCAATGTATTTTTTAAAATGAATATAGATTTATTATCCTTTTTTTGAATTGCATAATTTTTAACAAAGTTCTTTGCTTTTATTCCATTTCTGAAATATAGTATTCATACTCTAACAAATCCACTCCCAATTCCAATACTTTCTCCTTAGAGATCTTATCTCCATTTTTACAAAATACTTTCACTTAGTTGAACTACTTTTTTGTATACTTTTACTTGACACTTACTACAAATTATACTCTTTGCAGTATCAGTTGCTACCTTAAGTACGCTTTTGCATGAATAGATTCATTCTAAAAACTTTAATGAACTCAAATAAACTTTTATCTATTTCAACTTAACAGATGGATTTTTTGGATATATTAAATTTAATCATACCATATTCCAATTGTTAAATCTTAAGTAGAATTTACAATTTTATTCTTAGTTATGCACTTAACTAATAAATGAGTTAAACAATCCATTAAATTTGAAGAGAATTTGACTATCCAAAATTATGAAGTATAAGAATTAATATACCTCCAAAAATTATAATTAAATTATGCAAAAATAAACTTAGTTGACCAAGTTTTTCTCAAAGAAAACCTAGGACTAGTAGTAATCTCCTGTCAGAACCAAATTCAATTAAGATGTAAGGTTATAAGTGAATATTTTGGTAGTTATTCTTTTGTACTCCTCCAACATAAGAAATTCAATTCAAGACAGATAATCCCAATGCTAAGAAGAAAGGCCCTATTAATTTAGACAATTGGATTCGGAAGTCTTCCTTATAATAAAAGAAGTGGTATTTTTACATCTCATATGAAAAAGGCCATTTTTACCAAAAAATTTGATCTATTAGATTTACAAATTCTTACAGTTAAGAGAATGCGCTACTTGTTCCTAAGTTTGCAAATTCTGGATGATTTGCTACAATGATATCTATTTCTCTTATAGTTTCTTCAGGGAGTTCGAAACATCAAGGTAATTCATTCAATTTAATTATTTGAGATTTAATGAGAAGGAACTTGCTACTGTGTTGAAACGATCGAGCAAACAATTGAAGCACATTAAGAAAGTAAGAGACATAATAAAGGGATAAAAAATAAGTTCATTTTTGGAGAAAACAGAACTAAGCACAATGTTATCAGATAACTCATAACAACAAGGATCTCTGTTAGAATTATTTAAATTAGAACCAAAAAAACAATATGCATCTGTGTTTTTGACGGATAAAGATTTAAATAGCATTTGTACAGAGAGTTAGTAATATTTTTTAATCTAATCATTTTAGTAAATCACTTCAATATATACAATTGATAAGCTGTTAATTCATGACTGGCAAAGGATTTGAAATTATAGGAAAATGTTCCCAATTAAGCCTAATAAATATCTAAAGCAATGGCAATTTGAAGGATGATAATATCAAAATTATCTTAGAGTAACTACAAGGACTCAAGACCTTAATGCTGTTAAAATGCGATGGCTTAACAAATTACATTTTTGAAATAATAGGAAATACGTGTAAAAGACTTGAAAGGCTAGACATTGGAAGCAATCCTTAGTTGGATCTAAAATAAGTAAGTCATTTGTCTATCTAATCTAATAGTGTAGTTCTTTGAAGACGATTGAAACTTTGCAATCATTTTCAATCAAGGACAACGTTGTGACAAACGAGGCTTTAGAAATAATTACCACCAATCTCTACAAATTGCATAGTCTCAATCTAGAGGGATGCCAGGAAATCAATAGTTATTCTCTGAAGCAAATCTAGAAATTGAATTTGCAGAGAATAAATTTGAAAAAAATATAATTCAAGGAGGAGGGTATTATTTAATTGCTATAATATAGACATTTACAATTTTATTCTTAATGCACAGAGTATAAAATTAATGCTTGTGAATAATAATTTATTGAGTACTCGTGTAGAGAAGATCATCCTTTCTAGACAATGATTGCCTGATATTACTCTTTTAGTTGTTTATTATTTCAATATTTTATTTAATTGCAAAATGATTGAACCACCTTAAGGTCCTATTCCAAGAGAAGTCGCCAAATGGTTAGATTCATTAGACTTGGCCTATTAGGTTCGTAATTTCAGGAGAGATCTAGCTAATGGGTACGATTATATCCTACAGTAGTTTCATCGTTGCTGAAATATTATCCAGATACTACCCTAAAGAAGTTAATATCTACACAGTATATAACGAATAGAATCTGGATAAAAAGCGTGATAATTGGGAATAGATTTCAAAGTTATTGAAGAAAAAGGACCTCCAAGTTTCAAAAGAAGAATATGAACCAATTTATTATTAAGCTCCAGATGCAGCATAAGCTTTCCTCTTTAAAATTTATGAATTCGTAACTAAAAAGAAAATAGGCACCATATTTCCTGAAAAAGACAACAGAGATATGAAGAAGCAAGTTAAATAACAAGCGACTCTGTAAAGAACTAAACCCATGACTGTCTAACCTACATATGCAAGACCAACAGCGAATACAATTATCAAAGACAGAGAAATAACTAGAGTTGTTGATGAAAATGAGAGGAAAATGTTAACTAAAGAAGCAATTCAAGAACATGTTGAAAAAGTCAGAAATGATAAGAAAGATGATAACATCATTGAATATCTTATCCTTAAACGAAAAAAATAAATAGAAGAAGAAATTAAAAAGCAAGAGGAAGAATTACTCAAAAAGCAAATGAAGTTCAATAAGAAACTTGTTAATCTAGATTAATCAATCTCTTAAACAGGGCAAGATGTTAAAGAAATATAAATTAATTGTTATCATAGCAGTACTAGTAAAAAAGCAAAAGAACAACAAGGTTAATTGCTAGAGACAAAAGGTGTAATTGATTTCTTACATGAAGCATGCGCTTCACTATTCAAGAAAGATCCCATAAAGAAGGATATCTAAGATTTGAAGCTTGAACCAAAAGAATCCCAATAAAATAATGGCTTTTAAGTTAGCAATCAGAATGTTCAATATACAGCTGTAATCTAATAACTCTTTTAAAGATGTGACGAGGTTTAAAAAAAGTCATTGAAACTTCTACTAACCCAATTTATAGATGTTCAGTCACAATTAATTCTAGAATAAGTTCAGAGTAATTTTATAGGTATTCTCTATATGCGATATTTTAGATTTTAAACGATTCTTTTAAATATTTCTAAGACCCATTCAAGTCTTGAAACCAACTTCAAAAACATATCAATATATTTTAGAATTAATAAGGTTTATTGGATCTAAACTAGTGGAAATAGATCCTAATGATACATAAATGATGTTTGAAAGCATCTTATTAGATTAGCTACTGCAAATTGCTCTAAGAAATCCAAAGAAGAGAGAAGACATCGTGTAGCTATTCTTTGTTTTCACACCAATTAATTGTGTTAATAGAACTTAGCTATTGAAAAGTATTAAGAGTAAATTATCTACTGATCTTAATTCATTCACTCTCATTTTAAGTATTTTAATACAGTCTGATTATCCCAGTCAAGATGAAGAATTGTATAGGTTTTTTCTCAATTATGCATTTAATTCATTAGATTCACCATCTCCACTTACAAGAGCTAATGGTTTAAGAATTATCAATTAAATTTCTAGTTGGGATTACCTGCCAGTTCTATAGAAGATCAACAGAATTCAAAAATTAATGAACGATTCCTGGTGGGAAGTTAGAGCTCAAGGCATGAGTATTTGCGCTGATCTATTATTACAAATTGCTTAAAATTAAAATCAGAGTATGGATGAATAAGAGTTTACTATTGACTTTGAGTAATCTAAACAATTATTATTGGATTTAATTTATTAAGTGTTTGTTGTTTCAACAACTCCAAATGTAATTAGAATTGGATTAATCTACCTTGCTCCTGTTTTGTAAATGTATTCGGAATTGTGTCCTAGATATTTAGAGATCCTATTATCAGTTGATTCTGAAATCAGAGTTTCAGTTTTAAATACGCAAGAAACATTAATTCAGCAAGTAGTAAATGGCTGCAATTCATTCCGATACAAAATCACTGGAGCTCCTATAGTTTGGAATAGTGTTGGCATTGCCTAAGCCATGGATGTATACGTGAAGGAAAAGGAATTACAAGTTTTTAAGCATGAACATTTGGAAATCATTTATGGATGTTTACACAAGTAATTATTGGAATCTGACGGTGAGATTTGGCTTAAAATATTTGAGAATACCAAAAAACTTTTGTTTCTGGCTTTGTCAAATGAAGATTTATGTTAAATAGCCTAGGTCATCTTGCAGAAATTCTTTATGTTTTAGACTATTCAATAATAAGTATTGGACAATTCCAATGAAATATTCTAAAGGATGCTTTAATTGATTTATCATCCAGATGTGCATTTAAAATGTAAAGAAAACTTATTGGAGTTCTTCACATTTTTACAATAGCAAGGGGTACTATTTAATATTTATCATTTTAGTTCTAAAATTATTGTTATAATATAATTAAACAATTTTCTGAGAAGAATAAGAATATGTTCTTAAATAGTAATTTGGTCGAATTCATGAATGGGTTAGCTAAAGAAAAAAGAAGGGAAATTATGGGTGATGAAAATTATTGAATTATTATTCTATTTAATTTAATATATGAGGAGATTAATAAAGTAATCATTAATAAAATTATATATTTTATTTTTATATCATCAATTGTCCGTTTTATAAATTTATCTTAAATAATATCGTAATAGGTCTGTGTATATATCCAACTCTTTTAGTATGGCCTCCTTTTCCTTCATGTAGAGAATCTATTCTCGATCATAATCTTATTGCAACAATAACGCAATTATTTCCATCTTTCTTTTACTATTGTCACATTCTTAATTTTCTCCATTGAGAATGGTTAATTGATCATCCAAATCAATCTAGGTATAACAATTGATTTACCTTTCTATCCCCTTCTATATCAATTAGTTTCTTTAATATTTCATTTTCCTTTAGCAATTGAGTACATAATTAATCAATTTTATTAACGGAATTGATAGAATTTAAAGTGATACTCTATTAATCTTTGTCAATTTTTTCTGAAATTTCTTGTGATGTCGTGATAATCAAATATCTATTTTTTTCCATTGATTTTTAGGATGAATAAGGCAATTATTATGAATGTGATTAAATTTAACTGAATTCAGTTGACTCTACAGCATTTGCATCTTTTTCATCTTAGTATGCCTCCTCTATGTGAGTAATTAATAAAAGTTACAGATTAATTTTATAACTGAAGCTTCTTGTTCAGTAACTTCTAGATTCAATTATTCATACAAGCTATTACTTTGCAGCATTTCCAGGAGACTTCCACCACTACTTTACTATTTAATAATAATAGAATACTGCAAACGACTTTTGTAATTGGATGGATAGTGTTTTAGCTTCCTTTTAATCTTTAAGCAACTTGATATTGTTAACATTTGATTTGCATCTATGATGATTTATAAAAGTTACTTCAAATCCTAGAGACTTTTACGCCTTTGAATATTTTTATCAATCTTTTATTTATTGGTCTCAATAGTTTAAGTTGATTAATTGATGGATTCAGAAATAAATTCATTCTGACTGTTTCTGGATTGGCATTAGGCTTCTTGTTCAGCAACCATTTCAGTGAAACCACAAATTTAATCATTTTTTTTAGTTGAATACTTTTTCCATGTCATTTCTAATAGGTCTAACCTTTTCGTGGTTGCATCTTTGAGATCCTTTACAATCTGAATGGCTTCTTCTTGTTAAAGTTAATCTTAAGCATTGGCAATGAATAGCAGAAATAGAAGAACGATAGCTCTCATTAAATTAATATACTATAAATAATATAAAACGAATTATTATAATAGTCATAATTATTATTATTGTGCTGTAAGTTCTTTGAGCATTGGATAAACATTTTTCCCATTACTTTACCATTCTTCCACTGCTCTTTACGCCCATGAAGTGAATGTTCTGCTACAGCACTCTTTTTTTCTGAGTATTTCTTCAGCTTCATCTAATTCCTAGAGTATTTGTTATTCTCTCAATTTCTATTGTAGATTAATAAACACAAAGAAATACTTGCTTTTCTTCAATTTAAGAAAGCTGAAAGTTCTTAAGCTAAACTCTCCTTAATCTAATTTATTCATTTTCATCATCTTCCATCTTCTTTAGTTCCTCAGCTCTCTATTTCCAGTACTCTTAAAACTCTTTATCATTTTTTACTCTTTATTCTTAATCCCTACTTCTAAATTCTGAAGTAATCTTCCTACTTTCATCTATATTCTTCTTCAATTAGATTTGTTTTTCTCTCTTTATTCTTTCAACCTCTTCTGCTTTAATTTCTGCTTCTTATATCTACTTATTTAGTATTCTCTAATGTTCATTCTCAATTGATTCTAACTTAGCTATTTATGCATCAATCAATCTTTGTCTTTATTCTTGTTTTTCCTTAAATTTGAGTTCCTCTCTTTTTTTTCTCATTTCCATGATTTTTTCCTTCTTTTCCGCATACTCTCTTATTCTTTCATCATCCTCCAATTCTTTCAACCTCTAGAGTTGTTTCTGTTCCTTTATCTCCTCATTGCCTCTCTTAACCTCTTCTATGTTAGCTAATCTCTTCCTCTTCCTCTCATTTTCAGCCTCCTCTTCATCTTTAATCAGTTGCTCTGCCTTAGCCTTGTTCAATTAACCTTCAATTCTATCATTTTATATTTATTTGATATGATTATTGACCATTTCATCATGTTACTATTTCAATATTTTTCGTTACTCCATTTTCTTTTTCTTCATCTCTTCCAATTTAATTTCCTCTATCTATTGTAATCGTGCTACATTCTCTAACACCTCTTCGTGATGAGCTTCCTCCTTCATGCTAAGTATAGATTGATTTAACTAATTTACTCCAAGATAGTTTTCTTGTATTTATTCAATTCCACTTGTGCATCTCGTTCTTAGATAACATCAGTGATCAATAATTTGCTTTGAAATTGTCTGACTCTAGGATTAGCTTCATATATTTGGCGATTGGCTTTCTCCAAAATCTCTTATTTAACTTATGCTTGATATTTGGCTTCCTCTTCCTCTTGTCTCCTTCTCTCCTCTTCATCAGCTTTGAATCTTTCGAATCTAGTTTGGTCCTTCTTCTTCCTTAAGGCATTGATTGTGTTGGGCCATCTCTTCACTCTTTCCAGAGATTTTGCATGTCTTCACTCAGTTAATCGTAAAATTACAGTTCCATCTTTTGGATGAATCCAAAATTCTCCTAGGTTCCAAAACAGTTTTGTTGGATTCTTCTCAATTATGACAATGGCACAATCGAACTAACTTTGTTATCGAAAGTTCCGACTGTTTGTGCTCTGGGTTCTTGGGACATTTCAATTATTTAATATATTTAATTATAAACAATATATTACTCACATGTTTCTTTTGATTCTTTCGATATCCAAGTTGACAGCATATTCAAAATTGTTGTAATTGGACTCTTCCTACTTGATTACACTCAATATTTTCATCTGCAAAATCCAATTATTTAAGTTATTGACATCAATTTTCAAATCATTCAGTTATCTTAATTCGATATACCTTGAATTTATTTTTTTTTTCAATTCCTCATCAATATTCAATTGCATCTATTGTTAATGAACCTAAATGACAAACTCTTCTAATCCATTATAATTGATGGGTGTATTTTGAGTGGGAATTTGTGGATTAACTTTGATCGAATCAGAAGTCTATATAAAACTCTTCCCAGTTGAAAGTATGAGTACATTAGTTTGGACAGGTACTTCCACCATGGAGTATTGGAAATCAATACCAATTTTGGAATGTTGAATAAATTTTTGGATGTTTTAGAGATTTTGCAATGTCTTTCCTGAAATTTAGCCTTCCTTCATCAATGTTTCATCGACAACGATTTGAGAATTGATATTAGTAGGAATGCAAAGGAGTCCTTGTGAAATGGTGTTTTCATCGAAATTCTTTTTGGATAGAGTTTCAATGTTGGACAGATACTCGTATTCAAGGGGAATGTAGAGTGTAGGGGAATAGATGGATTGTAGAACAGATTTCAGATTGTCAGCATCGTTTTTAGACAGCCCATAAATGTTGAGTATTTACCTGGCACCTTCAGCATAAGTTTCATATTTGGAGGAGGAGAGAAGATGCAAGGCTAATAGTTCTGAAGCCAAAGGGTCTTTGAGTGTGAGAGTGAAGTTATTGATTAATTGTTAGTAGAGTTGCAATTTGTTGATTTGATTATTGAAAGTGGGTTGGATGTATTTGATCACATTGAAGTAGATTTCGTCTTCGTATTGGTGTTTGAGTGCAAGGATATTGAATTTGTTGAATATTTTTGGTTTGATGGGATCGTTGAAATTGGAGTAGAGAGTGACAATTGACTTGGTTGGCTTGTATAGATGATGGGGATCCAAGATGCATGCTGTGTATGCTTATTTGTCAAAATAGAGAGGTTACCCATCGATGGGGGATTCACAACCTAATGGGTAAATGACGACTTGATTGTTTTGGGAAACAGCTCCTATGAAGACGTCCTAATCCAACACATCGATTATTTGGATGGTCAGGTAGACTAGTTGGTCAGAGAGGTCTTAGGGTTGAAGTGATTCCAGAGTGGATATTGATTGATTTGACAATTGCAAGGCTGTGAAGTAATTTCGAATTTCGTTCTAGGAATATGATATGAGAGGGGTACTTGATCTTTGATTTCAAGGACTCGCTCTTGAGTCATTTGTTGGACATCCAATAAAATTTAATCCATAAATAATAAATAAGAACATAAAATGAAACCATAATAAAAGAAATAATAATAACAATTGCGGGAGAAGGGGTTTGACACTTTTATCTCTGGAGCCAACAAGGAAAGGGTCAATTAGAAGACCAAAAATCAATTGAAGGTGAAAAGCAGGAATGTGAAGAAGTGGAATGATGAACACAGTCAATCCCAGAAGATAGGCACACTTGACCACGATGATTTGGAGGTCTTGAGGAAGTCATTAGTGTAAGGTATTGGGCATCATTAATTCAGGTAATGTGCTCAGCAAATCTTAATAGGATTTGCTTGAAAAATTGCAGAAAGACACGCCCATTGATCATAGATATGACCCTCACTTCTCATAATTATTGGATAGTGACAATGATGAATTGGACGAATAATACATTCAAGAAGAAGAAGAAGTAATTAAAAATTTGAATAACTAAGTTGTGTTAATCTGAAGGCGAAGACAATGGTAATGGTGAAGAAGTCTATAAAGATGACTTTGAAAACACTAAACCTCAAATTCAACCTGTTGTTCAATAGCCATAGCCTTAATAAATAATACAAGTAGTCAATTTACCTGCTACCAAACCCAGACCCAATAGTGGCATATCAGAATAACCATAATCTCAATAGCAACAACCCCAGTAACTTAGATAACCTTCCCAGGAAATTAAACCTCTTCCCTTGAATAAACCAGAAATGAAGCAATATGCATCCAAACCTCAATTAAGGGCTAATTCGGTCACTAAGTAGGAAGATATCAAAAATGATAATCACTCCTTCAAAGCTCCCCAAACATCTCAAAGTTAGAAACCATAAGAAAAGTAAAAAGATAATCTTGAAGAATTGTTTGAAAAAATTGAAAAGTTATCGAGTAATGAGAAACAAAAACTCATTTTCTTCTTGAATAAGAATACCATCAATGCAGATGAGAAGACTGACCGATCAGAAATTAAAAATGAATAGAACTTGTAAAAATAGACATCGGAAATAGTAAGCAAATAATAAAAACAACAAAAAGAGTTATAAATTATTGAAAATAAACCAAAAGAATAAATATAATTGAGTCTCCCTTAATAATAATCAAATCACTAACCATCTTTGTAAATGCCATAAATTGAAAACAAAAAAAGGAATTCAAGCATCAACAATGTCATTCAAATACAATAAGAATTTGTCAACTAAGAAAAGTTATAAATTGGTATGGAAAAAAATTCTGAAATTTTGATCGATAAGAATTGTTAGTTAAAAATAAGAATACTTTCCACTTGGGGTAATCCAAGTTTAGTAGGTCTCACTGAAATAGAACTTTATGCAATTGATGGTAACAAAGTTTAACTTAAACCGTACAATATTAAAATGGCAAATGCATAGTCACTCAAAATGCCAGAAATCCTTATCAATGGCAAATACTTAACCAAAGATGCAGTCAACATGTGGTTGGGAAGCATGCCTGATCCTCCAAAAACCATAGATATCGAAATCTCTTATGATGATGATATTGTCTTGGGAGGACTCAAGATTTTCAACTACAATAAGAGTTTGATCGATAGTGTTAAGGGAGTTAGAGACATGGAAATCTTATGTCGATAGAATGGTGTTGTCATCTCTAAAATAGTGGAAATTAAAAAAGGCACAGGCTTTGAAATCGATGATTATGGAACTGAAATTCAAATTATGGATAATTTTAAATTCCCAACCTTTTAGAATACTCATTCCAAATTCGCCTAAAAACTCAGGGGCTAGATTGATTAATCAGATGTTATTGAAAAAAAACAAGAAAAATTAGAGGATTCAAAGCCTCCTCCCTCAAGAAAAGGGAAAGGACCTATAGTCGTCGATGTATTCAAAGGAGAAAGATTAGATACGGGTAAAACTGATAAAAAGGTTGAGTAGATACAGCCATCTAATAATAATTAATAAAATTAATAACCTATTAATGAACCTAGAAGAAGGAGAGATATGCCGCAGCCTACTTAAGATTACCTTGAAGAAACTCTTCAATATTTTAATATTACATAACAAGGTCGATTGAAACCTGGTTAGAGACAGGACATCATTGAAGATCCAGTACCCATTCAAAAATACGAAGAAATTGATGCTTTGGACTTTTTTTTCAAAGGTTAATAAAGACCTAATAATGTCTAGCCAAAACAGTAATTATCAAAGTGGGAAACGCCTGCTTAACAATAACTTCCTTAACAAATTACCCAATAACCAAACAGAAATAATTATAGATAGTAAACATAAGAAAATGCCTAGCTCATTAAGGATTTGCTTAATTAACCATTAATTAACTAAGCTCCATTAAAAAAAGCCAAGAAGTAGGTTTCCTTGCCTAGCCTTCCTCAGGTTAGAGTAATCACAATTCACATACATTCGACTTGGGGAGACAAATATTATGTTGGATTGAATGGAATTGAAATATTCAATGAACAAGGAAAATAAATTGAGATTTAAGATCCATACAGTCAAGTCAAGGCTGATCCAAGTGACATTAATGTGTTACCAGAATATTTCAATGACCCAAGAACACCTGATAAGTTAGTTGATGGAGTATATTACACTCAGTCTGATATGCACGTATGGTTGAGTCCATTTCAGAGAGGGAAGATTAATAAGATTACTATTGATTTGAATGATAAGAAGAAAATTAGTATGATTCGAATATGGAATTATAATAAGAGTAGAATCCATAGTTTTAGAGGAGCCAAAGATATAAGTTTATTTTTTGATAATCAAATTGTTTTCAGAGGAGATATAAAGAAGGGTTTTGGGAACATGAATTTATAAAGAGTTATTAATTAGAATGAACAACCCTTTGAACTGTTTCTATTCACTAGTGATGAAAATATCATCTAGCAAATAGCAAAAAACGATTGGATAAACTCTTAAGAATTCTAAACTATATAGCATGATCATCAAAATGAAAGACCAAATACAGGGAATGCAGATTCAGAAGTGAGACCAACGACATCAGCTAAAGTGACTAATCTTTAGAATGAAAGTACTATAAAACCATAATGATTTAGTCAAATAAGCCAGATAACAAGAGCAAAATCAATAGAGACAAGAGAAATAATAAATCTAAAGAGCATTAGTGAATCAGAATTCAAATGGTATAATTTGTAGATATTTGTAAATCAAACTATTAAGACCTTGGGCAGATTAACCATATATTGGATTGACTGGAGTTGACATTTATGGTATTGATTTATTTATCTATTTAGGTAAGGAGGGAAAAATATAAGTGAAAAACATTAAATCAGATTATCAAAGTGATGGAGACAAAGTCAACATAGTCAGTCTCATAAATGGGATTAATGTGACAACTAATGATATGAATATGTGCATCCTACCCTTTCAACCTGGAAGGTATGTCACTTTTACATTTACATTTGACATCCCTCAATTGATAACCTCCATTAGAATTTGGAATTATAATAAATCCTATGAGGACTCTTTTCGAGGGGCTAAGTTCATTAGTTTATTAAGTGATTAAGGAATAATCTCTAATTGTGTTGGATTGAAAAGAGCTCCTGGCTGTGAAATTTATGATTACGCCTAAACGATAACAATACCATGCAAAGAATATGTTTTCGAAGAAACCACTTAAGTATAAAAGTAATTAAGATGCGAATATGAAATCAATAATTTAATGGTTGGATATGAACTCAAGATCTAATTGATAACTACTTTTGGAGATATTCATTATATTGGATTGAATGGTTTAGAAATTCTAGATTGGAAAGGTAGGCAAATACAAGGCAATATTGGAGCAGAACCATCATCTGTCAGAATTCTATAATCGATGAGGGGAGACAAAAGAGTAGTTGAAAATCTCTTGGATGGAATAAACGAAACTCAAAATGACACTCACATGTGGTTAGCTCCATTCACTAATAGATGTTTTGACCATTCTCAAGATCCTCAAATCAATACTCTCTATTTCGGCTCTGAACAACCTTTTGCTCTTGGCTGTATCATCTTTTGGAATTACACAAAAACTCCTTTAAGAGGTGTACATGAAATTGCAATTAGTCTTGACGATTATATCATCTACAGAGTATAATTCTCATCTAAACTTAGGGGTATCTAAGATAGGCAGGTAATGATGGAAATCAAACTGTTGTTCTATTTTACAGAGACATGCAGTTGATGGAAAGATTCAGTGGGAAATATTATACCGAATTTGGGCAAAAACAATCTGCTGGCTATAAAAATGAAGAGAAAGTAACTTTGTCTTTATTCTATGATCTAGGGTACTAGATAAGTTTAAACTTATGCTCTTTTAGAAAGACCAATAACTAGAGTCAAAGGTAGTAATTGATTATAATATATTTTATACAAAATTTATTATATTTGTACATGAATTAGAGACATTGTCCATTTTGTGAAAAAAGTAAAGATACTTCCAGCGTTAAACATTTCTACTCAGAATTAATCAATAGTGTATCAATAATTAAACAATGAACAGGCATTGTACACTAAATATTCATCAAGAAGATCCAAAAATTTTGAAGACTTCTTTGCTCGAAAACCAGTAAAGTGGGTTATTGATTTTAAAGATCAATTACACCAATTAGATGATGAAGAATACTTGAAAAGGTTATTTGCATTCATAATATAATAAGGTTCTATCCAAGTAACCAACAGCCCCATAAAATTAAATCTTTGTTGGAATACTATAGATATCATAAGAATCTGCCACGACTCTTTTTTGGAGCCTTGGCAGAAAAAGCAATTGCATTTTTTGAGAAAAAAAAGTATAAGAAATTAATATCAACTATTAAATAGAAAGCATGAATATAGAAGAATTAAATAAATGCTCGGAATTCCTTATGATTAGTCTAATTTGAGTACATGTACAAAAATTTTCGCATAACAACATTAGAATATGAAAAATTGAATGAAGACATTTAAGTTTTAAATAGTTTAAGTAAATTTACTGAAAAATCCACTTAATCTATATTAAATAAGTTCTTTAAAACGTAACCTAATTAACCTAGTGATTACAAGCTAGTAAGTATTCCGTGATATATTGTATATAGAATATTGATGAAACTTGGTTGACTATGTAATAGTAAGAATTGAATATTCCATAATTAAACTCTAAGTAAGCGCTTTAGAATCACAAGTCACTTACGAAGATAGTGAAAAAACATTCTAATGATAAGATTAAGCTGCCTTTTCATTTATTGAAAGGCAAAACCTTATCGAATATAAGGAATTCTTAAAATTAATCTCCAGAAAGACTTAACCCTACACAAAAGTCCTCCTCTTAATAACATATCAATAGCAGCCAAGAAGAATGCGAATTTTAATCCTACATGAAGTCAAAAATATTGACTTTATCTCAATAAAACAAAAAAAAAATCAATAAAATCTTTCAATATAGAAATCAGTTTGATTAAAATTACTATATTAATACACAAGGTAGACGAAACAGCACTCATTTTATTACTAGTACAAGTAGTGTATCTCCAGATTAAATCAAGATAGAATAGCCACGCTTGAGCTAAATCTAATTGAATATATAAGATAGATAGAGCTAATCCAATTTCTTTAATTATGCTTTACACTTCCCAATGTAAACATCAAGCTAATTCACCTATAAAACTGATGTGTCTCCTTAAAAAAAAAATTAGTAGATAATTCAAATTTATTCAAATAATTTGAGTAACAAAATAAAAACATAACCAAGAAAATCCACTGAGAAGTTAAGAATATTTTAACATCCTAATTCAAATACAACAAAATTAAATATTTCCAAGGCTGTTTTATAAAAAAAAGATAAGATACCTCCATTTTTATAACTTAAATTTCGATTGGATGATCTTCAACACTCAAATAATAGAAGAAAATAATGTAATCAAAATCCAGATGTACAGTAAATATAAATAGATGATAAATAATAGACAAGAGGATCATCATACACCATGGTTAAAAGTTAAGTTACAACAAAAAAATAAATAAAAAATAAATGATAGCTATTATATAATTTAAACTTTTGGAGAATTTTTAATTTAAAAATCCATAATATTTTTATATTAATTAAGGAAGAATCTATAAAACAGTTCCAACTCTTTTTTTCTTAAATATCGATTAGAATATCTATTTTGATTGTCTTCTCATATTTTAATACAATTTATATAATTCAATAGAAATATTCATATATATAATTTAGTAAATCTTATTCACATTTATAGTAAACCAAAGAAGTGTAAGTAATATAAGTGGAGGGTATGTACATAATTTCTTGTTCTATTGAATCTGATTTAATTATATAACATATTTTCACTTTTAGGTGGAATTTTGTTCTACAAAATGATTTTTATTTTAGTTATGATCAACATTTCCTCTAAATTTTGAGATTAGAACAGAGAAGAGTCTTCCACATCAGATAAATACGCAAGAACTTTGATTGCAGTTGAATTGGCTAGCAGAGAAATAATTAATATTTTAATAACAAATTTCAATCATATTTCTGTTAAATGAATAATCGATGGTCTATTTCTAACTAAGCTCCCTTGTAGCAATCTCGTTACAAATAGGAGATTGATAATTCGAATGTGCCTAATAATCAACCTGCTTATCAAGTTAAAAATGATGATTAAGGGAGATAACTAGGCCAAAAAGATAGCCCTATTACTTCGTATATATATTATCAATATCATTTTAAAAAGTGAAAATAGATAACGAATAAAGAGTTCCTACGATGTAGAAAAATCAAACATATCCCACAAATACCAAAAAAGTATAGTTCCATATTATCGACAATAGCTGAGGCTTCGTATTCCCCCATAATAAAGTCAACGTACAAAAGAGACATTTCTCCTCAATTTTAAAAGACTGAGAATTATAAATTGATTGATTCATATGAAGTTCGGTTAATGAAGCTAAGTCAAGAGAATGGATAATTATAAAGTCAATTATTTTCAGATCAATAAAAATACAACTAAATAATCATAGATTTTGAGTTACAAACCAAGTGCTTGGAATAAAAGCTGCATACTGAAATAATGAATTTATAATAGCATAAATTGTTAATCCAGAACAAGAATGAAGAAATCAATGCATAAACCCAAGAATTATTGAAATTGGAACAAAAGTACTTCGATTTAGAAACCAAGGTATTCTTATACTAATATTTAAAGATGTTTCAACAACAAAAAGACATGGGAATATTAAAATAAACAAATGATTCCAAAACTATAGAAATTGATGCCCTAAGATAATACATTAAGGAGCTTTAGGCTAAGAATGCAAGGGATTAAGAGGAATTAAAACTTACAACTGACAGTTCTATTCGTATCAACTATGAACTATAGATAAAGGAAATTTAAATGCAACATAGTGGTAACATTGCTAGATTGAATGATTTATTACAATAGGAATAGTAGAAATACAATAGATTACTAAACTAATTTGAATAATAAATGAATGATTTAAACTATTAGAATGTCAAATTGAATGATATAAAGATTGAGAAAGATAAATTATTTGAGGAGAATGCTCGATTGTAAAGGTAATTAGATGAAATTAAAGTACAATAATAAGAACTCTTGAGAGAATCTGACTCTCAAAGGGATAGATAAATGCAATAAGATATAAATCATTAAACTACACTAAATGAATTGAAGTCTCATTATGAGTATATGAAAAAATCTTAGGTTGAAAGGGAAGTGAAGGAGGTTACAATGAAATTTTAGGCTGAAAGATTGAATTATGAATCTTAAATAAGGTCTTTAAATCAAAGGTTGTTAGAGTGTGAGGGAAGGATAAATTAAAAGCAAGAAGAGAACCGATAGTTATAGCACAAGCAATAAGCCATAGAATCTGAATTGAGAGTTTTCGTTTAGGATCATGAACATTATAAGAGGATTAAAGAAAATGAATTACAAGAATTACAAAATGAATTGTCAAAATAAAGATAATTGTAAAATGATACATAGTTCAAAAACTAAAATTAATAGAATGAGATCTAGAGGTTGAATTAAATTATTAATGATTTTAAAACTGAAATTGATCTAGTAAAATCTTAATCTCAAGAAATTTAAAAGCAATTTTAAATAGAATATGAAAATGATCTAAAGAATTTGAAATCTAAATAATAATATGAAAATAGATAATTATAGGATCAAATCAATGATTTGAAAAATGAGCTCTAATAATAAGAATAGGCTCTCAAGTAAAAAGATGAAGCCCTTCATCAATAAAAGTTAAATTTATCTTAAAAGTAAGGAGAAATAGATGGATTAATCTTGAAATTAGAAAATTTAGAAAAGTTAAAGGATCAAGAAATAAATCAATATCAAAGCGAGATTGATAACCTTTAAAGAGAATAAAATTTATCCTCAACCAAATTAGCTAATGAAAAGAGTCTCTTAGAACAACAAATTAAATAAATGAAATAAAGATTAAATGATTTGGAGACTTAATAAATCTAATAGGAGTTTAACAATGAACAAGGAAGGCAAGAGTTAGAATAGAAGCTATAATAAAAGGAATTTTAATTGCAATAAATATAAAACGATAGAAATAACATCAATTCTTAGTTGACTGTTTATAAATAGAAGATTGAGTAATTGGATTAGATTATACAAGAATTAAGAGAGTAGAATTAGTAAATAAGTTAAGAGATTGAGGATTAGAAACAATAGAATGAAACTGATAGAGCTTAATTTGTAAAGAAAGAACTTGGCTTGGAAAATAAGATATAACAATTGAAATAACAAATGTTACAAAGAGAGTAAGAATTGTAATAGTACATAAATGAGTTGGACTCTACAAATAATAAAGTGCGATAATAAGAGTTAATTACACAATAAAGTTAAGATGAATTTAGAAGAAGGGAGAATTAATATGTTCAGGAAATTACTAATTTAAAACAACTTATGGATACTACTCAATAAAGACAAAGTGAATATTAGAGTATGAGAGAGACATTGTAAGAACAAGTGTAAAGTTTATAAGAGAAAAGCTAAAATAAAGAAAAGGAAGTGGAAGAACAAGCATAAAAGTATGAAGAGCTAAAAGATTAATATAATCAACTTATTGAAGAGACAAACTTAAAGTTAGAATATTATCAAAGAATAGAATATGAGAGGAAGGAATCAGATTTGAAATATCAAGCAGAATTGGTATTTAATTAAGTTATCATTTTAGAATGCTGCTTAAGACAGGATAAGAGTTTTGGAAATAGAATCGGAAACTCTTTAACTAAGATAGAATCAACTTCTTAAGGAGAGAAGGGAATTAGAAAATTTATTGGATGAAAAATCAAAAGAAATTGAATAACTTAAAAATTAACTCAATTAGGATTACATCTCTAATGAAGAGTATACTTCATTATAAAGAAAGTTTAATGAACAAACAGAAGAATTGCATTTATTAGAATAAAAACAAATTAAATTTGGCACAGAAAAAAAACAATTAGAAAGATAAATAGACAAATTGAATCAAGATATAGAACTTAAAGATTAAGAACTCTAATAGACTGATAATTTAATGAAAAAAAGAAGAAGTGAGTAGGATGAGTTAAATAGGAAAATTGATTAATTAACTAGAGATAACGCAAAAGTATCTCACGATTTATCAGACGTTCAAGCTTCATTAGGTTCTAAAATTGACTAAATAAATGCTTTGAAGAGAGAGAACGAAGATTTATAGATTTAATTGGCATCAGCCAAGAAATAATATGAGAAGGCATCAGAATAATTGAATAAAAAGAACTAAGAATTACTAGAAAAATTTAATGATGCGGAAATTAAAAAGTCATATTCTTCTGGTGAAAACACTGCTGCCAAGGTTGTGACAGCAACTACAATAATAAAGACATCCCAAGTGTAACTTAATACTCCATTAATTCCAGAAGAGGAGGATGAGAGTTAAAAAGGAACTGAAAGATCTGATTAATAATTTAAGGTAACATTATATAATTATTTAATTAGACTTCTCAAAGAACTGAAGAGAAGTGACATGATTTATTTTATATTTATAACATTTTATATCTTTAAAGCAATTTTATATATTATTATTTTAAAATATAAACATTCAAATTTTTGAAGTACTGTGGTTGTTTTTCTTTATTAGACTGGAGTTTTTTTTATCATAAGGTTAAAATTTGATTTATGAAAGTAACATCTAGCTGCTTTAGATTAATAATATTTCTCTTGAATTGATATCTTGTAACATTCGTTTTGGATCACTATCCGTATAATCTTCTTGTTGAGTTTCTAATAATAATTTCTAGAATTTACTTGATCTTAGATTTTTATGAATTATCTTATGCTTTCGATCTGAGGCTGATCGATCGGGGCATTCTTAAACATTCTTGGAATTAATCTTGGGCAAAGAATCATTAAGTTCATTCAAAGTCTCGAGTTTGAATTTTACATCTGCTCTATAAATAATTAATAAATATATTAACTTTTATTGTTTTTGATCTAAACTATTTGCATTCATGGCAACCAACTTAGCAGATTTCATTTTTGCTCCTTTTTATAATTGAAAATTCATAGCATAAACATCTTTCAAAATATTAGAAGGTTATTTCTTTTGTTTAGCTTTTATCATTTTTTATTTTATTTTATCCTGTACTTCAGTAGGAAGAAACCCCATTCCATTATACAAAAAGTTATTAGAGGAGTGTTCATTTTTGGATCTGAAAATATTATTGATTTTTTTATAGTTCTCGATCTCTAAAGAAAGATACTTGACAATTTCATTAGTTTTTAACAATTCTCTTCTATAATTATCCAATAGAAACTCTTTTGATTTAGCTTATTCTAAAAGATCATTTGTTGATCTGATATAATGTTCATGTTCTACCTATTATTCTTGCAATCTTGTTTTCTCTTATATCAATTATTCTTAATCTAATTGATGTTAATTATTCAAATTCTCAATTTCTTGTTTGTGTGTTTATTTTAATTTCTCATTCACATCCAATAATCTTTTTTATTCTATCTAATGTTCAACTTCCATTTATTTGATATCATCCTAGAATTTAAGAATAAGGTCATTTTGACCAAAGCCTACTTAGTTAAGTTTATTGTTTAATTAGTCTATCACTGCTTAATAGATATTCTCTGAGTCAAGTTACATTTAAATTTTGGCATCTTTTTCAATCAATACCAATTCTAATTGCTTAATTGCATTATCTTTTTAAATTAGATCCTCTTGCTATTATCTTTGGATATCTTTCAATTATTTTTCTTAATTAGATTCAAACACACTCTTTTGTAATTTGATTTACTCTTAGATTCCAATTATTTCATCTTCTTTGCACTTTAAATGAAACTCATATTCGTCCTTTTATCTAAGGAAATCATCATTTAGCTTAGCAATTTAGATTTCATAATTTGATATTTTAGTAGAATCTATGATTTAACTTAAATCACATTGGATTGCAACTTCATTGTATAGACTCCAAGCTCCTTGTGTTACTGATAAGGACTGATTGTTTCCAGCTAAGTGTTATTAAAACTAATCAGTATTATTGGTTCTTTGCATTTCATTATTAACTATTTTAATAAAAGGGATTGGAGAATTTTGGGTTTCATCGACTGAAGAAGTTCTTGACTATTCTTTCGATTATTACATCGTTTACATCATCTCTTATTTATTATTTTCAACATATTATTCAATGGTTGTGTCTTCAAATGTAAAATCTTATTTTGATTGATATTTTCTTTATGCAGAAGAATGAATCTAAGAATCTGGATTGCTGGGTTGTCTGATTTGTTCTCTCTATTTAGTTCCTTGTCTTTGAATTTAGGATTACTTAGTTTATTAATGGATCTTATCTGGAGATTGTGTTTTATTCTAATTTGTGTTTGATCCCTACTTCTTTGAGTGTTCCCTCATTCCATATAGTCCCTTTTCTTATTTGAGTTTTTTAATCTGCTCACTAAATAATATTAATGTATACTTTAATTAATCAATAAGAACTTGTTTCTATTATAAAGTGCCATCCTTTGTTTTAATGGTTTCATCACAAAGGAAGACTTTGTATTTCTGATCTTAGATTTCCTTCTCCAAAGCTTCAAATTAAGGTGCTTACCTTTCGATTTAGTATTATAATATTTTATTTTTTTCAATGATGTTGAGAAACTTAGTTCTGTAGTCTGAACAATCATCCGTCAATTTTTGAATCTGATTTTCCAATTTCATCTTTTAGGATTAGATCTTATACTCATATTCATTAATCAATATTGCTTTGCTCTCATTCAATTTGTTACTAAACATCTCCAATTATTATAAATAAGATCTTCTTTCATTTTCAAACTTCTCCAACTACTCTTATTTTTCCAAATTCAATTACATGAGCAATTAATTCTAAATGAGAGATCTCTCCTCTAATTAATATTTGTAATGCTTATGGATATTGTTGATTTTCTATTCTAATTGCAAATTCCTTGACCATATATCTTCAATTTTCATTTTCTAACCTTAAGTTATTATGTAATACCATTCTGTTTACATTTTATTCCCAGTGGATTGACTGTTATTTATGATATTCATTTAAACGCCGATTTTAATCTATCAATGACTGTTTCTCTTAAAAAAATCGATCTGTCTCGCATTACAATTTCTCCTTCAACTATTTTATAACTATTTATAGTTTGGAATTATCATTAGTGTTCTCAACAATGGTGTTATTCAGTCTAAGTATCTCCTCTACATAATTACAATGTCGTACCCTCTAAAAGATCACAAATTTATTTGAAATCAGCCACAGCCTTAACCAAAACCCTATCTTCCCCATTAGGTCCGGTATCGCTGATTAAATTGCTGAGTTACAATTTTCGCTCCTCAATAAAGAAGTTAAGGCCTATAACATGCTATTTTAATTTAGTGTTTTCGTTAAAGAGAGGCTTAATAGTCTTCTAAACATACTTTAAGTTATGCTTAAAATTAATTAGCATTAAGTTCCAGGGCTTTCATTTTATGATTTGCAATTTCATCATTTTCAGGAAATTTAATTGAAGAGTTCATAAATGATTTATATATATATTTTTGAAATTTATTCAGAATAAATGATATTATACTTTAGGAAAGCATTCAGTTTTTAATTGTTTTTAATAAAATCAACATTTCAAAAGCACTCAGAATAATCAAATATATTTAGATGGCTAGAGGAATATTACTTTGGTCATCAGCTAAGTCATAATATTCAAAAAAGGGATTCGTGTCTGATTTGTTGAAATTACATTAATTATTATTCCTTATTAGACTTGACTAGTTGCAAACTATTTAATCTATATTCAATTGGGTGATAAATAAGAGGAGTTTAATATGTAATTTTGAGTAAGTACATTTGATTGATTGAATGTAATCTTCAACTCCATAATTTCTTCTGACAAATTTCATTTTATTGTTACATAAACCTTTCTATGAATATTATCTATATTAATCAAATATAATTCTTAAATCATCGCTTAAATTAATTCCTTATTGAGAGAAATTATTGGAAACCTCGAAACCAACAATGAATAACTAGGAGGAATCAATTAATTTCTCCATTCATTAATACTTTTCCCACTTACAAATGAACTTCTCAAAATACACTCTTCTATTCAAATATTATCCTTTAAATGCTTGCATCTAGATTGATACTCACATTGAGAATTTTTAATTTTTTAATTTTTATTATTAATTTAATATAAATCAGGCATTTCTTTTCATGATTCCATTTAAGAAATTAGCATCACTTTTTATACGTACTTTCTCAAAGCCAGTTGCGAATATCATCAAAAGATATGCTTTGAATAACAACAATAAAAGATCATTTGGAAGAAGGATTGTCAGAAATAGTTTTATTTTTATAGGAAATAAGTATCATGCATTGGATACTTATTTGGAAAGGGCCTCCATTGGGTAATCAAATCAACAAATTTTTATTAAACCATTGACAGATGAAGCTGCATTTATGAAAGGTTAATAACTAATTAAATTAAAATTAGGCACTGATCTATTTTCAGATTTATTTATATATACATGTGTTTTGGGATTGCCTTTGTATGAGATCATTAGACAATCAAATGAGTCTGCAAAAAAGGAAGCCATTTAGGATGAAAAATTACACAAACTATCAAAAGTACGGCAACAATTTTGACTTTTAGGAAGTTGAAGAATTGGAGTTAATTGAATCTAAAATAAAAGAGAAATAATTATAGCTAGCATAATTAGACACAAAACTAATTGAACAAATATCATAAACAAGCTATCAATTTCAATAGCAAATATAAAACATCTTTAATGATTTAAATAAGAATTAATGAATGCATTAAATAAATTATTTCTATCCTATCAATTTTTATTTTGATCCTTTCTCATAATAGCCTTGATGAAAGCTACTACACCATCGAATTCCTATTCTAGAATTCTATAGTCCAAGTCTAATTATTGGATCACGGAGCTCCTTTCTCTTCCCTTCAAAGCATGAGTCAACTGATCTAAAGCCTACTTAAATTATGGACTAAGTAAGTTCTCTTTAAATTGTTCAATGCTTTATTGATCAGGAGGTAAATATCTCACATAAACTAAATTCCTTACTCTTTAAGTGCCTAGAAGAATTCCTCATCCTTGGCAATTTAAGTCAAAAACTCACCAGTCAAAATATCAGTAAGAGAGAGTCCAGGGCCCATTTTTGATGCAAATTACTATTAGAGCAATTGTAAAAGCTATTGTTATTAAGGTCCCAATTATTATTAAGGAGGTTGTGTATGTGATTACGGTTGTGTTTGGGATTGCACCTGAGGTTGCTATTCTATTTAGATGGGTTCATCCAAGACCTGAGAGTTGATCACATTGTTAAATTATTTGCAGTAATTTTCATCTTAGGTTTGATCATCAGACTAAAATTAAAGGGTGAGAATTACTTGCATCCAAAAGAAATACTTTTAGTCATCATCATTAAATCTAAGGAGATAGACTCTATTTTGACCTTTGACCTTCTCAAAAAATGTAGAACCCTTAATTAAGACTCTTTCCTAATTTAAATAGTGTAAATCATTACAATTTCTAATTTGTTATCCAGATCTACATTATACCATTTCAACCACAATTCATTTTCATCATTCAAATACAAATTGAGCAATCCTTTTGCTTTTACTATGACTACTTTTTTTGTTTCTTGATTGAAATCGTACCTTCCACAAGGAATAGTTACTTCCTGAAGCATTAATTAATTAAAATAATCAATTCAAAAATTACTTTAAATACTCTCAATAATGTGGATTTGTCTTAAGACTAGGGCAACATTCTTTCTGAACTCTTAGAATTGATTGTAATCTAAGTACATTGTCTTCTTGACTCCTTTTTTTGTATGGAATATTAAAAGAATTAATGGTCGAATAACCTATTCAAGACTCAAAATTAAAGATTACCTTTCTCATCTTGATACTAGACAAAGTAATTTCCAATTTCCACTCCAACTTAGAGAAATCAGCCTCAAAAGATTCTAAATTAGTATTTTCCTTGTATTGTGTCTCAATAATGGTCTCTTGTGGATTGATTGAATTTTCTATAATAAGTTCAAATACAATACCTGGATCTGTGTAGTACTTTATAAAAGTGTAATTGTTTAACTTTCTGTCAAAGTGGATGATAGGTAATACTTAATCCTTTAGATAAAGCATAATCTGTTGGTCGATTTTACTTATTTTCTCCAATGCTTTCGCTTGATCTTGCTGTGATCTCATAGCCAATTCTTTCAAGGCTTTGGTGCATTTGGTAACCAAAATTTTATCTTCTCTTCTCAATTCATCCCGATATTTGATTAGTTGACTTTTGTAATTCTTCTCTTGGAGCATCACATCCAAGGACACTTGGAGTATCATCTAATGATTCTCGTGTTTCTTCAATAATTCTACGAATTTCATATTGTAATCCATTTGATATTATTAAATATGCTAATAATTATAACAAGAATTATTTTCATAATAAAATCTCCTATATTTGTCGATTCACAGATTCAAAGTCATTTCTCAATTGAATTTACATAAACTCTCTAAATATATATGATATTAATTATAAAATGTATAAATTTTGTAAATAGATAGTTAAAATAAATCAAGTACCAGCCATTCTCAATAAAAACATCAACAATGATTTAGCCTTTAAAAAAGACTTTGAACTTAACTCTGAAATTATTATCCTAAATTAAAGAATCTAAAACAGAGATAAACATACTGATCTCTACTCATCAATATTTGGAGGAATTATTATTACAATAGGAGTCTATGCAATATATGAGGTGTATTTCAGCAAATCTGAATAGTAATTGAAGAAGCTTAAGTTCAGTGCTAAATGTTACTGCTCATGTAAGTATCATCATTTCAAGCCATAGCCTTTTACTAAAGAGATTTGACATACATTCTGAATTACATAAATGAAATGAAAACAATAGAAATCAAAAATACAGGCTTCATGATTTACTTACTTAGTACATTGAAACATTAAATTAATAAAGGCAACTACGATAATCTCTGTGCAATCTATGAAGAAGTGGCAAAGATATTATTCACCCATGAAACATACATAAAGATGTATGCATAAAAATACTCTCAACACTTTGCAAATTTATTAGACTATGCTATTGTAAACGATCTACAACTCAAGGAATAACTACTCCTTCCATCCCTAATTGCTTATACAAACTCTTCAAACATATTAATTGAGATTTAATCATTGTATATTCTAACTCAGCACAAACTGCAGGATTCAAAACACAAAGACTTATTTTAAACTCACTATTAAAAAGACATTTCTAAAGAGTATGTGAATACAACTGAATTATTTGATATGCTTAAATCAAATCGAAGTTTATAGGATTATGACACTTTTAAATCACTTTATGAAAATTCATTGTAAACTGAGAAACATAAACTATTGAAACAAGCAGCCTAAAAATAAAATTTAAGATTGTGATTAATAATATATAAAGAGTGTTTATCATATTAAATTTATTAAGAGGCAACATTATATCTATTTTTAATATGCAACTTATACAATCGATGAGGTTTGAAATTTACATATATTTGCTATAATCTTTTGATAATTATAGATATTGTTTTGTATCTGCTTTCATTTTTTATTTACTTTTCAAATTCTGCTCTAGAAATCTTCTAAGTTTTTCATTCTTTACATAAATCTGATATATGTAAAATTAGTTAAAATTAAAAGGGCATCTCATGCGTATATTATAGTTCTTTTATTATTATGTCATCAAATGATCAAAAAATACCTTTAATAGTTATTTTATTGAAAAGTCTATCCAAATACTATTTATCGGAATATTTATTTATAGTAAATTCAGCAATATCCTTTTTGACCTCTCTTGAACCATTTCTCATATGGATTATTAATGAATTATCAATTATCAATTTAAAAAGAAGATTAGATTTATATAAATAAAATTTTATTTATTCTTTATAGCTACTAAGTAAGTATCAAACTATCACTATATGCTTAATTAAAATTTTTCTTTTTTGGTTATTTCTACATGATCATATAATCTTTTTTCTATACTTTCATCTTATCCAAACTTAAAGTGGTTTAAAAATATTTTAGTATTTCTCCAATTTTCTCTAATTTTGCATTGATGATAAATAATAATTATAAATTTGCAATTCTAAAATTTATATCAATTATTAGTTAGACTTATTACATTTGACTATGAGTATTCTATTCCCATATATATAGAGAGTGTATTGATTTCGTTGTGTATTTTATGATACATGAAGTACCAATTGTAACATCTCTAAATGAAAGGAAAGCTAACGTAATAAATATAATATCATGTTTAATATATCATTTGTTAATTTTAATAAATAATGCTCAACACTTCTTCGATTCAATCAACAAGTGAAATCCCTAATTTTGTTGTAATTGATAATGAATACATTATAATGAAAAACCTTTATAAAGGAAACACCTACAATTTATATATAGGTAGAGATTGAAAGCCTAGCTAGCTGTAAAAAGAGATTGTTCTGACGATTAAAAGAAATTTGTACTGATCAAAATGCGCAGGTACCCAATGCCCTTTTATTAAGAACTAATGCCTCAGAACAGAATTTTGAGTAGTACTTCTTAAATAAACTAAAAGACAGTAAGGTAAATTAATATATAGGTAAATGTACTACAAGAATTCTGTCCATCGGAGAATAAACAATTAAGGAACAACTTTATCATTATCAAATCATGGAACGTCACGGTCCCTCTTTAAAACTAGTCTATAACTACTTATCCAAAAATATTCCTATAACTTTACTGTGTTTGATGGCAATTCAGACTGTAAATAATAGGAATTTAAGTAGCTTACTTGTCTTGAGTAGATCCACAAACATTTGATAATACATCGTAACATAAGACCCAAGAAATTGGTGATATCTCAAAGCGGCTCTGAAATTTTATTAACTGATTTCAAGTATGCTTGTCGATATAGGAAACAATAAAATAATATATTAGTCAATGATAATTTACGCACTACTTCGAATAAACGATTTCTAAACAAATTCTCAAGCTTGAATCAACATTTAGAATAAGGTATATTAAAATTAATAGAATCAAGTCTCTTCTCCGAAGGATGACCTAGAATCTCTCGCCTTGATCCTTGTATATTATGGGGGATTTGCTCCTGTCCTTGATATTAAAGAGGAGAACAGAGGACTAAAAATTAAAAAAATAGAACAAATTAAACTGACTCTATTGTCAGAGCTTTCATTCAAAGGGGCTCCTCTAGAGTTCATTTAATTTTATAATGGAGTCAAATAATCCTGTGTTAGTGATTATCCCTAAGATTACGAAAAATACAAATAATTATTTAGAAAATTATTGAACAGTTGTGGTTTGACTGAGAAAGATGTAGTGTACCCTCATTTATAAATGATGAAACAGCATAATTATAATATGAAGGTAATAATGGAGGAATAAGAAACATAAGCTTAAATGGATTCTATAGATGAAGATCACAGAGTGTTCAGAAAGATCATGGAATTAAATGAGTAGAAATATCACAGATTGATTTCTTTAGAAAATTAAAATCAGAGTTCTCAAAAACAATGAGTAATTAATTTATTTATTAATTATACAATATTGATTTTGTAATAAAATCTACAGTATATTATATAATCAAAACGGTTAAGTAATTAACAATTAAAAGCTTTTTGATTTAGAAATAAAGACAAAAAGTATAAGATGAATCTTTTGAATGGTTAACTTTATTTATATATTGAAAATTAGGAAAATTAGAGAAGTTTTTTGAAAATATTCTTCTTATCTACCTGGTTTATACAAAATATTGAACAAAATTATTGATTCTAAAATTCTCATAAGTCATTTGAGATTCAGGAATCTCTTTCTATTAAATATTTAGCAAATTCTTTTAATCTGGATTTAGCCTCAGGACACTCAAATTCTATATTTTCTATTTCCTTCCATGCGTCTTCAATTATCTCAAGAGATCTTTTGTGGGCGTAATCTAGACTTCCTGTTTATTTAATTATTGAAATAGCCTACAACCTTATTAATTATTCTCACTTCATTGATTATTTCTTAATCTTAAGTGCGAGATTTTAAGATTTCAAGTAATCTCCCTTTTTATTGCTACAAACTATGTATGACAATAAGAGAGAATTTTCCTTCATGGATATCCTCACCTAGATAACCCTTTGTTTTCTTATATTTTTCCCCTCCATTCAAATTGAGAATATCCTAAAATAATACTAAAAACTACATCCTAAATTTGAAAAGCAATTCCAATTTAAACAGCAAATTCAGCCAAAGCTTTTCCAATTTTTTCATCTTTCCCCAACACAATACAAGATAATTGAGCTGCCATACGAGCAAGAGCACCTGTCTTGTATAATGCCATTTTCAAATACTAATCCTCTGTAGGTATGATATCACAAGCCTACTTATGCCAAAATATATCCCAAGCCTGACCGAAATGTACAATTTTCATATTACTCAAACTAACTTCCAACATTTTCATTTTTTTTTGATCAGAGTAATCTGCAGAATTTAAGAAATAATGTAAGGGAGCAAAATAAAGATAATTAGCTGCATTAACTGCAACATCTAAGCCATACTTAATATGAACACATTTATCATTTCTTCTTACAAAACTATCATCCTCAATATCATCAACCACTAAAGTAGCATTGTGTATCAATTCAACCAATGCAGCTACATCATATAATTCTTCATGATTTCGCTTAAATAAGTCTGCAATCAAAAAGCAAAATGCTGGTCTCCATCTCTTTCCTCCTCGGTCAATTAAGTCATACATTGGATCACTAATGCTCTATGATAGCGTTTTGACATCATCCAATTAAGAAAATTATGGATCACTCAGATCAAATTTTCTTGGTAATATTTTATCAAAACTTTTGCTGTTTTCAAATTTTCTCACATCTGTTTTCAACTAAGCCATAAATTCAAGTTTGGAAAAAAAAGACCTACGGAGATTCCTGATGAACATTTTTAATAAAAAATAAATTTATTCAAAGTATAATTTATGTTTTAGAATTTAACAGTGCGTAAAAATATTAAATTCTATAAAAACAAGTGTTTCAATCTATCCAAAAATTTGAACTCCAACAATCAATTATAATAATCATCATTATACAAACTATCTATTTCTAATATATTAAATCGCTATCGCTTCAATTTAGTTTCATCATCCCCATCTAAATATCAAATCCTTACAATCATTGTATATTTATTCAAAGATGTAATCAGATTCTTTATTTGTGATAGATGAACAATGAATTTAAGAGTGCTCATTAAAGTAATTATTTACATACATCATAAATGACTAGCTGATGATCTTAAATTCGAAATTACAATTAAAATGATTCAGCATTAAAATTAATGAAATCAAAATAATTAACTCCCTAAAGAGTAGTGTCTACTATCAAATTGAGAAAGGCCCTTTATTTTTATAAGAAAGACAAAGAATTATTAGACCTAAAAATCAAATTAAATGAGATGTGTGAATCTACTTTTCTCACTAACACAGAACTCCATCACATAGTCCGTTCTGTTTCTAGAGGGAACTCCCCAGCATAATAGAAATTTCGAATTCGAACAGAAACTACTACGATCAGTACTGGGCCTAAAACACCTTAGCATAAGTTCAAAAAATTCGATTTCACCACAACAACTCATCTCTATTTTGCTTGATTATTATTGTAATGAATAACTTCAAATTTATTTCAATGCTCTCCATATATAAATCTTTCACATGTGTACTTCCCTTTAAAATACAAAACATTAGTTACACTTAAAGAATGTATCTCGAAATTACCAAATTTTCTCCATAACCTAAAACTACTGACTACATATTCAAGAAATAAAATTAGTTTTTCATTTATAAGCCTTGTTTACATTACCTATTCTTGTTGTTTTAACATAAAACTATAAATCACTACTCTATCAATTATTTTTTCAGCCTATAAAAAACTTACAAGAATTCATTAGGATTTAATTTATGATAATATAATTTGAGAAGGTGATAATTCTATCTAGTTGTGTATTAATTCTGTATAAATTGTGAAGATACTTCTTTTATGCAATTAGGATTAATCAACAAATAACTTTCTTAAAATAAAATATATTAATATTATAAGATAAAAAGTGTCCAATCATTTCTTCATTATGGACTTATCGGATTCAACTTACATAAAGAACAATATCTGAACATTTCTCCAATTTAAAAAATAGACTAAATATCCTTCAATGATTTAATCTTAGTTTAATTGTAAATATGTTTTAATAAGAAATATTATTTAATTCTATATATTGCAGTTCTACAGAATCCCAAACACAATCTTATAAATCACAAAACTATTTCTTCTTATAATATCTTGAGAGATTAAAATTCACATAATTGGAGATGATTTTCAGAAATTTCATTTGTTGAAACTAGGTTGTGATCATAACGACTATTTGGAATTCTGCGTATAGACAATTTTGTTTTATAATTTACTAAAAAGAAGAATATAATGAAAAATATAAAATTTGTAACAGCATAAATTTTTATATACGATATTTGTTTTAATTGACATAACCTTGACTTTAAAATAGGGTATAGATTTTTGTAATAGTATTTTAAATTTAAATTCTCTCAAAAAACTTAATATTTTTCTACATTACTTTTAAATTCCAATTGTGAATAGTATTATTGTTAGAGCAAATAACGAAATAATTTATAAATATAATTCCCACGTGTGTGAGAGCAATTAAAAGGGAAAAAATGAAGTGTTAAATCAATAATAAAAATGCCAAACAAAACCAAGATTCATAATTATATGAGACCAGCTATGGCTATCATTCCAGATGTAGCTGAGCCAGAACGAAGAGTATAATATTAAATACGAAATTTAGATTTTATTCAAATATAGAGCACTATGGACAGCAATAGCAACATTGCTGTATTTGATTTGTTCATAGATCCCACTTTATGGAATTTACAAATCATCTGCTGGCGATCCATTTTATTGGATGAGAGTCATCTTGGCATCAAATAGAGGTACTTTAATGGAATTGGGTATTTCACCAATGGTGACAGCATCTATGATTATGTAACTATTGGCTGGTGCCAAATTGATTGACGTTGATTAGAATGTAAAGGAAGACAAATAACTGTATTCTGGAGCATAAAAATGTATAAATTAATAATTGATATTCTAGTGTTGGGAATTCTTATCGCTTTTGGAGAAGCCTTTGCATATGTCTGGTCAGGAATGTATGGAGATTTGGATAAATTGGGTGCAGGAAATGCAATTCTAATTATAATATAGTTGGTATTTTCAGCAATTGTCATGATTATGATTGATGAATTATTATCAAAAGGATATGGAATTGGAAACTCAGGAACCTCCTTATTTATAGCTATAAATATCTGTGAAAACATTATGTGGAAAGCATTTTCACCAATTACTCATAAAACTGAATTGGGATTAGAATACGAAGGAGCCATCATTGCATTATTACATGGATTGTTTGTATAGAGTGACAAAATCAGTGCACTTCAATCAGCTATATTGAGAGATTCATTACCAAACCTAACTCATTTGTTGGCAACAGTATTGGTGTTTTTGATTGTCATCTACTTCTAAGGATTCAAAGTCGATATCCCAATCAAAAATAATAAAGTCAGAGGAGGATTAACATCATACCCTATCAAATTGTTTTATACCTCCAACATTCCAATCATCCTCTAAACTGCATTAGTTTCAAACCTCTATTTCCTTTCATAAATTCTCTACAGAAACTTCAAGGGCAACTTCTTGATCAGATTATTGGGTTATTATCAAGAATTAGAGAATGGATAGACTGTTCCAATTGGAGGATTAGTGTATTATGTGTCACCTCCAAGATCAATTTCAGAAGCTATCTTCGATCCAATCCACACCATCCTCTATACTGCATTCATTCTTGGAACCTGTGCAGTGTTCTCAAAAACTTGGATTGATGTATCAGGATCATCACCAAAAGATGTATAGCTTTTTAAATATATTCTTAGGTTGCCAAATAATTGAAGGAACAAGACATGCAAATTGTCGGTTACAGAGATTCATCCATGAAAGATGTCTTAAAGAGATACATCCCAATTGCTGCTTCTTTTGGAGGTATGTGCATTGGTGCTTTGACCATCCTTGCTGATTTCTTGGGTGCCATCGGTTCAGGTATGAATTTATGTTAATTTCCAAAGGAACTGGTATTTTGTTGAGTGTTACAATCATCTATGGCTACTTTGAAACCTTAAAGAAGGAAAAAGAATAGGGTACATTAGAGTTGTTTTGATATAATTAAATATTTTTTTAAAGTACATAACATCTATGACGCAGAATGTGTTAAAAGAAGAAATAACAAATTAAATATCATCATATATTTGAGTTGAGTATTGGATTTTAAACTATTACATTGTACAATTTACGAACAGACGTAATAGTATTCTCAACTACACTCTAGACAATGAAATGATGAGGAGGCACCCTCAACAAACTCACGCCAGCAGTTCGGGTGTCAGGAATTGTAGATTCGGTCTCACTTTGGCTACTGAGAGCCTTACGACGATACTCATTATAAGCGATTTTGGCTTCATGGTACGTGACCTTCAATTCTCGGGCAGCATCTTTTAATTAAACACCTTTATTAATTAGAATGATGAGGTCTTTTTTTTATTAAGAATTAAGAGGTTGATGAATGCGAGTAGGCTATACTTTCTTTATTTTTTACATTTCCATTTCGACTTGTTTCTTGATTTCGTCTAAAATTTTCATTTTGTAATTTTTACAATTCCATCTCCTTATGTTGTTTCCTTATATTATCCATATAACGATAAATCATAGTGCGATCGGTTAATTTTATGATGTAAAGTACATTTCCTATAAGAATCATTAACTACGTCATATATATAACCATGACATTCAAATCTAATCAGTATTTAATGATTATTCAAATATGTTGCGTATTATCAAAATTTAAACTTCCAATGATCTTTTAATTATAAAGGAAATCTTTTTTTATAATTTATTTCGTTTAAATTCCCTATTAATCCTCCTCATCACTTATATTTCTATTAGATTAGCCATGAATAGCTTTCAGGCTAATTTACTAATAAGATCATAAAATCTAAAATACTAAAACATCGATACAAAAAAGACCATTGCCTTTTATTAATATTCCTCCGTTATCATTGTAAAGTGAAAATCCAATTCTAAACCTAGGAAATCACTTCACTCCTTCTTGAATTTTAAGGACACTATTCATATCAAAATTTAAATGCATTTTTAGTGCATTTTAACATCAAATCATGTTTCATAATAAGTCTTAACATCAGAAAAATTAAAATAAGAAGAGGAGCAGCAGATTCGAAATTAAACTGTTTCAAAAAATAATGGAACTTCCAGAAATTATATAAAATTAATTCTTGGAGAGAAGAGTAATTTAGTTGTCCAAATCAATATTGTTTAACAAAGGTATTTTTGAAATAGCCCTCATAATATTACCCTCTGATTAATTCTGACTTGCCTTCTAAAGTTTATATTTAAATTAATAAATGGCATGATAAGTTTCAGAATTAAACATTATCAAAAATCATAAATTTTTCAATATTAAAGGTTTTTAAGGTTCTTCTAAACTATTCTAAATTTTATATTTATTGAAAATTTTAGAGAAAATGTGTATCTTTTCATTTTTTCACTATAACCATAAACAATTTCATTGCAATATTACTAATCCAAATTTAAATAAGATAAAATTGGAATTTAAACTGTGTTTTATCCTAACGATCTTTTATTCTCAATAGGTGTTTATCAAATTCTCATAGCTTAAAGTTATACTCTATAATATTTGTTAAAGAACTTTCGAATATACGTTGAATTAGCTATTATGTATTCCCACTAATGGATTTCCAATTTTAAGGTTATTAAATTGTTATTGTTTTAATTAAATATTTCAACCCAAATGAATATATAAAAATACAAAATCAAAGGCCAGCTTCATCATCATCATCATTTCCACTAAATAATTTAAGTTATTCATAATTTCCTTTTTCCATATAAGACGAGAACTTCTTTGGTGGTTTACTGCTAAATATTCTAGAGTTAATGATAAAAATTATTACTTCAAAATCCTATCCTTTAAGAAAAAAATGACTAAAATGACGCCTAAAAAGGCTAAAAGATACCATAAATACGAATTCTGTTTTGTAGTATTTGGTTATTAATAATAAGGCTCTTTAAGTTGTATTTTACTAATCTTAGGTTATTTGATATCAATATCTGGGATTTCAGTATTATTGAATGAAGTAGTATTTGTTTAGGTATTGGGACAAGGAGTTTCGACAGGGGATAGATCAATACCACCCTAGCAATAATCTCCAGAAACCTTTCTGTAGCCTTATGTTTTCATGTAAGTCTATTTGCAATTAGCAGGAGGTTTTAATAAATCTGGAGTGTCATCTTCTTCAAATTTATCTGCTATTGGTACACAAGGTCCTCCTTCAATTTTCCTATAGAATCCAAAATCACATTCCCAATCGTCTTCTATGCAAGGACAAGTTTCGATAAAGAACTTTTTATCAATTTCCTCTTGATTGAAACACTTAGCCTCTCTCTTTCTTCTGATGTACTTGATTTTTCTACCAAATAGACATTTACCAGATTCAAAGTTTTTAGGAATCCAAAATTCATAATCAGATTCAGGCATTGTTGGATCCCAAGCACCAGAGCAAACTCTTTAATGAAGTGTTTAGAAATTCAATGCTACTACATATCCTTTCAATTGATTCTCTTATGATCTGCTCTACCCATAGACAATGAACTTCTATTCCATATTAGAAGGTTCTGTGACAATGTTTTGAATTTCCAATTCCCTTTCGCCAATTTTCACTTCTTCCCATGAAAACCCTTGATCCCATGAATAGATGATTTTATTGATGGGCTTATCGTCTTGTCCCATAACAATGAGACCACCTCTATCTCCAATTTCATACATATGGGAACCCTTCCTGATTTCAAACCATTCATGACCTCCATCTCTGGTCAGATAGGTGTTGACTTCGTGATCCTTCTAGGTCAAATATAAACCTGTATTTCCAACACCAATACTAAGTCCAGGGGCATTTTAACTAGAATAGAGAGGATTTTGGTTGGCTTCTGTTCTTCCTTTCAGATGTAAAGAGCAATCTCCGGAACATTAAATTTCATCTCCTTTCGAATCAATTTCTGGAGCTTTTAATGGATGCCATTAACCTCCTCTATCATAAGAGATAAACTAAAAAATATGAATTTAGCAATCGTACAGTTTTTTTGTATAATTCTAAGGTGGCAGGAGTGATAGAACTTCTAGATTTCGATTTCTCTACTTCTTGATGATCAAAAACGTTGGCAACGTAAACTCCTTCCATGCCTAGCATTCTCTCAAAGTCACAATTTCCAGTATCTAGCGATCTCACGTTATGCAACAAAGATAGAGTGAATTTAAATCCTCTAAAATCACTTACGTATACATTGGTTAATCTTTGATTTTCTTCTTTATGAGAAACGGATAAAAATATCTATCCTTCTGAAGTGTCAAGGATAGTAAACGTATGTTAATTCAAAGGGATTGGTAATTATACAGGTTGGGGTTAGAATTTGTCTAAATAAGCAGGAGCAATTAGCAATTCATATCCAGTTTCTCCATCTTCGCCTGTAGTAAGAACAAATATATAATGAGATGTTTGGAAGAACCCCAAAGCATTTTCTTGCATTGTTTAGACAGTAGCAAAATAATCATCAGAATAGGAAATCACAGATTTGCCTTCTTTCATGTGACACACTATTATTCTTTGATCAGGAATCAATTGATATTGTAAGAGCTTATCCCAAGCTGCATCTCTAACATAATTTAATGCTGACTTCCAAGTTTCACCTCCATCCTCAGTTACATAAATTGATTTCTTATAAAAGTCCTTACAATTAATATCGTTTTTCCCACAAGGTTTATCTTTAAAAGACATAATCCATTATGGGTCCATCTTATTCAATTTGAAATCATAAAGATCTTCTGAATGTGTGAACCTTGTATATGTTCTTCCGCAATTCTTAGATTTATAACTAATACCATTTGAACCAAAAAAGAATATAACCCTTGAATCAGCTGGTGAAATATGAATACTTTCGAATTGTAATTATTTATTTTCTGGTTCCATCTTTTCCCAACTCTTTGTCTCATCTAGCCAAGTTGTCCCGTAATCTGCTGATCTCCATATTCTCCCTTTGTCTGTAAGAATGAACAACACTTTTCTGCTCTCCTAATGAGTTTATTCAATTGTTTCATCATCTTTTGTAAATACAACAGATGATCCACACCAATATATATTAGATATTGGAGATTCAAGCTCATTAAATGAAACCTTCACTTCATTCTACCCTTACACACATAAAATCAACAGACCTAGAATTATTATCATTTCTTAAATAATAACACGTAAATTAATTAATATATGTATCAAAGCACTACTCATTCATATATATTTTCTGTTAATGAATAAAAATTATTCCTTAAGCTATACTATTTTAAGAAAAAAATCAGCCTTACAAACTCCAGAGCCTACAAAAATTGCTTAACAATAAAGTTTAAATAAGTCGAGGGCCAAATCAATCACTTCCACTGCAATCAAGTTATTTCTACATTCTAACTTATTTTAGGAAACCAATAACAATAATAAGACCTCCTTCAATAAATTTAAATAAGATAGATACCAGTCCTTTTACCTTTGCCAATAGACTCTCTCATGACGGTTCTACTGATTAAACCAACTCTGCCAGTCTTAATAGTGATCAAGAACATTAAGGAACTACCATACTATAAAAGAATAATTAAGACCAGCTATAAATTTTGAAACGCTAAAAGCAAATTCTTGAATATAGACTAAGATAGGAGACAGAATCATGTTAGCAATATTAATAAAACTATCATAACTTATAGGAACTTTTACAAAAATTAGAACATGCTAAAACAAATTATATTAATGAAATGAACTCCTTTACTTAATGCTTAAGGTTGGTTTTGAATAATACTGATTGATTTTAGTTTAATTGTAATTTATAAAAATAAATACATATCAATATATTGCCTAGGTGAGTTCACATAATTGATCATAAATGTCCTATAACTAATTATGTGTAGTTTTGAATGAAAAGTTTTCTAATTAATTATGTTCCACTAAGATTTCGCTCTAATTGTAAGATATATTACATTCATTGATGTTATATATCATTTGAGCTTTAAGACAATTTTAATTTTTAAAAATTTAAATTTATCTATTGTTAAACTGCAAATATCTAAGATATTATAATGTTTTACTTCTCTTAGATTGCCTCATCTTCAAATTTGACGTAGCAATTTCCGATATTTTTGATATAAAGGTCAGTGGAATCACTATTAAATTCATTACTACTTTTCTTGGAAGATGACAATGAATTTTGCGAATCCAAAATTGCAATTTCATTAACAATAGGTCTCTATTTTGGATCGTTGTTTATACATTCTAAAATAATTTCTGATATTTTAGAATGTTTATCTTTTAAAATCTGTGGAAGTATGCCCTTTTTGGCTTCATTCATCACTTTAATCGCCTCCATTGAGGTAGATGTAGGATGAAATAATAGTAAAATTATCAAACCTAACGCATAGATGTCACTTTTTTAATCAGAAAAGCTTTTGTTTATTTTTTAATTAATCTGTTCAGGTGCTGCATACATTCTTGTACAGATATCTTCATCATCATCTTGATCCTCATAGTCGTAAAATTATTTAAGCTTTGCAACTAAACCAAAATCTCCTATCTTCACATCATCTGGATTATTCATGAAAATGTTTCCAGGTTTCAAATCTCTGTGTACCAACTTACATTCATTATGCAAATAATCCAATCCTTTAATTATTTGATCCAAAATCATTTTGGCTTCTTTTACATACTTTTACTGAATATTTTAATAGTCATCATCCTTACTTTTTCTTAGTTTCAACAACTGTGCATTTCTTTATTATAAATAATTCTCTAATGTTTGTTGACAAAACTCAGTCTAAATGTAAAAGATGATTCTATCAAATTCTATCTTTTTTTCATCTTAGCTAATTGATTTTTTATTTTGATTAACAGGGTTATGCTTTTTTCTGTTTCCTCTGCATTTTTGTTGAATTTCATCTTCTTATTCAGAATAACTAATCTGATCATTTTAAGAATCTTTAAAAAAAATTATATTCTCCAGATCATTCCTTGAATTTTATTATGAGTCACTAAAATTAATATTATTCCTATCGAACAAAAAGTCGTTCGTCTCTGGCTCTTGTTTCCTCGTCTTTATAGAATCCACCTTATTTGGCATTACTTCAACCCAAGAATTGAAGTATCTTATAATTTTGGGATGTGATAGTCGGGCTAAGTATTTAACTTCTTAAAAGGAACTTATTAATTAAAACTTTATACCTCTTTAAGCTCTTTCGATATTCTTCTCTTGACTCTCCTTCAAGTCCTTTCCTTTGAGTTCAATCTATATAATATATATTTTTCAATACTTCTTTCAAAGCATAAGTATTTTTATCAAGAAGGTTGCTTACTTTGTACACTTTAGAGAATCCGCCCTTTCCTATCCTCCCTAGCACCTTGAAATCCGATTCTAATCTCTAAAATAAAATATATAATATTTAAGTGTTTTTTATATAGTAAGAGCTCTTTTAATGAAAACAATGATTGAGTGATATACCTTAGATTGCAAGGCGGCTAGTTTGGCAAGATCGATTGGAAGCATTACGAATCAATTTATTAGAAAAATATTATAATATTTTAGAAATATTAATCTTAAGCTAAGTATCACATATTTTTGTTCTATTTTCAAATCCACAATTCAACAATGATAATTACTAAATTTCAAAGTCAGTTGTAAGTTCTCCACAAAATTATGAATAATTAATATAAGAAAATAAGTGTGTTTTATTAAAATTAAAAATTTATTCTCTAAAATAAATCTTTTCTAATAAATCAAAAAGAATTAATAATTTCTATGAATGTATAGTTCTCTTGATATTTTCTCATGATCTAAGAAATTATAATAAAAATAGTGCTTGAGTAATTGCTTATCTTAAAGTAAAATGTTTAAATTTATTTTATATAAAGAAATAACACCAATTCAATTAGATTCTTTCATTTGGGAGTTTATATATGATATATTGATGAATACAAGTAATTTCTTGGTGCTATAACATGTAATGCAGATAATAATTATCATTTATATTTGATAATTTGTAACTTAAGGAAGACAATAATGAACTCTACATTGAAACATCTTCCAAATTTATAGTGTGTGTTTAAAATGATTAAATAACCAATTCATTTAATACTTAAGTACTTCTATAGACAAAGTTTAAATTCTTAAATTCATAAAATCATTAACTAAAAGTTGATTATTTCATTTAAAAAAGAACTCACTAAAGAAATATATATGTTCAAGTTTTTTGAATATATTCTTCTAAAGAAAATGATATTAAAGTATTTTTGATAAATAAGAAGAGTAGTTTGAAAATCTAACAAAATTTTACTATTTTGATATTCCCATGCTTCTTCAACTTTATATCAATGATTAATAAATTATGTAGCAAAGCAACTCAATCTATCTTATTCTTTTTCACTTGAATTTTAGGATAACATTAATTATTTTAGTAATTAATAATGTCCTAAAGGAAGAAAAAAATAGAAGCAACACCAACAAGGGTTGCTTTGGTTTGCTTGAAGACTACATAGAATAATATCTAAATCAATAATCAGTCTTTATTAAAAGTTTTCTCCAAACATGGCTCTATATCAAAAGTATTCCAAATTTGCGATATATAATATAATAGATTTTAATATTTGAAAGAGGATAGCTTTAAACGAAAGTATTCATCGAATATGATGAAGTTGATTCTGCTATTGAAGCAATCAAGTATGGATTCAATCCTTTATAGTAGATCTCTGAACAACACTAAAATCTTAAATTAAATTTCATGCAATGTTTATCATTCTAGGTTGAAGTAACTTAAACTTGATACTGTTCCATATACAAAAGGTCTGGACTTTACTAACCCTCCTTCCAATACGAGCGAGTAAATGGAGTGGAATGAAGAATAACAAGAAATAGCCAGAATCAATTAATGGGAGGACTTTTAATTTGAGAATGATTCAACTGATGAGGTTTCTGATGAAGAGGAACCTTAGTTTTCAGAATAGAAAATGATTGATATAATTTCTAAACTCAATTAAATAGATGATGAAATAAATAAAACAATTGAAACTAAAATTGTTACAGCTCTGGATAAATTACACCAAAATACTATGTGCATTCAAGTATTAATCACATATGATGTATTGAATGATATGAATTTCGTTATCAAAATATTTTGTCTCTTTGGATAAATTGTAAAATTTTATCACTATTTAGAAATATTTAAAATAAAGCTAAATTTATATTTATATCAAATACGGATCCAATCAGTAATGCTAAAAAGCATTCTCATTTCTAAAAGATTATTTAGAAATTAAACTTTAATATAATTTTGAAAATGTCAATGGTAAATTAATTTAACCCAATAATATTATTGATTAAAACTCATAGGAAACAATGGATGATTAATTGGCTATCTAAGAACTTTTCTAGTCATATAAAATTATTAAATAGTAGAACAATAGCTTAATATAGATAAAACAGTGAAGCAAATGAGATATTCAAAAATTAGTATTTCTCTCTTTTATTATCATCATTAATACAAATTGAAATATTTCTAATGCTAATGGTATAGAAATGTATCTGAATAGAATTAATTTATTGGTTCTATTGAAATCAATAAATCTATTTTATTATGAAAATAAATGAATTCAGAAAATTAAATTTTTGGGCTTCAATTTAAAATCTCTTTTAGATTTTCATAAATATATTAACATAGAATTCTAAACTGATTGTTTTAAATTTTAAAATAAATAAAAGGATTAGAATACATGATTAATGCTAGAAATGTATATTAGCTTATGCTTTCTTATTAACTGGATATATATTTAGTATTATTGTATTAAAAGAAAGGATGAAAACATCATTCTTTGGTCCATCATCGTATAATTGTAAAACTTTAACTTTAAAAAAATAATATTCTATGTGAATTTCATAATTAAAACTTCTTGATCTTTAGAATTTACTTCAGTAAGTACAATACATTATATATTGAATAAGTTTAAATAATTATATTACTTAAATTCATAATATTCTCTATCTACTTAGAAGAAGAATTCCTTCGATTCATTTTACAAACATTATTATCAAAAATAATTATTTACTTGCTTAAATTAATTCTGGAACTGTAAATTACTTGAAAAATTATTAACCGTGAGAACAAAGTAATAAAGACTGAGAATAAAAGAAGAATTTTATTAAATTAGTAAACAGTGTTGTTTTTATATAAAAATTTTATGCAAATAGCTATAATCAATTTAAATACTGTAGTAACTTCTCTTCATCAAGTGTAGTCTAACTAAAGTTATCTTATTTCTTTTGATTTTTAGTATTTGATAATTAAACAAAATGCTTCTATCGAATAGTTTAGTGCATCTATTCGATTATAGCAATTTACATCTTTGTGGCTGTTATAGTGGGGTAGTTAACGTTGGGTGATTTAACTTTCACTGGTGAATTAGGCTATGAATGTGTTTGAATGGGTTGAATTTTGGGTAACAGTTTGATTGAGGGATTGATAGATGAAAACCTTTAAGAGGAAAGGGTTTAATTGATATCAGAGTCTATTTTGTACTTACGAAATAAGAAAGTGACTTACTTGAATTATTAATTATTATTGTTTTTCATTAATAATATAAAAATGATTCATTGGATGTATTTACTTCCCAACCAGAAATAGATGCTTTTTACCTAGAAATAGGCGGCAACATTTATTTCTTGGGTAATTCTAATATTCTTGGTGAACGAATAGAAAGAGATCGTTCACTTTACAATTAAATCGTTTTTGAGGAAACAGATATGGGCAATTTATTTTTTTTAGGTTGTGGTACTGGCCTTTTGAATTTTACCTTTTTGATTATCTCATCAAAGAATTGTAATTGCTATTATATTCTGATTTTTTTGTAGAGATTGGAGATATCATTCATTGGAGGTGATAAGGGATACTAGGCAATAAATCTTCTGCTCATTATTTGAATAAATTTAATAACAAAATAAAAATATCATAATGATCAAATTCCAAATTATGACATAAATAGATTGAAGATTTTTAAATTATTCTTCATTTATTGTTTGATTCTGAGATCTAAATCTTATGTAAAACCTAGAGTGATGAATGCTCTTATTATAAATCAAATCTCAGTAAAGCTGATCCCTAAAATTACTCTAAACCTTATTAAAGGTGTACATAATAGCAAAACTTATCTGGTTTTTTAAGATTAGCTTGTTTAGAGCATTAATCATTTTATCAAACAAAATGAGAATTCCTTTACATAGAAAGACTATATAATTATGGCATATACATTTTACTCAAATGAAATTCCTTGGATAAAAATTTTAGAAATAATATATGACCTTCACTACTTTATAAAAGTTATGCTATTTTTACATAAGTTTATTATATATCTAAATTTTATTTTATGCAATTGTAAGTATATATTTTTAGATTTCAATATATTTTCGAATTCTATGATGAGTTAGTCTATCTTATAATTTGGAATATAGATCTTGTAACTTTCCTAAGTCTCTTCTTATTTCAATTCGAATTTCATCTATTTGATGTATAAGACACATAAGATATCAATGCTTCTTATATCTTCAATAAATTGATATATTATTAATTCAGCTAATTACTATATTCTATGAATCAAAAGTTTAAAGAAACTAGGCTTTAATAAGTANCGAATAGTTTAGTGCATCTATTCGATTATAGCAATTTACATCTTTGTGGCTGTTATAGTGGGGTAGTTAACGTTGGGTGATTTAACTTTCACTGGTGAATTAGGCTATGAATGTGTTTGAATGGGTTGAATTTTGGGTAACAGTTTGATTGAGGGATTGATAGATGAAAACCTTTAAGAGGAAAGGGTTTAATTGATATCAGAGTCTATTTTGTACTTACGAAATAAGAAAGTGACTTACTTGAATTATTAATTATTATTGTTTTTCATTAATAATATAAAAATGATTCATTGGATGTATTTACTTCCCAACCAGAAATAGATGCTTTTTACCTAGAAATAGGCGGCAACATTTATTTCTTGGGTAATTCTAATATTCTTGGTGAACGAATAGAAAGAGATCGTTCACTTTACAATTAAATCGTTTTTGAGGAAACAGATATGGGCAATTTATTTTTTTTAGGTTGTGGTACTGGCCTTTTGAATTTTACCTTTTTGATTATCTCATCAAAGAATTGTAATTGCTATTATATTCTGATTTTTTTGTAGAGATTGGAGATATCATTCATTGGAGGTGATAAGGGATACTAGGCAATAAATCTTCTGCTCATTATTTGAATAAATTTAATAACAAAATAAAAATATCATAATGATCAAATTCCAAATTATGACATAAATAGATTGAAGATTTTTAAATTATTCTTCATTTATTGTTTGATTCTGAGATCTAAATCTTATGTAAAACCTAGAGTGATGAATGCTCTTATTATAAATCAAATCTCAGTAAAGCTGATCCCTAAAATTACTCTAAACCTTATTAAAGGTGTACATAATAGCAAAACTTATCTGGTTTTTTAAGATTAGCTTGTTTAGAGCATTAATCATTTTATCAAACAAAATGAGAATTCCTTTACATAGAAAGACTATATAATTATGGCATATACATTTTACTCAAATGAAATTCCTTGGATAAAAATTTTAGAAATAATATATGACCTTCACTACTTTATAAAAGTTATGCTATTTTTACATAAGTTTATTATATATCTAAATTTTATTTTATGCAATTGTAAGTATATATTTTTAGATTTCAATATATTTTCGAATTCTATGATGAGTTAGTCTATCTTATAATTTGGAATATAGATCTTGTAACTTTCCTAAGTCTCTTCTTATTTCAATTCGAATTTCATCTATTTGATGTATAAGACACATAAGATATCAATGCTTCTTATATCTTCAATAAATTGATATATTATTAATTCAGCTAATTACTATATTCTATGAATCAAAAGTTTAAAGAAACTAGGCTTTAATAAGTATCTTCTCTTTAAACAATTGGATTAACAGTGTTACCTCTAAATTTAAAGGGATTAGTTTTTGATATTTTATATTAATTTTATAATTAATCATACCAATAGAAAATGTCAAACCATTTCCCTTAAGAAAACTTTGAAATTTTCGATGTTCAAACAGCCTTTGAATACCTACCAGATGAAACAATGGTAAAGGGGGCGATCATGTTATTTCTAACGTATTTTGAAGATGGAGAAGGATTTGATGAATTAATAAATTTATATGAAAAAGGAGGGTGGTAACAAGTTGGAACACCAGCCTATTTGAAATTTGAATAATTGGCTCATTCAATGAAGGGAAGTTGTAGATATTTGGCACTTCATAGACTTGGGAAAAAATTAGAATTACTACAATTTTTTATCAGAGATGGTAAAGAGATATAAGTGGCCTCGATTCTTAATGAAGTTCTTGAATAATGTCCTTATGCATAAAGAGCAGTTTTAAAGTACATGGAAATGCCAGAGGACAAAGTTAGGCATTATAAATTCGTATAACCATTTTATGATTACTATGGGAATGTACAAATATGTCATAAACTCAATTACACTTTTCACAAATAGAAAAACAAGATGTCAGCTGTGCATAATAAACAGCCTTATTAACAATAAATGGTAAATTACACTGATTAAGATTAATGCAATATATTTTGATTTGCATGAATTTTAATATTTATAGTATATAAATATAGTTGAATCAATTTGATATAAAACCTATGTTTTCTCAATTGTCTAGATACTTAAAGCAGATTTTTATGTTTTTGATTTAAATCTTCATCATAGATTATCGAAAATATGGCTATATTATTATAATTTGAATGAAAATCACAATAATTAATTTGATATAGCTTTAGAGTATAATGTTTCTAAATGGAAATATATATTTTTTAGAGGTAGATTATTATTAATTGGGATTGATTATAAATCAAATAGTGTTATTTGTTAAACATAAATATTTCATATATACTCTAAAATTTTATCGCAACTAACTATTAAGTATTCATCCTTGTAAGAATTTGTATTCTCATTTTTCATATTATCAATTAGATTTTCTAAAATATTAAAAATAATTACTATTATCTTTATTTTCGCAAACAAAATATGGTTTATCGTTTCTAATGACTAACGGAGTCATTAAATTCACTTTTAAATTCTATTTCTTTATGAATGGTTCCAAAACTTAATTATTTTTCAGTTTTTCGAATTGATCATTTAGTTTAGAGAAGCATTCCTTGGATTTTGCTTTTGCACATTTGGGCAAAGGCTTTTATGGTTATTGTAAAATTAAGGGAAATCTCAATGTTTATTCATAGTTTTAATTTTTTAAGTTAGTTTTAAGTAATTTACTTTAGAAATTCTAATTCGGAGAGTATTATGAATATTCATTATGTTTTGATTTAATTTTTGGTTAATTGCGTTTTACAATAGAAAGAGTTTTTAATTAATGACTAGTATCGCTTAAAATAGAATCATCATTTTGTGTTAAATGAATCTTGCTTATGCTTGTTCTTTTTTTAAACTAAGAGTTATTTTCTTGAGTTGATTTTTCTAATTTTTCTTAAGTTTAAACAATGGGTAAAAATTTACTGCTATTTAAAGAGGAAGTTTAGTCAAATTCTTTTCTTTTTAATTAATAGGTTTCCTCAATTATTTAATTAATCGTTTTGTTGTCATCTTAAAGTTCTTCTTTAACAAATGATTCTTATGATGAAAAAGTCTTTGATATGTCTGTTGGATTAAGAAATTTCAGATTCGAATTCTTTCTCTTTCGTGAAATTCTTTTTAAATCTTTATTAACAAATTATTAAACTCTCCTGTTTGTTTGACTAATATTAACTGATACGTGAGTCTTAGAATTATTTTAATTAATCATATTAATCATAATGTTTCGTAATCATCGTCGTAATCATCCTCATCCATTTCAATTTCTTTATCATAGACATTAGTTATGTCCTTAATTGGTTCTACAATAGAGGAAGTTTATGGTTCTATGAATTCTTCTTTTTTATCTGCATCTTTTTTTAAAAATCTTTCATCTTTATTTTATATCAATTATGTACTCAATATATCCACAATGGCTCTTTCTGTCTTTTTTTTTAATTTGTCTAATTTTGGTTAGATTGCTCTCTTCAAATCTATGTTTGCTTTTTTTGGTATGATATTCAAAGTGCCTTATTCATCAGTTAGTAATTGTGATACCATTTCTAATACTTTTTACTTTTTACACAGATAAGAATACCTTATAATGCATTTCAATATTTTTAATATTTCTGGTAATTTCTTGTTCCTCCTTTCCAAAACATTTATTTTTGGGGAAGTAATGCAGAAACTTCAAATCTGAATGCCAATCTTTTGTTTATTTCTCAGGCATTATAGATTGACTAGAATTTAGATTATCGGGAAAATCTAAAATCATTTTAATATAATTAATGAGCCTGATATTAAAGCATCATCTAATATTACCGAATTTCAAACTTAATGAAACTATACCTTTCAAAAATTAAAAATCTAACTCTATCACAACGTTGAGATCATTTCAAAAAACTTAAACCACTTAAAAAATGCTAGACAAACCTTAACCAACTGTAGAAATGTAAGCCAATAAAACCGATATAACTTTTCCTGCTATCAGCAAACCTTATCCAAAAGAAAAAACTTGTAAACGGAACTTAACAATTAGAACAGCATACACTGATGATAAAACAATAAAAGATTACTTGGATCATTTGAATACATTGAGATCTCAGAAAAATACTTAAAAACAAAATAAATTTAAGAAGGTCAGAACTGAAACTGAAATCGTACAGTATGGTGATATTAAGTTTAAAAAAGTAAAAGAAAACTCTACAAAAAAACCTCCTGCATTAGCATCAAATGTTAGAAATCCTTAATCTCAATCTTATATCAAATTTAGTTAGCAGATCTTTGCCCTTGTTTTTAGTTTGGATAATCTCAAAGTATGATCTGATATTTTATTTAAGAAATACATTAACAACGAAAGAAAACTATTTTAAGTAATTAAGCAACTTATTGGATTAAAAAAAAGTTTGCGCAAAATAATACTAAAACCAAATGGAGAAGAATTGGTAGAATTCTCAGAAATTAGTAAATTGTGTTGTGTCAGAGAGATATAGTACATTAATGGAGAACAGAAAATTGTTGATAAATTTGATTTATCTCTTTATGATGATTTAGTTTATTTGACAGAAACTATTGAGAACCTTCTATTAACAAATGAAATTCACTCCATTAATCGAATAAGTGACAATGTAATTATTTAATCATTCATATAGATTTAAAAAGAAACTGAACAAATCGTTAGAATTTAGCATTCCATGAACATGCCCAATGAAGAATAAAAATTATCTGTGTAGACTATGTCCATGCAAAGATTTAAAATTCACGACGAAATTGATGTTATAGAATAAAAATTAGGACCTTTATAATTGATCTCAAGGTAAGTTAGATAAACATCCACGGTGTTGGGGAGAGTGATAAGCAGTTTAAATGAATGAGTAATAATTTTTTCAATTCGCAAATAAATGATCTTTTAAAAACTTTAGAAATCTTTCCGCATAATCTCTTGGAGGTATGGCTGATATTGTTGGGCCATAAATTACTCTCTTTGATAAAAACTCTAATTTCTTCTTTGTGCTGAAGTTTGTTAAAATATCAATTATTCCAATATGTAAAGTATATTGATTGTCAACGGTTACCATCTTACTAAAGTTATCATATTAAGGATTTTCTGAATACACAGAGGATTCATTATCAAGTTATTTGTTTCCCTTAAGATGCAACCCTAATAAGAGACTGTAATCTATAATATCATTCTCTTCAAAGAATTTGCAGTCCTTTTCCAATTAATTGAAAAACAACATAGATTTATTCTTATTGATATTCAGTTTTATATTCTTTTCTATATCTGCTAAGAAATTCAAGTCCTTTCTAGCAACAGTAGGATCGCTTATTTTAAACAAATATTCTTTACTTATCAAAAGTGTATCTTCCGTAAGTTGAACCCTTCAAGTCATACCTCACATTGATTTCTTGGTTCGTTGAAAAGACATTACTCATTATAACAAAATATATAACTTTCTCTCTTAGCATAGTTTAATACTTTATTCCAATCTTATGCATTCCAAATAATCTTTATTTAAATGGTAATATTACTTTATAATAAGAGTTTCTGGATAGTTTTTGAGATGGTAATAATAATTCCTCATAATTTATTTTAGAAATCTGAATTCTTGGTGATGAATTGTTTTTAAGGTGAATTGTCCATCAGCTGTATAATAGAAAAAACTTCCACTTTTTCCTGTTGATGTCAATTCCTATAAACATGACAAATCCCCTTTTATTAATGATTGTAATATAGATTCTGGTCCAATACTTTTTAGATACTAATGATTATCAATTCCGTATATAGTTCTAATACTATTGAATACTCGTGGAGCATAATCGAAGAATTAACATACTTTAAAAGAACTCTTATCACCTTATGCTCTCCTTGGCAGAAGTTCAAAGTAATATTTTAATTTAAAATCCTTTGGACCTACTTCATAATCATCAGCTATGTTAATACTACTTACTGCCATTTGTATTCCAATCATCATATTTAAAACTAAATTAAAATTTTCATGACCAAATGAAACGCTGATTTTTGGTTTTTTCAATTGTTTTTAATTTTTAATGGAAGATTGCTTTCTTGGTATATTTATAATAGTATGAAGTCTTTATTCATTAATCTAATCTATGATGTCCATCTTTTATTGTTTGACTTGGTTTTGATCAATTAATTCTCTCAACCTTTACACTTCCTTACTGATTTCTTACACACATGTAATCATTGACTTGTATTTGTCTTTGAGTTAATCAGTGCTCATTTAATCAACATATTAATTGAAATGATTTTTCTCTGGATCTATCTCAAAGCTTTGATCTGTCTAATTAAATTGATCTTCTTCTCGAGGTTCTTAGTTGTCTCCTTCAATTTCTTTCTATGGAACTTATTGAAATAAAGCTTTCTGTTTTTATTTAGGTTTTTATTATCCATAAAATGAAAAATCCTAATTTTAATCATTCTTTAAATGTTCTATTGATAGTTCGTTAGAATGATTGTAATTAAAAGATGCAAATTACTCTGAAGTAAAGAATTTATTATTCGATTAATCATTATTATTGTTATTAGTATTGTGATTATTTTCTTCACTCTCATATTTAAATAGACTAATAATTGGAGAGTGAAGATTTTCAACTTAACTATTTCTTACTTTTTACTCCTATTCGGTAGTACCTTAAACAAAATGAGGAAGTTCTTTATCCTGCTTCTTATTGTCCTATTTCATAAATTCTAGCAAATGATCTAGCTTTTTTTCAATGTTCTGTACATATCTGGATTATTGCTATATACTAAAATCAATAGTTTCTAGAGTAACACCTCTTCTAGCAAAGTCAAATATTTCTAAAAGTGCTGGATCTGCAACTACAGAATCCTGATATTATTGTAATGTAACTTTATCAGCTTTGTCAACATCCATGGTTTAGAAAATTAATTTAATTCTTTAATCAATCTGTTTCTTAGTTTCGCTGGTTAAGTTTTACCCAGTCATGGCTATCCAACTATTAATCACTCCTTACATTGTATCATTAAATTCGGCTGATGTGAAGCTTCCAACCTTGTTCTTATCAATCAACTTAAAACTTATCTCCGCCTTTTCTCTAGCATCTCCATGACTTACTTTATCAAAATATAAGGCAAAATCTTCAAACCGAATCTAAATAGATTTCATTTAAAAACATACCTTACCATCCTTATCATCATCCATTATGTGGAAGATTCTGTCTGATAAATGCAACATTGTGCCCATACCAAGCAAACCCAAATTATCTCGAAATTAAAACTTAGTAACAAAATTAGAACCTTGTGACATTCTGGCAAATCGAGTTTTTAATTCTATCAATTCAGTTTCTGTAAGTCTTGTGAGTTTTCCTAATTTATTTATTTCCTCTCTTTAAGTGTTAGTTTTTTATTTTCTCGAACAACACATTTAATTAATTTAATTATTATAAATAATGTAGAGTGATATTGATAATTTTTCTTTACTGTCTAATATCGAACCTGATGTTTAGTATAATTATTAATTTAAATTAATATTAACAAATGCTTTTACTGAAAAAAATAAGTGTAACCATTAAGTCTTTTTGTGAAAGGACTATTTTAAAGCAAAAAATTATGATCTCTGATTAAAGTCAATATTAAAATATGTAAGAATTATATTAAAGTGAAAAAGTGAAAATATTATACATATGATTAATTAAGGATGGCTTTAAATAAAGAAAATTAAAAATAGAATAACATTAATGATATTCGAATCTTCATTTTGAAATAAAAATAACCAATTAAAATAATATAAAAATTCATTATCATTTTTTACCTAGTGCTTAAAATTCTTGATTAAAAATATACATACAATATTATAAAAATGTATTTATTGATTATTATTACAATTTAACTATTTTGCATAAAGAAGAAAAACCTTATAATTAAAGCTTAGTGGTTTTCTAGTAGTTATTTATGCATTTTAGAAATAGGATTAAAAATCTTGATTAATCAAAATAATAATAATTTAGTTGAGTATTGAAAAGATTGATTATATATTATTATTAATACTTAAACTGATTACTTTTTTTATTGTAATTCTCTTACATACAAATTAACTGAAAATAATTGCATTCATAAAGTTAATTATTAATTCTTACTTGGCTTTATAAAATTTAATAAAATTTATTTAGTCCCAAAATGGAAGAATAATTAAAAAAAATTGACATACTCATCAAGAAGCAGAACTTTTAGAAAAGTATTAAAAAACTTGAAGAACTCCAAAATCAACTCAACGAAAGGATCATAAATCCTGAGGAAATATTAGAAGAAGACCAAGTAAGTCATAATAAAGAATTAGATTTTATAAAGCAATATTTATGAGAGGTTTGCAACAATTTTCATAGATATCAACTAAGTTTATAGAGCAATGTAATACTTGATAAAGATGATTAAAATAGAGAAAGACATTTGTAAAACCTCAAATAATAAGGATAGCATTCTGAGACTATGTAATTCATATGCAAAAATAGGTAATAAAATATTTAATGAATTATAGGAAGGTGTTGTTTCTATTGTTGCTATTATGAATAGACATTCAAATATTTGGATTATGCTCAATAATTACTCATTGAAAATAATCTAACTAGAACAGGAGTTTACGCATTAACTTTAACATAGTTGGGAAATTATTATAGATTCATGTTTCAAGATGACTTAGCAGAATAAATGTTAAGTGAGAGTATCAAAATTAGAGAAGAACTATATTCAAGGGATTCTATAGTAAAATTTATAATTATTCTAGGAAGTGGCTGATTCAGTACATGGACTGGCTTAGCTATTCTCAGATGAAGGAAAAATTCAAGATGCCATGCTCTAAATTAACAAAGCCATATCCATTTTGACTAATGTATTAGGTTATGAGCATATCAAAACTGCTAAATCAATTTATCTTAAAGGAAATTTATATCTAAGAATGAAATCGACTTAAGAAAGTAATAAATTATTGTGAAACTGTAGATTTAGAAAAAGCAGAATAATTGATAAGTCAAAGTCTGCAAATTAACATTAAAATTATGGGGAATTCCTCATAAGATATTGCTGATTGCTATCATTCATTGGGTAAGATTAAGGCATATAACAAATGTTCAAATGAATTTGAAGAATATTTTCAAAAATCATTGGAAATTTTGCAGGAATTGTATGGCTAGAGTCATGCAAGCATTGCAATAATATTAAACAATTTTGGAAGATCATATTATGAGAGAAAATAATATGAAGAAGCTGTAAAATGTTTTTAAGAATCTATCAAAATTTATACTTAATTATGTGGGGATATGCATGGAAATTTAGCAATTACATTAAAGAACTGTGCTGATTGTCATAAGGAATTGGGACGATTTAAACAAGCTTACAATGATTATTCAAAGTCATTGGAGATTTACAAAGTATAAATGAATATTAACTTTAGAAAATGCAAATTAATCAATAACAGGTGAACTAAATTCAAAATTAAATGATCTAAATCTCTGAGAAGTTTTTAGAAGATTGATATCATACTCTTTGTATAAAGACAACTAAACAATTTAGTCATAAAAATATTAACTAAAAAAATTATATAATATTATACCTATACCCCCTTTTTTGGATATTAAAATTATAGCCATTATATTATAAGCAAAATTAAATTATGAAGATATATAATAAATTCATTATTGATGAAGGCTTTATTATTATTATACAAGTGACTTTCTCTTTGAATTTTATTTTACAATTTACTAAACTTAACTGCTCTTTCTTAATTGATCTCGCTTAACAAACTCATCAACTTTTCTGAACTATACCCAAGCTTTGCCTTCCATTAAATTATCCAGCTATTCTTATTGATACACAAAATACTTCTTCAGAGATTTCTTTATCAGTATAACCACTTTTTTTAACTATCTCCCAAAAAGCCATCCATTCATCCTCTGATATTTGTCCACTCTTATCAAAATCAACTGCATTGAATAAAGCCTAGGTATTAACTTTAGCGAAGTTTGTTTTCCAAAATTTTTATGTTTCATCCTTATCTATAGAACCTGAATTATTGATATCAATTCTTCGAAATATTTCTAAAGCCCTAGCCCTAAGTTTTTCATTTAGGCCTGTTGAATTTTTTTATGCTCCACACCCCATTTATGTAATAATTAAATAAATTAAATCAACTTTACAATCAAATTTATGAGTAATAATAATATTAGATAGTAAGTCATAGGATTGAATATCTAATTTATAATTGCCCAAGTGGTTAACAAATTTATATTAATGAAAATAATTGAATACAACTATTTAAAAGAAATAATCAAATTTATGGTTTCACATCTTCTGATAGTGTTACTTACACATGTTTATTTCACTTTCAGAATAAAACAAGTTCATTTTTTTAAATTTAGTTATTAGAAAAACAATTTTGCAATTCTTATTAATTATTGAAACACATTTCATCTTTAATCCAACAAAACAATAATGCTCTAATCTGCTCCTCCTTTCGATCCAGTAAGTTTTAATAGTTCTAACTATCTATTCTATAAATTAATAAAATTATTAGTTTGATTTGTTGTATATTTAAAGAACAATTTAGCAATATTGTCTTGCCATTCTTCAAATGAGTTTATGATCAATCAATATTCAAATGAAGAGTATAATGCATTCAGTATCTAATTATTAATTGGACTATTGACTCTTAAAAGAATTACAGAAATAATATAGCTTTTTATAAAGTCTCTTGATATTATTGACAACCTTTGGATCTAGGCGATTATTAAGATACAATTGTGTTTTAAAGCATAATCACCTAATCTTGATTCCAACATAATAACTTCTTACTTTTTGGTTCAAGATAATTTAGAAAGATTTCAAGAATATAACTTAGAATTCTTATTCTCCTTTAGATAATACCAAAAGAAGTTGTCATTTCTTTAACTGTTTAATTATATTTCATATTTTATTCATAACAATTCTATTCTTAATGACGTTTTCTTTATTCATTTAAGTAATTACCATTAATTATTCTTTAATAAAGGACAAAAATAAGATGACAACACTAATAATAATATCACCGTCTAAAAATATATTTGAATCTAACTTAAAAGATCAAAATCAAAGTATCACCACTAAACACCGTTTATTTCAACCAAAATTTAGAATACCCCCAAAAAAAATTAGAACTTAAAAAGCGTGACCAAGATTTAATACATCATCTTATCGAGATTATCATTATAATTCAGCGTATGGATACATGTCAAAAATATAGTACATTAAAGATTTCAACTACTATTTACATTATCCTAAATATACTATTGCATTTCTTTAAAGTGTCTTAACTTATGCAAACATTTTAATTATTAAGAATACATAGCTCTGAATTACATCTTTCCAATCTAACATCAAAGTAAAAATCTCCTATCAACTTCTCATCCATTTTATAAGGGGATTCTTTATGAAGGAATGATCTCTATTAATTTTAACTTCAACGGCATCACTTCTATTTTGCTCCAAAAGTCTGGCCATGAGTTTTCTTAAGGGAAGCAGAAGAATATTCTGAGAGATTATAACAATAAAGAGATAGTAATATTTATGTATTACCCATAATATTATGTTGATATAATTATTAAAATATAATATAAAGAAAAAATTAAAATTTTTTTCATAATATGGCAATTATCTACTTCTTAAAATTTTCGTAATTATAAAGCATCTTCATTAATTATTTTACTAATTTCAATACCCTTGAATTATATTCCTAGATGATAAAAAATGCTCATTTTTTGCAGTGGACGCCACGTATCGATAGAAGGATTGAATTGATTAGATGAAATTCTAGAATCGGTAACGTTGATACACAATAACAGAAAATTAACCAAAATCAATTGTTTATTAAAAAATAAAAAACACTTATAAAAATGAATTTGCTACAGAAAGAATTGGGTGATGGTGTGAAAAACTGGGATGAAGTTCGGAATTTTCTCAAAGAATTTGAATAAATTTGTTTATATATATTTCTGTTAATCAAAATATATTGATGGGTCTGCATAATTATTTTCAAAACGAATTTTATAATATAAGCTGATAGACGTTAAAGTTTAGTATTTTTTCAAATAAGGTTGCATAGTATTCATGTAAAATGTACAATGCGTTGGATTATAGTCTAAAATGATATTTAAAGATTTCAAGATTAATAATTCGTCACTTCCCATATATAAAAGGAATGAATATGTATGATTTTTTCATTATATTTAAAAAAAAATTCCTTGAATAGAATGAGTGTTGCATCTAATTCTCAGCATGATGACGAATTGAAGGAGACTCCTAATGAAGTAGTATTTATACCCTATACGAATTAGTTGAAGTTTACATGGACAATGAAGAGTATAGAAAAACTGAAAGAGCTTCATGTGTTGCAACAAGGGAACTGGAAATCAATCAGTTAATTGCTAAATGGGCCAACCCCTTTGGAGTGTATGATTAAGTGGCAACAACTCCATCCTGACTAAGTATATGAAGTTTTCATAATGTAGGCAACTTCCAGATAGCTGTGGTCACCAGAAGAGGATGAATAATTGTAAGAATTGGTCTAAAAATTTGGAAAAAAATGGAGCAAGATTTGTACAGTAATGAATTGGAGAACAGGAAAATAAGTTCGAGAGCGTTATTTGAACTAACTCTAAGGAACAATTAACTAAGACAAGTGGACAGAGGAGGAAGATAAATTGATATTAAAATTATATAAGAAGTTTGGAACCAAATGGAGCTATATTTCAAGTTTCTTGAATGGAAGACCTGTATATTACTTTAACTAATTATTTAGGAAAACATGGTCAAAAATCGATTCTATTCCAACCTAAAAAGAAGATACTAATGTGATTTAGGTGATTCGGATGATGAAGATTTATAAGAGGAATCACTTAATTCCTCCGATGAAGACCAGAGCAGGCTTTAGAAAAGGAGAAGACCGTAGAAAACTACGAAAGAGCCTCAAAAAATAAAAAAAGTTTAGGTGGCTGAAGAAAACATAGAAAATTTCTAAAGAATGACAAGATCAAAAAATCAAAAATAAAATGATGACAGTCTTAAGTAATATGGTCTAAATGAGGACTAAAACAATGAGAATAACTCAGGTATTCGTTATGTTTATCTTAGGATTATAAAATATTGCAAGTACTCCAAGTTATTGCACTCCTCAAGCAAATTAAATTAATATAAAGGAAGAAAATTAATTAAAATGTGATCGTTTTAATTATAATTCATCCAATATTTAATAATCGATTCCAGCAATCAATATGCTCCCTTAAACAGTGTCTCCATTCATGTTTAACAATTAATACATTCCATCTCATTAGAATTCGTTTATATATCCATAAAATATGATGCCAATCCCATAAGATAAATTGGCAGCGTAGTAATTCAAATAGTCATAATTTGACAAAATGCAGATGTTAAATGATCTAAATTAATTGCCAAGAGCCAACATTGTTAACCCTTTTCTAAATATTATGTAATAGCAATAATTGATGAATTTTCAAATTCCAATCTAGTCGTAATATATAGGTCAGGTTGATCCAATAACATAATGGGCTGAACTATGCAAAGTTTATAATAACCTAATATTGTAAAAACATTTGTAACCATGAGGTTAAATAAGAGAATGTAAACAATATATATATGTAATCAAATAAACATATTATTCATACATTATTTTAAAAAATTCAATTTTTATTATTAGCTAAATTAATGTTACTCTTTTTAAATTCAATTTTATAATCTATGCAAAAAGAATTTAAGTCTATTCTTTGTTAACACACCTCAGATTAATCTGATTATATTCATAATGTTTTTTAGACAATCCTTTAATTTAAATTACATTACGAGCATATGATTAATCATCCTTCTAGGAATTATGAAATTAATCGTGTGACTTTTTGAAATGGGAAAATAAATCTCAAGGTTTGTAATTGTTAGTATATAAAATGAAGAGGAAAACAAATAATTTATATCATTAAATAAAATAATTAATTAGCTCCTTTTTTTGAAGTTGCCATTTTATAAAATTTCTTCTTTAAGCATAACTTAATTAAGTATACAAATAATTATAATTGACCTAGTCAACACTAATGAAGAAATGGGTTGTTTAATTAGATTTAAGGAGGGTATTGTTTTTAAATTTAAATTATGAAATACTTCAAATAGATGTTTTAAATAATAATTATAAAATTAATATATGGGGAAAAAGAGAATTGTAGAAGAAATTTAGAATGAAGAGCCAGAGGAAGTCTAAGAGGTGAAAGCAAAAGTAGAAAATAAAAAATAAAAGAAAATTGCTAAAAACTAGAATAAAATAAGCAAAGATGTTGATTTCATTTCATTCCTAAAAGAGGATATTCGATTTTTGATTCAACATAGAAATCAAGAGAATGAATAAAAGTAGTAAAAGGCTGAAGAAGTGTTTAAAAAAATAGAAGGTATATTGTACTAAATTGCCTAAACCAAAATTGGAGGCAGGACAATTCAATTAGTAATTAAATGTGCAGATCAGAATGTAAGATAGTAAATATTTTCAAAATTATTGAATGACAAACAATTTGGGGAATTATTATAATCTAAATATGGCCACTATATTGGAATTACCATGGTTAGGAATATGGTTCCTGAATTCAGGAATTAATTTTTCGAGATTCTATTCAAAAATGCTAATCATTACGTAGCCTAAGGAGATGCAAGCATTGTTTTAGATAGATTCTTAACAAGAGAAGCAACTACTTAATAGGTCAATAAGGTAAAAGCATTGTTTCAGAATCACAGTGAAAAAATTGATAATCTAGCAATGAAGATCATAGAAAAAGGAATTCATAATCATTTGCTTAGTTTACAAATTCTAAAAGTGGCATTACCAAATCTAGTTCCAGAAGAGAGACAGAAGGTTATTGAATACTTTTAGCAATTGGAGAATCTCGATTATCTTAGACATAGAGATGGCATTTCAGTATGATATTAAAACTAAATTTAGATCTTTTGTGCAATATTAAATGTCACTGACAAAAAAGAAAGAAAGAACTTTCTAAAAAACATATAGACCTACATGTAACAATCCTAGGAACACTTACACAGAAATTCTTAATTTTATTTAGCTTTATAAAAGGTGATATTTACTTATGATGACACTAAATAAGTTAATAAATCAATTTTGCAAGACATCTTACCTGAATGGTTAAATTCTATACATGTCTATAAAATAATATAATCCATTTATTAACCTAAACTTAGAGACGACACTAAATTTGACACAATTGGTTTATAAAACACAGTGAGTTTGAAAGATGATGAGATTAGAATCAAAGAACTTTAAGATTATTGTTTTGAATCAATCTTGAATTCTTTGTAATAAAGCGAAACCAACATCTTATTGGAAAGCAACATCAATTAATTCATTTGCTACTTTATTTAATATATCATAAAGTACTCATTAGTTTAAGCATTGGATTTCATCAAAACTCAGATTAAATAATTACTCTATTTCAGAGGTGACACTATCTTTAGCAGGGAACTTGAATAAAATGGAAATTATTGGATATTGACATAGCCAGAAGCATAGAGAATTGCTAAATGTTTGATTCAACAATAATAAATTGCTGTAAATATATAAGCTAGTAATATAGTAAGGCGAATTCAGTGAAATAATTGACAATTACTGCTAAAAAATACAGGGTCTTTTGATATAAAATTTGAAAGTGACTCTCATTAGCAAAGCAATCTATTTATTATTGGCACTGATCGAGAACACTAATTTGAAAGAATAGGTTCTCGTGGAGATCAAGAAAAATAAAAAATGGATAGATAAGTTGGAGAAAACATAATCTCTCCAAATATTGTATAAATATATATGATTTTGTATATTAATAAATATCATTATAATCATTTTGGTTCTGGTCTTTGATATTGAATTTAAGAAGTTAATTAAGTTTAAAAAATAAATGTTTTAATATAAGGTAAAAACATTTTTTTGTCATATTAAATAAGCAGTCAAATCATTTGAATCTGAAGTGATCTCTACAGCCTATTTAAGGAAAAAGGAGTTGGCAACATTAAATACGATGCTCTTTACATTAAAGGATTAAGATAATTATTAGGAAATACGTAAAATGATCAAGGATGTTTTGCCTCCTGTCTAAAGTATCTCAAAAATCATAGATTTGAAAGAATACTCCAGAATCGCTTATAAATTAGACATGAAGAAAGATTATTAGATATTGGAATAGCTTTTAACTTTGATATTGCAGGATCAATTTGGTAATTTTGTGTTGAAGGACAAATTAATTAAACATATAATTCAAAACATTAAAATAAGTATGCTGGAGCCAAAAGTAAAATAGCTATTGGAATAATTGAAATTGAAGGAATCTGAAGTTCAAAAAAAATATATAAATATTTATATAGACCTCATAGAATAGAAGGTAAATTAGGGGAAGGATATTTCTGAATCATAGATGAATAATTAAAATGTGGTAGATTTAAGCAACTAAGAGTTGAAACCTGAAAAAAGGATTTAAATTCTAAATTAAATAATCCTTTCAAAGCAAGTAAAGCAGAATCAATAAATTCTATTTGAACATTTTTAATATCCCAGTATTGAGGAGATTATGATCATTTTGCCATAAATTCATTTGATTCCAGGGAAATTAAGGTCGAATTATACAGAAATTTTGAATAAGTACCTAAATTAATTAATGGTCTCTCCAAAAGAGGAGGGTAAAGTTTTGACATAGCTGAATTAAAGTAATTAGATCTGTTAACTTAGTGATTTTAAAGAATTCTGAATTTTTTAAAAAAAGCAATATCTCTTTTATTCATATTTTGAATTAGATCTAAATGTAGGGGTTGTTGGAATCTTAAATCAATTAATTATTATACTTAATAACGTATTCGAATAGTTTAGAGTACTTCAAATAAAATGAGCAGTAGTTTATAGATTACATTATCAAGAGCAAAGCAATAAATATGAGTTAGATGGTGGCTTACTTCTTTCATCTTGCATAAATTTATAGATAGATAGGCGATTTCAAGCAAGAATTGTTAAAATTCCAATGTACATATTTTATGAATAACCTATCCAAATGTGATTCAAATTAATTGTTTTTGATAGTTAAATCGTTAAGAATATGTTAGAACATTGAAGAAGTGGTTGTTTTGAATAAATAGATAGAATAGAAAATTTAAGAAGGAGCATTAAATTCAAATCACGATGCTCTAATAAATTTTGTAGCCAATAAAATCAAGTAGTCTTAGGTATTATTTATGCCTGAGACAGCAAATATGGTTAATGTGACTTAGAAGAATTTTGGAGAGTGGTGTCACTTAATCCAATAGATAGGAGCACTAAAAACCTTAGAGGTTGATTTATTGGATAAGTTTAGAAGGTTGCACATCAACTTTAGAGAGAGATTAGCATAGAGTTAATTATACTATTATTTTGGAGCATAGTTTATTTGTTAAGTTCATGATGAGGGGTTCTTTTTGGAGAGAATAAATTAGACTAGACCATTTCTATTGGTTAGGATTCTTTATGATATTGCTTAATTCCCTACAAATCAATACGAAAAACTAAAACAAAGAATCATTGAGAAGATAAAAGATACACCAGATTACTTGACATAAGAGTTTAGTAAATTGGACAAAGGATTATTGAGTTTTAGTATTTTGACAGCATCGCTATTTGACGATCAATCATTTTATAATTATCTATTTGATAAATACAAGAGAGAAATAGAATAATTCACTGATGAATTAATATCAAACAATAAAAAGTTCTAGAGAAACAAAATAATAGGCAAGTCATCAGTGAATTTTGTGACAAATCAAACGTTGGTGCAATTTTATCAGGCTTTAAGATACCATCAATTTTTAGGCAATGAGGAATCAGGGTATCTAATAAAGTTATAGGATCTCATTAAGGAGTACAGTTTGACTCAATAGGAGATGCCTTCTTATATTGAGAGTGTGGTTGAGTCTATTTTGAAGGAGGAGAAGGTGGAGTATATCAGAGATTACTGTGAAGTGCTGCCATTCAGGATAGACTTTTACATTCCGAGTAAGTAGGTTGGGATTGAATGCAATGGGGTGTCTCATTATTGCTTGGATCAATTGAGAAGAGTGGATGTATTGAAAATGAGGGTAATAAATTGATTGGATTGATTTTAGTTTTTTGAGGAGAGGTTGAATATAAAAATCAGTGTGATTCGTTCTGGTTGTGTTAATATTTAGGAGGTGGTTAAAAGCATAATAAAGTGATTGATATTTTCATACATATATAAGTGAGTGTTGGTTGATGACAGAAATATATTATAAAATATATAAAGAGTATTAAGTTCATTAATTAGTCTTATTGAGTGGGGTTTCAAAAGGCGTCGTGTTCTTGAGCAATTTAATAGCCTCTATCAATAGAACGATAAAAGGATGGTTGAGAGAGTTGCCTGTCTGCTTGAGTGTTTGTGATGGTTTGGATTCGAACTTCGAGTTTCTATTATTATCTTGGTTTTGGTTTGCTAGTACAAATGCCCATGTTTTTAATAGTTAGTAATATTAATAATAAATGAATTGCGCTGTTTGTGGATTAAATTTTGAGAGGAAAGATAAAGGATGTTAGTAAATGGAATGTTAACAATGTAAATTGAAATATCATCGATTCTGTTATGGATACAATAATTTGGATGGAGTATGTGATCCTTGCTAAGACATAGCAAAGAAACCATTATGCTGTATCTGTGGATAGAAAGGTTTACTAAAACGACTGTCAGATTAGAGTGGAGTATACGTGCATGTGTCCTGTGCAATATTCGCACCTCATATCCAGGTGATCAATTATCATACAATGACATTTGCTACCAAAAGTTAAATAGACAAAAAAACTAAGGAGAAATGCTCTAATTGTGGAAAAAGTGGTGCAAATATCCAATGCCTAGATTGTCAAGCATATGCTCATCCTCATTGCATTTTTGTAGAGTAAGTGGAGAAGGCCTAAGAAGACATAGAAACAGAATAGTGGATCTTCCATTTAAAGTTTTAAGCAAACAACTAAGATCCAAATCAATTGGATGTGGAGTCAGGCGAGATTAAATGTGAGTTAAAAGAGATTCAGGATGCTTTTTACAATGCCCTTGACAAGTTTTAAGACAAATCAAAGAAAAGAGGAAACCAGACACAATAATACAAGGAACATATAAAAAACACTTTGGAATCTATTTTTGATAACTACGCACTGCAATAATGCAATCAACAATGGTCGTCACAGAATAAGATAGAGAGTTATTGTTAAGTGCATATGGAAAGTCATCGATTGTTTTGTATATGTCGTAAATCCTTGAATAATAAGCAAATGGTATAATGTGATCATTGTTATGAATGGTATCATTTTGGATGTATTAAACGTAAGAATGTAAAGGACGATAGCTACATCTGCGAAGCTTGTAAAGGATGGAGTGCTAAGAGGACTAAAATAGATTTAGAAGATCCGAAATTACTAAACTTTGAAGACTTGGTTGTTCCCAAGAGTGTCTACATTCTACACTTGATAGACTTGCTCCCCTTGTTATTATACATCGAATCTATCATGAAGAGGTTGCCATCTATTCCTCTAGACGAGAATGATTATAGAAATATCAAATTTTACAAACTCTTCTTGGCATCATTACCCATCAAACCTTCTACTGTAATTCAATTAGACAAGATTTTATTGAAGGAAAAATTACAGGAAGAATTAAAATAGAAAATGCAATCCCTCATACCCACCTAATTAGAATAGAGCGAGTAATTTGCAGAAGAATTAGTTAAATCATTTAAATTCAAAGGCTACTATTTCGAATTGGGTGAGAACAAACTCATTAAATCATTCGTGTTGTCTAGAAAGGATATCAAAGCACAGATATAGAAAGGAATTTCTGAAGGATATTTGATGGAAGACACCTTCAAGATTCTTAATGATAATGTCACAGACAATCAAAAAATATTCAAATCTCCTAATGATAATCTAGGTTAACTTATTAATAGGTACAAAGTGGCTTAGCAAATCAAGAGTACTTTGAGATCTTTATTTGAAGCAGAGAGAATGCAAATTGAAGATCCAGTTATTGACAACCAGCTTGATTTGACTGTTTATAAATAATAGATTTTGATGAAGAATTAAAAAAACAAACCAAATAAATTAAAATTGATGGATTTAAAGAGGATGGCCAATCATAACAATGTGACTTTGGGATGTCTCAAGATCATTGACAAATTATTAGAAGAACTCAACTCATTGGAATAGGAGAATGTTCAGAGTTCTTATAAGAAGATTATAGAATACCCAGTCAACAGCGACACTCTCATAACTTAGTTATAATCTTATTTTGATTAAGAATTTATTGATGAATTCAAAGTGGAATTGGAATTGAAGATTGAGAGTTTTTGTAGATTGACTGAAAAGGAATATACAGGAGTGTATACTTATGAAAATATCCAAAAGGCTGCTAAAGACTCGATTGTAATAAGGAGTGTATATAATCAATTGTAAGAAATTCATTAGAAGTGTCAAACTTAAAAAAAAGTAACTATTTAATTTTGTCATGAAATATTAGATTTGATGTCAAAGTGCTTATTAACATCAACGTATATGGAATCTCAAAAGGCTAAATTCCTAAAATTCAGAGAACTCTACAAAAGGTTGAATGAATCAATCACACTGGAACAGTTGGAGGAAATTGAACATGAATGCTTTTAACTTGGATTTGATATGGATGTGGAACAAAGGAGATAGCAATTGGTCTAAGCACAAGAGATCATCCAAAATATCCAACCTAGTTTGGGTGATTCCTTGGAAGAATTCAAAAAACTGAAGTCTCTAGAATTGGACACTTACATTAAGTAAACTGAATAGCAAATAGACTTCGTGAAGTAATTATATTATTTGGTATACAATTCATATGATACATTGCCTAAGATGATTTAGAAAGTAAAAGATATCTCAGATTTAGATTTCAATAATGAATTAATTTACAAAGTTGCAATTCCAGAAGTAGTCTATGATGAAATGAAATCAGTAGTATTAAATTTTAGACAACTCAAATGGAGATGCGAGTGCTAACAAATCCTAGATCAATCAAATCAAACGATGATCCAAGGGAGTAACAAAAAATATAATATCAGCCAAATAATTCAATTGCTAAATGCTGATCCCCAAATCTAAGATCCATTCTACACTTAACAACTCTAGAAGATCAAGAAGGAATACGAGAGTTGGATTATCAACTTGCAGGAGTTCGAGAATCAATTGGCTGGTCAGGTGGCTCCACATTTCAATTAGTTGATCAAATTAATCAATAAGAATCAATATCAAGAGAACAATTTACAAACCAAATTGTGGCAATACTACATTCAGATGCTGTGGATGCAAAAGGCAGAAGAGTTTATTGAGGCTAAGGCCAATCCCTAGGCTTACAAGACGTTGATCTCCTGTGCTACATATGCAAACATCGATTCCAACAATGCTTTATTATTGAAACTGAAGGACCATATCTTCATCATGGATGATTTGAGCAGAAAACTCAAGGAATATTAAGAATAACGATTTCTGTGGGTTAAGAGTAGAGAGTAGATCAACAATTTGCAATCGTATAAATCTTACTATAAGTATTTGGAAAACAAACCAGATGCAGAGTAGATCAACTAGATATATATATAAGCCAAAGAATATCCAATATTCAAAGTAAAAGATTTAGCTGAAGATTTGTAAGAAGTACGTTAAGTGTTGCAACAATATAATGACTTAGTCTAAAAATAGCCGGATAATAGTTTGTACATTCAGCAATTGTAAAAGATAAGGACCTATTACTGTTGTTGTTTTTTGAAAGTAAAGAACTTCTGTGTCTAATTGATGTACAACATGATAAAGTAGTAATCATTGAAGTGCTTGAAACAGTTGAACCCTACTGAGTAGATTTTACAGAGACTGGAAGAAATCAATCTCTTGGTTGCCATAGGAGGTGAAGAGTGGTTTTAAAAGTTGAGTCTTACGTACAAAGTAAAATAGGATAACACTAGTAATACTGATTTCAAATTTATTGATTGCGTAAGAATTCATTATTATATATTTATAGAGTCTGTAAGATGATTTTGAATGGATCAGGTGGATGGAAGAGAGTAGTTAGAATATAGGAGATACTTTTGGAATTGAAACAAAAAAGCAATAGAAGGAACAAAAGATTAAGAAGAAAAAGTAATAGAACTAAAAAGTAATGGAAGGTATAACTGAAGACATGAGATAAACCTAAAGACTTGATCTATAAGTGTGCTTTAAAAAGTGCTCAAATTGGAAACAAGTAAATGAACAATAGATACGCAATTTGGAAGCTCAGGTGTTCATGGAACAGAGTTTCGATAAGGACAAGTATCTCAAAGAGATAGAAAAGATAAAAGCAGTCATTAAACAAAATAAATAGATAGAGTAAATATTAATATTATCTTTTTAGACTCAATTATGAAGAAATGAAGAAAGCCTATAAGCAATATCTCAATCAAAAGAAATCAAATGGTTAATAAAGCAATAATAAATAAGCCTTGTAATTGGAGAGCATCAAAGTGATTAAGAAATAATAGTAACCTCAAGTTCCCCAAATTGCAAGTGCTTAAAAATTAATCTCTCAACATTCAATTAAAAGCGAGCCGGAATTAGAAAAGAAGGTGAAACCTGAGGCTCCTAAACAGCCCACTATTATTGCTCAACCAATTCAAATAACTAATGAAGCCCTTCTTTATAATCCAGATGGGCAAGTAGATACACCTTGTAAGAAGTTAAAAAACCAATTGATGAGCATAGGAGAAATTAATTTGTAAATCAAGAAAAAGGTTAATGACACACGAGAATCATTTCTCATTAAGCCACAACTATTAACTTATGAACATCATATGGCTTAACACTTTCCAAAAACTGAGAATATCACAGTCACTTGTGAAACATTCTCCCCTGTTAAAGAAGTCATGGAGTACTTCACATAGAGAAAACCTGGTCAATTTAGAATGATTATTGGGTGGTTGTATTCAAAGGATCTCAATGTTGCTGGGGACTTGTTTAAATTGGCAGATAAGTTGAAACACTCTAAACAATGTGTTCGAACCAAATTAGGAGATGTTGGATTGACCTTGATTTACTACGATTACTTGAATAAACTTAAGCCTACCACTAAATGGATTATAATTAAGGAGGAGTTAGAGTAAATATTATTAATATATGCTTTAGGAATCAATTGGTCATGGACAACCTAACCAAATATCATAATTTAGAGAAATTCAAACCTCACTTATGTTTTGTGTATTACGCCAAGGACTTTAAGGATTGCACAAACAAAATCTTACCTCAACCTGTTCAATATATTAATGTGTTGAAACACGTTCAATTCAAGAAAGTTATTGAAAATCATAAACTGCAATAGAAAAAATAGTCAGGACAGTTGATTCCCTCTAAGAAAAAAGAATTAGAACCTATTTCCGATGAGGAAAACAACAATGGATTTTAGTAGAAATAGGATGTCCATTCGATGCTCATGGAAATACCTGGTATCCTCAGCTTGTTAAATTAATGATTGATAATTTATATATATATTGGCAAAGGGCAATTTTTTGGTACTCTGTCTTTTATTTATTTATTACATGATAATTAATAATATATTTATTGTAAATGAACCCAAAAGATTTCTTTGAGATCACACATTACTCACTATAAGAAATTTAGTAAATTCCACCTTTCAAAAACAATCTAGGCACATTTAATAAATAAACTTATACTGTCTCATCAGCTTAGACAGGCAAACCTCATTCTTTAAGTAAGCTCATCAATGAACCTATTTACTTTATTAATGATGGCCATTTGTATTTGGTAGGCCGAAAAGAAATATAACAAGGCAAAACATACGTAGGGTATTCAGTCCAATATTTGACACTGATTAAATACAAGGGTTTATATGAAATGGATTCCATTACAATTGAAGTATGCTAAATCGCATAACTATTTAGACAAACCTAGAGTCTCTAAAAAAGAATAAAACATATCGTTAACTATCTTCTTCATATTTCGAGAGAGTCAAAGATGGATAGGAACTACTAATCTTCAATGAAAGTAAATTAGAAGAATAGGATGAGTATTCTTTAAGTTACCTTCTGAGTTATAAGATCCAGAATTCAGCATAACTAGTGTATCTTATCCATACTATTAAATGCATAGTTAAGAACAGGTACGTTTAGAGAAGAAGCAACAACATACATTCAAAGCATTTCAACCTTTTGAGTCTCATTATTCAATGGTTAGTGAGAATGTAAGTTAATTCCTCTAATTATTTAGTTCCCGGAAGTATTTTTAGAGTATTAGTGCTTAAATGTATCATCTTAGCCTTTGGAGATGAAGAATATTGAATTTAAAGTTGAAAATATAATGACAATTCAGAGATTGGTATCTCCTATTATTCATATAATCTAGAAAGACTACTAATTGCCAGTTGTTTTGGGTTAGGATGAATGTTTGAAAATCATTTATCGAATTCTGATAGAGACATCAGATCTGAAGGCCATCTATACTGTATTGACTTAAAAGAGTATTTTTAATTTTATTAATCTTATAGAGGATCTAACTGAGTATGATTTGAGGTTGGGATAGATCCATCTAGAATGGGGTACCTGTGGTAACTATTTTGGCACATAAAAAACTTGTTTGGTCAGGATTTATCCAATTAATCTAAGACCTTCGAAATCAATTTAAATAGAGAAAGAAGTTATTACAACAATAGAAATTGACATTGAATTGGGTATCTTATTTGATGTTCCTTAAATTGATTTGGCAATCAAATTAGAAGAATTGGAAATGAAAGCAATTAAAATTGTTGGAATGAATTAAATGGTAATGCTATTAGTTTTATATAAAATAGAAATTAAATTTTCCTCCTGGAATAAGAACAAGAAGAATTAAGTTAGATGTAGTTGCTTATAACTGTGGTGTTCATTAAATTAAAGGAATTAAGTTATATGATCCAAAAACTATGAAAAACATATCATTTAAAAATTTCCTTTCAGTTTTCGTCGTAAACAAACAACAAAATTTAAGAACATAATAAATCAATGCCTAGGAAGTAGACTTATTGGATTTAGAAATAAATTAACCTAAAGTAATCTAAGATACCAATTTGCTAGATTTAATTTGATAATTAAATATAATTTATAATTATTTTCATTAAACAAATCAATTTACTTCAATAATGATTGAGGATATAAATATGAATCAAATGGAGTTTGTGATTAAATAGTAATACTCTTGGTATTTGTAAAATGCGATAATACTTATAATCTGATTGATGATGATAAATTTAGATAATCCTTTTTACTTTTTAACACTTTCTTTTAGACTATGAAATTGAATGGTTATAATAAATGTTTTTAGTGTTATGTTTGATATTCATTTGGCTTTCAACCTCTCTGCTCTACATAAAGAACAACCTAAGGACATTTCTTATCCATTGGGTTTATGAGGAATTCCAAGTGGACATTTGCCAGGTCCTGGACATGGTTTGGTCATATTAGTTTTGATGTTTCGATGACAAGGATCACAATAATGGGTTGTACCACTTAACAATAAAATTTAAATTATACTGACACCACCATAATGCAATTGAACAACAATGTCTACATTTGAAATCAATAAAATCAACTCCATGTTTATTACATTTATCTTCAAGAGTCAATAATGGGCAGCATTTGGTGCATACTAAATCTTCTTACTTGAATTCTACTTTAGGATCTTAATCTGCTGCTTATTAACAATTCTTTAGTCCTCCAAAATATGGTTTTTTGCATTTGAAACATAAATAATAACAATAGATGTGCATAGCATAGTCTAGAGGTTTTTGATAAAACTAATGGGTAGGATCCAATAATTCTTTATCCTTCTCCTTTTCCTCTAATTTCAACCTCTGTAAACACAATTCTTAGACTTCCTTCAATAAAGCCTTTCCTTATTCAATAGACTTCTTGAAGTGAGGCACCTAGACATCCAAAAATTGGTTGCATAAAGGGCACTTCATAAAATTGAATACAATTCTAGGACCATTCCACTTGGCATCTAATTTTTGTCTTAAACAATCTTCGTGGAATATCTAATAATAGTAATTAATGATTACATGTCCACAAGTAGTCTGAACACAAGGTTGTGATTTCAATCCTTCTGTAAAGCATATATTACAATAGTCATCTTCATTTTAATCTGTAGCACACTTCTCATTAAGACATGGTAGACAAGGAGTGTTCTTTAATCCTTAACAAAAATGTCCGCATTTTAATTTAATAGTGCATAAATTTTTAGCTCTATTTTAACACTCTTATTATTAACAGATAGTTTATAATGCTTCAGGCTGATTCTTCTTTACTTCTGTGGGTTAATCACATAATCTGCATTTAACAGCTGCCTTATTGATTTTATATTCTTCACAAGTCATATTTGTATGATAGGGTATGCTCATGCAATTGCGACATTATTCTGTGTGACATTTTGAGCATTTAAATCGATTTTCAATGTAATGTTTCAATTGTTCTCCCTGCACTAATTTACCATTCTGATCCTAGATCTTCTCTTCTATGTTTCCCTTCTAGAAACAGAAACGTTCTTTGCAATGACAACACTCAATGATATTCTAAAGTGACAAATTGAGTTTCTCAGTTAGTTGTTCATAGAGTTCATTTCCCAGAATCTATTTAATCTCTTGATCCTTGAATCTCTCCCCACACACACAAGTAACGTTGCTTTTCTTAGGTAGGAATTCATCCTTACAAGTTTTTAACATGCAATCTTTGCAGAGGATATGTGAACAATTTTCCAGATACCAAACTTTATCAAAATCTGAATTGGCTCCAAATTGTTTCTTGCACTTCTCACATTAGACTGTTTATGAAGAACTTTTCTGTAAAATTGGCAATTATTATTGCGAATCTTTTGTTTTTAAATTGATTCTTACAAATCATTAGCATCATATCCAATCTCGATAGATATACCTTTGCTTCCGCTTTCAATACTCTGAGTTAATCGAGACTAGCATTTTGAATGTCCTTTCTTTCAATGTATTTCATAAATTCGCTGTAAGCACTGTATACAGGACAAGCATCTATGTGCATCTCCATCTCTTTCTCACATTTGTAATTGCACGAGAAACCGCAAGCACAAACAAAAGTCTCAGGTTCATAGATTTATTAGAATTATTACATAACAATTAAATATCTACCCTTTTAAATGGGAAGAAACTTATATGAATAAAAATATAAATCAGAATATTTCAGAAAATTATACATATCATTATGCTTAATTAACAAATTTGTTCGGAACGATATCATCTTTGTCTTTTTCATATACGATTTTCAATACTCCATTCTCAATTCCAAAGTGTTTCCACTTCCTTTCAAAATTTTCAGGGATCCTGAAACTCAGAGTGAATTCTCCATATTTCCTCTCCTATTTCTTGATATGATCGCTTTGTTCCTCTTAATAGGGTTTCTTTCTGTTGCCCTTGACAATTGTAACTACATTCTATCTATACATCTCTATGTCTTCTTCGTTGATTCCTGGAACATCCATATAAATAATGTATTTGTCATTAGCAATAATATCAGTAGCAGGGGCAAATGAATCAGGTCTGGCTAATATGAGTCCTGACTGGTCAATATTAGTTTGCGGAATCTTCAGTTCTCCATCCTGCAAATCAGCCTCCATTTAAATAATTTTCTTAACAAATTAATTATCAGTATCAACTAATTTAACATTGACTTCTCTTTTGAAATACTGTGTAAGTTTGCTGGTGGCATATTGCAGGATATTTTCACAGACAGAGAATTGTCTATTAACTGGAACGAAGACTGCTTTTAGCCAATACTTCAACAAGGAGAAGACCCAAGGATTAACATCCAATCCCAATTGACTATCATCGCTGACTAAACAAACATGTCTTGTGTATTGTGTTTTGAACCAAAGAACATGTTTTTCTTACAATTCATTTATTCTTGGATTGGTTGCTGCAATTTTGGTCCTTTAGATAGACCCTCCAGTTGAATAGATCTAAGTCACTTGGGTTGTCCAAACATGCTGTAATATCTCAGCAGTTTCAACTTCCTTCAAATTGTGAACCACGATTATTTCCCTGAATGTTTTCGAACTATTTTAGATATACCTTGATAATCTATCTAGATATCTCTGATCTAGGGATGTGAAGTCATTTACAACACAAATGAAATAATCGCTTAATTCGAACACTAAATCAATAATGAAGTGTTCAGTTGCTTCCTTTTCGACAATGCTCATAGCTGATTAAATTTTAACTGGTGAGTAACTACCAGCAGTATCAACTAGAATCAATTAAGTACCTGAATCGACATCGACGTGTTTAAATGAAATTCCTTTGGTCGTAACCTTTTTTCCGGATGGCAAATTAGATTGGGTGAGATTGTTCAAAACGAAGGTTTTGCCCTTGTCATACAATCCTACAACGGCAACCGTTGCGCCTTCCCATTTGATCTGAGCTTTAGTATCGTTATTGGCTAATCCAACCAATTCCTTATTGGCCTAGAACTGTTTGCTTATATAGACCGTCCAGCCTTATTGAACATTGTTTATGAGATCGATATCGAGGATCCAATCATAAACTTGTGTTTCATCGATTCCTTCTTGCGTATTATATTTGATTGGGTCGTTGAATATATTTTCTTGGATTCTGTCATTCAATTTGGATTACTCTTCGAAGTCATAACTTGTGATGATGTTCGATTAAAGACTTTTGGTTTCAACATTCATATTGTGATTGCTGTGATTGAATTGCAAGAATCTCCCAGTTTGACGTAAAGATCGAGTTTGCTAAAACTTCTCTGATGTCTCTAGATCTTTGGATAAGCTACTGATTTGTTTCTGTAGACTCTCCTACTCTGTCAGTCTGTAATATATTCATGCACTTACAGAAGCTCTTCCTGATGAGTGATTTCGTCTAAGATCATCATTTTGTCATCATTTCTCACACTCATCTCATAGTTAATCATTTCCATGATCTCATAAAGTTCTTTAATCGTACGAGCATCTTTAGTCATTTTGTTAAATTATTTCAAAATCTCCTCCTCTTCTCTTTATATGTCCTTAAGCATCATCACTAGAATGGCTATTTTCTATGTAAGATAATTACTGTTACTTATGTCTTGTCTGCAATCACTTTCCGAAGTGGCACTTCCTAAAACAAAGAGGACATTAAGAATAAACAATTATTTTTTAATCAAATGACAACAATAATTTATCATTCATTCTAACCAATCCAACAACTCAGGAGTGAAATAAGTGATGATGATGTCAATCCCTGTTCTAACAAATCCCTCCATATATTCCAACACCACTCTCTTCAAATCGAACAATTTCTTCTCTGCACCAGCATGTATCATCGAGTACTCACCACTAACATGATAACAGGCAAGTAATGTATCTGGATGTCTTCTCTTTATTTCTGCAGCTATGTCTAAATAGGCAGTTATTGGTTTGACCATCACATAACCTGCCCCTTCCTTCAAATCTCTCTCAGCAGCCTATAATGCCAATTATCGACCCCCTGGTGGCAATTAATATGAAGATCTATCGAACTTCTGAGGTGCTGAACAACACACATCTCTAAAGGGGCCGTACAATGCTGAACAGAATTTAGATGAGTAAGACATAATTGGAACTCTCAAATTTGGATGTTAGTCTAACAATTCTTTGATTGCTCCCACTCTATTGTCCATCATATCAGATGGAGCTACTATGTCAGCTCCAGCTTGCGCATAAGAGAGAGCGCACTCACTCAACCTTTTGATACTGGCTTAATTATCCAAGTATCCATCTTTTGTTAATATCCCGCAATGTCCATGAGATGTGTATGCGCACAAACAAACGTCAGTTATCAACAACAATTAGGGAAATGCTTATTTCAATAATCTTAATGCTTTGTGAACACAAGACTCCTTTCCCAATCCTCCTGCCAAGGATCCCAACTCATCCTTACCTTCATTTCCTATCACTCCAAAAATCAGCACTGCTTTTAAGCCCTTTACCACCAAAGGTTCCAGAAACTCTTTTAATAAATCTACAGAGTATCTATAAACATTCGGCATTGAATTTATTGGTTGCTTCTGATTCTCTCCATCAACTACAAATATTGGATAAACTAATTAGCTCTTTCGAGGTAAACAGCTATTCCATAATTTCTAAGTTGGATGAGCGAATAGGGGATGCAATTTGTCCATAAATTATTTTTATTTTTAGGTATATCAATATTTTATACAAGTTTATTTTTAGATTATTTTAAATTATGATGTGCTATTTTATGACAATACCGTATCTTGATATTTCAATTATTTCAGTATTGTCATATTAAATTATAGGGTAATTTTCTACAATCTTTGCAAATTTATAATATCAAATAAAGTTTAATATATTATAACATATGTTTGTATATTCATTATAATGATAATTTCTTACTTAGTATTGGTTTAAAAGGAATAGATTAATAATATTAAATCTAATTCGATTTCTTCTTTTTCTCTTGTCGTTGATGCTCTTAATACAATCGATCGAATGGATTGGATTCTAATTAAAATGAAGTCACATATGAATTGTTATCCGATTAAGGCTTCTTAATTAACGATTCGGATTTCTTATTCATATGTGATACTGAATTATCTTTTACTTCTGAAACAGATTTTACACTGCTGTGATTATAGAGTCTTTCAAATACCTTTTCATTTTGTCGGCAATTACTTTATTAATTTATGGCAGGTGTGAATGTGCATTAATCTAATTCAATTTATTAAAGTTCTTCCTACTTCAAAACCATATTATTCATTTTCTCGAAGTGATGATTGTAAAGTCTCTCCTCTACTGAGATACCTTCTTATTATTGCAATCTCATCGGAGTGCTGATTAATTAAGGACGATAAGTAAAGGATGAATCCTCATTGTTTCTAGGTGTTTTATTTCTTTAACTCAATGCATTTTAATAGAGTCTATCAAAGGGATTTTCAACCGATTGATTGTTTCCAATTGACTTGGTATTGATCGATGGTTTGAAAGTGCAATCCTTTAATTCTTATTTCTAATTCAGTTCTTAAACTATTTGTAATTTTATTTTAGAGTCCATGGCATAATTGTTCAATCTAATATGAGCAGGCGAACTCATCTCTAATTTTTAACTCTTCTTTGTTATTTAAGGTTTAAACGTGCACTCCTTCATAAGATGATTGATTTACTAATCTCGTTTGACTATTTGATTCTCCTCATTCAATATATGCTATTCATAGAGATGATTTAATTAAGAACTAGACTTTGTATGTATTTCACTAACTGACATCTTCCTTTATTAACTTTCCAATGGAGACTCTTACTTATAATCTCCATTATTATTGTTCCATCTCCTCACAATACGTGCCGATAATTCAACCATTTAATCCCTATTTAAAGTAATCAAATGCATCAGAAGAGTTTCTTCCAAAGTGCTTTTTTACATCTTGAATTATTCTTAGTGGTCCAGGAGCCCAAGATGTCTGCAGTAGGTAGAAAACTCATTCAGATATTAAACCATAATATTTATATCAGATAATTAAGGTAAATTTATTTTATTAACACCCATGATACAAGTGAAGTTTGTAGATCAATGTTCTGATGTTATCTATAAAAATTACTAAGCACATCAGTTCTATGTCATAATCATGGTTTAATTATAATTTAAATTAACTTTATACGATAACATAATAATATTTTAAATGTCTATATATAATATTTACAAATCAACGTAGGCTCTATCTTTTAGCCGTCATTTGTTTTAGTAGGATATAGCCTACTATTAGGTATATGATCTCAACTATCAACCATAATATTGCATAATTGTAAATGCTATCTGTGCAACTGGTGACAGCATTCTGAACAACAGAAATAGCTTTAAGAATTCCTTGATTTTGAAAGCAAGTCTTATTCAATAATTATTGTGTGTATTATGCAGTTTTCTTTAATCCTTCTTTATTGTTTAATCCATACTAGAATACAAATTATGACAAGATGACGACTACTGCCATTACAACTCCTAGAATCACTATACTTTTTTCAAGTATTTCATTCAACTTAACTTTGTAGGTCACTTTCAATAGGTTGATGTTCTTAGATTTAACTTTTGATTTGAACTGAACTCCTAATTTGATAGCAGCAAAAAATATAAATCCAATAGTGAATAGAATGAATGAGAAATAACACACTACAAGTTCAAAAACTTAGATGAAAAGACAAGAAATGTAGCATTAGGAAAATTTATATCTTATAGCTTATTGGCATTCTTCGCCTTGATTAACATAGAGTTTTCTTAAGACATAGATTTTCATAGGGTCATCATCACTATGATATTTCTCATAATAAGGTAAATTGGAAGTGAAGATATTGTTTTCGTTGATCAATGAGCCATGCGTGGTTTCAGCCAACATGATCGCATCATCCTTCCAATTGGAATAGCGATCACAGCCAATGTATTGAATAGTAGAAAATGGATATGACAGTTTCGATTATTTGTTTGGACCTAGTGCTGTGTTGAAACAGGGTTTATCTGGAGCAATAATCAGTTTGTAAAAGTCTCCTGCCAAAATATCTTCTTTTCTGGAGAAGGCATATTTAGAATCCATAAATTTAATACCATCTTCATTGAGATCAACTTCTTGGGCATTGTTTAATCCATTCTTACCATTGGAATCCTCATATTGAATGCAATATTATCTGCCATCCAATGTATACAGTTTCTGTTAGGCTGTTGTGTCCACAAATTTGCAAGGTTTCAAACATTGTTGATTGGAGGTTTGCATGTTAGGACAAATGCAGCCTCGATTAGTTCCAGGAAAATAACCCAGAGATGACTAGCATGTGTCACTCTCGGACTTTTCAGCAATTTTGGTTATTACTTACTAAGTTACTTATTTTTATAAGACTTTAATAACTGTGTAAGCAGAATTCAAATCCTCATAAAACTTATCGACTGGCAGTTCTTGCATTATGAGGTACCCAAAAATAAATGAAATGATCAAATTAATTAGTGTTAAATGTACAATATGATTATTGTTTTTAAGTTTTTACTATTAATTCATAGCTCCAATGATGGCTATTCTTTGATTCTTTAGAGTTTGAAATAAGGCTTAATCTTCAAAAGGGTTCTCCTGATAATTGATTGTTTGAATCATAAGATAATTAAAATAATTATATTTTATTTTATATGTTTTGATACTCAATTGATTCATCATTTAAACAGAACCAAAATGCAAGTCATATTATCACAGCCAGTACCCACTAGAAAATAGTGTTTAATATTTACATGAGGTATCTTTAGCCAACAATTAATCAAGCAATTTTTCAGTAGCCTTCGACAGATTTTGACTAGATTTCAACTCCTAATTAATAAAATTAAGTATTTATTGATGATCCCATGTTTCAAACACTCCATCACATCCCATTAATAAGAACCTGGTAATAGATGAATAGATATTGCTTACTTATCAGCGGCAGTCAATTGTGTTACTTTAACATCAGGTAAAGCACTGATAATCTATTCTTCAGGTTTAAATCTGCTATCTTTTTTGTATTCCAAATCTCCCAAAGCCCTTGATAATGAAAGGTTTCCTTAAATATTGTTGTATATTCAAACCATTAGCACGACCATCGGAAACGAAACCTCCAGCCCTCTCAATTCTCTTTTTCTCTTAATCGTCATCTGGCTTGTGATCTTTACTCATGTCAAATGGTTTTCCATCTCTATTTAAAAATGACCTTGAATCTCCTGCATTGGCAACATACAAAGTTTTGCCAACAATCAAAGCAACATTAGCAGTGCATCCAGCCAAAGATGCTAGAAATTTGGGAATACATTACTTTCATCATTTACTCCTCTTATTTTATTCAACTCATCCTAACCACTTGGCTCTTATAACATTTTGTCAATTTTGAAAAATGTCTCTGTCAAAGCCTTCTCATAATTCTTTTATTGATAGTTTTTATTCTTCATCAATTCTTCTTTGAAATGTCTCTCTGCAAATATTGCTACTTCACTTCCACCGTGACCATCGAAAACAGCAAACAAATGCACATCTGGCTCTATGTTCATATCTGAAATGTGGGCATCCTCCATCGTATTTCTCCATCCTAAGTTGATCACGCTTCATACCTTGCATGTGAGTGGCAGCATATTGGAATACCTAATTTTAGCCTGTAACTGTAGTCTTCTCTGTTTTTGGTTGGCTTAGATACGGTCCCATTTAGACTTTATTATTTAAAATAGATATTTATTAATAATGTTCATTATTGCATATGCTCTTTAACTCAATATCTATTTGGGCAAAATTTAAGATCCACTCATCCTGCCCAATCACACTGGCATGCTCGTTGACATCTTTTGCGATGTCATCGACTCCTTTAAAACTCGTAGAAATGAACAAGTAGATTTGCTCTATGTGGATCAACCTGATTAAGCCAATATAACTTTTAACTTTATAAGAAATTATAATTAAGAAAAGAGCATTGTTCTCACTTAAGATGCAATTCAATTGGATTACTCCCAATATGATGTATTTCCTATGAGTTATGCAAGCAGTTGTCAAAAGCAATACTTACAGAAAATTATATTTTTATTTATCCCAGTCTTGTTGTTACACTTTTCTCCAGGATTGTATGGGAACTCTTTTTCAATTACATCATCATTATATTCCCTTGGATTATGATCTATGCAAACTTTATGATTTTCTTCCTTTCCAAACAAAAGTACAAAACCTACTCCAAAAAAATACGCGTATCGCTTCAAATTCTTGTTGGCAATCAAGAAACCAATCAGTATTATTATGTTTAATCAAAATAGATCTACCCTAATCCTCAAAATCATGTTCATCATTATCACCTTCTTGATAAGTGCCATCATATTCATAGACTTTATTTATGTTGTTGGGAATGCAATCCAGAGACAAAACTTTAATTCTCTCAATGATCTGGCCATGAATCAATTTCAATTATGTTCTGTTAAAAATGATAAATTCATCTCTGACATGATTTAACGTTATCGCGACATCAGCTACCAGGAAAAAGACAATATCCAATAATGCATAGACGTACTTCATTCCATCATATTATACAGATGCTCTTTAAAAATGAAGATGCCGTCATCTTTATAAGCGAGTTCTAGTATGGACTCTTTCTCAAGAACTACCCAGAATATACCTACTTAAAGTACTAGTTAAAGTACAACTCCTATAGAAGCTATCAATTACTATTTAACTCAACTATCGATTAAAATATCAGGAAGGTACTAATACAATTTCACAATAGGACATCAATGCATCCATCGATTAATTGTGGCCTTAAAAATATGACCTGGATGTCCGGAAGAAATATTTGGTCTAATTAGTCTATGTTAAATCTGCAGTAGTTTCCTTAATCTTTACGAATAAGACCTTTCTGACTACCAGCATCATGATTTCGATCACTTCCATTCTTTTAATTTAAATATCGATTGTTCGAAAACAATGCCGATTATGTCGTAAAAAATTACCCTTTCCATTCATATCCCATAAAGCCAAAGTAATACGCTCCAAAGAAACTAAAACCAATATGAATGATTCACAAGTATTTATAACAGGGATTCTAGAAGAATTAAAAAATTGACTAGTAATTTGCTTAATTTAATATTTTTAAAATTATTATAGATACATTACCACTCTGGTCTAATTAAACTTTTATTTCAGTTTTAAAGGAAAATATAGGCTTGATCTATACACAACATTATTAAACTAAATTTTTATCTGTGCGTCATCCACAATTATTAGAATATAAATTATTTTGATTCAAATTTTCTCAACTTATAATGCATTTTTAGTTGATTCCTTTGCCTAAATTTAATTCCTTTGCAATTTATCATCAGACATTGTAAAATTTAGAAATGATTATCAATACATAAACTAAATTATAGAGACAATCGTTATATATATTTATTCAATTGTATATGTAGGTTTTTGAATTGATTTCTTTCCCCCCAACTTATGTTATGACTTTAAGGGTAGCAATGTGTTTTGTTTTCTGACCAATCTAACAAGGTTTTCTGGAAGCATACAGAAACTATTTTCTAATCAATTTTTTTCTAAATTTCAGCACCATTGTTTTTGAAGCTGCGTATTTGATGTTTAATTTTAAGGATGCCTAATCATTATTATATTATTACTTCTCTAATTTTCATTCCAATTTAGAAGACTAATTCCAACAAGGCTTACTTCTGATTTTCAGAAATCTTCACATATTATCTTTTTGTATCAGAGTTCTTTATCATTGGTTGATGTAATGATAAATATTTTTATAAATTTTATGCATCTCTGTGCAATTAATGATAAAAAGGGGGAATTAAATCTTTAATTACAATATATTAATAATCGAATCATTTCATAATAAAAATTATTTAATCATTCATAAATTAATCATAAAATTAATAAATTATAATAGTAGTATTTGATTATTGAATAAATATTATTATATGTGTTATTTTAATATTTAAACTGCTTCTAAATTTTTGTTTATTTAATACATTAATTTGGTGTAATAACTGCCTTACACATTGAATTATTCCTTATTAATATGGATAAATTTTACAAATCCATTTCTCAACTAGTGTTGCTTCTTAAGGATTTTAGCCTTTTGATTAGACTCCTCAAAAGGATATTTCTTTTTATCTTTCTCTTAATTATACCAAACTTTATAAAATAGCATATGTCAATTTCAAGACAAATTAAGAAGGATTACAAATATCATTTTTTTTTATATAAATCTCATTCATGATATTATTTCAAACAATTTAGATCATATACTTTTTCGTTTACCTTCTCTCCACCTGTTTAGGAAATAATTTTAAACTAGCATTTTATTTACGAAACCTATTTAACAAGACAAGGCTTCATTGATAAATATTTAAAACATTTTCTCATTTATCTTTAACGAAATTGGATGATGATGGTTTTAGCACTAGCATAATTTATCGATAATTGTTGGGCAGCCTTAAAAAGTTATTATATATAATACTTATTTTATCTTAAATCCCTCTTGAAATACTAGGGATCTCAAAGCCTCCTTTCTTGAATACGACACCTTAGCATAAGCCCTTTTTTTTTACTGCTGCTATTTTGGCATCTATTTTTCGTTTTATTCTTTTAATTTCATATTTTCATCAAGAATAATTTTCCTATTTAAATATCCAGTTCATACATATCTTTTATGTAATAATTAATATAAGTGTACGAATGATCAAACATAAGTTAATACATAATTACTGATTCTTCCTAAATTTCTATTCAGTTCAATACAGTGAACTGAATAGAAATATTCTTTGCATATAATTTAAATAAACAAGTAAGTAATAAAATTTTAATTCATATGATGAATTTTAGACTTTGGTATTTTTCAATTTTGAATGATTCAACATCGACATATAAAAAAGAATTGTAATCTAATCATCTAAATTATTTTATATTACGATTTATAAGGTTAAACATTTTCATAAAATTTTTATAATGCAACCACGAGATTATTTGCAATGAAATTCTTTAACTAATTAAAGAAGTTAAATCAATTTCTTTACATACTTGTTTTTAGAGTAAAAATATTACATTAAAGAGTTTACCATTTAAATATACCTATATAATTTAAAATAGAAATAGATTGAAAAACTAGTTTGAAATTCTTTAGATCCCATTCCAAGTAAGGTAATTAACCATTAAAAAGCAGATGAATAACTAACAACTATAAATTAGAACAAAAATAGTATAATTATATTGATATAAAATTCATTTATAATAAAATAACAATTAGATGGTTATAGGTTAATGTTGAATAACAATAATAATAAAATTATTAATTATTGTGTTCGTTAAATGTTTAAGCACAAAAAATCTCCTTCACTTTTAGATACAACGAGATAATCTATTGAGAAATACAGTTTATTAACGAGTGACGTTTCAACAATTAAAAAACCATAAATCAGTCCGATTAATTTCAAAAAGATTCGTACCCCGTCAACTCTTGTGGAACCGCTACAAAAAACTTCAAGGTAACTATCCTAACAAATCTCTTCTGATGCTTTAAATGAAATTTTGATTATAAATTAAAAGATAGCTGCTTTGTAATAAAGAAAGTCAGTTTTGCTTTAATAATTTTAGAGAATTGAGTATTCTGATGCTCGAAAGGCTATTCGTTATAACAAGGATTTCAATAATAAGTATTTCGATAAATAAAGCATAACATAGATGGAAAAGAATTGGACACACTATTAAGGTTAGATGGATTAATAATATAAGTTTAATGGGAAAGGGGTATTGCACTTTAAGAATGCAAAGGTTTTTGGAGTGTTTAAGGACGGTAATTTGGAAGGAAGAGCAACAATATTCGATTCAGAGTACAAGATTAGTGTGGGATAATATAAATAAGGAATATTATAATAAATAGAATATCATTGATTTTATTTTTCAGGCTCTTCTAACTCGACATATTGTAATTAATAATCGTTATCATACTCTTAATTATTCCCATTTAATTTTAATTCAAATTCTTGATTGTTCCTTAGGATATAATTTAAGGCATCCTATGCAGCAGTTTGCTTTCTATTTCTAATTTTCTCTTCCTTTGAATATTATATATATATAAATTACAATTTGCATTAGTTGTTGATCCTTTTATTCTTTTTTTAAATATCTTATCATCGCATGTTTTTTGATTAAATTAATGACAATGATTTTCTAGCCAATTTGTTTAAATAGCAACTTGGCCCTTAACCTTTCATTTAAGGCCAATTTCCTAAGACATCTAATATTAGCAACTTTCTAAATATAATAATCTAAAGTACTCTTTGAATTTATTCAATATTGACAAATAAGACAGGCAGAAGTACAATAAACAATTTCCAAGCCATCCACAAAGCATATATGACATTGATAATAGCAAGCAAAATTTCAAAGAAGATGATAATTGGGGCATTTGGATCGGTATTTTGATTTTTTAGAGTTGCAATGACTAATGCAATGTAAATAGTGCCAAAGGCAGTGAAACTGGATATTACATTGACAAAGTTTTGTCTTTTATAACCATAAGGCTAGGTGGCAAATGAAGCAATTCCATACATCAAAACAATAATTAGACATGACTCAGCCATGTAGGTGGTGTCATAAAAGAATATTTCGATGGCAGTTTGAATTAATATCTTTTCTAAAAGTCTAACAAATTCCCAATAATAATATTTTTCAGTGAATTCTCCATTGATGTAATAATATTTGTATTTTCTTAATGGTCTTTTGTCTTTTTTCCTCATATCATTTCTAATATTATAAAGAAGCATGGCAGGGACGTAAACAACAAAAAACAATAAACATGGTATAGAAATAAACAAAGTGTAGAAGAAATGTTCAGTTCCATAGCAATCTTAATTTAAGTCTGGTTTGAGATATCTCCCATCTCCAATGGATTTGCAATTCAATAATTGAAGTGTTTTCTCATAAAAGCTAGGCAAATAAAATAACCAAATGATCAACCAAGTGGCAGTGTAATAGATTCCTCTTTTAATCTTTTGATTTCTAAACAGAATCCACCATATGAACATGAAGATTACCATAGATGATATAGGCTTTAAAACCTCAATGATATAGTTGACATAGACCATAGGTACATAATCGTTTACATTTATCATTGGGCATTCTAAAGAGAAATCAAAGATAGAAGAGTCTGAAGTGTCTTAAACCTAAGATGGGATATCTACGACTATTTTGCTAACTAATGAAATCTTTTAATAATAAGCAAGGAATATCTTCAATAATGAATTCAAATCTTTGACTTACCCTAAATTGGATCCAATTTTCTTTAAAGGTGGCAACATTTGATTTAAACATGGTAAAACACACAATATAACTACATCTTGAGCTAAGAAGAATATTGACATTGTGAAATAAAGGAAGATTCCTATACTACTTAACAAAATGATTGCAATTGGCCAATCAACTTAAGAGCATAAAATACAAATTGATCTTGAATCCCTTGCATAATTATTCTGATAATCACAAGCCTAACACATTCTACCTGTATATCCATCCCCACATTAATCCTACGTTATACCACCTACACAATCACTGAACTCCGGATCGCATTTGTATATTTATAGGGTAGTGATATTCTCCCTCCAATACACTGGTTCCAAATTTGTTTATGCTCCACCAAAACACTAGATCCTGTATTTGCTTACAAGAGGACAAACCTAACATTGGCCTTTGTCTTACGGTGTTGGTAAGTCAAAAGAGTAAAACCCTTGCGGACATTAATAACAAACGGTATAATTATCAAAGCTTTGCCAAATTTCACCATATAAGCATTTTCTGAATACCACAAAGAATGTGTAATTATAATTGCTTACATAGTAGTACTTGTATTTAGATAATGATTTAATTTAATCTGTACTTATGTAGAATGGATATTCAGTATCAGGGATACCAATAGCTGTTAGATTTGAAAGAGTGAAGAATCCATCTTTGAATCTCACTTCATTATTGCCTCTACTTGGATCTGATATGCTTAGCGAGTAATTTTCTGACCCAGATGGATATATTTTTAAATAAGCTTAGTCATCATACATAGTCTGATTATTTGATGACTTCAAAATAAATCTTAAGGGGTATTACACAGTATCCCCACTTTTGAAGTATTTTAAAAAATATTAACCATTATTCGAATAGGGTATAAAATAATATCCCTAAACAGGCTCTAAAGATTCATTGTAAACGTAATTATTTGGCATTTCTGGATCTAAAGGACTCGTCAGAAACAAGGCTGATGGATACGAGCTTATGTTATCCCCTTCTATAAATGCAGAATTGTTAATAAAAGTGGTGAGTTTATCAATTAACGGATTAAATACAAGTGTCTTTAAGGCTCCTCCATATTTCTGAGCAACATTATTAATAAATTAGGATTGGTTAATATAAATTACTGGGTTATCTTAAATCTGATTGATATCAAATGATTGTTTGAATGAATTGATATACACGCATCCTCCTGAATCAGCTGCGATATTATTCTAAAATAGAGTATTTAGTATAGTCATTGAAGATACATTCTGCAAATCAGCTAAGATTGTACCTCCTGAACTATTTACATAATTATGATCAAATATTAATGAATCAAAAATGGCCCATTATTGCTTCAATGATAAATAAAAGCAACCTCCATAATTACCTCGACTATCAATGCATGATCCACCAATCATATAGCTATATGAGGTTTTTATGTAGAAACCAGAAGATATACATTTAAAATTGAGGCATTGCAAAAGTTAAAATTGAGCAAACAGCATATAAACTGCTGAGTCATAAATTTCTACCAAACTCTTATCAGTTGAACTTTAATTCTATACAATATTCTATAATATCAAGGTATCACTCTTTAGATATGATAGATTTATGTAGAATAAGTTAGAATTTTTGACAATTATATCTGAAAAAGTGCAGAAATTCAATTAGATCCAACTTTTAAAGGAATAAATTATTTCTCCTTCATTCTTTTGATTTGCAAAATTTTTAAACTAAGTAATTGTAAAATTCTGTAATATCAACACACAATACTCCAAAAAAAACAAAGATCCTTAAGTGATTTAGATCGAATTAAATTTTTAAGGAGTGCCTGTGATATTATTACTATTAAAGTAATTGTCCTTAAATGTAATGTTGTATAATGAAGCTATTATGATTGATCCATTGCTGGAGTATAAGTTAGAAAATGTATTTTAAGAAAAGTAAATTGTTCGATTGAATTGATAAGGCAACACATCATCGATGTTGATTATACTTAGTTGTGAAATATTCAATTGTGGATAACTTATTTACTGCTCTTTTTAAACAAATAATAAACCTCCATCTTTCAAAGAGCATATTTCTAAAAAAGAATTTGATTTAAATGATATTGTTGTCAAATCCACAGCATTGTCAATGTAAATGGCTCCATATCCAAATGAATAAATATAACTAATAGTGTTATCAGCAAAAGAAAGGGATGGATCAATACCATCAGCATGATACATTTATATAATAAACAATGATCCGCTATAAGAGCTGATATAAGAGAATTTACTGAATTATACATACAAAGAAGCACATGATATCTATGCAAAGCCACCTTTTTCACTTTAAGTTCCATAATAAACTGAACCTATAAAGTTTATTTAATTCACAGTAATTGTATTCAAAGTAATCACCTATGCACTTAAAATAAGAACACTAGTGCTCAAACTATATTGAATTTATTGAAAATTTGAAGTTGAAATCAATAATTAAGATTAAAATCCTTGAAAGAACAGTGCAGTTGATGAAACAATAAAATTGGAATCAGCAGCCTGCAAATTTAAATTTGTGAAATTTAATTAGGACAATTGGACATAGAATTGTGATCTTAACTATATATTTAATCCATAACAGGTGTTTGCCAATGACTACGAAATTAAGGTTATCTAATTCATAACAACTTTTGATATTTATATTTAACATTAGAAATTAGTGCACACATAGTCCTTTTCATTTATTATTTGAATAAACCCATCCTGATAAACCGATCCAATATTGAAAGTAATGAGGCTGATTGAAATCTATGGTATTTCAGCAATATTAATACTCAGTTAGGAGGGATTTGAAAAGGTGAAATTATTAATTTAAAGATGTTTAAAAGAAGATATTAGAATGGAACTATTGTCAAATAGTATATTCTATCCTTAAAAAGTGCCTCCATTTTAAAATTGAAATGCGTATATCTAATCTTATTATTAATACTAATTGTTTTAAAGTGTTACAGATTATAAATACACATTACTCGTTTAAAAAACGCTGCTCTACACATAATTAACGATTGCTGCGCCACCATATTGTTAAATATTATTGTTTTTAATAGTTAGATCAATAACTATCATATGTGATAAGCCATTGTTATCAATGATTATATTATTAAATAACGAACTGCACAATTGATTTCCTATGAATTAGGTTGCCTCTATTTTCAATGAAAAATATTGAAATAACTATTTGTATTATTGTTATTAGATGCATTCACAGTTCTAAACTTATAAATTCTGAATATATAAAAAGGTTGCTGTATCAATTTAGACAAGCTATTATAATTTAGTTTATGTGATTTCTATATCTATAAGTTAAATAGTATCTACAGAGGATGCTTGAATGAATGGTTTGGCCATATCTTAATTGCTCATTGATATTGTAAATAACTGAAAATTCGTAATTTGTTTCAATTGAAAATAATAGTAGAAATTATTATTAAATACAAGCTAACAATTATCCACAGTAGCTGATATCATTTTCGATAATGTGAGTATCTATTATGGTAAGATTAATGTCAGATCTTGTAAGGTTATCTGTTAGAAATTTTTAATTTCTTATGCAATAATTAAACTAGATTAGGTAGGAGAGGATCCTTTTATTTCTAGACTTACTAACTTATTTATTGATTAATCAATAATGATTCTATTCCATATTATATTCTGTTTATTTATTTATACAAATCCACTCAGACCCTCTAATTATTCTATTGTTTGGTACAAAATATAAAAATTAGTCAAGGAGATCTCTGTATTAATGTAATTCTGACTATTACTGCTATAGACTTAATTAAAATTGCATATAGAATTGGGAGGCTAAAAATAATCTGTAATTTGAATAGACATCACACAATATTAAAACTAAATTAGAAGGAAGTTTTGATTCAATACAAATAATTCACTGAAGTAAGAGGTATCTAGGATGAATGCAGCAGTATTATCATCCGCCAATAAATTATAGATTGAAAATAATGAAAGCCTATAAGAATTCTATTCTAAAAGTATGAGAAGATCTGAATAAATCTAAATTTGTTTAAATGACACTCCAATATCTTGTAAATAAATATAATAATATACTTGAAATCTACTTTACTTATTGATTACTGATTTATATAATGACTATCTATTATCCATTAGTTGCAATCTGAACTTAAGAATTTTAGGTTACATAGTTGACATTTGAAATTGTATATTAATACTAAGATTGAAGATTCGTATTAGTTGTAGCAACACTAAATTAGCATTAATAGAGAGTGTTATCACTTAATAAAAAGTAAATAGAATTAGTTGATGTAAGGATTTAGAGCACATTGCTTGTTAAGGTCTGCTAATTTGTAGGGGTTAAACTAAATGCACCACTCTAGAAACTATAACAGTATATATTATTGTTTAAGGCATAAATGACATAAATAATATTATTATATTGAAATTAAGAGACTAATTAAGTAGTGTATGTAGCAACAGTTGAAAATTAGAATTGCGATTAGAGGCTATAACTGTAACATTAATATTAAGTAAATTAGCAGGTCTAAGATGTTTATGAGAGAGTGACTACCAATCCATTTTAATATAGTATTAGGATCAAATCCTATTGTATGATTTGGATTGCATAGTTATTGTTATTGTTAACAGTTATAATTTATTGTAGCTAGTACCATTGATTATAGATGTAAATATCACTACTAGTTTTGCCAACTTCAACAATGTATTTAGATTGCAGGATAAATGATTAACTAATGCTATCTTACAAATAGTAAAATGATCTAATTTAAGTGCCAATTAAATTAGTATCTAATTGATAAATTTAGATCATTTCATCTCTGTCTTAAGGGTTATTCAATAGTAATATAATGAGTTGGTCTTCAATACTAAATTAAAGTTGCTTAATGTTGTTTGGACAATTCGAATTCCAAGAATTCAGATTTCCAACACTATTTGATTTGATGTCATATTTCTGATATTAGCAAGTGCTTGAAAAAAAGATAATGTAATCTTCGACCAAATACATCTCTATAGGAGTTAACTATAAATTAACTTGCTAGGAAGTCAATGTAATTGTTGAAGACTTTTTATCCACCAAGTTGATAGTCAGAGTTTAAGCAAATACAGTATATAAGTTGATGGTGAACTCATTATCGCTGACAGTCTTTGTTGAAATTTAATACAGAGTAAATTAATCGATGGCGAAGCTTTCTAGCAGGAATTACATATTTTATGTATAGTATTCTAAGTAAGTCTAGCCACCAGCATTAGTGCCTGCAATTAGAGTATCATATGCTTGGTCAACAAGAATCTGATAATTTATTAATATATTCTACAAAACCAAAGCTAAAGTTCTAATATATAGAATATCATACATTTTGCTTTACCCAAAACAGAGTTGCTTTGGTAATCCCAGAGTATAACTTCGTTCTGATTAGTTCCAACACCTATCAAAGAATTCATTGTATATGTTGATTGCACGCTCCCCACAAAATTTAAAGAAGCCTTAACTGGATTATCTTCATCTAAACTATATACAAGCAATTCGTTATTCTAGCCCACAAATATATTTGAGCTCTCTGTCTCCAAATATGTAACACTCTAACCGTCAGCTGTTTACTAATATTTACTTACTTAACTTAATCGATCGTAATGTTCCTGACTCTGCTTAAAGATAAACAATTGCATTCTAAACAGAAGTTATGATTTATTTGTAACCACTAGAATATACAAATAGATTCGCTTATTTATACAGATTTCCAAGGTAAAAAACACTCGGACAATCCTAACAATACCCTAATGCAAAGATTACAAAAAACCACATTAAATAAATAATGAATTTATAAATTTTTCATATTAAGTTAGAGACAACTATATTCCACTCAAATATTAAAATAATAGATCACTAAAAGAATAGATTAGTATGATAAGTATACCTTAAAAATTGATACATTTTGATGATATCAAATTATTTATTATATGATGATTTTGACTATTAATAATTATAGATTTATTCAAGAATACAAAGTAAAATATATACTTGTAGTTAATAACTAGCATAAAATAAATACTAGTATTCAAATACTAGACTTAAATAACAAGCTTATAAATGTAATATGAATGCAATTTAATAATATCAAGAGATCAACATTTTTTGGATTCCCAAAATTATCAATAATCAAATAATATGTTTAATTTGTATACATTTCATACTGAAGGATATCTAATCTAATTTAATGATTCTCATTAAAAAGGGATGTTTTTAACTTAGGAAATAATAAAATAGTTATTAATGCATATAAATATCTAAAAGATAAGTAGTATCTTTAATTCTTTAAGACATTTAAATGATAGTAAATTAGAAGGTAAAATAACATTCTTTAATAGTAGTTGATATTCTAATAGGAATTTTTAATACATAATTTAAAAGATTCAATAGATCTTATTATATAATCACTTAGATAATAGAGAGATGATAGTAACCTTCAAAATGTGGGAGTATATTTAGGAATCATTGTATCATATTCAAATGTATTTTATGCATAGGACAAAATTTTCGAGTATCACATACTTTAAATATAGGTTCTCAGTGAAGATGAAGAAGAATGATAAAGATCTAGAATATATAATGACGGATATTGGTGCTAATTGTAATCCGATGGCATTGCACAATTCAGTCTACTTGTTATATAGTAAAATGAAATAATTATATGTGTGAATAATTATTTTCAGTTAGTGCTTTTAAATTTAAAATATGGATTATGAAACCCTCTTCACAATTCTTCCCAAAGAACCTAAGAAATGGTCTTTGGAGGATGTATCGCAATGGCTCAATTTTGTTGGGTTATAGTAACTTCAGACAACCTTCAGTAAATTAGCGAACTTATATCGTAGCTAAGAATTCAATCGATGGATCATGTTTGGAGTTAATTGAGGAAAATGACTTAATAGAAGATCTAGGAATTACAAATAAGATAGTTAGAAAAAAGCTTATGCATTGTAAATACTATTAAATAATGAAAGGGCTTAAAACAGGTCTGAAAGAATATGCATCACATATAAAATCAACAACATTCGAGGACAGACGCTATGAAAAGATGGAATAAGAAAATACAACTCTTGAAAATACTGAATCTGCGTAACCTCAATATGGGTAGATTAACGTCTCGCATGATATGATGACAAATTATCTTAAAAACAATGAAATGTATTCGCAACAATTTTAGTAACCATTATGCGAGATGTAATGATGATACATAAATTTTAGTGAAAACAAACCTCAGTTTTAAAAAAAACAATAGACTGGCATTTTAATTGAACAGGACCTAGATAAATTAGTTTCAAAAGTATAAAACGAATTGATCATCCAACCAACAGAAGGACCATAAACAAATTTCTATTGTATAAAGGAATCAGGAGGTAAAATTGGGAGACACTCAAGCAATTAAATTTTAATATTGGAGGAGAGCATTAGTAGATTTCACGCAGAAGTGATATTTCAAAATGAAGAAGTATTTATGTAAATCTAACTTAGTTTTATATCAAAGACATTGGATCGACAACAGGAACATTTATTAAGGTTGAAACAAAATAACAATTGCAAATTGGAATGGTAGTTGAATTAGGCAGCAATCAATTTGAAATTCAACAAGTGAATGTGAATGGCACCAATATTGATGTAACTATTTCATTTCAAATTAGGTTGTTATGGCTATTATTGAAGGACCAAATACTCCTGAAAAACATGTGATCAATTTGACTCCTCAAAAAAGCGTGACAACTGTTGGTCGTAAACAAACCGCAGACCTTACTTTTAGTGAAGATCATCATCTCTCTAATATCCATGCCAAGATCTGTTTGATTGATGGCAGAGTGTATTTAGAAGATATGGGATCAACAAATGGGTATCTCTTATGTCAATGTTTAGATCTTGGTTAAGATTATCAAGAGAAGGTTAAGCCTCCTAGTTATATCCACTATAAAACTAAACAGTTTTTAAAATCGGAACTACATCAACCTACTTATGTAAAAGAACTACATAGTTGGTTGCCGATAGAAGTAATGAAAATAGTTGTATCATTTGCATTGAAAATGACCGAGATGCATTGTATATGCCTTGCAAACATAACACTGCTTGTTTGAAATGCAGTAAAAACTTAAAGGATTGCCCCATTTGCAGAACTAAAATATAGGATATTATAAGAATCTATAAAAACTGACATTATTATATATATATAAATATTTATACAGAAAATTATGGGAGCAATTTGTTCTAAACAAAATATGAATAGCATATCCAATCCATAAAAAAGAGTTAAATTCGCTACAGTTACCCCAATGGATGATAGTAACGAAGAATAACATCATATTGGAGTTGAATTTCAATACTAGATTTAATAAGATCAACCCAATTTTCTAATAAAAAAGTAAAAGTGGGAAGAATACTTTCAAAAACGTTAAGATTTCATTAATGATGAACAATACATAACACTTTTAAGATCACCAAATGTAATTTTACAAGATACAAGTAATCAAAAACCATAAGAATAACAAGTCTCATCATAGATCTAAGCTATTGCCAAGGCATTACAAGAACCATTTAAACATTTTAATTTAGATTTATTTGATGCATATATATTGAAAGAGTTAAATGCTGTTTAATTCAACGGTTATCTTATGGAGGGAACAATTCCAAAATTTAGATGGAATTGTTGGATGGCTTAAGTTTATTAAAATTCTCAATATGACTCAAATTTATATGCTTCTTTAAAAGCTTAAACTTTACCTGAAAAAACTTAAGATGATATAAAAAAGGATTAAAATAGAACCTTTACTCGTCATTAATATTTTAAGGAACCTAATAAAGGGTAGGAATAACTAGTTTCTGTATTGCATGCTTTATCTATTTAATATCCAGAAATTGGTTATGCTTAAGGTATGAATTTTGTAGTTGGGTTTTGCTTAATTATGAGTGGAGGTAATGAGGAAGATGTATTTTGGTTTATTAATTTTATTAATTAAAACGAAAGGTTTAATTGGTGGGAAATCTATCGAGGACAATTTACATTTGCTTAGAATCTATGTTAAATATTTTAGGAAAATTTTTAGAGACAATTGCCACAGCTGTTTAATCATTTCTAAAAGAATGGAATATTTACATTTTAATATTTTTGGTAATGGATACTAACCCAATTTCTGTATTCATTTCCTATTGAAATTGTGATATTCTTTTGGGATTTCATTTTAGCTACTGATATCTATTCAATTCTAAAAATTGGATTAGCATTTTTGAGGGATATGGAAAATGTTTTGGTTGGCTATGATTTAACTCAGCTTTCAGAGTATTTTAGTTATCAGACCAAGAAACAGAACAACATAGATATTACAGACTTATTAAATAAAGCCAAAAATATTGAAATTACTATGTCAGAAGAATAAAAAACTGTTAATGCTAATTGTAAACCTAAAACACTAAAATAATTTTGATTTATTATATTATAAATATACTTTTTAAGCTAAGGCTTGAAGCACTATAAATTAATATCGTAATTACAATTTACTAAGGAAATGAATTCCAAAAAGTCATTATATTTTGGAGATATCATTTTACTAATCCATGTTAGTTTCCAAAATTGATTCTGTTCAAAGGAATGATTTTATATTTGTTACTAATAATAATTTAAAATTCAAATGAGACTTAATACTCAATTACCTCCAAAGCATAATTTCAATGCTTCTTTTAATTACGATTGGGATTTATTGAATAAGAAAAGAGAAATTGAAATGCTTAGGCCTAAAGAAATTTGTCCAAAACGCAATCACTCATTCCATACTAGTTCAAATGATTGTGATAAATCTGTACATAATCGGTCTTTTGAGAAATCTATGCAAGAAACAGAAAAGGTGAGTTCAAGAATGCAAACTGAATTTGGCTAATTGAAAACTCTCATTTAGAAAAGACGTGATGAGATTGAAAAATAGCAAAGACAATAGGATCTCAAACTTTCAATATCGATACCCTAATAAACCATTAAGGAAGAGAATAAAAAATAAAAATAAGAAGCTCCATAATTCAATTACTATCAAACATTCAAACCCATTTTTGCAAAGTTAAATTCATTGATTGAGAACTCCAATACTAAAGAGTAGGATAGATAACGATTAGTGACCTTATTCGATTCTATCGATTAAGAATCCATCAAAAAGAACAATGAACCAGAATAAATGTTTTAATTAGTTGAATAGTTGGTGAAAGAATTTGTTATCCCCACCTTAGAACAATAAACTCCACCTCAATAAAATTCAAAAAGAAGCTCTTTGTAAACACAATCCTCAAATTTTATTAAGTAATTACCAGCTCACTAATAAATACCTAAATCCATTGAGTAATCAATTAATTTAAAGAATGTGTTTGAATTATAATATAAAAATCCCTGGTAATTTTACAATTAAATAAAGAACAATGACGGTGGATATTACGAATACTGTATCAATGATAGGATTGTAAGTGGAGAATCTTTAAACTGCTTTAACATCTCAAAATCTTAGTCATATTTACTAAAAAGTTAATAGTCCAACATTTAATTGGATTATAGATAAATCAAATAGTCCTTAATATAAAAGCAGATATTAAGTATTGATGATTAATTTTCTCTTGTGCCACTGACTCATTTTTAAAAGAAAGTGATTTATGCGTTGAATTACCCCTCCTAGTACTGTAAACAAATTTAACAATATATCGGGTTGAATGTCAGCAATCATCAATGTAAAATGGAGTTGGGAATAAATAAACTGAATAAAGTTATTTTACTATAATAAAGACAGAGAAGATAGTTGGTTTTTTCTAGAATGAACTAATTTATAAACCAATTAAGAAAACTAAAAAGGTTAATTCAATCATATGGATTTAAGAGATTGAAATAGAATTATTATTCAACAAAGCTTTCAAGAAGTATTAACAACAATCTTTGTAAGTTAGTACTTTAAGCAGCAAAATAAGTAAAAAAAGATCAAAAGAATTACACAACTTAACTGTTTATGCTATTGCAAAAGTATTAATGTAGATTGAAGAGTAATGCAATAACCCAATTAATCGGGAATGATGATTTAATTATTATGCTATAAGGATTACAATCTGAGAACTCAATTGAGATGTACTTATAATAAGTAACTCAATTGATGGGTGAAAAATTAGCAGTCTCCATTTTAAACATTGAGATTTTATCATTAACTTCCTATTTACCTGAATATGGGTTAATATAAGAGTATTTTGAAGATATTGATGACATCTCGCAATTCAACACTCTTTACTAACTAACTTTAAATATAAATACTGAATTAATGAATAATTAGAATATTGAATTTGAGAATCGACATATTTGGAAGGTTAATGAGGAAATATTCCTAATAACTTCATCTAATATGTAGACTCACTATTTGAGTAAAATAGCTTTAATTTTAACGAATGGAATCAATAGTTTAAGATAGAAATATTTGGAGTTTTTCAAATTCATAAGGTTGAAAGTGGAATAGCACCAATCGAAGATGAAGTCTAAATTTTTTAATAGATGGAGAAGCAATCAAAGTGTATTTGTTGATTAATTAAGAAATGATCTGGTTTGTTCTAAATAAGAATAAGATCAATCTTAAAGATTAATCTATCAATATGAATTGGAATTATAGAACATGCAAATATAAAATGCATTGAAATCAAAATGCTTAAGTAGTGCCATGTTGGAAAACACGTTATCTAAGAGAGAGAATGAAATGTCATTAAAAGAGACTTTCTTCAAGTTATGGAGAAGTAAAAATAGTAACAGAAGACATTTTGAGTAGAGAGTGGAAACAGGGTTGTTTTTATTGGAATCAGCAGTTTTCAAAATTGAGTAATGCTAATTAGATAAGGCATTCAGAGAAATAGCATTCGCATACACTCAACCTACTGGTACAATACCAACTAGTCCAATATTAAAGAATACTAAAAGGAGTTTCCATACAAGAGAATAAACAAGGAGAAGTTAAGAGGAATTAGAATAATCTGTTTTATGGGATGTGCATCAAATGAAGATTCATACACCAAATGCTCATAAGGGATAATCCTTATCTCCAATCACTGCTCACACCATCAATTAATCTTTTCTTATTGAGAATGAATCCTTGTATTAATATCACTCATAAAGATGGTAAGAGTTTTAATAACTATAATTAGTACATAATAGCCGAAGAAGAAGGCATAGTAACAGTAATCCTCGCATTTAGATTAAGAGAATGTGCAATCACAGAATAAAATCTATTCTCAAAGGACTAAGGATTTTGTTCGTAAAATATCTTAGCCAAAACAGCAATAACAAAACCATAGGAGAATAAATTCAACATAACAAGGAAGCTCTTTTTCATTTTATGATTTATAACATTGATTAATTTCATTAAGATCTGTTGATGTTGAGTTTCTTTAATTTTCTCTAGAAGGAATTTGCTATGCTTAATTGATTTGTGCTTTGTTCTAATTATTTGACCAAACCTTGCATGCTCAATCCAACCTGAGTTAAGGATTAAACTTTTTTTTTGCATTCAGCCATTGGAGATATTTTGGATTCCAAATATTTGAAGTATGTTCTATTGTCACTTGTTTTTATGTCAATAATGTTGATGGGAGGTAACGCTTACTTACCCTTTAATTCCGGAAGTCTCAATCGATTGTCAAAGCCCTTTTTATTTTGTTTGTCAACATAAATATTCTTTATTAGTTTTCTCTTATATTAATTCCAATTCCTCTTCTCTTCATACAATAATTTGAGATCATCATCTTCAGGATATTATTTAATTTATTTTTGATATGCCTCCAATCGATCCGAAGGTACAATCATCTTTAAATTGAATGAACTAATCGAAACAATCTCAGAGGGAATAGAAGTGATATAAGAGCATTGAGACTCTTCTTCATTTAATAAAGCAAAATCTCCGAAGATCTCACCATCTCCTAACTCATCAATTTCGAAGTAGACATCTTAATTAAATAAATCGGTGCTGCTTGTTGTTTATCCTCTAATCAATGAAGATGGGTAATCTTCCAGGTTCCATTTAATTTTTTTGATTGCTTTTACCCTTCCACTTTTGATTATATACATTTAGGTTGGTTCAACTCCTTATTTTAAGAGAATTTACTGGGATGGGTACATTTGCAATTGACATTTTGTACATAGTTAAACAAGGAGATCTTTGTTGAACATTTGGAAGACAGGAAGAGATTCTAAAAATTAAAGTAGTTTATTGAGTGCAACTGTTTTCATTTCGTTGGTATTATCCATGGTTTTCATATATTCTTAAAATGCATCTTTTTCTAAAACGATTAAGTCACTTCTCTCATTTGCAATTACTGTAGCCGTTCTCTTTGAATTATAGAGCAAAGATATTTCTCCAAATGCATCACCTTTACCCAATTAAGCTATTTCTTTCTATATAAAACAAACTACTCTTACAAGTTGCATGAAATTCTTAAATTCAGTCGGTTCATCTATGTACACTTTGACACTTCCATTCAATATAACGTAGAAAGCATCTCCTTAATCGCCTTATTTAAAGATATATTATCGTTTTTCATAGGTTTTGAGATAGAGATTTTTACATAATTCCAAGAAGTCAGGTTTTTGTTTGTATTGGGAGAGGAATTTAATTTACTAAAGTAGATATAAATTTTAGGAGATTTACTTGGGCAATCTCAGCGATATCCTTACAGATCGGTTGAGTTCTTTATTCGATTGGTACTTATAAAAGGAGTTTAAGTTTTTCAGTTTAATAGATAAATTTCTTTTTATTCTATTCTTCCTCATCTTGACTGGTTTCTGTAACAGTTCTTTATTCCAACATTGCAATTAATAAATATATATATATAAATATTAAAAATGTTTATAAAAAACTTCTTTAAGAAACAATCAAGATTCGAGAGGAAACTGTTTGAATCCTCCATATTTGATAATCAAGAAACTGTTGATCTGGAAGATGTAAAACAAATGCTATAAGGTATATTGGATATCATTAAAATAGGGTTTCCTTGTCTATCTGAAATTGATCAATTAGTTTAAAGTATGACCTTAGTCCAAGTGTGTCGTGAATTTCTGAGGCTCATCCCACTAACACTAGATAATCATAAGAAGCTTAAAGTTCTCCTCACTATGCATGTGCTCATGGGCGACGTCAAGCATGGTAGATTATTTGTGTAGTAATTGAATTGCTTCAATGGTTGGGCACCCGTTAGCAAGGATGAGATCTTAAACAAATTCATCGGAATTCAAACTATGATAATCCATAAACTGGCTAGCATATAGGATATTTGCAATAGAAGCAAACTCAAAACCAATATTGAGATTTTTTTCAAAGATATCGATACCTCAGTCATTCAATTTTACAAAGCCATTAATTGTCTAAACTTCATTCTAGCATAATATGATGTATGAAATCTCTACTATTTTCAGTTATTCCTCAGTATTTCTAAACTGCACAACAGAACCGTAGTGATGGAAATTTACTTGCTCATCTGGAACGATCTAATAGCCATGTATTTAATGCTTGAAAGGTACGGTTTATGAATTCTCTTTTTAAGTATTGTAGGTTCATACGACAATTTATGGAGTGCTATACATAACTCGATCAAAAATAAGCACTGTAAGTCTATGAACTGTTTAATGAATATAACAAATTAACAGCTTCTGTGAGATAATTTGGATCCATCAGCAACAATTTTAAAAATTGCAATATTTCTTAGCCAAAGTAATCTCATATTTCATTTTAGATGGTACATACCAACAAAAAAGGAGTAGGATGAATTACAGTTATATTTTTAAAATGTCAAAATATATTTAACAAGTAGAACAAAAAGATAGAAAATTGAAAAGTCTGCTTCTTAAGTCTTGAGAGTATGTCAAAGCACAGATAGAAACTATAGAAAATCGACTTCATTTGTTGGGCAAAAAGGAGATAATTTTCTTCAAAATACTACTTTAGGGTATATGAAGAAAATATCTACTGCTGTAAATCCTATTGCATTCTAATACACATTTGAGAGTGAATCAAAAACTGAAATTTAATAGAAATGATTTATATATCAAAATTTATGATATTGAAACATATATAAATCAATCAAATTTTTTATGCAAAATATTTAACGTCAATATCCTGATCTTATTGTAGAATTTTTGTTTTGTTCTTGAATTCATTTTGTGCCTTGTTGTCTAATTTATTTTGTATGGCAGTGAATAATTTGAAGACATTCAATCTAACATTAGGGACCTTATCATTCAAAGATTTCTGTGTAACTTCCTTGTTAAATAGGATATATTGAATACTTTAAACTAATTTACCAGATCATCCTTTGATAATACGTTCTTTAATTTGGCTATACTATGCATAGCAGATACTCTATAGATATAATTTGGTTATTCGAATTGTTTATTGATGCATTTTAAAATAAATTCTCTTATCTTATCATATCCAAAGATCTCGCTCAATTAGATTAGATTATCAATGGCCTAATCTCTAATTGCTTGGTAGTGATTCAACACTCCTTTCTCAAGATAGATCTCCTATAATTCTAAGAAACTGTCATAGCCTGCCACCTTGAGAAGTTTGGGTATGATTGACATCATTTCCAATCTGTACCTCCATTGTTTCTCTGAAGCAAAAGTGGATATAAGTGGTACCAAGTGTTTTTTGGAGTTGTCTTGTCCTATAGCTTAAGATAGTTGATCCAAATTGTGAGCTAGTTTGATTTTGATTTCAACAACATCATCTTTAATTAACGTCGTAATCAAGGGTATAAAACTTTGCAAAACAATTTAAACAGAATATTATTTAGAAATTTTACAAATTTGTTCAGCCAAAGACATTCTAACATGTTAGGAAGTGTCTGTGGATAGAGTTTAGAATAATGGTAGGAATAAGTCTTTGCTGGAGGAGGGTAATTCTTTTAATAAATGATAGATGGATATAAGTGCCATGGATCTGACTTCAGGTTCTGTGTCTTTGAGTAATTATTAGAAGACAGGAACTGCTTGGTTTTTTAAAATAGTTTTATTTTTATCTAATAAATTTGAAAGAGTATTGTTACTTAATTTCACGATGATGTCAATTATACTTTCCAAACACTCTGGAACGGTGTATCTGACTCGCCAGCTTTTTTCATTGGGATCAGCCAATGCGAAGTAGCCTTGCAGTTGAGTTTCTAAATCATGTTCGTCATCAATTAATTTGAGCATATATTGTGACCCTTCGATTGCTTTGATTTTGACACTGTCAATGGGATCTTTGAGAAGTGCTTCCCATAGTTGTAACAATTATTGTGATTGGCATTTCATTTTGGCAAGATCTGACAAGACTCCAGCACAAACTCTTCTGACCATTGGTGTATCATCTCCGCACAGTTATTTGAATAAGTCCCAAAGAGTGTTCTATTTTTCAAGTGAGACATGTTTGTAAGTGAGTGGGAGGAGACTGGCTGCAGATATTCTGGAAGGAAAGTTGTCCCATTGGCCTAATTATTGGACAATTTAAAAAAAGTGATTTTCAAAAAAACCTAAAAATGAATTGAAAGTGAGGGATTACTGTTTGGCATTCCTTCTGCTAACAAGATTAAGGATTCGACTGCTTTGTCTCTCACCAATGGCTCTTCCATGGAACTTAGAATTTCAAGTGGCGCATTAAGCAAATGAACATTGGCACCTGTGAAAGGTTTGAGATTGACTAATTCCTTGGCTAATTTGATTAGGAATTCGTCCTCGTTGTCCTATTCTTCTATGATATCAATTAAATAAGGGATGAGTTCTTGGCAAGTCCTTGAAGGTCCAAGGATTTGTGCAATGGATACTATTTTGGATACAGCATTGAGTTTGAGATTGGGATCATCACTTTTGAGTTCTTCAATGAAAATAGTACAGTCTTCTTCGTCCATTTTAAAAAATAATTGGATTTAGTTTAATTAATTTCGTTAAATGAACAGACACGAGAAATAGGAAGTCGAATCAGGATTGCGTAATCTTTTGGAGGAAGTATTGAGAGTTTAAATAATTAAATCAGATGATGATATTTAGTAATGAGAAGATCTCTGGGATCGAGCACTGTAATTGTCAAGATCTAATACAGCGAATAAGCAAGTAGTTTCGATAACTCAAGAACAGCAATCTGGAATACAAAAAGTTGGAGTCCGTATTGTAATAATAGGAAGCGGACATACGCAATCACATAAGTGTATGAAGACATTTTTAATTTTAGTTAGAATAGCAGATGAAGTTATATTAGGACGGCCTTTAATCAAAATTGGAGGAGGCAAATCAGGAAGTCAAGAGACTCCAGTCGGAAGTGTATAAATTGAAGAAATCTAAGTATGAGTAAAGTATGATAGTTGTTAATCAGAATCGAAGAAAAAGGATTAGAGTCACGATGGGTCTACTTCTTATCGACAGGGTTCTCCAAAGAAGCAATCCTCCTTCTCTCAACATGGAGGGTACGCTTCCCATAGAAGTTCATGTGATGAACTCTTTAAGAGATACAATAAATTGCTGTAACAATAGTAGGCCTCGATAAGTCAACGATCAAATAACATATAGATTAGTTAGTATATGATGAAGGGACGACAGACACTGGCAGAAATCGTTAACATTCAACCAAGCAGGAGTCAGACAAAACATAATAGCAGTAGTGTGAATAAGAGTGGATATAACAATTCAATCAATTCAGAGGCAATAAGAAACTTGTTGAAAATGAAATGAATTATAAATTGTTTAAATAATAATTTTATGAATATTGTGATTTTCATTCTACCAATTGTATATGCCTGCATAGACTCATTCGACTGTTTTACAGACAGTTCCAGATTTACTTGCAATGGGGAACCCTGTGCAGGAAATCTAACAGAACTAGATAACTTTGTCAAATTTACAAATAATCTTTCCATGTACTATTAACTGGATGCCACTAACATTACCTTGTTATTCGAATTGCAATTATGCTAGAGATTTGCCATTGTGTTTAATTACACAAAAATGAATGACATGAATAGAACTTATGATGAATATGACATTACCGGCAAAGACATTATTTTCTTCAGTTGGGCACAAACCTATGATGATTTGTATGTTAATGACAACATTGGAGCATCTGCAACCGCATTTATTTGGGATGAATAAAAGGGAGGATTTTAAAGTTGGCACATTTTGGGATATGCCATCATAAATGAAACAATCAGAATCAAAATCACCAGAGCTATTCATACAGAAGATAAGGAAGACTATCAATTCAGTTATCAATATGTTGATATCGGATATCTTATCGTCTATGATAAGGAAGGAGTGGTCTATAGAAATTATAATAGAGGAGTAGTCACTGTGGATTTATATAACTTAGGTAGTAAGGAAGAGAAATACGAACAGTTTACAGACGAAGGGCATTCTATTTTCCTCTTTATTTTTTGGAGTTTCATGTCAGATATTGGAATCTTCTTTGGTAGATAATTAAAGAGTTATCCGAAGTATGCTAAAGTTCACGGAATGATATTCCTATTCTAAAGCATCGTGACCTATATCTTTGCATTCAGTAAAATCGAATATAGTACTTTATATTTATAATAGTCCAGATAAGTTGAAGATCCAAGAAATCTATTATTATGATGGGTTGATCATAGCTCATTTTGTTGTTGGAGTCTTGATACTGAGTTTTCTGTTGCTCCAATTGATGATGGGCATGATTGTCAAAAACAATCTAGAATCTTTGAATGGATCCAATAAAATCTATAAAGTGAAGAGGATGCACTTCTATCTTGGTTACTTCATCTATCTAGTTACCAAGGCATAGGTAGCCATGGGAGTTCATATTCAAAGACCAGATTTATTGTAACATTCAAATCATTCAATGTAGAATTCCCTTCTATTACTTCTATGTGTTTCTCTTCTTTACCAAAATGTCAATCGAAATACTCTATTATTATGAAGTGTCCATTATACCAAGACAGAGAATCACCTATCAGTATGTAGAATTAGACAAGAATCAAATCTATGAGAATTTGATTGACAAAATAAATCAGAATGGTAACTATCATTAGTATATCAATTAGTTCCAAGAAATCAATTAGTTAAAGAATATTAGAAATTAAATTACATAATCCTTAGAGAAGCCATTTATGATGTCAGTGATTTTAACCACCCAGGAGGTTAGTATATCCTAGAGAGAATTACTGGAAGGGAAATTGGTCGATACTTTTATGGAGGATTCCCAATTTAAAATTTGAATATCAAAATGCACATCCATACTTAATTTGCTATCAATTATATTGAAACTAGATACTTAGGAGATTACAGAAATGACAATTGTCCACTTTTATATTATGAGGAAAACACATCTCAAATTGATAAATACGTATGGAAGTTTGAACAATACATTCCATTTGCTTCGGATGTTGGCTTATTCATATTCAAAAGTCACTTCTTTTAGGTTCGTCAATTCTTAAAAGGCGTTCAATGGTTTGGACGATACTTCTACATTAAACCCTTTGGAACTGGCATCAAACTGGCAGAAAGACCTTATTCAATCGTTATGTCATACACTCATTCTGCCATCCTCAAGAGACAACAAATACTAGATTTTTTCAAATCTTAAGTCATTGAGTAGGATTATTAACCCTTTTCCCCTTAGCAATAAGCCACCTTGTCTGATGAAATTAACTTTGTTGTGAAGAGATGTGATTTCTCTAACAACATGAGTCGATTTCTTCATGGCACAGGTCACAAACCATATGAAATTACAGGACCCTATGGCTTTGGTTTGGAATTAGATGCTCTCTCTGATGGAATTCATTATGCATTTGTATAAGGCACAGGAATTTTGCCATTCCTTGACCTTATAGATTACCTCCTTAAAAAAGCTATCTACACCATTCTACATGATCAAAGAAGCAAAGAAGTAGCTGATTGCATTAATGATAACAATGAAGAATATCTGACTACTTTAGGTCCAGATTTCTAGTTAATAATGCATGCAGCTTTTAGCGATATTGCTCACCTTTATGGACTTCCGATTATTTAGGATTTGCTGTTTATTTGTAAAACCTTTTAATTAGACATTTTTGATATTAAGATTATGATCAAGGATCGTATTAATATTCCAGAGGAGTTGTCAAACTATATGGTTGAATCATATTTCAATCTTAAATATATGAAGGAGCACTTAAAGTTCAAACCCACAAAAGTGTACGTTTGCGGAAGTCCTCAATTTGAAGAAGAAATTCAAACCAATTTATTTGATCTTGGAATACCAAAAAAATATTTAGTTATTGTGTGAATATAAATCATAACAACTATCCTCTTTCTCTTGTTGTTAACAAGGTAGTCAAGTATCCTTACACTACAGTATCCATCTCTCCTCTTTGTAATCTTTGGATTTCCTCTTCCATCAAGGAGACAATTGATAATTTAGTTTCTCTAGATTTAATTGATAAATTCAACAATCCTTTGGCAGCCAATCTCTAGGCATCAACTCTGTAGCTTTCTCTCAAGACCTTCAAGAAGAACTCGATTCCCTTTAGATGTAATATTTATGGTCGAATGTAATCATTAATAGCCAAATTTGACAATGTTTATAGGGCATTGTATTAAAACTCCTCTCCCTTCTATCCATCCAGAGTCCAATCCATAAGACTTTTGATGTAATTTTCAAATTAGATTGATACATTATTAGTATTTTAGAGTCTCTATGGGTCAGACATTAATGAAAGTATTTTGATTCCCAACATTTATATCCTCGGATAGGCTGATTCAATCATGGTTATAACAGTGAGAACATCAACTTAAAAATCCGATAATTTTAGAGTGGCTGATAACATATCGTAGAGTATGGCTTAAAATTCTTTAGGTTGATAGGTGAATGCTTTCATGATTCTTGGTATTAGTTTTAATTTAAGACCTTCTTTGGCTCTTTCTTGATTCATGTTTTTAGATAATGCTTCTAAGACTCTTAACTACATACCCAAATAGTTGGGACTCATGGCAATTTCTAATAAATTGACAATCTTTTAAAATGCTTCTGGACTATCCATAATTTAATGTATGGTTGTATCGATTCCATCACTTAAATTTTGGATGGCAAATTGCAACATTTCCTCGTTAGATTCTGTAGAAATCAAATTCAGATAATCTTAAACCAATCCATCGAAGACCTACTGTTGCATATTTCCCCCATATTGATTGGGATTTCTATTGCTTTGAGGTCTACTATTAATATTCAATTGAGGTTTGGAATAGACAGGATTCTGTTGAGGAGGTGGATAATTGGATTGTAAAGGTTAGGACTAGTATCCAAATTATTAAGGAGTTGGAGGTATTTTGGCCATATTGGATTGTTAATATTGGTTGGATTCATTTTATTTGAATCCATATTGGTTTGAATCAATTTGCCTATAAGGATATTAATTGGAGTCATTCTATTTAAAAGGATATTGATTGAAATCTTATTGTTGTTATTCATAACCATTCTAATTTCTGGTTCCAGCACTTCCTTATCTTCTATTTGAATTTCTATTTGGCTATTCAAGGATGGTAGGCACATACTCTTCATTTCTTCTTCTTGGTTGGGGAGGTAAATTGAGTTATAAAGGACCATCATAGGATCTGGGTTGGTAACAGTTGGTGAATTGTGGTCTGGATAGAAATGAGATGAGTTTGATGATTCTAGATCTTGTTTGAGCACTAACGAAATCCAATTTGGAGACAGACATAAGACTGTTAACTATTTGTGGAGTTTTATAGGAAGTGGAGAAGGCAGCTAAATTAGAGATTTGAAATATGGATACCACTTTTGGTGAGTATTTCTAATAGGTCTACTGTTAAATTGAGAAGAAACTGATCTTAGAAGATTAAATCATTGGTCCAAAATTAGAGTAACTTAACTAGCAATTAAGAGATGAGTGCATATGATTGATCATCTAAGAATTGCAATCTCTCATTTTCAAATATTCTTTTTAACGTCAGGGCTGTGTTGTGATTTATTGCCTTCTGTTACAAGGAGAAACCCACAGGGACTATCAATTGCATAATTTCCATTTAAGTGTCTGGAGATCCTAATTCAGCCTCTATGGAGATAATCATATAAAATACCAGCTAGTTTTGCGATGATTGTTTGGGTTATGCTTTTCAACATGAATGTTAATTCGTTCAAATCATGAGTCACATGCATCTTACCAATCAGGTCTTTTGTAAATGATTCTGGGATTGCAGACAATCTGTCAGAGTTTTTTAACAATTCACTAACCATAGAAGCATTGGATAAACTATAACCGAATTCATCTTCTAATTTTGCACAAACAAAGGTAGGTTCATGTGGAAAGAGATCAGCAAATTCTCTTTCAATGTGTCTCTTTAGCATCGAAATCTTGATGCTCACTGATAATTTAAAAGAATATACATGGTGCCATCACGGTCATCTTTTTATACTCTACATTCGACTCTGAATCCTTTCTGATTGTTACAAATAATCTTATAGCTTAACCACCTCCTCCTCCTTCCATTGGAGTTTCAATTCTTTTGTTATTATTCCATTCCATTTATAAGTAAGATTAAATTATAAAAAGTAAATATAAAATCAATTGTGACTATCAATTGGCGATGAAAGAGATTGTTGGGTTATGAATGATTTCAATTTTGGGACAATCTATTATTGCTTCATGGGACTGGAATTGTAATCAAAATATTCAAAGTATTCATGACTCAAAGCTTACTCAATATTGATCTATTGATCCAATTTGGTCTCTAATAAACCCTAGACAAGAGAGTTCCCATAATCAGGAATTGATATCGAGTCCTTACTTACAGAATTGTATTGATATCTAATTCAGTTATTTAATCATACAATTTGATCATTGCATTCCCAGCCATAGTCAACATCAAGGAATTTAAGACAGCATTCTCTTCGGTCAGCTACTCTGCATGATCAAATCCAACAAGTCTGCAATTTTAGTCTTTATCTATCAAAATATTCTATAAAGTAATTTGCGAATGAAAAATCCGATTCGATATTAACACTTTAATACAACATAAAATATCCTAATATATAATTTAATATACAAACATCATCGATTATATGTCTTCATGACTCAAACTATGGTAATGTACCCTACTCATCTCTTCAAAAATCAAATAATATGAATTAGATGACTCGAAGAAATCTATTAACCGAGCAACATTCTTGAAATCAACTAATTTACGCAAAATAATTAATTGCTCGTAGATTTTATACTTTTCAACTTGTTATTTTTTGTAACACTTACAAAAGTACATTTTCTCATCCAATTTACTCTTAAGTGTGCAAGTCTAAAATATTACATTTGCTCATACTTTTGCTATTCCTGATTGTTATATAATTATAACATTATCATAAATTTCTCGAATACCGACATACGTTGCTTTGCAATCTAAATGTTTCTTAAGGATAAGAAGGTCCTCATTTCCGGCTTAAATATTAATTTATTGAAAATGCAATGAAATCAGTTTGTTCTCCTGACATTTCCACTTTAACATGAGTTTGTAGGATATATCTATTTCATAGCATTATGTATTCAAAAGAAGATTTATTTTATTTTATGTGAATTACAACCTTGCTTAATTTGAGTATTGATCTGATTGTTGAAAAGAGATTAAACATTAAAAAGAGTGTATAATCTCCATATCTATCATTATTAATTTAATGAAATTTAAATACATTCAGATTTATAAATTCTGCAGGCTATTATTGAATAATAAATTTCTCAGACCTAATTGAAATATCACTTGACTGAAAAGTTAAGTTTGAAATTATGTAAATTTATAACTAATTATATATATAATTGATTATTCCACCCCTCATAAAGTCTAAGCCAAATTCTGATACCCCAATCCGTGGTTGAATACAAGAGTCTTTTGCAATGATCTCTTTAGCATTGCTATCAATATAACCCACATATACATACAATAATTGACATAAAACTATTATCTTTTTTATTTAACTAATTCGATTGCTTCTTTTAAATCATACTTCAGAATTGAACTCAAGTAAAGTACTACTATAGAAGGAGCCCTCCATATCCCAGCGGTACAATGGACATAAACATATTCATATTCATTAATTAACTTCTTTAGAATTTATACTGCCTTATTTGATTTTTTCTCAAAATCCTCTGCATCCATATCATAGATCTAATAGTTTTTCATCACTATTTTCTAACGCTTATAAGCATCCACAATCTATTCCCAGTTCACTCCCCTATGAAACATGTCTAACCGAGTTTACAGGTTCAGAACTGCCTTCACCTATTTCTATTTCAACATCAGAATGTCCTATTCATTCTGAGGATAAGGACCAATCATGATATTCTCATTGATTTCATACGTTTAGAATTGAACCACAAAATTCCAATCCAGTTTATTCAACCTACCAAACTCCTCATAATAAAAGAAAGAAGGCTCCTTGTCTGCAAATTAATACCCTTAATTATTGAGTTTGATCTTTGATTTTGGTATCTTAGTTGCCTAAAATGAGCCGTTCCTCTTTTGTGTCCTTGACTCAAAAGCTGTATAGATTTGAGTTTTGACTTTGATAGGATGGAGTGCAAATTGATCAAGGACTTATCTGATTGAAGAAAGATCAGCAGTTTTAAGGTAACGGCCATTCCCTCTCTCCCAAATCATGTTCCCAGAATCATCGTTACGAATCACGTAATAGTATCGGAAATAAAAATTCAATGGATTTACAATGAATGAAATGGACCATTGTTGAATAGGCTCTTATGTTACTATTTCGGAAATATGGATTGAGTTATACATATATCTATCTTCTATTGTTACTTCATTAAAACAGGTGTTTTCCAAGACCCAATCTCTGGGATTGAACCTATAATCATCATCCGTTCTCCAAGCTATAAATTGTGATTAAGTTTCAATTTAATTGTTCGGAATCCCCAATACTCCTCTATAATCATTTAAATAACTATTACAATTAAAGTACTCCCCTTTCTTGCCATTCAATAATAAATGCTTAGTAATTATACGATTTTCCCCCGGTTCCCATAATTCTTTTTAGGGAGATGGATTATTATAATCATTCAAAAGGAATTTATATTCAAAAGTTTTACAAATTCTGGGCAATTTTAGACAGGTTGTCCATTCATTATTCTTTTTGAGCTTCAATACTATACCTGATTCCATTAGAGTCTGATTGCTTTAGTAGAATCCCAATTGCCCAATCGTTCATCGTCTCCACATAAGTAAATTGCTTATCCGTATTCTGTATTGTAATGAATCTTAAAATATATTTTAACAACTCGAATATCTGTAAAGGATGCGTTAGTGGATATTGAGTTCATTAAAAAATAATTAAAAATTCAATACCACTAAAATAATATTCTAAAATGAGATGAAGGATTTTGAATTATTAATAGTATAAATCAATGAGTTGTAAGGTATTCTTTCCTTGTGGATAAGTATTCAACTATTTGCTTGGGGGATAACCTTTTCTCAGGATCCAAATTTAACATTTCTTTCAAGACAAATCGTATTTAATTATCTATTTTAATACCTAATTGATTATTTAATTATTATCATACCAGAATAGTTTTTATCAATATAACTATCTAAATTTTAAATAACCTCCATTTGACGATCAATAATCTTATCAAAAACTCTACCCTTAACAGCAAATAACCCATAATCGATAATTTCTTTTCCATTTTTAGTAACAATAGTTTTTAGACTCATCCAGAGTGGAATTCCTGAGATGATCTCTAATACCACACAACCAAGAGACCAAACATCAATGACCCACGGTTTCTTGTAATTTCTTAAGTATTTCATTAAACAAGGACGGTAATTCATCTAATTTTCGTATAAGATATAGTTGAGTATTTCTGGACACATATATCTAGAATATAATAAATGAGTTACTCTGGTGTGGCCATGGAGAACTATTTCAAATCATCAAAAGGGAAACTGCTGCCATAATCGATCAATTTAATTTAGGTAAGTTCATGTAAATCGTTCTCATTTTTGATTTTCTTAACTAGAATATTTTCAGTCTTGAGATCAGAATGAACTATTCTTTAATCCTATAATAGATCCAAAGCCTATGCTAATTCTCGAATGAGTTTTTTGAGTTCTGTTAAATCTTTTCTGAAAGTGTTATAGAGAGGTTTGAGTGTTAACTAAAATAGAATGAGTTGTATAATTACCCTGTACATGCGTTCGTTATTAACATTTTTTCCTTTGAGATCATAAAGATGATTTCCAAGACTTTCACCACAGATTTCTTAGAAGATCCAAGTGTCTTGAGGTTTGATGTCGTAGGTCAGGAAGCGTACTAAATTTTTGCAACCTGGAAAATTGGAGAATTGCATTTTTGGCTGACCATCTTAGAAGAAATGAATGCCAAACCAAATTTCTTTCATGTGGGATTGATGAGTATTTGTAGAAAGGATCTATTTGATAGCAAATTTTTCTTTGGTTCTTTTATGTTCTCCTAACCATACCAATGAAAAGCCTCCTCTGCCAAGCAATTTCTTCTTCTCAAAATGTTGAGGGAATCGATCCCCAAATTATTACCATTCTTCTTCTGACATATCCCACAAAATCTTAGGATGCACATTCTGATTTTATTATTTGTTTATTCTATTTTGTGAATCTAAGGAAGCATAACGATCCTAACTCTTTTGTTATGGAGTAGCATTGCTTAATGAACGTTGTTTTGGTATAATATTCTTCTCCTTCATTTTAGCCAGAACCATTCTTTGATAGGTCTCCATCTCCGAGTCGACTTCAGTTTTCTAAACTTTGCTTAAATACCTTACTATTGGTTTGACTTCAAAGCGTTGTGGCTTAAACTTTTTGCTCCCCTTGCTTGTTCTAATAGTTAGCACAGAATCAAAGTCGAATTTCGTAAGTTTCCTTGAAATGTTAGTCTTGGTATCATTTTCTGTCAAGACCCTGCGACCTGGGTCTTGAGATTACAGACGAGGTCGCATGTAAATTTATCTGTGATATGGACTCTCATTTGTTATTACTCTCTAATGCATTATAACAGTTTTTGAATATATATATATATAAATAAATACAGGGAAGAGTACTGCGTCATTTTTAAATATTTAATGCTTAGATCCATAAGATTAATACAACGTGTGGCTAATTTCAGCAGGTTGGCCAATCCTCATGAAGTGAATCCCAAGGTCCCCGACTGGTTCAAGTCAAGTGATTACATGGTATACCTTCTATTGAAATATAGGAACCACGCTTTATAGGCTCTGAGCCACAATAAGTGAAGGAGATGTTGAAAGCAGTGGAAGCCAAATCACTCGATGAACTTGTGGACAAAATAATCCCAAAAGAAATCCGCAGTGAGGCAGCCTTCCAAAGTCCAGACAATTTTCCTGATGCCATCCCAGAATCAGCCATGGTCTAACATCTCCAATCATTAGCCAATAAGAACAAGATTTACAAAAACTATATAGGCCAAGGCTTTTATGGTACTCACACACCATATGTCATCTTGAGGAATGTGCTTGAAGACCCAGGATGGTATACATCCTATACTCCCTATTAAGCTGAGATCTCATAGGGCAGACTAGAGGCACTCCTCAACTATCAGACAGTGATCACTGAATTAACTGGTATGGATGTATCTAACGCCTCTTTATTGGATGAAGCAACTGCTGCAGGAGAAGCAATGTTCTTGGCAAATTCTTGGTTTGAGAAGAAGAAATTCTTTGTAGACAACCATGTATTTCCATAGAGCATCGACCATATCAAGACCAAAGCCTATTATTTAGGAATTGAAATCGTCGTTGGAGATGCCAAAACCTATGATTTCAAAGATGCCGATCAATATTGTGGAGTTTTGGTACAATCACCAGATAATCTCGGAGAAGTCCATGACTGGAGTGATCTTTTCAAACACACACTCAAAGATGCCAAACTCTTAAAAGTCATTGGAACAGACTTACTGAGTTTAACTATCAACAAAACACCCAAAGATTAAGGAGCAAATGTCACATATGGAAATTCATAAAGATTTGGTGTGCCTATGGGTTTTGGTGGACCACATGCTGCTTACTTTGCAGTTGAAGACGAATTCAAAAGAAAAATGCCAGGACGTATTATTGGTATATCCAAAGATGCCAATGGAAAATCAGCCTACAGAATGTCCTTACAAACCAGAGAATAACACATTAGAAGAGAAAAAGCCACCTCTAATATCTGTACAGCTTAAGCATTATTGGCTAATATGGCTGGCTTGTATGCAACTTACCATGGTCCATAGGGATTGTAGAAGATAGCCAATAGAGTCAATTGTTTGGCTAGAAGCTTTGCTAAGTTGGCCAAAAGTCTGGGATTAGTTGTTAAGGAAGGAAGGATCTTTGATACCGTAGTGTTACACAACACAGAAACCTTGTAGGAGTATTTGCATTATAATGCATAAACTAATGTCAGGAAAATTGGATAAGACACAATCTTTAGTTTTGATGAAACTCACTCTGTCCAAGATTTAGAAGATCTCTTCAACCATCTTCAACATTACACAAAGAAAAAAGCAGATTTTATGTCCGTTATTCAAAAAGTAATTCCTTATAAATCTGAAAGAGCACCCTTTTTGTAATAGAAGGTGTTCAATTCATTGCATAGTGAAACTGAAATGTTGAGATACATCAACTATTTAAGATAGAAGGATGTCTCATTAACTAAGTCTATGATTTCATTAGGTAGTTGTACTATGAAATTGAATCCAACCTCTTTCATGTTGCCTGTCTCATTCTAAGGATTCTCCCAATTACATCCATTTTCCCCCTTGTCTTGCACCTAAGGATATTAAGAATTGACTGAAAATGTTGAAAAATGGTTATGCGATATTACACAAATGGAAGCTGTCTCCTTAATGCCTAACAGCGGCGCCTAAGGAGAATACACAGGTTTATTATGTATCAGAAAATATCACATCATGAATGGACAAAAGGATAGAAATATTTGTTTAATCCCAATATCTGCTCATGGAACTAATCCTGCTTCAGCTGTTCTAGCTGGATTAAGTGTTGTACCAGTAAATGTGGTAGATGGTTATGTTGATTTGAATGATTTGAATAAGAAAATCAAAGAGAATGAAAAGTCATTGGCATGCATTATGATTACATATCCATCAACTTATGGAGTCTATGAAGATCAAACAAAAAAGATTATTTAATTGATCCATGAGCATGGAGGTTTGGTGTATATGGATGGAGCCAATATGAATGCCTAGGTTGGATACACTTCTCCTGGATATTTAGGAGCTGATGTTTGTCACTTGAATCTTCATAAGACATTCTCCATCCCACATGGAGGAGGTGGTCCTGGATTAGGTCCTATTGCTGTTAATAAGAAATTGGCACCATATCTTCCAGGCAGAGAACATTCCTTAGGAAGTGTAGCTTCATCCTTATTTAGTTCTGCATCAATACTCCCAATACCTTATAGTTATTTCGGACAACTCGGAAGACAAGGGGCAAAGAAATGCACAGCTATGGCCATGTTAAATGCTAATTATTTGATGAAGAGTTTACAAAATGATTACAAAGTTCTCTTTACTGGATAAAATGGAATGTGTGCTCATGAATTTATTATTGATATCAGACCTATCAAATAAGAAAGTGGAATCACTGAAGAAGACATTGCAAAAAGACTTATGGATTATGGATTCCATGCTCCTACTATGTCATTCCCAGTCCCAGGAACACTCATGATTGAACCCACTGAAAGTGAATCTAAGTATATATTTATATTAATTGTTAGGTCTGAATTAGATAGATTCATTGAAGCTATGAAGAACATTAAATTAGAAATCGAGAAGGTCAAAAATGGATAATATGATAAAAATGATAATCCATTGAAAAATGCTCCTCACACTTAAGATTAAGTAATCAATAGTGGTTGGAATCATAAATACTCAAGAGAAGAAGCTGCATTCCCATTGCCTTATGTTCTACAAAGAGGTAAGGTATGGCCAACTGTGAGCAGAATTAATAATGCTTTTGGAGATAGAAATCTTATATGTTAATGCCCATCTGTTTCAGATTACCAATAATGATATATCTAAATTTGTTCAAAATTATTCGATGTCTGCTATTGGATTTGCATGTATGGTTGTCTTAAATATTTTGATCTCATTCAGTGCTTTGTAATTATTATCTACAGTTTCCTTCTCCATTAAATCCAGGGCCTCCCATCCATAGATTACTTTGCCAAAAGCAGTATATAGACCATTCAAGTGATTCTGCTTTGAATAGGTAATAAAAAATTGTGATTAATTGGTATCTTTTCCTGCATTTGCCATTGAAACTATTCCGCGTCTATCATGTTTAATTTCTGGAACAATTTCATCTTCAAAATATTTTCCATAAATACATTCCCCTCCCTTACCAGTACCTAAAATATTGAATCCATTTTTATAATTACCTGTTGGATCACCTCCTTAAATGATAAATCCTGGAATGTTTCTATGAAAAATTGTATTATCATAAAATTTCTTAGCGCACAATGCTAAGAAGTTTTTACAGGTTTTTGGGGTTAATTCACAAAATAATTCCAACTTAATATCTCCATGACTAGTATGTAAAGTGACAGACATTTTTAAATTATTTAATATAAATTATGTAATTTATTATTCGTATAAGTTTGATATAATAACTATATAAAAATATCATCCGTTCTTTTCTTCCTAAGTTTGCTTATTATTTTCCTAAATTTGCTTATCAACTTCTTCTTTTTTCTATTTTTATATCTCATTTTCATTTATTAATACACTATTTATTTCTTACTTAATATTTTAGCATTATTATTCCTGCAATTAATTTCGTCCATTTCTACCCTCCATCATAGATGATAATTATATTGCTGCAATATTTAAATTATTAAAAGAAATTATAATATTTATAATTCATTATTAAACAGAAGATTGTCTTCTAGGTTATTTTGATGATTGTGAAGGTGCCACTACGTTTTGTGAAATCAATAGCAAAGGATTAAATAAGAGTGATTATCTAAGCTATTTGACCCCATTAATTATTGATTCTCTATCTAATATTTAGTTTGAAGTTGTAGATTAGTTTCTATACAAATACTCTTTGTTAAACTTGATTTATTGTTCTTATAAATAATAATACCTATGGATTATGTAGGATTATACAAGATTTGGGTCTAACTTAAATTCTGGGAATATCTCATAAGCTATGTATTTACCTAGTGAATCTACATCAGGCACATTAAAATTCTGTAATTTATTCTCAAATAAAGTCTTAGATTGTTTCGACAATTCTGTTGCATAAATAGATAATAAATGTAACATAGTTATATCCTTTCGAGTATCAAAGATTTGTTATAATTGAGCCTGGATTTGAAATTAAGAGAAATATGTTTCTAAAAATTGCTTGCTTATAGTGAACATCAAAGTGGATTTTCCATAATTTAAATTTAACTTGACAATTTTATGTTTCAAATTTTCATCCTCCATTTCAACCTATAATTTAATTTATTCTGGATTTTTTGAATGTTATTGCACATTCAAGATATAAGCATAAAATTCCTAATAAATTCTTTTTATTTGATTGATATAGTAGATCTCTATTGTTTCAACTCCCTGAATATTGAAAAAAATAGAACATAAATTATTTAATTACACTGCAGCTTAAGTTGCCTCTTCAAAAGGTTCAAGAATAGTGATGATATTCTTGTAGAGTTCAGGAAACTTTTAATAATAATCTATAAATTGTTGACATGGACTTACCCTAGATTACTCCATCATCAGCACTTTGTGTAATAATTCTAGTTTATTATCTTCCTCAACAACGTAGGGAGGCTCATCATAGTATTACATTAATTATCGAACACAAAAAATTGGTACCCAGGGATGATCTGAAAACATTAAACTAAATGCCATATCTCCTGGTTATTAGGCAATCACATTCATTGCCAATCTGTTTCTAATTTATGCCTAACATGTTTCTCTCTTATTTTTAGCAACATATGCTACATTAGTTAATTGTGAAACAAATTCTTCTTCATGTTTACTAAACTAAGATTCAAGTATCTTTAGATTTGCTTCCAATTCTTTTACATTTTTTTTTAATTTATAAGAGTCATCTCTACCTTCAGTTTTAATATCCTCATTAATCAATCTTTCCAACTCTGTTGCTTTAGCCAATATTTTTTCATAATTTGCTTATAATTCATAATATCTTTATTTNGACATTATATTGCTGCAATATTTAAATTATTAAAAGAAATTATAATATTTATAATTCATTATTAAACAGAAGATTGTCTTCTAGGTTATTTTGATGATTGTGAAGGTGCCACTACGTTTTGTGAAATCAATAGCAAAGGATTAAATAAGAGTGATTATCTAAGCTATTTGACCCCATTAATTATTGATTCTCTATCTAATATTTAGTTTGAAGTTGTAGATTAGTTTCTATACAAATACTCTTTGTTAAACTTGATTTATTGTTCTTATAAATAATAATACCTATGGATTATGTAGGATTATACAAGATTTGGGTCTAACTTAAATTCTGGGAATATCTCATAAGCTATGTATTTACCTAGTGAATCTACATCAGGCACATTAAAATTCTGTAATTTATTCTCAAATAAAGTCTTAGATTGTTTCGACAATTCTGTTGCATAAATAGATAATAAATGTAACATAGTTATATCCTTTCGAGTATCAAAGATTTGTTATAATTGAGCCTGGATTTGAAATTAAGAGAAATATGTTTCTAAAAATTGCTTGCTTATAGTGAACATCAAAGTGGATTTTCCATAATTTAAATTTAACTTGACAATTTTATGTTTCAAATTTTCATCCTCCATTTCAACCTATAATTTAATTTATTCTGGATTTTTTGAATGTTATTGCACATTCAAGATATAAGCATAAAATTCCTAATAAATTCTTTTTATTTGATTGATATAGTAGATCTCTATTGTTTCAACTCCCTGAATATTGAAAAAAATAGAACATAAATTATTTAATTACACTGCAGCTTAAGTTGCCTCTTCAAAAGGTTCAAGAATAGTGATGATATTCTTGTAGAGTTCAGGAAACTTTTAATAATAATCTATAAATTGTTGACATGGACTTACCCTAGATTACTCCATCATCAGCACTTTGTGTAATAATTCTAGTTTATTATCTTCCTCAACAACGTAGGGAGGCTCATCATAGTATTACATTAATTATCGAACACAAAAAATTGGTACCCAGGGATGATCTGAAAACATTAAACTAAATGCCATATCTCCTGGTTATTAGGCAATCACATTCATTGCCAATCTGTTTCTAATTTATGCCTAACATGTTTCTCTCTTATTTTTAGCAACATATGCTACATTAGTTAATTGTGAAACAAATTCTTCTTCATGTTTACTAAACTAAGATTCAAGTATCTTTAGATTTGCTTCCAATTCTTTTACATTTTTTTTTAATTTATAAGAGTCATCTCTACCTTCAGTTTTAATATCCTCATTAATCAATCTTTCCAACTCTGTTGCTTTAGCCAATATTTTTTCATAATTTGCTTATAATTCATAATATCTTTATTTTTCCTTCATAATTGCTGTCTCAAATTCTTAGGTCATTTTTACTACTCTATTTTCGAAATTATGTACTTATGTTTTTGCATTTGATAATTTTTTTTATAATTTTGTCACTTGTTCAATAATATATTTGTTACTTCTATCTAAACTGAACTACATTGTTAAATCCAGCATAAAAACACAATATTTCCATATATACTCTATACATTAAGATAATTTCTTATTCTGTGGGATTAAGAATTTAATGATGCTCTCTATGTCTCCATTAACTATTTCTATCAATTTTGGAATTGCTGTGATATTATATTTCTTGTACGGATTCAAATCATCAGCTACTCCTAAAATATTTGAATCATCTTTTTAAAACAATGGTTCTATTATTTCTTAACTTATTTATTCAAGTGAACTAATTAATTGGTATTCTAATTCCTGTTATGTGATACGATGATGAAATTAATAACTATTCTGATAATGCTGTAAATTTATAGAGTTTATTATTTCTTTTGGCATGTATTACAAAGAGTTAAGTATCAAATCATGAATTCTTTAATCTGAATCCGATGGCATGAATTCTTAAAGTTTTTGCTCTACTTTCCAATGTATTCTGCTAGTTCTTATTTTCGGAGTACTTTTCACTTTATTTTAAGGAGTAGATAAATCTGGTACGGTTCTAACTAATTTGATCTGCGGGGTTGATTTTCCATTCGAAATTTTCCACACTGACTAGGTGAACATTAATTTATTGATGTAATATTATTTATTATAAATATTTGATTAATTTATGCAGTATGATCTATTATTAATTGGAAATCTGCCATTCAGTATAAATAAGTGATAATGCTGAACATAGAATAGATACTTTAATATTATAATTTTGTTATTCTTATTTATCTCATTCAAATTTTGGCTTAATGACACCTACATTATTGTAATATTCATCATGAATTTATGATCTGTCTGTATAAGTGTGAGCAAAAATAAATGCTGATCCAAAAACCAAGAATGAATATAACTTAAATCTTTTCCAATTTTGATTTTGTAAATATCCTTATTTGAAAACTGCTTTGTTCTTAGGTCTAAGGAGATAACATCTAAATAATACTAATAGTATGTTGGAACTCCTGTAGTAGTTTGTCTGTAAAAATAAGAAACAGGAATAAACTAAAAAAATATCAAGATTTGTTACGTATAATAAGCTAAACACTATGCCAGATGCAGCGAAATTGAGAATCCATTCATACTTAAATGTGTTCAATTTATCAGCATAATCCATCTTTCTTTCTCTTAGTGCTTCGTTCATATAGAATTTATAGAGAGGTTGATCATAGAAGGACTTTTCCACTGTGGCAATATATCTCTTCTCTTGATCTCTATTTGGAATAGGTGGAATCTAATCTTCAAATCCCATTTTAATAATTTTATTATTATTAATATATCAATAACCCATTATTATTTCTCCTAATCTATGCATTTAGTGTTAGTGCATTTCAAGAAGGTTATAACAGTGGATTATTAAAACCAGATTATCATGATTCAATCTTCAACTCAGAATTATATATTAATTTATCAATTTTATACTTAAAATTAATAGCATAATTCATTTATTTGAATAATCACTCCATCCACTTAGAGTTAAATTCTGTTTTTAGGATTCTGTGCTAGTTTATCTTTGTTTCACTTTACTTTTTGGGACTATACTATGATAATAATGATTAATAGTTTATTATCTGTTAGTTGTTTAGGTGTAATTGTTTGAATTTCTATTTATTTTCTATTAGACATGAGGTTAGATCACTGTTATTAGAGTTTCTTACTTGAGCAATTTAAATTCTTCCAAATATTGACTCAATTGCATATCATTATAACGAAAAGAGGCTGGCTTTTGTTCTGTGTAATTTTTATTGCACGCATCAGTTACAGGTGTTTCATTTGCTTTTTTAGTAATTAATCTTTATGTCAATGAGATTGGATTTACTAGTATTTCCTTTTGTGTAATTGGTTTAAGCTTTCCTAAACCTGACTGCCTCTGGAGAAACATGTTTTTGGAGTTTAGATCTAAGACTGTTGAGTTTCTATTGAGAAGTTCTTTAGTTTTCTCGAGTTCTTTACTGAGTGGCTTCTACAAGTTGCACTTCTGTAATTGAAGCTTATTGATTGAAATGTTTTGAGCTCGTATTAATTAGAGATTATAATTTTACTAGATTTAATATGTGGTTGGTCTAGGTATCCTATATGATATCTATTGATAGTATTAAGTTAATAGTCCTGAAAGTGAATATTAGGATTTAATTTAACATTAGTTTTTCTCATTTTTTGATAATGACTAAATAGATTCTTATCATTAAATTCTTAATCAACCATTAGGGACTAAAATCTTATTAGGTAAAGCTTACTTAATCCTAGTTATTCATTATTATTGATTATCTATAAATATAAAGTAAAATAAATTTATTAGATGAACAAATGAGAATGTACATTATAAGAATTACATTGTAGAAATAGGATGTAAATAATTATATATATATTAAGGAAAAAATTAAACATTAGTTGAAGATTAACAGCCTCTTAATATTTTTGATTAAATTTTATAAAGAATGATCTAGATGAGAATTTTAATATATTTGCAGTATTTTATTAATCATTATACTTTAAATACATAATATATATGTACAAATATAATATAGAGTAATCTTCAAAAGCTTTTGTTTTAAGTGTTTAAATACTATTGCTTTGAAATTTGTTATTAGCCTCCTCTTTATAATCTTAAAACAGTAGAGATATCTAATTATTTTAGAGCATAACTCCTTTATTTTTTATCAGCATATGTTCTTAAGATGAAATATTGTTTTGCATATTCCTTTGAATTAACATAGAGGTGATATTCGATTAATTTCAAGAAGACCTTTTCCATTTCATTTATTTATAAAGTTGAAAATTAGGGTAACACCTTTGCAAAATTATTATTTTCAAATGACTCATCATCCCATATTTTAGATGCCATGACCAATGATGTAAATAAAATCTTTTACCAATTGAAACAATTTAATTCTAAGCCTTAATTATAGTTGAGCAATCTGTTGATATAAATCATGGAGATAATTGCTACTTCCCTTTCCATTTTGGTAGTCGTCATTATGTTCTTACAATAGTTTTATATGATGTCGACGTTGGGAATATAGTTAGTCATGGTTTTATCAATAAACACTTTATTAAACAAGAGATAATCTTCTAAATTATATGAAGTGTCAACTGAAAAATAGGATTTAGAAACTTATTCACTATGATATGTTTATTGAATATACTTATTCTCCTATTCTTATACTTAAAAGTAATCCCCTTATTCTTATTCAGTCTACAATTTTGATTATTCACTTTGATCAGCATTCTGAATCTATTCAGTAGCGACATCTTCACTCCCATAATATTAATCTGTAATTTCAGGTTCTATAATTGCTTCGCCCAAATAATCTTAACAATATGTCTGATCTACCTTTGACATATTGGCTGTATGATCTTTGTTTTCTTCACCTCGACAATCTTCAATATATCTCTCTTTATTTGCTACTGTGATGATGACATAATACTTCTGGATTCGAACTCCTCGTATTAATCAGGCTCCATGAAGATTTATTGTTGAATTTCCTAGATTTAATTTTCGAGATATCTTTGCTACTCTAAATCAACAATCTAAATCATTTTTTGCAGAGTAATGCCTACACAATAACTAATCTCCTCAATATCAATATTTATCAAGGTGGAAGCTAATTTTCCATTATCAAATGATTAATACATCAATTAAATCTAATCTTACTATAGCTGAATCTCTGCTCCTATGCTGTTTTTTGAATTGATTTATAATAATTTCTTCAATAATTTATTGTCTTTCTCTGCATTTGATTTGATCATTGACTTTTTCTTAATAGTTTATTTAATCTTGACTACAGGAGGAATATTATTAGTTTTTGATAATGATTTTGGAATTTCTTTAGTTATTGAAAGAGAACTACCATGAGTAGTTCCTTGATTGGGAATTAATTGTTAAGTTAAACTATCAGAAAATTTAGGACTTTTATCATTTTTTCTATTAATAGAACGTCTTTCCAATTTGGGTAATACTCTTGGTTTAATGACTCCAATCTCTTAGAGAGGAGAGAAATGCTTCAGAGATGCTCTTCTATTAACTGGTTTCAGAATTTCAATATAAGGTTCTCTTGTTTGTTCAATCTTACTGTGGGAATTAAATTATCCAGGCTATGTATTTCTGTTTTATTAATTGTAAGTTGGGGTTTATGAATTTTAAACATTATAATTATGAGGATCGTAATGATCGTTTAAATATTTAAACAAATCTAAAAATTTTTATTTATGTCCAGGCTGTAATCTAATCTCTTGTAATACCACATTTTATAAATCTGCTGGTTATTGAGCTAATGTTTATAATCCCCCTAAATAGCCTCTTAAGAATAATTTATTTGCATATTATTATAAATTGTATTCAACCAATTATCTAATATGAATACATCTCTCACTTACTTGAACAATAAACTTTCCTTTAGATCAGTGAAATCAGATCTATATGATACATGGCTACTGAATTCTGAATCTCTATTTGGTTGTTCTATTATATTGTTGCCATTTATTACTTTTCAAAGATTTTTTTTGATTACTCGGCACTGTGGATTTTGCATTCTAAATTTTATTAACGTAACTCTTCATACGGAAATCATCATCCCATTTTTTCATTTTTATATATATAATTATAAATATATATAATAAAAATCATAGTAATCAAAAAACATCTTTCAGATGACTCTATGCTATCTATCACTCCCCAAATGACTTTGTCTATATGCAAGTTTAGCCCTATTGATATTTTTAATTATATTTACCAATAATTTTTATTTGGTGACAGCGTAGATTCATTTCGAAACTTGAAGTAATCTTCATTTGAATCCAGTTTAAGTTGGAGCTCTTTTTTCCTGCTACGAAAACATTGTCGACTTTCAACCTTGTTTTCAATTGTCATACTATAATTGCACACATATCCAAGGTCCTTGAGATTAATTGATAACAATCTTTCAACTCGTATGGCATTTCTTTGCTTTATTTTCTCCAAATTTCGGATATCCTATTCTAACTTCTGAATTATCGATTTAGTTCTCAATTAAGGCTTTCCGCTTACGAAAGTTTACGGTTTCATGTTATAATAACTAATTATGAATGATTTATTATTCTAAGATCTAATGCCATATATAGCAAATTATATATATTTATTAATAAAAATTGTATTCATTTTAAATGCTGCACTTAATTCATTGCACAAGTAACATTCTTAATATAATCAAATTTTATCTCATTTAACATTGTTTTAATTTCTAATATTTTTAACTTAAAATAATTCTATTTACTAACTATTATTTTTGATATCAAGCACCATCAATTATCTAACCATAAATATTATAGATGAAAATAATATTATTGAATAAATTAAATCAAAAAATATCGTAAATTTAATAATGTAAAGTTTTTGGTTTATGCTTAATATACCTTAATTTAATTGCTATTTAAATGATTAAGAAATCTAATCTTAAATTTGAATGTAAGTTTGTTTTGTAGAACTTCAATCTCTTATATTACCTAAAACAAGAGTAAATAGAACCCTATTCAAATAAAATGATAAACTACTTAATGTCTTGACTGTATTCAAGTATCCAACTTATTATGGCTTTATCAATTGAGTATTAAAAAGGATCAACAATTTTAAAGTTATGAGTAAACCTTTCTAAATTTACATAAAGTTAGTATAGTATATAGTTTATATCTTTACCCATTTCAATTGACACACATTGATTATTAAAAGATATTAAGTATCAAAATATTAATTTAATCAATATCTTATAATTTAAATTTGTTATTTAGGTAGTTTGTGCTACAAAAAGATTAATAAATATTTGATATCATTTTTAATTTTGCTATATTTATCATAAAATAGATGAGAATTAATAGTAAAAAATGTTAATTAAAATCACATCCTCGTTCGATAATGATAATATCAACATATATAATTTATGTATTATGCAAGTTGATTTAATAGATTTAACTAAGTCAACTATTTGATGAATAACTAAACTTGATTTATTGATTATATTTTGATATAATAAATTACATGATTATTAAATATTTAGAAGAAGTGAAAGTAGTGTTAGTAAGGGATAATGGATGAATGCAAGAGTGATATCTTATAATTAAAGATGTTAATTTATAAATATATAATATTGATTGAAAAATAATTATGAGATCCACGAAGAAGCATGCCACAGTACATAGTGAGAATCAATCTAAATTGTCAGTTGGATAGATAATAGCTCAGAAATTCAAACTGATCGATAAGGTTGGACAAGGGAGTTTTGGGATGATATATAAGACAGAGAATTTGGAGACGGGAGATATCTTCGCTACAAAATTTGAGAAGAGAGAAGAGAATTCGAATGGGATGAGTCTGTTGGTGAGAGAAATAAAAGTTTTGATTGAAGTTTAAGAATTTGAAGGTAATATACTAATCGATAAAGGTTTTCCATAGATCGTATTTTATGGGAGAGATGAACATTACAATTACTTTATGCAAACGTATTTGGGTTAGAATTTGGAACATCTTCTGAAGCGGAGTAACTATAAGTTTAGTTTGACAACGGTGTGTAGGATAGGAATGAATTTGATTGATAGATTAAAATTATTGCATTCTAAGAACTTGATTCACAGAGATTTGAAGCCAGACAATATGTGTATAGGTTATGAGGATGTAGACCAAATCTATTTAATTGATTTTGGATTGGCAAAGTATTATCGAGATTAGAATGGCAATCATATACCTTAGACTGAGAAAAAGGGAATAATAGGAACAGCAAGATATGCCAGTTTGACTGCTCATTTAGGTATGATTGTTATGAATATGAAATCAATAAGCAAAGGAATAATCACGTAGAGATGATATCGAGAGTTTGGGATACGTATTGGTCTATTTGGCAAAAGGGAAATTACCATGGATGAATTTGAATACTACCACAAAGTCTGAGAAGTATCAGAAGATTAAGGAGTTCAAACAACAATTGACTTTGGAAAAGCTGTGCGAAGGATTGCCAAAAGTTTATCCTAATTATCATCTTTAAGTGTTTCTTGAATTTATTCATCTATGCACGTGGACTCGACTTTTAGGGTGAACCAGATTATGCATTCCTGAAGGAACTGTTCTAGAAGTAATTACAATAAGAATTGTCATCCTTGCAAGCCTTGGCTACACTAGAATACGAATGGGAGCGATTTCCAGAGATCAAGAAACGAAAGGCTAGATTACAGACTAATCAATTGAAATTAAAAATGGGTATTAATCATAATATTTAGAAAAACTTGTTTAACAAGGTGTAGATTCGGATGTTCGTAAGAGTAGTGAAGATAAAGGTTAAGATCACAAGGGAAGTTCATTTTTGAATTTACCAATGAAAGATTAATAACTTGATTCTTTATCTCCTGATATCAAAAACAAACAGAGTAGAGTATCAATATATTTATATATCTTAATCAGAATATCAGTTAAAATATATCGAGTTTTGGAACCAGTCAGATTAATAATTATTAAATAAGTTAGATCGATAAGTTTAAGAGATTCCCCACTGAGAGAAAGGACTAAAGAAACAATACAGTGGATACTTAGAAGAAAGAGAGAGAAACTAGTCCAAACTAGAAGGTATTTATAAAATAAACTACAACTAAAACCGAGAGGAAAATGGCATTTTTCGAAATTGATAATGATTATAGAGATTACGATCACATTGATTAGATTGCCAGTGAAGAGGTTAATATTGTGTTTTCCAACATTATACCTAATCTTGGACGTCATAAATCTACATTAGATCTCTGAAACATAATTATTTTTATATAAAATGTAATAAAATTATGAAGAATTCTTTATTTACATCTATCTAATTGAATACTAAGCAATAATATAGAATAGTTAATTAAAATTAATTCTCTTATGGATATGTTTTAAATGTATAAATATTAAATGAATCAAATTCCCAACTCTTAAAGTGACTCAAATACATTCTAAATATCCAATTCAGCTACTGATTTCGGTGATACTAATTAGCTTTTTTGGACAATTCTATGTTGATTGAAATCCTAAATGACCTCTTCTCCAAAAGTATCAACCAACTTTCTTATCTAAAATAATGGATATATTATCTAGTACCTTATTTTACAATTATTCTCTTTGTATCTTTAATTTTTTATACTTATTCTCATATAGATAGAATAAGATTTAACTATTCACCTTTCTTGCATGTCTTATTAATCCATCATTAGAGCGAATCATTGCAGTAATGTAAAGGGGCCACATCAATAGAAAGATTATAGTATATCTAAAAGTATGCTCTTCATCTACTATCTTATAAACAGTCAGCCATAAATAAAATAGAATTGTGTAAATGAAAACTGAAATAGGGACAATTATTATTGATGCTAACACTTTAAATGAGGCAACGACATCCTTACCAGATATCTTAACTTTAGATCCAGCCAATGCGGTTTTCCTTTCTTTCTCTGCATACATATTCAAGATAATGGTAATTGGGATGGTCATGATATATCCAGGAAATGCAAAGAGCAAACAGAGTATTGTCATAAAAATATTAAATCCAATTATCTAAAGATCCAAATAGATTCTCTTTTGCATTCTCATAACTTCCCAATCCCTTACACCTAAGGCTTTGAGTTTATAATTGTAAAGTTTGATTTCAGTCAAAACTTAATTGACTTCGGGATGCTCTTTTAACTTGTAAAACGCCTATAAAAATCTAGTAAATAATACAGAATTAAACCTTTTTGTAAGCTAAAGAAGATCTTGAGGAGAAAGTCTTGTTCTATCAGGTAAATATAGAGATCTTCCAATAATAACTGCTGACAAATGAGAATAACTTGGAGCTTGTATGGTTACTGATTTAAGTTGCTATATGAGTTAAATTTAATACTGATTCTATTTCCAGTAATAATTTACTTATTGCTTATCTTTTGTTGATAGCATAAGTATCAATCAATTATTAGCTGATCTCATAAGGAACTCCAAATTCTACAATAACTTTGGATCTGAATTTGTGTCCTTTGAAATAGTTTAATCCAACCGGTTATAATTTAACTTTGGTTTAATATTTTTAACTAGCTCCTAGAGCCATAATGCAGATTCCTGGCTTTAAGGGTAATAAAGTAGTATTGTCATGTGATCCTCCTTCTGGGAATATTCCTATGCATTTTCCTTATTTCAAAGCTAGCCAAACTTGTTCAAACATCTATGATTGATCTACTTTTGGTTGTATTTTGTATTTGTTATCTTTGACACGAAGCTAACTTGGATCTTCACATTGAACTTTAATTTTAGTGTCACTAATAATTTCAACAATCAGTATAATAGTGTCAATCTAGGATAATATTGCACATTACTCCTTGTATAAGTATTGAATCATGTATTTGGCATTGTTTGGTAAATTGAGAATTTTCTGCAAACAAATAAGTTCCATCATACTTCTTTAAAATTCCACTACCAATTTTGGCTAAATCTTATGGTCTTTCGACTGGGATTCCACCTAGAGCTCGACCAATGTCTCCGATTATTGGCTTTTTCATGCTCTAATATTAGGATATGAGTAATACTTTGGCAGCAGCAATGAAATTGATCTTCCTAGTCATGTTGGAGATAATTAACTAAGGATATGGTAAATTAATACTAATGGATCAATGAATTAATTGTTATGATTTCCATAGAGTAGGATTGGACCATCCTAAGAATTAATATGATGCCATTACTTTTGGAATATTTTCTTATCCAATCACTTGGATATCTCTAAAAAATGTATGGGTGACAACTCTTGAATATAAGAGAGAAATACTTTGAGAATAACTTTGCGAACTCGTAAGCCATCCTGTTAAATAATTATTAAAACTATATGTTCTTGAAGAATCTGGCTTTTATAATTAAGTATAATTAAGTTGTTAAATGTTTAATCATTTGGAATGAAATAATACATATTATGGCAACATTAATTAAATATATTACTACTTAATTAATTATATGATATTATCAATACAAATCAATTTTATTATTGTTTTATTCATCATCATCATGAGTTATGCGTATTTTTTGTTTCTGTAAGTTGATATTGTTCAATTATTCAAACTTTTATAAATTATTTAGAGTTTATTTTTCCTATTGATTTCTGAATTGTTGGAGTATTAGCAAGATAAGTAAAAATAAGAATATACACAAGAGAATTTTTGATTGCAAAGACCAATGTGCTTACAATGGTATGATACTCAGACTCAATTAGAAAGTATAATAACATTGTATTTTTGGATCTGGTTTCTCTCTAGATAGAATCTCCTTGAATCTCTCATCTATTTTTTTAGAACTCTTGCATTTCTCTTCACTTCTAATAATGCCAAAGAAAAGATGTTTTCTCAATTTATTCTCGACAGGAGCATTGCAAACCAAATTATAACTCTGACTGGTTGTGTTATAAAAGATTAAGCTATTATTGCTCACTTGGATTATTTGTGAGTCTCTAATGAATATCTTATTCTCTGGATCTAAGAAGTGTTGTGCTTATCCCAAACCACTGTTGTGTCTATATTTTTAATGAAAATTAGTTTGTAGTGTGATCATATTGACTTACTCTTTATTGATTATAATAGCAATGTCTTTGTTTAATAACCCAAATCTGATATCCTATGATTCCAATTGAATTGTCCCTTCTGATTCCTGTGTTATGTTTACTACCTCGTTTAATCCATATTGAAAATTGAATTTAAATAAACTCAATTTACCTCTCTATTAATTCAACAATTCCAATACTGCCAAATAATCTTGATAAATGTCAACGTAATGGCCACTTATATTAAATTGATACAAATGAATAGGTTCAAAAGGATCACTAATGTCATAAATAGAGATTCCATCGGCAACAATAAACAAATTATCATCCTGCAATATAATTTATTTGCATCCATTCCCATATTAATGGATTATAAAATATTCATCATTATATGCGAATACTCCATTTTCTAAACACAAATAAACTATTTTAGTTGACATATGCTAATAACCCATCAAACTCTGCTTTAATTTAGATGTAAAATCAGCTGACAAATTTTCATTCATTATTTTCATATTGATAGTATCAAATACACTAATACTCTTTTCATTATAATAGATTATTTATCCTTCAGAAGACAATACCAACAACTTTAAATTCTAGTATTGGAGATCAATTGTTTAATTCTTGGTTGTATATATTACTTATCCTTATCTTATAAAGCACTCATCAAAACATACTATATCTGAATCTAACGAATTCGTTACACTCATCTCAATTGTTTGCACTGGTTTAAGTCCTATAGCTTGATTGGACCAATAGCAATTCATATCCTCATCATTAATCATTCTATAGGGAGGATCAGGGAAGTACAAATCAAGGGATCTAATTTAATTCACGTCAAAGAATTGATGCTCAAATGTTTAATTAGGTTAAAGTGTATGTTTTATGGATCCCAAATAATGACTATCTTTTGCTACAGATATATATAAAATTAAAAATAAAAACATTTAATTATCAAATGCATCATTTGCTCACCAAATATAATCATCATTCTCAGAGCAGAATAAACCAATCGAATAATTAATTAAATATGCAAATACTATCAAGTCTAATCTGATTATACTTTTAGCATGATCTATTTCAGATGATATTGATACTCGTTTTTCGTTACCCATTTCATAATTGATGACTCATTCATCTATATATCCTTTAGATACATCTAAAACTAACCAATATTCATACCTAGCATATTATAATAACATCATCATCTCTATTATTATTATCTATTATGTGTTTAATCATCAACCTTAGATCACCCTCATTATAGTAATCGCAAATGACCAAATAAGGCAAAATAGTTTAACCTAATATAGAATAGTATTGATTCTCCAATTTTTTTTCTATTATGATTCTTGCAGCTTAAATAAACTGTTTTTTATCTATCTACGCATCCACATCTTTAATGTCTTACCCATCTAGATTGTTAAAATATCCCAATTTTCCAAGTAATGACTAAACTCTGATTAGTTCTTCCTTCTAAAACACCTTATCTCTGTAAGTCTCTAAAATACTAAATATCAATTATTTAGGCATTGAAGATTTCAATAATTTAGCAATAACAGCTCGCCCTATTAATTTCAATTATTCCGATACTGTTTTTTATTTACTTAGTATGATATTTAACAATATTATTGTATATGTATCAAGATTATTATGTAAATACTCAAACAGTTTTTCGTACTCCTTTAGTGGCTTTTTGGTCTTCTTGAGTAAATAGTATATTAATGCTGCGTATTATGATGATACAATCTAATGATCTTTTTATTCATTGTATAACTCAATCCACCATTATTCCTCATATAGTGGTTGTGGTTAGGATCTGTTGATCCTCCAATCAGTGAATCTATCAATCCAATCACTTCTATTTAATTTAATATTATGGTGAGTTTTAGGTTTTACATTTAAACTAATAAAGACATTTTAAAGAGGGTTTTACTATTATTATTAAATAATCTGTTATTCTCTAAATTCTACTTAATTAAAATATATTTTAAATTATTCCAAATATAAACTTAGACGTAATCCTCTTATATTTTTTAATTTTGGAATCTTCTTAACATCTTATAACGAAACCACATAATTTGATTGCAATTGCAAGAAATTAACTAGATCTATTGTTGGAACTCCGAATAAAATGTTGAATAATTGGAATGATCTTATTATTTCTTCACTAGGAGTTATGCATTAATATAAACAATCAAGCAATAAGATGGATATTGTTTAACTTTGTTTTATTTGTTTCTACTTATGGTAATGATTGAAGTAATTCTAAAGTAAGTTTTAATCAATTTGCAATTATTAATTTTATTACATAAAATTGAGTGGAATCACAATTTTTTAAGAGAGTCTTGAATTAAATTTATTGATGTTTACATTTGAAGTTTGATAATTAATAGATTTCTCCTTATTTCTCATATCCTAAAAACTGATATCAAATTTTTATTTCAATTCAAGTTCAAATTCGTTTTGAATTTCAGAACACAATTAATCATTTTCCTCCTATTCAGATATGTCTCCATCTCCCCTGGCCTACATCTCTACTTATTACTATTAATCCTAATAATTCTGATTGTCAGTATTCGAGTAATCAGAATTAAAATGATATCCGCTAAAATGAAAAGATTTCACAGTATATTCCTAATTTTAAAAGTCAATTGATATAAATTATAAACCTTATTTTTAGGCTTAAGCAATTAAGTTATTCTTAAATTTCATCTAATTGATTTGAGGATTCTTCAATAAAAATTTGAATGTTATTAAACTTTCAGTATTGAGTTTAACTCCAACTTCAGGCTTCAATAATTCATGTATTTTATTAGTATCATAAACCTCGATGGATTCCTACTTAATGTCAACGACTTTATCTAAATCAATATAATATATATCAATAGGTTGAGTCCATACAATTTTGCCATATTTATTTGAAACTCTAAAGTTTTATACTTATTTAAGATCAGGACATTCATGCAAATTGGATGAATAGCCATCTCTAATTAATTTTGGCAGTTTGACATAGAAATAATGAAATATCAATCTGTGATCTGACAGTTTGGCAAGCTAGATTGAATTATCAACTACGAGAGTATTTTCATTGTAAATTTAGCAATTGTTGAAATATTGTTATGTCAAAGAACCAAAGATTTCAATATTTTCAAGATGGTTTTCTATAAATTATTTAACATTGTAGACTCTGGATTTGATCTAAAATTCTTGGTAAATAGTAAGAGAATTTTCACTCTCTAAAAATTTGATTTCAATATCAAGCCAATACATAGATTATGATTTTCTTTCATCTCTCTAAACAAAACTTTTAAATTCACTCTTGGAATCAGTGTATTGACAATTGTCTTAAAACTTAGATATGGGTTTTCTATCTTCTCTATTGAAAATGCTCTTAGTTTCTGTATTCAAACTGTGAGCTTAATATGTGGAAGATGTTTTTTTATCTTACCGAATGCTGATCGTTTTATTGCTGATATTGGATGATTTCTGATTTTACATTTTAAAGGTTTTGGAGGATTTCATACTTTAGGTATATTAATTTTACAATCTATAATCGAAATTCATCTTAGAACTCTCTCTCAACATGCAATCATATTCTTCTAAACTCAATTGCTTCTATTATTCAAACATCACAATTTGAGAATCAACCTATTAAGTAAAATCTTTAAATTAATTCTCTTAAAATTTCAAATAGTCTATAGAACCTAATAATGGTGCTTATAATATAGGTTGAATGACGTTGCTATTATTGGGATACTAAAACATCATAGGTTGATTAAATATATTTTATTGAGGTTGATTAAAAATATTATTAGAATTGAAGAGATTGTTATTGGAAAAGATGTTTTGGCTATTGAAGATATTATTATTATTGTTTGGTTATTAACTAAATATATTAGTAGATTAATTAAAAATAGTGTTATTGCTATTTCCTGAATTATAAGATCTAGTATTATTATTTTATGAAAAGATGTTGTTTGAATTGTTGGTTTACTATTGAAATAAGTTGGCTGCTGAATTGTTATTAGTATTAAATAAATTGTTGGAGGGGGGAGCATTAAATATATTGGGTGGATTATTATTATTATTTTTATTGAATAAATCATTTGAATTATTGGAGAAGATGTCTTTTCTATTGTTATCCGATGTATTGTAGAAGATATTTTGGTAACTATTGGGTTGTTTAAAAAGATCATTAGATTAGTTGAATGAGTTGTTTTATCTTCTAAAAATATCATTTTAATCTTGAAATTAAGGCGGCTTTAGATCTATAGTAATAAGTAATAAAAACTTTGTTAATTTGTGAATCTGATCAATTTAGAATTAAAATTATTTTTCCTCACTGCAGCCTCTAATTGTGATTTATGGTTATCCTAAATTTATTGTGATCTAATCAAATAATAATCTTCTAATCTAATTTGAATGGCACTCTATGTAAATATCAATTTTGTACAATTCCTTTATATTCTTGTTGCATGAACATGTTGGTTGTATATAAAGATGAAGTCTGATCTTCTGCATCTAAGAGTCCATATGTGATTCTCTGGGATTTGAAAGTTCCTCTATAAGAGCCTGGAACAGTTGGATTAAAGCTACGAACGAAGCATGTAAATTGTACTTATTGTTTGTCGGAAAGTTATTGGAATTAGTATTGAATGGGCCGAATATGTTATTAGTAGAGGATTAGAATAAATTTATTGCCATATTATTAAATATTATAATGTGGATAGAGTTTGTAAATAATTAGTAATCAAAGAGGAGTTAATATAATATGAATTGTAGTTGTTTTCATGTAACTAATTGATGTTGTGAATAATTCGAATTTATACAATAATTAATTATAAAATTAATGATGGTTCGGATTTGTGTTATGTTGTTTGTTGTAATCTAGGTTTTGGCTAAGAAACAGAAGGATTTCTTATTCGATTTGAAATAGGGTAAATCAGTGTCAGTGGAGTTGCCTGAGAAGTGGGAAAAGGATTTTATTATCATGTATGTTCGACCATAGCAGGATGAGAAGAAGAGTGACATTGGTGAGATCCTAATAAAAAGCAAAGATGAGGAGTTTCAGTTGAGCAAATTTTATGAGACAGCATTATTTACGATTAAATCTGATGACATCAATTTAAAATGCATTAGTGTTCCATGTAAGGGCAGAATTACAGTAATCAGCAATGATGCAATTGAATTGAGTAGTAAGAGTACAAAACTGATCCTAACTCAGAAACAGCCTATTTTAGTTATTTCTATGCAATTGCCAAGTAAATATAGTAGGATGGTGGGAGAATTTAAATTGGAAGATGATGAATCAGACAAAATAAATATAGATGTATTTGAAGAGAAGGCTAAACTCTATGGAGATGAAGTTTAGTTGACTGTGGCTATAAACAGAAAGGATTGTGAGAAATGCAAATTATTGGCTGTATTAAGTGGAGATTTGAATCTTAAAGAGGAAGCAACCATAAATGGATAATTATATTTATATAAAGATGAAGAAGAAATTGAAATAAATTAAGAAGTGTAGGATTATTTGTTTGAGAGAGATGAGAACACTTATTAATTGAAATTACCTCAATCATTCAAAATTCTATAAATAGGAATATTTGGAGATATGTTACCATTATTGAAAGTTCACAAGCAGGATAATGAGTATTTTAATTCACAAGAACCAATATAATTGTAATAGAGAGGCCAAGCCTTTCATGTCATTTTAAGAAGAGAGGATATTGTTGGAGATGAAGTGACTATCAATTTGAGTTAAGGGGGTTCATTGAAATATCTGATGGTTGTGAAACTCATTGATGACGTTATACTGTACAATAATCAGTTGGTATTGTCTAAAATCTAAGACAAAGGTAAACACAGTTATTAATTCAAAACTATTGAAAGTGAACAGGAATTTGGAATTAAATTAGTATATTTTGAAAAAGGGGCTAACTCTTTGAGAATAGCTGAATGTTAAGATGGCTGTTAATTTAGTGATGAAGATAATCACAATTTGAGATTTTACAAACATGAATAGAAACCTGCAGTATATGTTACACCACATTGTTAAAATAAAGATTAAGAAGGATTCTGTAGATTCTAATTAGAAATAGCAAGTGAAAATAAGAAAATCTATATGTTGACTACCCAAAATGATAATAATCAACGCATTCTTAAATCTGATGTTGCTTATACCAATTATTTGGAATAGTCATAGGAGGAACATCTCATTCTAAAATATCAAAAATCAGATGATGATGAGGAATTAGTGTTCACCGTCAATACTCACAATATTGTATACATGATTAGTAGAGACAGCAGTTGTTATCCTGTTAGATTGGAATGTGCAAAACACTTTGGAGGCGTCGATCATCTAGTTGTTCTTAGAGGAGATTAATTGAAACACACTCAATATTATATTACTTTAACTGCAAGAGAAACTACAATCTTTCAATTTATGGCCAAAGTCACTAAATTGAAAGACATCAATATCAAAGTATTAAGAGAAGATGAAACATATAGAGGAGTATTGGAATTGAAAGATGGCTTATCAAAAATCCATTATTTTAGAATCATGATTGATTTCAATAAAGTGGATCAGAATGTAGAAGTAATTGATGAATAATAGCCCACCATTGAATTTGCTATTCATTCTTCAAGATTGCAAGTAGCTTTGACTTTGAGATAAGGTAATTAATTGCCGACTCTCGAAGACTTCGATTTGATTGCCTATAACAACTATTTGGCTATCCTACCCCAAGATAATTATTATTAGAGTTCTGGTAATTATACTATTGGAATTTTGAATATGTTTGAGACATTCTAAGATAAGTAAATCATGTACACTATCACTTATTCCACAAGCAGAACTGTTAAAACACTCCATGTTGGTTAACAATTCATTGATCTTGCTAAAGGATTCAAATCTAAGTACTTTAGTTTCTATTATGGTTAAAATACTACCTTATTTTATATTAGTTTATAAAGCAAAAACAATTCAAAATTAACATTGACTGTTTAAAATGATATTAAATCCAATAATAATTCTCAATTTGCCAAAAGTAAAGATTCAAGTACACTTAAATTATCATAATCTGCCCTAAATAGTTTGTGTTTAAATGGTCTAACCCAAGAGGAAAATGATGAGGAATCAGGTACAATGGACATTTGTTAAGCTTACATAATAATTGAAAATCACGGAAATGAAGATATCTTATTTAATATCAATGTTTGGAATCCCCAAGCTGCCTTAGAGCTTAAAGATGGATAGGAATATACATTCAACATAGAATACTTGATGTAAGAAACCTTCCTATATTATAAAGTAATTTCAACACAATCTGATGTTTAATTACACATTAATTCACATTATGGATACACCAGATATCAGATTTAAATTCTGGATTCTCAAAATTTTTAAGAAGCTGATTCACTTTATGCCAAAGAAGAATACAAAACTTAACATTCTAAAAGTATACATTCTGATGCATTCCAATTCTGCAAACCTGATTGTGTTTTGAAAATATTATTAGAAGCAAAACAACTAGAATATTAAAGCGATAGAGCAATCAATTTTGATGATACTGTGTATGTCACAGTTACATAATCATATATGGATCTTAAAAGTGGATTACCTATTTAAATTTCAGTAAGCAAATTTAAGCCAAGGAAATTCATTTTTTCAGAAATTAATGATATGTCTCCTTAGTCAAAATTCAAATTGATCTTACATGAAATTTATGGCAAAGGATCAATTTGTCTCTAATTCAACGACGAAGATACCATTGGTTTCCATAAATGTGAATATGAGGTATAAGGCAATGTTCTAGAATTGACTTAAGCAGAAATACAAGATAAATTAACTGCGCTTAATCTTAATCATAATCCGTATATAATAATTGAAATTGATTCTATAGCTGACCATAGCAAGTTTTAGTTATCATTGGAAATATCTAATGATAGGAATAATCATAAATTGATGATGGGAGTACCAACAAGAATTAAATTAGATGTTGGAGAAGAAGTCCATTATCAATATTTTAATATCTTAACCGATGAAGACTTATACTTTAAAGTTATTAAGGTTTAAGGTACTTCTGTGATTGAAATCTCAAGATGTCTAGACAATATACAAAAGGAATGCGAAGAAGAAACTATTATAAAAGAATAATTATTAGCAGGCCAATCTTACAATTAACACATTATTCATAAAAATGACAATAAGAAATATTGTGAATTATGCACATACATAATCAAAATAAAGAGTGTTGTAACCATTGTAGATTTATTAATCGTGGTTACTTCCCAATTTAATTTTGTGTAATTACCTTAAAATATTGCATTTACTGATTTCTTGGAAAATCAAAATGATTACAACATCTATCATTTTTCCTATAATACTGATCATTAAATTGAGGTCTAAGTGAATTAATACAATGGCGACACTTAAATGTGGATTGGATACAATGCTGTGCTCGACTCCTCTAACTACTAATATGGGCCATATAATATTATTAAATAACAGAAATTAATGAACTCAACTGCATCGATTCCATATTATTAAGCTATCATTCCTCCAAGGGAACATTTAGAGGAAACTAATTATACTCCTTATGCAAATGAATCTCATACTTTGGCAGGCCATTATAATGATGACGATCTCTATATCATTGTTAAGAATAACTAACAGAAGCCATCAAATTATTCTATATTGGTAACTCAATCCACAACTGGAAATGGGTAACTCTTATAAGATGGAATCATAACATTTGCTTATTTAAGTAGATAAACCCCTGTTATTACATTATATCATCAATATCGTTATTTGAGTTAACCATAATTAGTGGTTAAAATGACTCATTATAATAGAGAGATGTAAATCTCAGATTACTTCAGAATAGAAGTATCCAATGAGACAGATTCAGAGAATTTCACTCTACTTACACCTCTTTCGAGCAGATTAAATTAATAGATGTACATTTTACCAATTATGGAAGGACTTTTAACTATCAAGATTCATAGTCTTCTAGAAATCAAGGGAAATGAAAATGCCAATATTGAATACTAATTTAATAGAGAAGGAAACGTTGTACCTGTAAGAAATTATAAGATGAAGGAGAGATACGTTTATGGAAACAATTATTTAAATAGAATTGATTTATAAATCAGTATTGTAGGCAAGGAAGTTTTGTTGATAGATGAAAAATCAAGTCAAAGTGATTAGATCTATAATTCTTAATCTAAGTTCTATGAATCTTATATCCCTTATGAAGGTAAATTAGCTATTTAAGTGTATAATTGTTTAGGGGATTTGAATGTATCATTAACTCAAGATTACGATTAATTCATTAAGGGGAAATTTAATAGTAGTAAGACAACTGTAGAAGGCCAATTAACAGACATTATAGTACCTGTTATGCCAGGAGCTGTTTACTTTAAATTTTAGTCTGAGTAGAGTGTTTATAAGTTCACAACATAAGTGTACAAGGCATCAGACTTTGCTCCCTTTGGACAATTGGTGATGGGAGGTGATGGTCAAATAAACTATTCATTTGAGACTTTTGATTCAGATTTTATTACTGTGAAATTCAAGCCATTGAAATGTGTAGGTTGTGATCTTCATCAAGAAATGAATAGTCTAATAAAATATTCAATCAGTTGGGGCAGTACTATCTAGTATGCTCATGTGATAGGTCTATGTCAATTTAATTAGTATGCAGAATATCATAAGAATCACACGAATAAATTTGATTAAGTTGACATTGGTCTATATGCACTTAATCATACTGAACAAATAGTCTTTAATATTACTGTTGGTAAATAATCAATGCATTCTGAATTGTTTGTTGCTATACGTGCTCAAGTTTTAGTTTTTAACAATCTCACAATCCAAGATTATGAATTGTATTATCATGTTGCTTAGATAGCAATGCCCAATCTTTCTCTGTACTGGTATAAACACAGGTTCTATGAATTTATCATAGGAGTAGCAATAGTATTAACTGTGCTTTTAACATTGTAATAAATCAATTAATTATTAGATTATGTGTATTGTGCAGAATATATAGAAGAATAATAAAGTTAAAGTTGGAGAATCTGAATTTGTAATTAGAGAAGAAGATGGAGGAAGCAAAAGAGAAAGGAAAGAATTAGACGAAATATGAATCTTTGGATGATGAAAATAATGATTAATCAAATGTATGAAAGGAGTGTATTAATAAATATTGTTATTAAATATTATTTTATATTTATTTTAATTTTTATTAAAACCAATATGGTCGACCTAATCAATCAAATCGATTTCAAAAGAGAGATTGCTAACCAGAATCAAACTGTACTATTGCCTCAAAATATCCAGGCCATCAAAGTACTTATTACATAATCAGAAATTATTGTAATTCTAGATTTAATTAATAGTTAGAACCTAATAGTAAAAGTCTTCCAATAGATACACGATTGATAGTCAATCGAAAAGACTTTCGCATTTCTGTTGAGGATCTAAAAAGTCGGAAACTACAAGAATCAGCTTAACTTTATTCTGCATTTTTGGGTTTCATTAACATAAAATAAGTGATATTTTTATTGATGGTGGATCGTTGTAGCCATCATCAATTGCATCCTCTATATAAAGATTTCTTTCACATTCATTCCACAAAATTTATAGCCTTAGACAATAGAGCAGCTTCTGTTACTGAAATCTAAGAAGCTGTCTCAAACTTGAAAAACTTACTCTCTAAAGGATTCTATTTCACTTATGAAAAATGTGATGATATTGACAGAGAAGAATTTATGTGGAATAGAGGACTTTGCAAATAACTCTATACTTAATAAATAAAGAATTGGGATGTTCTGATGATCTAAGGATTTATGGATAGTTTTTCTGTCTATTTAGAAGGTAAAAGAGTATAAGTTGCTTTGATTGCCAAAAGATCTTTAAAGGCTCCAGGGACAAGATTAGCACAAACTGGAGTGTAGAAGGATGGGAGTGTAGCTAACTTTGTTGAAACTACTTAGATAGTAGGAGTAGCCAATTTGAAATGTTAATTTAAATAAATAAGAGGGAGTGTTCCTGTATTTTGGAGAGAATCAGGAAATTTATTAATGAAGAAATTAGAATTGTATGGGACTGAATAAGAAAATCAAATTGCATTTATAAATCATTTTAATAAGTTGGTGTAAAATTATGAAAGAGTTTTAGCTGTGAATTTAATGAATAAAAATAAATAATCAGAACATGATTTAATCTAGGCATACGAATTAGGAATTCATCAATATTAACCTGATAGATTAAAATATATTTATTATAATTTTGATGAAATTACTCAAGGAGTTGATTTCCACATAATAAATCAAGACATTATGAAAATTGGTAATTTTATTAAGAATATGCAATTTGATGCCTATGATTTAATAACTAATTAAAGAAAGTTGAAATAAAGAGGAATTGTTAGGACCAATTGCTTAGCATGCTTAGACAGAACCAATGTCTATTAATAGAGAGTTGGGCTATTAATGTTAGAATATCAATTGAAATGTATGGGATTAGATTTAGAAAGAATTTTGGGTTACAAAGTCTTGGAAATCAACGAGAACAATACTAAATTCTTAAATCCAATTATTTTATTATTTAAACAAATGTGGGGAGATCATGGAGATTACATAAGTTATCATTATACTGGAACTGGATCATTACATACTAATTAAGATAGAGGTTAATAATCATTTTTGGCTATTTTGGGTAGTGGAATGGTACCTTTGAGTAGATTTTATAGAAATAATTTTAGTGAACATTTAAGATAGGAAAGCATTCTAACATTGTTAGGAAACTCCACATAAGATAAAATATATATTGACAATGACTAGTCTTATTTACCATTCACTACCTTAGTGGCAAATGATCTTTCAAAGATTGGATATGCAAATCTATATTATATTAGCTACAAATTAAGTGAGGACTAATCTAAATATACTATTTATGCCATGAATGAAGATTAAAATATATAAATTCAATGTTTCATTGAAAGTGGTAAAAAATACAATGAAGTTATTAAAATGCATAATGAATTAGATAGCAAATTTAGAACTGGACTTAAAATTAAGAATATTGATAATAAACGCTGTTTAATAGTTGAATTAGGCACTATCAATTTTTATTAACTAGCTTAAAATGAGTTAGTTGCGTTTTCTGAATATCATCTTGTTCAAATATTATTAGAAATGGCTCAATAAATCAAACTCTATAAATCCTAAGGTTTATACCTAAATGGACTCACAGCAAAAAGCGTTTGGTTCTAATTTATCAATTAGAATCAATATAAATTATATTTTGATATTACCACTTATATTCCAACTGCATTTGCTTAGTACCCTACAACTATAAAACCTGATTATATGGACCCAATCATTATATAAAAAATTGATTAATAAGAGTAGGCATTAGAAAGACAAGAAAATATTGAAAATACAAATGATTTGATCACACAACATATTAACACCTTTACAGAGGAGCAAGTTGAATAAGCCCAGATCTGGATTTTGGCTAGAATAATCTATGTTATTCTATACTACCCTTAGCCTAGTCAAACTAACAGCATTGATATCATGTTACCAAATTTAAACTAAATGATTGAGTTAAAAAAGCTTGCTTCTTTGGCTCAATTACTAAAGCGAATGTTCAGATAAGACCTCCTATCTCCTATCCTTGATATTGATTAACTGATTGAAGAAGTGCAGAATATCAAGAAACAATTAGGTAATCAGTCTTCTTTGATAATTCCGGATAAGCCCTTCAAATAAACATAATTTTAAGAAAAACAACTCAAATCCTTAGTTGATTTATGTAAACATTTCAGATGTTATGAGTAAGGATTACAAATCATTATTTAATTGTAAAAATTATTATAGGATGCTTAATTAGAGGATAAGGTGTAATTAGTTTCAGATCACTTGTTTTTTTTGATTTATTTGGGCAACATTGAAGAAGCTTTTGAAACAATGCTTGAATTTCAAGAACTTTTGGATCAGTGCAATCAAGCAGAAATACCTGATTTAAAGTAAACAATTATTGATACAAATTTATTGTTTTTGAAACTCTTTTAAGAAGTACAAGTTAAATTTATACATAGTTTTAATAATTGAATTTTACAAGTTCTTAATTAAAAGAAATTCTCCTAGAGGATCCCCCTTAAAATATGGTTCATCCTTTAAGATCAATCTTGTATTTAATATGGAGTGAGATTACTATTGAAGAAGATGTTCAACTTAATTATGCTCTTAAAGCTTTAGAATTTTATAGTAGTTCCAAAGTACAACATGAGTATCTGAAGATTTTGATTCACATTTAAATAATCAAGGGATACATTAAGAAGCAACAAAGTTAGAAGGCTTAGGAACACATTTAGAAAGCTTTAAATATTATAATCGGAGACACTCTAGAGAAATGCAAATTATATATTGAATTAGCTAAAATAATGTTGGAATTATAAGAAGTTAAATAAGCAAAAGAATTGTAACACTTATTACTTAAATAGATATGAAAAAGCTATCAAGTCAGGAACTAAAGTGTATAAGAATGACAAAAATCCAGTTTTATTAGAGTGGCAATCAACTTTGGCCTAAATTAAGTAGTGAAATTTAATAATATTTATATATAATATCTATTATTTAATATTTTAGTTATAAATGAACCAAAATCGCGAAACCACCCGTAATTAGTCTTATCGATAAAAAAAGTAATATTTTTATAGTATTATAACATAGAAACGATACTCGTTCTCATGCACCTACCTTTGAAAATCTTTAGGCAAGAATAAGGGATTTTTCTTATAATAGACTATATAATGCTGTGTCAAATTAAAAAAGAAGTGAATCTACACACTCCCAGATTTAACATCAAGACTTGTAGTAGATGTATCTTATTCTTTTATTAAAGAATTAAAAATATACTAGACAATGGAGCGAAATCATATAGCAGTGGATTCAAATTGAGTGATATCCCTTATTCTCCTTAGTTACAATCTACAAATCAATTATTTTAATCGCCTAAATAGTTTGAATCTAGTAATCAGAAGCAATCTGTGAAAAAGCATGAAGACAAACTTGAAATATTTGGATTGCATTCAGATAAACGTAAGAGAAAGGATGATCAAAATAACAAAAATGATTAATTTTCAATTGAATACGCTAAATTAAAAAAATAATAGGAACCAATTTCTAATGCAAGTAGAAATTAATTACCAGATTTAGTCAGAATAGCTCAATAAACATCAACCGATTACAAAACAAGTATAAATATCAAATAAGTAGTATAATAAGACGATTTGAGATACTAGAATGTAATTGATACGGATTAAAGTAAAGAGTATGGCTCTAAATATTTGGAATTGTAGCAAAAATTAAAAAAGTCTAATGATTAATGTAATGAGTTAAAAATAGAAAACAAAAATCTTAATATTCAAGTAAAGGATTTATAAAAGAAACTATAGACTTTTAAAGAATACCAAAAGGATTAGGATCAAGAATTGTAATATTTATAATAATAAATTGAAAAATTTAACGATATTAATATTGATTTGAGGAATTAAAATAATGAATTATTGTAAGAAATGCAAGAATTAAAACAATTTAACACTACTCAAAAACATAATATTTAATTAAATGAATTAAATCTTTCAAATAAAATAAAAAATTTAGAAAGTGAGAAATCAAAATTAAAAGATGATTACTAAAAAGCATAAATTGTACTTTCTAGAATAAGAGAGGAATCAGATGAAAAACTTTATGATTTATAAAAATAAATCCACACCTTAAAAGATTAAATTTAACAGTAATCAAATTAATCAAGTTAATATTAATAAGAAATTAAAGATCTAACAACTTAACTAAATTAGTTAACCTAAGAAAAGTAAGATTAATTTGATAATTTCTTATAAATTAAATAGACTTTATTAAATTAGATTGATACATAATTTTAAGATCATAATGCATAATTAGATGTTTAAAAACAATATGAACAGCTGAAGTAAGAATATCAATCATTAAAAAAAGTAAATAAAAAGATTTAAGAAGATACAGATAAAGAAAAGGAAATCATATAAAAATAAAATGAAAACCTAACCTCTCAAATAGTTTAGCTATTATAAAAATCTGAGGAAAATTAAAATCGAATTATGGAATTAGAAAGTTATTTACAATAGTAATAATTATCTACTTAAGCATCATAAACACCTTAAAATGTATATCAAGAATAATAATAATAACATCTATTGAATTTAGAAAATTAATTGAGTGAGAAGAAAAACATCATAGATTAATTGAATTAATAAAACTCTTTGATTCACTTATAATTAGAAGAGGCTAATTATTTAAATTCTGAATTGCAAAAGAATTTGTTATACTATTAGGATTAATATTCAATTTTGATAGAAGAAAAACAAGGTCTCACTATACAGATAGATGAATTGGGAAAAGCAAAAGATTTGCTTGAAAAATAAATGGCTTTAAAAGATTCTTAAATAAATTAGTTATAAGAATATGTAAATGAATAGAAGTAAGAGTTTGAATAAATTCAAGATGATTTATATATATAAATTGATAAAGAAAAATAGTTGTATAATAATCAAATTAATTAATTAGAAAATTAGTTGTCAAATTTCTAAACTGAAATAGAGAGATTAAAAGAATAAATAAATAATTAAAAAGACTTAATAGACAATTTAAATGATTAAATCAAAAAATAGAATAATTTGATTTAAACTTTAAATGAAGATGTTGATAATAATTTATAAAATAATAACAATTTGAATGATTAATTAAATGATTTTGAAAGCTAAAACGAATTACTCAATACTAAAATTGATACTCTAATTGGCGATTTGAAGGTTAAAGAAGATGACTACAATTAAATTAATGAATAATTTAGATAATTATAAATTTAGCATTTGTAATTGAATGAGTAATTGTAAGAAGCATTAGATAGTCTATAATAGGGAAATCAATCATCATAGATGGTTAAATAGCAATTAGATGTATCAAATCAATAACTTGATCAATTGCAAATTTAATTATAGAATACAGAGGATGTTTTATTTGGAAAAAGTGAACAACTTAATTGGGCAAAGTCAGACTCTGATTAATTAAAGAAAGAAAATTTATAATTATAGCAAGAAATTATATATGCGAATGATCAATTCAATGAGCTTTAGTATAAAATCGATACACTGAAAAATGAAAATTTAACTCTAAAGAAAGATTTACAAATAAATGAATTACAACTAAACAAAGAAAGATAGGTAAATTAGGAGTGCAACAGCAAAATAGAGGATTTATAAAACCAGAATTAAATATTAATTGAAGAAAGCGACAATCTACAAGACGAAATTCTTAAAACGAATGAAAGAATCAAGACTTTAGATTAATTGTTAGAAAATCAAAATAAATCCTATTCATTATTATAAAATTGTTTGGATAATCTTAAATTGAAAAATGAAGAATTATAATAATAAAATGAGAATATATTTTTAGAAAAATAAAGTTAAAAAGATGAATATTAATAATTTCTCTATTAAGACAATAAATTAATTTAAGTTTACTTAAATAAATACAAAAGTTTTTAATCTAAAAAATAACATGATTAAAGTCAATAACTCGAGGAAGAAGCATATGATGAAGAAATAGATTAAGAAGCTGATAATGTAAATTTAATATAAGTTGATTTAAATCAATAACAACAACTTTTATAAAATGGGATACAAAATTTAATTGGCATCATCAAATTCTAATAAGATAAAATCTTAAACCTCAAGGCTGAATAAAATTTGAATAATTAATAAAAATAATTTGAATAAAAAGAGCAAGAATCTTAAACTTGTGAAAAGCAAATTCAGAATTAAAAAAATGATAATTTATTAGATATTTATGATTAAATCAATTCATCAGCCAATGAGATTAAAGTATAATAAAATAATGAAAATGTCTCAGAATTACAAAATGGAAATTTAATTGAGGATGCTAAGTTGCCAAATAATTAGGAAGAATGGCTTAATGCAATAGAAAATTTAAGAGATCAAATTAAAAACTAAGAATAAGAAATTAATTAATTACTTTAAGATAATTAAGAATATTAAAGTAAGATAGAAGATCTTCAAAAGATTACTGAATCCTAAAGAAAAAACTAAATAGACCAAGATAATTGTAATAATTAATAAAAAGAAAAAATTGAATAAGATTAATAGAGAATTTTAGATTTTGAAAATATGTTGCTATAATTAAAATAAGAGCTCTAAGATAAGGCAAATTTAATTTAAAGCTAAGAATAACAAATTGAAGAACTGATATCATAAAAGTTAGATATCAATTCCAAATTAACTGATTAAATCTCATAAAATGAGGGATTAAGCGCTAAATTCCATCATTAATCGTAAGAATTATTAGATCTTTAGTAAAATTTACTACAGTTACGTTAAGAATAAGAAATTACAATATAAGGTTTAAATTAGCTAGAAAAAAAGAATTTAGAATCAGAACAGCGAATATTAGAACAGAAGTTAGAAGTGGAGAATCTTTAGGAAAAATTGTCAAATATAACATAAACTAAAAATATTCTAGAATCAAATTTAAATGAACTAAAAAATAGTGAAAAGGCTCAAAAATTAGAATTATTAAAACTAGAATCTAAACTTTAAGCTCTTCAAGAAGAAACCTAAACGCAAACGAATAGTTTAAAAGAGGAAAATATAAGAATGTAAGGCTTAAAAGACACTTTAGAAATGTAAATTCAAGATTTAAAATCAGAAAATATTGATCAACTTAAATAAATTTAATAGATAAATGAAAAATATAATTTAATAAATGAATAATTCACTTAATAATAGAAAAATTTAAGTTTGTTTGAATAAACAATCAATGAATAAAGAAATCAAATATAGAAAATTGATACATATAATGGATAATTATTAGAGAGTTAAAAATAATTAAAGTAAGAGTTTGATACATTAACAATAGAGCATGAATAGCAAATACTACTTTAGAATTAATTAGTAAGAGAAAAGGAGTAACAATTATCATAGATTAATTAGTAATTTTAAAAAGAAATAGATATATTAAAGATTCAAAATTAAGATTTATCTTAATAGAATTACAAATTGGAATAGAAAATTAAAGAATCATAACTCATTAATGATCAATTGATTGATTAATAAAATATAAACTTAAAAGTCCAAGAAAATGAATTAAAGCAATTATATTTTCAGGAATAACAAAAAAATTTTAAACTTGATATAAAAATAAATGAAGCCTCTCATAAAATAGAATCACTTTAATAGCTGAATGAATAGCGAGAAGAAAAAATTTAGGATTTATAATAATAACTAAATGTATTGGAAGAACAGAATGTAGATTTACATAAGGTTAATAATGAATTAGCTTAAAATAATCATATTTAAGAATAGAAGTTATAAAAACTAAAATAAAAAAGTGAAAATTAACTATAAAAATTTACAGATCTAGCAAATGGATAAGAATTAAATTTGTAAAAATTAAATAATCCAACTTAGCAATTAAATTTATTGCAATAGAAATTTTAATAATTGGAAATTACACTTTTAAGATTTCTACCAAAATTAAAATAAAAAATATTATCATAATAAGATTTACTAAGTTAGTTAAAAATCACTATAAATTAACACAAAAATAATATTGATGATTTAAATCAATAATTATTAAAAGAATATGATAAATCAAATTAATTTAATGATTAGCTACTGTAAAATTAAGAATTAATCTCAAAATTATAAAATCTAATTGAAGAATTAGAAATTGAAAAATAGTAGAATATAGCTAAACTAGAAAAATAAGCTGATGTAATTGAATAAATGAGGGCTGAAAATGCACTGTTATCACAATAAAAATAGGAGCATGAAAATAAATTAAAATAACTTTAATCAGACTTTTTAGATTAATAATCATAATGGAACTCTGAAATCCAATAAAAAATATAAGAGAATTAAACAACAAAGAATGAAAATGAAATTTTAAATCAGGAATTAACAAAAAAAAATGAATAAATTTCAAGTTTGAGTAAAGAAGTTGAATAATAATAAAGTATTACTAGGTGCGAATAAGAAATATTAATTTCAAAATATCAATAAGAATTAAAAATAATTGAAGCTAAAATCTCAGAGTAACAAAATAATTTCTCGAATAATATATTAAAAAGGCTATTAGATATTACTGAAAAGTAGAATTACTATTAAGAAAAATAAACTCTTCGTCTTAATTTTATATAGAAGAAATTTAGCAAAGAGTAGGAAGTAAACAACAAGTTAAACATTGAATTAAATTAAATTTAGATGGAAATGAAATAATTGATAGAGAGAAGTTTAGTTTAATCAAGTTCACTTAATTAAGAAATTTAGATGTTGCAAGATGACCTTAAAATTGAGAGAGAAGCCAATGTTTATTTAAATTCATTAATTGTCCAAATGAAACAATAGGTTATTGAACTTAACAATTCTATTAACTAAAAGGATTAAGAAATAGAATCTTTAAAACAAATAAATGATAAATTAAATGACCAATAAATAATTGAAAAATAAGAGTTATTAAATAATTTTAAAAATATTCAAGAATCCAATTCTTAGTCTAAACAGTAGATTTAATAGTTATAAGATCAAATTAATAACATTAATGAAATTCTTTTAGTTAAGGATTAGGAAATTAAAGATTTAAAATACACTTTATCAGACTAAGAAAAAGAGATTAGTTAAAGAGCTTAAGTATATGAAATTAAAAATGCTGAGTTATAAAATATAAAAGAGGAAAGTCTCAAAAATCAAAAGTGCAAGGATAAAGAAATTTTACACCTATAGTAAAATTTAGAATAATAAAAAATAAATTATGAAAGAGAATCTTTAGTTCTACAGAGGAATCTGGAATAGCTATAGATAAATCTGAAATAAAAGGAGGAAGAAATATCAAAAATTAATTCAGCTAATTATGAATTATAAGTGAGTAATAAGGAATTATAAGATTAAAATAAGAAACTAAAGGTTGAATTAATACAACAAGAACAGAATTTAAATTTGAGGATTACTAATACAGAAGTAATTATTGAACAAAAGGATAATGAAATTTAATTAAAATAAAATGAATTTAATGTTTTAAAATAATCGATTAATACTTATGAAGAAAGATATAATTGTGATTAATAAATTATATAAAAATAATTGTTTGAATTAGAAAATTTGCAAAATCAAATTGAAGATTTAAAAAAAGAAGAAGAATTTACAAAATTGGAATTTCAATAACAACTGAAATTTGCAAGTTTAGAATTATAAAAATAAAACATTGATTAATTTGATGAGATATCTCTATTAAATAATGATATTGAGAAAAAAGAGGGCATTGATGAAAATAAATAGAATTCAGAGGATGTAGACTAATATATAGATCTAATGTCCCAAAGATAAAGATAGACTAATGAAGTAGATTAAGAATTATTAAACGAAGAAAGGGTTCTTTTATAGAAATTGAGAGAAGAAAATAACATTTAAAGAAAATAACTAGCAGATTAAGATAAAGAATTATTTATAAATAATTAAAGGATTCTTGATCATGAACAAACAATATTGAATCTACAATCGGAATTATAAGCAAGAAATAATAATAATGAATAACTAAGGCCTTTAGGTAATGAAATAAATTAATATGAAGGACAAATAGATTAGGATTCAGAATAATAGTAATTTGAATAAAAACAATATTAACGAAAAGATAGGAATTTAGAAATTTAATAAATACCAAAATTAAGGGAAGAAAATGAAATTTTAAAAAGAAATTTATAAGATTTATAAGAAGAATTAAAAGTAAATAATTAGAAATTAGATGATCATTTACAAACCATTGATAATTAACAAACTGAACTATATAAAATGAAAGAAAAACTTGAGAATTTTGAAAATAAGCATATGGATAATCAAGTATCATAAGTGAGTAATAGATCAAAGTTAAGTTAAGAATAAATTCGCTTTGAGCAATTAGACGACATTGATGTTGAAGATTAAGATGTAGCTGATGATGATTCATTTGAATAAAAAGAGAATATAATTTAATAACATTAATTAAATTAAAATCAATACGAATAAACAAATACAATAAATGAATTACAAGAAGAGATTAAATAATTAAAAGAATAAATTAAGTATACCAATTTTAAATATATTTAAGATTTCTTTAAGATTTAATTAATAGAGGAAGCGCGCCAAGTCCAATTTATAATAGAGAATCTGATCCAAATTCATCCTCAAAAATAGCATAAGAAACAGAAAAACATAGATAAGATTTATAAAATCAACTGTATGAGAAAGATTTGACATTCACTCATAATAAATCGAAAAATTAAGTTCTTTTAGAATTTAACCAAGATGAAGAGATTCAAGCAGGAGATGATTTAGCTGAAGACATCATGTAAGAACAGAAGGCTAAAAGTGATTTGGCAAATGATATACAGAATGAAATAAAATATCTAACCAATGAAAACAATAAAAAAAATACTAAAATTAGTACTTTGGAGAAAGAGAAAAAGTATAAATAATCAAATTAATTTTAATAGAGACAGTTCAATACAAATAGTTTAGTTATAGGAATAAAAATAAAAGTTAGAGTAAATGACTTTCAATTTATAATCTGCAATTGCAGAATTAGAAAGGTAGACTATTATTACTATTAAAATTTAGTTAAAATAAAGAATTATAAATTTAGATTTAATAATAAAAGATTGTTGCTGAAGAAGCTTCTTAAAAATTATTGCAATAATTCCAATAACAAAAGAATGATTAAGCTTAAGAATTAAACACTTTTTAAAACTAGTATGAACAATTAAAAGGATTAAATCAAAAATTCTTCTAAGCTATATTAAATAAGTAACATGAAATATATGTTTATTGTAGAACTCCTGAGGTTGCAGAATATTTCCTAGGTATTATTTTGAGTATGATTGAAATGACAGATAAATAAGCAATTTGTTAAGAATTGTTTGTCAAATCTGATGAAAAGAAAGATAAAAAAACTAAAAGCAAGAGCAAGGGAATAAAAGGATGGCTTGATAAATTTTGAATTAATTATAATTTTGAAATTAAACTCTTGATTTATTCTATAATTTTCACAATAATCATCCAGATTGATCAAATTTCTAGTATAACAAAGCAACCAAAGTTTGAATAATTTCACAAATAGTCGCACCATTTTTTTTTACTTACCTAAAACATGTATGTTCATTCAATTCATTCAACATTTTTGTTTTTTGATACTATTTCATTCACTTTGCTCCATAATTTTCTCTGCATATTAAATATAATATTTATGTTTATATTAAGTAATTTAGTATATCATAATTTCTTCAAATAATATTATTAAACGAATTCAAATATACAAGTAATAACATAAATCAAAAAGATCAATTTCATATAAATTTAAGTTCTTCCAAAATTTCTTTTAGAATTGAAATTTCTATAGGTTTGGGTAAATGTAAATCTGCCCCAATTTCTAAAGACCTTTTAAGATCACTTTCTCCCTAGAAACCCGACAACATGCAAATCTTTGACCTTACAAATTAGTTACTTTATTCGAACTGCCTAATCAATTTTGTAGCTTCGAATCCATTTAATTCAGGCATTTCGATATCCATAAATATAATATCAAACCTTGTGTCCTAGACTTTCTTTAATGCTTCCTTACCATTAAAAGCTTCGTGAATATCGCATTGAATAAACCTCTTTAATAATTCTCTTAAAGCGTATATATTAAAAGTTGTGTCATCTACTATAAGAATTTTAACTTTTTAATATAAATTTGTTGATGCGTTGATTGCTGTTGGATATTTTTTTTTTTGTCTTTTGATTAAAGGAAATGGAGTTGGATGATCTGGAGCAGGATCACTTTCAGGAATTCCATTATCCGTTTATATAGTGTTAGTGAAGTTGCATTCTTTCTGTTTGGCGTTCATATATATCGAGAAACTGAAATTTGATCCTTAGTTTTCCACTGAACTCATCTCTATAAATTCTCTTGGACCTAATAAGCCGACTAGATTTCTGGATATTACCAATCCCAATCCTACTCCTTATGAGTTTTAATTTCCTAAATTAAAAGTTGAGTAGGCTTTGAATAACTTAGTCTGAATCTGTGTAGGTATTCCTATTCCAGTATCTTATACAGAGAAATAAATTAACTGTTGATTAAAACTATTTACTTTGTTTATTTTCAAAGTAATTTGTCCATTAGAAGTAAATTTAATTGCATTAGATATCAAATTAAATAAGATTTGTTATAACCTAACTTGATCTGAATACATGATGATCTTTTCACTTAGTCCCAAAACGTTGAATTATAAATGTTTTAGATCCATTTATCTTTTGAACATGTTCTTAATTTATTATATACATGCTGAAAGATCAAATTAGGTATAATTTAATCTTAATCCTTATTTTTTTAATTATGAATAATCAATTAAATCATTGATCATTGTTAATAAGATTTATTAATTTGAAATCATATGATCTATTTAAATGACAATTTCTAAAATATTAATTAATTATAATAATACCCTAAATATCATTTCTAACCAAAAGTTGTTTATTTTCCATCATTGATTTAATTAAATGAGTGAGAATATTGAGGCCGTTGAGAGGAGTTTTGAGATCATGAGAAACAGCAGCTAATAAGTTATCTTTATAATTGTCCAATTCTTGTAGGTGCTTTATCCTTAAGACTCGATCAGTAGTATCATTTAAAATTAGCATAATACATTATTTTCCATCCCATAAACACCCTTGGGCTTAGGCATCATAGTAATGAACTTTAGATGATTTAACCTCCTAAATAATTTTCTTTTATACTAATCTTTGGCACTGCATTTTTTTACATGTTGGCATTATTTAATAATCAAAAGAATTAATTGTATTAAACCGCATCTCAGTTTGAAAAGCAGATTGCAAACCTGAAATTTTATCCAAAAGCTTGTTCTTTTCGCTTTGTAAAATAGAATCTTCTGAATTTAAAATTTCTATTTCAGCTAATCTTTCAGTTAAAATGTTCTCTTGTGCTGTTTCAAAATGAATAGACGCGCTCTTATTGAAGTAACTCACATTCATAAATTTGCTTTCCTATGTATATAATTTTTCTTTATGTGAATCTACTGAATTTAATTATTCAATTTTATTAACTCCTTCTTAGTATAAATTCTCTTCCAAAATTATAATTGAAGTTGGGACGGTTTCATCATACAGTTTTTTGCATGCTTCTAGATTCTTATGAGACTTATGTATTAACAAAAAATTCAATCTATTTGTTTTCTCATTCTATCTTAATAAATAACACGTAAAAATAAGAAGGAGATATTATGTCCATAATCGATAATTTAAAAATTAAGTAAAAATCCCCATTAAAATCAGGAAGAAACTTATCATTGTTAAACTCTGCATAATGTAGTTTGACTAAATTAAAAAAAAACTCATTGCAAATAATCCTTATTGCAAGCCTGATATTAAAGAAAGGCTCATAACATCCTCTATTTTTGTTTAAGCAGTATTCACAAATTTCGTAAAAAAAGCAAACAACAACACGCTGATCACACTATTGATAAAAATAAGTATATTTGTGGTGATATTCCAATATTTCCTTGAAAATTTCTATAAATATAAGCATATGAACATCCATCCTATAAAAATTATTCTATATTTCACAATATCTGTCGAATTATACACAACGGCCGAGTTTATGATAAATCCGATGTTTATCAATATCTATAATAAAGTAGATATCCTGAATTACACAATTACTTTAGCCATTTGTCTATTTTAATAAGACTATTCTAATTCTTCAGATAGAAATTAAAGAGTTAAATTATTTAAAGATTCCTCATATTTGTAGAGTTCTTGTATTTAAACCTGAAGAAAGAATTCTTGAAAACATTGTTTAAATAATTTCATGAGATTTAATAAATAATTAATATAAAATAAATCATATATGATATTTTGCTTTGTGAATTAACTCAAGGATTAAGCTATTTAAATAAGATGATTTTAGCTAATTTCAAATTTAAATAGGACATAATATCCTAATCCTTGAAGAGTTTCCAAATTGGATATTTATTTGATAATGAGATGAAAATTCCATACTTATAGTAAATATTCAAAATTATTACAATTATAAAAAATTATTCTTCTCTTTTAATAAATTTACCCTTGATTTGTGAAGAAATTTTTAATATATAAAACTTTATTATTCGTATATAAATTGCTAATTAAACAACATTCGCTTTATTATGCAACTTTTTAAGAAAATACTTAATGAGAATTATAATTTAACTTAGAGGTTTGAAAATTGATTGGAAATTTTCTAAAATTAGAAAACTTCTAGTTTTAATAAATTTATGGGTTTATCTATTTATTATTATTTGAGAAGAAATTATTATTGTTATAAATATATGTAAATAGTAAATATTTTATTAGTTCTAAGTGTTATTAACTGAAGAAAATAAATGTTACTTAGGTTTTTAAATCAAATACTTACCAGAAAAGTCCTCTTTTATCATCATTATTGGAAATTAAGAAAAATTTTATCTTAAGCTCTTTTTTTAAGATATTTCTATTTCTAGAATAAAAATTATTTTTTTTAAAATAAATAAAAAAAATAACACCTAATTTTTTCATCTTGGTTTATTTTTCTACAATTTTTCTTGTTCTTGTTAATTTATAGATTTCATTGATAAATTAAATATATAATTGTAATTTTAAGTCCATTGTCCCTTATTTGAAATACATTCAAAATTTCATTACAAAACTTTTTAATAATATTTCTATATACAATGAATAAATTATAATTTGAACTATGACTTATTTTGGACATTATTTCTTGTAAAAAAGGTATTTTATGTTAAAATTAAAAAATTTATTATCAAATAAATAATAGACTTCCTCCTCAATGTAAGTCTCATGAAAAACACATATCAAGTTGTAATTCTTTCAAGATACTATAGCCTAAATCTTTTGTAAGTTTCTAGAATAGGATTAGTGTGATAATTTTTATAAAACCACTCAGATAATAATTATTATTGTATAAATATATATATAATATAAAAAAAATAACTGATGGATTGGAGAAACAAATTGGATTTAATATAGAATAAGATTAGAGGATAATTACATGCTCGCAAAATAGATGACTTGGAAGGAGTGTATTAACTAATGGCAGAATTTGATAGAGATAACTCTGGTATTTTATGTTGTAAATAAAGGGTATTTGGATAAGGATGAGTTTCAAAAGTTCTTATCTAAGATAGGTGTATTTCTAACAACTTAAGAATTGAGAGCAGTGTATGATAAATATGACTAAAATAAAGATGGAAATATTGCATATGCAGAGTTTGTGAATTTAATTAGAGAAAATATGAGCGAGAAGAGAATAAACGTTGTTAGAAGCACTTTTTCATTTTTGGATTAATCCAGATAGGGAAGATTATAATTAGAAAGTCTTTATAGACTTTATCAGGCTAAAAATCATCCTAGAGTAAGAACAAGATAGAAGACATCTGAATAAATCACAAAGGAATTTGTGAATGCAATTTCAAAACGTAGTAAAGATGGTCAAAGTATAAATGAAGAGGAATTCTTAAATTATTATGCTGATTGTAATGCTACTCTTCCAAGTGAGAAGGAAGAGTACTTCACAGATGTATCTATAAATGAATAATATTTGATAGTTATTAACATCCACTTGGGGAGTGACATCTGGTGCTGATTATGTATCTCCAGAGAGATTAGCTCAATTGGAAATTATTTTATTTGAAAAAATCAGACAAAAGACAGTCACCAAAGATGATGAAGGAAAGACAGCCAAAAAAGCCTTTATGTACTTTGATTTGGAAAACAAAGGGACAATAGATATATATTAGTTTGCATAAGCATTATAAAAGTTTGGTTGTGTTTTCAGCGAAAAAGAGATTTAAGCATTATTTAATAAATACGACGCTGATAAGAGTGGAAGATTATGCTATGATGAAATCTGTGGATTGATAGCATTAATGGGATCAGGAAATAATGCAAATGTCAATCCTGTATTTTAGATTGCCAGGGCTCCTCCTTAAGATACTTTGAATAGAATTAGAAATGATCTAATAAAAAAAGGATAGCATTCTGTCATAAGAATGGCAACTATTTTTACGAATTCTGATAAAAATAAGAATGGAACATTGAATAGATAAGAATTTCAATGGGCTATGAAAGAATCTGGACTGTTATTAACCAAAACAGAGTATGATAATTTGTTTAGATATTTTGATAAAAATTGTGATGATGAGGTTTCCTTTGTTGAATTCATTGCTTTTGTAAGAAGTAATTATATATATATTATCCTTAAAAGAACCACTTTCTTAATATAGATTGGATTTGGCAAATTAACTTTGGAATAGAATTTCAAACGGCGAATCTTAAATCAGCTCTTAATTACTTAAATGTAAGTATCTATTTAAATCAAGAATATTATGATTCATCAAAGAGTCATGATGTAAACACAAATATTAAGACAGTAGCTGATGCCAACAAGGATTTTCATGACATATGGAAAGATATTTAAGTTGTTAATCAATAGCATTTCATAGAATATTTAACAGATATTAGTGCACTTATTGACAATGACTAAGCTTTTGAGAAGTTTATAAGATATGCATGGAAATGAATACCATATAATATAATAAACAATAATTTAATTTATATAATGGAAGAGAGTATTTACAATATTCTTCCTAAATACAGTATTCCAACTAAACACTCCATTCTATACAAATATCCTTTTCCAGCCATTATCCCTCCTTCTTACAGCTCTTTTGATAACCATTCTAATGTAATCGATGTATCAAAGTCTATTAAATGAGATTAAAAATATTAGTGGGTCCTACTATGTTTAAAAAGGTCGTTATGACATAGAAAATGGTATTATTGGCAAAACTAAAACATGTTTTAATATTCTTTTATTCATAGAATAACTTTCTCCTATCAAACATAAAATAATGGGCACAAATAAATTAGAAGACTGGATTCAAAAAGGATCATTATTATTAGATATTAACCATTCCCATAGACAAAAAGTAAAACCATAAGTACCTAAATCAGCAGAACGACCACTAATGTATGAACATAAATAACAGAACTATATCGAAACTAATAAAATTTATACAATCCTGACAAGTTCTTTATCAGTTAATTTATAGCACCAAGGCAACCTTAAAAATAAACAGATTGGTTAAAAAAAGGAACATACGGAAAAGTCCCTCCATATTTGAGCAAAATCAAATAGAGAATATACTAATCATTTATGCAATAATAAGAAGATTATGCCAATTAGAATACCCATTTGTAACTTGAATCATTATTAAAGAAAACTATTATCAGAATCAGAATTGCAATAAATTAGATAAGGACTTAAATAGAAATACGATTTGATAAATTTCGAATACTAGAAACACTCTCATTAAAGGAAATTTGATGTTATTAGTTTAAGAAGAAGATAAGAATAATATGAGAGGGAACTAGATCAATTAGAAAAAGATATGGAAAAAGTAAATAAGACTTATGTTTATGTTATAAAATGATTAAAATAAAATTTATTATCTTAACATTAAATTTGAGATAATTTTTTATTTCAAAAGTGTTAATTAATGTTTAATTGGTCTAAGTTGTCTATTCCTAAAAATGACGATACTTCTAGAAACTTTTATCCATTAAAATTGTATATAAATATTTAGAGTCACATCAAATGATTTCAATAAAGATTTGGCTATCATTTAATAACAAATACTTTTATCTATTTTAATGAATAGACAAAATTCAGTGAATGTTACTTATAAATCTAATCTGAATGTTAACTTGAGAAAGTTAGCATAAAAGAATAATTCATAAGGATTTCTTGTTAGTTTTCAGCTTCTTTCTAAGGTTAAATTTAATCAAAACAAAAACAAAAAGTACTACTGAAACAATAATTTAAAACCACTATTTAAGGATAAGTTAAACTGGATTTTAAACAAGTAATCTTAAAAAGACATTTTTCTTTTTAAGACTAAATGTAATTTGATAAATTAATAATTGATTCCAATACGAATTATAACCAATAAGTTTGACAGGTAACAGAGAAGATAAAAAATTAAAAATAGGAACAACATATAAAATTTGGAAGCATAATGAAGGAAAAAGATATAATAATCAATTAGAATAAGAATGAAAATTTAATAGTTGTAATATAAATATAAACGTAAGGTAGATTTAATTTCAATTAAACATTTTTATTCCCATCATCTTTGTTAGGTACAGAATATCTTTAGACTTTGGCCTGATAATGTTTTTGTTCTGACATATAAGAAGTCACATATCGACTATTAATAATAATGTATAAATGATTAGTAAATGAACCAATAAGTAAAATATACTATAAATGTTTTATAACGGGTTTAGCTATGCAGATCTCTAGATAATAAGATGCATAACTTTGAATATAATACATCATATATATAAATAATTAACTGAATATGGGAAGTTGCTAGGTTAATTGCTGCGCCAATAAAGCTGGTGAGATAGTATCCAAGGACACTAAAAAGAATGAGGTTGATTTAGATGATCCTGACCAAAATGACTATGATGACAAAGAAAACAGTGTGTCATCTGTTCATTAATAATAATAATAGGTTTAGGAAACTCCAAGACAAAATAATAAGGAAAGAGAAAAGTTTTAAGTTGATAATGAAAGCATGTCTATGAAAAAAAATTTGGAACCCTAATCTGTCAAAGAGGTAAGCATAACTTATCTAAATTGCACTGAAAGACAAAAGTTTGATCCAATCTAATTGGATAAAGGAGCCATCTATGAGGGAGAATGGTTGTTAGGAAAGAGGGATGGAAATGGCAAATAATAGTGGCCAGATGGTTCATGTTACGAAGGATAGTGGAAGGATGATAAAAGTTGTGGTTGGGGTAAATTGATTCATGCAGATGGAGATGTATATGAAGGAGAATGGTAAAATGATAAAGCAAATGGCAAAGGAGTATATGTTCATATTAATGGGGCTAGATATGAGGGAGATGTATAAAATAATTCAATTAATTAGTGGGTTGATGATAGATAAGATGGTATAGGAATTGAAGTTTGGCCTGATGGAGCAAAATATGAGGGAGAATATAGAACAGGTAAGAAAAATGGTAAGGGGATTCTACTATTTGCTGATGGTTCTAGATATGAAGGCACTTTTGTTGATAATGAAATTGACGGATAAGGAACGTATTAATGGCCAGATTAAAGAGTTTACACAGGATAATGGAGAAGAAATAAAATGCATGGTCATGGATAAGTAACTTGGCCAGATGGCAGAAAATATATAGGAGTATCCATTTCTACTTATCTTTTAGGAATATTTTGAAGATAAGAAACATGGTAGAGGTTCGTTTGAATGGGGAGACGGAAGAAAGTATGAAGGAATTTGGGTTAATGGTATTTTTATATTAATTTTATTAAGGCAAATAATAAGGAATTGGTGTTTATTATATGTCTAATGGAGAAAAGAAGTATGGGGAGTGGAAGGATGGAATTAAAAAAAGATGGTTAGAGGCAGAAGAAATAGAATAATATCTTTAATTGAATGCTTAGAATCAAAAATAACAATGAATGACTCATATAGTTAAACTTATTAGATTTTTACTCATTATACTCCTTCATCTTCTTCTGTTGAGTCCTCCACATTTTATTATATTTGAGGTTCTTGTTCCTCCTCTACTTCCTCTTCCTCTCCATCTTATTCATCTTCATCAAAATTAAAGAAGTTCTCATCCAATCCCAATTATGGTAATTTCTCTTTAAACAATTATTTGATTTCTAACAACTGCTTCTTTATTTTAGCGTTTTCATTCAATATCAATTCTTTTTCTTTCTATTATTATTATATTAACTCTTTGAATTTTCCTATCAAAATCTCTTTCTTATTTATTTCTGCAGATAAATCTTTTTCTTATTTTATCAAATTTTGTAATAATTGTTCTTTGTCATTCAATTATTGTTTCTATTGATCAACTTTTTAAATTAATTAACTATCAATAATATATATAGTATTTATACTTCTTTTATCCTTCCAATTGATCTTTTAATTATTTCATCATTTCATTAATCTAATCCTCCTATTTAGATTATTATTTTATTTCTGTTATAGTACTCTCACTTTTTTAGACTTTCTCTTCAAATATGGCAATCTTATCACCATATTCTTTTTCTAAAATTTCAAATTACTTTTTCCATTTGTTTTCTTACAAATTCAAAACCTATTCAAATTATTTAATCTCTAATTCTATTTTTGATAACTCTTGCTGCTATTCTTAGTGTTCCTACGAGTTAATTACTACTTAATTTTATTAAGTTTAATATATTATCTAGGAATCCCCTGTCTATATCTATGAATATTAATTATATTGTCTCATTTCTTAATATAAAACATCTATACATGTTAAAGAGCATATTTCTGTCTTGTGATTCTGATTCTAGTTATGAACTTCTTCATCACAGGTATAACAAAATTTAGCTTAGCAATTCTAACAGTAAACTGTTCCTGGTCTTTTTGAACATTAATCACAGTATTTGAATAATTTTTTCATTAATAAAATTTATATATGAAAATCAAAGAATGGCTTTTAGATAATGATAAAAGAAAAAAAGTAATTACTTTTATTTACAGACTTGCCTTAAAGAAATAACCATTTCATTCTCATCAACTTAGACAATAAATTGATAAATATAAATTTTCAGATGACATCCATCATATTTGGAATCAATTCGATACTTTAAGAGCTTATTATAAATTATTACTAAATTAGTCCTAATTTGCAAATTAAGTCAAATTAATAAGAATTATACATGAAAATACAATGTTTCATAATAAACCAGAACTAGTTGCAATAGAAAGATTAAAAAAAGAAAAGTAGTTTAAATTGCTAAATTAAAATGATTAAACATTTCTTATTGATTTGCTAAATAATGCCATTAAAAATAACAACGATCAAAATAGATAGAGATATCCAACTCTGCTCCATTACCTTAACGATAAAAATAGCGAAAGTATTATCAAGATTTTAACTATTTCAAGAATACGATCAAAAATTTACACCACCATTACCTAAATGTGTTGAATGCTATGATTTAACATATTTGAAAGCTTACTAGTATTTAAAAGATAAAGATCAATAAAAGTAATCAATAAAGAAAATTTGAATAATTTATTGTATGATAGAATTCATTGTGTTTATTAATTTTTCCTCTCCTAAATCCTTGGGTCTACTTTCTTCCTAAAAAATAGAATATAGGGGTCTGGATAATGCACATCATAATTCAACCACCCTTTGAATAATTTGATTCCTAATTCTCTCCATTCTGGTTCTCTTAGCAAAAACCCTTTAAAATTTAGACTTATATATACCTCTCTTATCTATTGGAATCTTTTAAGATATTTTTTGATCGAGATAAACGATCATGTAATTATAATAATCATCTCTATATTGATCCGAATAGCTTATCAAGATTTCTTTGTTGTTGAAGCTCATTTAGAATTAGAATTTATTAAATCTGCCTTAACATATACCGATTCTTAATAGGAAAAATATTAACATCCATCAAGAAAAAATAAAAAACTAAAATGATATAAAGAGTAAATAAATTATGAATATCTAAATTTTCAAGGGTTAGTTTAATTGATTTCATCTTTTTATTAATTAAAAGATCCCATTCCATATACTTATTCAGTAATTAATTATTCTTGTGATGATTTATCAAATCTTAAATTAGTTTACATTACTAATGTGCAATTTCTTTATCTTAAAGAAAGAGTTTAATTTTGATCTCTGACTAAACTAATAATTTTGCCAAATTACATGAAGGGATTTTTTGAGAATGTTGGCATTACTTATTTCTTAAGACTAATATTTTATAAATTTCATACATTGAAATATTGTTTAATTTATAGAAATCTACCTCACTTTCAATCGAATCCTAAGATACGAAAAACTTGTGTTTCAAAAGATTATCCGCCGACCATCTGAAATCTGGATTTTTTGAAAGCATCTTCATTAAAATATCTTTTTCAAGATCATCCAACTAATCAGATGAAAATTTGGTGAGATTTATTTCACATTTTCTATTCAATTCTAATTACTCTTTCCTATCCTTTTTTTCAAACAAAGGTTCTCCTATCAATCTTAAATTATTCAAATATATGTACAAAACATATAAAATAACTCCTGCACTAAATATATCGCAAGATACAGTGTATCTGGCTAAATCAGAATCTTGTTCGAGAATTTCAGGAGCTACAAAACCTGGTGTTCCACATTTTGGATATGTATAGGGGTGAGAATCTACTGATTATGCAAGTCCAAAATCTGCAATTACTAAAGATTCTAAATCTTTATTCATAAATAATATATTTTCTGGTTTTAAATCTCTATGCATAATGTTATGATGATGAATAAAAAGCAACCCTTCAAGTAGCTATTTCATTATTAGTTTGATGTCTGACCTACTGAAAAGAGTTTAGCGTTTTTTCATCAAAGACAATAATGAACCACCTTTAGCCATTTCCATAACTAAATAATAGTTTTGATTTCCTATATAGAGTTCATGTAACAATAAAATGTTATCATGCTTCTACTCGGAAAGAATTCTCATGGTTTCTATTTCTTATTGCAATTATTTCTAACCATTCTTTTTTTCATTAATACGTTGTTAATCAATACATTTAGCAGCATATTGTTTCTTAGTAAATAGATTGGTTAATTCGAGAACTGTTGCGTATGACCCTCTTCCTAAAACAGATTCAGCTTAATATTCATCTTAAATCTACACTTGAAAAACATATAATGCAAATTTCTATTTGAGTTCCCTTAACTATTCGTTTGTTCCATGGTATTCATATTGTTGGCCGCTTACTTAAAATATTATTGAATTTAATTTAGTTTTTGTATATGTCCATTTAATTCTTAATTCAGAGTTGATTCGAAATTGACGTTCTGGTATCTAAACATAAGGTGACTTAAATATCTTGAAATATCAGGATACCTTTCCAATACAAATTAAATTCTTAAACAAATACAAGTACCTCAGACCCCTTCCAATAAATTTCTTCTTGGTCAACAGACACTTATATTTACACAAATCATAATCGACAGTTTTTAACTTTCTTTCTCCATCCTCATGAACGGTTTGAGATTTTTGTCTCATTTTATAAATATATAAATTTTATTCATATCAAGTTTTTTAAATTTTACATGTTTTACTTTGAAATTCGATCTTTTATTTTCTTTCTTTTGATTATGTCTCAAAAGTTATTAAGTTAGGTAGCTTATACCTTTATACGGATATAAAATCTAATCTTAAGTTATTGGGTGATCATTTGAAAAAAAATTCCTAAATATCTACTAGTAAACGAAATTGTATTACAGTGTTTTTAAACTACTGGTTATTCACCATTTACTAATTTAAAATAACAAATTATATTATGTTACTCAGGCTTAACCATAAATCCTAGTCCACCTAATTCAAGTTCTTTTCATTTATTTAAAATTTCAAATCAAGTTATCAATTCGAAAGTCTTATTAAATACAGGCTTAAATTTCTTTTCTTTCTATATTTTTCTGTTTTAATGAGAAACAATTTAAAATAATCTTTTTATCTCTAAAATAATATATTAGAGAATTTTGGTCTATCATTAAATATCGAATATAAATGATTTTATTAAGCTTCAAATTATCAATATGAGGAATTAGTTTTATTGAATTTTTGAGAGGAATTATAAATAGGTTCTTCAAAATTCTGCGTATCAACTATCTATACATGTAGCTGCTAAGAAGTTTCAAGAATTCAAATTCATTTATATTGATAGTTAAGGCGTTCAAATGATTTATCCTGTTGATACTTGGAGGACAGCACTACTGGAGTAATTAGTTTGAAATTTGGAAAAATTATTATTATTATTGTGATTGTTACTACATTTTTGAAGGTTGATATCCAATTTAAATGTTTTAGGGTTAAAGTATATATTTTGATAAGACAGTTAATATTTACAACTGCTAATCCTAGAATTAAAGGTTCTCTTCTGATGCAAATAAAGAGTTGCAAAGTGTGACCCTGGCGGACTGGTTGATTAGACAAACTCTAAGGAAAACTATGTTGGTTACTTAAATTGGCTTGGTTTTTTATAATTGGCAACATCTTATGGCCTATTTGTATATGGATTCTTTAATAACATTTTATTTATAAAAGTAATAAGAGATCTAGATTATATTACAATATGATTTAAACTAGACTCATTTCAGTGAAATAACTAGTTTTTAATTTTTGAATTCATAATCGGAGAATACAGCTATAATTTTTAGAGTTTCAGGGATGTTCAACATACTGATTTCCAAACTATCAGAGGAAATAATTTTAATTTCTAGTTGAATATCTATGGTTACCTGTAACTTTGACGACTAATCGAATCATTTCTGATATCTCCATTGGTTCAGAAACACCACTCAAAATAATTGTTTTGGAGAGTGGAGCAATTACCTTAGGTCCGTTTGGATTGTAATAAATCATATATTCATCTTGAATGGTTGTTGGTTGTAATTGATATAAAGGGATGTATGTTATACGCCACTATTTTAGATGGAAAAATTATTACTTATTGATCAAAAAATGTTATATTGTTTAAATATTCTTTTGCAATTTAAGCAAACTCTACTGTTTAATATCTTATAAACACTCTTTTAAATTGCTTTTCATATAATATTTCTTCTATATTGCCAAATTTATTAAAAATATTATACAACATCTTGGCGGTTACTCTTTCATCAATAGATTATATTTTAATAATTTTCGATGGTTTTTGAGTGATCATGTTTTCGACATCCTCAGAAATCATAGGTGTTGTATTAGGTTTTTATTTTAAGAAGTCTTATGCCTCATCTTCAGAATCTGAATTTAGTAAATTATTTATCTCTTCATTTCTTTACGGACTCATATTCCTTTAAGGAGTTTATGTAAAAGTTCGAGTAAATTGATCTAATTGTTATCTCAAAACATTTGGATCATCTGTGTTTGAATGTTTCACTACATCTGAATTAGTAATGCTTGTTTAAGTATAGTCAGTTCCTCGAGATTTGTCAACTACCTCCAAATCTAAATTTTTTAGGCGAGAAAAATGTATTGTTAATCTAAATTTATAAATAATTCATACTTTCCTTCCCCCTCAGCCAAATATTTACCGATTTTATCTTTCCTTGCCTCGATTGCATGTTTAATATCATAATATTCAACAAAAGCTTTGTTTGCTTTACCCCTTTCGAAAATTAGAATCTTTTTGATATCCCCATATTTTCCAAATTGTTCAAATAACAGATCATTACACAATGGAAATGTTGGGGATAATTGGGTAATTACAAGAAGCAAAATTTTGCTGGGTGGATCTCTTGAATTATTATTCATTTATAAATAATATATATGAATTCTTCTCGATTTTATTTTGATTATATTATCCAAAGTTTTCAACAAGAATCATCTCACAATTAATTCAAATTAAATTATTAATATTAATCATTCCAATCTCAAAATATGATTCTTGAAATAACTCATTTTACTATATGTGTAAATAGGAGCTTAAATGACTGAAGTTTAAGGGTAAGTCGTCTTTGAATATCCTGGGTCATTTACGTTAAAAGTATCTCCTGAATATGATGTCATTAAAACATAATGAGCCCCTTCATTTACACTAAGAATCACATGATCTCCTCTATCAAATTTTACTTAAATAATTTAATCTATATACATTTTGCTTAAGATGCGGAAAATTTTCCTTAATAAATAAATCCAAAATCCTAGATAGAAGACCAAATAAAAAGATCTCCTGAAGCATAGCCGTTGTTTCTCTTTAACCATGAATTCATTGTTCTTGGAGTTGTGACCCCATCTGTTGTTACTCCATATGTGTTAAATATCATAGCTATTGATGAGATCAAACTTCCATTTGAACAAATTGAACTAGATCCTGTTCCTAATTTATCTGATCCCCATGTTGCATCGCATTGTTTGTATGATGTGTATGATCTTCCATTTACAAACAGCAAAATCAAAGCAATACTTATGATTTATTACATTATTATTTATAAATGATTTATTCAATTCAGAATGAAATTCACTATGTTTTCAAGTTAGATATTTTTAATAAGAGTGTTCGAGAATTTATAATAGTAGAAAAATTATATGAAATATTCTTTTTTTAATTTCTTAATCAAACATCTTCCTGCTCTGAATTCAATTATGATCTCTATGGGTTTTCGTTTTATCTCACATCATCTCTTTAAAGCAGTATTGCAAGTGATTGTTAATCTACTTTAGTATTTGGAAACGAGAATTTGTTCCTTTTGATTTGACTGTGTTTTAGAATATTCAAAATTACAATATTATCAACACGAAAGATTATGTTGAATATTATTATTGACTTTCTTATTTGCTCTTATCAGTGCTGTTTTAAGTAGTGCTTTTTGAACTAATCGTTTGAACCTAAATGATGAATGAATTATACTTTTTAAATTCTATAATCAAGCGAGCTTAAGGTATTAGATATTCTCTCAATTTCGCATATCTTTTTCTAATTTCTAGATTATTTATTTTTGTGAGTCTCAGGGAAATTTTTCAAGAATGAATGATACCCCGCTAGATTAGGAAAATATTTTTATATTGCTTCTTTTAATATGTCTATCTATTCTTAAAGTTTATTGAAATATGCAAATAAAATTAAAATTAACATTCAAAAAATATAAAAGCCATTAAGAAAGCCAATTATTATATAGAAAGGCCATACAATCTCAATTAACTCTTATTATTGCACTATGTAAATTGAACTAGCCAAAATAATGGAAACAGCACAGATTACAGCTGATTATTTGTCAATTATATTTAATTGTTCAGTCATATAAGGTTACTGGTTAGTTGCTATAAAAGTATAAACAAATAAAACGAGAAATACTAGAGATGCTTTTATTGAGACATGATCATCATAACAAGCTAAAACAATAATAATGATTTCTTTTTGGACAATTTTAAGTGTTTCCCAGAAATAAGCATGAATCCTATATTCATTATATAAGTAGCCCCACGTCTTTCTAACAGAGCAGTAATCGAGACGATCTTTATTGTTATAGACTCCCCACCACAAGGAGCAAGGAAGTAGGAATCCAAAAGTGAATAATAAGGGTAAGCTAAATGTGATCTACCATTAAAATGTGAAATTGTATCAATAATATGCTCTCTAATAATGTTCCCTTAGTTCTATCATACTTGATTCCAATGATTTAATTTTAGAATTATCTTTATAACCCTTCACCTAATTAGCAGGGAAATGTTCTAAGATCAAGAAACAATTTATAATTTTTCACATAATTGTAAATTTCATAAGGTGGAATTTCTTTGTATTAAGGAACTACCACCTTTTTGCATGAAATAAATAATCAAAAAACAATGTCCTAATCATAAGTACGATTAAAGTAAACGATTAGATTATCTAAATTGTAATCTCCGGTTGTGTCATTAAATATCACTTCGTATTAGGAGAGATCATATTGGACATTTTACTATTCTTATTATGATCTTAAATTAAAGCTATCGGTTATAAAGTGCAATTGGAACCTGACAACCCCTTAATTTATTCCTAAAACTCATCCAAAGCAATAATCCTGAAGGTAAGATTATAAGGGATAAATTTTGAATTCGCTGGATCAAAATACTTGTAACTGTTTTTGGCTGTTCCAGAAGGTAACATTAACTGATACTATTTAGAAGGCGATCCTAAAATCTTGTATGGACTAATAAGAATCTGTTCAACAAACTATTTACACATAGTTTTTATTAAATTATTTTTATTTAATAGTGACACACCGTAAGAATATTTTAATAAAGCTTATATGTTCAATGCTTGTTATAATAAACGAATATAATTGAATGATCAATCTTACCATTATTTAATAACTAATTATTTTGTATTGTTATTGAAAAAATGAAAAATTAATTGTAAATAATTCATTTAAACAAGATAATCAATTGTCTTTAAAGTTTGTTTATATATTTTCAATTTTTTTTTCATTTCTCCGATTCAATATAATTATTTCTAAATTCAATATTCAACAAAGGAAGAACTAAGACAACTCAAACAAAACGGAACTCAAAATATGAAATAAACCAAAAATTACATGCTAACATATTTTCTGCTAAAGTTAAATACACTTAATTCAATAACTCACCCAAAGACATAAATAATAATCAGTCTCTTGTTCATTATATAATAATTTACAAAGTCATCATTCAGATTGTTATTTTAAGAAAAGGATTCCCAACACACAGTTTTGAGGAATATGTTCTATGACTAAATGGGATATTGATGAAAAGAGGGAACCTGTAAAAAAAAATTACTTGGAAAATGAGGATAAGAAAATATTTATCACAATGGAATGCTATCTGAAATCGGTGAATAATAATAGAAGATCTATATAACTTAATTAAAGATATAACTATTTAACCCAAAAAATTGCTGCAACTTTAGGGCTTAATGTCTCTAAAGTTAATCATTTGTAATAACATGAAAAAATACCAGAGAATTATTTTAATTGTAACTTGAATTTTATTAAAACTATCTAAGTAAGCTGTGAAAAGAATGCTATGAGGCTTCATATAAACAAAGATTATCGGAGTATAAGGATAGATATGATTAATTAAAATTTGATTATGCGTCTAGAATTCTAGGGGCAGATATTGAAAATATGAATATTGTTTATCTAAATGAAACTAGTCTAGGCCACACAAAAAGACCTCAAAGATGTTTGCAACTTAAAAAAATATATAACACCAAATATTAAAGATTAGAAAATAAAATATTGGAATTCAAGGTGCTATTGGGACTAAAAGCTTTCTGGCTTTTAAACTAGTTAAAGAAATGTTAATGAAAATGAGTATTCGCATCACTTGATTGAATTGATCCAGAGAATGAATGAAAAATATAAAAAACGAAGAGTTGGTGGTCGTCCTCGAATAAAGTCCAACCAACATAGCAAAAGATTTCCAAATTTTAAGCGCAATACACTACCTTTTTGCCTCCATACACCCCCTAGATTAAATCCTATCAAAAAAGTTTGGCACAGTTTGTAGAAAAATAACCATAATTTGCAAGCCTATAAAAGTCAATTTGTTTTGAATATTCTAAGCAATCATATCAGTTTCATTAAAATCATTCTACTTTTTATCGCCAGATGCCTACTAATATATTCATTTAATATAATTTTAAATTGTGAAAAAATAATGTCACCGCATATGGTTGATTAAACATATTGGACTATCCAATTTGACAACATTTCCAAGTTACCACTTCTTGAAGATAAAGTTAACTCTGGAGAATTCATTTCATAAACCCAAAGAAAGATTAGTAAAATAAATGAGGATTGAGAATAAATAAAATTGTTGTTGTTGTTGATATTAACTTTCATATGAACATTAATAGAATTATTTGAGTATTTAAAATTATTTGGTATTAAATTTCATATGAGCATTAATAGGATGATTTGAATCTGTAAAATATTTTTGTATTAAATTTCATATTAACTAGAATAGAATTATTTGAATAGATATAATATTTTGGCATTAAATAATAGAATTATTGAATATAGAAATTTATTTGGGATTAAATTTCATATGAACATAAATAGAATTATTTGAATATAAAAAATTATTTGGTATTAAATTTCATATTAGCATTAATAGAATTATTTGAATCTGTAAAATATTTTTCTATTAAATTTAATATGAACATTCATAGAATTATTTTTTAATATATAAAATATTTAGGTATGAAATAGAATAGAATTATTTGAATAGATTGATTTTGAAAATAACCTAATATTAATTTCTTTTATGGAACAGTTGTATTTTTCTTTATGTTCTCACATTGTATAAGGAAGTTTACATTAAAATGACATTCATAAAATATCTAGTATTCTATTATTGATTTTATTATTATCAATTAGCTGGCTATAATGTCATATATATTATTGAATCTTTTTGATTTTTCTTTACTACTATTGCTTATTGATTAGGTTAGGTTTCTTACGATATTTGAGGTAAGGCTTCAATTCTCCCTTATAGATCTGTGAGTTGGTTAAGCAAATTATCAAATTAAACGGTCAACAGATTACATAATTGTACCAAATTATGAGTAGTATCAAGTAGTTTTATCAAATTTTTTTTTTTTGGATTTTGTTGGACATTTTTGTTTAAATCTGTTGATTGATCATAGGGTGCTTTCATTTATTCAATATTTTTTATCTTTTTAATTATCTTTAGTCTCTCCTCTTTTTTTATATGTGGGCTTGTACTTAAATTTTGTATTGTGATTGAGTACACGAAAAGAAAACTATTAATATTATTGGAAAATGAACTTCTAGTCTGATTCGAACAGTAGCAAAAATTGCTATGGAACTCTCATATGATTGTTTTACAGGAATAATATCATTAAATGTTAGCACTAAAGTTTTAGGCTTTGCTTTAATTTAATTGTAATTAATTCATCCTTTCAACTTGAATCTTATCTTTTGGTTTTAAGAAAAAATTGATTGCTGAAATGCTATCATGTGTACTTCTTTTTTTAAAAATTAACCAATTACTTAATCTGATATTTTATTTGTTTTGCTCACAAAAAAGAAATAAATACAATTTGATAATTATAAGAAATTCTTATTATGTTGTTTCCTTTTTAGAAATGAGATCTTACATTTTGACAAGAAGTTTTTGAAATATTATTATAAGTCTAAACAACAACTTAAAATATAATTATATGCAATTTCAATATTAAATAAAAAAGCTTATCATGTTATTTTTGTGAAACAACTTTTTATAATTTGACAACTCAGGTTATTACTCTTGACTTTATTTATATTCATAATCATAAATGATTAAAAGAAAGTAAGTGACCGTTTAATTCTTTCTCAAATAATACGTCCTTGGATGAAATTGTATATCTTGAGCACAAATGATAATTTTAATTTCAACTCTTGTAAGCTCATTTATATAATTAATTATTATATTAAATCAAATTTGCTTTATAGGAATGCGTATTGTGAATAATTAAAATATGCATAAAAACAAATATAAAACAGATAATCTAACATATCAGATGAATATATGGAATTTTTAACTAAATTTCATATAATGATTTAAGGTATTGTAAATTACCGGAGTTGAAGTTGAATACAAGAAATACAAATTTAGAAATTTATCAAACATTCAAATAGCAAAACAACTTTGATGTACATTTAGAATCATGAAAATAATGAGATAATTGATGTTAGTTTACCAGATGCACAACTTAAAGAACAGAATCCAAACTAATCAGTTGAGTTAGTTTTAAGGTTTGTTAGTGAAAATGATTGTTATTGAAATACATCCCCTTATATATTTAATCAAAGTTCTCAAAGTTGAACGAGATTTTTTTCCTAATATATGTGTTAATATTTGAACAGTATTTGTAAGTTATGTTTAGAATGTCGAATAGTAATGTGTTGTAGTTCATAACGATGGCAATATAGCAATTAAATCATATTATTGCATTCATATAACCAATATCAAATGCAAATTAGAATTGGCTTCATAATATAATATAAATAAATATATTGAGTCAATAAAATATGCCAATTTTATTGACTCAAATATAATTAAGATTAATTTTTTGGATTAAAATTATAATATAAATGCATTATATTGGATAAATATAATTGCACTTGATTTTTAAAGTTACGAAGAATTTTGATTATATATTTCATAACTTGGGGAAGAGGTAACTACTAAGTTTCTGCTTTTTTGTAACAAAAAATATTTGAGCATAGTTTTCTTGACTTCATGGAATTTATATATTTTAAGACGATAGATTCTTTATTGTCATTTTTATGATAATATCAAGACACTTTTATTTTAGATAATGCTAGGCCCATTGGAGTGTGTTTTAAATCTAAGGACTGATAAATAAGCAAACGTTTTTCTTAACATTTAGGATCTGCTGCCACAAATATTTAAATTTTTTTATCATTGAGGTATTTTATGAGGAATTATTTTTTGGGTGCTGAAATAACATTTGCGTAGCATAGTACTGATTTTTGCTTACTTATATTTGGATTAGGATGATTATGTAACCGAATTGGATGAGTTCAGAACTAATTTGAGGCACAATTAAACAAATTACATTGAATATTATTTTAGTATAGAAAAGTAAATGGTATATGATAATTTCAAGTCGTAATTTTATATTAGAGTAATCAAATTTTTATATGAAGGAAAAAATCAAAAAAAACTTCAGGTATCACAATCTAGAGAACAGAAGTTGAGTATCAATATATGAAATTGAGGATAATATATTTTGCGTTATAATTTAGGAAATCAAAAATTTAGAAATATTTGATGAAACTGGAGAGCAAACGAACAGTATAGGTATTCAATTATATTCAAAAAAATATTTTTTAATAAAATTGATTGAATAGATTGAAATAGAGAATTAATAGTAGGATACCCTCTTTTATAAAAATGTTAAAGCAATATACATTCCATGATTATGAAGCAATTTCTTTATAGAGTTAACCAAATATTTGGCAGAAAGTAAGGTTTAAGAAACTACTTAAATATATAAATAATAAAATAAGAACATTATAACGTACATATTGAAAGTCATTTTACTTAATTTATGAACAAACAAAAATGCTGAATATGGTGATAAATTTTCTAAATGAATCAATTAATGATAAATAATTAAATTTCAGAAAGTAATATTTCAGTTTGAAAAAATANAATATAAATGCATTATATTGGATAAATATAATTGCACTTGATTTTTAAAGTTACGAAGAATTTTGATTATATATTTCATAACTTGGGGAAGAGGTAACTACTAAGTTTCTGCTTTTTTGTAACAAAAAATATTTGAGCATAGTTTTCTTGACTTCATGGAATTTATATATTTTAAGACGATAGATTCTTTATTGTCATTTTTATGATAATATCAAGACACTTTTATTTTAGATAATGCTAGGCCCATTGGAGTGTGTTTTAAATCTAAGGACTGATAAATAAGCAAACGTTTTTCTTAACATTTAGGATCTGCTGCCACAAATATTTAAATTTTTTTATCATTGAGGTATTTTATGAGGAATTATTTTTTGGGTGCTGAAATAACATTTGCGTAGCATAGTACTGATTTTTGCTTACTTATATTTGGATTAGGATGATTATGTAACCGAATTGGATGAGTTCAGAACTAATTTGAGGCACAATTAAACAAATTACATTGAATATTATTTTAGTATAGAAAAGTAAATGGTATATGATAATTTCAAGTCGTAATTTTATATTAGAGTAATCAAATTTTTATATGAAGGAAAAAATCAAAAAAAACTTCAGGTATCACAATCTAGAGAACAGAAGTTGAGTATCAATATATGAAATTGAGGATAATATATTTTGCGTTATAATTTAGGAAATCAAAAATTTAGAAATATTTGATGAAACTGGAGAGCAAACGAACAGTATAGGTATTCAATTATATTCAAAAAAATATTTTTTAATAAAATTGATTGAATAGATTGAAATAGAGAATTAATAGTAGGATACCCTCTTTTATAAAAATGTTAAAGCAATATACATTCCATGATTATGAAGCAATTTCTTTATAGAGTTAACCAAATATTTGGCAGAAAGTAAGGTTTAAGAAACTACTTAAATATATAAATAATAAAATAAGAACATTATAACGTACATATTGAAAGTCATTTTACTTAATTTATGAACAAACAAAAATGCTGAATATGGTGATAAATTTTCTAAATGAATCAATTAATGATAAATAATTAAATTTCAGAAAGTAATATTTCAGTTTGAAAAAATAAAATAACAATGAAATATTCAAATTCTTTTTTTTAATGGTTTATTAGAAATAAAAAATATTAACAATCAAAAGTTAAACTTACAAATTCCAAAAAAAATTAAAGTATAAATATTCACATTCTCAAACTTACATAAATTAATTAAATTCATTTCAGATATAATAATATCAAAAATCCATTTTATATTATGAAGAATTATTGATAAANATATAATTAAGATTAATTTTTTGGATTAAAATTATAATATAAATGCATTATATTGGATAAATATAATTGCACTTGATTTTTAAAGTTACGAAGAATTTTGATTATATATTTCATAACTTGGGGAAGAGGTAACTACTAAGTTTCTGCTTTTTTGTAACAAAAAATATTTGAGCATAGTTTTCTTGACTTCATGGAATTTATATATTTTAAGACGATAGATTCTTTATTGTCATTTTTATGATAATATCAAGACACTTTTATTTTAGATAATGCTAGGCCCATTGGAGTGTGTTTTAAATCTAAGGACTGATAAATAAGCAAACGTTTTTCTTAACATTTAGGATCTGCTGCCACAAATATTTAAATTTTTTTATCATTGAGGTATTTTATGAGGAATTATTTTTTGGGTGCTGAAATAACATTTGCGTAGCATAGTACTGATTTTTGCTTACTTATATTTGGATTAGGATGATTATGTAACCGAATTGGATGAGTTCAGAACTAATTTGAGGCACAATTAAACAAATTACATTGAATATTATTTTAGTATAGAAAAGTAAATGGTATATGATAATTTCAAGTCGTAATTTTATATTAGAGTAATCAAATTTTTATATGAAGGAAAAAATCAAAAAAAACTTCAGGTATCACAATCTAGAGAACAGAAGTTGAGTATCAATATATGAAATTGAGGATAATATATTTTGCGTTATAATTTAGGAAATCAAAAATTTAGAAATATTTGATGAAACTGGAGAGCAAACGAACAGTATAGGTATTCAATTATATTCAAAAAAATATTTTTTAATAAAATTGATTGAATAGATTGAAATAGAGAATTAATAGTAGGATACCCTCTTTTATAAAAATGTTAAAGCAATATACATTCCATGATTATGAAGCAATTTCTTTATAGAGTTAACCAAATATTTGGCAGAAAGTAAGGTTTAAGAAACTACTTAAATATATAAATAATAAAATAAGAACATTATAACGTACATATTGAAAGTCATTTTACTTAATTTATGAACAAACAAAAATGCTGAATATGGTGATAAATTTTCTAAATGAATCAATTAATGATAAATAATTAAATTTCAGAAAGTAATATTTCAGTTTGAAAAAATAAAATAACAATGAAATATTCAAATTCTTTTTTTTAATGGTTTATTAGAAATAAAAAATATTAACAATCAAAAGTTAAACTTACAAATTCCAAAAAAAATTAAAGTATAAATATTCACATTCTCAAACTTACATAAATTAATTAAATTCATTTCAGATATAATAATATCAAAAATCCATTTTATATTATGAAGAATTATTGATAAAGTATTTATCATATTATAAATAGAATAGATATGAATAAAGAACAAAAAAATTTATGGATTAATTTATCATAACCACAATCATCATGCACATTGAGTTAAATTATATTACATTATGCATTTTTTGTTTTTCTTAGTTTTGAAATTCTCATTTCTCTCTAGAGCTTTCAATTGTTATATTGATTAACAATAATATTCAACATACATATTTAAATTTATTCATTAAGTTTAGGATATCAACGGCTATTCCAATCCTTGTTTGAGGTTTCGCTTTTTTATTGTGTTTCCTAAGAGAAATATAAATGAGGCAATAAAGCTTGAGCAACTTAAAACCAACAGAATTATGATTGCAACCGAGAAATTCCATTCTGAATACATTGATTCTAAAATTAAAATATTGACAAAAGCAAACAAGGTTATTACAGGTGGTATCAAATTTTAAAATATATCAACAATATTAATAATCTACAAGGTTTACTTTCGAATTGTGCTGATAATCTAATATATTATGAGATTTAACAGTATTGAAGTTAAAGCAAATCCAATTGTTAAACCACTCATGAGAGGAAGATAGTTTTCATAAATGCAAATATAAGTGTTGCAGTCTTCTAAAGAATAGCATTATTCATTTTTTAAATCAGAATAGCAGCATTTTCCTGTAAATGTTAATGCAACTTTGGCTTGCTTTGTACTTCCATTCATCCATGCTACATCTAAAAACTCTGAGACGCAAATAAAAATCAATCCTAATATGATAAATATGGAGTGCATTTGATTATATTATTTGGTTTATTACTTTATATAAATTGGATTTTGAACTGATTCTACATTTTTTTCCATATGGATGCTTTTTAGTATTAAAAAAAAAATTAAATATATTATTCTATCAATAGCTATTTTTAATAATTAAAAATTATTAAGTTATATAAAATTTCAATTGATAAGTTTTGTTGGATGTTTTAATCTTAAGAATGTTCAAGAATTTCGTTGTATTGGATAAGGAGATTATAATATGCAAGAGGAAGTTTTCCTATCTTATAGAATATTTCTAAAGAAATTTAACAATGCAGCTGAACAAATTATTATTCTATTATTGAAATAACTTTTAATAAATGTTAATTTAAAATAAAATTCTATTCATAATGTTATAAAAAATTCATTTTTAGTAACTATTTCTGAGCTGCCTACAAGAACTGTTTAAACCATTTAATAATTTAACATTAACAAGCTTGCTCTCTGTAATTTCATTAAAAAGTAGATTAATTAAATTAAGAATCTAAGATAATATTTCATTCATTTTTTGATCCTCTTTAATATTTTACAGGATTTAATTGAAAATCATATTAAACTAATTTATTATTGTAGACAACTTTTAGAAATTTAAATGTATGTTGCTTTAGTTGATTTCATTTTCTTTATTTGATTCGTAATGAGTTAGGATTTAAAATTTTAAACTTTTAATTTCTTTTACAATTTGGCTCTGGTATTATAAAAATGATCTTTAATCCAAATTGATTCCCAATATATTAATTATCTCTTGTAATAAAACTTCATATTACAAAGAAGTAGATTGAAGTTGTTTAATCTCTTTTTTAAAATCAGAGATCTGATATGTTTCATCGCATTATTTCAATTTAAATTTTGTAGTAGCACATACTACTACTTCCGAGATAAAACTTGAGAATGTTTAAAAGGATTAATTTAGTGCTTCTATTGATGAACAGCTAATAAAATCCAATACATCGACCTATTAGCTTGAATTATTTTCAGATTTAGTTAATTATTAGATGAATTATCTGGCAAGTTTATTTTCATAAACAACTTACTCTAAATACTATTATAATTCTAAATTTTATTATTCTAAAGCATTGTTTATTTTAATTGCCTTCTCTAATGTTTTCATTGTTTCTTAATATAAATTTTACCAATATTCCAATTCAACATTTAATTCGGTTATCTTTGAGTTGCTTACAATAACTTATTGATTTTTTAATTGATTATGAAAAAAGTATTCAATCATTATTTCATACTCAAGGAAATTATTAATTTCTTGTTTATAATTTTCGATTTATGTTTGTAGATTGATATTATGCATTGATTTGCTTACATTTCTTGATTTTGATTATTTTTTTTCAGAATGTTACACAAATTATTACAAATTCAAAATCTCTTTTTATTGAGCTTCTATAATTAAATATGCTTTTTGAATTGCATCATCCTTTATTTTTAATTATTTTGTCAGGTTGGTTATTTATGGATTGATCATATTCGTTAATTATTAATTATTAAATATTTTTATGAACTAAAAAAATTTTTATACCAAACACAACAAAATAGAATAGAACCAAGAATTACTCCTAAGTTCTAGAAATAGAGTTAGATCGGCGTTTTAGGATATTTCAAATATGAACTTTCCATTTATACATTTTTAGGAGAAAGGAGTGAAATAATAAAAGGATGAAATAAAAATCTAGAAGGGCAAAAGAAGAAATGCATTGATACCTGTTAGTATTGGAAGGATGCTCATTTAAGTGGAAAATGCAGAGTTTTAGTAGATCAATAACTTAATACGGTCCGGAAAAGAGACAGAGAAAGATATTCTCTGTTATTTTGATAAATTTCGATATGAAATTTATTAATATGAACTAGTAATAGAATAATAAGTAAGATGAAAATTTAAAATAGTTGAATAAATTGAACATTGATTAACATGATTTTACAGGAGAACAGTTAGAGCGAGCGTTAGATTGGATGGTTTATAAGATGAAAAAATTTAAAAAAGTTACTACTGAGACAATTTTCAAAGCTATCGAATTGGTTTATTAGTATTTATAAAACACATTTCATCTGACATTTAAAGAATTGGAATTAATTTCAGGTTGTAGTATTTACATTTCATCAAAACTTGTTGATTTGTATCCAATATACATAGACGATTTGTGCTAGGAAGTATATCTTTATAAATAATAAGGTGTTGCAATCTAAATACTATAACAGCGATATCCTTTAGCAGGAGAGAAAGATGTGCTAAATTTTAAATTATAGTTTATGTTTCACTACATCATCATAATTAGTGCATAGAATATTAATGGATTTAAGGGATTTAATAGAATAAATCTATGATAAAGAAAAGGTTGAATATTTGAGATAGAAAATCATTGACAATTTGTTATATATGGAAATAGGTTTGGAGTTTAGGTAGGTCTCGAAATGCAATAAAGCCTTATCTAGTATATTATTAACGATGATTGAAGAGAATATTGAGAATAGAATAGTAATTATTTAAATATTATTTTTTTGTGCTAAGCTGTGTTGTTGTGTGTTAATCATTTCAAGTTGAACATTAATTGGATAGAGAGACATATTGAAGATTTGAGAACATTTATATAGGCAAACAAACATTTAAACTTATTTAAGAAAATTCCAATACATAATTATTGAAATTTGTTATGCCCAAAATATTCATTTATTATTTTAATTTTTAATTGTCTTCCCATGTAAAAAAATGTTAGGAATTAATATCCAATTATGATAGATTTTTATTCTGAAATCATAAAATTAGTTTTATAAATAATTGATTGCATCCATATCACTTGAGATTTTCCTTCAAAACAGGAAATATTTTATAAAGAAGAATTCAATAAGAAATATAAAAATTAAATGAGACAAACTTGATTATGAAGAAGAAAAACAGAGTTCTTTTGGAAACCAAAATTCAATTTATACTCATGCTTCAAAAATTGAGAGTTGCTTTTTGATTCTAAACTTACTGTTTCCAGTGTTCTCTAGAATACCTATCTATATTTTTAATATATACTTTTTTAAAGTAGACATTCTATTATATATTCTTATAAAAACGTTCAAAATTAGGGCTGAATTTTCAGAATTACTCTTTTTTATTTTAATGGATAGAATTTAATTTGAAATTGGCTGGGGATTAAGTAACCAAATAGTTGTATATTAATACTGTTAAACTCTAAAACTAAGTAATTTCTTAATAATATTACCAAATAAGAAGAGATAATGATATTTCAAATAGAAATTAAAAAAAAAATATGGAAAAACAGGACAAAAGATAATGTTTAATTGCTTGAGAAGATATAGTTTTGCTAATATATGGCAATCCTTAATATAAATAACCAAGAAACTTAGTGTGTATCTGATTACATTAAATCAAGAAGTAAATTAAAAGAAAATAATGATAACAATAAGAATGTAGATATTTTTAAATACCCTTATTCGTATATAAATTTTCATTGCAAGAATTAATGTATGTGATTTATATAATGAATAATGATAAATATTCACTCAACTGATCTTTATCTCCAAGAATTTACCATTCCTTAGATAAATACTCCTCCCATACCAAAGAATGATGCCAAACTGTAATTAAAGGATTTTCCATCTGCAAAATTGTATGAGAAGGTGTCATTTATGAATACACCTGCAAATAAGCACACATATCCTGTTAATATTAAGAGCGCCATCACATAAGCCAAAGCAGCTTATTTCAAAAATGGTTGGACCATTCCAACAAGAAATCCTACTAACATCAAAACAAAGGCAGATATTGCAAGGTTTAAATAATTTCTATATTTATCGTGGTCAGTTGTGCTAATATTAGTGATGTATGAAAATTGTGTATAATCACCTCCATCATTTTCCTTCAAATAGGAAACCAAAGCTAAGTTTACAACCACTACTAAAGACATAAATGTATTGCTTAAAAGAAGTCTCATCTTTATATCTCTAATATGTCATAACAATAATTAAATACAATCCCATTGTCGTTCTTGTTCTTGTTCTTTTTAATAAAAATATTAATAAAATAAAATTTCTTTCATTCCTTGTAAACTCTAATGTATTAGGAATTGATCTTCAACAAAAACGTTTTTTAACCTTGATTTTCTTAATTATGAATAAATTTAGAATGGTTTTTCTCATTAAATCTGTAATTTAAGAAAACTTCTATTTTATAGAACATAGATTTCAAAGAAAAATATTAACAAACCAAATGTGTATTATTGATAAAGCTCATTAATGTTTGAATTCAGGCATCTGCACTCATGCTTTAAAGATAATTTATAACAATAAGATCTCAAATTATTACTTCGAATATACATTTAAATATTTAAATATGTATTTAATGATAAATAAATGAATTTTGTAAAATTAGTTGCTGTGATATAAAGAGACTTTTTAAATGTAAATTTTAGTCAAGTTGACATTTTATCTTAAATTTGTTTAGATTTACTAGAACTTGATATATATACATTTTTGAATTTTTAAGCTGATTATTAGATTATATAATTATTTAATCTGTATGTTGATATTTCTCTTATTTCTTGGAGATTTGAAAGAGATTTTATATGATTATGCTTTCGCCAAGATTTTGTCGTTTTTAGTTTGATAGGTGAAGAGGTGTCCGTTTCTGTAAGGCTTTGTAAATTTTAATATTAAAAATGAATTTAGCTTTAGATTAAACCTTTTGATTTCGCCTGATTGCTTTTTGAACGTTCATTAACATAATTTTGAATAGAACTAAATGTTTTTCGATGTTTTTTGCAAATATCTAGGACTACTTTTTAAGAATCAAGAAATCTCTTCAATGATTTTTAATTTTTGTTGATTTTAGGTGAAGTAGTTAGAGATTAAGAATTTTTTTAGAGTTCATCTTAGGACAATAATTTTTCAGAGTACTCCATATTACAAAATAATTCTTAGGATTCTCTCAAGCATTTAATTGATTTTTAAACATGTTTTTGGCTATTATTTTATGGTTTTTCAACCAATTTAGAAGGAATTTCATCAATAATATTCTACTAGAGTGTTCCTATTAGAGTCTAAGATTTTAAATTATTGGAGTGCTTAATCAAAATACTTGACATTCTTTTAAATATTGTTTTCTTTCTCATTTCATTTCTTTTTGACTCCTTTTATTGCAAATGAAAAGCTACGTAAGTATTTGGATAAAGAGAAGCCAATCTAACCTAATAATATTTAATAAAATATACTTGTTTATCGCTGAGTGGTTCTTAACCGCTTTTTCTTCGAATTTTATTAATAATTTAGGGAAAATACACATGTTCAATTTGGCTTTGACTCTTATGCAATTTATTTATTTTTTTCATTCTAAGATTACGATTTGAGAGATTTCCTTGTATTATATAAGATTTTTAGATAGGTTGTAATAATTTTTCAGGGGTGAGTTTTGAATGTTTGTTTGAAGATTAAGATTTGACATAATTCTAATATGGAGACTTCAAAGGTAAATTTTGAATAGTACAATTTAAATTCTCTAATTTTAGATTTTTGTAATACTCTATCGATTAACACTGGGTTATGACGATAGTAAATATTTAAGAGTATCCATTTTATACTGATCTTCAGATAGCTGATTTGGAGTCCTTCTTTGATATTCTTTTAATGATAACATAATTATATTTATATAATAAGATTATTTTAATCAAGCTCCAAAGAGTTATGGTTTTGATTCCACATCTTCATAATCTGAGACATCTTCCTCTTAATTTTGTTGATGATGATTTTACTATTTTTGATTTCTTTTTAATTATTAAATTAGTTTTTCATTTTATTACTACTATTGGGTACATTGCTCTTGTAATTTATTGATTTTATCTTCCAATATTTTTTGATTAGTTGATTTCATTACTTATAAATCATTCACTCTCTTTTTCAAAGCCACCATTTGCTTCTCTACTTCTAATTTACTTTCAACAAGCTTGATGCATTATAATTATAGTTTACTATTTTAATTTCCTTTTCATATTGATTATTCTTCTCCATAAACCTTCTTCTTAATGTTTCACTCTCTCCCAATCTTTCACTTAAAGTTGCATTTTCTTCTAATAGCTTACCCATCTTTTCTAACTTCCTCTCATTTTCAGACACTTAATTCAATTTCTATTGATTCTAATGGATAATTCCTATTAAAAATCATTCCATACTTTCCTAATCCAATCTCTTATCTATTTCTCCCTTCATCTAAAATTTCCTTTTAAATTCTTCATTTTCCTCTTCTAATTCTTCAAGTCTCTCTTTGAGGTTATCAACTTCAACTTTATTTGCTTTCTACATTTCTTAATATAATCCTTATAATTTAGCGATTTGCTGAGACATTTCTTCATTTTCCTTCTTCTCCTATTCCAATTCCTAATTGATTCCTGCTAATTCCCTCTTGGTTTTATTATATAGATCCTTAATTGTATCACATTGAGATTGAAGAGATGCTTTAACATTCCTTAAATTTTCAATTTCTTTCATAGCTGTTTCAAGCTTTTTAGTTTATTAGTCTATATATTTATTTTATTAGGCTATGTCAATTTTTAAATTTTAATTCTAAACATTCACATTCTCTAATTCCAACCCTAAATTATGACATTATTATCTTAAAGTTTCAACTATTTCTGATTCAATATTGGATTCAATTTACTTGAACTTTTAATTCATCTGAGTATTAATTTCCTTGATGCTAGCCAGATTTGGGGAAGGCTAATCTTATGCATAACACCATAAGCCATCCTTTAGAAATTTAAATATTATAATACTCCTGGTTATCCTCCAACTAAAACTTATCGAACAGCTGCTTATTGAAATGAGGAATCCTTTCTTGAAGCTGATTGCGATTTTTTTGTAATTGTTGAAACTGATTAATCTACCTTTTTGGTCTAGGTTGTCGGGGGCTTTTGTTAATTCATTATAAAATTAATATGAAAAAATCACTTACTCCTACTTCCGAAACTAAATATAATTGTTCTCAAAAAATACACCTACTTAAAAAAAAAAGAAACAAGGATATGTTAAGTTAAGCTGTTTAAGAAATGAAAAATCCATTTGATCCTTTATAAGTTTCTAAAGCATTAAAATTTCTAGAAAATCATGTGCAAAGAAAGGCTTTATTAGATTAAATCATTTACATTAGAGAGTAGAAACGTAAAAAGGAAGAATTTTATAAGATGTCTTCCATGAGAGGAATTCTCAATAAAGTTTCAAAGAGATTTTCAATAGTGAAAAATTAAGAAATTAAATACAATAGAGATCACAATGATTTTAAAATTATGCAAGAGGAAAGAAATAAATTTGACAAACTCTAATATGAAAATTTAAATATCTAAGTCAATGAAAAAAGACCATAATTCAGAAGATTATCTAGCTTAAGTTTCTTAACAAAAGAGACTGATTAGATAAAGTTCTAAGCAGAATAAAATAATGAATAACAAGCTTTATTCGTTCGCAGATAAACCTAAAGAAATGCAACACTTATGGTTAATGCAATTCTTAAAAAAGAGATGTATCTTAATTATAATTAATATCTTTTAGACCTGCAAGTCCAGGAAGTTCAGAAAAAATGATAGGAAATAAAAAATTCAAAAAGTTATTATCGTAAGACTAAGTCATAGAGTGAACAGTAAAAATGATGATATTAATTTGCTAATTTATATATATATCTAAATGGAACATAAAAGATTTTAAGTTGAATCTGAGATCAAAATTTGAGTAGTCTATTATTAAATAATTGAACTTCTATTTGAAATCAACATACATACAACATAAACTTCACAGATTAAATTCAACATTTTAAAATTCTTAATTAAACTTTTGTATAAGGGCTTTATCTTGCTATTAAGAATTCAAAGATTCTTTAATATTAATAATTAGATACCCAAGTTTAAATCTTCAGGTTCAAAAAACTTTAAATCTGCAGGATCATTCAAATTTAATTTCCAAGTTTAATTTGTTTTTCTTATTACTTCTCCAAAATTAACATCTTTGAACCATTAATGCATTTATACATCGACAAAGTCTCTTTTAAATCCCAGTCTTTCTTTCGGGTCTTTTTTTAAGAGGTTGGTGATGAAGTCTTTGCACTCTTGAGAAATGGCAATATTAGTTGAGAATCTAACTTCTCTTTCTTGAATAGACTCAAACACTTAACTTTGATTATCACAGTAAAAGGGTGTAATCCCAAATATCAATTCATATGCTAATATTCCTAACATCCACCAATCTATCATTCTGTTATACCCAACAGCAGTAATCATCTCAGGAGCTATGTATTCTACAGATCCTGTAAAACTATAAGATAGTTAGTTGTTGGGCAATTATTTGCATAATCCCAAATCAGTTAAAGCAATGTAACCGCTAGAATCCATGAGAATATTCTCAGGTTTCAAATCTCGATACACATAGTCTTTATCGTGCATATAGCCTAAAGCCAGGAGTAATTAGGCCACAATAAATTTTACTCTTTCTTCTTTTAATCTAGTTTCCTTTTTTAAATGAGTATATAGATCACCTCCTTAATAAAAAGGCAATACATAAATTAATTAGTCATCTGTTTCAAATGCTTAGACCAATTTTATTATAAAAGGATGATCAAGTATTTCTAATAGTTTTCTTTCAATCTAAGCGTGATTTAAATGATCTGTAGTTATAACATCCTACTTTTACATCAACTTAAAGACATAATATTTATCTGTCTTTATGTTTTGAACTAGGATGACTTATCCCAACATTCCTTAATATAAATATTTGAGCAGTCTATATTATTGGGTGTAATCGTAACTTTTTCTTATTGACTGCTTTTAATTATCTTCGGGTGCTTTCAATGTCGAAAAATCATAATTGGCTAGTGTCTAAGGGTCGATATTAATAGGATGTCCATGCATTCTACATATTCCTTTTTTAGCATCTACTTTAGTTGTAGTATAAGGGATCAATGTTAGATCATCTGTAAGATAAATCGCCAAATACTTTTTTACAAGTCTTTAATAAGTATCAGAAAGTGTTGACAATATTTTTTCTCGACTAATCTAGATATTGAATTTCTTACAAATCTAATGATGAGTATCTGTAATCATATTCATCTGGCACATGAATAACAAATTCAAATCCGCATTTACTTATAGTGATGCCAGCTATATTTTATATTGCGATTTTTCTAAAGTATTGTTATTTCAATCAATACCTTTTCACTCTAACACTTGAAACAACTTTTGAAAAAAAATTTACAAGTGTACTTTAAGGAGTTATATTGTATATGTTCTTATTTGTTATTAGCAATATCCTCTCTTATTGCTTATTAATGTGACTAAATTTCCAAAGGCAAGTAGAGAGTAATATTGATTCTATATAACATTTTCACACTTTACCACCAGTTTCTAAGATACTTAGAATTCTTGAATCCTTTCCACATTTTTCTCTGTCCAATTTTTACGATTAATAGTTCATTTAATTAAACTATTTTTCAATTTTCTATGTTGCCTTTTAATCTAACATAAATTGAAAGGAAACACGAACACTTACTAAATTTGATATATAGGAATGATTCAATATATTTATATAAACTTTGAATCCAAACTGCATACAATAAAATACCAATTAAGCTATTAATCACGAGTATTTTTTAATAAAGATTAAGAGGTTAGAAATATTCATGAATAAATTATTAGTCTAAAAGATTATTGCTAAATTTATAAATTTATGTAATTAGTTTTTATAAATATAATTAACCCCCATCTTATAGAATATAATATAATGTTATAATGGTTATAAGAATTTCATTAAAACTCTAGACATTCATTGAAATCTTCATTCCCACTATCATTATTCACTTTATAAATAATCTAGTACGGATTTTAGAGGCCAAGATGAACTCTTCTAATATAACAATAGAATCTATTTTTAACCATATTTTCCTATAGATTAAGATATAAGAGTACCGGTCTCCCTTTGAAATGAGATGAAATGAGACTCCATTTCCCCCATATTCTTAATACAATTTAAAAAGGGTTGCATCTTCAGCTTCAGTCCATGGTCCAGTATTAATTTCAGGGTTGATATTATTTATATAACGTTCTCTAATTTTTTTACTCAAAATATTCGGAAAATCTAAGGCACTATAGTTGAATTAATTTTTACATGAAGCAATAATTTTCCAATTTTTTCCATGTTTCTTGACTAATTCCAATATTATTTCATCCTCTGCTTAAGTCCATTGTTTTCTTTTAAACTACAATATTTTCAAATATGATTACAATCTTAATAGGTTGCAATCTCCTCCATCTTTAACTACATTATGATACATTTCTTCCTGGCATATGCTTAGCAATTTCATTCCATTTTCCATTGTACTTCTAGAACTGAGTGCGTAGTTGAGCATCTTCTTTTGCATCCCATAATTTTACTGCTCTTTTCTATTTAAGAATAGAAATGATACTTACTTTTTTTGTAACAGTTTATTACTTCTTGATAATGTATTCAATTTTATCTTAAATAAGTTGAGATTGTTGTCCCTCTTACTATACTATTAAATCAGATGGTTATTGAGTCGAAATTATGTCACTAAATGAAGGAAAACTTATAAGATTAGAATTTATTGATACTCTAGCTGTTCAATATTGTATTGATTGTCTAATTAAAGGTATTAATCCGTTTCTATGGTAATATTTTCGAGGATTTGACTCTGAGTATTGTCATAGCCTCTAGGTTAAATAGATATAGTTTGAGCTCGTTGTTATATGATTCTATTGGCTTTATCAGGTTTCTCTTGATTAGAAAAGCCATATATCGATTAAAGACAATTAAGCATGATAATTAATATATTTTCAAATTTATTCAAAAAAGTGCTTATATGTTCTCTAATTTAAGTTTTGAAAAATCCCTCAGCATTATTTGAAAGTCTTTTTTAGATGTATTATGGAAATTTTAGAACAAATCTTTCTTCCTAAAAATAATTTAAATTTAAAGACCTTCAAGAGATTAATCTACATTTCCTTTTTCAGGACTAATTTTTAATTATTAAGCCATTTATCGATTGATTTTCATTATTATTATTACTTTTGTTAATTAAATAGGTTTGGTTTTAATTAGAATAGAATTTTCAGGTTTCAATTATTCATCCTTCTTCTCAGAAATCCCCACCAATCTTGCTTTTCATCCACGCAATTGTAAAAATTATTTATTTAATATTTTGTTTTCAAGATATTTATTTAAATAAATTACATTAATTAATTTTTAATTTTCTTCTTATCAAAATATTTAATATCAATACTATTTTAATAATGGTCAAGTTAATTCTGCCAAAGATGGACTGTGCGTTTAAGGTTTCTATTTTGCATTTATAAACTTTTCATATTAGGTATATTGGAAAATTTTAAGATATTGATCAGAAATAACATTATATTATTAAAATGATTATAGAAGGATATATTTATAACTTATCTCATAAGTTAAATAGTGGAAATTGCACAAAAATTTCCAACCATTATTATAAAAAGTAGAAATATCAAAATACATTATTTAGAAAGTTATTTTTTGATAATCTAAAATTAAAGTCTTAATAGAATCTCAGAATGACTATTAATCACAATTGTTATTTATAATTTTATGGATAACATCAAATCTATGAATAAACTAAAACAATCATTATCAATTGTATAAGCTTCTACTTCTAAGTAGAGGAGATGTTAATAGCTTCTTACTTTTCAAACTAGCATAACTCTTACAAACCTTTTTCACCTTTGACTAATCATCATCTGAATCTTCCTCACTTGATTCATCATCCTCATCGTCGCTACTGGATTCAGATTTAGTAGTTCTAAGCATTTTCTTTTCCAATTCAGAAGGATCCTCTGGATTCACAAAATCTAAGACCATTGAACCCTTCTTATCAAAAAAATATAAGGAGAGTGTAAATATGATTCCGAAAAATGAGATACCTGAAAAGAAGAATCCAACGTTGGAATATCCAATTTCAGGATTATCAGATTTCTCAACAATATAACCTGCTAATATAGGGAAGAAAGCCAAGGCAACGCTCTCAAACATTCCTAATAAACCGAATGCTGTTCCTACTACTTTTTCTGCAACAATGTACTATATGGATGGTATTAACACACAGGAATATAAGGCATAACTGGATCCCAAGAACATCAAAGGTATAATAGAAAACCAATTAGGTGATCCATGCTCTCCATTAGGCATGATTCCGAATGCAAAATGGGTTAGAGTGAATAGAACACATGTTATTAAAATGAATTTTCTTCTTTTCCCTACTTTGTCTATGTATGGCCCAAAAAAGGGACTGGTGATAGCTAAATTATCTCAAGAATACCTGCCATTAAATATGGTATAGTCAAGACCTTTCCTGCTTACACATTCGTGAATTGAAATTTTTCTTATAAAAAGTCGTTGGCGTCATCAAGAAATGGAATATAGGATCCCAATGTTAAAGTACAAATTAAAACTAAGATCCAGAATGTTCCATTTAAATTTTTTATATCTTTAAAGGATACTCTCTCTATATCATCTTTCTATTCTTCACCTTCCTCCTCTTCTTATTCTTCAATTATAAATTAGCCCTCTACATATTATAAAAATATACTCAGCTTATTAAGTTCATTCTTTTTATCCAATATACATAAGACTACTGCACATACGAATGAAAAGACACACAAGATCACACTAAAAAACAGTGGATAAGCTAATCCCTCATAAGATTCATAGAGGATTGGAGTAAGGAAAGAGTTAGCAGCACTAGCTAATTCAGGTACGGTCATGATGTAACCAATGGCCTAAAATATAGATTGTTATAATTCAATACAGTCGACAACTCTTTTCCTCTAAACCACTTTCCTATGATGGCTGCTTATGCTATCACTAAATTCTCTGATGCACATCCAAATATTATTCTTCCTATTAACATGATCCAGAATATTTTAAATGCTCCTCCCAATGCTACAATAGTCTAAGCCACAACTATGATGGCACTAAAGAGAATGATTCCAAATCTAACACCTTATATTGAGTTAGGATTTATACCCAAAAAATCTATGATTATTCCTCCGATCAAAGTTAAAAAAATATTTGGAAATGAGAATGCAGAATATAATAAGTTATAATTTGAGATGGATATGTCTAGATCTTTAGTTAATTATTTTTGAAGTGCTTAGGGATTATCAAATGAATAATTATTTCCAAACATTAAGAGACACCCAAGGATCATGATGACATATTTTAATTTAGACTGTTTTGGTTCATCTTCTTTCTCTTCTTCATCACTCTCTTTTAAGATAGTTTTGTTGATATCATCAACCTTCATTGCACACTTTAATTATTGATTTAACTTATAATTTAAATTCTTGATTATTATTAGATTCATCAATAACAATACTTTTCAATATGCTAAATTGTCTAGCTAATATAATACTACAATTTTAAAATATGATCAAATTATAATTATTAATTTATGCATTTAAGTCCTTCCATTTAAAAAAGAGACTCTCCGAGTGAAATTCTTAAAGCAAGAATGGAAAAGAAACCCAGTGGACGATTTACTTTTCTTAAAACTCAATAGGAAAATCCTTGTTAATAGTAAGTGCAAAATAATAGAGATCGCATCAAATCTAATTTAAGAGGTATTGCAATTTAGTAACAGGTAGGTTAGATTCTGCACATTCTAAATAAACCATCACCTGCTACAAAAGATCAAATTGAAGAATTAATAGACTTAGGCAAAAAATTAGATATAGAAATTAATACAATGGACTCTGAATTCATTTGTCCAAATACTAAAGAATTTCATGAGAATTATGATATCTTAGAAGTTTTAGGAGAAGGATGTTTAGGGTTAGTAAAGAGGATTATTCAAAAATCTACTTAAGATCTTTTTGCTGTCAAAATTGTGTAGACTCAGGATGATGAAATAATTAGAAATGTAATAATGATTTGAATTTTAGATGATCATTGAGTTTAAAAGATTGATTAAATTGTCCCATGAAAACATTGTTAAAGTACATAAATTATATGTTGATTTTGATAACAGCTTCTAATCTGAAAGTAAGGCTTATGTAGTAATGGAATTGATTGAAGGGTAGGAAATGTTTGAAGTTTTAAATTCTTTGGGACATTATTGTGAAGCAGATGCTAAGGAGATCTTTAAATAGTTATTAAGTGCTATTGAATATATGCATAGAAATGGAATTTGTCATAGAGATTTAAAACCAAACAATATACTTTGTGTAAATAGTATTAATCATTTTGTTATTAGACAAAAAGTAAATCAAAGTGACAGATTTTAATGTGAGCAAATTTAGTGATTCTTACAAGGAATTCGGAGATTTGAAAGACAGAGAAAAAATCGAAATGTGGACATATACTGGAACTGTGGCATTTTCTGCTCCTGAAATCTTCACAGGAGAAGGATACAAGTAAATAGTTCATTGATAAAATATTAGTTAGATGGTTGATATGTGGAGTGCAGGGTGCATTTTATATTCAATGTTATCAGGATAATTACCATTTAATGCAGATTAGTAAATTTTGATATAATTTTAGTCTCAATGATTTGATTGATAACATTAAAGAGGCCAAGATTAACTTCCCTGTTGAGTTATTTGAAGGAGTCTCTAACGAAGCCAAAGATCTGATCACTTAATTACTTTAAAAAGATTGGGCTTTAAGACCTCATCCTGATTCTGCATTGAAACACGAATGGTTTAGCGAAGATTAGAAGTTATTGGAAAGCCAAAAGAGTCTTTTAATAAGATTAAATCATAAAAAGAATGATCCAAGATTAATTCTTAAACAGAGACACAATAAAAGATAATAATCAATATTGTTGGGTTCTTAATAATTGATAATTAATCTTCACTCAATGGAAATACAACAGGAAATTCATTTACAAGAGACTTAATAATAACTGTCAAATATGTGTTCTATGAGATTGGATTCTTGTCCAAAAAAGAGTCAGTTTAGTTTCACTGCTTACAAGGTACCTGAAAATGAACTAAATATATATTAATATTTGCCTCCACCTTCACCTGATAAAGAAAATGAAATAGAGAAAGTAGGATCGTTTGAATCTGGAATTGTAGATCCCCTTATGCAATGCTCAGGTAGATTTTTTGGAGATGATAAAGTGAAGAATCTCGATGACAATTCTGATTAAGCCTATTGATATTTATAAACCAGCAAATAACTATAAATATATTTACTAAATTTAGTTTATAATACGCAATATCCCACATTAATTTATACTACATAATATCTTTAATTTTCCCAGGTTCAAAACTATCCAATATATCCTGCATTTTGATTAATAAAAACATACAGAAAATCAACATGACACTCTTTGATTAATTGGGAGGAGAAGCCGCCGTCACAGCAGTCACAACTAAATTCTATGCTAACATCCAAGCTGATCCAACAGTTGCTAACTTCTTCAAAGGAATCAACATGGCTGACTAAACAAACAAGACAGCTTCATTTTTATGTGCTGCTCTTGGAGGACCAAAGGCATGGGGAGGAAGAGTACAAAATTACATTGATATAAAAATAGAACTTAAAAGATGTCCATGCCCATATGGGAGTCACAAACGCCCAATTCACAACAGTTATCGGACATTTAAGAAGTGCCTTGACCTCTGCCGGTGTCGCTGCTGCTTTGGTTGATTAAACTGTCGCTGTTGCTGAAACAGTCAGAAAAGATGTTGTCACAGCCTGATTATTATCATATATCATGAACATATATACAACATCATCTCTATTCAATTTTCTACTATTTTTATTTTTTCTTCAACTCAAAACTAAATTATCAACACGATTACTATTTTTATCTTAGAGTCGCCCTACCGCCTTATTCATGGTATTCTAATCGAATGATAGTAATGCTCTACATATTATTGAGGTTTAAAATAGTCTCAAACTAATTATGTGTGTCTTCATAAAGAAATGGGAAAAACGTAAATAGTATCTAAAATATAAAATTAAATAGCATTAAAACTTCATCTATGATATTCACTTGTCAGTGAAAGACAAACTTTATTTTATAATTTAACTGGGTATCAAATCATCGAAGTGTTGTCCAATTTGTAATTTTATAGAAATCGCATTTCTTACAAACATTAATTATGACATAGAAATATTCATGTGTATTCGACTCATTAGGTTATTCGAAAAAGGGTACAGAGTTGTACTGAAATTTTCAAGAGATATTTTCACTAAGTATTTTCACAAATATTTCGAATATATTAATTTACACTAGGTGTTGTTCCATAATATATTAGATTTTGATTAATTTATATTTTAGAGATCTTAGTTGGTCTGATAATAATATAAATTCATTTAATATACATCTGTTTACTTTTGGCATCCATTTTATGATCTATGTATGAATTATACTCTCTCACAATCTTTCTATATATTAATTTACTTGATGGATCAAATTAATTTATGTGACCTCGTATATAAGCGAAATGTCTATAAACTGGACGTATAAAATTATTAAGATTCTCAAATAATCAAATGACCAAAAATTGATTTAAATAATATAAATTAATACTCTTTTTTAACATAAGATTTGAAAACTAAAAGAAACTTTTTTTAAGAGGGTTAATTGAGAAGATGTTGTATTCTTAATAGATATTAACAGGTATAATTGATTTAAGAACAATATTTAATTAGATTAGAAGATTGTAGTAATACAACAGTAATTGCATGATCCAATTTTTTCTTAAAGATTGGCTATTGCTAAAGAGTAGGTAGAGAAAACCTCATTAATATTAATTAAACTCATAATATATTTATAGTTTTATTAAGCAATAAAGATGAAGCCATTGACTTAATATTATAATTCTAGTTAAAATAATGAATTGATCAAAGAATTATAAGCCAAAGGAAGCGGTGAACCTTCACAAGTTTTATGAGAGTTTGAATTGTTAAATTTAAGAAATTACTCATCGTTGATTTCATAATATATTCAATATAAATATAGCAATACACTTTACTATATAGTCATTTATAATATTAATAATGCATAGTGCCACATAAGAAGAATTAAAATCGAGGGCAAAATAGAATGAGATATCGTCTGGAGAAGAAGAATTGCTATCTGATTCAGGGGATGAATGCGATCCTGAAAATTACAATTTTTATATGTCCCAAATTGACTTTGCTGCTTTAGCGAATGGGATTAGTTAAGATGATTAAAAAGGATAAGAAATCAATTTAAGAGAAAGAGTTAGCACCCAATAATTGAGATAGGAAGTCAATTAAGTGAATCAACATATCAGTGGAAATCATTAAAATATAACGAGTGTTCCTAATCCGATTAAGTTGCTGGTTTCAAAATAGAAAAGAAGATATAATTACAATGGATTTAATTTAGATTTAACATGTATCAATAAACCATTAGTATAGATATCACTGAAAAAATTATAGCCATGGGATTCCCTGCAGAAAACATAGAATCGATATACAGAAATTCGATGTAGGATGTTAGAAGATTTTTTGATTCGGTGCATCCAGGACATTATAAAGTATACAATCTTTGTGAAGAAAGAAAATATGATCATTCAAATTTTAATTAGGTAGCAGAGTTTCCATTCCAAGATCATCAAGCACCTACATTCTCTCTCATATATGAATTTTGTCTTGATTTGGTATGTATTCTTAAAATATCAATAAGGATAATTGGCTTAAAACACACGAAAAAAATGTAGCAGGAATTCATTGTAAAGCTGGAAAAGTAATTACAAATTTATAAGATTTAAGGGTCGTACTGGTGTCATGATATGTTGTTATATGCTTTACGCCAAATAATTTACTAATGCCTATGATTCAATGAGATATTATGGAATGATAAGGACAAAAAATAAGAAAGTAATTTTTTTATCAAATTTTCAAGGGAGTTACCATCCCCTCTCAAATCAGATATATCTTTTATTTTGAAAAAGCCCTCAATAATAGATGGGTTCCTGACAATATGCCCAATAAGCAAGTTGAATTAGTCAAAATTCGATTGATTCCAGTACCAAATGTTTAAGTCTTTGGAGGTTGTGCTCCTTGGTTTAGAATCTAAAATAAAGACAAAGAATACAATTCTAAAAATTAATTCCCTGTTAAAGAATATAAATTAGAACCATATATTGAATTCAAACTCAAGGATATTATACTATAAGGCGATGTTCTTTTACAATTCTTAAATTAGGGATTTTGGTCTAGGTATACATATAATATAATATATAATTTTGAAGAAGTGAGAAACTTTTTCAAGCTTGGTTTAATTGCGATTTCTTTGATTATACGGGTGTCCTAATGATTGATAAATTTATGTTGGATAAAGCCTGCAAAGTAGTATATTATTTTCACATAGGATAAATCTGGGAAAACCTTTTAAAAAGATTTTAGAATTGAATTACATGTTGTCGAAGTTAATTAGGATAGTAAGTCACTATAATCAGTTTATAATAATACAATTAATTAAATTACTCATAAAAACTTTGGATTTTGATCATTATATTTATTTCAATAAAATCAAAACTAAAATGAATAACTCTCAATCTACATATAGTAACAATTCAAGATTTGTATCTTCTCATAGAGATCCACTTCAAAAATACAAAGAGAGTTTGAAAGAGAAGTTTAAACTGATGTATGATTAAATTGAAGAACAAAAATTTACAAATCCATTTGTTCTTCATGAAGGAACTATATTTCTAACAGAATAACAATCATTAAGATCCTTCTTAAATTCGACTCAAAAATTAGTCGAACTTTCTCAATTCTAAGATGAATAAATCTCTGTAAAAAAGGATAATTAAATAATAACTCTAAATGCAGAACCATGTAACTCAACCATTAAGAAAATTAGACCAAGAATATTTGATCCACCTCATTTTCCACAGCCCCTCATAATAAGTTTAGTTAAAACATCCTACATACCAAATACTCTCTAGCAACTTCATGAAGAAAAGTTCTGCTAAACCAGTTTTAAAGAAGATAAACTAAATCTATATACTTAGATTCAACCTATTCCAATTCAGAAACCAAAATCCTCAATTGGAACTTAAGTCAATTAAACCATAGAGCATATAGAGTAGCAAAACGTATCAGTCTAATACAGTATTAATATAGATTAGTATTAATCCTAAAATCATAGTTTTCAATCTTATATTGATAGATACTATGATTATTAGTAATAAGAATAGTGTATTGATAGAAAGCAAAATAAATCTGAATCTAAGTTTTAGAATGAAAATGATGATTATTACTATATGTTTTGTTCAGAATGTTAATAATTCGTAAGAATGTACAAGAATAATCATAATTAATTCCATTAAAGACATTGTAAGACTTTAAAATATGAAAATACGTTTTCCGAATTTATCGGAAAATTCAAATACTTGTTAGTTTATGAAACTAATTAACTGAGAGATTATGATGAAAGGTGCATAAAAATAAGGAAATTTTGTCATGTAGCTTCAGAAATTTGCACTGTGCTACAGAAAACATCTTGCAACAAGAGAATTAATTAACTGAAAATTGATCTAATTAAAATCCATAATGAAGTTTATAAACTACATGATACACATTCAATGAAAATCTATTAATTGTTTTAACAAATGAAGATTTAATTGGCTGTCTGATTTTTAGGATATATATATCTATTATATATGTAAATATTAATATACAAATAATGTAAAATAATTTCTTTTTAATATTTTATCTTCATTAAACATAGCCGAAAACTATTCAAAACTAAGATATGGAGCAAATACCAAACCTACCTTAATTACCCCTTTAATTATTTTTCCTTCTTTATTGCGAATATTATTGGTTCAACAGTTATTTATTTAATTTGTAATTCGATCTTTGCCATTTATTATTCGTATTTAATTCCTTTTCTTAGTTTTTCTTAACACTAATTATAGTTTTAAACTCATCATTTCATTTATTTCAACTTGAAAGTAGTTGTTAAAAACTAAAAATCCTCCTCAAATTCATTCTATGTCATAAAAGAATTGAGCTGCCATCAAGGGTTGAAAATTTTCAAAGATTAATAGATTATAAATTTTTTCTCTCTTAGTGAACTCTTTATCAAAGACTATTTTTCGGTGATTTTTCATTTACAAATCAATTTCTTTCTATTCCATAATTTTGTTTCTCATCGCAATTTTTAACTTAATTCTAATGATATAATAGAATGATGACATATTCTACTTCATCTCAATTTTATTATTTTCTACTTAATCATCTTAATAGATGTTCTTTATTCTTAATTATATCATTTGCTCTATAACAGGTGTTCATTTTATTGGGAATTTTAACTATATATTACATAAAGATCTTGCGTCATCAAACGATTTTGAGGGAAATTTAAATAAATTTAGCTTCTACTGGCCATGAAGCCATCAACTTTAGGTGAAATGATAATAGTATAAATAAAAATGGAGTACCATTGATTCAATTATTATAGAGTCAATCCCATTCTCATTTAGCTGGATATCATCAATAAATTAGCTGTTGATCTTTAAGTTTCATTTCAATTTGATTCACCAATATATCTTTTTTGTCTACATTAGGAATTTAATAAAACATTTATATATGATTTCATCCTAAGCTTTTATAATGACTAATATCAATAATCCAATAATTTATTTTATAATATAAATATATCATTTTAATCTATTTAATATTACAGCGAGTCAGAGCTAGTAAAGCTATGTTCATCATATTCATAATTTAATGATCTAATAATCCATTTAATATACCTTAACTATATTTAAAATTGATGGGATTATATTTTAATTTATGCTATAAACTCCTTTGAGGGAGAGAAGATGCTTATTTGATTACTTACTTCAAAGAAGAAGTGTAAGCACAAAATAGAAATCGAAGCGTCTTAATGGAATCCATCTTGAAGGAATTAGAGCCACCTTAGATTCAAGAATTCAAAAATCCAAACAAAATAAGCTTCAAATTAAAACAGAATATATGGATTATTTTATTTTCGAAACAAATGAAACAACAATAATTCCTCAAACTAAAACAATTTCGTAAAAATAGCCTGCTATATATAATTTACAATTCACAATGAATAAAAACTTAGCTTAATAATCGAGAATCAATAGAAAACCCTGCAATTCATTTAATACACTTTAGGTTTATTCAAAATCTCTAGATAAATAAGAAGGCAGATAATTCAAATGAGATTAGCATGTATATAACTATAAATTTTTATAAATTATATCGAAGTAATTCTAAGGAAAATATGTATTATTAAAATGGAGAAATAATAATTGATATTTATTTTTTACTCTGAGGTTTAGGCTATTTTTATTAGAACTATCTCCATTCTATATAGCTCAACAATCAATTTAAATTAAAATATAACAAATTTTTAAATATAGAGAATTCATCAATTTATTAATACAAGAATAAGTCATACTAATTGAGTTCAAATAGATAGGCAATTAAATTTACATTAAGTATTTTTAAATACACAAATTACTTATAAATCACATAAGTTTACAGTAATTAAATTTGCCGTATTTATCACATTCATGTTCATCCTTCATTCTGTGTTTTAAACATACGAGCCTTTTACAAGAAGTACAATAAAATTTATTAAGGTCATTTAAGGTGATTTTACATTGTGGACATTTTGATTTTTCTATATTAATCTTCTAACAGACATGCTATTTCAAAGCATCGATTTCAAATTAAGTAGAAAGGTAATTTATAACTTAATTGCACTAATTACATTTAAGAGCTTTTCTTTCTGCAAATTAAAATGGACATTCATGTTCTTTTAATTCCTTATGTTCTAAACAAAATTTTCTATTGCATAAAGTACACTTAAACGGCAAGAAATCTCGTCTTTTGCAATATTCAACATCACATCTTTCCATTTGATCATCTAGATTCATTTATGTTTTTGACAATAATTAGTGTTAATAAAAGTATTTTTTAAATTAAATTCTAGAAGAATAATAAATAGAATGAACTAAAATCAAAACTTTTTTATATCAATAAAGTTTAGAGAAAAAAAGGTTGACTTGATAGAAGTACAAGATAAAACAGATGCTGCTTTGTTAGCCATAGAATTTTGTTAATAACACCCAGAATATTTGGAATACCGATACCGATTGATGAAAGTAATTGAAGCTATAATTTTACTTCATAAATTTAAATGAATTAAGTTGAGATCATTAATTTTTTTTCTTAACCTTTTTCATAGGGCAATCGGAGCCTTTAGGATGCCTTCCTGTGATACCGCATGAAGGGCAGAGTTTATCTTTTTTTTCTTTTTAATTAGAATCCGCTAAAGAAGGGATTGTTTTAGTATTGATATTACATACATCCTCATAATGTCCAAACTAATTACATTTTTTGCATTAAACTTGTCTCATTAAGAAGCCCTATTTTTATTTTGAATTGTTTAAGTGTGTTTATTGTGATTCTCTGTTCTAATTTTTCCACTCTGTCTTGAAACCTTCAGAACATTCAGGATATAAACACAGTAATTGAGATTTTTATTATAAAGTTGAATTTTCGGAATATTCGGTTTGAAATATGATGGAATTGCATTTTCTACATTTTTTATCTGTTCTCTGTATAGATTTAATGTAATCAGGTAAAAATATTGCTTAGTTGCATTAAGGATAACCAAGACAACCAAAAAAGTAGGAATTCTTTAATTTGGATTATCTAATTTTCATTTAATTTTAGCACTAATTGCATTTGAAGGTTTCTTCAATATTTGAACCCTTGAAAAATTTTGATTGAAAATTTGAGGTGTTATTGTTTTCTGATCTAGGTTAAAAATTAGATATGCTGTTATAATTTTAAGATTTAGGTTGAAAATTAGATATACTATTAAAATTTTAAGATTTTTCTTAACCTAAACAGCATTTTAAACAAATCTCTAGGAATGTTCCATTAATTTATTTAATTTCAACTAGTTAAGTACCACATATATTACAGAATGACGAATAATTCTATTAGTGTAATTGTTATTATTATTATATTTGTTACTATTACAAGTATTGTTATTATTATTATTATTATTATTATTATTATTATTATTATTATTATTATTATTATTATTATTATTATTGCTGTTATTGTTATTGTTATTGTTATTGTTATTATTGTTGTTTTTTTGGTATTTTGTTTTTTTTTTACTTTTATTGGTTTTGCTAGGTTAAGTCCCTATTTTAAGTATTATCATCATCATTATTTTCATCATAATCTTTTAATGCTTCTAAATACTATCCAAATGTAGATATGATCTAGCTTCTTTTTTCTTAAAGTTACTTTAAAATATCACTCATTTCGGCTATTGTCGCTTCGACTATTTATTTTTTTTATTTAGTTCCCTATGCTACTTCATTCATCCTTTATTCCATAACAGCTCTTAAGTGTGGTTTATGCAATGTAAAACCTAATATTTCATAGGACTCTACTAATGCTAACCCAAGTTTGGTTGGTTTTATAATTTATCCTTTCTTTATAGCATATTCTCTTTCTTAAATTGTATTGATATGCTCATGAATGGTGGCATCAGTTCCTATACCATTTTTATCCATCAATCCAATTAATTCAGATTCAGTCATAGGTTTTGGAGGAGAAGTTTTACCATTTTGAATTTTTAGTGTTATTTATACCAAATCCCCCTTATTATAATTTGGTACTTAAGATTATGACCATTCATCATAGGGATAAATTTCTAAATAATTTTTTTCAAGAATAACTAATCCCTGTTTATAGAAGGATTCCTCTTAAACTTAAAGGTTAACTGTTGTTTCAGAACCTTTAGCATTTTTAGAGCAACATGCTAAGAAATGTCTTGTGATTAATTAATAAATTTCCCATTCTTATTATGTTTAGGCATCTGACTCACGCATCATTTTAACTGGATGTATTGGAGGATGGGCTTTATCATCTTTATTACCAGCCCTTGGTTAATCAAAGTTAAAGTTAATTAAGCTTTATGCAAACTCTCCCCATACAGGATGATTAACTTGATCTCTTATGATATTTTATAAATTTATAGTAGGTGGAAATTTATTAGTTTCAGTTCTTGGATAACTAATAAAACCTCTATTATATAATTTCTCAGCTAATTCCATCGCTTTATGAGCAGATATTTTTAGTTTTTTTGAAGCCAATTTTTCAAATTCAATAGTTGATAAAGGGTAAGGTTTCCATTTCTAAACTTCTTTTGATTGAACATCGGTTATCTTAGCTTATTCTGTAAAACATCTTTCAAATAATATTAATACAATCATTTCATCAAAAATGTTGCCTCTGCTCCAATTATATACACATTTTGTTTAATCTTCGCATTAGATAAACCAAAATTTCTCTTTTACAAATGAATCTATTTCTTTTTGTCTTTATACTACAAATCCCAAAGTTGGAATTTAACAAGGACCATAACTAATGATGGATTACAAATTAAATTGCTATTATAATAATAGAGTTTGAAATCTAGTAAAAGAAGCTCCTATTCTAAGATCAATTTCTTATCTAGCAAGTACAGAATTAGATAAATTTTCATCAGGCTATTTTAAATTATCTAAAGCCTAAAATATAACATAATGATAATAATCTACTTTCTTAATATCAACATAAGTAACTGCTGAAAAATGAGCTCGATGTACTTAAATTTAAGGATTTGAATCCTTACAAACCTCCAGAACTTCAAATGCAATATTTTCACCCTCTCTATCGCAATCTAACCAGAGAATTAATTGACTACATTCCCGTGCAAATTATTTCAAATTCCCTTCCAAAAATCCTATTTTTAGTATCTTACAATACTCTTTTCATTAGGAATTATATTTTCAATTTCAGCATCCTTTAATATAATGATGGGATCCCATTAATCCCATTTCTAATATTGCTTAGGGTATCTCAGACTCTTTAAATGCCCTGAAACTGATGTTATCCACATCTCAACCTCCTAGTCTCCAAACTTAAAATTGAATTTGAATAATTTGTTATAAGGAGATTAGGTTTCTTCTACTGTGTGATCACGAGCAAGTACGTTTGCAATCGACCTGGCTACAGAAGGTTTCTCTGCTACATTGAGTACTTTGATTTTCCCAAACTATCTCTTTAAAACAGAAACATACCTTGATTCCTGTTCTAAAGTTATTCATTAATTAATTGAAATATACTCATCTTTCATAAAAATAATTCGTTACAATAGTAACTTAAAACAATCGTAGAACTATATTACTGAAATCAAGGATTTTTATTAATAGAGTAGTTCATTTAAGTAAACAAATTAATTTTGAGGAAATCAAATATAATTTACATTTAACAATTAAAATTTTAATATTATAATTCCTCTTTTCATCATAATACTAAGAGAATAAGAGTTATATATTATAAATATACTTGATTATTATTCTATAGATACTTGTATAATTCAAATTAGTTAAACTTCTAGGTTACTCATCTTGATGAAAAATACATAATCTGAGTTTTCATCATTTGGTAGTTGTATTGCATATTGGATATTTTTCATTAAATCTAAACACACTAAAGTTTTCTCCTCTTTTCTAAATGCAAACAAATAGGAACAATTTAAAAGCAATTAAATTGGAGTTTTTGTTTAACTTGATAAACATTCTAATAATATTAATTGATGTATTACCTCCTTTTTCATTGATTCCATAAAGCTTTGGAAACACCTATTTTTATTTTATTTAAGTTAAATTAATCATTCCTGCTTCTATCTCGTAATTTTCTACTGAAGACCTTATATATATATGAAATTAATTCTATTCTGTTAATTTAAAGACACCTTCCACAACTGCAAAGCACTCCTTTATACTAAATATTGTGCTGAATTTATTGGAATATTTCATATGTTTCTCAGATTTATCTATATCGAATCTTTTAGATGTGTTTGATTATATTTCTTTGATTTATTCAGTATCTAAATAATTTCTTTTATCATTAGACCTAGCCAGTTTTATAACTTTCTACTCCTCAGTTTATCTATCCTTATAACCCTTTAAAGGTGGAGGTTTTTGGGGTGACAAGCTTAATTCATGAACAATATTATTGGTTTTATTGATTGATTCATCAGGGGGTGCGATCTTACTATTCAAATGTTGAGTATTCTATTATACAATATTATTTAATTATTATTGTTAATTATCTTTGTACCCTCTCAAGGGTAATGCTTGAATTTAAGGGATAGTTTCAGTTATTATTTACTTTGTTGAGTTAGCTCTATTAATATTGTCTGTTGATTGAATTTCTTAGGCTTCTGAGAATAAATTGATACCTTAAGATTATTCATAATAGCCTTATTTCAGAGATGATTATTATTCCAAGTGCTGATTTTTGCGAACTTCCTTTTATTTAGTCAATACAATATATTTTTGGGGTTTCTCATTTAATTTATTATTGTTGAGGTTGGTACTTAAACCATTTCCATTTTCTTAATGAATAAAGTGATTCTTTTATTGTTGATCTCTCTATTAATTATTATCTCCTAAGTTAAGGGGATCTTTTTAGATTTGAAAATCGCATTTTAATTAAATTTCTTTTAGCATGTTGTTATTTTCAATTGTATTAGTAGTTAATAATTTGTCTTTTTAAAATATTGGAATTGATTGTTATTAAGCATTTTGATGAACTTGGATTTTGTTATCATTTTATTTATGTTATAATTTATATTCTCTTTATCTTTTATTTTCTTTTATTTAATTAAACAAAGATTATTGAAGCAATTTAAATTCTTATTCAGTCTTGGTGAAATGCATCTTAATTTATTTCTAGAGTTCATTATATTAATTTTCTGTCTAATACAAACAATCCTTGAAAAAGTGAAGTTATTCATTATCCAAATTTTAATATACATCAATTAGTTTGGAAATTTTTGTATCCTAATCAATTTGATTAGGAAGTAGATAATCTTGATATTATTAATATGATTAGATTTATTCCTTCCAATTTTTGTAGGTTTCAAAAAATGTTTGATTTATTAAGGATATTAAAGCATCTTCTTGATTAATCATTATTTTATGGATTCTAGCCAATAAATCTTAAAGCAAAGTGGCTTTCTTCTTATTTAACTTGGCATTTATGGTATTAATTAAATCCTCTTTCTCCAATACCTCATGACCTTCATTTTGATGAGCCACAATTGATTCCCAATCGTTTAAAATTCTATCCTGCTTGCATTAGGCACTCACACAAATAAAATAAGCTTCTTATAACATAATTATTAAGTGTTTGCTCGGTTTTTCATTTATAAAGATCAAAACTTAAGATAATCCTGTAAATATTATGAAAATAAGTATATATAATTGTAAATTAATTTAAATGATAATTATAACATCACATTAGTATAGGTTACGATAATGTTCTTGCATATTATTTAGTGTCAGTCCTATTTCTGATTTCAAGTGCATTAGGATGGTTTATCACATCTTTAAAAGAACGATACGATCTCCTCTTAATATTTTCATTAATGGGCTATGATCTATCCTTATTTTCTTTGATAGTGTCATAACCTATAAGGAGATCTTGAGAACCATTAGGAGATATATAATTGTTAATATGACGACTATGGATAGCTGTTTTGAAAAGCGATGAAGTATTATATTCAACAGATTCCTATGTAGAATGTCTTAAGTTATTAACATAATAATTTTTATCAATATTTTTAGGAGTGTAGGTATGTTTCATATTTGATTTGAAGATATTCTATTTTACATAGTCATCGCCTTAATATTTCAGTTAACTATCAAACAATCTAATTTAAATCATATTTTATTTTTGCTATTCTCTTTAATGTTCTTTTTGTATCATTATTTTATATTAAGATGTAAATTTATCTTCTCCAGGAGGAATAGTAATAGTTTCTGTTCTTGATTATCTGGAATCCCTTTTTAGAATATCAGCATTTTTGGGGTCACTTAATATGAACAATTTATCCTTTTTAGTCATTATTTTAAATGGCTATATATCCTATTGTGTTTCTTGTTTTTGCTTTCTCAATAAGCTATGTATTTTTTTTAGATTTTGATGTGCTATTGCCTTTATGTATCTAAATTCAGGTTTGACATCATCTAAAACTCTATCTAATTCTTATTGATAATGAGTTTCAGGGCCATAAAACTCTGCAAAACAATCGTATATTTTTGAGGATGCCATCTAAAAGTGATTGGCTGTTTCAACAATACCATTAACCATCTCTTGTCTATTATTGACAACCTCAACGAAGTCATTAATGATTCTTTTCGAATATGTGATATTATTCTTTTGTGAATACGGTTTAGGTAATTAAATGTAATCGAGAGGATTCTTTTTCCAATACTTTTTTAGATTTACTCTAACAGGAGCATCATGCCAATTATGAATTACTTAAACATTTTTATTTAAAGGTTTCATAATTTTATATCACTTTTTTTTATAAATAATCCCCTTAACTTTTTCAAGAAAGCCAAAAAAACAAAATAGTTATTCCCTTGCTTCACTTATATAGATGCTGCAGATCTAGCTTCTTTCTATATGATAAAATACTCAGGAAAAGTTCTTAATTAGAATTCTGTATAATAATCTAATTCAACTTAAATCCATTATGAATACTATTGAAATAGTAGAAATTGAAATCAATCAACATTCTATTATGAAAAGTTACCAACCATTATAAATTTATGAACTCTAGAATACCCTAGAATTTAGTAAAATGTGATAAAACATATCTCTAATTCTTATAACAATAATGATAATTAATTTAATTCTATCATATACATTAGGCCAATTTAACATAATTAGAAAGATAAAATGACTAGTTCTATATATACCAATTTATTATGACTAATTAATTTTATTATTTTTCTCTCATGAATTTTAACAGATAAGAGTCACTTTCAAGAAGAAACACATTATTGTCTCGTCCAAATAGATTGTATTCAATCTAGGATAGAAATTAAACTGAGGATCTTAAAATTTTAGTCGAATTATCATGTAGAAAAAACTCTATCTAAGATCATCCTTCAACTCTTAGACAACCAAATTCATAAAGAAGTTAATTATAAAAATATCGAAATCTTTATTTATATGATAAAAAGCTTTTCAAAAATAGAAGGGAATCTAAATCATCGAAAGAAAACTGCTATGAACAAAAAGAATCTAAATTCTCAATCAAATAATAAATGCCATAATCTCATATTAATTAAGAAGAAGAAATGAAGATTTTTAAACTTAAATTAATGAAATCAGAAGTTATTAGAAACAGGATTCCTGAAAGTTCAAAAGATGCAAAACCAATAAATTTTCGTAATAATAAAAAAATATCGAATCTAAACCTTGAACCTCTTAAATTCACAAACTTAATCGTTTTACCTTCTGTTAGAGGTTGGGATAATAATAACTAAAGCTCGTATAGATCTAATTGATCAAATATTAATGTTTTTTGTTTCCATTTATAAATTAATGATACACATCAATAATACTTGTCTTGGATTCGATCTATTCTACAAAATGATTAAATATTTATTATCTCCCAAATGTTGAACCAACCCTATTCTCAAAGTAGGTTACAAAAACCAGCTATTTATAATGTAATTCTAAACTTTTTAATGAATAAATTATACTGAATTGGAAAGTCTGATTATTTAAGTTTGGATAATAAAATAGAAGGTCTTATTTTTTCAATATTTAGAATATTTAATTAATTACATCTATAATTTTCATAGTCTTTAGCCATTTCTCCATTAGCATACTACTGGTTCTTGATTTGCACTTATTAATTTACCTTCTCCATGCTGTTTACCATTTAACCAATAGCCTTCATATTTTTTTCCATTACTCCATTCCATTACCCCGAAACCATTTTTTTTATCGAATTCATAATTACCTTCATATTTTCTTCCATCTGGCCATATTTGAGTACCAGTTCCATGCATCATATCATTCTTCCAATAACCCTCATAATATCTTCCATCTGCCCATGTATATTTGCCGAAACCATTCATTTTATTATCCTCCCATTATCCATCATATTTACTACCATCAGCCCATCTGTATATTCCTTAACCGTTTTTCATGCCTTTAGAATACTGTCCTTCATATTTGCTTCCATCTACCCATGTTTCACAACCAGTTCCATGATATAGATCTTAATCCCAATCTCCTTCATATCTAGATCCATCTTTATGCATGTATACTCCATATCCTTGTGCTTTATCATCCTTCCAAAAACCTTCATAAATATCACCATCTACATGGTAGAATATTCCATAACCATTTGCTTAATTGTTTCTCCACTCTCCTATATACCGTGCTCCATCTTTCCAAATTTATTCGCCAAAACCATCTCTAACCTCTCCTAACTATTATGATCTATTGAATTACCCAATCTCCATCATAGAGTAAATTACTATCAGACTTTTTTTTCTCTGTATTCTGTTGTTATAACGATTAACTAAGTTCAAATTTTTGATAAGGAGTTTAAAGTGAATTAAACTCTTTATAAGACTTAATGCTTTAGAAGTAACAATTTTATCCTTAAGGAGCTTCGTTTCTGTGTGAAAACTTTGATGATTTTTGATAACAATTATTGGTTGACTGATATATTGTTTCAGTATTATGCCTTCTTTAATTTAAAAGTTTCCTTTCGCTAATTAATTATTTCCGTATGCCGTTTGATCTCTCACTCTTTGTGATCAATATTTAAGTTGGTTCTTCCGAAGCTTGTAGGCATTTACATTCATTTCCCATAATTTTATTTATTTACAATGATTATTACTTGTAATACACTTTCAAATTTTCCTACTTACTAGTTATATTTTTAAAATTTATTGTTTTTCTTCACAATTTCTAAATCACAAATTTCACATTAAATAAATTAATATCATAAACAAGTTTTGACTTTAGTTGCTACTTTGAAGTACTTCTTCATGTATTTATATTTACATTCACTATAATATCAGAAAATATTAATTAATTGTTAATTTAAAATGATTACAATCAAATGATTCATTTCATTTCTACAATAATATACAATATTTAGTAAACAAACCTTTTCATTCAATACTAAAACCTAAAAGAATAATAATTAAATAAAGTCTAAATATCTCATTTATTAATTAGAATTTTTTTTATCTATAATTTAGAAAATATTATAATATATCTTTAGAATCCTTAATAAGTTTTTCACTAAAAAATGAGCGAAATTTATCACATCAAATATATTAATTATAATATTACCTAGACTAGATGAAATCAGCAGCACATACAGTCAGAATCTACCCACTTAGTACAAGCAACGAAAAAGACACTTAAGGAAATCTAAGAATTTTAAGTTCTAGAATAAATTTTGAAGATCCAACACCATTATTCTAAACTAGAACTCTATTAGCTAATTTTATTACAGAAAACCGGTAATCGCAATCCAATTCATAGCCTGAATAATGAAGAGAATGAGAATCAAGCAATTTTGATATATAACTCAATATTATTATAAATTAGAATTGACAATAGTTGTATACTTCTGTTAATTTAGCAAATATCCTAAGATGTGTTTGAATAATTTGGTTGCTATCAATAATTCTCCTCCTTTATTAATAGAGAGAACCATTTTAATTTTCATATCAATGAGGGATAATGTAATGGAATTATCAATAGCATAATACAAATAATTATGAGTTTATAATCATAAATTATTATGGCAAAGTCTAAAAACTAACGAATATATAGGCGTATTATTATTTAAAGTATAAACATTAGAGTGATTCTTAAATTTTTAAATAATTTTAAATGTAAACTAATATAATATACAGAGTTATCAATTAAAATCAATATCTATGGCTTTCTATTTGCAATTTAGAGGAATTTCTATTCAATAATTGTCGTTCCATCATACTGATGACAGTGGGACGAAGATTTTCGCTTTGAAATCTTTATCTCTTTTTAATGTGTTTGCCCACTTATGGCATTTGGAAACTTTCTTGTTTGACATCCTCAGGGATGATTGTGAGTGGTATATTCTTAAAGCAATTTGGTGTTTCATAAGTTAATTATAGTTCTGGTATTAAAATGGAAGAATCTTTTAATGGTCTTGATTATATAAAAAATAAATGTACTTAATGAGAGGTGCTCTAGGGATTATATTTTAGTTATCCATATCATCATATGTAAGTAGTCTTTTTCGTTTTTAATCACACATAATATTTTCAAAAATAAATAATGAAATGTGCATCACAAATTCTTTTGGACTTAAAAACTCAGTTATTAAATAAATTCCTTCTTAAATTCAACCAGAATTATCTAGAAACTCATATTTGATCAGATGTTATTTTTAAACAGTTTTAATTCTTCTATTAACATGTGTTATATTAATATAAATATTAGGAAAAGTACTATTTTTAAATACTCCTTACAGAGCTGAAGAATAATATTTTAGTATTGATCTGTATTATTTTTAATATTATAAAATTTGAAAATGAGTATGCCTTATCAACAGACAGGAAACCAAATAGATTATTAAGAAATCAAGTAAACTAAGGCTGATTTAAAGGCAGAAGTGCACTTCATAGGATAAATTGTGGGTGGTCTTGATTTTCAAACTGATGATGGATTATTTTGTGAATTGGCTATAGATTGTGGAGATGGATGGGACTTATTGCAACCAGGAAACAATAAAGGAATTCAAACTCAAACAAGTTATGCAAATGTAAGAAATATCAATTATATCGATTTATTAGCCAGGATAGCTTTTCTCGTGGGGTCACCCATTTGATTTGCACTTCTCTGTATCAAACATAAGTGGATGGCCGAAAGCTTTATTAAAAGTATGGAGATTGGACTCATCTAATAAAATAGATGCTTGTAGTTATGGTACTGCATTATTTCCAAGAAGTGCTGGTTATCATTAGATTACATGGTATCAATAGTATTTATTTAGTGAAACATGGACTCCAACTGGAGAGAATTTAGATCTTGAAGTTAGAAAACCTAATGAAGATTTAGCAACTAATACAGATTAATTCTCAAAATTTGATAGATCCTTAGATTGGAGATTTTAGGCCTTGTCCTTTTACATGGAAAATCCACCTAGACTGACCACATTGGCACCATTAACAACTGACAAAGGGGATTTCGCAAGAAGAAAGATTTTGAATAGCATATCAAACGGAAAAGTCATAATTGAAGTGGAGGTGGTAATGAAGAACTTTAAAAGACTGAGCTTTTCAGGATAATGAATTTTATGGTGATTTTGAGTGTTCTTATATGTTTAATTTTATTTTACTTAAAAATTATATGGACTCAGCCTTTTTATTTTGGGAGAAGTATTTCAATAATCAAATAGAAGTTAGTTGGGATGAGTTTAGTGAATCATTTTCTAAATTTATACAATAGTTTGGATCAATAATATTTGATGAAGATTAATTGCTATATATCAAATAGATCATAGATCCAGATTACAGAAATGTAATTAAAATAGGAGACTACATTATATTCTATGAGATTGTATTTCTATCATTTTATGCATAGTATTGGAAAATATAGTCTAAACGACAAGCATTATTCAAACATCAGTTTACTCTTCAACCTTTCCAGATTCCTAAACAGACTTTGAGATGCATTTAATTAAAGGTTCTCTACATAACTAATGGATATCCAGATTAATTCAGAGATATACAAATAACCAGAACTACTTAAAATAATCTTCCCTTAAAATAAGAAGAAGTATTTACTATTGGGAGTGGACAGAACTGTGATCTCTAAATTTTGAATGATTTAAAGGTAAATCCTATTCATGCTAAGTTAATATGGACTCCAAACAATCTGTTCCTAATCAAGGACAATTCAAAGTCATTCAGGACTTGTTAAAGAATTAAATAATCACTAATTTTAGATGCATATATGATTATAAAACTCAATCAGGAAACCATATTTTAAATAAAGTACATCCAGCCAATTCCAAAATTTTCAAGCCAAATTTCAACTAATTAGGAGAGTCTCAAAAATTCTTTACCTGATCTCCTTAAATAATTAAATCAATATAAATCTGTATAAGATTACAGAGAGAGAAAGGTTAATTTAATATAGCACGATGAGGAACCAACTTTGATACTTGAATTTATTGGAGGTCCAATGAAAGGAAGGGAATTCACTCTCAATCCGAGTTAAGAATATACTTTGGGTTGTGGTAAGACATGTTCAATATCAATACGGGATGGTACTTTGTAAAAGGAACATTGCTCAATAAAATTTAAAAATAATTAATGGATAATCTAACCGAAAGAATCAAATCATTTAGATCCAACTTAATTTGGCACTTTTGTGATGTTAGCTAATCAATAACAATATGATTTGTATTTGCCAAGCAGATGTCATGTCTTGCATGAAGGTATGTAGATTGTTATAGGACCCATCCTGTTTCAAATTCATTATTTTAGTTGATGTCTTTTTTGCATTTATATATATATATAATTAAAAATCGAAATGGATTCAGATAAACAGCATCATGAATAAAGTTGTTAAAGACTGAGTAGGAAAAGTCATACGTTTGGACCTAGTGCAAGCATAGGATAATTGGAAGCTAAGCAATTATAGGATGAATCCAAGAAGAAATTCACTGTTTCTTTTAAATAAAATGATGATGTTATCATCGTTGAAAATTGGAAGATATATAATGTTGATGTTAGCAATCCTAATTTTCAAACATAATCAAACAACAAATCCAATACTGGATGTTGGAATATCTGCTCTACTTTTTGATCTAATTATATTATATTTCTAAAATTCTGTTTTTTAGTTAGTAATATTATTTTTTAAAATCATCTCAATACTTTGATTCAAATTTCTTAAATTTTGGAAATCATTTTTCGATTACCATAATAAACCTGGTTAAATCAACAAATAAGTTAAAAGCAGATACTCTTCGCTATATTATTCAAATTCAATTATAAATCTATTGATATCAATTATAATAATATAATTCATAATTAATTTTTATAATTACTTTGATTAGTCGCAAGAATATTAGTTCATTTTTATTCTATTCACTCTACTTCTAATCCCTTAGAAAACCATATATAATTATATTTAATAAAAAATATCTATTCTTCAATTCTGATAATTTGATTTGTGTCTTGGTAAAGTACTTGTGGTTTATTTACAAGAATTCCTAGTCATGTAGTCTAAAATAGCATCATTAATTGATCCTGTGACTTTTGGTGGGATAAACAATAAAGGCTCCTTCTAATTGATTGTACTATACATTTTACTATTGTTTTCATCAACAGCTGAATATGCCATTTTTACAGCTTAATTATCATAACTACTATTGTAATTGTCCTTAACATTCGTTGTTATTTAGATTTAAGAGAACTTTTTCTCGAATTGGCTACTAATTTGTTCTATGTCTTCAAGTAATTCGTCACTAATATCCTGAAACAACTTGCCTTATTGTTTTGATTCATCATTTGTTATCACTTATTACCTATTGCAAATAATCACATTCGATTCACTAGCAACAAAATATAAAATGGCTGCTTTGGAATCATTTTCAGCTGGACTTATATAGATTGTGCAATCAAGTTTAACTTTTGAACTGTAATTCAGAATAGGATTATATGTTTTAGCATAAATAGACTAAATACTTAGATTACCATAAACTTCTTCTACAAAGGATGAATTATAATATGGCAATGCTCCTGACCAAATATCCACTTGTTCTGAGTCTACAGATAAAGGAGAGAAGGATATTTCATCAACATTGCATGTCATTCCAATAGGATATGTTTTCATTTGTTGAATGATAGTTTTGCAGTTTTCATAATTTATTGTAATTAATTTATTTTTTAAATTTGGCAATTCTATTTCTCTAGATTGAAGCATATTTACAGGTTTCATAATCGTAAAGAAACCTTTTTCTGAATAAGCTCCTACAATAAAATGCAACTAAATCGACTTGGTATCATAATTTTTTTCTATAAGTAAATAGGTAAATGACAATTTTAAAACCTTTATGTGAGATTTAGCTAATGGTTTGAGTGCCTTATATATAATATCAATTGGAATTTAACAGCAAACATAGTTCAATTAAGAATTTAATAAGCAAACATCTTGTTACATTTTAATGTTTAGACAGCTTGTTTCTGCAAATTTTAGATGATTTTCTCTAATTTACGATTAATATTCATTAAAGAAATCATTATTTATTTATGCAAAGCCAGCAGGTTTATCTGATTTATTGAGTTCATTAAATCTTTAATTCTCCGGTATTTCTGAAAATTGAATTTCTTTTAGTTAAAATCAGTTAAATACTTTCATCATCACATATAATAATAGGAAAGGAGAATATTTTGAGTATTTGTAGAAATTAATCTATTTTGAGTTTTCCCTCTAAAGTGAAATTCATTATAAAATTATTATTTATATTTTTAAAACTATTCTCAATAAACTAGTCTGAAAATTGCGTATTCAAGTTGAGCTTCTCATATATACATCTCTTATAATAAAATTATTTTTAATTCAATACTATTATAAAATGAGAATTTCATTAATGCAGTATTATGATCAAATGTGTCATGATTAACAGTTGTTAATATGAATTCTTAGAAGCTAATTAATTAATTTTCGATGTAATTTTTTAATAAATTTATTATATAATATGACTAATCATATTGCAATAATATCAAGTGCCACATTATCCTTAATTGGATAGATGATTATAGTAATACTTTTTTTCTATTTTTCAAAACTTCGAAATGGGCTAATCCCTAGAATCATCCTCTATCTCACAATAGGTGGTATTATATAGGTACATTAATTAATGTCAATTTATTGAATAGACTATAGGAATTCTGGGATCGAGCTTTGATGAGTTGAATTGTACATTATTTGGATTGTTTAGATTATATGGAGGGTTAAGTTCAATAATATGGAGTTCAATTTTGATATATTCGATAAAATAAGTAGTTATTTCATCAATGACATAGTTGTTTATGGTTTTTAATAATTAGAATTCATCAGAATTCATGGATATCAGAGATATTCTTAACAAGCTAGTTAAATTGGAGATGAAGTTTTGTTTATATTCTTTTGGCCTTCCATTACTCCTATTAACTTATCCATTATTAACAGCCTTGATTTATCATTCCAAGAACTCATAACTTTGTTTATTTTATAATATACAGACTGATCCATTACTCTAAAAGATGCAATTGAATATTTAAAAATTGATTCTTTGGATTATTCCAATAAGTTTATACTTGATTTATAGTTTGAGCATTTTGAATAGGATAAAGCATGTAATAAAGGATGATCAAGAAAAACAGGAAATCTATATTGAGGTAAAGAAGTTGATTAAGCAAATTCTGTTATTTCCCATTATAACATTTATTTGCACTCTGAGTTTTACAGTAGAAGACATCTAGAGTCTATTTATGTCTTAGATTGGATTGACATAGACCTCTATTTCTTTGGCTTTTTTGAGTTTTTGGGGATTCTTGAATTGTTTGGCATATTTGAGTCAAGATTCAGTGAGATTGGAGATCAGGAGTAGAAAAATGTCAGAAGAATAATAAGTACATTGAATATACATTTAGGATATGTGAAGGGATGATATAAGAGGAAAGGACACGAAGATTAAGTATAAGTTAGGAATGTTACTTTTATAATGTTTAAATGGCAAACAAGAATGATAGTTTATGAGATGTATACAATACTCAATGTAGATTTAATACTAAACGTCTGTTTATATTTTAATATATATACATTTTAGTATCCTAACTGAGTATCTACTCAAATGTAGGCTGGTTATTATCATTTCCCCATTTTAATTCAATAAAAACATTTAGTATTTATAATAATAATTCATGAAACCATTTTTAATTACAGATGAGCAACCCCTCCCAAGATCAACCAATTTTTAGACCACCACTAAATTAATCAAGGTCACCTTAGGATCAGGCATATTCGCTATACCCTTTGCCTATTCTTAAGCTGGACTGTTGTGGGGTGTGGTTTTGTAATTGTTAATTTGCGCAACGTAATATAAATCATGGTGTACAATGGTAAATTGTTTAGGAGAGGACAAACGACAAACTCTAATCGAGTATCTTTCATCTGTTTACGGAGATCGAAGTTGGATCTACATTTTGGCTAAAGTGATGTCAATCCTCTTGAATTTTGGATGTGGTTTGTCTTACATCATATTGTTCTAAACAACAATCGGAGAGTACTTTGATAACACTTTGTGGTGTAAATTGGTTATGTTCTTCTTATTGTTTATGATAATTTTTGGGTTTTCTTTTGGCAAAGACCTTTAGATGTTTACTCCAATTTTGAAATATGCCCTGGTGCTAGTCTACATTTCATTTGCTTATCTCTCAATATTGGCTGTTGTATAATATCAGAAGTGGGGTTTGGTTGAACCTGATGCAAAGAAAGTTATGATGGCATTTGGAATTATGATTTTTGCTTATGACATCAATGGGGTTTTGACAGAAATAAGAGTTGAAATGGAGGATACGTTGTCATTTAAGAAATGTCTCTTTATGGCAATGTTTTTAGAAACTATACTCTACTTGTTCTTCGGAATTACAAGCTCATTATTGTTTAAATCAGATACTGATCAATCAATCATTACAAACTTCCAGGAAGAATTCAAAGGGAATTATCCTATAGAAATCACTCTTTCAATTTTAATGATTTCATATGTCTCTATTTTGATTATCAACACATTGATGGTCAATATGCCAGTCTATCTTTTAGTCAATTTAAGTCCAGACCAAATTAAAAAATTCACTTTGAAAATCATCTATGTNTCTAGAGTCTATTTATGTCTTAGATTGGATTGACATAGACCTCTATTTCTTTGGCTTTTTTGAGTTTTTGGGGATTCTTGAATTGTTTGGCATATTTGAGTCAAGATTCAGTGAGATTGGAGATCAGGAGTAGAAAAATGTCAGAAGAATAATAAGTACATTGAATATACATTTAGGATATGTGAAGGGATGATATAAGAGGAAAGGACACGAAGATTAAGTATAAGTTAGGAATGTTACTTTTATAATGTTTAAATGGCAAACAAGAATGATAGTTTATGAGATGTATACAATACTCAATGTAGATTTAATACTAAACGTCTGTTTATATTTTAATATATATACATTTTAGTATCCTAACTGAGTATCTACTCAAATGTAGGCTGGTTATTATCATTTCCCCATTTTAATTCAATAAAAACATTTAGTATTTATAATAATAATTCATGAAACCATTTTTAATTACAGATGAGCAACCCCTCCCAAGATCAACCAATTTTTAGACCACCACTAAATTAATCAAGGTCACCTTAGGATCAGGCATATTCGCTATACCCTTTGCCTATTCTTAAGCTGGACTGTTGTGGGGTGTGGTTTTGTAATTGTTAATTTGCGCAACGTAATATAAATCATGGTGTACAATGGTAAATTGTTTAGGAGAGGACAAACGACAAACTCTAATCGAGTATCTTTCATCTGTTTACGGAGATCGAAGTTGGATCTACATTTTGGCTAAAGTGATGTCAATCCTCTTGAATTTTGGATGTGGTTTGTCTTACATCATATTGTTCTAAACAACAATCGGAGAGTACTTTGATAACACTTTGTGGTGTAAATTGGTTATGTTCTTCTTATTGTTTATGATAATTTTTGGGTTTTCTTTTGGCAAAGACCTTTAGATGTTTACTCCAATTTTGAAATATGCCCTGGTGCTAGTCTACATTTCATTTGCTTATCTCTCAATATTGGCTGTTGTATAATATCAGAAGTGGGGTTTGGTTGAACCTGATGCAAAGAAAGTTATGATGGCATTTGGAATTATGATTTTTGCTTATGACATCAATGGGGTTTTGACAGAAATAAGAGTTGAAATGGAGGATACGTTGTCATTTAAGAAATGTCTCTTTATGGCAATGTTTTTAGAAACTATACTCTACTTGTTCTTCGGAATTACAAGCTCATTATTGTTTAAATCAGATACTGATCAATCAATCATTACAAACTTCCAGGAAGAATTCAAAGGGAATTATCCTATAGAAATCACTCTTTCAATTTTAATGATTTCATATGTCTCTATTTTGATTATCAACACATTGATGGTCAATATGCCAGTCTATCTTTTAGTCAATTTAAGTCCAGACCAAATTAAAAAATTCACTTTGAAAATCATCTATGTGCTCTGTTAAATGGTACTTAAATGTAATTAAGATTTAGCTCACAGCATTCTTGTATCCTAACTTTGCCATAGTTCTATCAATAGTTGGGTGTGTTTGTTGTGTATCACTCGGATACATAATCCCTTATGGCATGACTTTCCACTATGCATTAAAACCAATCTACTAAACTATTAATACAATAGTTGTATTATTTGGAATTGCAGGAGGTGTATTTGGAATAATCACCTGTTTTTATTGAACTCATTTTACGTAGTTTTGAATTTAAATTTGTCATTCTATTTAAGTTAATTTAATTGTGAATTTTACCCTTATAAAATTTAAACTTTATGAACCCCTACTTATTCTTGTGTTTACGTAGCAAATATAAGTAAGACATTGATAATTATTACAAACATTAAATTTATATATGCTAAAAATACATACTCAAAACACTTTGTCTTTTTTTTAGTTGTTAATATATGATAATTCGTAAATTCTTTGATTGACTCTAAACCAATAATGATGGATGTTCTTCTTCTTTCTTTCTTGATATTAGAAGTACTATCTTGTAAGAATCTTTTTCATCCTATAATATTTATTTGTGGAATTACTCGAAGATGAAGTATACTGATTAGAGGAATAATCCAGTGGCTGTAATCTTAACCAATAAGGGAACTTCACTCTCTGGCCATGTGTTCCATACCATATAAGGAACTAAAGAACCTCTGAAGATGATATACAAAGCTAAGTTTTTAAATGATTGAATTACCGAAATAGGTCCATTCACAGGCTTCATACAACTTGGTATGTCTCAATCCCACTTGTCTCAAGATCACTCTTATGTGCATAGGGAAGTTGGATACTTCAGCGGACATCAATCCCCCTAAGACATATAAACAAGACTTACAGATTGAAGATGGAGCTCCGAACTTAGAAAAGGTTGCCACAGCATATCCACAGATGGCTAAAGAATGATGTGAGACTAAGGACATGTCTGCAAGGTCGTAGTAGAGACAGGCAAGGAAGTCATAGACAAAGTATGACGCACTAATTATCATTGTAAATTGCATGGTCTGGGAGTTAGCTGCTCCGAAACTTGGCTATTCAACTGCAAATGCATATCTCTTTTACCCAAAACAATGTATGCAGCAGCCCAGAATGTGAGGGCACCATGAATGATTGACACAATTCTGTTTTTGATATCATCCTAAACTTTCTTGGGGTGATTCTTCAAATGGACTCTCTGATTTATGATTGCAAAGATAGAAGTCCAAATGAAGAACGAATAGCTCATAACTTTAACTTGATCTGAAGTGCTATTGACTAAATCTATGTTTTAAAGATTTAACATATTTTTATTTATACTCAATTGTATGAATCGTTTTTATAATAATGAAATTGATTCTTATTATCGGTTATATTCTGTGCATTTCAAGTTCCAAATCTCTTGATTTCAAAGTGATGCTTTCCCAAATAGACCAACATCATATAGGCTAAACCTTTTTAAATGCTCTGCAAATAGGCCTAGCAAGTGGATCCCCTGTTCATGAGATTCAGAGCTATCTCAATAACATTAGGTATCCAGCATCATTCTATATTAGACTCATGCTTTAATCAGAATAGAAAGAGGCAGATAATTTTATATTGGAAACACAAACAAAATGTTAGAGAATATTGCATGATTTCTCATCCAATTATGCATATCATAGTACTTAACTGATAGCAAATCAAAAGATTCTGCAGGTACACACTTGGTTTCATTTAAGGAAAACACAGAAAATCTGCAAAGAGCATTAAATAAAATAGCTGAAGTTAGTGTGGAAATTGATTAAAATATGTTGAAAAATAACGCTGGTTAGAGTGAAAGGGATCAACAATATGCAGAATTATAATCTACTCTTAAAGATCACAATGAAGCTATTTCAGCCATTGATGAAGCCTATGCTCTTATTGAACATTTAGCCAATGGATCATCTTATATTTAAGTTAAAGGCCGTTTCAATAAAGTTATAAATCGACTCACCTAGCAATCTTCCGGTATTATTCGTCTCTTACAACCCATCATAACAATGATGTCCCAATTAGCATCCAACACAGATGAAACCAAAAAACTACTTCTCTTGTTGAGTGGATTGAAAGTCCAAATCCTGGAAGCCAAAAGCAAAGATGAAGATCTTGAAAAAGTGGCTGCCTTGAATTGGTAGTAATTTTCAAATGATCTCATTAATGAACAAAATGCTCTCTCTGATCAAAGACAAAATCTAGAATAATCCATACTTAATTATTAGAGCATCATCGAAGAATCCAAAGAAAAACTAAAATACCATTAGGTTGAGTTTATTATAAATAAAGTATAAAAGTGATTAAATAGGAAAATGTGGAAAATCAGGATATCTGGTGCAGATAACAATAGGATATCTACTCGATTGATTTGTAGTCCAGAAACTAAGCCATGTCTATGGTCTCAAAAATAGTAGATCACATGTAGGATAAGGTTGTAACACTAAAAGAATATTTAAGAGAGAGACATCAAATTCAGTCATGAATATTATATTAAATATAAAAAATCAAATATAACAATGGCTATATGCTAATTTTGCAGGAGGAAGATAGATGAGGATAAGATAATGTTGCATGAAATGTATTGTGAAAGAAATTGCATAAAGTGCACCAGATGTGGGTTAATGTATGATCAAAATGATCCAGAATCACACGAAGAAGAATTTCATAAATTACAACAATGTCCTCATTGTAAACTTGAGTTCTAAGGTGTCTCCTATATATTTATATTATAGATCTAAACAAACACTAGTGTTAAGAAGTGCCAATAATTTGTATTTATTGTAAATTGGAAATTCCTTAAAGATCATTTACAACACATGAAATGCAATGTGGCAGCAGAACAGAAAAATGTGAATTATGCAAACAATATGTCAAAATGAGTGAATTTTAAATTCATCAAACAATCTGTGTTTAAAAGAAATTTGATAAGTTAGGAAGAGGAGAAATACTAGATGACTTTCCATCTCTCTAAGAAGTGAAGCAAGCCATAGTACCCCCCAGTTTCGATGACCAATACAAGCAAAGATAAACTTAATAGAAATAAGCTTATCACAAAGTATAAACTCAATAACCCATTGAATCTAACAATGTTCCTGTCAAATCATAAAAAAATGAATCTCCTTATGACTAATAATACGGTATACTAGATAGAAGAGGAGAATAGAGTAAAAATGTTCCCACAAATTATCAAAAAGATGCTAATTATTATAATTATAATTATAATAACTAAACTAATCCAATCCCAGATAATTCCAGAAACAAAGAGCCTTATGTTCCTGATCAAAAGTATAATCAAGGAATTAAAAATAACTAATCATTAAGATCCACAACTTAAGAAGTTAAATAGCAATATGATAGAAATTAAAATCCTGACTAACAATTTGGAAATAGGTAATATAATGTGCCTAAATTTGATGAAAAATAGGAAAGAGATAGAAAATACTTACAAGATAATCAAATTTAACAAAGACCTAACTAATACATTAATAATACTTAGGAAGTTACTTCTTAAAATGATTCAAAATCAACTTAATACTCTAATAATTTTAAGCAACCTTCAAATAATCCACAATAGAATTCAAAATTTTCTACCTAATCTTAAAATCCTCAAAAGTATTAATAGGAACGAAGTATTCAAGATGGCTATGATAGCAGATTCCCAAATACTCAAGACAGAAACAGCAATGATATGTATTAGAAGAATGTATACGGTTAAAAATATGGTACAACTTAAACATAATAAATTTCTAAAACTTATTAACCATAAGTATAACCGCCCTATCTAAATTCAAACTAAACCAATAAATATCAAACTTCTTATTTAGAAGATAATAAAGCTTTGAATCGTCCTGTGCAATAAGAACGACCTGATGTAGGTTTAAATAGTAGAGATTCAAGATAAATATAGAATTAACGAGCACCTGTTGTTTCAAAACCATAAGATATTTAAGAAAGAAAATAAGACAAAACGAACTTTGCTCCTCCTCCTCAACATCCTTAATAATAGTAAGCTAATCAATTTTCATATTAGCGAAATTTAGATGCTCATCAAGAAGCATCATATTCAAAATCCTCATCCTATCAGAAACAATCAGAATATTAACAGAAATATAATGAAGTCTCATAAAAACCCTCCTATGATCCTAAACCAAAACCTTAAGATTATCAACAATAAAGATAATTTAAGCCAAATTAAAATGAAGGTAACAATCATTAATTCGGTAAAATATTTGATGATAAACCTGAAAATTATTCTCCGAATGATAATAGTATAATTGCCAAAAAATTATAAGAATCATTATATGCTGATGACCTACAAATGACACAATCTTAAATTATGGAATAACAATAAATTTATTAATCATTAGAAGAGAATGCCAAAAAATCAAGAACTGGATAAAATAGGCCACATGAATATGAGCACAGAATAGATCGTAATGCTTAGATGGTTATGCCTAATGAATTTGATTTTCTAACAGAAGAGGAAAAACTAATTCAAAAATAGTTACTTGAAAGTCTTGAATTATAAAAAAAAAGAAGATGAATTTTTATTATTAACAATAATAAATTTAAATTTGTATACTATGTACCTTGAATTTGATGAAGACTTTTATCAAATTTAGAATTATGTCAAATAAGTGAACTCCAATCTAGTTGTCCTTCCTTAAGACAATGTCGAAACAGAAATTGAGCTTTTCGAAAAAATGGTTCTTCAGATTAAAATATACGGTTCAAAAATCATTGAATTGTATTAATCGCTTGATGAAATCTGTCCAACTGATAGATAACTACAGGCCTTCATCCCTTAGGCTAAGATAGAAGCTATTGATTATGACTAGGTCTGGTTGGCTCTAAATAAAGGGTTTGTAAGTGATACTTATAAAGCAATGGATTTGATGCAGTAGCTAGATTATACGATCAAATTGAATCAAAGTTAACAAGCCAAATTTATTGAATTCTTGTAAATTACATGTAGATGCAAGGATAGGGAATTAGAAAAATTATGCCAATTATTCCCAAATCAATACCCAGAATCTTATTTCAAATAGATTGAACAGTTAAATGAGATGATTCTTTAATACAGTCAAATGGTACCCTTATTGGTATAAGAGAATGAGACTCTGAGAATAGAAATTGAAAATACGAAAAGCAATGATAATGATGGAAAAAACAATGAAATTAGTTTATTAAGATAGCATTTACAAAATATTGAAAAACAGTTGACAGAAACCTAATCCCAGAATGAATACTATTAACAAATGATCAAGGCAGAAGAACAAGTAAGATAGAATAGAACTCAATTATAAATGTTATAAATTGATAATTAAGATCTCCTATTCAAGAATAATACACTTCAAGAGGAGATCAAAAATTATCAAGATTAAATTAAGACCCAAATAGAAAGTTTTGATAGAATGTAGATGGAATATAAAAAGATACTTTAAAAGAAAAATCAACAAATTCAAGAATTAGAGGAGAAGAACAATTTGGATTTAACAATAAAAAATAACAATTAAGTAGATTTAGATCTAATTCAATCAAAAATTCAATAATTTAAATCATTGTATGAACAAAAAATAAAACATTTAAGTGGAACAATTACCCATTTAGAGTAGGATAATGCTAAATTAAAAGACTTAGTTAGATCCTCCGCATTAGAAGTAGATAGTTTAAGATTATAGATAGAGAAGATCATAACAACCAATAATAAAAAGACTTTAAAAATACCGAAGAAGTCTCAATAAGATTACGTTTAAGTATGATATTGATTATTAAGTATAGTTATATCAAAAGTATTAAGAAGTAGTGGAGAAGAATGAACAATTAAGTCAGCAATTATACAGTCAAATATTAGATGGTAGTGTATTGTCACATATTTGAGTTCTGTTTTTTTAATTAATTAAAATAATATTTATTGTAATCACAAATTTTGAAGTGCAATAGAAATTTTATTAAACTGAGGTAATATTTGATGTTAAGTTATCTTTTATAATTATGCTTAATTTATCTAATTACTGCTCTAATTAAGTAATAATTTATAGAATAATATTTTAATAATCTAACATCCTTTATAGAGGATATCATATTACTATTTAATACAGTATTAATTAAAATAAAATTAATGGGAAATGGGTTGTGTTGTTAGAAAGTGGAAAGAGTCGAAACTTTTTAATATGATGATGAAACCTCTCATCCAGAGACATCTAAACGAGGATCTTTAAAATAAGGAGATTAATAACCTTAGATGTTGAGTGAGTCGGATTCAGAAGAAGAATATCCAAAAAGAAAATAACATTAATTTGGGGTTTTGAAGGAACCACATAAAACATCTTAGCTCTCAACGATCTAATAATATTCATTTCAAAGTTTTTCATCAGAGCAACAATTTCAAAATTTTGTTACATTTCAAGCATTGCCATCACAACATGGCTTACAGGGAAATGTATTTTAAAAGTTTTAAGCAGAGATGAACTAGATTGCATAATAACAATAGACATAAGCACCTAAAAATTCAAAAAAAGTGTAATTTGCAATTTGATCAAGATTCTTAGCATACTTATATATTTTATTTGATATAAATCAAAAATCTTTTTCATTTCTAAATATTTTCCGATATTATTTTTTTGTTCAAAATAATAAACTTCACAAATGGATTGATCTCAATTGTCAATTCACCTCTATCATCATCCACATAAAAATTTATTTCCACTGCATTTTTCCTTATGCTGAAATTCATCACTTTTATTACCATAATCCTCATTCTCTGCTTCTACATCTTCATTCCTCAAATTTTCTTGGGATATTAGTATGTATCCTAATCAGTGTGTTTCAGGTTTGTATTAGTTATCAACATAATATTTCTAATTATTTATCAATTTACAAAACTGTAATCAATAAGTAACAATTCAATTTTATGATTTATTTCCTTCTTATTAAAGTATTTCAATGAATAATAGTGTTATAGTACTTCTGCATTATTATATTTATTCAAAATATCGAAACTGTTTCCAATTCTATAATCAACAATAATTGTGAATGAAATAATACTGTATGTCTAATATATTATACCTGGTATAATAAGTAATTTATATCTAATTCAATAATAGACCAAAATTATTCTGATAAGTCTTTTGATAAATATTTCATCAAATCTGATATCAATTAAAATGTATATTTTATTTACATTTGTTAAATCTTACATTTGTTGTAAGGGTATATTCTCAAATAGAGAATAATAGTTGAATATCATCTTATACCCTTACATTATCCTTTATCCTAATACCATAAACAATATCATATATTACTAAATTTATAGTGTCAGTTGTATATCCCACCACAACTTTTAGATTTAATATCCATTCTGTTTATAAACAATCAAACATCATCCAAAATTTGATATAATTCTAAACTAACATAATTGTTTTCGACATCAACTTTCCATAGAGGATCAAATACCAAAAGCATTACTTATATCTTAGAAATAGAAGTTGCTATCCTAACGTTGTTGGGATGCATAAAGAATAAGAAAAAGTAAAACCCATATTAATAGATATCATTGTCAATTATACTTAAAAGAACAGTCAAATAATAATATTCATTATATTGTTCAAATACTAAATTCTTTATTAATTAAATTCATTAATTAAAATTTGTATTTTAGGCATTAAGAGTTTGTAGATGATTAAATATTGTCTTACATTAGTAAATGCCTTAAATTAAACTATTAAGAGTATAATTAGCTTTTACTCACTCTTAATTGAGTATTTGTTGACAACTCTTGAACACTAAAATCTAAAATGACTTATTAATTACTTTCACAAGTAATAAGTTGTTTGTGAGTTAAGATATCAATTCAACTATTTGAATCAGCCATCTTAATCTATATGTTGATATATCAATTTATCAATATAATGCAGATGGCAAAATTGAATCGGGGTTTATTAGCAGATATAAATTTAATATTTATTTCTGTCAGTCACTCTTGGATATTCATTTATAAATAATTGTATTGATTCTCTAACTAAACCTAACCTTTTACTAGCATATATATATTAATTTTATATTGATATATTTTATTTAAGCAATAAATGCGCATCATTTTAACTCATTAGTATAAATGTTTATATCTTCATTATTTAAGATAATAGGAATTATTAATAAATATTCCAAAAATGTCATGCGCATTAGAAGATTTAGGGAGAGTCTTCCCAAGGAAATCAGTTTTGCTTAAAACCTACATGTTGGGTTGTTTTTACTTGTTTTATCAAACAATAAAGCCTGAAGAAAAAAAGAAAGAGAAAAACAAGATTACAGAACTGAGACCAAATATTTTTAGAAATCAAAGTCATCAATGTTAACAATACCAACGAAATTCATTTTAAATGAAAGCAATAAGTGATCAAAAAAAGAAATAAATCAATTAATCGCAAAACACTTCGTATGGTTTGATGGAATTTAGTATTATATTAATTCAATGTAGGATCATCAATATTCTCAGCTCAAGATTACAAAAAATTAAATAATTCAACTTGTTAAGTGGTATGAAAAGTTGAATATATATGTAGCATATACTTCAAATACATTCAAAAAAGTACTAATACTTTTCTTTGGATGACTTATCAACTACTGAAAGTGAATTTATTCCTGATCTTAAAGTTGATCTTCAGACTAATTCTACTGTTGATATGACTTAGAGCTGCATATTTTGAATACCTATTTTGTACTTCCTCTTTATTGTATATAGAATATATAAATTATAAGAAAGCTAAAATTTATTTTCAACCTCTTCCTATTTTTTGAATTTATGTTTAATAATCACTGCATTATTGATTTTTGCAATGTAAAATAACATTATTATGACTAAGTTAACAAGTCCTTGAATTTCAATTTTACACAAATTCAAAATAATCAGAAAGTAATATGATCTAAATTTTAAATATATGTAAATTAACTAAAGAAATAAAATATATACACTATCCTGATAGAGAGAGTTTCTTTATAGATTTTGGTCTTATTTATATCAAATAGGTTTAACCCAATAATCTTGAGTATGAATAATTAAGAGTTTCTAGGATCAAAAAAAAAACAATTACTCTCTCAATAAAAATAGTTTGATTAATTTTAGAGAAATGATATTAATTTATTTTTTTCAAAAAGGGCGTTAAATATAGTTAAAATAACATAAAGTTCATGATATTTTATTATTATCGCTAAGACTTGCAATTTGATAATACAATATAAGATCAAGATGTAATAACCAGCTTCTAGATTGATTACTAATATCTATTACATAAGAAAGAACATCAGAGTGGTATTATGTTGATTTAATTGATTTCTTTGAATTTCAGAATTAAATTAAATATAAATTATCCTAATCTAATATAAATATATAAAATTTAAAATATTCACGATGGCTGATCAAAGTTAACGCAATGCATTAGAAGCTAAATACATCAAACTTTTAAAGGAAGTTGAAGATAAGGAAAGACATGTGAAAGAATGTAAATTTACATAGTAATGATATCGTAGTGAGAGTATAAACAAAATAAAGGAAAATTGAGTTTGAAAGGTTTGAAGACAATATCAAAAGTTTGAATATAAGAGGCCAAGCGGTTGGAGAAATATTAATGAAGATAAACGATGAAAAATGTAAAAAGATAATCTTAATTCAGATATTTCAAAATTGAATAGTGGACCTAGATATGTAGTGGGTGCCAAACCTAAGTTAGATAGGGAGAAATTAGTAGTTGGAACAAGAATAGCACTTGACTAAGAAACTTATACAATAGTTAGAATATTGCCAAGAGAAGTGGATCCATAAGTTTTTCATATGGCTCACGAAGACCCAGGAAAAGTTAAATTTGATGAAATCGGTGGTTTAAACGATCAACTTCGTGTTTTAAGAGAAGTATCTATAAATTAAAGCGTAGACAATTGAATTACCCATAACTAATCCTGAATTGTTCAAGAGAGTTGGTGTGAAACCTCCCAAAGGATGTTTAATGTATGGTCCTCCAGGTACTGGTAAGACCTTGATTGCAAGGTAAAAATATAAGATGAAATGAAGAGCCTTAGCTTGCAATGTCTAAGCAAAATTTTTGAAAATTGTTGCTTCGAGTATCGTAGACAAGTACATTGGAGAGAGTGCTAGAGTGATAAGAGAAATGTTTACATATGCTAAGGAGAATTAGCCTTGCATTATTTTTATGGATGAAATTGATGCCATTGGAGGGAGAAGATTTAGTGATGGAACATCTGCAGATAGAGAAATACAAAGAACTCTCATGGAGTTGTTGAATCAATTAGATGGTTTTGATGATTTGGGTAAAGTCAAAGTGGTCATGGCTACCAATAGACCAGACATTTTGGATCCAGCTCTTTTAAGACCTGGTAGATTGGATAGAAGTATTGATATGATATTTAACTATTAGAGGTTGAGATCCCATTACCTAATGAATAAGCTAGATATGATATTTTGAAGATCCACTCAAGAACTATTACAACGAAAGGAGAAGTGGATTTTGAATAGTTAGCAAAGTTATGTGAAGAATTTAATGGAGCTGATTTAAGNATACAATATAAGATCAAGATGTAATAACCAGCTTCTAGATTGATTACTAATATCTATTACATAAGAAAGAACATCAGAGTGGTATTATGTTGATTTAATTGATTTCTTTGAATTTCAGAATTAAATTAAATATAAATTATCCTAATCTAATATAAATATATAAAATTTAAAATATTCACGATGGCTGATCAAAGTTAACGCAATGCATTAGAAGCTAAATACATCAAACTTTTAAAGGAAGTTGAAGATAAGGAAAGACATGTGAAAGAATGTAAATTTACATAGTAATGATATCGTAGTGAGAGTATAAACAAAATAAAGGAAAATTGAGTTTGAAAGGTTTGAAGACAATATCAAAAGTTTGAATATAAGAGGCCAAGCGGTTGGAGAAATATTAATGAAGATAAACGATGAAAAATGTAAAAAGATAATCTTAATTCAGATATTTCAAAATTGAATAGTGGACCTAGATATGTAGTGGGTGCCAAACCTAAGTTAGATAGGGAGAAATTAGTAGTTGGAACAAGAATAGCACTTGACTAAGAAACTTATACAATAGTTAGAATATTGCCAAGAGAAGTGGATCCATAAGTTTTTCATATGGCTCACGAAGACCCAGGAAAAGTTAAATTTGATGAAATCGGTGGTTTAAACGATCAACTTCGTGTTTTAAGAGAAGTATCTATAAATTAAAGCGTAGACAATTGAATTACCCATAACTAATCCTGAATTGTTCAAGAGAGTTGGTGTGAAACCTCCCAAAGGATGTTTAATGTATGGTCCTCCAGGTACTGGTAAGACCTTGATTGCAAGGTAAAAATATAAGATGAAATGAAGAGCCTTAGCTTGCAATGTCTAAGCAAAATTTTTGAAAATTGTTGCTTCGAGTATCGTAGACAAGTACATTGGAGAGAGTGCTAGAGTGATAAGAGAAATGTTTACATATGCTAAGGAGAATTAGCCTTGCATTATTTTTATGGATGAAATTGATGCCATTGGAGGGAGAAGATTTAGTGATGGAACATCTGCAGATAGAGAAATACAAAGAACTCTCATGGAGTTGTTGAATCAATTAGATGGTTTTGATGATTTGGGTAAAGTCAAAGTGGTCATGGCTACCAATAGACCAGACATTTTGGATCCAGCTCTTTTAAGACCTGGTAGATTGGATAGAAGTATTGATATGATATTTAACTATTAGAGGTTGAGATCCCATTACCTAATGAATAAGCTAGATATGATATTTTGAAGATCCACTCAAGAACTATTACAACGAAAGGAGAAGTGGATTTTGAATAGTTAGCAAAGTTATGTGAAGAATTTAATGGAGCTGATTTAAGGAATGTTTGTACTGAAGCAGGTAGCATATTATGATTATTTTAAAAGGTATGTTTGCCATTAGAGCTGATAGAGATTATGTTATTGAGGAGGATTATTTCAAAGCAGGAAGAAAAATAAAAGATGCCAAAAAATTAGAATCTAAACTAGAGTATTAAAAGGTTTGATTATTAATATATATATAAAAATTTAAAGATGTAAACCTCGCTATTTCAAGAAATCGAAGAGTTCACTAAATGCTCGAATTGGATCGAAAACTAAGACTCTGCTGGTTCTTCTAATAATGATCTTTTCCTATTTGGTTATAGTATTTTATTTTGTAAATTCTATTTCGACAGAATCGAAGCTTCTCTTTTCAACAGAAACAAACTCTTCCTCTGATGAATAATTTGAGGCGTTTTCTGCCATTTTCAATCAAGCTTTCGAGAAATGTTCAAATGAGAATGACAACACTTAAAATTAGTTCAATATTTCGCTGCAAACTGTAATATAAATTTAGAAGTTAGATTGCCAATGATAAGCGAACTACCTTAATGATTAGGAACATTCCAAATAATTACACTGTGAAAAGACTGCAAAATGAGATAGATTTCAAATTCTATTCAAAATACGATTACATAAATATCCCTTGTGATTTAGAAGGCGGGTTTGCGTTTATTAATCTAAAAAACAAAAAATATCTATAGGAATTCTTCCTGGCATTTAATAACCGTCCTTGGAATTTCAACAAAAGATATGTAAAATACTCATACTATTATAGAACTGTGTATTAAAATATGCAAAAGTTTAATATAATGAAAATTAATTAAAATACCAAAAGAAGATATGTCCAGATATCTATTCACACTAAAAAAAAGTGATGGATTTGATATAGATTCAAAAAAAGAATTAAAATAATGAACATCTTCTTTGATTAATTCATTATGTTAAATATTTTAATTTTCTATTTTTCAGGCATATAACCGTTTGAGTTTCAATGTATTAATAAAATAAGACTATCATTCACCCTCAAAATCTATAAGATATTCTTCGCTTAAACTTCCATATCGAAGTGATAATTTTTGATTTTCTGATGAAAAGGATCCAGGTGAATATTAAGTAGATGAGACTTCCTTTGGCAAAAGATTTAAATGTTTATAGCAAGCCGCTACAAGTTCTGAAGAAAAAAACGTTCTTGTTTACTGTTATTATGGATCTTGGAGCATTGTCGACTTAAATTTGAACAATTTAGTCGGATTAAATGAATACTATTTACCAATATTCTCAGTAACAAATTCATGCATCCTTGATATAAAATTTTCATCTCTATTCACTTGTAATTTTCTATAAATAACTCTATTATAAAATACAACTACTATTTACTTATGATATAGATAATTCCATTTACATATAATAAACTTATTCCAACGGCACAGTCCCACTCCATGCATTGGCAATGCTTCAAATAAATATAATTAATTCTCATTTAAACGTATTAAAATTCCAATGTGATCAAAATTAGCATGTGTTAAGGTTCTTTGAATGTGACAATTTATATCTTTCCCTTAAAAGAGTATAATGTCTCCATCCTCAGCATCCTCCATTATTTGTAATGATGAAATCCGGTCAAACTAAAATTAAGGTAAGTATAGAATTTCATACTCTCCAAAATTATTCATATGAGCAAAGTGAATTCAAAACTTTCAGTGTTCCAATTGAATCTTAAAGATGCAATTTTATAAGTTAAACCCATGTTTTAGTTTGATCTACTGTACCCCCTTTGAACTGAAATACTTTTTGAGTTTAACCCAAAGGCTTTAAACTAGACGCATAGAGATATTTATACATAAATTCTACTGTATTTCCATTTTTATCCTATAACTCTTATAATTAGAACGACTAAACATCGAAATTTAAAACTCCTTAAACTTTCTTATTTTCTGCGTCATAATATCTAAACACTCTATTTCTTAATATACAGTTTCTTTATGAATAACCTTAAAACCAATGAGGACTTTTTTTCATTAAGAATCCTTCAATCATTCCTAGTTTTTATCTAATCTGAACAATATTATTAATCTATTCTTCGTTTTGCTGTATTTCTTCATCCAATTTTAAGGCCTTGTAGTAATATATTAGAGATGTTTTATCGCCATTTTAAACTTCCATTGCTTCAAATTCCTCCATATCATTCAACTAATTTTATTTTCGAAATAATTTATCCTCCTCACTTCTTTTCACTGCATCTTTTAAATTGTTTTGTTAATCAGAACTTAATATTTTACCTGTGCTTGTTATAGAAGAAGTTTAGACTACTCCTAAAGGGGAAGGCAAGTCGATTGAAGTTTACATTAAATAATTATAGAATTATAAATCATTTCTCCTTAAAAGCTAAATATTCTGGACTCAACGTAGCTTAGCACCTTGAAACAAATATAACCGTTATTTTTTTTTAAGTTCATTTGTGTAATGTTCGACAGAAGACCTTCTTACTTTAAAAAAACCTATTACCAAAGAAGTTTTAGAGAATTAATCCGAGAGAAAATATTCTTTATTTTATCTTCTTTTCATTTTTAATAACATCCGAGCAATTTCTTGGATCAGAACTGCTATTTTTCATCGAACAACCAAAAAATCTCATTATATTTTTAGATTATTCGTTTCAACATAACTTAATTTATGATACACACATTCTTTTCTCGCTTATGAATATTTATTTACTTCTTAAATATAAATTATTAAAAAATAGTCCATCATCACTAAACTATTTTTACCCTTTTTTTTTATAGTTCTTATTCTCATATCCAAACTAAAATTGTTAATACATTATTTACATAAAGTTATTATTATTTTTACACTAAACTCCTAAGAGTATCTATTATCATCCTTGGAGTTGTTTGCAATTAACTCTAAATAAGATTATATTTCCTTTATTTCTTTCTTCTTGTCGTTGATAATTTTTTCAATACTCAGAGGTTTTTCTTAAATTTGGATCTGCCTTAGAATTTTTAATAATCATTCAGAATGCATCAAGTTTTATCTGCACTAATTTTTTCTTATTACATTATAATAGTCAAGAGCATAAAGGATCTATTTAAAATTGCTTTAGCTCTTAACAATATGATGGATATAATAAATCATAAGAACAAGAATCATCGAATATTTCATTATTCTTAAAACAAATTATTTCCTTGAAGGCTTAATATATAAATAAATATATATGCTTCTACCTTCAAATTGTAGAACTCCAAAAAAGTTATATATAAAATAAATTTCGTTTGTTTAAATTAAAAGTAGCGGGTTAGCCGTTCCCCGAGGTCGTGTAAGTCAGGGTCGACTATGCTGGGACCGGGGCAAGCCCCAAGTAAACCCAGCCCCATTTAAAAATTGCAGTGATATCATTCTCCTCGTAGGAGATATCAGATATCACTCTGATAAGAACAGATACTACACTTGATCTTAGCCAAAAGGCCGAGAAGGTATGAAATTTAATAGTCTTTTTATTTCCTTTAAATATTATTATTAATTTTATTATTTTATGGGTTTCTAATTTAATACTAATAATAAATCGATATACTGTTTTAGCTAAATTTAATCAGTTTTATAGGATTTTAGATAAGCATACTTTGTAGGATTAATCTGATACTTAAATGAAAAGGTGTTGAGTTTTGTGGGTGTTCAAATTTTGAATAAGTAACATATTAAATTTGAATTATTACTTGAATAATTCTTAGATAAGTTAACAGCCTATTAATTCAAAAATTCAATAACACAACTTTGTTAGGCATAAAGACATTAATCTATCTTTAATTATCAAAAAATTTAAATTCATTATCCTCATTCTAAATTCTCAATTAAGAAATAATTCTATGATAAAAATATGGATTTTGATAATGAAATTTATATTGATGGGAATATCATAATGAATCTACTCATGAGAACAAATAATTCTACTTATGTTTACCAATTTAATTTGAAGATATAATAATTATTTTATTATTTTGATCTGAAAAACTTGTAATATTTCTCAATTAATGTGATATTACTACTTTTATATCTTCATTTCGAAGTCCCACTCCTTATTTTAATTCTCCTATATATGTGAAAGAAACTTTGATCAAAAATTTTGAGTATTACAAACTACCATTCGTTTAATAAGAGTTCTAAATAAATTTTCTAGGTGTAGTTCTTTGAAATTGAGTGATTATATTTATTCAAGATTGTTATTGTTTTAATAAAGGCATAATAATAATTTTATAATCCGTTTTGATGAAACAAGCATTATTGGTATTAGCGATCATTTGCTTAGGTTTTGCTGGTCATAATATTCGTCACCATAAATAGAATACAGCAAACTCATAAAAATCATTGGCTTAGACTTAAGAAATTCAATATATTGATGATGATAAAAGTTATTAAGAACCTGCTCAAACAGAATCAAATGAAGCAGAATTAGTATAAGAAACATAAATTCAATCAGAATAAACTGAATAATAATAATTATAAGAGCAATAAGAATCTGAAATAAATTTGACTAACTAAGAGCAAGATTAATTGGATTAAGAAGAATAAAGAAAATATGAAGAAGAAAAGCAAAAGTAATTATCATCCACTAAAGGATCTGATGATGACTTTTATATGAATGCTTTAGATGTCGAAATCCAAACCTAAGATCCATCTGATTAAATGCCAGTTGATGTTGTAGAAAATCAACTCAATCCAGTGTTTGAGAAGGATTCAATTCCAGATTAAAAGGGAGTCGATTCGCCATTTTAGCCTGCAGATGGTTCATCATTGATGACTCCTGAAGAACCTGAATATGAAATAAAATAAACCCAACTAATGCCAGATGAAATACCTGCAGAACAATTATAAGAATATATGTAAAAAATAGAGGCATAAGAAGCATAAGAGGCAGCAATTCTTGCAGCATAAGGACCAAAATGATTAATATTATAATAATAATAACATATATATTTATTTAGAATGGAAGGTTAACTATTGAATAAGGTTAATTTAAAATTATTAGTATGGTTATAGATATTTAATCTATCTCTTATTTCTTAAACTAAAAAAAGTGTGATTAAAATTAATAGAGAAGTAGTAGACAAATTTTATGTTGTTGTAATATTGAGATTAGAACTAAATTCATAACTTAGAATGTGCTAATAATAATCTGAATTATCATCATATATGTTTACTTAAGGTCAATAATTTATTTAGATTCTTCTAGAGATATTCTTAAAAATAAATTATATAAAATAAAATTATTAGGAAGAGGAATAATATTGTTTCGCCATGAAATGATTTACAAAGTCAATAGTAAATGTTGTCTAATACTATCATTTTAATCATTATTCTATAAATAAATTATAATGTAGAATTGATTATTTTAATATTTATAAATAAGCTTATAGATTGTAGAATGTAATGTATAATATTTAGAGTTACTAGATTAGATAAAATAACTTAATCATTATTGTTTTGCTCTATGTTATTCAATGACCTATTGTAAAGCATAATTCTTGATAATATTTTATTCGCTAGTTTGTTTTCTGCATTAAGGGCATACATTAGATTTTTTTAACCATTATAATAAGGCATTCTTTTCAAAAGTATGACCGCATGTACTAAGTTAGGCTGCATCAACAATTAGCTCTAATTTAAAGATATAAATCATTAATACCTCCAGTTATTGGACAACAAAGAGTCTCGAGGAATTGTTCGCCGTCACTAGTGATTTATGAAGGCTATGGATTGGATTAAACTTAACTATTAGTCTAAGATTATTCATTATTGATAGCTTTCATTCCAAAAATTGTTCCTATTACTCCAATTGCTAAGCCTCCTAAGGCATATAACCATGCTTTGCCATTTTAATCTTTTCCCTACTAATGTTATTAAGGTTTATTCATTATTTTTTTGTTTAAATTAATAATATTCATTAATGGTTGTATTTATATTATGAAATGCCATCTCAACTAAACATTCTAGATATAGAAATATAAAATTACATATAGAAAATATTAATATCAATTTAAATGTAACAAGAATCTAAGGGTTTGGATTTTATGTAAATAAAGTGAAGAATGATAATAAAAATTTTATAATTTACTCGTAATTTGAATGCTAAAGAAAATAATTGTGGCCTTTAGTTCTACTGCTAATACTTTCAAAAATAAGTCCAAATTAACGGAATTTTATAAGGCAATACATCCAGATATGTTGTAAAATGCCCCTGATAATGTGAAAATGGAGAATACAAGATCATTGAAGATTCTTAACAATTATTTTGATGCTGTTTCGTAGAATGAACGAACAGAACCACAAGAATTGGTCTTTTATATGGCTGAAAAGCAGAACACAAAAGCAAGAAAGTTTTTGCCTTTTACCATAGTATTGGATGCATATTTGGGAAAGGATTAATAGGGGGCAATAGATAAGTAAGATGAATCACACTTATTATAGAGTGACAACTCAAATAAGGGAATAGATAAATTAGAAATACTAGGAAATCAGAAAGGATTTTGCAGATAAGCATGCTAATCCCTTTGTTACATATACAAATCAGTATGAAAAAGCAAAGAAAAACTTCTTTGAAACAACAACAACTTTGAAGAAGAGATCATCAACTAAGGAATCTGAGTAATTAGCAATGAGAGCTTCCATCTTTTCAGCTCAAATGTAATCGGAATATGACAATTTTTTGAAGAGCGCTACTTAACAAATGAGACAAGCAAATATGCCACAAATAAAACCCAGATTATGGGCCAGTATTATGATTGACAAATGCGATATGATACCTAATTTATTTCAAATATTTGATTAATTGATAGATCCAAGGTTAATATTTTTTGATCAGGAATTAACTAAGGAACAAAGTGACATATGTATGGATATTAATATAATAAAATTAGTTGTTGAGAAAATCATCCCAAAAACAACGAATCTTACGAGTGTATAAGCATTATCACCATTTTTTTCAAGATTGGAAAAAGCTGATCCTTAGATATGTTTATATGTTACAAAAAGATATGGAGCAAAAGACATCCCAGGATATTTCAGTGTATTTTGTATGAATAATTCAATTAGATTCCATATAATTTTGATGTGTAAGAAATACAACAACAATTTGGAGTTTATTAAAAGCAGATTAAAGAGGAAAGAGAAGAGTATGAAGAAGAATTGAAGAAGTATTAATAATCACTGTACAATTTGGCAGATCGTTATTCCATAAGTAATATTCAAAACGAAGTGGTAGAATACTGCAGATATCATTTTAGCTATTAAGAAATACAGATGTAGTAAGAAAACTAAATTTGAGTTTATTAATCTTGTAAAAATAATTGAATGAGGTGAATACTGAGAGACTGAACAATTTACGAATGAAATAGTGGGTATTGACAGAGAGTGTTAGTAAGACAGTAGATAGCAATGATCATTTCTATATACCTATTCCTTTTAGTGGGACAGTTTGAATGTTTATAATTAAAAATGTAAATTAAATGAGTGTGTTTTTATATGATTTGAATATCATTAACTGAGTCCAGGTCTTTTCTCATTGATAGAGTCAGCCATTTTAGCAGTCTAAAATGCCCCATTTGCTAAATATTAGAGGAGAATGTTTACAATCTTTAATACTATCTAGAAGTGTTTTAGGAATACGGTTGTCAGGACAAGCTCCTTTGGTTTGGACAAGACTTTCACTTTGTTATCTTAATCCTTTTTGAATTTGCATCATTCTAAAAACAAATTTGATTTTGCTTTTCAAGAAGACATCTTTATTTTTATGTTGTTAATCTCCTACTAATTCTTTGAATTTGGCAATGTCATCTTCATCAACGATCTCATCCATGGCCTCCCCATCTCTTGGTTGTATGATGTGGAACAACACTTCAGTGACTACAATAATGAGATTATGAATAATAACCTTTTTCAGCAACAAATGGAATAGACCATGTGAAGATATCCATGAAATTGGGTAACAGATATGGATGCTAACTATAGTTGTATTGTTGAATATTCAGATCATTGTTCTAGAGAGTAGCAGAAAATACATACTTTGAACTTAATGACAGCACCCTTGTTATTGTAGACATCACAATAATTGGGAGCTGAAAATATTGTAATGACCATAGGGAAATCTTATCCCCCATCCCATCTATGCATTTTGTATCCTTCTAATTGAGCTTCATGGGCTCTGATGACTGATATCAACTTGTTTCTTTCCAAGAATCTACTAACTGCCTCCATTCCATAAAAGTAGGAGCAGCCTCTGACTTCATTAATTCGAAACTGTCCTTCGCAAATTCCATCATCATTGTCTACGGGGTCTGCCCAAAGGATGTCACAAAAGAGTCCATTTTTAGGTGGTTCTCTGAATCTCTCTACCAAATTGACGTCAGTGACCTTTTTGATATGGATTATCTGATACATTCCTTAGTTCTGGAGAGATTCCTCCATGAAGTGCAATGAATTGATTATTGATAATGCAAGCCAATGGAAGATTGTCGAATGAATCCATGAAAACATCATACAATTCTTAATCGTACTTGTATTTGCATTCATCCATGAAGTTAAAGAATGAAGTGAGTTGTCTGCATTCATGATTGCCTCTCAACATATAGATAGTCCGTGGATAATTGATTTTTAGAGAATACAACAAAATTAACACTTCTATGGAGAATGGTCCTCTGTCAACATAATCGCCCAAAAACACATATTTCTATGATTCAGGATTGCCTCCAACATCAAGAATTTTGAGAAAATCATAAAATTATCTAACTTATTATTTTCAACATACCCATGAATATCTCCCACCACGGTCAAAGGATCTGACAGATGTATCAAACTACCCTCATTCTCTTAACTATAATGAACGATTGCTTACTAAAGATTTTGTTTGCCATTGTCACCAACTTAATTACTTCTTTTTTGGCAATTCTTCCCTCTCTTTCTAAATGTTCCTTTATGAGCTTCCAGTCAGGTTTCCCTATGATCAATAGCCATCTATTACCCTAATTCTTGGCAGGAAACATCAGGTCATTATCCAGAGGGCGATGAGGAGGTAAAGGAACTTGCTTGACTACTCTATCCTGTGCTGGATCACAAAGTGGTTACATATTAATTTTTATTATCGTTTTTATACGATGAACATATTCCTATACTCCCTTCTGATATTTCTTGTCTTCTGTGGACAGGAGCAAGGCACTTTCCTCTCAGACCAAAGTACTACATCACAAGAGAATTAACTCTATACCATAAAGTTGAAGGAAACCCACACAATCGTATTCAATTTATCAATACTCAAAATAGGTGTCAGCTAAGGAAATGTATGACTTCTTAACCACCAAATAAACCTACTTCAGATAATAGACTCCTATTGACGTTTAGGAAATTGAATTCGGAGGATATGTACCAAAACCACAATAGAATACAGAGAAGAGACAAGCAGATCTTAAATTGCATAATTTCAAGAATACCCAATTTACTGGTCCCATCACTGTGGGTGATCAAGAATTCTAAGTCATTTTCGATACAGGATCTGCCAATTTTTGGATTGATTCTGTGAAATGCAAAAATGAAGGATGCAAATAGCATACACAATATAAACCAGGTTTCAGTTCTAAACATCTTGGATATGCATTGAATGTCTAATTCGGTACAGGTGATTTGAATGGGGAAGTCAATTCAGATCTTGTCAAATTAGGAGCCATAGAGGTTGAAGATCAAAACATTGCTGAAATAATTGAAGAAAACGGTTCCGTATTCTAAAATGTATTTTTATCAAACCATTATTTAAGTCTGGATTTGATGGCATTGTTGGTTTGGCATATCCTTCCATGGCTGCCTATAACTTGAATCCATTATTCGATAACATTATGAAATAAAAGAAATTGCAATCCAACCAATTTTCATTTTACATGAGCAACAAAGTCAACAGTCTTGAATCACAACTTACTTTTGGTGGTTATGATGCCACCAAACTTGATGGTCCAGTTCATTATCATCCTGTCATTGATAAATACTATTGGATGATCAAAGCTGAGAACATTCTAGTCAATGGTCAGGATTAAGGATTCTGTCCCAAAGGTTGCAAAGTTGTTGCTGATACTGGTACATCCCTAATTACTGGTCCATATGATGACTTAATGAAATTGCTAGGTAATTAAAATCATATTGAGTTCTAGATCTTACCAACATCAATGACAATTGTTCTAATGCCAAGGAATTACCAACTCTTACATTTAGAATCGATGGAGTCAATTATGACCTTGAAGCCAAAGATTACATTATGGAGTTGAAAGATGATGGAACTGAAATTCCTTTGAGCAATGAAGTTTCAGCATCTGCCTTCATTGAAGGATCCTCTAAACAATGCATTGGAGCATTTATGCCTTTAGATATTCCAGACCCATAAGGACCAGCCTGGATTTTGGGAGATATCTTCTTAACAAAATACTTGAGCATTTATGACAGAGATATGAATATGGTAGGATTTGGAAAGGCTAAACATTGAAAAATTAATATTACCCTATTTCGAAAAATGTAATAATTTCATAAAATTTCAAATAATCATATATAATGATATAAATCCAATTCAAAATTTCTATATTTACCTCAAATAATTTCTGATAAAAATAAAAAACACGTCTATGATTAATTATCTCCGATTATTTTCATTACTTTAATCTTCTTTATTTGTAAATTAACTTAAATGGAATCATACATTAGACTAAAGTTCATTTTTATATTTCGTATTATTTTAATACGTATTATTTTATTATATAAAAATTGGAAGCAAATCTTGTTATTTGTATTACATAAATTTCCAATGATAGCAGCCCCCAAGATATTTGAGAATCATTTGGCAGAGAAGAATGAATCCCCTCACTTTTATATTCAACAATTCTATGTTGAGTGTCTTTCTACCTTCTCTTATTACATTGAATCCAAAGGGGAAGTCGCTGTAATAGATCCCTTAAGAGACATTCATTAATACATGTATGATTCATAGTGCTATGATTAGCGAGTTATCCAAAAATAGGAATGCCTAAATCAAATGGATACTTGAAACTCACTTCCATGCAGATTTTGTAAGTGGACACAGAGAATTAGCAAATCTGACAGGAGCAACTATTGTGTATGGACCAACAGCTGTGGCCAATTACCCAATTAAAGAAGCGAAGGATGGAGAGTTGCTTCCATTAGGAAGTGTATAAATTAGAGTGGATCATACCCCAGGACATACAATGGAATCAAGTTGTTTTGTTTTAATCCACGATGGAAGAGATCACTCGGTCTATACTGGAGATACACTATTTTTGGGTGAAGTCGGAAGGCCAGATTTAGCAGTGAAGGTGGGTGAGCTAACAGTTGAAATGTTGGCTTCATATCTTTATGATTCCTTGAGAAATAAGGTGATGAAGTTGAATGATGATGTTATTGTTTATCCAGGACATGGAGCTGGATCATCTTGTGGAAAATCGATTGGAACAGGCAAGTGTTGTACAATAGGGATGCAAAAAAAGAACAATTATGCTCTTTAAGAGATCACAAAGGAAGAGTTTATCAATTAAGTTCTTAAGGGAATGCCGAAGCCACCTTAATATTTCTTTCATGATGCAAAATTAGTAATTGTAGTAAATTATAAATATAGAATAAAAGTGGTGCTAATGACTTTTCGGCCATTTTAAGTGAAGTCCAGAAAGCCTTAACATTTGAGGAGTTTATGAACTATGTAAAGTAGGGAGCTTTGATTCTTGACACAAGACCGAACATTTAAGAAGGTGTAATAAAAGGTGCAATCAATATTACATTTATGTCTGGTTTAGTAAATTTTGTGGGATCAATTATCAAACCAGAAACAAAATTAGTTATTATTGGAAAGGATGGAGAGGCAAAGGATTCCATATTACGATTATTAAGAATTGGTTATGATAACATATTTGGATATTTGGATGGAGGATTTGAAGCATATAAAAGCAATGGTGGAGAATTGGCAACTCAGGTTTAAATAGTTGGACTTGAAGAACTGTGCAATATCAATGATAATTGGAGTAATAATTATATAATTAGATTAGATGACAACGTTTTTGTGGATGTTAGAGGAGTGGGAGAATTGAGAGAGACTGGATTTATTAAAGGGGCCATTTGCATAGCTTTGCCTGAGATTGAGGGGAATGTTGACAAGATACCAAAGGATAAAAAATTGCGTATTTATTGCAAGTCAGGATGGAGAGCTAAGATTGCGATGAGCATTTTAGTGAGGAATGGATTCGAGAGGATTATGATTACTTAGGATGGGGGATTTGAAGATATGTGGGAGAAGAAGTTGATTGAAAGAGTGGACATGTGATGATGAATTATGATTTCCCATATTAAATATTATACATTATTGTGTTAAATACACAACAATAGTTGGATAATTATTCTAAATTTTTAATTAAGATATGAGATAGTTCGCAATCTCTTTGTTCAAAGTATCGTAGACACAATTTGCACAAATACCAAAATTCTATTTCTCAAGTAAATGGTTTGCATAAAGTAATTAGAAAAGGTAGTGAATGTGCCAACAATGGGTGATTCAATTACAGAAGGAGATGTGAAGGAGTTGTAGAAGAGTATGCTTGTTAAATTTGATAGTTAGAGGTGGGAGATTATGTGAATCAAGATGATGTGATTGCATTGATAGAAACAGATAAAGTCACCATTGACATTAGATGTGCAGATTCTGGACTGATTACTTAAATGTTTGCTGCTGATGGTGCTAAGGTGGAAGTTGGCAAGCCCTTTTATGAGATTGATACTTCAGCTGCCAAACCAGCTGGTGCACCTGCAGCTGCAGAAACAAAGAAGGAAGAGAAGAAAGAATAAAAGCAAGAAGTGAAACAAGAATAAAAGCAAGAAGCACCTGCAGCATAAAAGAGCACTCCACCTCCAGCTGCTAAACCTGCTGAGAAGAAACCTGTGGCTCCATCTGTGACTACTCCCGCTTAGAGAACAGAAAAGAGAGTACATCTCTTAATAATAACATTAGGAACCAATGTCAAGAATGAGATAACGTATCGCTTAGAGATTGAAGGATGCTTAGAATACTTATGCATTGCTTACCACATTTTAGGAATGTGATATGAGTGCAGTTATGGAAGCAAGAGAAGCCATGTAGAAGGATTTCTAAAAAAAGCACAATGTTAAATTGGGTTTCAGTTCATTCTTCGTTAAGGCTGCTGTCAAACAATTGTAAGAACAACCCATTGTCAATGCAGTTATCGATGGCACCGATATTGTTTATAGAAATTACATTGATATTTCTATGGCTGTTGCCACACCCACTGGATTAATGGTACCAGTTCTTAGAAATTGCGAACGTCTCAGTTTTGCTGACATCGAAAAAGTACTTAACACCATAAAATCATTAGACACTTATTGATCTAGCTGAAAAAGGGAGACAAGGAAAAATCTCAGCAGATGATATGGTTGGTGGAACATTCACTATCTCTAATGGTGGAGTCTTTGGAAGTTTGATGGGAACACCAATTATCAATGCTCCTCAATCTGCAATTTTGGGAATGCATGCCATAGTCAATAGACCAGTTGTCAGAAACGATTAAATTGTTGCTCGTCCCATGATGTATCACTCTTATCTCATCTCATAGGTATCTTGCATTGACATACGATCACAGAATTCTTGATGGAAAGGATGCTGCCACTTTCCTTAAGAAATTAGCTACTTCAATTGAAGATCCAAGAAGAATATTATTAGATGTTTGAATTATCAAATTTTATACAAATAAAAATAAGTAAATTAGATATTCTTAAAAAATATTTCCGATTTCAATAAATTATGGGTTTGCATTGAAATGTAATGGATTCCTAAATCTAAATCTTTTTAAATAAAATATTTTGTAATTCTTAAAATGAATACTTGTAATGCCACGCCAGCTTACGTTAATGCTCAAAAAGCCTAACTAAACGGAGAGAACTTCTACATATAATAATTCTAAGTCAGCTGTTTGGGTTAATTTTCCTATTACATTGAATCCAATAACGAAGCTGCCGTAATCGACCCCATGAGAGACTATGAAGAATACATGTATTCCAGTTCATCTTATATTCCTAGCAAATTTTCTGAATCAAGAAATTCTCTGATCAAATATGTGATATTAACACACATACATGCTGATTTTGTGGCAGGACACGTAGATTTAGCTAAAATCACAGGAGCTCAAATCGTATTAGGTCCTTAAGCTGTTACTTCCTATTAAGCATTAATTGCATAAGATGAATGTATATAATTATAATAGCCATCATTAGAATTATTGCCTCTGGGAAACTCACATCTTAGAGTCTTACATACACCTGGCCATACTTTAGAGTCCAGTTGCTTTGTGTTAGTAGTAGATGGGAAAGACCGTGCCATTTTCAGTGGAGATTCACTCTTCCTTGAAGAAGTCGGCAGACCTGATCTCGCTTCTAAATCTTCTGGTTTGACCACTCAACAATTAGCTTCACTTCTTTATCATTCCTTGAGAAACAAAATCATGAAACTTAATGATGATGTCATTCTCTATCCTGGACATGGAGCAGGTTCTGCTTGTGGTAAAGCTATTGGAGCAGGTACTGTCAGTACAATTGGTGAATAGAAACTCAAAAATTGGGCTTTGTAGGAAATTACTGAAGAAGATTTTGTTAAGACATCAACAGATATACCAAATCCTCCTTAATATTTCTTTCATGATGTGCAAATTGTAATTATTTGATATATTTATATCCTAGAATCGTCAAGGTGCTAGTGACCTCCAAACCATTAAATAGAAAGTTACAAAAGCCTTGAATTATTAAGAATTTACTCAAATTGCTGCTGATGGTGCTTTAATCTTAGACTCCAGAGATATCGTTAGTAAAGGAATCATCAAAGGCTCCATCAATATTACCTAAGTAGCTACTCTTGCTTCTTTTGTTGGCATACTCTTCAAGCCAGATCAAAAAATTGTCATAGTTGCAGATGAAGGCAAAGAAGAACAAACCATCATTAGATTGCTTAGAATTGGATATGAAAATATTCTTGGATACCTGGAAGGAGGATTCGACAATTATGTGAGAAATGGAGGAGAAGTCCAATAATTAAATATTGTTGATTTGAAAGATTTCTTGGATACTCATGATTAACCTTAAAATCATGTTTTCATCGATTGCAGAAATCCTGTTGAATTCAGAACTACAGGAATCGTTCCAGGATCTTTGATGATCCCTCTATTCTAAATAGAGAATTAAGTAAAAGATCAATCTTATTCCTTCTAGCTTGATTTGATTCCAAAAGACAAGACATTACACATCTATTGCCGTTCAGGAGCTAGAGCTAAAACTGCTGCTACCATATTATTAAAACATGGTTATTCAGACTTTGTTCTAATTTAGAATGCTGGACTTGAACACATTGTCAAGGAACATAAAATTCAAGCCCAAAAAGTGGAATGATTTCCCTATTATACATAACAAATTAATTTAAATCATTTTATATATTTTATATTTCACTTTATTTATGATTCTATTCAATTTATCATTCTAATGAGAAAATCTGTTATAAAGAAAGTACATATTTATTCAATTAAACTTTTAGAATGTAAATCGTCATTTAGCTATTTTATCAAATTTTAATTGCAAAATGTTTTATATCTCTAAAATGAACAATTAGATTTTGAACATATTTAAATTGTAAAAACTTAATGCTCCTCTATTGTTATTGGAGTATTTAATTATAATAAATATTTATTCTATAAAGTTGGCCTCTATTTCAATAGTGACTCATGTATTATTTTCATGTCTTATTTGTGTATTAATTCATTATTACTATTAAGATAAATTGATAATTTAATCTCTAAATTTCTCTAAAGATTTAATCATATACATACTCGTTATCTCTCTATAGGCAGTAAAAAAGGAATGTAAATACCTAAGAGCTAAAATCTCTTCAAACTAATTGCACTAAACCCGATCGGCTTTTAAGTTAGAATAAACGATTAATCAGGTGCCTTTTCTTGGAGTCGATGCATTACTTTTAATTATTAATGTTTTATGATGTTTAAACTTTTAGTGAATTATATTAAATTTTGAATATCTTATTAAGCTTCCGAAAAATTCATCTTTTATACGTCATCCAAATAATCAGAAAATTCTTTCATAATTATAGTATTAATTCCTGACTTTTCAAAATTATAATAAACATATTTATTGAAATCTTAAATGAGTTGTTTTAGTTCTGAGATAAAAAACCTTTTCTTATTTTGTTTATCGATAAAATTTTATTTGAAGAGTTGTTACAAATGATATTAAGTATCGAATCTATCTTTGAGTTAAGCTATTTGGTTTTCCATATTTTCAAAGATTTCCAAAATCTTGAATTTCAATGTTTTAATACTTTCAAAAGCCTCTTAAAGGCTAGCTTGTTATTCAATTTTATTTTATTATCTATAGTAGAGATCTGTTAAAAAATTATAAGCATTTTCGATAAGTAGATATTCTGAATGTTTGTGGGAGGTCTCTCTTTTGTTTAGACATTAAACACATAGCTCTTCAAATTTCTTAGGACATTGTTCGTTTACACAAAAATATACAATATTCTCCTGATGTCCCTGTCTAGAACATTGTGGCATGGCTCTTATATAATGAGAATGTAATTACTAGTAAAAATTCGGTATCTTATACTCCATTAATATTTTTATTTTATTATTATTGATTGTATTTTATACATGAGTTTGGAGACACACTTTAGAAATACAAATAAAATCAACCAAATTCAGGAAATCACAAATATTTGAACACTAACAATAGTGTTCAATTATACATAGATTACAAAGAAATATCAGAAAAGTGTATGATTTATATTTATTAAAAATGGAACACAGGCGATGTTGAAAATGTGAAATATAGTTGATCTGATTTGCTATGAAATAGGGATTATTTTGTTTATTTTGATAATAAATCATTTCTTATCTCCTTTGGCTTAATATCCTGCAACTGGATCAGTGATAACTAAAGGGTTAAGTCATACAATTTACATCTGACATCAGTGACTTTTCCTTGAGTGTATGTTCTGATCTTGTAATTGATGGATAATCTGTTTTGAACAGCAGTTGGAAGACCACTAATGGTAAATGAAATATTGGATACTTCTTGACTCCTTCAGCTGAGTGAATGAAATTTCTGATGAGTGTAATTCCACCTCTCTTGAAAGCGAATTCGATACACATTTATAAAATTTATATTTAATATTAATATATATTTTCATTTGTATCTCTAAAATAATGGATGATCTTTGTCCTTAAAATCAGGTAAGTAGGTGCATTTCTCCTTAACTGGATAGTTTTTCTAGTATATATAAATTAAAAATACAGGATCATATGCTGTGCCAAAGAATCGATCGATCTTGGCATCACCATAGTTAACTACGTAATAGAGATGGTGTCTGTAATGATCGGAGTGATCGTATTTTCTATTATATAACTAATCTAATACCCTCCATCATGGGCAAAGAGGTCGTTGAATGCCATCATTCCTCCATAAATCATAGTTTACATAGGATGAATTGGCAATATCAATTCAGCAGTATGGAGTAGAAGATTGCCCTCTATGAATCCTTCCAAGGGATGAGCAGCACAGTAACAGAAGGCAGTAGGTTCTTTGAAAGAGTGATGGACACTGTGAATGTACTTGTAAAAATATTTCAAGTGGAGCATCCTATGAGTCCAATATCCAACACCTAAATAAGAAATAAATAAGGGGAGGTATTGTACATGTAGTCCATAGCCAATGAAATGTTATTCCATACAGAAAGTGAAAGACAGTATACTCATGGGTTTCGAAATATTTGTAGTAAGGAGTGTAGGGATATAAATAATAATAAAAGGACTTTTGAGTGTTAATAAAATATATACCATTGATACAAAGCATCCAAATATGAGCTATACTATTCCATATCTGATTTCCCTAAAAATATTCTAAAGACGTAGTTTATTCTTTGGCATTGGGTTGTAGTACTCCACAATGGAACAGCAAATCAAATATTGCATGATTCCTCCGATCGATCCAAATATAATCTTCTTAGGTATAGGGAAGTACCTTTTCGATATATTACTAGAAAGTGTTAACGTAGATGTGCTTCTCTCCAAAACTGATGTCTTCCATTTGGCCTCGAACAACGGGAATTACAATTGCAAGAATAATCAAAAAGATTTATCTGAATTTAATCATTTAACAATATTATTAAAATATAATGTCATTAAAAATTTTATATATGAATGCATAATCATTAATAATAATAAATTTGAATTCAAATGCTTGATAATTGGTACATTTCACACACTAATTAATAGTGATTCCATCCGAAAAGGCTTGTTATACAACTCAGCCATGGGAGAACACATAGAGGATGAAGTTGTAGCATCTTTCGAACAGAAAAGGGGAATCAATTATCAACATGAATACATGAGACTCTACATAGCAAATGTAGTTTTGACTCAATAACTGAAAGAGCTACTATAGGAGAAAGGGGATTTGATTTCCAAAATAAATAGATTAGAAGTATCACACAGCCAATAATATTTAGGAGACAGAAATTTGCAAGACTAATTCAAGGAAATAGGACTATGAAGATTCGAAGAAAATAGAACAACCAAGCAAAAAACAAATAGGTACCTCAACTATAATTATCATTAGTGCAGAGGGTTCAACTAAATATAATGATGAAAATGTTGTACACAATCATCAATATTAAACTCGAAAATTAATTAAAAAAAATTGAAATTTTAAACATGTTTATCTATGAAATCACTCATCATCTTTTATTGCTGCTTGTTATTTATAGGTTGTTGAGTTTGAGATCATTGATTCTTTATTTGAAAACAACAATACATCTACTTCATTTAGTAATTTTGGCAATTTTAATGACTTAATCACAGTCCTAGGACTCATTGAGTAATTGGGTATTTCGTATTTAGGACGACTTGCACTTGGAAACACCTTAAAGTCAATTTAACTTCATACTTTATTCATAATACTTATTGCAGTCCCTTTGTTTGTATCCAATTCAAATAGTCCTGTATTTATATTCAAAGGTTCACTGTATTTCAGATTTCTTTTCAAAGTCTCATAGTTCTTCTTAAAATTATAATGTGCTTTATTTATGTGACCTTTGCCTTACAAAAATTCATATCCACTGCGTTTTGGCTCATTTCCAACTCTATCTACAGCATTCTTAGCCTTTTTAATTACAAAATCAGAAATCTTATCATCTTCTTCAAAGAATGGGATTTCTCTAAATGGAATTGGCGGAGAAAATGATTTAAGATCTTTTATAATTGAAACACTTTTGGACTTTCGAGAATGATTAGTTTGATCAATTTTAATTAGTTTTTAGATTGCGTCTCCTTTTTTGAAAAATTATAAAAATCTATCCTTATCCAATGAAAATACTTATGCTTTTAAACTTAAACAAACTGCTCTATGTTCTCTTACCACATCCTTAATTACTTCCTCATGACCAAATATTAATCCAGAAGTAACTACTCCAGTTCTGACTCTTTCGTATTTCTTATCATTTTTCTTAAAAAATCTTTAAATTGTTAAATTATTTTCTGTTACCAAAGTGCCCACTTCTATATTTTAGGATATCTCTATCTCCCCATTTTTAACAATGTATATTTTGCTAATGACCATATTAATAATATTACTTTGAAGGCTAATTTTCTTTATATATTACATCAAACATTTTATAATCTTCAAAAGTAAAATGATAATAAATCTAATTTAACATTTACTCGTTCCATTCTGCAAATGCAGGCACTTTCTATAAAAAAGCAACATTTTATTATTGGATATACTCATAATATGATGATAATAATTTATTAAATTGCTCTCTAGATACTGTTGCAAAGTTTGTATCTTCTGCTGCCACAATTGTAGCCGTTCTTGGTACTTATTTAGTTAATGCTATCTCTCCAAAACTATCTCCTGCTTTCATTTGACCTACTTTTTAGAGCGTGGGAAATTGACACTCAATAAATTCTGCATCTGTCATCTTTGCATAGACTTCATCAATAAGTACTTAATTCGTTTCAGTGAAAAAAGTGGCTTACTTTTTAAATCTCTTTGATTTCATCATACTTTGCTAATGTTTCAATGTCGCCTTTCTTGTATTCTACCTCCTCAGAGTTTCCTCATTCTTTTTCTCTTCCTCTCCTATTTAATTACCGTCTTGGAGTCCCTTTTTCTGTATCAGAACCCAAACACTTCCAGAAAGTATTATATAAAACTTCTTTCCAATATCACCTATATTGAACACAACTTATCTGGCCTTAATGGTCTCATGTGATAGTTGTCGATATAAGTTGCTCACCATCTCTTGACCCATCTATTACTCTAAATCTTAGAAAAATTTGAATGAGACAAATGCCTTCCTTGTTATATCAACCTCTTGGTTCGTTTTTACACTCTAATCTTTTTAGAGAATTTCAATTATCTAATTTAACTGATCTTTATTGCCTAGATCAATGTCTGACTTTTTAGTTGTTAATTACTTTTATTTCATTATGAATTATAACAATTAATATATGTAAAATTGAATTTATTAAAATATATAAATTTAATCACTCGAATGGATTAGTCTTTTAATTATCTTAGAATTGCTAACCATAAGTATGGGGATTATCATACATAGCCCTCCTTTAAGTCTCACTCTCAAAATCTGCAAAAGGATTTGGTTATTGAACTCTATTAATTTATGAGTCAAATTATTAAAACCCTTAGTTTTATTACAAACTAGTTCTTTGATTCAATGGCTATGAACTCATAAATGGATTATTATTAATGAAATTATTTTAATTTAGTATTTGACTTTGAGCATATTATTATTATTATTATTATTATTATTACTACCATTATTGCTATTAATTTGATCTAATATCACTAATCATTTATAATCCTACATCGTCAAACATATTTTAATTTGGTGGGAAATTATTAGCAAAATTATTATTCATTCCCTATAGTTACACTGATTACCTTTGGGACATCATTGGATTCATAAATTGTTATTTAGGTATTGTGTTGACTCCAAATCCAGATCCAAAATCAGTTTATTAATTTACCATTGGATTAATCATTGAATTTACTAGTTAAGGATTGGTGATCATGGAATGTGCTTGTGAATTCATTTATTACGATTATCCAAAAGGATTAAATCTATTATTGCCTTCCCATTAAGGAGTTTGTTACGGAGGTCCTCCTTATTATTACTGCTTCTCATCTTTCTCATTAACATTTTTTTCTTTTTCCTTCTATTCCTTCTATTCCTTCTATTCTTTTTCTTTTTGCGCTTCCTTTTCTTTTTATTATTCTCTTTCCACTAGAGATGAAATCTCTTTCTACTCTCTTAATAGATCTATTATAGGCTCTAATTCTGGATATTTAAATTTATTAAAGGCTTTTTAATTTTTCTTCACAATTGATTTAGCATTCATATATAAATCATAATTAATTACAATAAACTAACATAAATGAATTTTCTTACAGAATCGAGACTCTAATTAATCATTCGATAGTAATTTCCCAATAATTTATTCATGTTATTTAAAATTTCAGATATTTTCTATTTATAATTTGATTCAGAGCTTGACAATTTGCTTTGATTCTAAATATTTTTAAATTATTTACTCTCCTGATTTTCTCTGACAATTTAAAATCTTCGGGTTATCCTTTTGAAAGAATATTAGATCTATCCTTTTCTAATTCATCCACTTTTAACTTATAATGATCATAAACTAATCGTATTTCAGAGAAATTTGTGAGTTAGATTTTTAGAGTTTCTATTGTTTAAAACCATTCGCCATAATTTTTATTCAATTCAGATGCTGGTTCAGTCTAATTGTAAAAATAGAAGATACTTTGGAGCGGAAAAGTTCTGAAAGGTTTCCAAACATAGAAGTCACTTCAATTCCTATTCTCTTATTTGTGTCTGTTTCCTTCTCAAATAGCTTTTAAGTAATTGAGCTGATTCTTGCCATATGTCCATGCATTTCTAAATCAATTTTCTTAGGATACATTAAAATAATGCTGAAATATTGCTAAAAGATTGAGATAATCCCTTAATATATTAATCTATCTCATTAATCCTTTGCTTCTTTGATTCCAACTGGGGATCAACCGTAACTTTAGCTCCCCACCATTCTTTAATCTAAAAATTGAAGTATTCTTACTTTCTACCCTGTCCTAGATGCAAAACTAGCCATTTAAAAATTATATAATAATTATATATTAAATATATATATAATTTAGTTAACTAATCAACCTGTTCCAAAGTTATGAGTTTAATTAAATCTAAATTATCACAAATTTCAAATACCTTGAAGATTAACATTAAATCTGCTATAAGTACCATTTCTGATGTTCATTTTATTCAAACAGTTTACTATTCTGCTCCTCTAACTATGATATTTTGTAAGATAGTTCATTAAACTCATTCATGAATTCATCCAAACTTTGTTAATAATTTAGAGACTATTGTTCCATTTCTTTGTTAACAGTCTAAATTAATATGACAAGAAATACTTCAATTTATTCCTGAATTTGAGTATTTTTTTTAAGTGTCTCAGAAAGGGTGTAACAGATGTCTTCCTTTTACTTTTTAAGGTTGTTTATAACTTGTTACAACTCCTTATTTGAAGGTTGATTTCCGCAGAAGGATTGTCCAGGAACCCTTACTAAATTTTCCTTGTCTGAAACGTATCTACTTCTCAAATTAGAGGCACTAGAGTTGATAACTCTCTTTTGTAGTTTCTCCTCAACTCTTCCAGTATAATTTTATAAGGATTATTGAGATGGTTCTTGAATGAGAACACTGTGTTCATAGTAACTAATGTTATTGCTTCTAGTGGGGGTACAATCTCCCCTTTATTCGATGCAAATTGGTTTGAAATTCTGCGGAGTTAATGAAGTTCTACTTTTTGGAACTTGCGCTCTAACGAACATTTATTTAATTATTATGTACACTTAGTTGTAAAATTAAGGATAATAAAATTCCAATAAGCTAAGGTTTAATTGGAAGATCATATTGATCCTCTTACCATTTGCTTTAGGCATGGGAATCTACTTTTCAATTACAAGTGGATAACCTAAAAATGACCCCGATCAAACACTAAAAATAAAGCAAGCTCATTAAAAAATTCCATATTTTTACATTTCTACCTATGAAGAATGTAGGAAAGAACTCACCCTTAGTATTGATAACTACACGACTTCGTTTGAATTGCCAAAAAAATATCCATTTGCATATACTAAATGTGAAAGATCTGAAAGATAAGATTATTCATATCATTTATAGGAGACATCGACAAGTGTGTTTTAACTTAATAAGTATAATACCCCAATAATTGAATTAATTCAAGTTAACTATTATTTAGAGTTTTCTGAAGTGCTTTTCAATCTCACTGATCAAAAGATTTTAGGATATGAATTCGCAGATCAAAATAGCCCGGCTTACTTTATAAGAACAAGCAACAACATATTTTATTCATTTGTAATATATACGTCATCAAATGTTGAATCAATTTATCAAAATTCTCTTTTATAAATAAGAGTTTATGGAGGACGTGTGAATATCAAATTCTTTCTTTATGACCAACCTGAACAAATCATCAAAGCATATCATTAATTTATAGGTGGTTACAAATTGTTTCCGTTTTGGAGTTTGGGTTATCAATATTTTGGAACTTGGGTAGAAGAAAAAGACTTATAATATTTAGAATCGAAATCCATTCCTCTAGAGATGGTTTGGATCGATGAACAAAAAAGTAACTATCTACCTCCAAATTACAGAAAAATCAAAGTCACTTATCCTACAGTTCAGTTAAACACTGTAGATAAGAAATATTTAATCAAAGATCCTAATAAGGAACCATTTTAAGGATGTGTGGACAATGAGTATGTGAATTACATTGACTACAATGTTTAAAATACAATCCAAAAGGAAACTTAATTACATCCAATTTCTTTGTACTCAGGAGCGATGCTAAAGGCATTTGTAAATAAGGAGAGTACTGAAGATGGAAAATGTTAGGGAAGAAATATAGGAATAGATAAGGATGCCTATCATTTTAGCAATAAACATCCTGTTTTATTAGAAAAAAAAGTAACAGAGCAATACTTCAGGCCATTAAACACATTTGCTCAATCAAAATAATATAGTGACCACTCTAATTATGTTAAACTAATTATGAGTGAATCCGCTTTCTTTGGGTAAGGTTAATTTAGTGGTATAATCTTTGATTCTGAAGACTTAGAATAAACGATTGGTCATTTGATATATAATAATTTTTTTGGATTACCATATACAGGGTCATATGGATGTGATTAGGGTAAGTCAAATCTAAATTGGTGTGCAAGATGGTTAAGCATTTAAGCATGGATGCCCTTATTTATGAGTAGAAGCACATCTTAATTTCACTTTTCTAACAACCCAAATTATTTTGATTAAATTCATTTAGAAGTAAAAGCCAGATAATCATTAAATAAATGGATGTTTGCTTAATTCTTAAAGAATTATGATTCGAAAATAAACTCATTTACTGGAACAATAATATAACCCATCTGGTGGTTTAATACATCTGATGCAAGAGCATACTAGTATGAAAATAGGGAATTTATTTTTGGCGAAGTGTTTTTAATTGCTCCTATAATTGAAGACCCTGAAAATGAATATGCTACAGAATATGATATTTATTTTCCCTAAGGAGACTTTTGGATGGAAACAAAAGAAGCAACTTTATTTATTGGAGGTACTCATATAGCTTACTCGATCCTTTCAAGTACATAAACTCCAATTTTTTAAAAAGCTGGGTAAAATTAATTCAAATATAATATAGATCTATAGTTTTCAAATAGGAAAATATAAGTCTAAAGATGGATTAATTAACTAATATTTATAATTTATATGTTGTGTTTGCTAGATAAGGGAATGATGGAGATGCTGAAGGAATTATGATCACTTTGCAAGACATGAACGATGAAAATGTTAAAAAGAAATGCTATGAGAATGGTAACAATTGTTTGATGAAAGTCAAAATCAGATATGTTTATGATTAAAACTCACGTTCTGAACATTATTTTATTATTTGCAAAGGAATAAATAAAGATACAGTTTTTGAGTAGGTGTAAATTAATAGAATTAATCTATTTCACTCAAAATTACGTATAATTAACTAGATTACTTTAAAAAATCCATTAATTATTAAAGATAGTTTCAAATTTGAATATGATTTATAATAATATATGTATTGAAAAGAAATTTGAAATTTTCAATAACAATGAAATATTATAAGTCAAATAAAGGCTCATTGGATTTGGTAGATTTCAAACAACTCTAAAGTTGAATAATATCTCTCTATATTAAAATATGATTTATAAAAGTAGTAATAAATTTCAATTAATTTTTGAAAAATGATATCAGAATTGAATTTGAACGTGACAAAAGTGCAATATTTCTCAATTTTTAAAAGTATGTTTGGTTTATTTTATTTTTATCCCATTTTATTAATTTCATAATTCCTTTTGGAATCTATTTGGGTTAGAATTAATTAATGTAATCAAAAAGACAAATATTTTCATATCTATGAATATAATCATTTTTTAGTTTAGTCATATTAACTTTAAAAATGAATCGATTATTTGATTAATTTCCCAATATATAAATATTAAACAGGATTAACTAAGGGGGAAAGAATTGACTTAAAGATCCTCTTTCTATTAAACTTATGCTCACAAATTGATTCTATTTAAAATACAATTAATTATTCTCTCATCTCCTGCTAAATCATTTGGTTTATTTATTAATTGTCTACAAGAATGCTTATGGTTTGACGTTGTTTATTGCTCTTCCAAAAATTGTTTATTAGAACCAGTCTGCTTATTAAGTTCAAGTAGATTTCACTGTTATTGTTATAATAAGCCTTTTCGTAATAAAGTGATTAATAAATTCATAATTATTACTAATATAATGGAATAACCACCAGAGTCCATATTTGCATCAATAGACAATTGTTTTGATCACTCAATTGTTTATTACTTTCGAATTCTTAAATGGAACTTTTTCCTAATGCTTATTTTTGCCATTCTTCATGCTCCATCATTGATATTTTGCATTACAGGAAACAGCATTTTCAATTAATTTCAGCTTCAATTAGAAACTTTTACAGTAGCCAATATCGACATTTCAAACGAGACAGCCTTTCTAATTGGAGTCTTAGGGGACGCTATTGGAACACTTCTCTACTTTTTGTCCTTGCTATATTTACGATACAATGCTATAAATAAGGATTCATAATTTAAGGTATCGAGTATTTCACCCTGGAGTGTCGAGGTAAGTGGGTTTCCATCAGCAACGATAGATCCTGAAGACCTTCGATCTATTATTCAATCTAATACATATGAGATATATTTAGTGCGCAATTTCTAGGGCACTCTCAGTATCATGAAGAATAAGGCATTCAAAGAGAGATAAATCAGATTAGAGAAGAAAAAGTTAGAAGTATTTTCTAAGAGATTATCATAAGCAGATATGTATGTAAGACAAGACTTCATCAGAGTATTGAGTGATGAATTAAAAGATATCACTAAGGAATTGTCTGATAAATTCAATATCTTTTTAGCTCCAGATGATCTTGAATCTATTAAGGCTTTTGTTGTTTTTAAGAGCAAAGTAGATCGTGATCTATTTTATGAGAAATACAATTAAGATTGCTTAGTTAGGAATGGAGTCTACTTATTTTTAAATCAACCATAAGAATTGAAGCTTAGAGGCTTATATACGATAACAGTAACAGAAGCTCCTGATCCTAATGAGATAAAATGGGAGAATATGGATTATTAAGAAAGAAACAATATTCAAATTATACTAATGCATCTAGCAGTAGCAATAATATTATTAGCACCTCTGATAGTTTTTGAAAATATGGCTTTGAAGAATGCTAGAAATAATACAGTGAAATGTACTGAGTATTGTTTGGATAGTGACTTTACAAGAACGGCTTATTATATAATCACTGGATTTTGGATATTCATAGCTGATATATTAGGATGGATCTTTTTAGAGTTGATAATCAATAAGGAAAAACAAATATATTTAGTCTAAGAATAGAAGGTAGTTTTGATAAGAATAATTGTCTATATGATTTGTTACACATTACTGGTTCCAATCTTAATTTCATGGGAGACCATAGGAAATATTGTATTAGTAGTTTAAAGTTACACTTCTACAGAAAAAACATTAATCTTTAGTGATGATCTAGATAGAAAATGGATAATTAATCATGGTATGATATTTCTTTGGGTATCCATATTTTTTACTTTGAAATTGATAATCTTGGGAGTTGCATCGGGTTGTAGATGCCTAACAGGTGGGATCAGAGATTAAGAAGAGTTGTAATTAGTTGGTTCTTTGTTAACAGATGAAAACGAAGAAGAAAGATAAAAGTTGACTGGTTAATTAAAAACTGCATCGAATAATAATTAATCTCATTAAACTCTGTTCTTATTGAATTTAGATGAGAGTGTTAATTACAACGTATAATCAAGATAGAATTTGGATGTTAAGACAGGAAAATAATTTAGACGTGATTCCCCACTGATCAATAGTAATCCCACATTTAAGACTGGACTGAGATATGCCAAATTATTGTTTAGTATATTCCTATCAACAATCATATCAGCAGGACTGCCTTTAATGCCTCTATTGGGTGCTATACAAATAGGGATGCAGTACATTTATGACAAGAATATGTTATTGCGATATCACTCTTATAATGAAAAGCAACAGGTGAAATTGTAGGAGCAATTAAAGTCAGTAGGGATTGTAACATTGAAATTCATTCATTTCTTTCTCATACTTCATTTAATATTTAGTGTATTGATATATGGGTATCCATACTTCTACACTCAGAATGGCATGGGGATTTCATAGAATTGGAATGATGCTTCAAATAAATTATTATATAAAGTAAGCACAGTCATTCCTCTTACTTTACTATTAATAATTTTAGTGTTGGCTCTGATTATTGATTTGGTATTTTTCGGTATCAAGAACAATTGGAAGATCCAGTCTGATTAAATAGGACAGGATGTACCTTAAAACCTTGATGATCATGTGAATGCTTTGAAAGAACAAGGGAGTGCCATATCCTACAATCTAAAGCACCATGATGAATTTAGGGACATTTTGCTTAGTCAAAAATAAGAGAGCATAAGGGCCACTCTTAATTAATTCAAACATTGATATAATATAGTTTAAATATTGACTTTGATTTAAAAAGAGTGTTACCATTGTTTCATAATCTGAATTTATGAGCTGGTATTTAATGGATGATATTAAATAATTTAAATTATTAAAATAATGCCAAGACATTCTTCCAGCTCAAGTAGAAGCCATAGAAGTAAATAGCTTTTAAATTAATTCTGCCTTAGAGAAGCATAGTAAAAAGCACCGAAGACATTCAAGTTCTTCTTCTTCGTCGTCAGATTCCTCCTCTGAGCGTCATCATTCCAGGAGAAAGAGAACCCATCACCACCGTCGTTCAAGGTCTCCTCGCCCACGTTCTTCGAGTCCTATCAAGAAGGTGTTCTTGAATGTATTAATCCCAATTCTATATCAGAAGCCCATTTAATCCATATCAAGCGTAGAGTCAATCAAAGAATATAGGGCCTAACACAATATCTTCATTCGTTCACAACATGTAACTGTCCCAGATCCTATCATGAGATTTGAGGACGTTTAATGTTTCCCACAGATGTTGATGGACTTACTGTTGAAGGCCGGTTTCAAAGGACCCACTGCCATTTAAGCCCAAGGATGGTCGATTGCGCTAACTGGACATGACCTCATTGGAATAGCGCAGACGGGTTCTGGCAAAACTCTAGCCTTCCTTTTACCAGCGATCGTCCACATTTTGGCATAAGCTAGATCCCATGATCCCAAATGTTTGATATTGGCTCCTACAAGAGAATTGACATTACAAATATATGAACAATTTTAAAAGTTCTCTGTGGGATCTCAGCTATATGCAGCATGCCTTTATGGAGGACAAGATCGCTATATATAGAAGAGTCAATTACGCAAAGGCCCTTAAATTTTGATTGCTTGCCCAGGTCGTTTGATAGATCTATTGGATTAGGGTTGTACCACCCTCAAATAGGTTAGCTTCCTCGTCCTCGACGAAGCTGATCGTATGCTCGACATGGGTTTCGAGCCCTAGATTCGTAAGATAGTAGATCAGATCCGTCCCCAAAGATAAACTATGCTTTTTTCTGCAACTTGGCCAAAGGAAGTGCAAAAGTTAGCGCTTGACTTTTGCAAACAAGAGCCAGTCCACATTCAAATAGGAAATGTGGAATTAACATCTAATAGAATGATCAAGCAAGTGGTCTACGTGATGAAGGCAATAGATAAAAATTAAAGGTATAATCAAACTATTGATGGTGCAAAATATTTATACAAGATCATCAATATCTTTGTTATTTCATTTATATATTAAGGTTGCTCTATTTGTTGAAGGACATAGCACATAAAAAAATATTAATCTTTTGTTCCACCAAGAAGGGATGTGACTAACTTCAAAAGACTCTAGACAGAGAAGGAATTCGATGTCTCGCATTACACGGAGATAAGAAGCAAACTGTAAATCCCCATTCTAAAATCATAGGAGAGAGATTACGTTATGAGTCATTTCAGAAATGGAAGATCGACTGCCCTTATTGCAACTGATGTGGCATCAAGAGGATTAGATATTAAAGACATAGAAGTTGTTGTCAATTATGACATGCCCAAAGTAATTGAGGATTATGTCCACAGAATCGGAAGAACCGGTAATCTCTTAATATGTATTCTCAGGTCGTGCTGGTGCTATTGGTTAATCAATTTCTTTCTTTGCTTCTGATGAAGATGTCAGAATGGCCAAGGATCTAGTAGAAATACTTAGGGAATCCTAAAATGATATTCCTTATGAATTAAGAAGTTTGATAGATCAAAACAACAAAGGAAATAACTATAATCCTTATAGAAGATGGAATACCTCAGGATAGAGACACATGCAATAGCCTTTCATGTAACATCAGCATTAAAATTAAAATCAACATTAAAATCAACATTAACATTAACATCAGCATCCAAATCCAAATCAACATTAACCATCTCAATACCCAACCTAATGGTAATTTTAAGCATTCAATCCCCAAATACTTTAGTCAATAAATCCATTTCAAATTTGATATTTCATAAATCAATATTATATAAATTATTATTTTTATTTTTTCATTTTATTATAATAAAATTGTTAATATATACTAAGATCTACTTAAATTAGAAAATACTTATTCTAATTGAATTGAAATGGCTAAACATAAATAATAAATCATCAAAGTTATAGACAATGTTGTTCTTCAACCCTAAAAAATAAGTTAGGCATATTAGTTAGTTCATTAAAATCTTCGTTTATGATTCCTAAATTTTGATTTATGTGATACCGAACACAAATGGAGGCTTAATTATTAAACCCTCAGCATTATGAATATCCATCATTTTTGGTCTATATGCTGTGCTAAATCTGCCAACTCCCATTATGTTTTCTTGCACTTGTGCTTTGCAATTCAAAGTAAATTGAGGTATATTCAGATTCTAATCTATAGGTACTTGCATTCCACATTAAATTAAAATCGATTACACTTTTTGCAAACTTAATTCCTCTTAATCTTTAGAAAATATTACAAAATTCATACATTCAAATACAAAGATACTCGTATTACTTTGATCAGTAGCTATTATATATACTTTAATCTCTCCAGACTCAGACATGAAAACCTTTGCATGATCAATATTTGATTCCGGTCGAAAACTATTGTATATTAATTTGTTATGATTAGCTAATTTGAATTTTGACCATCTATAACATTCTTTGCTGAAACTACTAATAATTTATTCTGGTAATTGCTGTGTGTCATTATTATAGGGGTTGATTTCATTCAAATGCTCAAAAGATTCATATATATAGTCATGAAATTTCTATCGAGTTTATTCCTACAACTTGATGCCTTTAAATTGATATGCCTATGCTATAATTAAATTTTTGATACTGATGAAGAAAGAATGTCTTTAATTGAATTGATTTGATCATCCTAAAAATCAACTTTTGTATTAAGATTTGTCAAACCACTTAGTGAAAAGAATTAATTCTCATTTGTAGTTTAAGTATTCTCTGTAGTATAAAAAAGATGCTGAAGAAATATTGGATCATACTATTTAGCAATCTTTAATTCTGCAGGTCGTCTGATTGCTAAAATAACCAACTATAATACCCATAACGGTGAATCTTGTTTCCGAGTTCACACTCTAAACAACTTTCCATTTAAAATTCAACTCCTTTAATTTTGTTGTGATGTCTTTATTTGCTTAAAAACAATCATTCTAATTATAATGGTATAATGACATTCTAATTTCTTAACATGAATCTAATTCCCAAATAAATTATAATATCATTTTCAGATATTCTTAGAACTAAGAATACTCAGCTGTAGAAAAATGACTTAACATTAATTTTCTTTCCTACAAGGATGGATCTAAGAAGCATTATCCTAATCCTATTAATTTATTGTTTTAATATATTCCTAAGCAAAAGCTTTCCTCTTACGATTCATATTGATGCAGCATTTATGTTATTTCCCCTCTCCATGACTTTTTGAAATCGTCACTTATATCTTTTAGATAGTTTTCTACTAATGTATCATTTAATTGGCATTTTAATATTTTAATTTCATTATCATTTTGAGTTGCAACTTAATTTAAAGACTTAGGAGAGTTTATTTTACTACTATCTTTATTCTTTTAATCAAGGGAACTATCTTTGTTTCTTTTCTCAGCACTCTATTAGACAGATGGAATCTATAATTATTATTTGCCTTAATCCTTTTAAATCTAATCATTTGAAATTCTGATCAATTCCTATTTTAATTGATTTTGCTGTGCCTATTTTGTAGACTATTTTTATGGGTTAATTTTGGTCACAGACCCAGATGTTTGATTTGTAAAGTCTGTTGGATCCAACTATTTAATTAGCACTCTCTAAAATGTAATATTTGTATTATACATTTTAATTCTAACTTTGGTTGGGTCTTTTGGGAGGCTTCGTTATCTTAATTTAATCTCTTGAATTCATTTGATTGTAGAATGACTTGTCCTCTTTTTACATCTAAGAGGCCTCTTCTTAGATAAGTAATTCACAATTCTTTATCCTTTTCAGTAGAGGTTTCGATATGAATTACACAATTTTATTGATATCAGTCGCAGGTCTGGTTATGGCAACAAAAAAGGGATCAGATTGCTTAGAAAATTGATAATAGTTTGAAAGTATGGAATTTTAAATGTATAATACATCTTTTTTCATCTATTGATAAATATTTGTTTAACCTTGATCAGATAATTTTCCTTGTAGTAAGTGTAGGGCAACGAGATGCTCTCTGAGGAATGAATGTTAACCAAAAATTTCATTAGATATTACCTCCAACCAATTATTTGTTCTACAACATTAATTGAGAGTATTCTTAAATGAGTGATCAACTCAGCACTTTTAGATATTAACTGTTCGTCTCCAGGGTTGTTTTCAATTGATTGAATATGTTTTAAGAGTTCACCCAGACATCTTTCTCTAGATTCAACTGCTTGCATACATTACTGAAGATGAGAATATAATTTTACTTGAATATGCGATTTTTTTAATTAGATTTCTTCAATTTCGAATAGAATAGCTTGGCTAATCTTTGGAAGTGTTTTTAGACACATCAAGAAAAGTTATCTATAATTGTTTGAAGTTACATTACCTATGAAATTCGGGAATCTCGTAATAATTTTAGACCTCAATTAATTTCGCTTATAATTAACTTAATTTAGGTTAAAATTTCTCAACTGACTCGTTTTTAGATTACTTTGAAACATAAAACCTGTGATTCCAATTCTCTTCCTAAAGAATGATTGAATGTATAATACTTTTTTCTTTAATTAATTCATCACAATAAGATGTCTAGATTTGGGCTAGACTATGTTATCCTATCTGGACTTTTGATGTTACATGAATTATTGATCAAACATATGCTATTAATTTTATTAAATAAATAATTATTTATCATAAATTGATTTTATATAACTGTTTAATTTTGCCTCTTCTAAATATAATTGAACACTCTCCTTTATTTCTTTCAAAACACCCAGAAAAAACAAAATGTTATGGTTGATTATCAAGATATATTTCAAGAGATTATAATATGCTACCATATTTATAAAATGATTTGTGAATTAATATTTAATTCTACAACAATTTAAATAATTTGGGATGAAGGAAATGACTCCATTACTGAAAATGGAAAATTTTAATGAAGATTTTTTATCTGTATGTGATATAGCATACAAATCGCTGGTGTTAAGATGAGGGAGACACCAAATCTTTACATAGATATAAAAGAGTTTAATTTATAAAAACACAGACGATATGAAGAGTAGGCTTTTGGTTGACATTTTAGATTTTTAAATGAAGCAGAATTAATAATATGTTTAGTGGATTACAAATTCATCTCCAAACTTATGTAAAATTTAATTATCATTATTGCTTTTAATGATATATTCTACCACTCATCTAGGTTTATGTAGATACAGTATATGAATATTGATATTCAATGAATATATTTATTATAATTTGAAAATAAAATTTATGTTCAATTATTTTAAAGTGATTTTGTGTAACCATTTTAACTTGATTTTTATAGAAGAAATGGAAGTAATAACACATCATAAATAATGAAAAGTTGATGGTTTATAAATCTATTTTTAAGTGGGAAAGATCTTATTATGAACTGATACAAATGGAACTAAATCAATGAACAAAAAGTGAGAATAATTTAACAATATATTTATTTATTATTTTATTAATGTACTAAATTTATTTGACTTTTCTAAGAGACATTGATGTTGAATTGAAAAAAACACTTGAATCATCAACATAAGTGGTCAATGATCACATTCTACAAAGAACATGTAAATAATAAGACTTAGAATTTGTTACTAAAGTAAGTCTATTCAAATCCATTAGAAATTAGAAGATTTCAAATTTCAGGTTGACAAGTATGGAATTTAGGCCATTGAAAAATTTAGAGAAAATTTAAAAGCTAATATTGAGGGTCCAATATAAGCATAGACACATTTTATTGCAATGAAAAATTAGAGACAAAAAAGCAAATCTTATAAGGTTGACGACTTAGAAAGAGTAATTGATAACAGGATTCAAGTAATCTAGTAATCTAATTAAGGAAGCAAGTGAAAAATAGAAACAACAATTAATTCATTATTTGGACACATTTGAAGAAGAATTCAAATTTCAAAATTAAGAAATGGCTAATGAATATTAATAAATAGAAAAGGAATTAGAGGAGTTAGAACTAAAGGATTGATTTTATTTTTCTTAAAATATATAGTATCATTGGTTATAAAGAGTTCTTCTAGTACTACTTAGAACCATGGAGTAAGGATCAGACCTTGCACTAATTGGCTACATTCTTACTGATTTTGGTGCTTAATTGTTCCTATTATTAGTTTCCTGATCCTTCAAAACCTAAAGGGGTAATCGTTTGCATTAATGTTCAGAGTTCTATTTGGAATCAGAGACATGGTAGAATTCGGTTTTTTAAGAATGACCAGAAATCTTGTTCGTCTATTAACTTGTTTGTAAGTTTTCAATATCTTCTTCATCATATACATATGGATCAGACGGGTTGTTGGGAAATGTTTACAGTTATTCTAGTTATAGAATTGGTACACACTTCTCTTTAGTATAATTTTTATTAACTATTTCATAAAGAGCCTTTTTTGCTTCAATTGTTTATTAATCACTAATTTAAGTTTAATAATACTTAGATATCTTCTCTAATTCTTTTTAAATGTCTAAATCAACTTCTAAAAGTGTTTGATCTTTCTCCAATGACTAGGTGGGAATCTATGAAATACTATTTAGAGTTTAAGTGAATAGAATTTCAAATTAACAAAATTAAAGGTAAGGAAGAGTTACTCTGGCTTGAATAGCATTTTATTATATAGCCTAAAAAGTCTATTCAGCCAGCAACTTGTAGACTTCTAAATCTCCATATTAAGTTTTTACAATCTCTATACATTTCCCTCTGTCAAAAATACCTTAAATCATCTTAAGTTCATTCTGATTAAAATATAGTTACATATAGTTACAGATATAAAGTAGGTTCCCATTCCATGAAATTTGTTCTCCACAAAACTTCCTGTATAAATGTCTCCATTTTTCCATATTTATCCAATATTTGAAATTTATTAATCATGGAAAATCCCTATCCTCTTGTCCGAAGTAAACATTTTTTCTATTCCCAATCCATATGGTTTCCCTCTTTTCATCTTACCCAAATGAGTCTCTGTTATACCTATTGAAGAACATTAATTTCTATCCAAAATCTCCTCCAAATCAAGCAACCTGTTTTAGTATTCATCTTTTGATCTAAATGAAACGTTACCTAATAAGAGATCGACCGAATCCAAGTTACTCTCAATGCAAACCAATTCACCTCTTCTATACACAGAAACTGTTTATCCTTTCAAACATTTTCCATTCAATTACCCGTATTCAAATCTATAGAATTCACTCTAACTAATAAGCATAAATCTATATTTATACGTATAGTTAACACATAAACCATGAAATTTATTATTCTTGAACTAGGCCCTAATGACATTATCATTAATCATTATTATTCCTTCCCCGTGAATCATATCCTTGTGCCACTCTCCTATATATATGGCTCCTTAAGCCCACCAAAATATTCCAATCCCCTCCTTTACCCCATTTTCTAAAGATCCCTAATAGATTCCATTACGATAAGCTATCATTCAACTAATATTGCTGTTAAATTAATTCTAAAATTTATAATAAGTAGTTGATTTATTTTATATAAGAATAACTATTAAAACAATATTCAAAATAAGATACTATTACTATTGAATTGATGAATATATATAAAAACAACAATTTTCAAATAAAATTTTAAATTATATTAATTTTGTTTGTTCAAGGCTGTGATTTACAAAATAGATTTTAATAATTTGATGATGAGCCTAATTGTCTGATGATTTCTGAGTTTGATTTCTAAAGGTAATTCAGGGACCTAATGTTTTAAATCTTTATTGATTTAATATAACGTGTATGAACAATGAAAATTTATGAATTGTTAATAATAAAATAAATTATAAATATTATCATGATGGAACATTATAAAGGGATTATGCTTTGCAATAGGCCACAAGCATCTATTAATTTAGATTATCATAAGTAACTTGATTTTACCACATTTGTAGACCTTTTGTATCAAGAGTAACACATGCTGAACCTCTCGGTTACAATCCAGTTAAGCAACTGCAAATTCATTAGCCCATTAAATGTATTTAGCATATTCCATCAATTAAGAAATAAAACCAATATTGGGTCAACACAAAGAATGGCTCTAAAATTTCTAAAAACATGCTTAAGAGAAAAAAACTGCATTGCATTATTCTTAAGTTCAATCTCGCTTACATCCTGATAGGTATAGATCAAACAGTGACAAATAAACCCAATAGAAAGAGCAAAAGGCTCAATAAATAACTTAACCCCAACATGAATCAACCAAAGTAGAAGAAAAATTATAAGAATAATAAAATTAACAAGAAAATAGTAATGTATTGGCAGATGAAATAATTGATGACTAAGAATTGAATGAACTATTGGATTTCACTAAGAATTTAGATTTTGAGTCATATATAAATGATTTAGAAGTATAAATACCATTGATCTTAGGTTAAAACAGTTGTGGAAGCCTTAAAAAAGAGAATAGAGGAAATACGAATAGAGAATCCTCAATTATCATAAAAAGAAGCAACAAAGAAAGCATTAAAATAGAATAACAATGCTGCTCAAAAACAGAATAAAAAACATGTTACTATTTAAGAAGAATAGGTAAGTATAAAATAAATAATTTTAGCTTCAAAAAAACACAGAAAAAAAAGAAGTAAATCTAGAAAACATAGCTAAGAAGATAGCTGAAGAAATACTTCAAAAAAACAAATACTTAAGAAATATTCATTCAAATATCTCAATGCAAAAATTGGTTGAAACTGAAGCTCGTAGGTTTCTTTAGAAAGAATGAATAAACAAATAATATAAAATTAATGTTATATTGTATATTATTTCAAAGATCAGAAATCTTCTCTATCCAATATTCTATTACACTCAGCCAGAACCTTATTTCTTTCTCTTCCAAGATAAAAGGTTTCACCTAAATTACACATGTCAAAATATTTCTTATTGTGCTTCAAAAATTAAATTGGTTAAAAGTAGAGATAAGCAATAGGCCAAACGACTAAATATGGTGCCCAGGAGAATCTTTTTGTTTAAAACATTCTAACCATAGAGACAGCAGCAGCACATGCCCATCCATCAACAAGCGAAGTATATGTCACATCATATCGGTACCTATGATCCTAATTGAAAAATTTACTCTCTTCTGACTACATATCCCCAATCTCTTTCTTCTTAAGTCTTATAGAAGTTTGTATCAAAATCTGCAATATATTTTTAAATAAAAGCTTTTCGCAATTTAGCTGCTTACATTTCTTCAGCGCTGAATCCTCTATTGTATTCCATTTCTTCCTTTGAATTCACATATCTACGAATTGCTCTGGACATTTTATTTTAATTAATATATATTTTTAGGATATTGAATTAAACAAATTTATCATCACAAAAATAAAAAAGATTTATATCTATTTCTATATTCAAAATATTCAAATTTGCATGACAGAATTACAAATATTTGGAATCTAAATAAAAATTAAATCTATCTATAAATCAATTTTGTATAGCTTCTTTAAATTCTTTAAGTGAATGAATAAGATTACATTCTATTAAATCAAAATGAACTGAGGGAACTATCTTAATTTAATTATTCCATCCAATAATTTCTAATATCTTTTGATTGACTTTCTTTAGTTAGCAAAATTAATTGGCCAAAATTTTATTTACAGGACCCTAAACTTTCTCAATTTCTTCACTTTTTATAAGAAATATCTTGTAGTTGATAACTTTGGTTTTTTCTTATAGTAGTAGTTAAGTCTAGATTAAATATATAATTTACTTTTATTGAAATATTTTTATAATTTCGACGATTAAATGAATCTTTGAGTATATTCAAAATTAATTATAAAGTTAAAACATAATTTGATTCACATTATGAATTATCTCCTTCAAAATTAATACGTATTTATTTTACATTGCAGAATACACTTTTCAATTTATGTAAATCGTTATATAGCTTTTCTATGTTAAATTAAACTATCTCTTAAAATTATTAATGTAAATTATTAAGTATGAGAACATTATAATATCCGTGTATTGATTTGAATAAAATACTTTATGAAAGAGAAACTAGATTAATGGTTTTAGCGCTTATGTAAAGATTTTAAGAAAACTTCTCTTTTTAGTCAATGATTTCATTTGTCAAATACATTAATATTTACAATGATTTTTTAGCATTCTCAAGACAAGTAATCAATAATCTTTGATTTCGATTCTTCTTTCTTATATCTTTGTTTAATTTTAGTATCTTTTAGTATTCTGAGTCTTCTTAGAGTAACAAAATTAAATGAACAGAATTTTTTTCTATTATTTTGTAAATTCCAATTCTAAATGCAATTTTAGAGGATTCAGAATAGATTTCTGAAGATTTCTCTTTATCATCTCCTCCTAGCATATTATAAAGTATTTATTCTAAGGTTTGTGTCCTATAAAGAAATCTTTAGCTATGAGTGTATACTTAAAATGGCTAAGAGAGGGATCGAATTTACACTATCGAATATTGTCTAATAAATTATATAAATTATTTTTAATCTTGAATGATCTTTTCTGCTTATTTATTGATATCTACTAATTTTAGTTGATTTTATTTTTTATCAAATTTAATTCTTATTATTTTTAATGAAAAAACATTATCCAATTATTTGTGTAGTTAATAATTTTAATGCTTCAGTAGGAAAAATGATCGTTTCATTTTTTCACTGCTCCAGATTGCCTTTAATACCAACACTAATGCCAAAATAAACATTAATTATAATGAATTAAAATAATTTTGAATTATTGAACCTAATATCATCAATCCTATCTAATTTATTAATAAAACAAATATGTTGATTATGATATTTGAACCCAGTAACAAACTATATTGAATCATTGCTACAGTTTATCCTGCTAAAAACAGAATATTGGAATTAGAGAAAAAATATAGTAAAATAAAAATTAGGCCACCTAAAGAGATATTCATCATAGCCAAAACATAATTAAAATATTGAGGCAACATTTTTATTAACCTATGACTAAATCCAAAGCCCAAAGGAATCATAATAAGTGTATATTTCCAAAATCCAAATCCAAATGGAACAATAAATTCCATGGTAAATACACAAATCGCACTTATAGTACCTAAGCAACAAGCCCAAGTATAAAAATTAAATAATTCTTCAAATTGGTCTTAAAAATAGAGGTTCTCCATCTCAGGGTTGTCAAATCTTAAAGAGTATTTATTCATTTTTTATTATTTGGAATTAATTTACACTTTCAAACAAAATCAACCAAGCTAGATTTATTATATGTATAATGGAACCTTACTCTTACAAAGTTAATATAATTAATGTAATTGAGAAAAGTTCAATCGTTTTGGAATTTATCCCTCCTGTAATTTCTAAAGAATTTTTGATCTCTTTCCTTCCTTCCTTTCTTTATTAAATTACTTTTAATCAACTCTTGATAAATGCAAGTCTTACTAAATATCTTCGATATTATTCTATATATCTCTAAATTAATTATTTTCATTTTCTAATTTTTTAACCTTTTCTCAATTATACATTTTTCTCAATCAAGTCTAAAATGATATAGATACAATGCAAAAGGCATTCAATTTATGATTTTCTTCAATCTTTTCCTTCAACCCCCGTTTTAATTATTTTCATTATTGTGAGTTTAGATTGCTTTTAACTTAGAGAAAATTAATTTCTTGTATTACTACTCTCTTATAATATTGCTGTTTGGAAATTAATTAAACGTGTGCTTGCACATCCTAAAATAAATATAGAGTAGGAAAAATTTAATCCTCCTATTTCATTTTTCAAAATTTTGGTCTTTATATTCGCTTCTTTTTATAATTATTAAATCTTTTCCTAAATTAAATAATAAAGAATGCTCATTTATTTTACTATTACACTTTTTTATTAGAGGTTTGCTCAAGATCTCTAAATTGCCTCTTATAATTTATAAATTTTTTAATATCTTCATTACATGTTTATTACTAAGTTTATAATGGATTGAAATTTTACTTTCATCCTAAACCTTTATTCTTTACTGTTTAAATAGAATTCTTAAATTAAAAGATCATTTATTTATGTAAAATTGAATAAAATAAAAATCAATTATTATATATAAGTATTTGTATTATTAATATTCCCTTCTTTATGTTTTTGTTTGTAATCATTTTCTAATCTTTTTCAAATATAGAAGTTGATATTTTATGGTCTTATCTAAAATTCCTTTTCTCAATCCTTGACCAAATTCAACTCTGCTCTTAATCTTTCAATACATTATTTGTTTCCTTTAATTGAATACTTTTTTTAATTAGATTTTGAACACTTAAAGGTTCTTGATTTTAAAATATTGTTATTCATGAATTACTACTTCTTGCAACTCTCCTATTAGGATGAGATCACTTTAGTTTTACATTTTCAGTCCATATATATATATAGTTCTATTAAGGAATTTAGAAATCTGAAATCAAAGGCTCTCTCTGAATCTCCACTAACTGCACCATAAATATTTGATAGGCGGTTCTTTTTTGCATGTAACCAAAAGGGATTACATCTTGAATAGGCCAGTTTTAGGAATAAAAATTGAATCGTAAAAGATACTTGGAATTATTGATATGAGAGTACATAGAAATAATATTTGCATTATTTTTGAATAATTTATATAAATCAAGCCCAGACTTGACCTCTGAATTGAATAGCTCTGGAATTCTTCCATCCCTTTTTGAAATGATTGTAATAAACTCCATCTCTAACTGCATACATTTCCCATCTAAAAGATTAACATGATAAGATACCTGAGAGAAAGATTGTTTCTGTAGAATCCTCTGGTCTTCAAATAAGCAAATGGATAGATTAATGCAATTCCTGTTAAGAACATGTAATATCTAACAGTCTTGTCTGGTCTTTGGAAACCGCTTCTTCTTTAAACAAATTGGATGAAATTAGTGACATCGAATGCCATTTAAGGAGTTGATGCAGGAGTGCCATCTTCATAATCGACAAGTCCTTAACAATTAATTATAAAACGTACCATCATGCAATTATCTGACCATACCAATGATCATGTGATCGAAATAAGGGTTGTATGCCTTTCCTTTTGGGACATCTAAACCTTAGTAAGGCTTGTAGTGATATCCGGTCAAAATGTTATAAATGTAGTTGATGCCTCCAGGTCTAAGTCTGATTTTAGAAAAGTCTGTTGGCCATACACCACCGTTGGCATTCTTGGCTTAATCTTAAGAGAAGTAGGGAGGATAGATTCCTATTCATTAATTTAATTTCTTACTGTCATGGATATATCTATCTCTCTCATCCCATTCCTAATAGTAGAATTATTTGAAGTGATGATGGGCAGGATGAATTGTAAAATTGCTTACCAATGCTGCCAACTCTAATTGCTTGTAAACTTTATCCAATAAAACATCATATTTTTTATACACAATACCATGACAATTGGCACAGTTTCTAGAGAAAACAAGAAATCTAAACTATCACTATTTTTCATACCCTCTTCTGACACTGGCAGAATCGAATGTGCCCAAGAATCTATATTATGGCCATGACATATGACCTCTATGTGTACCCACTTCTGTCACTTGCTCTTCATATCCCTTGATACCCCAAAAGGCACCAATATCATCTCTGTACAACCAGGCATGAACAGTGTTGTCCTATTATGTCATCAACATTCCAACTCCTAAACAGAAAAGAGCCTTCATTTTTAAAATATTTAATATCTGAATAAATATATTTAACAATATTTATTGCTAATTTATGAAAAGAAATACATCCATCATTTTATGGCTATTCAGATCATTATTCCTCACTTTTGATAGCACTAAACAAATACAAATAACTTAAGGAATATTAATAAATACTTCTACTTTAGCGTTGCAATCTATCGATATTTGATTTTCGTAATTTATGAAAAAAATCAATCTCTTAATTTTTAAATCTCTTATTCCTTCCCTTTAGGAAATGCTTATTTTATTAGTTTATATAAATTCATGTATACTTCTTTATTTCTCTTAACGAAAAATTATCTAATCTCTACAAACTCTATTTTAATTGATATGAATAAAGATTCTAATTACAGATTACTAAAATTTGATTATTAATCTTATCTCGTAGTTGATATATTAATCCAAAAAGAGAAAAATCAAATTTTAATAGCAAATAATTAAATAATCAACTATATCCAAAAAATAAATCTTATAAAATACTTCCAATTTTAAATTAGATTAAATTTATAAATTAAAACATGAGAAAATACTTAAATTTAATTTCATAGTATATTAAATTAAAGAATTTCAAATCTAATGATATAATATCATTTGAGTTTTTCTCATATTACCAATAAAATAATTAATACTTTAGAAATACTTAAAATCCTTCTAAACAATCTTGATTACACTTCTTTCAACATAAAACTAATAAGTAGTGCTTTAAAATATATTTTTAATCAATTATTATTATTTTATGTTTTCTAGAATATTTAAGCAAAGTTACTTGGCTAAGATTGCTTTATTTTCAACAGCTTCTTTAATTTATTGGGATAGCAGAAGGAATTAAAGTGAAGAAGTCTTTTAGATATTACATAGATAGACATAGAATTCTATTGTAAAATTCTTTCTGAATGGCAGAATTATAGGATAAGGAGCAGTTCTGAAAAATGGATATGTAGTTACTAGCTCTGAAGTGTTTGAGAATTAGTAACTCCATATTACAGCATAAATAAATGGCTAACTTTATAATTATGAAGTGTTAAAAGTGGAAGAAGGAATAGCCATCCTAAAAATATAACAATAGAAATCTTAGTTTAATCTCTCGAAATATGAAATAGGATAGAATGCTTATGTTTTAGGAACTGACGAATAAGGCTTAAAAGAATTTTAACAATGTCCTATTACTGATAGCAATTTCACATTAGACATCCGTTTAGTTGGTGAGGAAGCCTTGAATCAAACCTTTCCTTTTATTTTAATGAATGGATGTTCTTCTAGTCCAGGAAGTATGAGATGATTTTAATAAATGTGTAGGTCCTGTTTTAAACAAAAAAGGAGAATTGTTAGGGATAATAAATGGGTAGTTTAGGAATAAGACCTAAGTGGTGCCATCCACATATTTTTAGGGACTAGAAAATGGAAGGAATGTTGTTAAGCCTTATTTGGGATTAACTCTAAAGACCTCAGATCAGGGAGGCGCTTTTATTATCAAAATCAATTCTGACAGTCCTGCAGAAAAGGCAGGCTTAAAATTAGGAGAGATAATTAAGTCTATTGATGGAGTTACCATTTAACATGGGAAGGATGTGACAAAATTGTTGGGAGTAACTGAAAATGCAGATAGCCATGTGATGGTGGTTTTGAGAAATGGAAAAGAGAGAATTGTGAATGTAAATCTAAAATGAGAAAAATTTTGAGAGTATTTTATACTTTATTTAATATTAATATACAAGTAACAGTATATAATTTGTATTTGAATTTATTATTTAAAATAGAGCACCATGTTTAATAATAAATCTAAAAAGCCTTCTTTATTATATGTTGAATGTAAATCAAGAGATATATCAAGAAGAAATTCAAGGATTAGTGATTTGCTTAATGATACTATGAACAAGGAAAATTCAAATTATTAATCCACCTATATTCCAAACACTGCAAAAAAGATTGATAGAACTGTTGGAAGTTTGAACAAGATGTATAAACAAGCAATTTAGGATCAACAAAATTTGTAGGAATAAGCTTCTATGTTGATGGAAGACTTGAATGGGAAGTTATTATAAAGAGCAGAATTGATTGGTCAAGTCGAAGAAATGGAGGAATTAATAGAATTTCATAAATTACATAGCAATTTTGAGTTTACATTTGCTACTAAAATAGAATAGTTAGATCTACAAATCTAATAGTTAAAAAAGTCAAGTTCATTTAAATTATCAGGCAACACAGCAGATTTGATACGAGACAGAGAATAACAACATAGAGCATTAAAGGAGAAAATTCATTAAGAAACCATTATTGCCATGACAACTTATTTGTAACAGTGGGGTAAAGTATTATATTCTAAATATAAGGTAATTAATTCGAGGCTATCAGGAATTAGTATGGAAATGAAGTCTATCATCAGGTTCTCAAAGAGCAAGAACTACAAATCAATCAATTAATATCACAACAATATAATAAAAAGATTTAAGGTATTATCTAGATACTCAGAAATCAAGAGAAATTGGAAAAGGCTATACAGCTAAATATTGAATATGTTGACAATTCATTAAATGAAGACATTTATTCAATTAAATAAACAATGATCCAAAAGAAACAGTTAGTCCAAAATATTAGAAATAACCTTTTAGAAGAAGATTAATCTAAATTTTAATTGTTAAAAAGAGTGGAAGTTCTGGAACAAGAGAATTAATAATTAGAATAATAATTAAACGAAATTACAATGAAAAAAGATCTTTATTAATAAGAAATCTTGAATAAACAGAAAACAGAAGAAATATACAATGAAATACTAACAGGTTTCGATTGCTTATCACAAATTGATAATGATGATCAAAAAAGCGATACTAGCAATTCTTAGATTAAAAGTTGTACAAATATTTTAAGCAATATTAATAAATAAACCAAGAAGGTGTTAAGTAATCATTTAAATAAGGATGATTCATTACATTTTAGTCAACTTCAACAATATTTATAAATAAATAGTATAGATGGAGAGACAAACTCAAAATGTTCATCAGCTTGTTAACTATCTGCAGATGATTCGTTATTATAACATTTTAATGAATTAAATTTAACATTACTTCAGTCAGAAAAGTCCAAAAATAATTAATGCAATATGCCTTTGTAGAAGTAGTAGTAGTAATAATAATACTAATAATAATAATAATAATAATAATAATAATAATAATAATAATAATAATAATAATAAATTTAATACAATTATTATAATTAAAAGAATCCCTCTATAGAAAACTAAACTTAATAAATTGATTTTATTAGATTATAAACAATCACTGAAGAATAATTGAGCTCAAAAAGAGAAAAATCAAGAATGGAATAATCTACAAAAATTAATACAACTCCTATTCATTAAAATGGTTAAAATTATTTAAATTTACAGAAAGTTTAAATTGTTGATAATTCATCATAAAGCACCGGTGCTCCATTATCTGATTAGACAAAGCGTTTTACAAATAGATTAGGCTCTTCCTAATTATAAGTGTCTAACTATAATGAAGTCACTTAGAAATAAATTTCAATACCATCTCCATATATGCCATTATTTTTTCACAATTAAGCATCAAATCCTTCGACTTAAAAGAGTTAGCAACCTTAAGTTTTCAAATTTAAGGAATAAAATTTATTATCTGAATAAATACAAAAGCATAAAAAGTCAAAATCTTTTGATTCAACCTCAAATAAAGAAATTTAATAAAAATAGTTATTTTGTAATGTTTCAGCAAACAATGGACAAACCTATTATAATTCAAAGGACTCCTAATATCTCTCAAACAAATCTAATAATTTGGTACCAATAGAATAAGAAATTCTCAAAATAACCAAGCCTTTACAAAAAGGCGTAATGATCTACAAGAGGTTTAGTTCAACTAAACCCAACTTTACTAAAATGGAATTTGATCCTTTTACTTGTTAAAATCCAAACATTTGCGGATATTGTCCTAGAATTATGACTTTGTCGCAGAATTTGGATAAGATTGAATTCAAAAACTAGATGAGAATTAATGTAAGAAATTTAATATTATGTAGCAAGTTGATTCGATTTTATAATTAGATTAAATAATGAGAGTAATTATTCCAAAGACTATACTACAGAGTATTTAAATAAAGAGATAGATATAGAATAAATTTATTTTAAGTCAAGAGGAGAGGATTGTTTGTGGAATAGTATATTGGCCTATGTCAATCATTACTTAAAATGACGGTAGGATCGAATTATTGTTTGACAATGAGGAAATATTGGAATAATGGTAAACAAGTCTTATTTTTCTCAAAGATAACATTAAAACACTTTAAATCATCAATAAAAAATTAAAAAAATGAATGTGATTTGTTTAATTAATTTTTAATACTCATATTTTTTTATTCATAATTAAATATATCCTAAATTAATACAGATGCCAATTTATAACGAAGTTTGGGAAGAGGAAGGTAATTCATACATCCTATTAAACAGATTTCATGTTCAGAAATATGATCAACCTTTAAACATTAACCAAAAATCATGTTAAATTGTTGGATAATCTAAAATTTGAGTTTGTCGAATATAAAGTATTCATATCAAATTATCAATTAGGCAAATCAATTACTTGCTTGTCACCTCTATGATAGAATGGCATCACATTGCAAAAATCAATTTGGTCTATTTGAAGACTCCTATGTGCCTGAATGTTTGGATGCAAGAAATTATTTCTAATTGTGCGTCAGAATGAATGCCTCATATGGGTTAGCTAAAAAATATTTCCCAGAGTAGCTTTTTTATTCATTTTAGATATTTCTTAACCAACGAATACTCAAGACCAAATCCAAATTTCAAAGAATTAGGACTTTGAAAACATTATTCATAAACAATACATTAATAACACAAAACATTTATAAAGCAAGAATTCTTTATTATATATTCCACTCTATAATTGTTTCTTAATATTCTTAAAACATATTATTAATGAGAAAAATATACTTTAAGATCAATAATATAAAATATGATAATTTGCAGTAGCATTAAATTAGGCAGCACATTCCCAATTTGTGTTAGTTTTATGTTTTAAATAATTATATTAAACAGTATTACAAATTTAAAAATTTTAACATTTAGTTTTATTTGAATTCGAAATAATGTCAGAATCATTTAAAGTAGTCAACTATGAAAGAGAATCTAAATAATCGTTTTAAGAGTTTTTATAAATGCATCTTAATGAACCTTAAGATTCACAATTAAGATCGCCAACTTAAGACAATAATTATAATTCGACAAAGCAAATAGGAATAAGAAAAACTATTAAAAGGGAGGAATCTGAACCCAGTTTTAGAATTACAGAATAACCCATCGAAAATAATGAAAAAAACCTTACCTCTATGCAATCTAAAATTTAATTACTCATCACTGAAAATTCAAAGTTAATTGAAATAAACTCAGGCTTAATGAGAGAAATAGAGATTATGAAACAAAATAATTCATCAAATCGAACACTTTTAGTGCAAGAATCACAATAAAAATTAATGAATTATTAATAGAAAGTAGTTCAACTTACTTAGGCAAATGAATAGTTGAGTAGTAGATTGATCGATGAATAAACTAAAAATAAAAAGGAAATAGAATAGAGATTCTAATAAATATTATTAGAAAACAAAAATCTCAATGAAATGCTATAAACACGATTAAATGACATAGACATATTGAACAACTAATTGTTAGAAAAAAATGATTAAATCGCCTTAATAAATGAAGAAATTAAAGTTGTAAATGAGTAATATAAATTAATATCATAGAAAATGCATGGTCTTGGAATAATAAAAATAAGTCTTAATAGCCTAGCAGTAATAATATGTCGATACTATAAAAGAATTCTAAACAAAGGAACAATAATTTATGTAATAACTTTATTAGGAACAAACCTCTTATCAATCCTGCATTGCTAATTTAGAATAAAATTATAATCTACAAATAAGTGAATTAAGAAACTCATTTTTGGTAATGTTTTTATTTATTTTAGAAAGAAATTGAGTAATAATAAGAAACAATTGCACAATAATACTAAAACTATTTTAATTAGCAAATTATCGCATTTTAATAGCAAATAAAAGCAATATAATAGGAGAATGTGTAAATTAAGGATGAATTAACAGAAAGATCTAAAATTTGGTCTCAAGAAAAGGAGAGACTTGAAAATTTCATTAAAAACATTCAATAATCATAATTAAAAAAATAAAATTCTTAAGAATCCATTCAACCATTAGCAAACATTATTTAAGCCTAACAAAATATAAATCAAAATTAGAAACTTTCATAACAAATAAATTAACCAAATCAAAATTTAGAATAACAGCAAATCATCTAACCTTAAAATTAATAATAAATTAATCAAATTTAAAATCAATAATAACTAACTTAAGAATAGATAATTTAACAAAAACAAGAATTATAAAAATAATAATATTATTAAGAAATATTATAAATTTAGTAATAGTAATCCTTATTACAATAATAGTAATAATAGTAGAAAATATTACAATAATAATAATAATAAAATTAAACTCATCATTAATCAAGTAACTACACTTTTAGATAAAATACTTAAGAAGATTCAAGGGAAGTAAGTCCAGAAAAAGATGATATATTTCAAAATTTTGATTAAAAAGTTAGATTGCACACTGAAAGTTATGGATATGAAAAAACAATACCACAAAGAGCTCCTTTGCATGTCAAAAATTATCGAGTTCCCTAATTACACACAATTACGAGGTATGATTAAAAGCAATACAATTTTGGAATAAATTAGCCATAGTACTATTAAAATTCTCAATAACGATTTATGATTAATAGGGATCCTCAATATTAGAGATCTCATTCTCAATATTAAGAAAGAGATGATAAACCTAAGAGTTAGCAATATCAAAATTAAAACGAAGGGTATCTAGTTCCAAAAAGATATTGAATGAATTAATTTATATGATATGAAATGGAATTTATAACACAAACTTTGAAACAAATGAACAAATCATTATTTTCTTTTTTTTTATTTTTCAGTAATAGTTAGTTTGACTTTGACAATAGGATTATCAGATTCAGAAAAGTGTTCCTGATTTGGATCCTCAGCTTTATTAGTTTTCTTTTTAATAACTTTTGATTTTTTATTGATAGAATCCTTTTAGTCAACTTTGATTTCTTAAACTTATAAGCTTTGAATTAGACTCTCTTTTTTTGGATTTTCCTATTTTTATAACTATTCAATTGAATCTTCTTATGGTTGTATTTTATTTAAACAATTTTCGCATTTACAAAGATCTGTGCATCTTTGATTAACACTATAACATTCACAATATTTCTTTTTGCATTCTGATTTCTTACAATTACATCCTTTTCTTGTTGTAATATCTTTTTAGGATTCCTTCTATGATTTTTCCTCTAAAAATTGAATGAAAGTTACCTTAAATTATTTGTGGCTGTTATCCATTGTTAGTTAAAATTGCTGCAAATGCATCTGGATTTCTCAGTAGAGCTTCCTCAATAGCCTTTGATCTTTCATTAGGGTTATCAATCCTATTTTTGCATTCACAGCAATTACAATTTTAAGAGCATACCTATATAGTTTGAAATCATACCCAATTATTGGCAAAGCATTCACAATATAATTTGAGACATTTACTTTTTTTACAATTGCAAGCAAAAGGTGATACTTTTTAGTATTGCACCAATTGGCTGACTTTGGATTATAGTTCTTTAGATAATGTATTTTAATAATGCTACCCATCATATTAGGGATAATATATAGGGGGTCTGTACCAGTAGGGAATAGGATGTGGATATTGATGCATAAAAAATTGGGATGGATGGGGAGGATATTTCATCGGGTAAGGTTAATAGAAAGGTGGGTAATATGGATAGTTTTATTTGGGGTCTTCTTCATTCCCATCTTGTTGAGGATCATGAGCAGAATATTTTCGAAAGGGATTTTTCTTACCTTATTTGTCTTAGCCATCTTCATAACCTTGATATAAGGGAACTATGAACTTTTTTCTAAATTTAAAGGAGGCAGGTGTGAATTAGGAGCATTAAAGAATTACGAGGGAGTAAAATGAGGAGAAGGGTTATTTGCATAATTTGGCCATTCTTAATCAAAATGTTGTAATTTTTTATCAGGACATGGTTTTAGGTTTTCATTTGAAATTTCACTAGCAAAAACTATAAAATAATCATTACTTTTAATCATCTGCATTATTATTCATAACTTAATTAATATTATTTATAAATATAAAATTTAAATTACCCTTAGAATCTATTAAATAAATAAAGAGAACAAAATTTTAATGGTCAAAATCTTAGGGAGGATGTAAAATCCATTTGGAGTTATAACATGTTATTTCAGAATTTGAATTTAATGAATGAAAATTGAGAAGGAAGATACAAAAAATCATAGTAATTTAAATCACTGCAAATTTTAAGTTAATCCAAATTGATAGTACTGATTTTGAATAAAACAATAATTTTAATTATAATCTTTTGCTAAGCATTTCAAAATTTATGAAAATTTAAACTAAGATTAAGCAGAATTAGCACCACTTTTTGTAATATTTTTGGTTACTTTTAATTAATTTAAATAGTAATAAATATATTATATTTTTACACGAATTTAATGCTCTGAAATTAATGAGTATATTTATAAAATAAATTAAGGTTAATTTTTTATGATTATTGATTAAGGAGTAATTGAAGCTGTGAAACAAAAATTCAAGCCTGAAGATTTATCAAAAGCAATTGCCTTAATTCATTATGTAAAGAAATGGTCTAATTTGTAATAATAATACGAAGAAAATGTCAATAAAGTGACAACAAATCACTTAAAAAGTTGTCTTCCAGAATTATCAGAAGTAAATGCTTTGGCTAATGGAACAAGACAACCTAGTGAGGAAGAGATGAAGGATTCAACTATTAAGGAAGCTGAACCAATCTCTGATTATTGGTCAAAAGTACTATAACATGCAGGTATTACAGGATCAAGAATCACATAAAAAGATGCTGATGTATTGGCATACTTAAAAAGCATTACTGCTAGTTTTGGCGATAATGACAGAGACTTTAAATTAAGATTTGAGTTCAATCCAAACTAATACTTTGATAATAAGGTATTAGAGAAAGAATTTATTTACAATAACGAAGAAAGCGAATTACCCTACAAATGCAATGGAACATAGATAAATTGGAAGGAAGGAAAGAATGTTACAAAGACAATCAAAAAGAAGAAGTAAAGAAACAAGAAAACCAACTAAACCAGAATTATTGAGACAGAAGTGAAATTAAAATCATTCTTTAAATTTTTTGATGACATAGCTCCTGCATAAACAGATGAAGAAGAATTACAAAAGGAAGAGAAAATTACAGCTGATCTTGAGATTGGAGAAGCAATAATCGAAGAAATTATTCCCCAATCTTTGACATATTATTTAGATTTGAAGGATGAAGAAGATGAAGATGATATGGACGATGAAGATGAATAGGATGATGATGATGACGATGATTGATGTATTGTATAAAATTTAATGATAATTTTATTATTTATAATTATTATTCTTGATTCAATTCGATGGTAATATGAAAATAGGTATTATTAATTAGATTCTCAATCAATTTTTATCAACAATATATCACTTGACATCTATTTGATGTTTTGCATATAAGTTATATGGACCCCCAATACTATTTTAAAATTAAATTAATATATATATTAAAGGATATGTAAAATTCTCCCAAAGAAAATCCTCTTATTGGTAACTATGATGATTTAGTCAATAATTTAGATACAGGAAGCATCGTTTAGGAAATTTATAGGGAGGAATATGTTCCAGTTTAATAGATTTAAAGAAGAGAGGAGGATGCAGTATTTATTGATGAAAACCCTTAAAATGTTTTGGAGAAACTCATGAAGCTCAAGGATTGCCATTACAAAGAGAGGTAAAATAGATGGTAAAGATAGACTGGCATTTACGAAAAGATTAGGGGAACTGTTAACATGGATAGGAGATTCTTCAATTGATAATTTAAATACAATCATTCAGTAGATAGTATACATCTGGTTTTAATGGGTAGTTAGAAGATGCTGATGAAATTAAGAAAAATTTTATAGCCCAATTAGAGTAAATCTGTGTTCTTTTGAAAACTAAATAAAATAGTTAAGAGCTCATCAAACAACATGTTGTGAAAGCTTTGCAGGAATTATTAAAATCTAATAATTTTGATGTAATGAATTGATTCAAAATAAGATCAAAGAGTAAGCCGGAAACTCTATAAGTATAGTGGCCAAAGAATTAAATGAAAGAGACAGAGGAAATCTCATTCTAACCTAAGTGATTCAGATGGCCCATGATGACAATAATGATGAGAATGTGATGATTGCCGTTAAAGTTAATGCCATCAATTATTTTTTAGCTATTTGGTTAATTGGCTGCAGATTTTGGACCAGAATTATCGGAATCCTTCATCGCATTGGAAATTTTATCCAAGGGAGATGATGCCAAATAACCAATACGCAAAGAGGCCGTACTTCAATTAGCCAACATTGCTAAAGTGCTCTCTAAAGATTTTATCAAACATAGACTCATCCCATTTTTTTCTAAGTAAATTTCAGTTTGAATAAAAAAGGAAAACCGAAGAAAGAACCTGGTAAACAAGAAAGGCCTGTCTTGATATTATAGTTAAATTAGCTGAATAGACAGACACAGAAAATTTTGATTTGATCACAGGAAGATTACTTGCTTTATTAGAGTATAATTCAATTAATAAAAAGTGATCAAAACAAATGGGTCAAACAGCATGCATATAAATAATTAGGCAAATACATATCAATTATCACAAGATAAGAAAATATCAATGATAAACTCTTAGAATTCTATTTGAAAATGAATGATTCTGATATTAGAGAACTAGGAATTGATAATGAAGTAAACCCATTTTATATTTCATAGATCGTCATTGAATGTGCATTGTATTTCCCAGCCGTGCTCTAAGTCTACACTGATAAAAAGTGGCCTCAACTTAGCAAATTATTTATGAAATTGATTAATCACAAGGATAAGGTATACATATATACAATATTTCTTTGAGAGTCAAAAAACCTTTGGCTTGTAGTATTCATGTTTTAGCTAAATTGTTGGGACCCTAACAAGCTTACTCAGAATTACTTAAAGTCTTAGAGTAATTGCTTTAGGATCCAAATGATGAAATCAAACATGGTGCAGTTGAGAACCTAGGCTTATTTTTTGATGCTATCGAAGAATCTAAAAGAGCATCTCTTATTGATATCTTATTGATTATTTAGAAGGACTAAAAGAAATGGAGAATCAGAGAACTAATTGCTAAATAAATTTCTCACCTTGCCTAAGTCTTTGATGTTGAAACTGTATTTTCTATTATACTACCAGTTTCAACTAAATTGTGCAATGATAATGTGTTTGCTGTTAGAAAAGCTGTAAATATTATTTAATGAGAATTTTAGGCTGCAAAACAAATCTTTGAACTTTATGATAAATTTTAGAAAAGTCAAAATGAACTATACTTCAATGTATTGAAGTAGAACATTTTAGGTTTTGCAAACAGTAATATGTTCAATTAAAGATAAAGGTATTTAATTCTTTCATTATTAGTTTTGTCATTATGTGTGAAAAACTTATGAAATTTGAACAATTTCAAGTTGACTTTCTTGAAGCTTTCATTAATTTGGGTTAGGACCCCATCAAAAATGTTAGAATTACAGTCGCAAAAGTACTTCAAAAACATTTGTTTAAATCAAAATAATAAGCAAATGAAGGATTGTTCAGAGACTAAACTTCAATTTAAACGCTTTGGAATTTGTTAATTAAAGATAAAGTAGTTTTTAACTCCTTAGATAATAAGAAATATCCAAATTCAAAGTAAAAAATTGTTGTTATTTAGTTTGCAAAAATCTCAATAAGTCTAATTGACATAAAGTTAAATTAAATTTCAAAAAACTGAATAATAAGAATAGTAATAATAATAAGAGATATAATAATAATAATAAGAACAATAATACTAAGAATAAGAATAGGAATAAAATTTATCTAATTAGGAATAAAGTTTAAATACCTCAGTTCCTGAAGAAAATCAAAATAAAGAAATAATGGTTTTAGAAGAATAATTTGAAAAGAGCAATTAAATTGATCAAAACAATACCAATGTTGAAATTAATTAAGAAGAGCAAATTACTCAAACTATCGATAACAACGAAATTGATATTAAGTAACATACTTAAGAAGAAACTTAAGAAACTCAAATTCAAATGGAGTCAGAGATTAATGAGAAATAATAAGATGATTAAACCTAATAAGAAAAACAATAAAATGAAGAAACGGAAATTTAAGAGGATTTCTAAAATATTCAAAAGAATGACGAAAAAGAAATAGAGTAAGAATGATTATTTTAGTATGAATTAGAAATAATTCCAAATCATTTTAATTTATTTGTGATATTTAAAGTTTTTTTTAAATTTGATCATTTTATAATGACTCTACTCTTTATGTAAAAACCTTTTTATTTATAAATGTTAATAACTGAATATTAAAAATACTTTTTGAAATTAGAATTCAAATTTGAATAATTTATAAAAATACTAATTATAAAATGTACATGAAATTATTCATTTACCTATATCCTTTAATCTATATTATGCTAAAAACTGAAAAATAAATTTCAATTTATATTACATTAAATAGTTACTCATAACCTCATCATAATAAATTTTTATTATCAAATCCAATAATGCTTCACTATAATATATTCTATACGATAGATTAGATATGAAATATTAAAAATTTAATTAGAATTGATAATTTGTAGATTTAATTATATATATATATATTATTTTTATTATATAGCAATTATAAGAAATTAAAATTTCTTTTACAATTTTTTATATAAAAATTAGAAATAAAGCATGAGAACAGATAATAAAAGAAAATAATGAGAGAAATAATACAATTACAAATAGGATAATGTGGAAATCAAATAGGAACTAAATTTTGGGAGGAAATAGCTCAAGAACACAGAATTGATGAAAATGGTTAATTAATTGAATAAGAACATGAGTTTTAATAATACTTGGATGTTTACTTTAATGAAGTCAATGGAAATAGATACATACCAAGGAATGTATTGATAGATTTAGAGCCAGGAACATTGGATAGCGTGAGGGCAAGCAGATATGGAAAATTATTCAGGCCTGACAATTTCATATTTAGTTAAGGTGGAGCAGGTAATAACTTTGCAGTTGGACATTATACAAATGGAACTGAAATATTAGGTGAAGTTTTGGATGTAATAAGACATCAAGTTGAAAGTTCTGATTGCTTACAAGGATTTTAGTTGACCCATTCGTTGGGAGGTGGTACAGGATCAGGATTTGGCACTTTGTTACTATCAAAATTATAAGAGGATTACTGTGATAGAATATTTCAAGCCTATTCAGTGTTTCCTTCAGTAAAAGTAAGTGATGCAGTGGTAGAATATTATAATACTGCTGTGGCTGTAAATCACTTAATTGAAAATTGCTCATAATGTATGTCAATAGACAATGAAGCCCTGTACAACATTTGTACGAATACATTAAAACTAAAGAATACTTGTTACGGAGATCTAAATCATATAATATCAGCTTCAATGTCAGGAACTACTTGCTCACTTAGATTTCCAGGTCAATTAAATAGTAGTTTGAGAAAATTAAGTGTGAATTTGGTACCATTCCCCAGATTACATTTCTTCACTACTTCATTTGCTCCTTTAACTTCAAGACATAGCATGTAATATAGATCCTTAAAAATATCAGAAGTGAGTGATCAGATGTTTGACCCTCAGAACTAAATGTGCGCAATCAACTGCAAATAAGGAAGATACTTGACTGGGGCTTGTTTGTTTAGAGGGTAATTTTCAAGCTCAGAGGTCGAGAAATAAATTATTCAATACTAAAAGAAGAACCCTTAGAATTAAGTTTAGTGGTTGCCAAACAATATGAAGGTTTCTCAATGCAATGTTTCTTAGAAGGGAGTAGTTAATTCCGGTACATTCATTGGGAACACGACTGCTATAAATGAAATGTTCAGAAGAATTTACAATAATTTCTAGGCCATGTTCAAAAGAAAAGCTTTCCTTCATTGGTACACCAACGAGGGAATGGATGAATTGGAATTCACTGAAGCTGGTGCAAATGTACAAGATCTAATCTCAGAATACTTACAATATTCAGAATTTAATGATGATGATGGTGACGAGTAAGAATGATTAATTAAATTTATTGTATATACTTTGTTAAGAATTTAGATCATTTAAATATTTTCCTCTCTTTTAATTTTGCTGATTATTATTTCACAAAATGAATAATCAGAAAATTATCAACAATGTTTACATTACAAAAAAAAGAATTTCTGCTGGGTCATTTGGAGTTGTCTATCAAGGGTAAGATATTAATACAAGAAATTTTGTTGCCATCAAGATTGACAAAGAAAATAAAGAAGACTCAAGCTTATTAAGAGAAGTATTAGGATTTCTTATTTTAGGCCGAAATTTTAAGAAGACTGCAACATTTATTACACATACCGAAATTGTATTGGGCTGGAAAAGAACAAGAATCCTATGTTCTGGTCATATAATATTTAGGGAGAGATTTGACTCATTATATGAAGACTTTTCGAAAATTCTCTCTGAAATGTGTCCTTAATGTAGCTGAATAGATGATCAACATATTAGAAAGTTTACATAAGAAGTATATTGATTACTTAGTTTAGCAAAGTCTTGCATAGAGATATCAAACCAGAAAATGTCTTAGTTGGGAAGGATGACGATGATAATCAGCTCTACATTGTAGATTTTGGCATCAGTAAGTTTTACAAAGATGAAAATGAATCCCATATGTATCATTCCATTTAATTTAAACTTAGCTCTTTTCGAGAAAATTAGCCATTTATAGGAACTTCTAGATATGCTAGTATCAATGCTCACAGAGGCTACTCTTTGAGTCGGAGGGATGATATGGAGTCGCTTGGCTATATGCTCATATTTTTACTCAAAGGTATATTGATGATTATTAACAAAAAGGGTAGTTACCATGGTAAAATTTATAGTTCACCTCAGAGGAAAATAAAATTAAATAGGTAGGTTAAATGAAAATGAAGATGGAAGTGAGTGAATTATGCAAAGGCCTACCCATTGAATTTGGAAGATATTTAGATTACGTTAGAGGCTTACCTTTTAAATCCGAACCAAATTATAAATACTGTTAATCCTTATTTAAAAAAATATAAAACGAACACAATTATGTCCCAAAGGAGCTTGTTTTTGATTGGAACATCTCTCAAAGGGGCGATAAAGAGGGTTAGAGCACAAGCAGTAATTTATTCAATAGCAAACCGTCGATGTAAATAAAGATACCTGATAATTATAGATTTAAAAAATCCAAGGAAGATATGTCATCCAATAACATTATGGGATCTCAATTAAATTAGTCAATCGAATAGGAGATGAATTCCTTATTAAAGACTCCTGAATAGAAAAGATCTACTTTAACTCCTGAGATCCATCGAAATAAGGGTAGAATGTAATCTATGAGCAGTTATAATGACTCAGTATCAGAGATTGATTTCAATAATAGTGTTTTGTTGGGAATCTAGCCTAGCATATTAAGTAGATTAAGCAAGATTTCATTTAACTCAAATTCAAAGGTGAGAAATAGTAAGTCTAATATTTCTTTGACTCCTGAGATTAAAGCATAAGGCAAGGTCTAACAAATTCAACCGGATCCGTATTTAGAAAAATTAACAGGAGTAAAGAAACGTAAATCCTAGCTTAGTTATTCTTCTCGTCGCGGCAAGAAGGATGATGAAACTATTTTCGAGTGCTCAAAGATGAATGAGGCTGAAGAAGGGATAGAAAGAAAATACATAGAACTAAAGCATCGTTTTGTAAATGCGTATGTAAATTTAAGTTATTAAATAGTCGTTTCAAATTTCAGCCAAATAAAAGTCTAAAGTGAATGTTTTAAGAGTAATTTTTTTCATATTCTCTGCCATATTTATTATACATATAAAATATCAAATTCAGGACTTTGAAATTCTGAGCACATTGTCTGTTTATTTGAAAGCTAATATAAACATAATACAAATATAGTTACTTTTCACTTTGTTTCTTGCTAAGTCAAAGTGGACACTCTTGTTGTGTGTACAATGAGTTCCTTTTTCTTTTTACAAAGCCTCCTAGAATTTCATATTGATAGATTTGAAGTATTTGCGTTTCTCTGCTGGATTCATAAACAAATATACAGGAACAGAATTCATAATTTCCTTTAGAGTTTTCAATTTGTTAGGGTTCTTTCTAATTTCGCTATAATCATCACCCTCTATGGTTTCATCTTCATCTTGAGTTGGACTATCTTGTTAATTCTAAGAATTGATTAATTCTTCTTATTTTTTCTGTAATTTCAGAATGGCCTTCTCTTCCTTTTATTTGATCTTGGTGTTCTGTTGTTGTTACAACTCTTTTTTTTCTTTTCCATTATTTTTTTAAACTTTTTGAGGTACTTAAATCACTTATTCTTCTTCTTGTTCCTCTTATTCATCTTATTAATTGAATTGTTGTTGTTCTTCTTCATTTTATTATTATACATGGTTTTCTTGTTATTATTTTACTTCTTATGACTTTTTTAATTGTTGAGTTTCTTAATTATTATTTTTTGTCTTCTTCTTCTTTGGGGCCTCTTCAATTTGAACTTGAGGTGACTCCTCCAATTCTTCGGTGAAATTAAAGATCTCTGCAACTCTATAAAGAGACTTCCTATTTTAAGGATTGACACTCCTACAAATTGTAAATATTCTATTACTCTGATGAAGCCAATTTGAAGACATAGTTCCCATATTTTCTAGAATCGAAAGCTGGCAAATAGTTTTCATTTTTTTGTCTCTCCTCTATGTATTCGTAGACATATTGAATAGTTTTATCTCTCAGTGTCTTATTTGGACTGTGCTTAAGAATGTCCAAGAACCCTTCAAGAAGATCCTTAACCTGAACATGTGTAACAGTGGAATCGCTCATATGTTTAGCCAAGCACTAAACAAATATTTGGATGAAGTGCAATGTGGCTCCCTATACTAAATAGAGTTATGATGAGGAGTCATACCTGTCTGAAATTCTGTCAGATTCAGAACACTTTCGTGATAAAGAGCAATCAATTGGGGAACTGTCTTCCAATTAAAATGCTTGCATATTTTTATTTACTCTTCGATGATTTCCCTAAATAAAAGCATAAATTTATTGATGCGCCAGTAATCAATCTTCTCCCATTCGAACATAAACACATGGAACATGGCTTTGGAGAATTGGATGAATGCATTGAAATTGGAGTAGAACATTCTTGTGAGCTATGAAATTTCAGTTGCAAGAATCTATTGATTTTGATACTTGTCCGAACTCCACATTGCTTACAATCTAAAACTGCAATACCATAATAGAGAGCCTTCCATATTTTTTTATAATCCGACATTAGTAAAGGCTTGCCGAGGACCTTCTTTAACTCTGTGATAGTTTGCTTCCTACTCATCGGGTCTATCGCAATTAACAAAAACTCCTTACCGAGAAGAGTAATCTGTTGCAAAAAATCCACAGACACTGTAGTCATATATTAATTTTTATTTAAATAAATCAATTCCTTTCAATTTTATATTTTAGAACATTTTCACATATTGCAAATATGTCCCAAATGCAATCGCATTCCCAATCTGTGTGATTTTCTTTATTATGGCCTTTCCTACAAAGTTTATTTAGACATTCCTTAATTTCTTATCTTAACCCCTATATCTGAGTGTTTGGGGTGCCCCTTGCAAATAGGGGGTAAAATAATTAACTGGGAAGACCTTGAATTTAGGCTGCTCTAATAGATAATGAATATGCCTTAATTACATTGAGTTTAATTAAATTATATTAACAAATGAATCGGGCATCTCATAAATGATTGAAGAGAGTACTAAATAACCGAGCCGGTTTAGCTCAGTGGTTAGAGCTTTTGCCTTGTAAGCAAAGGGTCGAGAGTTCAATTCTCTCAATCGGCTGTTATTTTTAATTTTTTAATATTAAATAAAATATTAAATAGCCAATTATGAAGGGTTGATTTTTAACTAATATCCACACAAACGTTAGAAGAAGTAATCAGATATTTTTCATTTTAGAACAAAAAATTAGAAATTGCCTAGTGGTTCACCTTTTTCACATTATGTTCTGAAATTTTTTATTCTCAATTCAGATTTTCGATTTCTTTGAATATCAAAAGACACTTTTTCAAAAAGATTTTGTTAAAGACTCTATTAAAAGGAGGATAATAACAATTAATTAATAACATTATTGCTTAGACAATATCAGATATATTTCAAATTATATAACAACCACATGGTATATCTATAAAGCATCTGATATTACTCAGGTGTCTAGATCATAAGAGCTCTCTACTCTCTCAATCTTCGAACAATGCTAAATATAGATATTTTTGCTTTATTATTTATTAATAACTATTTTATATGGCATATGGCTAAAAATGTTCCTGTTCTTCCAACTCCAGCACTACAATGAATCACTGGTCTTTTATTCTACATAGCAGCCTTATTTGATATATCAGCAAGCATATCAAGAATTTTTAATTCTTCATTGCCAACAACACCAAAATCATTCCAATTAGTCCATTGATAATGAAAGATCTCTCTGTATTCCACCTAAGTCTTGATGATGATCTTATGTTAGAAAATAGACTTCAGAATCTCCTCCTAAGAAACCGAATACACCTCATAAGGACCAAATTATGCCTTCTATCCCACTTTTGGCCAATACTTTTCACATTAGACCTAAGAAAAACAACAGAAAATACTCTCCCTTTATCGAAGAAATTACACAACATGATCACGACCTCAACATTGTTGGTCCAAACCATATGCCAAAAATCATTTATGGACTCTGGAACGGGGCCCTAAGTTGCAATGTACTGCTTTTCAACATTATTAATTCCCCGTATGTAATTTGCATTGATGTAAAATTTGTCTCTTGAAATAATCAATTTATTTGGCGATTAGACTTCTGGTTTTACAATCGAATGATAAACTAAGAAATTAATGGTATATGTACATGGCAAAATATTTGAGTATCTATTTAATTTTTAAACTTGGACATCCTTAACTAGATACTTTTCATGTTATGCTGTTTCGGTGTTTTGTCTAAGATATTAAAATTCATATTCGAAATTCCTTTTCTAAACAGTCTTTGCAAATTCTTCAATTGGCTATGCTCTTTCGAATTACATAAACTTCTAGTCCTATGCACGAAACGATAAATCAAACGGCATTAACGGACCATCCTCTTAAGGTTTTTAAATCATAATTAATTAATTTTTGTTATAAACTCATCTATCTGCATTGATTTATGCTTATGATTGTCTCCTCTCTCCCTAACATAAACTGTGTTTGACTCTTACTCCTTGACTCCAACAGTTATAATATAATTGAAGTGTAACATCTCCCTCTTATTCTTATCCTCTTCCCCAAAATCTGCTCAGTATCCTCCAATTCTACTTCAAATCCTAACTTATACAATTAATCATAAATTTCCTTTGCATTAGACTTTGAGATCCTTTTACAGGAATTATCATTACCTGTCTAGGAGATAACTAAAATGGCCATTTTCTATCACATACCTCAATGAGAATGGCTATCATTCTTTCAATTGAACCCAGTATATCTCTAAGAATTATTACTGATCTTGAGAATTAATCATTATCATGATGATGCTACATCTTTATAATATGCTGCGTATTCTTTTTCAGAAAATGCAATCATCAATTATTTTTCAGCCTCATCCCATATATATCAACTCTCTAGTAAACATCAAACGACTATATACCTTAGTCACAAAGTCTAAGGTATTTTAATTCCTTATTGAATCTGTTCGATCATACAAAATATATGAACATCATCTTATTTAAACTTATGTACTATTTTTATTCCAGTCAAAGTTCCTTGCACTTCATTTCTGTGCATAAAACAAAAATCAGCAAATCTTTTTGGTGATTCCTTATTACTTGCTTGATGAAAAACATTAAAGATTGATTTATAAAAAGTCTAAAAATATGAATTCTTATTATTTATTTTTGCTACAAAATTTATTAAGTAGAGAGAAGTGTTATTAATATTCATTAAGACTTTTAGTTCAAATCCAATTGACTAATTAAGTAATTTTATTTTCATATAATTTTAAGAGGAGGTACTCTAATTTAGAAGCAGATTATGATGTTATTTTAATTTGGTTGCTAATATAAATTGCATAGTAAAATAAATCTAAACATCAAGATTCTAATTCTTACCAATAGTGTAGATTATTATTATCATCCTTTTATCATTTGAAGATTTCTACTCTGTTAATCAAGGATCAAGTTCGTAAGATTTTGGAGCTTTTTAATATTAGCTAGCCAGATCTTTAGGCAAAAAAAAGAGATATTTTAGAGTTGAAAATTAAAATAAGAATATTTTTATTATTTTGAATTAATAGTGGTTTAATTGATATTAAAATAATTAATGTTAAAAAGCAAGTAATTATCTAGCCAGCAATTTTGGTAAGAATCAACAAGACTATCTTATTGAATGTTACAAATAGTATTTAGTAGACCCTTGGCTTAGATTTAATCTATGATTTAGATCAAAAATGTTTAGGTGAATTAGTAAATCTAGTTTCCTCAACTTTATAAATGGATAAACATATTCTGCAAGAGTAAAAAAAATTAATTAATAAGTTTATTTTATAATATTTATCTTTCAAAGGGCAGAATTTGCTTCTAAATTCCAGCGGATTCCAAAATATTTAGATTATGTGATAATATTTTTATCAAATTTAGATATCTCATCTCTTTTGAAATTTTTGTTTTTGTGCAAGAGTACCTCTCTAGTTGTTATTTAGAATTAATTAGGGAAAGTAATTATTTTGATTATCTATCCATTTATCTATATATCTATGAGACTATTTTTATAATTTAAATAATAAATATCTTAATAGAATCATGAATAATAAATTTGATTCAGTCTCGTAAATTCATCAGGATTCTTAAAAAAATAGTCTTGTATCTAATATGTTAATTACTAAGTCGCAAAAGTCATAATTTAATAAATTAATTGAATCTCATGATAATGGAACAACAATATTATAATTTGAAATTCAATTAAGAGGAGGAGGCTGTGGATAAGCTAAGTCTATTCCAAAAGTTGAAGAAAAATTAATTATTGGCGTACCCAATGATTTATTGATTAAACTAGAAAATTATGTTAGCATAATTCATACTAAAGCTTCACTTTTAACTGATCCTTAACAGAGAAATGAAGTAATAATTGCATTTTAATGGTTTATGTATAATAGAGAACATTTAAATACTTGTTGTGTTAACCAAAATTTAACCTAATCAATATATACAATATCATTGAATTCTTTTAGGGATTTGATAAAAATTCTTCCTGTTCATTTACGATCTTCATGGTTTTTATGCTATTAGGTTCTTTAAATATGTAATGACTTTTTGAGAATTATATATTCATTCTAAATACAAAATGATGGTAGAGAAATGGAATTAGCTATGCAATAAGAATTTCTTTAAGATGTAGAGGAATTTAAGGTATAATTGAGTATTGAATAAGCAAATGTATGGAATACAGGAATAGAATATGAAATTACTCTCATTAAAATAATGTTAATGAATTGTCAAACCAATTCAGAAGAAGGAAAAAATTTATTAATAAATATTGTTAATAATGTCGCTTAATCAGCTTTGGCAATGTCACCTACTGAAGACTTAATCCCAAGTCTCATTGAAGGAGCTAAATTTTTATTTTTATAATATAAAGACAAAGTATTATATCCTTAAGAGGTGTATGCTACTTATTATTTATTCCAAAATCTTAAATGGTCTATTGTAAGACTATTAAAATCTTAGCATTCAGTCTACAACTAATTGAAATATCTAAAAGATGCATTTTAATAATACATTCTAAATTCAGATAATTGGATCATTCATTTTAGTTGGATATAAATGATAATAGAAATTTTAGCTTATAGACCTATTCTTGATAAATCTGAAATCGTTAAAGGTCCTCCAATAGAATAATAATCAATGTGGAATAATTTAATTGAAAATAACTTAATTCTTAGTCTTCCATATAATAGGAATTAAGGGTCCATAGTGTTATTTCAAGATCAAGTAAAATATCTTAACAAAGAAATAAAGAATGTAATGGAATAATAGTGTATTCCTAAGTTTAAATTTATTTCAGAGTCTCTTATAAAAGGTTAATTTTCTCAATAAATTAATATTTGGAATTTCTATAAAGACTTTAGTTTTAAAAAAAAGTAAGAAATTAGTAGAAAGGATTATGAAATAGTTTTAGAAAATAGTGATTTATTATTTATAGAGAAGTAAATTGAAAGATTTAATTCTTAGTTAAATGGATTAGTGCTTCTTTATTCATAAATCTAAGAATCTTTTACTGATTATTTTACCTAAGAGTTTAAGACATCGCTTTAAATCAAATTACTATAAGATGATTATAATGTTTTTGCAAAATAATTTTTGGATGGATATAAATAGGCCATATATTATCTACTTTTATAATAGAAAGATCTACTATTGAATTTGAAAAATTGAAATTGCTTTTTCCTTGCTTTGAAAAATTTAAGAATGACTATAACAAATTTTAAATTAGCTGTTTAAGAGTATTGAAGAATTTATTAAGGTCAAATTTTAAGTCTTCTAGGAAGATTTTCTTATTAATTTTCTAAAAGCAGTAGAGTATTTGAGTTATTATAGGAAAAAAGGAAATACTCACAGTTTTAGATATTACAGAATTAGATAATATTAAAGAAACTTAAACAATATAATTTGATGAAGATTTTATTCTAAAATAATAGTATGGAAACTAGATGGTAGATAGTGTGAATAAATAGCGATATATGATAGAGATCTTCCCTTTGGCGTAAAGGTGGTCCTTCAAGATGGAGGCGAATTTTTAATTTACAGAGATAATTACTATTATTACTAAATTTGGATTAGGTAATATCATTCTTTAGAGTTACAAAATAACAAAGTAACTGGCCTTGTCTATTTACCAGCTATCGAAAATTTGATTACACTAATAGATGGGGGTCCTCAATTGTTCACTTCATCTTTAAAATAATTGGAAAGTGAATTAGAATACTCAATGAAAGATTTAGAAGCAGACTATATAAAGTCCACTTCCATAGATTCAATATTTGCAATTTCATGCAATAGTTGCATTTTAATAGTTAAAATAATCGATAAAATCAAATTAACTTTAATGAGGAAATTATAATCAGAAGATAAAATATTTTCTTTAGATATTAATCCCTTAGGAACTCTATTAATAGCAGGCAAATAATTCAAATAAAAATTTATCAATTTCAGTCTAAAAACTTTCAATACAACTTTTATTAGATTTAATCTAAATTATATAATAATGAATACCTGCAATAAGATTTCTTTTGAATTCAATTAGGTGGAAATATTTGATATTATGATTGCTAAATTTTAACCACTAATTAGATATGATAATAAACCATTGTTTACATTCTATGCAATCAAATCAAGATTTAAGTTTTATTAATTCGAATATTAAAATACTTAATTTGTTTTGTCTGAGATCACAGTTCCAAATTGTTATAATATTAATTTCTTATAAAGCTATAAATAGTTGTCTACTAAACATCATTTTATAGTTAATAAATCATTGAACCCTTCTAATACAATATCTAATCCTTGGTGGTGCATAAAATTCTTAGAAATAAGAAATTGCTTTAAGCTTTGTAATTCAGTATAAGTCTTAAAGCTATGTCCAAATATTCTTAATTCAGAGTTAGAGAGTATTGAAAGTCAAAATTGTTTTTGTTTTCATCAGATAGCAATAGTTTGGTATGCTTGACCTTTCTTTACAAATTTTGGGTTATAAAATCTTTAAATGATCCAAATCTTTGAATATTTTACTAGAGATATCAATAAATATTAATCATCAGAAAGATTAGTTACTGCAAATTGGAATAAATTGTAATTTTTAAAAATCAAAAAAATTCGAAAAGAAAATTGTAAAAGTTAAAGAATTTAGGTTTTATAACAAAATAATTGATGTGGCCCTCCCCTAATAAGTATTAGTTTAAGTTAAAGATGATTTCAATAGAATAAAAGTTGATAAGTTTTAAGAAATTTCAAGCAGTTTATAATTCAAATGGTGTATCATTTTTCTCAGGAAACAGTAATTACTTTGCTTTGAGCAATGAAAAAATAATTGAAATCATGAATTAAGAAAAGTGCATATAATAAAAAAGATAAATAAATCAAGATTAGATATTCTTTTCAAATGACTACAACTTCACATTAGTATATTTTGACTAGTCAATTTTACTTTTTGTTTCTCTAAGTTTAAAGGAATCAAAGTAGATTTTCAAGCCAGCCACTTTGAATTTAATCAAATTAGAAATATAAGCCTCGATGTGATCTACTTGAGTTTAAGTATAATTTTGGTTCCTTGGGGTAAAAGAAGCACTTCCCAAAGATGATGTATTAAATACAAATAAACGCTCATTTTCCTATATGTCTATAATCACATTCATTTATTTTTGATATTCTGAGAATATATTATAAGCATTTCACATTTGGTACCAATACCTATTTTAATATAGTTATGTAATTAATTACACTCAAATTAATTAACTGGAAATTTGCTATAAGAATTCTGTCCAATAGACTCTGTTTATGAGTGCAGAATTTTTAGAGGATTATAATTATGGAAGGATGAAAACTCAATAAATGGGGAAGAATTAGATTCAATGTCGCCACTATTTATAACAAATGATGTTAAATTATAATCCTTAGAAATTTAACCTAGCAGTCAAGGGAATTGACAAATAAAGAAATTAAAAATTTTGGAATAATACTTGAATTTCAAAAGGTCCAGTTGAGACAAAATTTTTCTATTAAGAGACAACTTTGGTAATCACTATTAAAAAGTATATTTATTATTATTATTCCTTTAGAAAAATAGGTTAAGAAAGTAAATAAGTATTTTCTTTTTTTTGAATTAATAATTTTAACAAATCTATATATAGAATTATAAATGTATATTAATAATCACATCATTAGGAATTTCTTTCCTCATATACCAAACAATTATCAGGCTCAACGCAATACAAGAATTTCATTCCAAAAGTAATTTGCTTAACATCAGGATTCAATTTAATCTTGTATTATCTCACTAATCTAGCTACAATCATTTTGACTTCCATAATTGCCATATGTTGTCCAATGCAGTTTCTAGGTCCAGCAGCGAATGGAATATGGATAAATCCGTTATCATTCTTAATTACATTTCCCTTATTCAACCATCTCTTATAATCAAACTCCTAAGCATTTTCAAAATGTTTATCAAGCAATCCTGGACCAATGTGGTATGCAATAGAAAACCATCCCTTCTTCAACTTAATATCTAATAATTATTTGTCTTATCTAACAGTTCTAAATACTGGAGAGAATGCTGGGTTTCTTAATCTTAAGACTTCTTAGATCAATGCATTAATTCTTACTAATTTATTCAAGTGTTCCTCCTTAACATCTCCTTATTCTCCTACCACATCAATGACCTCCTTCAATATCTCATCTTACATTTCTGGGAATTATGCCAAATAATATAAACATGTTCCTGAAGTAGTGGCAGTTGTGTCTGTACCTGCGAAAAACAATGTAATAAACTAATGGAGTATCTCCTCAATATCAATATTCTGCTTTGCTTCTTTTTATTATTTTAAATACTCTGTAACATATAAATCCAAGAATACCATTTTATCCTAATTTTCTGGTTATTAATTTTTAAGTTATTCAATTCTTTTCTCTATCATTTCTTAAATGACCTATTTAAAGTCACTTATTCTTTTAAGGAGCTACTTCTCCTTCTTTGTTGGTAAAATTGACCATGACTTGTACTCAAATAACATTTGCTTTAATTAAATGAATGGATTGTTAATTGGCAATAAGAATATTTCACTTAGGATTTCTACAATAGTTACCTAAGCATCTTTTCCTTCTATTTTGAATCCATTGGCCAATTCTCCAAAGAAACTGTGAATCACCACTTCTCCTGTAATTCTTGAAGTAAATTCATTCAAATTGGTCTTTGGATCATTCTTTGTTACCTTCTCAATCACTTGGTTGATCATGGGTAAGCGAGAACTGAGTTTCTCGAAAGTAAATGCAGTTCCTAAAAATTTCCTTTATCTCTTCCAAGCTTCTCCTTCACTCATAACCATTCCTTTTTGTCCTACTGATTCTACCATGAATGGATCTAATTTAACATAACTTGTGTGATCCAAATACACATCCTTTATGTACTCTGGTCCTGTCCATACCAATACAGGTTTGTGGAAGAAATTCGATAAAATTACTACTGTCTATGGGTTCTTTTTTAGTTGGTTATTTATGATCTTTAGTAAGTCTCTCTCTTTAGTAATTGAATCTGTGAAGATCTTATTCAATCCTGATAAAGGATAGTACATCAATGCTGCCTTTGATCCGAGTTGCATCTTTATTTTTAATAATGGAACGAGTGGTAAGAGTACCACGAAGTAAATAACACCGATTATCAATGTAGCTAGAGCTATATAAATGCTTAACATTTTTTATTATTAATAGATTAAATGAAAAAATCGAGTTTATAAACTTCGGGAATTCTAAATGGGATATTTTATAATTCCTAGTTTTTAAGTATTTGGGGATAAATTGAAATTCCTAAATAAATAAAATTTAATAAATTAATATATAATTAATTTGTAGAATAATTCAAATTTTTTTTTGAATTTTTGTAATTCATTGTTTATAATGAGTAATCTGATAAAGTCTGATAATAAGAACATTTTTAATCTTACACTCCATCTACCTTAATTTTTGATGAAAACTTTGGTGTAACTAATGAGATCATTAGTTAAACACATTTTTTCAATGTTCAGATCTTGTTGGGTTTAAGTGTGAAATCTGTCTGCTATAATTGGTAAAAATAATAAGAGAATAAGAGATATCTAATTAATTTTATTTCATTATCCTATCATGGGATAATAAGATATACTATAGTAATAAGAGTAATGATAGCAAATAAGAAAGAAAAGTCATTTAAATTTCACTTATTTTTAACAATTAATATGAGATTTTATATCAATTTTATATTTGTATTTGTTCTCCCTTATAATTTACCACTCTAGATCATTTTCAATTAGGTTTCTTTCTATCAATCATAATTTTAACATATTTATTTCAATTATAGAATGCAATTTAGAATTTCATTTATTAAAACTAGATGAAAATGACAAAATAAAAGTGTTCAAATGTTTCTACAAATACAACAATTTCTTTGGTCTGATTTCTCAAGATGAAATATAAGATTGCTAACAGGCTGAATTTTTAGAGAAAAGCTCGTACTTATAGTGCCTTTTTGAGTATGAGTTGAATAATGCTGACTTTGGATAAAACGAAATTTAAAAGGAATTCATTCAGACCAACATAGTTCTTATTCTAATATGGGGTTCTACCAATGATGTCATTCTAAATAACAAAGTAGTATTTCTGTAGAGATTTAGAATAAACATTTCATGACATGACTTAGAAGTATCAATTTGGAATGGAGTAATATCATTGGGGAATGGAATTGATGACACGAGCCCATAATGCGAATCGCTTAGGGGAATTCTTGGAGAAAGGAGTTGATTTTGATTGGAGCAAGGTTGAGAACTAGTGAATATTATTATATACACTTCTCTCAATAATTATGACAACTTAAAATTAATGGTCTGAATTGAACCTAGAGCCAATAATTCAAAAAGTGATTGCAAACGAGTTTAAATTCTAGTACTTGATGCCTGTTTAAAAAGCAGCTATACCACACTTCATAAAAAACTATGATGTGGCTGTAGAAGCCTAGACGGGATCTGGAAAGACATTAACATTTTTGGTTCCATTATTTAACCAATTCTCAAAGTAGAAGTACTCAGATCATTAACTTTTTGGTTTGGTATTGTCACCTGCAAGAGAGTTGGCACAATAAATTTACGATGTAGCAAAGAAGTTCTAAAATGTGAACTAAGCCAAGATTGCCTTTGCTATAGGTGGAACTTCGAATGAACACGATGTCAAATATTTAAATGAGAAGGGATGCAATATACTTATAGCAACACCTGGTAAGTTAAGGTAGTTGTTGGATATGGCTGATTTGTAAATTAATGTCAAAACTTTGGAATTTTTGATATTCGATGAAGCAGATAGACTAATGAGTAATGAATACTCAGATGACATTAGATTCATACTGTCTAAGTTACCAAAACAGAGAAGAACAGGTCTATTTTCAGCAACATTGTCATCTGCCAAAATCCATGATTTGATGAAATTGGGTTTAAGGAATCCAGTATAAATCAAGGTTAATGCTAATGAGGCAATGCCGGCAAAATTGAGAAACTATTATCATATATTTGAAAATAGAATGGACAAGATAGCTGGATTAGTTGATCTAATAGAGAAGAAATGTCAAAACAACAAGAGCATTATATTCTTTAATACTTGTTGTTCTGTTGTCTATTATAGTATCATATTTAAACAATTGTTTCCCAATTGCAATATTTTAAGTATGAATGGATAGATGGCTTAAAAGAAGAGATAAAAGATAGTTACCAATTTCAAATCTACAAATAGTGTGATATTATTCACAACTGATGTTTTGGCAAGAGGACTTGATTTTGATGATGTTCCTTTGGTCATTTAATTTGATCCACCTTAAGATCCGAGTTTCTTTATTCATAGATCAGGTAGAACAGCAAGACAGGGAAGAGATGGGGAAGCAATTCTATTACTTGAATAGCATGAAAGAGGATTCATCTAATTCTTAGGAAGATCGAATATAGAAATGAACTAATTAGACGGTGTTTTATTAGAGTGTCAATTTTAATAGTTGAGGGAGAAATGCTTAAAAATAGTAACTACTGATAGGGATATTATAGAAAAAGGGAAGGCAGCATTCATATCATTCATTAGGAGTTACAAAGAACACAAATTATAGATATTATTTCAATTCAATTAATTAAACATAGGTAAAGTAGCCTATTCATTCTTCCTTTTAAGAATTCCAAGAATAAAAGAGATATTGAGTAAGAAAATTGAGTTTGAATAAAGTCAGATTGATCCAAACTCAATACCATTTTTAGATAAGAATCAAGAAAAACAGTACTTATAAAAAAGAGAAAATAAGGATAAGAAATTGGAAGAAAAGAAAATACAATAATTGCCTAAATAACAGGTGCCTAAGAAACAAGAAAAAAACATTAAGAACATCAAATCAATTAGAAAGAAGGTTAAGCAATAACATGAATAAGAGGATGATGAAGAATTGAGAGCGTAATTATTTTGTATTAATTTTAGAGAGTAAAATCTAGTCAAGAAATTGAAACAAGGCAAAATCACACTACAGCAATTTAAGGAGGAAATGAAGAATTTTGATCCAGAAGATTTATAGGATGCTGATTATGATAAAGATGATTTGTGATAAATTATTATTGTATATAAAAATGCTGAATAGACAAATCAAATCTAAGAAGGTTAAGAATCTGATCAAGAAATTTAATGCAGAGGATGAAGATGAGCATTAAGAGGAACACGAAAGTTAACAAGAAGAAGTGCAATAATAAACGAAGCAATCATTAAAATAATTGTTGTCTGGAGTGATTAAGAGAGATGTTAAGAGCGAGAAGGCAATTATGGCAGACAAATAAAAAATATTGAACGAACTTACCAATGAAAAATAAAAACAAAAGGAAATTGGAATAAAGAAAAGCATTAAAAAGTTAGAAAAATTAAACATAGTAGGGCTGTAGTCGAAAAAGGGCATGTTGATCCAAGAGTGTCAACCAATAGAGATCAAGAAAGAGAGTTGAAGGTTATTGCTGCCAAAGGTTTGGTTAAGGTATTCAATGTACTTGCTGAAATGAGATAGAAACAAAATGAATGAGTTTGTGGTGGAAATTGTTTGTATTTCATTAATTAAAAGTATCAATTTTTAATGCTCATTAATTTATAAGAAAACCTCTCTAGTCATACTCATATATTGGAGGATAAATTAATTAAATATATTTAATCTTCACTTATAAAAAGTCTTCTTCTTGATGTCTGGCATCTTCTCGACAAGTTTGTTCCTTTAGTAAGTCACTATCTGAGGGCCTTGATATGTTTGATTGAATGAAGGCTCAAAGATCTATTTCTTCATTTAAGAATTAGTTCTAGTAGAATTCTAAATTATTGAACTTTACTTTGGCTCCTGACTTCCAACCTTCGCAGATTGGTACAACATCCTCTACTTCTACAACTATTTTTATGGTGTTGAATAACCACTATTGAATGTTGGATTACCTGACACAGGTTTTAAGAGGATCTTTGCTTTCTATTCCAAATACTAAATACTGAATTACTCATGCTTCTCCATTGCAATTTCTTAAGGCGTTTTCTGTGTCTATTTTATGGGCATCTCTGGTTCCTTCGCTCTTATTTGCTTCAGATCCTTCTCATAATTCCTTAATTATCTCTGAAACCCATAATTCGGGAATACCACACTTCTGCGCTTCCTTACGTAATTGAAGGCCTCCTAAAAATTCAGCCCTCTGGTCTTCATTATGTATGCTATCACTGCCGAAGCTGATCTCGACACTCCTGCTGCACAATGGACCAACACACCTCCTCGCTTCAACCCTTCTCCAATCTGATTACAAGTATCCCCAAAAAGTCTGGCGATATTGGCTGATTCAATGTCCAAGATGTGATACACCTCCCCATATTAATCTATTTTACTTTGTGCACTATTCCACCCTCAGGGTAAGACACATTTAATCCGGCTGCTACTGTTAAAACTGTCTTAATTCCTCTCCCATCCAAAAGACTTCTATCATATGCAGCAGTGCAATCTCCCAACCATAAAATATTACCGTTTTCCTCTAGAATTTAGTTCATCGACTAATACATTGGATCAAACATACGAAACATTGTAATTATTTATTTATTAATATCAAAATCCCTCTTTAACCAAATCGCTTTACTTGTAAAATTAATTGGTAAAATCCCTTCACCAAAAATGAGTAGTAATTTTATTATTCTATATTCCATTCAAATCTATTCCCTGGTCACCCCCTCCTGATAATATAATATAATAATAAATTTCGTTTGTTTAAATTAAAAGTAGCGGGTTAGCCGTTCCCCGAGGTCGTGTAAGTCAGGGTCGACTATGCTGGGACCGGGGCAAGCCCCAAGTAAACCCAGCCCCATTTAAAAATTGCAGTGATATCATTCTCCTCGTAGGAGATATCAGATATCACTCTGATAAGAACAGATACTACACTTGATCTTAGCCAAAAGGCCGAGAAGGTATGAAATTTAATACTCTTTTTATTTCCTTTAAATATTATTATTAATTTTATTATTTTATGGGTTTCTAATTTAATATTAATAAATTGACATAATTTAAATGATAAAGCATAATACAAATATGCACATTTGATAAGATATCAATGTATTTTTATTTAAAGTTCTATACCTATGTATTTGGTAAAGATTTAAAATTCTACCCATATAAATAAATGTAAAGTCATTTTTAAAACAAACAGTAGTTTGTTAATTTCTAAGGTAAAATCTTACTTCTCTCCGGAATCTTATTGATTCAAGTTTATTAATTAGGATTTATAATATTATAATAAAGCACCTATCAATTTAGGCAGTTCTTTCATTCATATTTATATAAATGAAATAGATCTTTAATTTTAAATTATTATGAAAGTTATTAGGGAAATATTAAAATAGAAATGCTTTATTGGATTTAGTAGTATTTTGTGTAGCCATATAATAAATGATTTTTTTTATTTTGAATTTACAAAGTCATTTACTTTAAAATAAAGAAATAAATTCATTTATATTATCTGATTAGATTGATAGTCTCAATATCAATCAAATTTATTTACTGAATTAAGTCATTTGATGTAATACAGTAATTATTCACAAAATGGTTTTACAAAACTTTCAGAAAAAGACAGATATGTGGTTTGATTTTCTCTCAATTTTGATTAGTACATATTAAGAAAGCCCAACATTATGCCTAATAATTTATCAAAGGATGAAATTTAATATAAATTACTTTAAACTAATAAAAGGATTTAGAACTAACTTGTTTTTCAATTTAATTTTATATCTGTAAACTATTTTTATTTATGTATTAACATTAAATAAGGGGAAAATTCAAATAGAAATGCTTACCTAAATTTTATATTATTAATTTAGAATACTCTATAAAGTGAGTTTATTATTAAACTTTCTTGGATGGAATATTTTAGAGATACTCTTGAGGATGTAGTAGGATAATTCTTGGAAAATGATAGCATTATTCTTTAGTTATATTAATAAAATAAATTTTAGTTATGAAGGTAAGTATTATATTTATGATAATTTTAGTTAGCTGCATCTGAAGCATTCAAGAAACTAAAATTGAAACATTATTAATAGGCCAAAGTAACTACGACCAAATTTTATCAAACAAAGCCTTTTTTTTCAATGCCTGAATAAATAGAAAAGGAATCTGGTGTTTTAGCACCAAAAAGGGTCAACTAAGTTGATCTATTTAAAAGATATACTTATGAAGTATTGCCTGCTCTTGAATAATCAGTAGAATTGGATTTACTTGAAAAAGTATTTCAAAAAGTAGATCCTATAGTAAGAGAATCAATCACATAAGTATAATCCTACATAATCTAATTAATTAGGCTTACGTAAGAAAGTAGGTGGAATAATTAGCGTAACAACCAGATCCCGCATCAATTAAAGATCTCGATGATAATACTAAAAGTAATATGCCAAGAGAGAAGGCAAAATTGTTTTTACAAAATTGGTTGGATTTGAATCCAATATAAATTGGAAAATGGATCCCTCTGAATTATGAGTTATTTAAGAAAACCTTCAAATTCTTATCTCCAGGGGATTTCTAAAAAAACCTTATTGAATTATCCAAAAACTTTTCACTCATGATGACAGATGAGGGTTTCAAAACAATTGATTATGTGGATTCAAGCAAAAGAATACCACAAATATTCGAATATAAAAAGTTATCCAAAGATAATTTCCATAAAGAAGGATATTTTATAATAATGTTCAACGTCTTGAAAGGAGACTTTAATGATGAACTCAGAAAACACAGAAACAATGAATTATTTTAAAGAGTCTTTGCAACCAGTGTAAATTTTGATGCACTATTGACTGTCATCTTGAATCATTGGGAATTAATTTAATAATTAAGAACTCCAGAGTAGAGAAAAGAATTCTTCAAGTCACTTGTGGATTAATTATTGGAAAAGATAGATAAATAATAACCCAATGCATCTATGCCTGAACTCTTATTTTCAACTGTGAAAACATTGCAATTCAAAGACTTCACTTTGGACCTCACAAAATATGTAAATAATCCATTCCCAGTCCCAAAATCATTAATTGAGAATAGATTTGGGGTAAGAATTCATTATTAATGTTAGGAATAATACTATGGGTATTCAAGTAACTTACTTTTTTATGGAGATCATGGAGCTGGTAAATCTGGTGTGTTAATGTAGGCAATCATGTTTGCCTAATAAACTGGATGGATAGTAGCAGTAGTTCCATCTGGATATAAGTATTAAATATATCAACACTATTATAGTTGGACTTCATTAAAATATGAAGCCAAGAGACATCATAAAACTGGATTGTATATGCAACCAAAGGCAGCTTAGGAATGGTTGGAATAATTCAAAGAGGCCAATCAAGAGCATTTGAAAACCTTTTAAGTTGATTTGAGTCTATATGGCAAATTTAATTTGAGTGGTGTTCATGATGATGATCCTGATCCTTGCCCAAATTTGTATGATGAAAGAAGAGAATATCACTTCAAGGACTTCGAGAAATTTACAACAAAAGAAGAAAGAGATTTCGAAGAAGCACAAGATTAAATTATGTCTGCAAGAATTACATTGAAAATTCCCAAGCCCCAATATTTACAAGAAATTATTGATTATGGCATCTCAAATGCACATTATGCTACCAATGCTGTCTATGAAGTGATGGAACAATTGTACAATACTGAAAAATATAAAGTATTAGTAGCTGTTGATGGTATTAACTGGTTCTATAGACCATCACAATTGCCATCATTTCGTTATGAATCTGATAAAAATCTAAGGGTAATTCTACGATATTCAGTATTTTAAGGGACATGTACCACCATATCATATGTCTTTACCTCGATTGTTTATGCATTTTGATGGCCACAAAATTAAAAATGGCACTAAAATCACTGCTTCCTCTATTTTCAAACTATTTTAACATGATTTCCAACCAAAACATGTACTATTACCTTAGAAATATGGCATAAAATTGAATGGAGCACCATTGGATATGTTTAGATCATTCTGCGAGTATGGAATTCAAACAGGTATGTGGAAATGCGATGAGTTTTCTTAGAATACTCTTGAACAATTTTGGATGGAAACTCAAGGTAACTATTTTGAAGCAATAAAATGCATGAAAGTTCATTGGAGAGATATATGATAAATGTAAAATATTTTAACCATTAAGAATAACAGAAATTTATATATTTTTTTTAATTATCATGTGTATGTAATCTATAATAATCAATTCAATTTTAACGAAGCAATTATGGATCTTTATACTATTGGTTTAATGCTTGGATTTAGTTTAATAAAGATTAAGTCCACTATTAAATTGATAAATCTAAAGATTGTAATTCTTATTTATTCTCCTCCTAAACTTCTTCTGTTTCAAGTCGACTTTTTTGTGATTGCTCGACACAATTTTCCACATTTTTTTACATTTATACTTAAGAAAGTAGTGGTTAAAGTGGATTTAAAATTACATGGTATGTTGTTACAACTTTTTTTAATTTACGAATTCTTGATTCTTTTTTACCAACTCTGCCTTCTTTCATGTAAGTGTTAACGATAGACTTACACGTAGATGCCAATAACGAGTATTCTTAAGCAACCTTTTTAAATACTTAAAATTAACGAAATACCTCTAACAAAGGCTTTTTTTGTAAGCAGATTTTATCAATAATCTCCTACCTGATCTCTTTGTTGATTTTACTATATTATTTTTTCTCCTCGTCCATGGATTAGTATTTGGCCTGATTAATTTTAGAAAATAAAAATAATTTACAAAATTTTAAGATATATATGATCATTGATTTATTTCGTCGATTTCTCTGTATTCTGTGTATTTCAAAAATTTTTAAATAAATTTTCATTCAAATAAAATAATCTAAATACTTTAAACCTAACTCTAAAAAGTTTAATTTAATAATTATAAATTTGTGAGAATAATAACAATATCAAATATGTTCTAATTTTTCTAATTGCTTTTTAATTTACATAATCATCTTCTAGTCATCATTTTCCAATCCTTAAGTTTGGTTCATATTTTTCATCTATGATTTATAGATAAATATATTTACTGATTATTATTCCATCAACTGCTTCTTGATTCTCTGCTCTTTCAAATAATCCTTGATAACTAACTTTTATTCTGATTGACTTGACTTAGGTGGTTCAGGCGGTCTTGGCAATGGAGGAATGTGTTTCTTATTGTAAGTAGCATGCTCCTTCAAATAAAAATCTCCAATACGTCTTGGTGAAATGGGAGTGGGGATATTCTCCAATGGCTTCAGCTTCACTTTCTTATTACCTGATTAATCCTTCTGATCAACTCCAAAATAGATGTGCTTTTCTTTAACCTTCTCAGATAACTCCCTGTATTTTTTAAAATCCGGTTCGTATTTCAGTTTCCTTATGTTCTCTTCAATTTCTTATCTCTTCTCTTAACTCACATGAGGTTGATATCTCTGCTTCACCTCATTCTCATATGATCTCTGTAGATTGAGTCTTTCCTAGGCTCTAATTCTATTTTCATCCACTTTTGAGTCTTAATCTTTGTAATACTGTCTAGCCCTCTTATAACTCTAAGAGTAATATTGTGCCTAGAATTTGTTCCATTGTTTTTCTCTCTCATCCCACTCCTTTTGTCTCACTGCTGCTTTTTCTTTTCTAAGTTCTTTAATTTTCTTATCGAATTGCATAATTTCCTGCAAATCAAATTCGGGGTTCCTCATTTCTTTCAACTTATTTTTTCTAATTTCCTACAACTACATCATATACGCAGCATCCTATTATGCATACTTCTCTGCTAGATGATGTTATTTCTTCTTCTCCAAATATCTCTTGTTTTATTCTTATAGATCTTATTCTCTTTGTTTTTACTTCTCCTTCAACTTATTCAATCTTTGTTCGATCTCCTCTCTCTTTTCCTTAGTCTTAGCCTCTTGAATAAGTGCTTGTTACTTTCTTATTTTATCTTCAGTCTTTGATATTTTTTCCTTTTGAATTTCAATCTGCTTTAGTCTCTGCTCCTATAATTCATTCCATTCCTTCATTTATTTCTTGATGAAGTCTTGTCTCTATTGTTCTTTCTATGGATCCACTTCAGGTTTAACAATTGGTTCTCTATACATACTAATCTAACTCAATTCTGCCATACTGTTCATAATAGATTGGGATGCATGTTTATTCAGCTAATCCAATTTCAAATGTCTCTTTAAGTGTTCAATTTTTTCTTCGATATACAATAACTTTTAGACTAGCTCTTTTCTTAAACTCAAAATCTATTGCTTCTGTTCTGGCTATTCAAATCTCAAATCCATATCATCCAAATCTAAGATTTGTAAATTAACTTCTCTCCTGCTCTTCTCATATTTTTGTAGATCCTTCTTAATGAGTTCCTTCTAAAGAGCTTTAATTTTAGTTTATTCAATAACATTCTTCTAATCGTAATCATCAAAATGAAATTGATTCTCATTAATTTTCAATCCTTTTATTGCTTTCTCCAATGATTCCATTGTTAAATTTTAAGCTGTCTATTTAGATTAGTGACTCAATTCGTGATTCTCAAATTAATACGCGAAATACTCTTAGATATTTCCATAATTATTTTGAACTTCAGCACTTAGGGACTCATTCAATCTCTTGATTAAAGATTATGGCTTTTCTAATTTATGATTGATTTTAGGATTCTGAAGCTCTACTTCCTTGTATTCCACTACCAGAACCCCTTCTTTTTTTCCTTGTCCCACAATGTCAAGTTGGTGGATCTATTCTGATTTGGGAACTATGGATTCTCCAATCAAATGAAATTCTTCATCTTTCTACCATACTTCCACTTTTAAATCAACTGCCTTCTTCACTTCAAGAGTGAACTTTTGATTCCAATTGTTACCCACAGTAGTTTAATGAACTTAAGTGCCGTACTTGATTTTAACCAAGAAGTTAGATAGTGGATTATCGTAATTTAAAATTTCGAGATTAAGTTTCATATTTTAATTATAGGTGGTTTAATCATTCTAAACGTATTTCTCCACACATTGGCATTGTCTAATTCCTTTTTAGATATCAAAACGCTATCCAACTTTTTAATGGTCGGCAACAATCCTATTATATACAATCTAAAATTTGGAATGGCATCAAAGGGATTTCCATGAACAGTCAAAGTTCTCAATTCTGACAAACTCTACAATTTATCAAATTCCATAATGTCCTTCAATTTATTCGCATGTAAGTACAACGCCTTTACATTTGGTAATTCAGCAAAATTCTGTTTATATAAACAAAAACACTTACATAATCTAGACTTTCAATCATGTTATGCGATAGATCAATCCACTGCAATTGCTTACAATTGATCATTATTTGATCAATGATATTGTAAAAGTTATGCAGGGATGTCAATTTATTATAACTTAAGATCAATGAACATTGAATTAATTGTACTTAAAATTGCTTCTTTGTTTATTTTTTCTCATCGATCGTAGGCTTGTACACATTGGTTGATTGTTGGACAGGTTATCCAATTGTACGCACAATTACTGGTGTCAATTTTTCCTCCTTCTATCTCTGCAACTCCCGCTTTTCTCTCTCTTTCTCATCACCTTCTAACTTATCTTCATCTTCTTATTCCTGTTATTGGTTCTATTGCACTTGAATATTCTCATTTTCTTATTGTTGTTGTTGCTGCTTTTCCTTCTTTTTATCATCCTTCTATTCATCGATCGGAGCCTACTTACGTTTCCCTTGCTTTGGTATAGCATGTTTTAAATCAGCCAATGATTTGATGTTAAGATTGGAGAAGTCCAAAGGAGGCGCATCATATGAAACCTTAGTATCCTACATAGTTGATTTGGACATGTTTTATTTCATTAAAATAAATATCAATGAGTAAGTATCACATTTAGAATTATCAAATTTTAAAAGTTCTCGACAAAGTAATGAAATATATTTCTATTAAAGGGAACTTATGCCATTGTCTAGTAAGCTTAGAATATAAGAATCAAGGAATTTGCAACTATAGACGTAATATTTATTATGGTAACTTTATTATATAAATTAAGATTGATAACTTAGAAGGGATTTACAAATAACAAACATTGAAATTGCTCGAATCCGAAATAATGAGAATAACCAAATGGATAAACTATATACATATTTGTAGAATTGAAAGACATTCAACAAAGTTAGAATGTAATTAATCTGATGTTCTTAAAGAGATTTAGCAATGTTGATCAAAATGAATTAGCCAACTAGCAGATTACCTAAGTCTGAAGCCTATTATGCTTTAATTAATTGGTGCTGTGGAATCTTTTATTTAAAAAGATAATTCATCATGATCTCAAAATCATGCATAAATCAGAAAATAACTCTATAATTGAATTGTTTCTATAAAAAGGAGCTTTTTAATGAATTAAGAATATATAAAGTTTTTCAATAATTAAATCCAAAGCATTTTTTAAGTCAGGTTAATTATTTCTACATCATCTACACAATATTAACAATATTTATTTTTATATATTAATTTGAAAATAGATATTAATTCAAATTATTTTTTCTAAATTAATTAATCAAAATTTGAAAGAATAACTTCGTTAAGAATAAGCAATAATTAGAAAATTAAAGTTATGTAAAAATTTAAGAATATAAAAAATTAAATTGTAATACTTTGCTTATCAAAATATCTTTTTTACTATTATATATTATTATTATTATATAAAACATCGAGGGAAATATCAGTTATAATTGCTTATTCATATATCAATAAATCTGAAACCCTTGATTAATAATTTACATAATAAATATTTCAAAAGAATCATGAATATTAGATTTGATTCAAACTCATAAATTTATAAGGATAGCTAAAATAAAAGTCTTGTTTTTAATTTTGTGAAACCTCAGCCACAATAGTCATCATTTTATTAATTAAATGAATTTCATGCTAAGGGAACAATATCATAATTTGCAATTCATTTAAGAGGAGGAGGCTGTGGGTAAGCTAAACCAATATCAAGAAGTGAAGAAAATTAAATTATTGGTGTACCCAAGGATTTATTGATTAAACTAGAAAATTATGTTAACATTATCAATACTAAAGCTCCACTTTTGATTGATCCTTAACAAAGAAATGAAGTAATAATTGCATTTTAATGGTTTATGTATAATAGAGA